ACCCTGTTTTATAAAAATAAATAAAAAACGTATGTATATTAAAAAAAAATTGTTTTTAAAAAAAAAAAAAAAAAAAAAAGATTGATCTAATGAAAGAATAGAAGTTTCAAAATTTAATTTATTTTTAATTTCATTTATATAATTTAATGAATTTCCTTGTTTAATTTGATTTTTCAAATAATCTTTAACTCTTCTTGCCCATGGCTGATTAATTATATCAATTTCTGAAGTTATCAGATGATTATGAAACCATTTATATATAATTTTATATTTATTTTTTGAATCTAAAAATTTAATTGTTAATTTGGCTTTACAATTTGTGTTTTTTTTAGAATAATTTTTATAAGTTTGAGATTTATGACATTTGAAATATATTAAATTATGATCTTTTTTTATATTGTACGTATGATTTTTTTCAAAAAAATTTAAAAATTTATTCAATTGATCTTCATCTACTTCCATCATGATAATATCACGAGTCATATCATGAGGAGCTGAGCAATGAAGTAATAATTTATCTAATCTTGCATGAGCAGGAATTTTAGTGTTAAACAATTGATGTGATAATGGTGGGGCAGATACTGGTGGTATTAATGACTCACTAACTAAATCGGATTGATCATCATTATCTGGTTTCTTCCTAATTTTAGGTTTCCTTCCTCTTTTTTTAGGTTCTTTTTGAAGTTGTTCTTTTGCCTTTCTTTTTCTAAATTTAATCAACTTTTTATCAATTTCTAATGTAAGTTTATTCAATTGTTCATTTTTTTTAATAATTAATTTTTTCTGTTTTATCAATAGAGCTGATATTCTGTCTACTCTTTCAGCTACTTTTTCATTTTCTGCTCCCAACTGAGTTATTTTAATTCCTAACTTTTTTTGATAATCATTTTTTTTATCAATAAGTTTATTGACATATTTTGTTTTACTTTTGATTGATGTATTATCTTGGCCTAAAAGCTTTGAGATTTTGCATTTCTCGTTAAGTAAATTTTCTTTAGCTATAGCTACTTTTTGCTCCATCGAACTCAACTTAATTCTAGTAGATTCAATTTCTGAGTCTAATTCTTTTTGTCTTAAATACGCTTCACCTTCATTATTAATAGACAATTGGATTTTAGATCTTTCATTCACCATTCCATCAATCAAAGCTTTGCATTTATGAATTTCATTATTCATCCCTATTATATCTTGATGCATTTTTTGCAAATGTGTCTCATCAGAATAGGAAATAAAATGTAGACCCAGTCTCTCAGATTCATTTGAATTCACAATTTTTAATTCCTCCTCAAGTTGTGCAGATTCTTCATTGTTTTTTTTAAGGTCTTCATAAAGTTTCTCTATAGTCACTGAGTTTTTTACAATTTTATTTTTTTGAACATCGACTCTTTTCTGTGATTCTTCGACCTCTCTTTTTATCGATTCCAAATTTTCGATTAGCTCCCCCTTTTTTCTGATTAAAGGATAAATTTCAGTATCATGGATCTCTGATTCATAATCAACAGTCTCTTCATGGATCCCTTCCATTTCCTCCTCTGTGGCTTCCACTATATTATCATTTTCATCTTCTTCAATTGTTTCATTTTCTTGACTGACCTCAACACCATTGTCACTTATTGCTCTTTCTTCTTCGATGAATTTCAATCTCCATTCATCAAAAACATCTCTATCAAAATTCTTTCTTAACCAACTTTCATCTGTAATTTTTCGATAGAAATTTGGATCAATTTTTGGATAATTTAACATACATAAAAAATGTGGATGTAGATTGTATAATAAAGATTTTATATCCGGTTGTCTTAAAAATTCCCGTATAATTGGATGAAGTTTACTAGAAACTGGAAAATTATAATTATTATCATCAATATATTTCTTTCTTATTTCAGGAACTATCACAGTTATAAAAAATTCTTCATCCTCTGAAAGTGGTGGTTTTGAATGTGATTGAATGCTTTGGTTATCCTTGTAAGTTTCGAAATTCGTTCTTAGCTTCAAAAATAAAGCATCTATAGCACCAGGCATTTGAAAGTTTGTAATTGAATGGTCAGTCTATGATGAAGCTGAATTGTGGGGATAATATGTTCTTGTTTACGTTTTAAAAGATACTTAGCATATTAGGACTAATTATAATAGTACAAGAAAACTACTATATGCAGGGAATAGTGGATTATACAATAATTTCGTGTTTCGGAACAATCAAATTTTTTTTTCACTGATTTATTGAGCGATGAAATAATATATAAGAAGTGAAATTCTCAATTTTTCATATTTTAGAAAGTTTTATTAGTTTAGGGTTTTAGTTTTATTAGTTTTGGTTTTTAGTTTTATTAGTTTGTATCTACTAACTTCTTTTAGCTCGTTAAAGATATATGGTGAAGCAAATTTTAAGGAAGCTTCCTACATTCCACAGTAGGTGTAATTTACTGATTTGAATGGAGACGGCTACTCAGAGTTATCAAATGAAGATTAGCTGTATTGACACCACTAACAAGTTCAGTTTGAAGTGGCCAGATACTGTCACTCGCGCGGCTCATAACCTGAAACAGACGACGGTTTAAATCCTGAAAAAGTCTCAGGTTATTAGCCGTGCAAGTGACGGTGTCTTTTTAGTTCAATTTATAAATCTTGTTGTGTTTCATGACATTTTAAACTTAACATTTATTGTAACTACCCATAATTTTTCAGTAACTATATTATCTCATTGCAAGCTGGTTGAACTTGGTTGAGTAATAATTTAAAAATACTGAACAAACCTGTTACGGGTGTAAGCATAATCCTGATTCTGGAATCAATAAATGAAATTTTTTTTGCTCTACAAATGTTTGTATCTATTCAAGAAGTACTTTTATGAACGTGTGAATCAATGGCTTGTTTCGCTCAACATAATTATTAGCAACTTTCCTAGATTAGGTAACACAACTTACGAAGTGGAATGAATTTGAAGACTTTTCGCGAATCAACTGTTTTTCCCACAAATTATTGGATTGAATTCTCATTAACACAGAAACGTCTATGAATCGAAATATTAGTTTAAAACATTTATTCATGTAAGATTTATAAATAATGTGTCTATATTTCAATCAGTTTTCGCCTTGTCGACATGTACTATGACATAAGAAAGCTTCACCAAAAATTCAATTCGTAATAAAATGATTAAATTAATAACAATAAACACGTTAAATTTGATTTCGCGTACCTTTTTTATATCATAATATTCTTCAATTCAATTTGATCCAAATAAGTTAAATTGATTGCAGTAGAACCAAACCGTTTAAAACTTTGGGGAAACTTTTATGATTTGATCTCCAGCACGAGTGTTGAAAGTTCGTAGAGTCCAATGTTCATAGATTTGAGTTGACAATTAACTTTTTTAATTGTAGAACTCACGTCAACAACACGTCAACAATAGCGGAAGAGAAATAACGTGTTTCAATGTCTTGAATTCTAATACAAGATTATTAAGTGACAATAAGGCCAATGTGACATTGCACAGCCTAGTTAAAATTCTACTAGTCAAGTACTGTATATAATAAAATAACTCATACAATAATTTATTTTTAATTTAACCTAATTAAGATAATTGAATTAAAACTGAAAAAAAATAACCGATTAAGCCAACTTTGATGGAAACCAGTAAAGAATGAAAGAGAATTGGTTCATGTCAACAAGCCATGGACAAAATGGTTAGTATCATTCCATTACAGCAGAACCCAATAACCAACGATAAGCTCTTAGTTTAACGTGTAAATAATCAGAAGTTCGAGTAAATAATAATATTTTATTTTTTCTCGAAGAATTGCTTGATATGTTTCAGATCAAATTCAACTTGCATAAAGAACTATTATCCCGAGATATCCTTAAAATTAAATAGTACCCGCTCGTGGTGAGAGCACGAGACGTTCATACAAACTTGATCGTGTGAAAATAAGTCGAATCGTGCTAATTTTTCCCTAAAATTATCTTTTTTTTGGTTCTCCGCCACTTTTGTTTCTATTTTTAACGAAACACAAATCTATGAAGCTGTATCTTGAGTTATTAATTAATTAAATCAACTTATGGTGTATTGTGTAATATCTCTTAACTAATTTGTTTTATTGTTGTTTACTTTTTTTGTGTTTTTGCTTTTGAGTTTCCTCCTTTTTTGATTTTTGATTTGATTGAAAAATTTTAAATTTGATTTAATCGACAATTTTAAAATTTATGTCTATAATCAAATTGGTTATTTAAAAATTTCAAATCTCTCTTCTTTTTCTTCTTCTTCCTTTCCTTTTACTCTTTCACTTCTTTTATCATTTTTTCAATTGAAAGAATAAATTCAAAAGAATCAAGATTTTTTTAAACTTAACTTTCGCTTATCTTAAAGAAGAATAGACGTTTCGAATAGAAGAAAATCTTATCAATTCTTGGCTATATTATTATAATTTGATCAACCATCATCAAAGTCAGAATTTTATAAGAAAAAAATATTACTTCAATCGTTTCAAAATCAAGAATATTATTATCAAGAAAAATTAGTAAGGAACATCAAATTTAATTCATTCACTTATACATTAACTTACATTACGAATACTTTAATTATTTCTTAATTTAAGGTACCAAGACAAACTAAAAATCACATAAATACACAAATAAATATTCAATATGTTATTTAAATCAATAATTTCAACAACTTTTTTAGTTGTTTCAAATTTAATTCAAACTATATCAGCAGATGATTTACCAAAAATTGAAATTGTTGGTAATAAATTTTTTTATTCAAATAATGGTTCACAATTTTTTATGAAGGGAATTGCATATCAACAAAATAATTTAAATTCTTCAGATTCTTTTGTTGATCCTTTAGCGAATCCAAAAACTTGTAAAAGAGATATTCCTTATTTATCAGCTGTTGATACTAATGTTATAAGAGTTTATGCTTTAGATGTTAATGAAGATCATACTGAATGTATGGAAGCTTTAATGGATGCAGGAATTTATGTTATTGCTGATTTATCACAACCTGATGAATCAATAAATAGAAAAGAACCTGAATGGACTTTAGATTTATTTCAAAGATATACTTCTGTTGTTGATTTATTTCATAATTATACTAATATTTTGGGATTTTTTGCTGGTAATGAAGTTACAAATGATGACACAAATACTGATGCTTCTGCTTATGTTAAAGCAGCTATAAGAGATACAAAAGCTTATATTAAAGCAAAAGGTTATAGACAAATTCCAGTTGGTTATTCATCAAATGATGATTCTACAATTAGAGTTGCATTAGCTGATTATTTTGCTTGTGGTGATGAAGATGAAAGAGCTGATTTCTTTGGTATTAATATGTATGAATGGTGTGGTTCATCAACTTATCAATCATCAGGTTATCAAACTGCAACAAATGATTATAAAGATTTAGGTATTCCAATTTTCTTTTCAGAATATGGTTGTAATGAAGTATCACCAAGAAAATTTCAAGAAGTTGGTACATTATTTGGTAATCAAATGACTAATGTTTGGTCTGGTGGAATTGTTTATATGTATTTCCAAGAAGAAAATGATTATGGATTAGTTTCAATTGATTCAAATGGTGATGTTTCAACTTTGGGAGATTATAATAATTATAAATCTGAAATTCAAAAAATAAGTCCATCATCTGCTCAAGCTTCTGCAGTAAGTGCTACTGAATCTGGTGTTACTTCATGTCCAACTGCTACTGATGTTTGGAATGCTTCAACTGATTTACCACCAACTCCTGATAAACAAGTTTGTGATTGTATGAATGAATCATTAAAATGTGTTGTTGCTGATAGTGTTGATTCAGAAGATTATGCTGATATGTATGCTTATGTTTGTTCAAAAATTGATTGTTCAGGTATAAATTCAAATGGTACAACCGGTAAATATGGTGCTTATTCTCCTTGTTCTGCAAAAGAAAAATTATCATTTGTTTTGGATCTTTATTATAAAGATCAAAATGAAAATAGTTCAGCTTGTAAATTTAGTGGATCAGCTTCATTAAAAAGTGCTTCAACTGCTTCTTCATGTTCTGCTTATTTATCATCAGCTGGTTCTTCAGGTTTAGGTACTGTTTCTGGTTCAGTTAGAACTGATACTTCTCAAGCTACTGATACAAATGGTGGTGGTAAACAAAATGGTTCAGGATCTTCAAGTTCAGGTTCATCAAGTTCTGGATCTGGTTCATCAAGTTCTGGTTCATCATCATCATCAAGTGGTTCATCATCAGGTGGTAAATCTAATGATGCTTCATCAGTTATTGATTTCTCAACTTTAACTAAATTTGGAGCTATTGGATTATCAATGGTTATTGGATTTGGATTTATAATGATTTAAATTTTTTAAAAATATTTATAGTATTATTATAAAATAAAATAGATATAAAACGTGTAAAGAGTGAATAAATTGTAATTTTTTATTGGTATATTCTAACAAAGTATTGTTTGCTGATATAGTCGATAGAGTAACATTTCTAGTGGGTATCGTTTATTTATCATTAATAATACATATCAATCATTCCTCCATTACCATTTTCCTTATTTCCCAATAATAATCTTTTCTAATTTCATTTGAATCAATAAACCAATGACTTATTTTTCTATCAATTTTTTGTTCTTCTTTAACAAATTTTTCAATTAATTTTTGATTTAATTTATAATCATTATTAATATTTATTGTTGATGATTTTTTATTATTATTTGATGGTTGTGGAAAATTAACAGTAGATGCTGTTCTTTGAGTATATTGACTTAACCCTCTTATAGGAGATTGTAATTGTAAATTTGTTTGTTCAATTAAATCAGGAATATCTAATATTTCATCTTCTTCATCTAAATTAATCCATTTTAAATTTTCTTCATCATAAAACATATTACCTTGTTTTTTTCTTGGAATATTATTTATCTCCTTCTTTGTTATTAGAGATGGTTTTTTATCAAATTTAATTAATTCTTCTTCATTTCCTTCCCATTTATTTAAATTTTTATTAAATTTCATTGAATTTGAATTTATAATTTTTTCAGTTCTATAATTATTTAATTTTTTATTTGGATGATGATGATGTACAGTTTTGAATTCTTTGAACTTCTGAAGAACTTGATCTTTTGGAATTGGTGGATTATAAAATGAAGGTATTCGATCTAATTTCTTTTTAATCTTATTATTAAAATTAAATGAATTGAAATTTTTTAAGGTATGATTATTTTGTCTTAATGTTGGCATTGATTGTTCCGTTTTTAATTTACTTATTTTTTGAATACTTTGTTCTTCAAATCCATCTTCAAATAGTTCATTATCATCTCTTGATATTTCTATAGTTTGTTCATTTTCTAATTGATCTAATAAAGTTAAATTTTCATTTGTTAATTTTTGTATCCTTAGTGTTTGATTCGGATCTCGTTTATTTTGTAAATAATTTTGGTGATGTTGTTGTTGTTGTTGCCTTAGTTCATTTTCAGCATGTTTTTGTTGAGCTACTTTTCTAGCAATTAATCTTTGATTTAATTGTTGATATATACTTTGATTTTTATTAAAACATTCATCCCAACCTTCAAATTCATCAGAATTTTCTGAAGTTAAATCAGTATCATTTTCACTATATTCACTTAATCCATCTCTTGTTATTCTTTTACCACTTGATTTTGGAGATTGTGTAGATAATTGAAACAGTGGGGAATTATTTAGCTTTAGGTTATTCAACTTTAAAGTATTATAGTCTAAACATTCAATATCTCCAAATAGGTCATCTTCTGTGAATTTTTGGAGTAAGTCTTGTTTTGTCATTACTTTGGTAGTACTATATCATGGAGATTCTGTTTGCGTATGAGGTTTGTTGTTACTCTTTATTTGTGTATTTGTTCTGATCTAATCTAAATCTAAATAAACAGAAGTTTCTAAATCAAATACTCGTTGCTACCAATTCACGAGATTTGAAAATTCAATAACTTTGAAACACCCAAGATTATTTGATCTTTAAATAATGGTGGAAGGATGATTAAACAAAGGAATAATGAAAGTAGTAATACAAAAAGCAAGAAATATCTAACAACTTGTTTATTTCTTCTTTTTCTTTGCTTTTTGTTTAGAATTTTGAAATTAAATTTTCTACTTGGTTTCAACCAAAATAACATACTTGTATGTAATGAATCAATAAATGGTATAAATAAAATTGGAAACATAAAAAATAACAACATATGATTTAAAATAAAATCAAATGTAAATTTATTTAATTCTAAAATTTTTATAATTAATTCTCTTATATTTTGAGTAACAACTCTTATACCTAATCCACTTTTATACCATTTACCTGACCACCAAGCTTTATTTACTTCTTCTTGACGTTCTCTTGATACACAAGTTATTAATATGAAATTTGAAAATACTCTATGAAAACTAAAAATAACTAGCAATGCACCAACTAAATGTATAAAACTAAAATTTTCTAAAAAGAAAATAATTTCAATAATCAAAATATGAAATATAATTGCAAAAAAATGAGCCATTCCTGCAAAAAAAGCAGGTGTTTTTTTTATGCATAAACCAAATATAGGAGCCATGGTTAATGATAATGACCAAATTATGATTAACATTACTAAATTTATAACATATGGTGCAAATATTCCAATAGCTAATTTCAATAATGGATTTTTAAACAGTAATTCAAATAAGTTTGTATCTGAATGTAAAAATAAAAAAGGAATCAAATATAATATGAATGTAATTAATGGTATAATAACTTCACCAAATAATAAATTAAAAGTAGTTGTATTTCTTCCCAGTAAAAAACCTTCACATTTTTCTCCAGTTAATCTTGATCTACTAGATTTACAAAATTGAATCCATGAAGATTCTTTATATTTTGTATTACCTCTTGATAACCATCTTATAAAATCTCTATAATCAACAAAAAAATCAATAAAATTAAATTGATGAGGATTGAAAAAAAATGGAGCTAAACATAATGATAAAATAGTTATAACAAACCAAAGTAATGCTGATCTTTTAACTGTTAAAATTCCAAATAAAATTACTAAAAAAATTTCTGCACCATAATAAATTGATAGGTTAGCATATCTTGAATATAAATTTGCAAATGAAATTCTTGATATAGCAAATCCTCTACCTGTAGCAATATATTGAGCTTCTCCAAATACAAAATTATCTCTTAATGCTCTTGAATAAACTTGACATATAAATACTTCAAAAAATGGTGATAATGAAATTATATGTAAAACTATTCTAAAAATTGATCTTACAAAACCCTTTTCAATAAGTTCTTGAATAATTAATGGTAAAAATGATATAAAAAAGCAAACAAAAACAGATAAAACAAATCTATCAATCCAATTTAATACAGGTTTTAAATTATGACAACCTGGTTGATTTGTATCATCACATTCAATTGTTCCAAAATTTAATGAACCTAAATTAATAACTAAAAACATGAAAATTTTAACTGATAACATTATAGATAAATTATTAATATGAAAACCAGGATGAGCATAATAAAATGATAAAAATTTATCAATTGGTAATTTTGTACCTAAATAAAAATATTCTCTTGAAATTAATTGTTCACCCATACCACTTCCAATTTTTTTTGTAAAATTTACAATTGATTGAAACCCCAAATCACGACCTTTACCACATTGATAATAATCAAAATGTTTTATTCTACCACCTCTACAAGTAGCAGTAATACCAGCATATATGTCTTCATTTAAATGTAAACCTCTTTGAGCTTTTGAAATTCCACCTCTTGTAATCATAAATATACCATTTAAAAAATCAGGATGACCATAATGTAATTTTGAACCAATTTCTCCCATTGTTCTTGCAAATAAAGTACCAAAAGTTTGTTCTTTTCCTGCTGCTATATCTCCTAATATACCAATATTTTGTGAAAAAATAAATTCTCTTGTTCCAACAATTGCAACTGGTGAAATTTGCTGGTCATCAATAATTTCAATTTCTTCAAATTCACTTAATAAAGATTTAATTTTAAGACATTCTTCAATATAATTATCTTGATTTGAATCAATAACTTGAATATATTCACCTCTATAATATATTATTGCATTATTTTGATTATCTGATTTTCCATCTCCTAATATTGGATTTCCTGATAATCTAATTTTATATTTTTTATCATAATTTCCCTTACCATCTCTTTGAGAAACATCTAATAAAGTAGAAAAATATAAACCATTTTCTTCTTCTAATATTGCAACTTTTAAATTTGGATAATTTCTAAATAATGATTCTGAATCTTCTTTGAAATTTTCATTAAAATTTTGAAAATTTTGCATTGCAATTAATAAAGAAAATTTTCTATTTACAAATTCTTGTAATTCTTCTTCAATAAATAAATCATTTCCTATATCTAATCCAATATTTTCACTTCTATATAAAATTTTTAAAGCAGTTTCATAATTCATGAAACCAGAAACTGTACGATATAAAGTTTGACATCTTAATGCTGCCCAAATCCTTGTTCTTAAGATATTATCAGGTGATGAATCTTTAAATCCAATACAATAATAAGGTAAATCTTCATTCATTTCTTCTTCTAATTTATCTAAATTATAAATCATTTTACTATCTTGAACAAAAGATTTCCATTCATTTGGATGTAATTGTTTTAAATAATCTAATAAACTTAATTTTGAATAATTTTGTTCTTTAATTAAATCTTTTAATCCAATTAATATTTGTTCTGAATAATGTGGAATTAATACAGTAAAAGTTGGAATTGAAACTACTGGAAATGGCTCTGGTAATGGACTTGATAAAGATTGAGCAAAAAATGTAATTCTTCTTTCCCATTCTTCTTCAATTTTAATTATGGAATGAAATTTAAATGTATTATCATCTTCACTTACAAAAAATAATGGAGGATTTATAATATCTTCATCAGTTTCCTTTTGATATATTAATTTACTAACTTGTTCAACTGATAAAACATGTTCTCTGAACATAGATATTATAATACTATTCCATATTTGGGATATAACCAATATTAAATTTTGAGTATCACCATAATATATCTTGGTTAAAATTCTATCAGGTAATTTTGAAAAAATATTTCTCCAAGGTGTAAAAATTGAAACTCCTAATGAAAATGATAAACCAACTGAAAATAATACATTACATATGACATACCATAAATAAGTATCTAAAAAAAACAATATTAAATCATTAAAATAAAATAATATTAAAGTGAACTTTGGTTGAAATTGACACAAGAAATGACTTCCATTACAATTTAATTCTAAAGTTGATAAAATTTGAATTGGATCTTTTAATGATAAAATTAAAAAAAAATAACTTTCTGAAAATTTTGCAATGAAAACACCAATCCAAAGTGCAATTGAAAATAATCTTTGTCTCAATTTTAAATTTGGAAATGAATTTGTAAAAATCAGATTAAAGCTACCAGGAGGTATTGTGGATAAATAAAAAAATGTTAATATTGATAAACTTAACATTAATCCAGATATGATTTCTCCTTCATATGAATATCTATCCCATGGTTCAAACACCAAAACATAAACGATTGGTCCTGAATTGATTATAATTAATATCAAAAAAATTATTAAATTTTTGATATTATTTGTTTTTAAAAATAAAAATTCAGAAATGGCTGCAAAAAATGATATTAATGCAGCTAAAACACCACCAGCTGAAACTATTGATAATCTAATATGTAAAAAAGTTTCTGAATCTGGTTTAAAATTTGGTGTATATAATGATGGTGAATTGAAAGACATAAAATACCAAAAAACAGAAACATGAATTATCCAAATTCTACTAAAATTATTAAATACATGAATCCAAGTTCTTCTTTCTCTATAAGTTTTTGACATTGATTTTTTCCAATCTATAGATTGAATTTCATTAAATCTTTGATATTTATTTATCAGATATAATTTGGAACCATCAAATAATTTTAATTTATATAATCTCTTAGGACTCCAAAAATGTTGATTTATATCATCATATCCAATAGTTTGTGAATGATCAATTTCTTTTCTACACCATTTACTTTCAATTAAACAATATTGTTGATCTCTTAAAAATTTATATATGGGAGTTATAATTTTATCTAAATAATAAAATTTATTAAAATCGGGGCCATTATAATCTAATGCACATTGATAAATAAAACATAAAACTTCAGGCATAAATCTTATATTATTTGCTTCACCCCAAATTAATAAATATAAAGCGATTTGTTTAATAATTTCTTCATCATTTATATTATTAAATTTTGAATTCCAAATTTCCATATTAACACTTGTTTTCTTGATCTTAGCCTTTGATTTTGGTGTCCAATCTTCAATTTCATCATAAATATATTGTGCTGCAAAATACCATTTTTTAAAATTTGAATTTATACCACTTATATAATTTAAATGTAATGAATTTAAAGCTTCTTTACATGTCATTCTACTTGATCTTGAATCTAATTGAGTCATAAATAAATCAAATACATTTTTAACGTTATCATCTTGAAATCCAAATCGTGTAGATAATCTTGTAAAAATTGTTAATATATGTTCCATTGAAATTGTTGCTCCATTATCTTCACACCATGCTGGATATTGATTTGATTGGAAATCCATGTAAATTGTAAATTAAAAACACGTTATGATTTATTGAATAATGAGATCAAACCTTATTTGAAGTAAATTGATGGCGATAAGTTGAATCTGGATTGTCTTTGGTAATTGTTGCAAAAAAAAAAACTAGTATGGAAAGTATAAACAAAAAAATCGAAGAAAGATCTTCTTATGCTCTCAGCAGGATTCGAACCTACGATCTCCTCATTACTAGTGAGGTGCCTTACCAACTTGGCCATAAGAGCGCAATTTTTAGCAAATTTTTTTCAGGTGGTTTTATATACTGATTTGTAGTGCCCGATTTTTGAAACAAATTTACCTCAAGATACATTCCTAAAATTTTAAATTTCAATCAAAAATTACAAAAAAAGTTACCAATACTCAATTAAAATCATCTCAAACCAATGAGTAACCAGTGCTCGGGTAAAGAATCTATTTCGTGTTAACCATTACCTTAAATATCATTTTCACCTTAGACTGAGGTTTTTGGAATTTTGCATCAAACTTACAAAGAAAGTTTCAAGAGATAATAAGATTTTAATACACCTAACAATTTCAAGTAAGGGTTGATATTTTTAGCAAATCAGCCTGTAGATGTGTTGAATATCACTCAATTTCAAGTTATGCTTGTTTTTTCCATGAGTTGAAGAACGTTTTGAATATAAAAAATATGTTGATGGTTTCAAATGGTTGCAAAATTACGAGTTATAGTCTATTTATTAAGTTTTATTTTTTTTTGTGTGACGTAATCGAATTTCATGTTTTAAAAATAGCAAGTAATAATTAGTTTACATTGTTTGTATTACAACTGAACCATTTGGAATCAGAATAGTCCTTGTATCAACAAATAAATTTCAACTTAGGCAAAATGAAATATAGGAACACGTTAGAATTCAATGTCCAATGGTGTTACTGGTTAACACCGAATATCATAAAATTATAGTAAAATCTCAACAGCCGTTTATAGAATGTTTATTTTTAAATTTTTTTTAAGTTTTGTGATACTCTCTTTTTAATTGGAATCGTTTTCGAGGAAATTATAAGGAGAAGGAGAAGACGCAAATGGAGTAGTAAAAAACATTAATGGATTGAATTGATTACAATATCTCTTCAACACGTGAAACAAAACGAGGTCTTATTGCGAGAGTTTTATTGTCCTTAGACCAAAGTAATTAATTTTTTGTACCTTTATACTTCTATAATTTTGTGTTTCAAACTAGAAAAAAGAGCAAAAACCAGTTTCACTTGAAAAATAAAAAAAGAAAAGCAAACAGACCAAAATTAAATAAATTTCTTCTTATAACTACATTCATTTATAGTTTTTCTATCGTTTTACATATCCACAAACTCAATTGAATTGCAAAATGAGTTATAACAACAGTAACTACCCCCCACCTAATTATCCACCACCTAATGAACCAAATTATAAACATCATCAACAACAACAAGGTCATAATCAAGATAATACTTATTATGTACAACCAGATATGGAAAGAATGAATGATTCAAGCAATCCAAATAATTATGAAAAACCTCCACAATCACAAGATTTTGATCAAAGTTTTAAAATTGATAAACCAAGATTTAATGATTGGTATTTTACAATATTTTTCATATTGGTTCTTGCTGGATTTATTGCTATAGCAGGAATTGTTTTAAATGCCTTAAGAGCTACTTATAGTGATCAAGGTAGTGGAATTTATGGATCTTCTGATTCTTTTACAATGAATAGAAATACCGTTATATTATTCGCTTTTATATTAGTTTTATCAATTGTTTTATCAGCTTTAGGTATTGCATTTATAAGATCTTATGGGAAATTATTTATTTATATTTCTTGTGTTTTAAATGTGGTTTTCTCAATTGGTACTGCTATTTTTTATTTTGTTGAACATTATTATAGTGCAGCAATTGTATTTTTAATATTTGGATTATTTGCTGCTTATTGTTATTGGAGAGCAAGAAGTAGAATTCCATTGAGTGCAACTGTATTAAGAATTGTTATTGATGTTATGAGACATTATCCTTCAACCCTTGTGACTGCATTTTTTGGTTTAATTTTAAGTGCAGGTTTTGGTGCAATTTTTAGTTTTGTTATTGTTGGTACTTATGTGAAATTTAAACCAAATGAAAATAATACTGGTTGTGAAGTTGGTGGAGGTAATTGTAGTCAAGCAAAATTAGTTGGTATATTAATATTTGTATTTTTTGCAGGATATTATATTTCAGAAGTTATAAAGAATACAATTCATGTTGTTATAAGTGGAATATATGGTACTTGGTATTATCTTAGTAATAGTGATCAAGGAGCACCAAAACATCCTGCATTATCATCATTGAAAAGAGCTTTAACTTATTGTTTTGGAAGTATTTGTATGGGTTCATTATTAGAAGCTATAATTCAATTAATTAGACAATTAATAAATATTGCAAGATCACAAGTTGATTCATGGGCTGGTCAATGTGGTTTAATCATATTAAATTTTATTGTTGGAATAATTGATTGGTTAGTACAATATTTTAATAAATATGCTTATTGTTATGTTGCATTATATGGAAAATCATATGTTAGATCAGCAAAAGATACTTTTGATTTATTAAGATTTAAAGGTATGGATGTTTTAGTTAATGATATGTTTATAAATGTTGCATTAAATTTTTATTCATTATTTGTTGCATATTTAAGTTCATTATTAGCTTATTTATATTTAAAATTTACAAAACCTGGTTATAATCAAGATGGTAATTATTATGCACCAATAGTTGCTTTTACTTTCCTTATATCAATGCAAATTTGTCGTATTACATTAAGTGTTATAACTTCTGGAGTTGCTACTTTCATGGTTTGTTTAGCAAAAGATCCTGAAATTTTACAAATGTCTCAAAGAGATGAATTATTTAATGAAATTCAAAAAAATTATCCTCAAGTTTATGAAAAAATCACAACAAATCATTAATCTTTGATTATAATAAACAATAATATAAATTGTTTAAGAACTTTTTAATTTAATAAACATTTAATTTTATTATTAAACGAGATGTAGATTTTAGTCGATTCCGTCTGTTGTAGTATTAGAAATTTGAAACGTCCTTTTTGGTAGCAACATTCTCGACCATTTTGAGTCGGAATTTGATACTGTAAATTTAAACAATCTTAGCTTTAAACAACTAACCAAGCTCTTTCCAAATCCAATTAATCATAACACACACCTACAAATGTTAACATTAGCAATTGGTGATCTATTTATACCAGAAAGAACAATAGATTTACCTCCAAAATTTAAAAAACTACTAGCACCAAATCCAAATAATTATCCATCAAATCCAAAAATTAATAAAGTATTATGTTTAGGTAATATAACAAATTCTTCCAAGCTTCTAAAATTCTTGTATGATATATCATTAGATTTTCAATTAACAAAAGGAGAATTTGATAATCCAAATATAATATCTCAACAATTACAATTTTTAATACCTACTTCCAAAAATAAAAAGAATGAATTACCTCAAATACCAATGTATAATAAATTTAATCATGATAATTTAAAAATTGGATATACAAATGGTTATCAAATTGTACCAAGAGGTGATCCATTACAATTAAGTAGTATAGCAAGAGAATTAGATGTTGATATTTTAATTTGGGGTGGAACTCATAGAGTTGAAGCTTATACTTTAGATGGGAAATTTTTTATAAATCCTGGTAGTGGAACAGGAGCTTTTAGTTTAGATTGGCCAGAATTAGACGATGAAGAGGAAGAGGATATAGAGAGAGAAGAGGAAGTAAAAAAGGAAAGTTCAAAAGAAGATTCAAAAGAAAAAGGAGAGACCAAATCAAATGAGGATACTGAGGAAGAATCAAAAGATGAACCAAAACAAACAGAAGAAGATTTAGAAAAAGCCAGAGAAGAAAAAGAAAAAGAAATACTTTTTGAAGTAACAGAAATGAATACAAATATTCCATCTTTTTGTCTACTAGATACAAATGGTTCAACATGTATTCTTTACATTTATACATATTTTAATAATGAAGTAAAAGTAGATAAAGTTACATATTCAAGGGAATAAACGTTAAGTAATTAATTAAATGAAATGATTAATGATTATCAATTAAGCTTGTACAGAACTATAATGTAATACAAATTCTTTTCTAATTTTTTCCCAATTATGAGGATCAAAAAATATATAAACTCCTTTTTCAACATCTTGACCAATTAATATAGGTTCAACATTACTATCTTTAGTTAACCATACTTGAATATCTTTATGATATCTCCAATTTCTTGCAACTAATTCTCTTGCTGCATATTCTTGTAAAGTATCTCTTGGTTTCATATAAAATATATAAAATAATGTTTCATCAGTAAATTGTTGAATTTTAGAATCACTTGTATTTAAATTGTTATTATTTATTGATTTATTTTGTAAATATAATGGAATTTTAAAATAAGGTTCAACTTCACTTCTTGAAGTTTCAGACCATGGACTTGATAAATTTTTTAAAATTTCAACATTTTTTGATAAATCTAATCCACATTTACTTATATCTTGACCTATTGCAAAACTAACAAAATCTGATTGTTCCATTCGAACTAATGATGATAATCCTTTTAATCCATATTTACCTAATTCATCAGTTTCATTCGGTAGACTTTGATTTTGTTGTTGTTGTTGTTGTGAGGAAGAAGTTGTGGAAGATGTTTGATGTATCGATGAATGTGGTAGATTTGTATTTGACGTCGTCGTCGTCGTCGTCGGTATCGAGCTAGAAGTTGTAATTGTCATTGTTTTGGTTGTTGTAGTTGGTGATATTAACTTGAATAATTTTTTTCCCACACTAAATCAATCTGTTTCAAATTATTTTGGTTTGCAAAAAAATATAATCTTTTAGCAACAACCATCATCATCATCATCACCACCAACAAACAAACCATACAGACAACAAACAAACAAACCATACAGACAAAAATGTCAAGAAGATACGAACCAAACATTATAATAACAGGTACACCAGGATGTGGAAAATCATCTCATTCACAATCATTAGTAGATCAATTAAATCATGATTTAAAAGATTTAACCACTCAATTTAAACATTTTAATATAAGTGAATTAGCAAAAGAAAGAGATTTAATAGAATCATATGATAAAAAATTAGATACTAGTATTATAGATGAAGATAAATTATTAGATTCTTTAGAAGAAGATTTATGTAAAGGTGGTATTATAATAGATTGGCATTGTTGTGATTTATTTCCTGAAAGATTAATTGATTTAGTAATAGTGTTAAGATGTAATAATAGTAAACTTTATGATAGATTAACTAAAAGAAAATATAAAGATAACAAGATTCAAGAAAATTTAGATTGTGAAATAATGGATGTTATAATAAATGAAGCAAGATCAAGTTATATCCAAGATATTGTAATTGAATTAAAAAGTGATGAAGTTGAAGAAATGGAAGAAAATGTTGATAGAATAAATTCATGGGTTAAAAATTGGTTAAAAGATCATCCAAAGGGTGTAAGTAATGAATTACCTGAAATAAATTCAAATGGAGATGTAATAAATCATGAAGATGATGATGTAGATGATGAATATGATGATGATGATGAAGTAGATCAAGATCAAAATCAACCATATGGAGAATTTAATGAAGGAGATGATCCAAATGAAGACTTTGTTAGTCATAATGAATCAGAATATCCAGATGAAAATTATGATGAAAAAGATAATATAGAAGATTCAGCTGTTAATGTAAAAAAAGATCCAGCTGAAGTTGAAGAAGGGTTAAGCAATGAACAAAAATATGAATTAGAACAAGGTCAGCAAGATGAAAATGAAGAATATTTAGATGATGAAGAAGAGACAAATAATGCAATGGAACATGATGAAGATATAGCACAATAATAAATAATAAATTATAGACACTGAAGTATTGATACACTTTTTTAATGAGAAAACCCAGGATCGAGATATTCATTTTTTCTTATCAACCCCACCTTCTTCAAATAAATCAACAAATTTTTGAACTTTTCCAACTTTAATAAATTTAAATTTTTTATTTTGTTTAATATATGTTGGAATAGTTGAAGAATCAGAATTATAAGCATATTCTAATCCATATTTTTCATCTGTATTTATCATTGAAACTGAATGAGTTGATGACATTCTTGATATTGATTTTCTTTCTTTTGTTGGTGATGTAAATGATGGTTGATTTGATAGTTTAAATTTATTTGAAGATTCTTGAGTATTTTCTAAATTAAAATGTTGTTTGTTATTATTATTATTTTTGATTGGTGATGAAGATATAAATTTTTCAGGTGATAATTCATTATAATAATCATCATTTTCTTCAAATGATACTTCTACTAGGTCATCTAAATGTATATGATGATCTGATGATGGAGTTATAGGTGATTGTCTAGATGATTGTTTTGATAACCCCGCGTGATCTTTAAATTTATCTTCAAGATGTAATTCTTCAATTTCAAGATCTTCATCTTCATCATCATCATCATTATGTCGGAGATTACTTATGTTTTTTATAAATGATTTATTTGAATTGATAGATTTTTCTTCTGTACTTACCTCACTAAATCTTCTTTTAAATTCATCAATTAATGTTTCATTTGATATTAGTGTCTCTATTTTGTAATTATCATAATCGTCACTATAATTTATCTCATCATTATCCAAAGTACTATCACTTACGTCTAGTAAATTATTCTCGAGATATTGTTCCTTTGTTGAATTTTCTGTGCTGGAGTTATAATAATGTAGAGTATATTTTTTTAAATTTTGTAAAATATTGTTGTTCAGTTCAAAGCTTTTCAATATTTGATATTGTTCATCATCTTCGAAATCAATTTCATTTTCATTTATTTCTCTTATGATTAATTTAAATTTGATTATAAATATATCGTTTGTGGTTAATGCATGAGGATATATTTGTTTATTCAATTTATTCTTTTCAGTTATTATATCATTTAAAAAATTGGAATTCTTGAAGCTTTGCCTTACGATTAAATTACTTGCTAGCAAATTCTGATTCAAATTTGATGATTGAGCAATAGATATCATTTTCTTATTTAAACATATTTTTAAATTATTTGATCCTTTTTGTATAAGCGAGTTTAGTTTTAAATTTAAATTTATTGATGTTTGACATTTGTTGCTGTTTATATTTGAATTCTTATATTTTGATTTTGCTATTGAATATACTAAATTAGCTAATTTTTTGGGTATATCAGAAGAATGTATGAAATTTGGTTTAATTCTATCATCAAAATAATTTATTGATGAAGTTTGACCCGTGGTATCAAAAGTCATTTTTTTAATATTTTACTTTTGAAGATGAAACACTTTATGAAACAAATTGTTTTGATTTTCTATTAAACGGACTTAAATTGATGTAAAATTTAACAAGTTTTTCAAATTTATTTATTATTTAAAGGTTGTCTTGACAACGAGGGAAAGTATAATTGGGTGAAAAAAATATGATTTTTATGCTAGTTCTGAGTTGTAGTTTGAGTGTAATTTTTAGCTTTGATGACTCTAGTAGTTGAAGATAGGCCAATATATGATATAGCTATTCAAGTTTTTCTTATCTTTGACTTTAAATGATCGTATAACTTGTAAGTTGTGATATGTTTTGTTTTCGTTTTGTAATTCCAATTTTTAAAATTTAAATTTTTTTTTTTTTTTTTTTTTCTGTTTAAGTTTAATTTCAAAACAATAGATTTTGTATGAGAGAGAATGAATGATGAAGTATTTTAAGACACACTTATGTATCAAAGACAGCTACTTATGAAGAGCATGATGGAGGTTGTTAGAACATTGCATAAATGTACTTCCTCTTTGTCAAATTTTTATTTTCTCTTTGTTGTTACAAGAGAAGTTTCATGTGTGTTCATATTGTGCAATAATCATAACCTATTAAAGATTTAATGTCGTAAATTATTTTATCAATTGGACATTGATATTTTTTTGTCACACAAGCTACCAAGTTACGAATAATGAATTTGATCTAAATATGGCTACGATCTTATTTTTCATAAATTGATTCCTAATACTCAATGCAATGTCATCTTATTATTTTGTTATAATAGGGACAGAAGATAATCCAATTTATGAAACAGAACTATCATCATCATCAAATAAAGGAGTTACATCATCTTCCAATTCATTAATAAATAATTCATCAAAATTAAATAATTCAAATAATTTACAACAACAACAATCAAATTTCCCACCATCAACAAGAGAAATATTACCATTTATAGCAAATGCAAGTTTAGATTTAATTGAAGATCAAATGTGGTCAACTCAATTATTAAATTTAGGTAAAATAGATCAATTTTATGGTATATATATAAATGCATATTTAACACAAGGTAATATAAAATTTATATTATGTCATAATAATTCTAACAAGGATGAAAATTCAATAAAACTGTTTTTTCAAGATATAAATGAATTATATGTTAAAATTTTAATGAATCCTTTTTATAATTTAAATGATTCTATAACATTACCTGATTTTGATTTAAAAGTTAAATTATTAGCAAAAAAATTTCTATGATAGACTAGCAGATTCAAAAAGTTTTATATTAACAGTTGTTCATTAAATTATATACAAGATTATTTGGACTCTTCTTCAGAAGAAGGAGGAGGATTATCTAAAACTTTTTTAGTTTCAATTTTATAATTTCCATTTCCTTCATCAACAATTATACCTTGATTCTTTAAAGTATCAAACATATCTTGAGGTATCCAACCACCAGTAGCATTGAAAGGACTTGAAACAGTTTCTAATTGATAATCACTTAAATCAGATTGATGTTTATCTAAATAATTTTCATCATATTGAATTGGAAAATTTGAATTTGAATTTTTGTTGTTAACTAATTCATTAGCAACATAAGTATCCCACATTGCCTGTAATTGAATTATTGAACCTTCAACATATAAATAATCCTTGGGGTTTTTCAAATCTAAAGCTTGTAAATAAGGAGATTTTAAAATTTTTAAATGAGGTGAAGCAATTGCAATTAAATTATGTTTATTTTTATTTAATTCAATTTCCCAAATTCTTTCATTTCTTGTTTTATAATACATAAATTCATATTGTTGTTTTTCCATTGGATCCATATGTTCAAATTCAGGAATATCTTCTTTTAAATCATAAATTTTTGCACCATTATAAGCAATAAAATTTGGATAATTATTTAATATAAATGGTTTAATTGTTGAATTTTCAAAATCAATGAAATAATATTCTTTATTAGGTGTTTCAATTACGTTTAATGGATCTAAATCTGGAATATATAATCTTGGTTTAAATAAATCTTCAACATTTCTAATAGATTTAGATTTTGAATTAATTAATGATGGAGTTATCTTTTTTAAATGTTCAAAAGTTTTAATTTGATTTTGTAATAATTCCTTTGATTCTGTTACATCACCACCTGATTCAGATTCTAATAATGATAATTTATGTTTAGCATTTTCTAATTCAATTTCAGAAACTGATTCCATTAAACTTATTGGATTTGAAGCATCCCATGGACCATTATATTGATTAATAATCTTTTGTGATAATTTATTCTTATCTTTTGTGAAAATTTTTTCAACACTTGGACCAATTCTCCATCTATTTTTTAAGCGATCATCTGTTTCATCATTATATGGTAATTTTGATTGTAAAATTGGTTCAACATCATTAAAAAAATATAATGAACCAAATTGATTAAAAGTAATATTTAAAATATTGTCTTGAAATTTTGCAATTGGATTTATAACTTCTTTTAATTTTTTATCAGTTTCTGAAGAATCTGGATCTAATGGATGCCATTTTTTCATTAATAAATCTCCTTCAATAGATTCTTGTATTATAAATGGTGATTCAATAATATTTGATTTAGAAGGTGAATATGCTAAAATTTTAGGAACTTTTAAATTTAATTTTAAATTTAAAAAATCACTAGTTGCTACTTCACTTTTAATTTTTGATGCTATGGATTCATCTGAATCTAATTTATATGGAATTCTTAAAATTAAATTTTTTCCAGTATTTAAATTAATTTTATAAATTCTATGATGTTTACCTTCATGAATGGAAGCAATTGATTTAACAGATATTTTTTCATTAGTTTCTCCTAATAAATCCTTATTCGAATTATTTTCTAAAATGTATATTCCTTTATTTTCTTTTGGTTGTGTCAAAGTATCAGTTTCTTTTACTTTTAAATCATTGAAAAAAGAAGTTAATCCTTCAATTGAAAATTTAGTTTGACGTTGTTGTTTCTTTAAATTATCATTTTTCAACCATGAACCCCAACTATATTGAAAAAATGGATTTCTTTGAGGATCTTTTGAATCTGATAATTTTGTATAAATTTCTTTAGGTTGAGATGGAATTGAAGGACCTTCTGTTGCATATTGTCGATAAAAAATTGATGAACCTTCTGAAGCTCTAACAATTGATCTCGAGCTTGACTTTAAGCATGATCTTACTGTTTTAGACAACATATCCAAATGAGTTAAAGTGCTTGTTTGAAAAAGTTGCAACCAAAGTTCGTCTCAAAATTTAGAGAAATCTAGAAAATAAAAAAAAAATATAATGAAGCTCCACGTGATAAGTCACATGACACACTTATATCGTTAATCATCTATTTGAATGCTATTACTATTATTACTACTTTCTGGATAAATTGAAGTTTGATGTAGACTTATTATACTTGCATTATTACTATCATTAGACCTAATATCGCCAAAAGCAGTCTCACTAGCATCATCATTATTTTGTTGAGATTGTAAAGTTTGATGCTGATTTAAATGTGACCTCGTGGAAGGTTGATGATAATATTGAGGGTTATTATTAATTAAATTTGTAGTATATTGATTTAATGTACTATTACGATATAATCTTCTTCCTTCTATTCCATCTTTAGTAGCTGTAGTTGATAAACATGAAGTTGATGAATTTTGTGATAATGGTCTTAAAAATGGATCACTTAAATAATTATTTGAACTATGTTGATCAATTGATGAATTATCATCCATTAATAAATTATGTCTTTGATTTAAATCTGCATCATCATTATCTTCATCTTCATCATCATCATCTTGAAATAAATTATCCTGATAACTTGAATTCGTTGAAACTAATGAAATATTTGTCTCGATAAACTTTGAATTATTTATTGGTTTTGTTAATTTTGTATGTTCCAAATGTTTCAAATTTTGTTCCGTAATATCAGTTGGTCTTAACGCTGGTTCAGTTTGATTCATTTTCTTCTTACTTTTCTCTTTTTCTTTAGAACTATCAGACATAAATGATTGAGAATTTACTTGCAGTTTATATTAAAAAATCTAATGTATTGCAATTTTAGATGTTAAATATATGTAACATGAAATTTTATAGCAAGTGTAGAATATAAATGTTAGAATTAATACTTCGACAAACGTTGCAGAATTTTGGTCAAACACTTCAAGAATAGTTTTCTTGAAATTTTTTTAACTGAAGTGCATATTATTATTTATTATACATCATACATGGTATTTACTAAGTTTAGACGTGATGATATTCAAAAAACAATAATCATTATCATTTCATCACCCCACATTATAATTTTACCAATACTGCATATAAGTAAATATTGATTGTACCTTAAATTTTGGACAAGACACACTTCTGAAACATGATCGAAGTGAAAAACCTATTGTCCCAATTTTCACGATTAAAACACTTTATTAGCAAGGTTTAACTCTCGAAACCATACATATATTGGCTATCAATGTATAAGTCATTCGAGTGCACATTCAAGATTTCATGGTATGAAGAAGAAGCACCCAATAATTCCTTTGAAATTTCATCCATAAATGTTTGACCATCAGCAGTTAGCGTTATTTCAAGTAATTTATTTTCTATATTTTTAAAAATATCAGAACATTTCTTTGCAACAATCCATTGTTTACCAAAAGCTTGAAAAATTTCAATACAATATGAAATTTCAATTTTTGATTCCAATAAATCTATTGACCATTGACATAAGCAATATAAAATTGTTGTACCAACCATTAAAAATCGATATAATGTAGTCCAATTAAGCGGAAGCAGTTTATTTTTAAATAAAACAAAATTTGATGATAATGTTTGTAAACATGCTTTTCCCAAAGTATCTAAAATACTTTGCAGTGGATGAGGATTTAAATATGAAGGTCGATATAATAAAATTAATAAATGATTATATCTTGCTGTAAACCACGGAATTGAAGCTCTAAAAGCTAAAGATTGTTTTGGTTTTTGTATAGTATTTTCTAATTCATTTGCTTTTGCATGCCATTTTTCAATTTCTTCTCTTAATTCTGTTAAAATTTTTTCACAATATTCTTCTTTTGTAATTACTGTACTATCAAATTGTTTACTTAAATTTACTGAATGAACTTTTTTTAATATTTGACCTTCAATTTGTCTTAAATGAATGACTAATCGGTAAGTAGTTATATCATCCAATTCTTCGTCATCTAATATTTCTGGTAATGGTAAATTTATATCATCATCATGTAATGCAACTGGTCTACCTAATGTTACAGATGTTAATCTGTCAATAGTATATACCGACCAAAAAAGTCTAGTTCTCATTTCAGTTTGTCTAGAACCCAAATTTTCAGCTTCTTGTTTAGATAAAGCTTGATTTAAACCTAATTGTATAGCCATTCTAGCTAATTTACCAGCAATTTCCCACGATATAAATTCAGCCGGATTGAAAAAGGAATATAATGCTAAAAGCATTAAATTTCTCATACTATTTACATCATTTTTTGAAATATTATTATGAACACTTGTTAAAGCCATTGAAACAAAATATTCTGAAATTCTTTTATCTCTTGTTATAATTTCTGATCTTTCTAAATGAATAGATCCAATAGCTAATACCATATATAAAACATATTGATCATCAAATTCATCTAATGATGCAACTCCAGTTCTTGAATCAAATAAATTATTAAATTTAATCATAAATTCATTTTTATTTATAACTGGACAAATTCTATAAGTATGCATAAAAAATGCATTTGTTATTCTTGTCAATAATACTTGATCAACTATAGGTGGAATTATACTTACATTTGAATTTGTTTTTATACCTACTGCTCCATATAACACTTTTGAAATTTGTTTTGGATATGCTTCAAAATTCGGTGCTCTTGCATCAATTGAATTTAAGATAGGAGGAGGGGTTGGTAATGCTTGGCTGTAAGACGATTGTGAAGGTGAAGTTGATTGACGTTGATTTTGATCTTCCTTTGATTCTTGTTCCTGATGATGCTGCTGCTGATTTTCTTGCTGTTGTTGTAGATGTATTTGTTGTTGCTGTAATTGTTGTTGTTGTCGCTGAACCTCTTGGTCTTGTTGCTGGTGATATCGTTCATGATAATCTTGATTTTGCTGGTCTTGTTGCTTTTGTTCGATCACTCGCTCTTGTGGCTGCTGCTGTTGCTGTAGTGGTTGCAGTTGTTGTTGTGATCTTACCGACAGTAGAGCTTGTGTTGTTGATGGTTGAAGTAATGTTGATCTTGTATCTGAATGTAATGGTTCAATATTTCCATAAGTTAATGGAAAATTGTTTATTTGTTGAGAATATCTATTTGGTGAAAATTGATCATTGACATGATTAACAGTTGAATTTTCCAGTAAACTAGGACTTGCAGTATCAAAACTCATAGTTGGAGATCTTGAATTTAAAATACTACGGGGTATGTTTGGTCCATTATTAATATTATTAACATTTTTATTATTAAACCCATTCCCATTGATTAAATTCTCTTGAATCTTTTCTTTCTTAGTCATTCTTGGTTTCCTTGGAATATATTGACATTCTTCACCTGCTTTATCACAATTTGTACATTCCGGTTTTGTTTTACTACATTTTTTTTTCAATTTTCTACATCGTAAACAACTTGTTAATTTAAGTTCTTCTTTAAATTCATCGGACATTAAATTGGAATTACCATTCAGTTGTGAATGTTTCTTGACTCTGAATTTTGTAATGTTTGCGTCTGACATTTCTTTGACGTTTGTCGTAGTAGGAATCTCGGAGTTGGTGACGGTTATAAACATGAAAGTGGTACAGAAGAATTATATTTTATATTTCCTACAAACTAAAATAAATTATTAGATCACTCATCCACCTCTCAAAATGAAATTACCTTTTGAAATCAGCACACACTCAAAACTATCAACCAAGTCAAAAAGCTTATCAATGATATAACGCTTCAACTTGTAGTTTAACGGCTAGAGTCTTCATTGGTGTATCTTTTTGAATGAAATGACTATCGTCAGGCCTCAGTCTGTAATAACGAGCTGATCGCTCATATTTTCTGTAATTCATTATCACCTTGTACATTTGTGGTTTAGTTAGTTGATTTTTAAAAATATTACTGTTTTGAGAGGTGGGAGATTGGTACGATCTATAAAATCAAAATACTCTTGTAAACAAAATTATTATTTTTCCTTTCAAATCGGTATTAAAATCGGAATTTTAAACAACTGCGGAATTATAATAATTCGGAATCGAAATCTTGATTTTTTTCAAGTGGAATAATAATATTATCTTACGATATTTCTTATACTTTTGTCATTGAACTCAGACTACATCACCAATGGAAAATGACCAAGAATCAGCCAAGATATAGTAAGATTGCTATTATTGGTGGAGGCCCATCAGGTTTAGCTGCTGCAAAAGCATTAGCTTTAGAACCTTTTGAATTTGAAACTATAGATTTACATGAAAGAAGAGATAAATTAGGTGGATTATGGTATCATAAAGGAAATAAATCATTAATTCATTCTCAAATACCAAATCTAAATCCAAATAATCATGAAATTATTGATGATGGAGCTACTAAACAAGATAAATTTTTTTCAGCAATTTATAAATTTATGGAAACTAATATTATTCATAGATTAATGCAATATAATGAAGTACCTTTTCCTCCAAAAACTGCAAATTATCCTAAAAGACAATTAGTATTTGATTATCTTGAAAATTATAATCAATCAATACCGAATAAAATTAATGTAAGGTTGAATTCAGATATTACAGAATTGAAAAAAGTAGATAATGAATGGCATCTAGTTAGCAATGATAAAGTCAACAAATATGATGCTATAGTTCTAGCGAATGGACATTTTAATACTCCATTTATACCTGAAGTAAAAGGTTTAACAAATTGGAATATAAATAAACCCAAAACAATTTTACATTCAAAATATTTTGAAGATCCAAATTCTTATAGAGATAAAACTGTTTTAATAATAGGTAATTCAGCAAGTGGAGTTGATATATCAACACAAATTAGTACTGTTGCTAAAAAAGTTATAGTTTCAGTTCGTGATTTATCTAATTTAGATTTTGAAAATGATTTAATAAAATATATTGGATTAATTGAAGAATATAATTGGGAAAATTCATCAGTTGAAACAAAAGATGAAATTATTGAAGGAATTGATTATGTGATATTTTGTACTGGATATTTATATAGTTTCCCATTCATAAAATCAGACTCAGTTATTACTAATGGACGTATAGTTTATAATTTGTATAAACAAATTTTTAATATTTTTGATCCATCAATTTCATATGTTGGATTAGGTAAAAATATTGTTCCTATGCCATTAGGAGAATCTCAATCAGCTTTAATTGCAAGAGTATATAGTGGAAGATATGATTTACCAACTACTCAGGAAATGAAAGAATCATATGAACAAGAATTAGACGAAAAGGGAGAATCTAAATTTCATGTTTTTGGATTTCCAAAAGATTATGAATATGGAAAACATTTACAAGAATTAATTGATTCTAGAGATTTAAGACATCCTGGATTAGTAGCTCCAATTTGGGATGAACAACTTATAGAAGATAGACTGGAAAGTAAAGAAGCTAAAAATAAAAGATTACAAGAGTTGGTAAAACATGTAAAAAAATTGAGATCTGAAGGAAAAGATTTTGAATTATTAGACAATTAGATTATTAATAGATATGATTGAATTATGAGTAATTACAACTACTCAGATTGGATCTGCCCATCTGGTACCACTCGTTTAAAAATGACTTTTCAACCCCACATTATTTGTGTCTTACTCCTTAATTGTCGCACTTAATTTTTGACTTAAACATTTTTTTTTTTTGCAACACTTTTCTGAAACATTTAATTATACATCACAATCAATTCAAATATTTTTACAACCACCACCTTTACTACTACTTAATTGACACATTGAACGTATAACTACCATAAAAAATGCAGCTTCAACTACAAAAACAAGCAATTACACAACAACAATCACAATTATTAATTCATGAATTAATAAGTGTTTCAATAAATTGTATAACATTTTTAAGAAATATATTTAATGATAATAATTACATTGATACAAAATATTATGGTGATAAAGACTCACAGACTAATTATATAAGAACTAAAAAATTAATATTTGGAGTTAGTGAATTAGGTGATAAAATGATAAAATATATTGATGAAGGTATAAAAGATGCTATATTAAAAGAATATTTAAAAGCTATACAATTTTCAATTCAAACTTTTAAAGGTGAATCAAGTAATGTTGTTGAAAGTTATGTTTTTGGAATTGATTATAAAAATAAACAAATTAATTTATCTAATAATAATTCTTCAAAATTTACAACAACTTTTACTGAAGATGATGATTTAGATTATAATACAATATTAAGTAAAATTCAAAATTTAATTAGAAAATTAATTTTATTAACTCAATCTTTTAATAATTTACCAAAAAAGAAAGAAATATCAATTAGATTATTATTTAATGATTCTTGTCCAAAAGATTATCAACCTCCTTATTTTCAAGATGCTTCAGATTTACCACCAAATTTAATTAAAATTGATGATGAAGAAGAAGATGAAAATGAAAATATAAATGATTTAGGTTCAGTCAAAACAGGTAAACATGATATTAATCTAAGAGTATTTGTTGAAAGTAAAAAATCAAATGAAATAAATCAAAAAACTATTGATCCATTTACTTTATTTATTAATGATGATGAATACGATTTTGATGTTAATCAATTAGAACCATTAGATGATATACCTCCATCTTCATTAAGATTAGATAGTTATATGAATTCAAATAATGATCAAGAAACAGGATTAACTCAAAAATTAACTAATATAACTACTAATTCAACTACCAGTAATTCATTAAATTGTAAAAAATGTTTAAAAGAATTAAATTATATTGAATATGGATATGATGAACCGACTAATAGATCAATTTTATGTTTTAATTGTTTAATTCCTGAAAATAATATATATTTAAAAATATTAATGAAAATTAGATTATTTTGGGATTATTTCTTAAAAAATGAAATTCAAATTGATGATGAATTGATGAAATTTTTTAAATTGGATTTGGTTCATGATTTGGAAATTATTAAAGGAATTTTTAATTGGTTTTTTAAAAATCTGATATTAATTACAACAAATGAAACTCATATTAAAATTAATTCATCAAGTTATGTTAAAGGTTGTGGTACAATAGTCCCAATGATTGAAGGTTTGAAAAATCAAATTGGCAATGAATTAAAAAAAGGTAATTTATATAACATTTCATTTATTCCAATTTTAAAATTAGAATATCCTTTTTATTCTTATGATTCAAATATTGATAAATTAATTTATCCAAATTATAAAGTTTTAAAACCTAATTTTGTTAGAAATCAAATTAATAAAATCAAATCATCATTAGAAGAATTTAATGAATTTAGTCAATCAAATACTATTATTCCTGATTCTCAACCATTATCTGGTATTTTATCTTCAAAATTTCAAAATAAAAGAATTAAACCAATTATTGAAGTATCTGAACCTAGTGATAATGATGAAGATAACAATGAAGAAGATAATGAAGAAGATGAAGATGAAAATGATATAACTAAAAATGAAAATGAACCATTTAGTTTACCATATGATGGAACTTCATTTGCTGATTCAATTGATTATTTATCTCAAGGTACATCAAAATTAAGTAATGATACTCCCAAAAAAAGAATAAATGAAAATATAATTGATAAAAGGGAATCAATTAAAAGAAGAAAAATTAGTGTAAATGTATAATCTAAAACAAAAAAAATAAATCTATTTCTCTTGCAAACTTGATTGTCTTTGTTCAGCCTAAAACTAAAAAAGGAAAAAAAAAAGAAACAATTAAAATCAAATATGCTTCCACCGAGGTTCGAACTCGGGTCGTAAGATAGCTCTCGATTTAACTACTGTGAAGTAACTATATCGTATGAGACTTAAATTCTGCCACTAAACTATGGAAGCTACGGAAGACATTACCAGTCGGACAACCAACTGTTTTTCATACAAAAATTAAGCTAGGTTAAATCAGTAAAATTTATGCATGACCAAAAAAATTTAAAACTTAATGCGAATTTTTCTTATTTACGTCGAAAAAATTTAAAAATTATTCCTACTCATTCAAATGTTAATTAAAACCTTGGGAAAAATTCAAATTTTTGGATAGAGATGAGAATTACAAATAATCGTCAGCATCGAAAGAGTTTTAAAGATCCAATAGTCTAATTAATAAGTAGTTAATTCAGAAATGAAAAAGATTTAAGAAAATTTTTTGAGTTTTTTGCAAAAATTTTGTTTAAAAATTTTACTTTTTGAAATGTCGAAATAATAATAATTTTATCAGGAAAGTAAAAACTATAACAAGAAATGGAATAGAGAATCAAATAATTCCAATAAATCTAGATCAAAGAATTCAAATATTATTTTAAATAATGATGACTCAGATAGTGAATTTGAAGAAGCTGGTACTCAAAATGTGAGGCCTAGCCAACAAAAGAAAAAACATAATCATTATTGATTCAGGATCTTATACTAGTATTTTTAACAATCCGGATATTATTCATGATCGTACTAGTATCTTTAACAATCCGGATATTATTCATCGATCATGAATAATATCCGGATTGTTAAAGATACTAGTATAAGATCTTGAATTGGAAACATATGAAGATTATTGTTACGCCACTAGCAATATTGAAATTAACACAACAGGTAGAGGGAGTTTGCTCATGATTATTTTAACAACCTTCAATTGGTTCTTTAGTTCAGGGATCAGCATTTGCTTCTACTTCTTCATCCAATGGTACTTCAGCTTCTTCGTCCTCGTTGTTAAAATAATCATGAGCAAACTCCCTCGCATTGTTTCTTGTGAAAAACCTGATATCATGCTTGATTTTATCCAAAGAGTAATTTGGTTATCTGGAGTTTTCAGCCTCGATTTTTAAAATGGCTTTTTTGAATGAACTTACATGATATGTGTTTGAATTTATCTTGATGATTCAATAATAATAACATTAAAGTTTCGCTTATAAATTTAATAAATTTGTAAGCAAAAACTGGTGTGAAAGGAGCTAATCAGTCTCTGGAAGTAATAGTATTTATAGTATGAAATATGGTATGAGTATCTTTCTTGAATAATCTTGTCCACCAATTTGTAATAACTTTCCCTTTGAGTTTTTAATTGATAAATATGAAAAACAATTAATTTCTAAAAATATATAAAAATATTTACAAGTTGGTGAAAATCTATTCTCTATATAACAGAAAATATTTTCACCTTATTTATTTACAATATGAGAGGAGCATTTCTCTATCTAACCAATATCATCTCGTCTAATTAACAATATTTGCCACTATGATAATTATATGTAATAATTAGCGGCATTATATTTCCGATAACAATTCTACTCATTCAAATGTTAATCAAAACTTTTGTGAAAGTCAAACTTTTGATTAACATGAGAATTACAGATCCTACATCAGAAGAGTTATAGAGGCTAAACAATTAATAAGTTGTTTAATCAAAAATAAAAAAATTTCAAAAAAAATTTTAACTTTTTTGCAAATATTCTAGCTAAATGTTTTACTTTTTGAATCATAGAAAAAATTCTAATAACAACACGTAAAGAAGTTTTATTTATCGATTGTATTACTATTTTGATTCTAGATTTAATACTCCAGAAGGGTTCTTACATCATTTAACCAGACATAAGTACACTTAGTGGTAAGTTAAACATTACTTATTTTTTTTGAAAAATTTGAACGAATTATAATATAACACATAAAGCATATATCAATTCTCGGAGTTTCAAATTTTGTGTTTGTTTTAAACTTTTTGTATTGTTCATTATTTTGTAAGAAAATTTTTGGTGATAAAATAATACTTCATTTGATGGTAGAAGAAACTTATGACGTGTACCCCAATTTATTGACCAAGTTTAGTAAAATGTTTGGTGGTCATCATTCAAATTCTTAAATTCATAGATTTGTTTATACCGTTTCAGATTTTATTTTGTTGTGACTTAAAATAAAAAAATTAAGTCTAGTTGGTAGCATTTCTGGTATTATATTTCGCTGTGGTTACCAAATTTTGAAAAAATAGTGATTTTAGTTCCCCCTCCACCATAAAGTTATACGGCATATATAAAATTATAGGCGTTTTTTAATTTAGACTATAGAAGAAATTCTGAAACCAAGAATGATGGTGGCATTTGATTACACTAATACGGTCATGAAATCCCACTCGTTTCAGTTTGTCTACTTAGAATACCATTTCTTTCATTCATTCTTTCATCTTACTCCACATTTCGAAATTTATCAATTAATGCCTTATTACTGAAACTGAAATTTCTCGCTTATTTTTTACTTTAATAAATTTTGTATAGTCTAATTGAAACTACATTCACTATTCCATTTGGACTGTGGAGTTAAAATAGACTGACAACCTAGTAGTCAACTGGCTTACTTTTGGCTTCTAGCACTAAGAAAGAGAGTGAAAAAAACGAGGGAAGAGAGCAGGCTGTTGGGACCTATTAGGCCGGTTTAGAATGAATTGTAAACAAATCTTACCTTAATAAAATAAAATAACTCATACTGTACGTACTTGTACTAATAAAGTAATTATAATTATTATATGTAACCAAGTTTAATTTTAAATTTGATGATACATTTATTCTTTAGATTTTGAGTTATATAAATACAACAAACAACCCCATACTTTTAATTTAAACAATTTGATTTTATTACATTTCACTCAATTACATTCTCAAATAACAGATTGATCCTTACAACTTAAAAGTAATTGATAACTAAGTCAACAAATTACAAAAATTAAAAAAAAGGGGTTTATCAAAATGACTTCAAATATAGAAAATGGAGTATCAAATCTTTCAATTTATAAAGATAATACAAATAATTCATCATCATCAATAAGTTTAAAACATGATTATATAGATAATCCATTTAGTGGTAAAAAAGATCAATTTGATCAAGTATTAGATTTATTAGATTCAACTGGATTTATACCTGAAAATTTATTAGAATCAGAAACAAAATGGTTTTATGAAAGTTTAGGAATTGATGATGTATTTTTTGCAAGATCTTCTCCAGAAGAAATTGTAAGTCATATTCATGCTTTATATTCATGTAAAGTTCAAGCTTTTGCTAATAAAGGTGAACAACCTTTAATTTCTTATAAAGTTGAAGCTGAAGATCATGCAGTATTTTTTGATACTGTTGATGTATTAGATTTTGAAAGAAATCCTTTTGAAGGTAGAATTGATGATAAATATATTGATCCAAGTAATTCTTTAACAACAAGTTATAGAACTGAATATTTTTGTTCTCCTTTACAATATAAAACTGATCCTATATTAACTGGTATTTATCAAACAAATCGAAAATTAGGTGAACAATTTGTTAGATTATTTTTTGTTTATAAAAATCAATATAATACTACTACACCAGTATCACAAGATGAAACTGATATAAATAAAATTGGTGATAAAACTTTTTTAAAAATTGTTTCACAACATACAAAAACATTATATGAAAATATTATAAAAGAAGTTATAAAATCAACTGGTCCAATTATAAAACATTTTCCTATAGAAAATAGTGATGAATATAGAGTTATTATTGGTTATAGACAAAATACTGCTGCAAGATATAATTCTGCATTAAGTGATTTAGCAAATTATTATAAATTACAAACTACAAGAAAATATGTTGAAAATTTTGCAAATGGTATAACTATCATTTCAATGTATGTTAAATCAAGATCAAGATCTTCTACAGCTGATTTATCAATATATCAAGTTATAAAAGAAGCTTCATTATTATATTGTATTCCTCATAATTTTTTTCATGATAGATTTATAAAGGGGGATTTATCATTACAAGAATCAATTTATGCTCAATCTGGTGTTATATTTGTAACTCATTTTTTAAATCGTTTAGGTCCAGAATATAATAAATTATCATCATTATTAGATCCTTCAAAATCTACAGAACATGCAGAAGTTTTAAATAGTTTGAAAAAAAGATTAAGAGCAGAGACTTATACTCAAGATTATATTAAAGAGGTTTTCAACATAAGAAGTGATATTATCAGAAGATTATATCGTCAATTTGCTGATGTTCATTATATAAGATCAACAATGGAAAAAACTTTATCATATCAAAGATTATCACAAATTCAATCAATTGGTTCTGAAGAAGAATTTGAAAATTTATTAAATAGAGAATGTTCACAAAATGAACATCATGCTATTGTATTAAGAGCTTTATTTGCTTTTAATAAATCAATTTTAAAAACAAATTTTTATACTCCAACAAAAGTTGCTTTATCATTTAGATTAGATCCTTCATTTTTACCAGAATCTGAATATCCTGATAGACCATATGGAATGTTTTTTATAGTTGGATCAGATTTTAGAGGTTTTCATATTAGATTTAGAGATATTGCAAGAGGTGGAATTAGAATTGTTAGATCAAGATCTATAGATGCTTATAATGTAAATGCAAGAAATTTATTTGATGAAAATTATAATTTAGCAAATACTCAACAAAGAAAAAATAAAGATATACCAGAAGGTGGATCAAAGGGGGTTATATTATTAGATTCAGGAAAAGCTCAAGATCGTCCTCAAGCAAGTTTTGAAAAATATATTGATTCATTAATTGATTTATTATTAAAACAAAATATTCCTGGTGTTAAAGATAATTATATTGATTTATATAATAAACCTGAAATTTTATTTTTAGGTCCGGATGAAGGTACAGCAGGATATGTTGATTGGGCTACATTACATGCAAGAAATAGAGGTGCGCCATGGTGGAAATCATTTTTAACTGGTAAATCTCCTGAAATTGGTGGTATACCACATGATGAATATGGTATGACTACATTATCAGTTCGTGCATATGTTAATAAGATTTATGAAAAATTACAAATTGATGATTCCAAGATACGTAAATTTCAAACTGGTGGACCAGATGGTGATTTAGGTTCAAATGAAATTTTATTATCAAGAAATGAAAATTATATTGGAATTGTAGATGGTTCAGGAGTTTTAGCTGATCCAAATGGTTTAGATAAAGAAGAATTATTGAAGTTAGCAAAAGAAAGAAAAATGATTGAACATTATGATAAATCAAAATTATCTTCAAAAGGTTATATATTATTAGTTGATGATTTTGATATAACTTTACCAAATGGAAAACTTATAACAAGTGGAGTTGCTTTCAGAAATTCATTTCATTTAAAATTAAAAGAACAATTTGGTATTAATGGAATCGATTTATTTGTACCATGTGGTGGTAGACCAGGAGCAATAGATACAAATAATGTTTCAGAATTAATTGATGAAAAAACTGGGAAATCAATTATACCATATTTTGTTGAAGGTGCAAATTTATTTATAACTCAATCAGCAAAATTAATTTTAGAAAAATCAGGTACAATTATATTTAAAGATGCATCAACAAATAAAGGAGGAGTTACATCATCATCATTAGAAGTATTAGCAGCATTATCATTTGATGATAAAGGATTCTTAGAGAATATGTGTGTTGATTCCAAAACTGGATCAAAACCAGAATTTTATCAAAAATATGTTAAAGATGTTCAAAATAAAATCGTGGTTAATGCACAATCTGAATTTGAAGCATTATGGAAATTAAAAAATGAAACAGGAATTCCAATAACAATATTATCTGATAAATTATCATTAGCAATAAATAAATTAAGTGATGATTTAACAAATTCAAAAGAATTATGGGAAGATGATTTAGAATTTAGAAATGCAGTATTATTGGATTCTTTACCACCTTTGCTTCTTGAAAAAATTGGTATTGAAAATATTTTATCAAGAGTTCCTCAAGCTTATTTAAGAGCTATATTTGCTACTTATTTAGCTTCAAATTTTGTTTATAAAAAGGGAATTGATTTAAATCCTGCTAAATTTTTAGAATTTATTTCTCAATTAAGAAAAGATTTTATTAAAAAGGGATTATTGAAATATTAATATATATTATATAGATTAGATGGAGGAATGAAAAAAAAGAGGTAATGAAGATGATTTGTGGGGTGTATATTATGGTTATATAGAAAATTTATTAATGATTATACAAGTTTGAATTTTGACAAAATCTTTATCATTTCTCATTTTTGGTCTCTAATGTGTTCGTAAGCGACCTGTACTAGACTATTTTTTAAGTTATCGCTGCATCGACTTATATCATTCAATCTATTAGGGTTTTTTGTCAATAGTCCAAATGTTTTAGTCCCGAAGCTATTGAACACGTTTGAATTTTAACTTAACCAGTTGCATTACTTTAGCAATCTCCTCTTTGTATCCATATATTCCAATTTTCATATAATCTTCATTGTTTAAACTAATTTTGATTTTTACTTTTATTAGTTTCTTCATTTAATTTTGCAACAATAGAATCTCTTGCTTTTACTTCATCATTAATTTTAGTAGTTACATAATCACCCAATAAAGCAACTACCATTGTTGAAATACCTATATAATAACGAGCTTTGACTGGTATTGACATCCATTTTTGATATAAACTCATGGTTGAGCAAAGGTATTTGTATGGATCAAAAAATGATTCTAATTTTCCACGATTTAGAATTTTACAGATTTTTCAAATTTCTAGAACATGTCTATTCCTATTAGTAAAAGAATTTTAAAAACTACAACAAATTTACCACCATGTTGTTTAAGAATTCATCCTGAAGATACTTCAAGAATATATATAGGAACATATAAATTAGAAACTGAAACTGGTGAAAAACATGGATCATTAGATTATTTTAAATATGATAATGAAAATAATGATTTGAAATTAATTCAATCCATTCCTACAAATTCAGCAATACTAGATATTAAATTTAACCCTAAGAATCTGAATCAATTAATATCAGGTCATTCAGATGGTTGTATTCTAATATGGAAAATAAATGAAGAAAATATAGAATTGGATCAAACCGTAGTTATTGATAAAGATTCATGTATAACTTCAATATTTTTCAATCCAAATATTACAAATCAACTTTTAATAACTTTTACAAATGGATATTCTCAAATATTTGATCTTATAAATCAATCTCAAAATTGGTTAGATAATTCTCATGAATTAGAATGTTGGACTGGATCATTTGGAGAACTAGGTGAGCTAACAAATGTTGTATATACAGGTGGTGATGATTCACAATTAATAGCTCACGATTTAAGAACATCAAATTCAATATGGAATTTAAAAAGAGGTCATGATGCAGGAATTGTTAGTATACTTTCCCCAAATCCTAATTGGAATAGCAGTCGAGGGAATTATTTATATACTGGATCATATGATGATCATTTAAGAATTTGGGATTTAAGATGTATAGATTCAAAAAATCCAAATCTTATTGATGGATATATACCTAAAAAATTATATGAAGAAAATTTAAATGGTGGTGTATGGAGATTAATACCAAGTACTATTGATAATAGAATGTTAAGTTGTTGTATGTATGATGGTGCTAGAATTATAAATAATGATTCAACTACATTTAAAGTTGATAGATATTTTAAAGGAGATCATGAAAGTATATGTTATGGAGGTGATTGGTCATTTGATGGTAAATTTGTAGCTACTTGTTCATTTTATGATCATGTAGTTCAAATTTGGTCTCCAAATGATACAGAAAAGGGATTAAATAATTCTTAATTTGTAAATAATGTTAAACATATATATATTACATACAGAGACTATATAGATTTTCAAGAATATAAACTTAAATCTAATGGAATTGATGATCCTCTACCACTTGGATATAATTTTTGAGAACCTTCAAATCTTCTTGGATTTGGTAATGCATTTGCATTAACAAATTTAAATCTTCTATCATCAATAACTATTTTTGTATTTGATTCTTTTTTAGAAGATCCATTTATTGTATATGTCAGTGCTGAAATTTTACGTAATGATGAACCAACATTTTGTTTTGAATCTAAATCATTATAAGTAGTATTTGTAGTGGAAGATGTTGATCCTGGAGGGGGAGGAGGTGCTGGTTTCTTAGATTTAGATATACTTTGAGATGGAGTGGAAGGTAAAGGTGGTGGAATCGCCTCAGGAAGCTTAGGTGTACTTGCAACAGATACCATTGATGGCTTTGGAGGTTCGATATTTTGAGCTGGTAAGGATGGTGGTAATGAAGGTGGCGCAGGTGGTGCTGGTGGTGCTGGTGGTGCTGATGATGCTGATGGAGCGGGTGGAGCTGGTGGAGCTGATGGAGGAACCGATGATTTTGGAATCAGACTGGATGGAACCTGAGGTGGTGCAGTAGGTGGATTAGAAGGAGCTACTTTCCTTTGAGGAGGTGATATATTTGGAATTGAAGGAGCGGTTGAAGTAGATGTAGTTGGCTTCTTTATTGTTGGTGCTGCCCCAAATGGATTAAATTTATTTGGAGGGGGAGCAGTTGGAGGTGGTGGAGCTTGTGCTGGTTTTGAAGAAGCTGTTGAGGTATTGTCCAGACTACCTTCGTTTTTAGTTGAATACGACTTCAGACTTCCATCTACTACAAAACTGTCGTCCCTTTTGGCGTTGATTTGAGCTAAGAATGGTAATGCACCACCTGGCGCAACTGGTGGAGGAGCGTTTGAAGCCTTATTTGAAGTTGTTTGTGGAGGTGGCATTGATGGCGGTGGTGGAGGTGGTGGAGCTGCAGATGGAGTACTTGTAGGTAGTTTTGGAGCTTGTGGTTTTGGAATTGACGCTGGAGGTGGTGGAGGGGCTGGGATGGAAGTTTTGGGTAAAGGAGGAGCATTTGATGGGACTGGTGGTTTTGGTGATTGATCTATAACGTTCTTATTGTCTCTCTTAGCATTGATATCTGCTAAGAATGGTAAATTTCCGGAGGGAAGTGGTGGTGCAGCTGGGGTTGACGATGGTTGAGCAGATGAAGGTGGAGCTGGTGGTGGTGCTGGAGGCTTGTTAGGACTGAACGAGGGTGGTAATGATGTTGGAGGAGGTGGTGCGGAAGTTGGTAAAGGTGGTGGACCAGTTGGAACTGGAGGAGGACTGTTGATCAGATCTATCGAACTTATGGAACTTTTTTGTAAATGACCTGATTTTTTAGGACGAGTTGGTGGTAATTTTGGTGCTGAAGTTTGTGGTATTGGCGGAGCAACATTTGGAACTGAATTAGAAGATTTCGTAGGCCTCGATAATGATGGAACTTTTGGAGCTAAAGTTGGGGGATTTGGTATTGAATTTGGAATTTTAGGAGCTGATGTTGGAACTATATTATTTCTATTATCAACATGTTTTAATTTTGGAACTCCTCCAGCAAAGATATCTCCCAATTGAGGTGCACCTGACGGTGGCAAGCTTGGAGCAGACGGTGCTGCTGATACTGAAGGTGGACCACCGCTAGAAGGAGTAGTTTTACCTTCAATCATGGGTTTTGATTTATCAATAGTAACTGCTTTTTTCAATTTTGCTCCTTTCCTTATATCTCCAAGTAAAGCATTTCTATCTTGCGAAATTACTGGTGGTGGACCAGGTGGTAGATTACTAGCCATATTTCCCAAACCCCCTGGTGGCGGAGGAGGAGGTGGGGGTGGGCCTGCCATGTTTGATGTTTGTCAAAATTTGAATTAGTGAATGTTGTTCTATATTTGCAAGTTTATAATGAAATTGAGTTTTAAATTTCTTGATTTGAATTTTAAGAGGTAATTTCAACAAATTTCACACGACATAAATTTTGCAACCTAACGACTACAGATAAAGTTATAATAGATTAACGTCTATTAATAAATCTATAAATAAAACAAATTGAACTTTTATTTAACTCCCCAAGATAAGTTGTCGTACCCAAATAACCATGGACCTACAGTATGTCTAACAATGATCATTGATAGTCCAACAAAAAATTGTATACCCAATAATACTAAACATAAAGTATCTTCCCTCATTGGACCGAACCAAACTAAGCAAAGATTTATTATAGTCATATTAGAAAATTTGATTATTTCACCCAGTTTGGGATCTCTTTCTAATTTGATAAGCCTAACCAATCCAAGTAAATTCAAAATAAGCTTATTTAAACGGTTTGGCTTTTTCAATTCTCCAAGGCTCGGATACATTAATCCATCTTTAACATTAAACTTAGGTAGCCTGTGTCTAGGACATGGAACAATATGAAATAATTGAGGAGCCGAGTAGATGAAGTTCAAAATTTGAGGCACCAAAAAAATAATTAATGTTTTTGAAAAATGACCTAAAATACCAACAATGGCGAATACCATACCACTGAAATAGCAATATGTATCTCCAACAAATGCTTTAGCAGGAAACCAATTGTACTGCAACAAAGCTAATGAAACTCCTAAGAATGGAATAATGAATATAACAGAAAATAAATGTGAATCATATGCTGCTTGAGGGATGTTTTCAGTAAACAAATAACAAAAGTCATTAATCAAAAATATTATAGCTAAAACAACTGATTGACCAACTTCTAATCCATTTATACCTGCTAAAATGTTGATTGAATTCGGTGAAAATATCGATATGGCTGACATGTAAACGTAGTAAAAAATCCCCAAGTCAATCAATTTAGGTGCATCATCTGGAACAGCATAGTCCGTTTGTAAAGTTCTGAACGATAATCCTGTAATTGATGTCACAGCATGATTCCCATACTTGACAAAAAAGTTTATAATATCTAAGAAATATAAACCTCCAGGAAAATCTGTAACAAACTTAGGCACAACAATTGAAGTTACACTAAAATCAACATAATAAACAATCAACAAGGGTAATGATGCCACTGCAGGTAAAAAGAATTTATGTCTCCAACGAATATCAAACAAATCATCCAATAATCCCAATAATGTAGTGCTTTGTAGACATAAAATAGCACTCAAGTATTCAGCTAATTTATTGTGGGGAAATAACTTATTGTCTTTTAAAGCTTGATATTGATTCTCATAATTTTCTGTCATTTGTTCATCATTTGCCCAGGATCCGAAAGAAACAAGATATTTGAAAAATATAAATGGAATTAAACCAAACATTAAAAATAAGTAAGTTGATGCAGCTACAAGTCCCATAGTTTCTGGTATCTCACTCACTGGAGGAGGCTTTGACATATCTTTTCCTTTTAACCCGATTTTTATAAAACTTGGACCTACTTTTGGTATGATCAGATATGTTATTAAATATCCTATAATTGCAAAAGCCACCAGCGTTCTTAGGGGACTGTTAGGAGCTATAGTTAAAACAGCTCCAACTAGTAGTGACACTCTAGCTATTTTACCTAGCATTTTTGATTGAACTGTTGTTGGACATTCAGTAGATGCAAGTAATTTAAATTAAACACTTGTTTTCAAAAGAATATGTACACAAAAATAATCGTACGTGGTATTTAGAATTGACATTTAAAACCACCATACGCATACAACACTTTAATGAAGCCATTCGTAACTGGTCACGAAGAATTAATTCACGATATCAAATATGACTTTTACGGCAAACATATAGCAACTGCATCATCTGATCAGCATATAAAAGTGTTTGATCTTGATCCTACAACATCATCTTGGGTATTAAATGATTCGTGGAAAGCTCATGATTCACTGATAATGAGACTATCCTGGGCTCATCCAGAATTTTCAAGTTCAAAAATATTAGCATCTTGCTCATTTGATAGAACAGTAAAAATTTGGCAAGAGCAATTGGATGAACTACACGGATCTGGTAGGAGATGGATACGGTTAGCTACTTTGGCTATCGAATCTTATGGTCCTATATATGATGTTCAATTCGCACCAAAACATTTAGGATTAAAATTAGGATGTGTTGGGAGTGACGGAATATTCAGAATTTATGAATCTTTAGAACCTAATGATTTAACAAGTTGGGCTTTAACAACAGAAATTCCAATTTTAAGTCTGCAATTACCAGCTAAAAGTTTACAAAGTAGTTTTGCAGTTGAATGGTGTCCTTCAAAATTTACAAAAACAGAAAAATTTATAGTTGTGGCATTGGATCAAGGTTTTGTTTATAGAAATGTACCCAAACAATCAGATTCATCAGACGAAAATAATGGAAGTGAAAAATACATTAAAATATGTAATCTACCAGAACATAATGGATTAATACGATCAGTAAGTTGGGCACCTTCAATGGGTCGAAGTTATCATTTAATAGCAACTGGTTGTAAAGATGGTTATGTTAGAATTTTCAAAGCAACAGAAAGTCCTGGAGGTGATTTCAAAATTGAAATAATAGCGAAGATGAACGATCATAAATCCGAAGTATGGAGAGTAAATTGGAATATAACAGGAACGATTTTATCATCTGCGGGTGACGATGGGAAATTGAGACTTTGGAAATGTAATTACCTAAGTGAATGGAAGTGCATGAGTGTCATTAATACTAGTAATAGATCGGATAACCGTGGGATCGAGAATGAACCAACGTCTAGGTAACTTTTTGTTTTTTATCTAATTGATTCCACATTTCATCATCATCTTGTTCTTGTTCCTCTCTTTGTCTCTTTTGCTCCACTTCTGCTTCGTCTTCATCATCAAGTATGATTAAAGAGCTAACTTCAACTCCAACGTAGACCTTAGCTATTATCTCTCGAGAAGAGACGTCAAATACACGAAGATAACGATCCAAGCCAGCTAATGCTACTATATCATCCAATAATTGAACTGCAACAGTAGCACCTGTATTACCCCCAGTATATCTACCTAGTAATTTTGGTGCGGGCTTTATTATATCACCGGCAGTTGCTGAATTTGTTTTGAAAGCCTTATTATCAATTTGATTTAACGAATACTTTGCTATCAAACTACTTGTATCGGTTATTATGATCTCCGATTGTTCTTCATTTGCGAATGTCAAAGTCAAAATCGAATTTTGACTCACGGGATAATCTTGAGTTGGTTTTTTACCATGTGAAGAATCATATAGCCTTATTTGTCCATACTTTGTTGATGTGATGATTCTAAATTTGTCTTTCGTTTCTTCATTGAAAAATAAAATATTAGTTATCCAAATCGGTACTCTCAAATCTAGGTGATCGTTTTTGACATTTTTAGCTTGGTACAATATTTTTGGTATGAAAACGTCTTTAAAATCTTTGTTAAAAATCTTACTATTTACTTTTGAATCGAACAATTGAATCACCTTCAAATCATTTTCTTTTCCACCATAAGCAAATATATTCTCAAATCTTGGATGTACTGTGAAAGCTTCAATCGGCTTCGTATCAGGTAATTGAATTTCAAATGGTTCAAACTTAAAGTCTGAGACATGTATTAAGAACAACCTTCCTGAAGAAAAGGAAACTAATATGCTATTTAATGTTTCAATTTTCACCAAACTAACAGGTTTATCATTTTTATTAACTGGTATTTGAAAATCATGCAAGTGCTTGTAAGGGTCTTCTGGTGGTTCATTTGTATTCTCAGGCTCTAGCTCTTCAAATTCGTAAATCGAAACAGTCCCTCCTAGCCTTGAGGCTATTAAGTATTCATAGTTATAATTTAATAAGTGTATAATTCTTGAGCTATATTTTAGTTTTGGTTCAGTTAAACAGTTTTGAATTGATTTTGGTTGAGGAGAGTCTTGCTTCGAGGTATCTGTACCCCTGTCACATGTTACAATCTTCGCAGCCGCTGAGTCATCCGAAGATATTAGGATTTTCATTAGTTTAGTAATTGAGATTAATGTTATGTTTGAGATGGGATGTTTCAAAAAATGCTTGAATCACAAAAATTATTTTTCGCTAAGTTTAACGAGATTCTGCAACAATTTTTGCAGCCTAATTAACAATAAGACTGGCTATTGAAAATGGTCGCGCATGTGCACATGTCTGCTCTTACCACATTCTCCTTTTTCTTAGTATTTGAAATACTTTCTCATCTCGCTTTTATTAATGCTAAGTGCTTGAAACATGATAATCAAATAACAACACCAACTTTCTTTTTCTTCAAATTGGTTATAAATTAAAGCCAAAATATCACACTTTGCCCAGTCAAATTTCTTCATTCAATTTAGTGGAATTGTCTTTAAGGTGCCGCTGTAGTTATAAGCTACTGAATTCAATTTTATCAATCGTTGATGGACCAGGTTGTGACCAAATGCTGCTGAAAAGCTACTCAAAAACGGGTTTTGTTTTTTAGAGTGTGTTTAAGCTACCCAAAATTTTGAGCAAAAATTGGTCCCTTGGCCCAGTTGGTTAAGGCGTGGTGCTAATAACGCCAAGATCAGCAGTTCGATCCTGCTAGGGACCATTAGTGTTGGTCAAAGTCCTTTTTTTGCGTAACTATTCTCAAAATTCAACTCCATAGAAATTGATTCAGAACCATACTTCAACTACAAACAAGCTGTAAAAGGTGCACAATCAGCACCTTTATACGTGTTCATTTTTTCAACCGGTATTTGTTTTAAATTGATCTTTGTATACAATTTCCATCAATGATTAAAAGGTGACTAGAACTACAACTTTACATTTACTCAAATAATGGATTGGACAGATGCTAACCAAAATTTGTTGGAAGAATATATGAACGATTATATCAAAAAAGTCCTGGAAGTTTCATTATTTTACTCAAACATAAACTACACTAAGTTAGCATCGATTGTTGATTTTAATGACATTGACATCATAAAATTAAGAATTGATGAAATATACGATGATCATTTCATAATACAAGATGATTTGTCATATTCTAGACTAAAAGCCAGGGATAACAACCAAGGCACTGCTGATTATTTTAAAACCCTTCAATCCTTAGATCTACAGCCGTTCGAGAAAATGCCACAGGCACAACATCAACCTCATGCATCTATCAATGATACTACTGAAACAGTCACGATTGAGCCATCTCCCAAGATAGAGATGCCAAAACTAACGAAGAAGGAAAGAAGACAGTCCTTGGACTTAATGTATTCACGACCTTCTTTAGGTGTACGTAAAGAAAGTCAATTAACAACTGATCCCGCAATAAGTACAACCAATATTAATGTCATTGCAAGTTCAAAAGCAGTACCGAAGAATTCAAAAAAGAATAATGAAGCGAAATATAATCCGTCGGCAAAACCGGGAGTAGCGACTACCATCAAACGAAGACGGACTTCCTTAGTAGGAGAAAAATTACCAATCTATATACGGAAACAACTTTCAGAGAATCGTCAAGTCCAAAGAATAACCCCCAAGTCATCGATAAAACATATGGCATTGAACCAAAATAAAAGTAAAATTGGGACTAAATCTCAAGATCCACAAGAACGTTACCTGCCTTCAAATTCAGACTTTTCAAAGAAGCAAACACGATTGCAGAATCTTCTTAGTAATTCGCAATCATTATACGCACACTCAAATTCCAATGAGGTAGACTCGACCACGAATACTTCAGTGCTGGAAAATAGGTTGAGGTATGACACAGAAGATGACGATAAGGAGTATATATCTCCTGATCTGTTGGCTAAATATTATGGTTTACAGTATGAAGGTGAAGAAGAGACTTTTGAAGAAGAAGACGAAGAAGAAGAAGATGACGAGGAAGACAACGAATATATGAACTTAGAAAGTAATAATGACCGATATTTTAATGGGAATGATGAAAATGACTATCTATTTAAAGTTAAATAATACATATAGTAAAAACGAAATGAAATGAAAAAACAAAAATTGCAAGTTAAAGTCTATAATTGTCCCCTCTTAATCCATCTTATGGCATATTCATACATTAATAATGAAATTGCACTTGTAGGAGCTGTCTTCAAAATGCTTACACCGTAACCTTTATATAGCCCAAATATACCTTCCCGTTTCAAAATATTGAAAAATAAATGAATTGAATTCGGACATTGGGTACCATGAACAACAGAATACATTTGACATCTTTTTCTCAATGTGTCTAATGGAAAAGTTATTCCTTTTGAAGTTGCTCCAGCAATGAATCCACAAAGACCTTCCACAAATGGAATATGTTTATAATTTGTTGAGAAATCTCGTGCTAGTTCATAAGACCAAAACATCAATCCTGTATTCAAGGCAACTGAGAACATAGCCGGTCTAACTCCCACAAACATGCCTTTAAAACCATCATTTTTGATTATACCTCTGAAAACTTTTGTCATTGATAGTAGATTTTTCTTTTTATTTGCTACTAATCTTGTTCTCAACAAATCGAAAGGATACGTGATGATAGTACTTGCAAATCCTGCACCCAACCCCACAAGTAAAGAATGTGATGCAGATGATAATTTTAATTTGTAATCATCTTCAAGACGTGATAACGATTTACTCAATATAGAATATGAAGTAAATTGAACACCTCCATAAATAATATATAGAATTTCAGCAGGTACATTTCCTTTCCATAATGCAATTATACCCTCTTCTTTTAATAAATTCTTTACAATGGTAGGAACGGTTATTCTATGTTTAAATGTATGTTGTTGTAATTGAAGTCTGATTTTTATAGTATCTAATGGAGCGGTAATTGCTCTCGAAACTCCACCTGATATTGAACCTGCCAACAATGCTTCATACGGTGTAACGTTCGAACCTCTTTTCAAGTGATCCTCTCTTTGAGTTTTATCCATTCATTCAAAACGTCACCAAGATGAATTTATACAACTGAATTCTGTGAATAATTCGGAAAATCTAATTTATGCGATTATCCACATTACGAAGGTTTTGTTTGTGTCATTTCCAGATCTTTCATTTGGTAGTACTAATTTGTGCACAAGATTTGATTACGCGTCTTGATTATTTTGAGATCAAGTAGTCTACGCGATTTACCTTATCACTTCTTTTTTATCAGTCAATTAGAGTAATTCAGACATACTAAATGGAAATTGAGACCCACCCTAGAATTCCAAAACATGTATTGAAACAGTTAGTCGTTGATCTTAAAACAATAGATTCATTAATTGAATTACACTTCATAAATCATACCATTAACCCTTCATTGAGTGACGTTTTAAAGAAAGCGTCTTCAGAAAATTCAAGGCAATTGAGTGTTACAGATATAGAACAAATAAATGGAATACTACCTATTTATGAACTTCACAAAAATGAAGTGCTTGGGGATATAACGATTAATTTTACCAAAGATTATACGAGTAGTAGAATTGAAAAATTCACGAAATCATTAAATGAATGGAGTAATTCAAATCAATGTTCTACAAAGCTACCGAGACTAGACTTAGGGAAACTGACCATATCTGATAATCAAAAGCAAACAATGAAAGTGCTCAAACCAAAATCAAAACAAATATCAACCAGAACCAAATTTAAAGATTTGAGAAATGACAAATCAAAATTCATATACAAGGAGAAAACAGAATCAACTCAAAGTACAAAGGGTTTAACGTTACTTGAACGAATTAAACTAAAAGAGAAGACGGCAAATAAAGAGAATAGCGAATTAGCCAAAGTACAGAAGTATCAGTCATACTTAATTGGAAAAGTCAATACGATTTACGATATCATATATCAATTTTACAAACTTCAAATTATGCATTCTGATATCAATCTTGTATCAGTTTCATTAAATCAATTACTACTGTCAATTAAAAATAGTTTGAATATGCCATTAACTGAGATTGAAATTATGGATGTTTTGAACATTATCGAGTCAAACTTGAATAATAAATTCACAAGTTTGGTGAGGAATGACATAAAGATTTTGAGAATACAAAGTTTGAGTCGTGAAAATGATTTGAAAGTATTTGAGGAAATGATAAGGCGGCGGTCAAACTTTGATTCAATAGATAGTTTACAGACTTCACATTAATATCAATATATGTAAAGTAACTACAATTATCCCCTTATTCTATAAAAAATCATCTCTATTATATATAATAAATCAATAAATATACAAGTAACTAAGTCATTTCCAAGACTAGCTTAAATCTTCATCTCTTAATGCAATATCAGCAGCATGAGAATTCATAAAATAATATTTTAAAACATTTTCAATAATCCAAGTAGCTCCTAAATCAACAATAATTGATCCAGTTAATTTAATTTTAAAATCAGTAGTCATTGGAACAAATTGCATAGCTTCATTAATTTCAGGAATAAATTCAGTTGATCCAGCAAATGTTAAAGCAGCAACTCCTAATAATCCATAATACATTCCTTTATTATCACTAATTTTTTCTCTAAATGGTAAACCAATATAATTAACTGCAAATGTAGAAACTTGTTGAGCTAATTGTAATAAAAACATACCAGTATTTAATAATGATGGATTAAATTTTTTTTCTAAATCAATTGATGGTTCTTTTGGTTCTAATAAATAAATTTCATTAGTTATATAAATTAATGTAACAATATGAATAAAAAATTGACCTAAAATTGATCCCATAATATAAATATTAAATATACCATCTTGAGGTCTTTCTTTTGATAATTTTTCCAAAGGTTTACCTCTTGAAATAGATAAGAAACATACTGATAATAAAATACCTGAAATAGTAGCTTGTCCATCACCAAATTTCATACCTGCTAAATATAAAACAGATAATGAATAAGATGAAATTAAACAATTTAATGCTAAAATTTTATACATTTGAATAGTTGAAACTAATGCACAACGACCTTGACGAATAATATGAGTAACAGTACTCACATTTGCTAATTTTGAAGTGAAAGGAGCAGCAACTGAAGCATCACCCAATTTTAAAGTTGGTACTTCATCTTCTGCTTCAGCATCATTCAATGCACCTAATATAGTATCTGCAAATTTACCACCATCAGCTGGTACAGGATTTCCTGGTCTTTGAATTTTAACTGGTTCTTTCATTGCAGCAGCAACAGCTAATTTCATATCATCAGTAATAGTAACACCTTTTTTTTCCATTGCTTCTAAATATTTAGGATTATTTTGTCCAGGTGGATATAAATGAGCAATAATTTGAGGAACTGGTGGAGCAGGTTTACCCCAATTAGCAAATAATTGAGTTTGTTTATCATAAACTTTTTTAGTTGCTTCAATTTTTCTATTTTCAACTATTTTTTTCATACCTTCTTCAGTACCATTTAATAAAGCTACACCTATATTAGCTTGTTTCAAAGCTCCAACATCATTAGTACCATCACCACACATTAAAGTATTGTATCCAGCATCTTTTAATGAAGTTAAAATAAATTCTTTCTGATTTGGTGAGACTCTTGCATATATCCAAGTTTTTTTCAATAATTCAATCAATTGATTATGTTGACTTAATAAATTAAGGGCATAACCAGTTAAACAAAGATCATATTTAGCTAACTCAATAAAATCAATAGGAGCAGTTGAATTACATGGTAAAATAACAGTTTCTTGAACATTTCTCCATACTAAATCAGCAGTAGCTTCAGCATTATGATGTTCTTCGGGAGCATCTAAAATTAAAACATCTTTAGTAGTAATTGCAACTTCTTTCGCAACATGACAAGCAGTTAAAGCATTATCACCAGTAATCATAATTGAACGATGAGAAGATTCATTCAACATTTTAATAGTTTCAATAGCATCATCTTTCAATGGACAATGGAAAACAATAAATCCAGCAAAATGTAAATCAGATTCTACTTGTTCTCTTGTAACTTTATTAACTTTGACACTTGGATCCAAATATTTATAAGCTAATGCTAAAACACGTGAACCAGCTCTAGTAAAAGATTTAAAAATTTCTTCATAATTTTCTGGAGCATCAACAATCAATTTACGAATAGTTTCTGGAGCTCCCTTAGCAGCAACAAAATTTTTATTTGGAATAGAATTTATTGATGAAATTGTAGCAGATCTTTTTAAAGCACTTGAAAATTGAAAACGACGTAAAATTTTAATTTTTTCAGTTTTACTTGATTTTGAATCAACTTCTCTTTCAACAGTATCATTTGCTCCAACATTCCAATGAGCAGCACTTAAAGTAGCTTGTTCCATTGGATCACCAACAACGTCTCCATCATCTAATTTGACCAAAGCATGAGCTGATCCTAATACATAAGAAGTAGTTGGTGGTGCTTCTTCAGCTTTATATAAATGATGAATATCATCATTTTTAAAACCAGCTAATCCTTCAAATACAAGATCTTCAGCAGTCAAAGTACCAGTTTTATCAAAACAACAAACATCAATTCTACCAGCTAATGGAATTCTAAAAGGTTCAGTACAATAAACATAAAATTTTTGTAATTTAGATAATGATGAATTTACAGCCATAGTTAATTCCATTGGTAATTCTGGTGGAACAACAGATGTAATAACAATAATACAATCTAAAATTAATTTAGATTGAATTCTACCCATTCTTGTACCTTCAACCCAAACATACCATGATGCAGCAATAGCAAAGATTAATAAAAATAAAATAAACATAAAAGCTTCTTTATTACCAACTGATACACGTTCACTTGAAAAAATCATCATACGAACTAATGAACCTTGAGAAGTTTCAAACCCAGTTTTAGTTACAACTGCAAAAGCACCTCCATCTGGAGCTATTGGAACAATTGGATTTTCAGGTTTAGTAACTTGAAGTGACATTGTACCACCATGTAAAATTGAATTTTTATCAAAACCTTCTGGTTGTAAATTATCATCAGCTGGTCTTAATTTAATTGATTCTTTTAATAAAGGAGTAGATTCACCTGATAACATAGCTTCATTTACAATTGCAGATCCATCAACTAATAATAAATCACAAGGTAATGCACTATCTTCATTAGTTCTTGTAATTGATACTAAATCCCCAGGTAATAAATCAACAGTTGAAATTTTTTCCCATTTATCATCTCTATAAACATAAATCTCATATGGTTTAATACCCATACTTTGAAATTCAGACATTGTAGTTCTTCTTTGAAAAACAGTTGTCATTTCAAATGATACCAACATAAATAATGAAAATAATGAATAATACCATTGTTCATCCATACACCATAATGCAACACAAAAGATTTGAAATACAAAAAATGGAGCAACAGCATGTTCTTTAAATAATTCTAAAAAAGTTGGAATTGGAATATCAAATTTATTTTTACCATAATTTCTAATTTTTTTTTCTAAATCTCCATTTAAACCTTTTGTTTGTTGATAAGTTTTTAATTCAGGTAATTTATCAAATAAAAATTCAGGAGGGGAAAATTTTTGAAATTCTTTATGAAATAGATATCTTCTTTTTTGATATAAGAAACTAATTTGTTTTTCACCATCATGAAAAGTTTCTCTAACAATTGGTGAAATTTCTCCAATACCAGAATTTGGAGCTGGAGTAATTTTAATATATTGTGCATCTTTAATGTTATTAACTTTTTGATAATTAAATTTTGAATCAATATCTTGATTCCAATGTGGCATTAACCAAAATAATAAATTCAATGATACTATTGCTATAGTATAAACAAAAGTCCATTCTTTACCAACAAAATATTTATCATAATGATTAAAATATAGTTGTAAAAAAATTGGATATATTATTGTAAATGGCCAAACATAAGGCCTTAGGAAGAAAGGTTTTGAAACCAATAGTTCAGCTTCCTTTATACTCGGACTCAAAACAATATTAGACATCTTTATTAGATTTGTTGAAATAGTAATAAATAAAGTCTGAGTTTGATTGTTTTGAAATGACACCTAGGATTTGAACAATAAAGTTGGTTGATAAATAGTTTATAGATATAATTGAAAAATTATTAGACTATCTTCAATATTTTTTTTTAAATCAAGAACTCTTTTTTTGCCATTTTTTTCTTTTCCGAAATATTGAGAAGTTGACACGAAAGTATTTTATTTGCAGCCAAAAAACACAGATAAGTATGCTTTTAGTAATTCATTAGGTGATACCTATTTTGAATCAAAGACTATGTTGCTGAAAGGTTGATAATTAACGTATCCTGCTGAGCTTGGTTTGTTCGCTAGGGAAAGCGCCTTTTTTAGCCTCAATGAAACCAGATTTCAAGATTGACAGTTATTCACGTTTTTTGGTGAAATCCAAGTCATTTACAATCTAGATCGACAAGGTGATGGTAGTCTTCTCAATAAACATAGCTCGCTTTAAATTTATAAATCGATATGACTAGCTGCCCAAATTTTTTGCAACCAAATTTGAGAGAACAAAATTATTGAAAAATATGAAATCAAATAAACGTGACTTAAACTAACTTTTTACGACGTCGACTTTCCGACACAAAGATTTTTTCGGATCGTGTAAAAAACGAGAGATTAAAATTAATTTTCAAAGATGGCTGGTCCAAATTGTTTTCATTCAGCTACCACATGAGATTAGGAATAGTGATCGAATGTTAAATTGCTTTTTCACAAAATAATACATCATGAAAGAGTCAATTGGTATGCTCCAGGAACTCTTACTTGACTTATTTGCTTATTCAAAATTTGATGCTTTGATACAATTTTTTGTAATCTAAGATTTGGATGAATGATCATCAATTGTGGAGATAAGCAAGGTTAAGCAGTAGCAATTGTTTTGAAATAAACTATAATTTTCCTCGAGGCTGTTTTAAAAATTATTAATTCGAAGGTAGAAATATTAATTACGACAATCAACTACAAATGTGTCCAAATGTGGATTTTTCGAAACATTTTGACATCCGATTTGACGATCAAGGTTTAACTTTGAAACTGTAAAGGCGTCTACAAACAGCGCCACGAACTGACGATACTCATATGACGGACTCTATACCTCACTTTAATATCACCAAACACAAAGTTCATGATCAATAAATTTAAGCTTAAATTCGGTTTTTGATTTACCGCCTTAAATTTTGTATTATTAATATTTAAGATTAAGAATGAAATAGAAGGAAAGAAAAAAAAGAACAGATTATTTATTGCTTAAACTTACCCCGAAATTTAAATGATTCATAGAGCAAACTTGAACTGACATGGTCTAACTGAAGATCTCACGTAGTGATCGAAGCTAAAGAGGTTTCGAACTTTTATCATCAAACCAAAATTTTAATTGAGCCGTTTCAATTAAGGTTATATCAGAATATTAATGTAATATTAATTAAATTTAATACGAAGATTCTACTACCACCCCTTTTTTGGAATACTATTTACTGTAAGTATAGACTAAAGAAAGTAATTTAACTTAATTAAGAATTTTAGTAAACAATTCAAATTAAATTTAAAAGTTGTACATGAAATTTCTAATTTTCTTTCTCTCTCTTACTTTACTTTAATTTCCTCTATCAATTTCTAATTCTTTTCATCAACACTTTTTTTTACTTACTTCTTCTTCTTCTTTTTACTTTTTATTTGCAATTGATTAGTTTTACAATACATCCAAAGGAAAAAAAGGTAACAATATTACTCAATTGACTATATCAATTATCAAGAAACAAATAATCAATTAATCAAAATGCATAGAACTTATTCATTAAGATCATCAAGAGCACCAACTGCTTCTCAATTACAAGCTCCACCTCCACCCCCATCATCAACTAAATCCAAATTCTTTGGTAAAGGATCAATTAGTCATTCATTTAGAAAAAGTGCCGCTGGTGCTTTAGGTCCAGAATTAGCAAGAAAATTAGCTATATTAATTAAAATGGAAAAAAATTTAATGAGATCTGTTGAAATTACTGCAAGAGAAAGAAAAGATGTTGCAAAACAATTATCATTATGGGGTGAAGGTAATGATGATGATGTTAGTGATATTACTGATAAATTAGGTGTTTTAATTTTTGAAGTTGGTGAATTGGAAGATCAATTTATTGATAGATATGATCAATATAGAATTACTTTAAAATCAATTAGAGATATTGAAGGTAGTGTTGAACCATCAAGACAAAGAAAACAAAAAATTACTGATCAAATTGCTTATTTAAAATATAAAGATCCTCAATCTCCAAAAATTAATGTTTTAGAACAAGAATTAGTTAGAGCAGAAGCTGAATCATTAGTTGCTGAAGCTCAATTATCAAATATTACAAGAGAAAAATTAAAAACTGCTTTTAATTATCAATTTGATTCTATTAGAGAACATGCTGAAAAAATTGCTTTAATTGCTGGTTATGGTAAAGCTTTATTAGAATTATTAGATGAAAGTCCAGTTACTCCAGGTGAAACAAGACCAGCTTATGATGGTTATGAAGCTTCAAAACAAATCATTATTGATGCTGAAAATGCTTTAGGTTCTTGGACTTTTGATTCAGCTGTTGTTAGACCAACTTTATCATTAGCTGCTCATGATGATGAAGCTTATGATGATGATGAATTAGCTAATGAAGCTGAAAATTTAAGAATTGCTGAAAAAGATTTTGATAATGTTGAAGCTGATATTGTTGATCATGCTTAAGCTTAATTTTCAAAATCAATAATCTAATCATCACTAATAATAAGCTTTCAACCAAAATTTTCTAATAATAGCTATATTTTTTTTTTCTATATCATTTTTGTAATATTTCAATTCTTCGAAATTCAAGTTCAAAGAATTCTTAAAATAAAAGTATAGTATTTTAATTCAAAAGTTCCTTTAAGGAGTTTTGTAGATTTAATTGTAGAGCATATGTAACGAGATGTCAAGAGGTGTCTTAAAACTAGATCGTACTAGCCTCAGCCCCACTAACTCTTCTTTACAAAGACATTCATGTGACTTTGAATGTCTTAAATCCTCGAGTCTTAATCAGATGATTATACGGCTGAAATAAGTGAAAAATAAGTTGCTTCTTATGGTAGCAAACATCAAAGTTACTTTTATTCGATATGATTGCTACGGATAAATTCATAAATTCTTTTAATTTTGTGTTAGCATTAATTTATTATCTGCGATCGGAGTTTTGTTAATTTGTGTGTTGTGTCGCAATTGACGACCTAAAATTTACGAGATTCCATTCCATTAGTAGAAAGTGAAATATCTGAGATCATCGACAGGAAAGAGATTAATACTTAGTGCAAACGACCTATGTTGTATTGTAGGAGCAAATTACTACACAAACAAGTGAATGAATGTAAAATCCATTAACTCTCTTAAAACGATACAATTTAATTAATTCTAATATCTGAGATCATCGACAGGAAAGAGATTAATACTTAGTGCAAACGACCTATGTTGTATTGTAGGAGCAAATTACTACACAAACAAGTGAATGAATGTAAAATCCATTAACTCTCTTAAAACGATACAATTTAATTAATTCTAATATCTGAGATCATCGACAGGAAAGAGATTAATACTTAGTGCAAACGACCTATGTTGTATTGTAGGAGCAAATTACTACACAAACAAGTGAATGAATGTAAAATCCATTAACTCTCTTAAAACGATACAATTTAATTAATTCTTTAAGCATTAGCAAATCTAAGGGTATTTATTCACGATCTTTTGTTAAAGATGGGATTGTTGAAAACAATCGTTGCACGGTTCGACACGAAATAAAACCAAATGGTGCATAATTCGATCTTTTGTGGATTATCATCAACATTTATAGCACCTACCGAAACTGATGTTTTCATTTATTTAGTGTTGATTAGACTCAGTCAAAGAATACTCTTATGAATTAATCATCAACATTATTTTATAGCGCCTACCGAATTTGATCTTTCCACTTTTGTACTGTTGGCTAGAGACTTAGTCAAATTTTGAAAGTTTTTCAGCAAGCCGTTTATCAATTTTCATTTCTTCCTGGTTTTCGACTTCTCACTCTTGATTGTTCGCTTGCCTCAATATAATCAAGCAACGCCTTCTTCAAATTTGCTAATCCTGGCGGAAAAGGGGTTTTATTCTGAATACATTCGTCCAAGTGTTCTTTAATTTCGTTCCATAGCTGTTCTAATTCTTCCGTTTCTTCTTGGAATTTGAGTTTTCTAATCTTTTCTTCCTCTTGCTGCTTCCTGATTTCTTCTTGTTGTGCATCATAATTCATTTGCCCCATATCAATATCCATATTTATATTTGTATCACCGAATTAACAAAAATTCAGGTTTGAATTGAGTCTCTCATTCTATTATATCAGATTTTTGTCCCATTCTTTTCATATTTTCAAAGAATTTTGATTGACACAGTTTTCAATGTCAAATTAAAAATAAATTGAAAAAAACATTCTATATTACACAAAAAACACGACTTTATGAAAATTAAAGATTTCACAAATAACAAATCAACTTAGGTTTCAGAAATCAATGACTTAAATGACATAAGAAACAAGCCGATACGAACCGATATAACCAACCTTTGGATTAAGAGTATAGTAATTCTTATATGATGTGAAAGTTTAAAGATCAATTGTTCATTTCTGATATACTACCTTTGTCAAAGGTAATGGAACCTTAGTGGCATGATAAATCATAATACAATAATAATATTTATAATCAGATGACAGAGATGTAACTGAAATTTGAGGCAACCTCTTGTAAATGATATTTCTTTCTTAATTGTTCATGGGATAGTATCTTCAATTGACTGAAATTCTAAACCAATGCTTGGACTTTGAATATCGACTATTAAGTCAATAATAACAGCAGATTTCAAGTACACGCGATGACAAATGAATGTTAAATTTGAAATCATTTAATCTGCAGCTAATAGTTCGTAAAAACAATATATACCACACGTAGCTCCGTTGTAAAATTAATACATCTCTAGGTCGAAGTGAGGCGGTTATAATCAAATTGAAGGTAAACAAAAAAAAATAGCAAGAGAAAAAAAAATCGTAGAATCAAAAAAATCAAAACAAAACAAATTATAATAATATTTCTTTCTTCTTTCACAACCATCAAATACCAACTATTATATTCATTGACAAATATCACAGTCTATCATAATTCACACTCGTTATAACATTCATCACTCTAGAAACAAAAAATAAAGAATTTTAAGATAAGATCACAGACATATATCACAATAAACAAAGCCCATACCTAATCATCAATTTCATAAAATCAGACCATCATCATTCAAAGATTCGTTTTAAACAATGTCAAGTGAGTTTCTTCGCTCCTCACCCGCAAGAGATGATACTGAAGATATAATCTTAAACAAAATACCATCAATTACTCAAACACCTGCTTCAAAGAAATTAAATAATAAATCAATTAAACAAGAACAACAAAATATACAATCAAATTCTTTCCCAATACCCATAGTACCACCATCAACTTCAAAATATTTTTATCAACCACCAAATCTATCGGGTTGGACTCCATTAATATCAAAGACTTACTCAAATGAACAATTTTTATCATTCAATTCAACTCCAAATAAATTATTTATATCATCAACTCATCAATTACAACAACAAGGTCAACAAACTGCATCAGCATATCACAATAGCCTACTTAATCAACATACACAGTCTCAACAACATCAACAACTGCAACTGCAATTACATCAACAACCAAATGATTATGAATATCAAGGATTTGGTTTAACACCATTTATAAATCATAATTTTAATATTATGGGAAATACATCAATAAGTCAATTTAATAATATAACACCATATAATGAAAAATTATATCAACAAAATTGTGAATTTTTTATTGATTCTCCAATAAGATCAAAAAATAATAATAATATTGAACAACAAAATTTTACAATAACTCCTTCAAAATTTTCACTAAATAATGTTGTTAATAGTAAAAAAATATTTCAAGATCCTTCAACTAGTGCAACTAAAAGAAGTATTACTTTAGTTGATACACCACCTAGACAACCACATAAATTAAGTATAACTACTAAAGCAAGTAATGATGATGAAGAAGCACTGGATAATAATATTCAAAAAAGTCAAATCGATGGAAGTCAACAAAACAGTGATCATTCGAAATCAAATTATGATAAAATAAGTCCATTTAAAACAAATGATAAAGCTGTAGAAGATAAAGAGACAGAAGACGAATTGGATGAAGAAGAAGACGAAGAAAATAAAGACCAACCAACTGTAAATTTGAACAATGAAAAACAGATAGACAAAAATATACTATTACAAACTCCTTGTAAAAAACCATTAAAAGACATTTCAAATAATACAAACTTAGAATTCAATACACCAGTAAATAAACAAATTGTTGTAAGTTCTCCTACTACAATAATTTTGACATCTACCAAAAAGAGCACTAGTAAAGTTAAGGAGGAGTTAAATGATAAAGAGAATATTCCACCACCTAGTCCAACACCAGCAAAGATTTCATTACAACCAAAAATGGGTGTCTTTTCAGAAAATAATATCATAAACAATAACAAACCTAAATCTAAGCCAAAACCTAAACCAAATTCAAATCAAAATCAAAAATCAAAGTCAAAATCCACTAAAAATTTAAATTCCAATACATCCTCATCTAAACCTTCATCACAAGCAAAAACTTATGAATCTTCAACCAATTCATCTTCTTCATCTCTCGATTTGAATCCAACTAAATCAAGACAAGAAAATAAAGCAAAAATGCAAAAAGGAATGAATAAATTTCAAATTGTATTAAGTGATGTTACTCCAGTCATACCTAAAAAGAAATCAAAAGATAAACCAAAATTTCAACAAACAGTTAAACAACCAACTTTGATACCATTACAACCACCAGGTCCACCTTTACCTCAACAAAATATTATTTCATCATCTTCATCTCAACCTCAACAAAATATTGTACCATCAACTTCTTCCCAAACTCAGCCTCAATTACCACCATCATTAAATAATCAACTGTCATCAGTAATGGATCATAACATAACCATGAACTCTTTAAAAGAACATAGTAGCATAATATCTCATAGTAATAATAGCATTAATTCAAATTCAAGTCATTTAAATTTAACAACTGACCATTCATCATTTGATATTGGTGGAATTTCATCAACTCCAAATTCGAAAATATTATTAGATAGAATATTTGAAAAACAATCACCACAACAATTATTTTATTTACAACAACCAAATATGCATCATCATCATAATCAGCAACAACAATTTTTACAACCACAGATTCCATCACAACAACAATCACAACTTCAACAAGGAAGCATGCTACCTCCACAATCAACTCAACCTAAACAAAATTTACCTCATCAATCGCAACAACAACCACCACCACCACCACCACAGCAGCAGAATTTCCCAATAATGTCAATGATGTCAACACCACAACATTCTCATATATATAATCGAAATGATCCAAATAATCAACAACAATTTTTAACAAATATGAATAATCATCAACAATTACAAACACATATAAATATAACAAATACAAATGTATTTCAAATACCATCACCATGGAATTATGCATTTGGTACACCACAAAATTTTTCAATTTTTAATAATCAAACTTCAAATCAAAATATACTATTACAGAGTCAGAACAATAATTCTTCTTCATCAAATAATTTGACTGCTGCTGTTATGGCTGCAGCATCAAAGGAAGTTGAAGGAGGTCATAGTAATAATTGAAAATAACGTTTTACATTCATTATTAACATTAAATTTGAGAGATGTTACAAGTTTCATTCTTTACATTTTATACACGCCGTTTTCGTGGAATAGTATTTCTCGAGATCAATTCTTGAATCGTCTCTTGTTACTCTAATCACTAAACATATTTTCTTCATTCATACATTAGGAGGTAATAATAAAGCACCAATAACTCCTGGTCTTTCAGTACTTAATAAATCAAAAATTTGTCCACCATTAAAAGAATCACTAATTTCTAAATTTATACCTAAATTATTAAAAAACAGTTTATTTTTTAAATTCATAATTCTACTTGTTTTTTTACCTAATCCAATAATTAAAATTTCAGGTTTTGGATGTAATTTTTTAAAAATATTTAATATTAAATCATTGAAAGTAACTATATGATTATTTATTTCAAACATTGCACTATCTTTATTTCCTAGCTTAATTTCAAAAGTTTCTGAACCAACAAGTAATAATCCAATTACTTCTCCCTCTAAATTTGGTGATTTTATAAAAAAATTATTATTTAAATGAAATCCATTTGTTTTAATACTTTCAATATAATTTAAAGGTTTATTTGAATACATTAATATATCATTTTGAGTTAATATATCTGCTGGATTTGTTGGTGCTACTTGTTTTGCTGATCTTGGTCTTAGCAAAGTTTCTGTATCTTTGGGTAATGAACCTTGTAATGATTTTGAACCTAATTTATCAAATAGATTGAATCTTTTGGAGGTGGTATGGAATTGTTTTGGAGGTAGTATTTTGATATTGCGTAGTATTGTGTTTGTGAATTGAGTTGATGATTGAAGCATTTATTCTATTCTAGGAGAAATGGATGATTTGAATGAGGTTGGATTGGATAGGTTGTTTAGGTATTAACAGTATTGATGTGATGTTTAAAGATCCTTTCTTTCTTGCAGATCTGAATCAATCTTTATATTTTTTTTTCCGCTCGAGTTTTAGATTTTAAAAATGGGTGCAAAAAAATTTAGAAAACATAATAGTTTTAAAATATGTATAATGTCTATAGTCTAAATAAAATTCACCTATACAGCTAAATTAGCTCGAATTTTCTGTTTTTCATTATATAATTTATCATTTATTGCATTTTTACATTTTTCATAAACATCTAATCTTAAAATTTCTTTACCTTCAACTTCTTCAGATAATGTACCTGAACCAGATTTATTTTCTTCATTATTATGATTATTATGTTTTTGATTATTGGTAATTTCACTATTTGTCTTCAGTGGAGAAACAACAGGAGGTGAGACTACTGGATTATATAACTCTTCCATTTTTAATTTCAGTATTGATGGTTTTGATCTTAATAAATTTTGTGATTTTCTATGAGCTAGTTTTGGTGGTGATTTTGAAGGTGATGTATTAATTGAAGATGATGATGTAGAATAAGGGAAATATGATGTTGAATTTTTATGTTTTAAAGGTGATGAACTGGGTGTTTGATTTGGTGATATTGAATCAGATTTGAGTGATATATTATTCATTAAATTCTCTAAGCTAAATACTAATGGATGTAGTTTTGTATATTCTTCATATATTCTAATTAATTGAACATAAAATGATAATGATTTTAAATAATTTAGTATAATTTGATTTTTTTCCTCTATCGTTAAATCAAAATGTACGTCCTTTTTAGTATTCTTTATCACTTTTGTTATTGACTCTAATGCTATATTATATCGTTTAAGAAATGAAACCGAATGTTCAACATACAAATCAGAAGTTGAAAGTATATTAGCAATTGATTCAATAGTTACATCTTTCAAAGGAAAATAAATAAATTTATAATTTTTAATTTTTCTATCTTTATAATCAACAAAAATGGGATATTCATTATAATAATCTTGATCATTATTAGTTGTTGATTGACCTTTTATTGGACTTCCTGGTCTTGATAAATTATCAGGTTTTCCAGAAATAAAACATCTTGATCTAAATTTATTTTTTATATAATCAACAATTACTCTGTATTCATCATTTAATAAGATTTCTTTTTCAAAAATTTCTTTATTGTAAGTTTTATCAAGTTTTAAATAAATTGGACATTCGTCATCAATTATATTATCTGAATATCTTAATTCTCCATCTTTTATTATTGGTGAAAGTTTATTAATCCTTAATCTTTTGAATAAATATAGGAGTGATTTAATTTGTAAATTAGTGGAATCAATTGATTGATCAAATGTTGGTTTTGAAGTTGAATCTATTGATGTTGATGAAGTTAAAACATCAAATAAACCCATTTTTGGATGAGATTCTTGTGGCTTTTCTATTTTTAAAACTATACATTCACCAATTGTGAGATCTTAACTCTCTGAAGCTCATGAAAGATATTGATAAGCTGGATTCTGAAATTATTTTTATCAAATCAGTGATTGTTTACTTTTGATCCATTTTTGATAAATTATGTGGAACATTACACAAAACACTTACGTTGGTAGCAGCTGCAATTTGAATCGGAATTAAAATTCATGAACAAAGTGGTTCATTTGAAGTATCAATCAACCAATTGGTGCTTTATTCAATTCAATTCCATTCCATTCTCAAACTACCTACAATGTCTACTCAATCAGGTATAACAACGTCCAAGGAGCTATTAAGTGATTTCAAAAATGAAAAAAATGATAAAATAATAGTAATAAAAATATCCCAAGATTCAACACAATTAATCCCAGATAATTCATTTACCAGTGAATCATCATCAATTTCATCATTAAATACTTTCCTATCAAAAGAATATCCTCAACCAAGTTATATAATAATACCACAAGACAGCTATGAAATTTTTATATCATTTATACCAGATTCAGCACCAATAAAGCAAAAAATGCTTTATGCATCAACTAAAAATACATTAATTACTGAATTAGGATCAAATAATTTTCAATATAAATTTTCATTTACTGAACTTGATGAAATTACTGAACCTTACATAAATAAATGTGTTAAAGATGAACAAAATTCAAATTCTCATAAGCTCGAAGCTCAAACTAATGATGAAAATTTGATAAATAATTTAAATAATCAACTGAATTATGGATATAAAAGAGAATTAGTAAGTATGTCCCAAAACAAAGATAATAACAATGATAATATATTATATAAATTTGATGATGAATTAATTAAAGAGTTTAAGAATCTAGCTGAATCTAGTAATAATGATTTAATTATATTTAATATAGATATAAAAAATGAAATTATTAAATTATTAAAAAAATCAAGTGGTGTTAAATTAAATAATTTAATTTCAGAATTTAATAATTTAGAAAATGGTCCAAAATATGCTTTATATAATTATTCACCTAAAGGGAGTTATGCATTTATATATACTTGTCCACTGGGTTCATCAGTTAAAGATAGAATGATTTATGCAGCTTCAAAAAATAGTTTAATTAGTCTATTAAAATCACAATATTTTAAATCCACCACCAAGATAGATAAGAATTTAGAAGTTGGAGATTTAGATGAATTAGAATTGAGTGAATTAGAAGAAGATAAAAAGGAATCACTGAATGAAATAACTCCTTCTTCTTCATCATCATCAACTTCTACAAATACTACAAATAATGGTGGATTAAAATTTAATAAACCTAAAGGTCCTCGTCGTAGATAGAATACCTATATAATGAATATAAACACAAAAGCTTTTGCAACTTTTCAACAACCTTTTAAAAATATTTATCAATTAATTCTTGTAAATAATCATTTTTTTCAATAATTGAATCAATACTTACATTTTCTTCTTGATTAGACAAGATATGATTATATATTTTTCTTGAAATTTTTTTATTAATCTTTATGAATTCTTCTTCATTTGTAATTATATCAGTAGCTTGATCTTCTTCGACTTTGAAGTTAGGATTATATCTTATTTTTAATTTATTTCTAACTTGTTTTTGTATTTTTAATTTTTGTTCATAAGTTAATTCAATTTGTTTATTAGAACCATCTCTTGTAATTAATTCAGGTTGAATGTTATTATTCACTAAAATATTCCTAGTATATTCATTATCATCACTTGAATAAGCATTAGATTCCATTGGACTATTTCCTATTGATGTTGATGAATCAGATTGTGATGCTAATGTTGAATTAATATATGATTGAGGAAATTGATTTAAATATTGGGAGTTTTGTTGAGTCGCTGATGTATGTGGTTTCTTGGTATGTTTTAATTGATCTATTAAATTTGATATCCTACTTGATGATTGTGGAATTGTTGAATTTAATGTATTTGTTGAATTAGTTAGTGATAATTGTGTATCAATATTATCTTCTTCTGCTGATCTTTTTCTTCTTCTTCTTCTTCTCTCGTTTCCATTTGAAACACTATTGGATGATGAAGAAAGTGCGTTCGTATGCTCTTGTTGATTTTCTTCAATTGATTCTTTTCTTGCTTTATCAAACATATCCCAAGAATTAACTTCTTCAATTGATAATTTTTCATTTTGTTTTTGTTCACGTCTTAGTAGTATTCCTCCATTAACTATATTGCTTGTATTTGAAGAAGATGAAGATCTTGAGAATTCTGGTATTTGTGTAGTTGAATTTGGAGAAGTATGTCGTATATCATTGAATTGTATTATTTGTTCATCACTCATATCATTATCACTGAGATCTTCATTGTATAAAAAATCATCATTAAGTTCATCATTATCATTATGTATTATAAGTCTTCTATTTTGTGATCTAGGCTGTTGCAGAAGATGTCGCCTTATACTACTAGTTAATAAACCTCTTCTTCTTAAAGATAAATGATTATTCGGTATTACAGTTTCTTGATTATAATCACACATTGGACAAAACCAATTGAAATATTCTTCAGTTAAATCAGATATTCCAAGACAATTTAAATGAAAATTAGAACCACATTGTTGACATAATATAGTTGAATTATTTCTTCTATTTGTAATTGTACATAAACAACAAAATCCTGAATTGTTGATGTAATCTGATGAGGGAGTTGACGAGTTATGATCTTCGAAATTTGACTGACTTAAAAGATGTCTTGATTGAGTGGCATTATTAATAATATATTGAGATGGTATATGATTTATAGCTGGATTAGGTAATAATTTATCTTTTATATTTAAAGAATTTATTATTGAATTTGGTTTTGATTTTAAACTAATTAAAATTTTATAAAATCTATTTCTACATGTTGGACAACTATTTGATTTTGATGACCAAATTTCAATACATTCTTTATGATAATGATTTGTGGGGCAACATGGTAATTTACCTATTAAATCATTGGATTGCATATTTTCTAAACAAATCATACATTCATCTTGTATTTGAAGTTGAGATTCCTGTACCTCCATTTTGATGTTGTTTCAGTGAGTTATTGACACCTATTTTTTAATTTGTTGATACTGTATTGGTTATATTGGTTATATTAGATATTAGATAGATAGTAAAAAAAAAGGTTGCAAAAAAAAGTAAAAGAAACAAAAAAAAAAAAATGATTAAGAACAAACAAAGAAAGAAAGGGATAAATTAGATAGAGGTCACATGACTACACACGTGACTAGACTTAACCTGATGATTTTTACAACTAAGAAGCTAATGATGCAAATACAACTAACTCTTTCCTACAAAACAATCTACAAACTCATGTCAAGACATCAATATGATTTAATACAATGTATGAAACAACCAGGAAAAGAAATAGGTAAATTATGTTCAAATTGTGATGGTCATTGTCCAATATGTGATTCAATGGTAAAACCTTTTGAAAAAGTTCATATTTGTTCTCAATGTTATCAATTAAATAAAATTTCAAATAAATGTTTAATCTGTGGAAATAATTATAATAATAATAATAATAACACAGATGGATCGGGAGATGGTGGTATTGATGCTTATTATTGTTTTGAATGTTGTAAACTAGATAAAAATAGAGAAGGTTGTCCAAGAATTATTAATATTGGTGGTAATAAAATTGATTTTATTTATCTGAAAAAATCAAATCAATCTGGTAATAAATCTTTGGAGAATATTTGATTAAATCTCATTATGAAAATTAGTGAAACACGAAAAAGTACGAATCTTTAACAACGAAAGGTATTAGTTTACAATAAAAAGATGTATGTATGTCTTTGTATTGTTCAGCTTGAGATGCAAGTGTTAAATTTACATCAACGACTCGAGATACAGAAGTTTAAAGCAGTCTCAAGGAGGAACTATAAAGAGTCTAGTTTCAAATAACAAGAGAGTAAACATTGAGCTAATGGTACATCAAATAAATAATGTATATAAAAATAAGTATAGAACCTCAAGCCCCATCTTTTACATTTCATTATTCGTCATACTCGAAATCAACAATCGAAGCAGAAGCGGAAGCAACAACAGGAGAACCATGATTGTTTGTATTCGTTATACCACTTGGACCAGTAGCTGCAGTAGCTGCTTGAATATTTAATTCTAATGCGGTATTTATACTATTTTTCCATTGTTGATCTAAATTTTGTTTTTCTGATTGCTGTTGATTTAGTAACTTATGTCTTTTTAAATTTAAATTTTCATCATTTTGTAATTCATCAATCATTGATCTTTTTTTGGTTAAATTTATATTTAAATTTTCATTTATTTCTTTTAATTGATTTAAATGTAATTGTTGAGATTTTTCTAAATCCTTTTTATTATTTATTAACAAATTTAAATTTCTTTGTTGAATTGATGCATGACTTAATGTAGTATATAAATTATTATAATTTATATTATTATTTATATCATTATTTTCAATTTGTATTGATGTACCTTCTAATGGAGATTTCATATTAAAATTTGTATATTTATTTAAATCAATTCCTTTTTGTTGTTGTTGTTGTTGTTGTTGTTGCTGTTGTTGTTGTTGTTGTTGTTGTTGTATGTTTTCTCCACCAACAATATTAGTATCATCTTCATCCATATCATCATCTTCTTCCAATTCTTCTTCTTCATAATGTTGTATACTCATATTCAATAAACTATTAGATGGTAAAGTATTTGTAGGTGTTAATAATCTATCAACCATTGGATGTATTGGTAAATTATTTAAATCTATATCTAGAAATTGTTGTTGTTGTTGGTGATGTAATTGTGGAGTTAATCTATTTATTGGATCATTAATAATATCTTGTGGTGTTTGTTGACGATTTAGTATATTTGTGCCTTGAGGATGATTATTTAAAGGATTCAGATGATGTAGCGATGGATGTAGTATATTTAAATGTTGTTGATCTTGAGGTGAATGATGAGCAAAATTATTCATATTATTATTAAATTGATTAGCTAATTCTAATCTTATTAAATATTCAATTTGAGCCCTTTCTTCTGGACTAATATTTTCATCAATATGTGGTAAATGTTCTAATTCTGAATTTATTGTTACCATAATGTTATTTTAATACAATTGTTGGATTGTAGTTGAGTAATGCAAGTATGAATGATGTAATGTAAATGAGAGAACTGTGACAATGCTAAGGATAGTCAATGTGGTAGATATCAAATTGATCAGCTCTGAACGTGTTTGGAGAAGGAAATATATAGTCTTTTTAAATCAAGATATGAAGTGGGTATAAAATTTAATGAATGTTTGTTGTAATTGTAATAGTAGCTGATTATCTGATATTAGATGTTTTATCAATATGAATTATTAATTCAAATACTTTGATGGTCGTGTGATGATTGTGAAATGATTTCTTTAAGAACCCCTAGACTAATAAAAATTCCAATATTTCAAATTGATTAGATCTCGCTAAATATAAAAATCCTTAGTGAAGCTAGATCTTATGATTTTAGTAAAAGAAGTTGGTTTGTATAAGGTTGATATAGATGGATAGACTTATTAAGATATATTCTTCTAGTTTATTGTTAATTTAATATTGTTTCTTTTCGTACTTGTAATGTTATAGTTGTGTATATAAAATGTACTATGATATTTTATCTTCCAATAATATTAAGGTTTGAGATAAGATAAGTTATTATTATTAGTACGGTAAGGATGAAACCGAATGCAAAGTGGATAATGAAGTTAATTAAAGAGCAGTGAATACGGTAAACTATTTTTTAAAGAGAAACAAGTATATATAAATATATATATCAATAAGCTTTCATAAGAGCATAATAGTTATGAAATTGTCTAAACACTTTATTAGTAAAAGTTTGGTCCTCGAATAAAAGGCTCCTAATTCTAACCTTTCAAATGAAACAATAAGAAATACACAAAAGAATCTATAATAGACGCAAACGTTTGTAGTCTTCTTCGTTGCCAATTGATGTCTTGGAAAACCTTTTGAAACGATGCTTTAAAAGAATAATAGACTAAACTAATTCAGTTGCTCGTATATTGCTCCTAAATCGGAATAAATTCCGTATCTTGTAAGGCACCAAAATTCTATTTAAAAAGTTTAAACTCAATTACATGATACAATTTATATTGAATTCGCCTCCGCTACGCTCTTTAAGAGTACACGAGATGTATAATTCTTTGGAAAAGCGGCCAAGGTTGTAAATTTAAAAATTAGAGCCTTAATTTTGTTTGTATAGTAGTCGGCTTTAATTCATGCTGTATACTTTATTCAAGTTTTAGATCGGATTTATATTTTGTGTTCTAATATGTCATGATATCATCTTATTTCAATTCTCAATTAATATTTTGCAAATTTTGTATACGTGTTGGAATCTACCATACTCTTGTCAAGAATTGGATTTTGAGCTTTTGCAGAATCAGGAAGAGTTCATATTCAAGAGGCGATATTAAGATTTCGCTTAAGTATTGTAAGCTATGTTTTAAAATATGTAACCATCCTTCGAAAGTGATTCTTTATTCTTTAGTACAGAGACTTAATTTTTGCACAAATTAGATAGAAAAATGGTGAATGTTTGATCTACCTCACAAGAAATACTAGAGTGCATCTTCATAAGTACAACATATATCATCAGTTTGTAATTAAATATCTAAATCTAGCCCCCAAGATCAAAAACCTCTCTTCATTATTATTAATTTGATCTAGCTATTTTTTTCAATTGATCATTTGATTCATTTCCACCATCTAATTCTCTTTTTAAACCATTATTATTATTATTATTATTTCCAAAAGTAGGTTTATTAGATAAAAAACTAGGAGTTGGCCTTCCATTATTAACACCACCATTATTTGAAGTTTGAGATGATATTCCTGGTGGTTTTCCAAATGATTGAGGTCTAGCGTAAGATCCTGGTCTATTTAATGTATTATTATTTTTTAAATTTGGTGGTTTTCCAAACAGTGATGGTCTTGGAGGTATGGTATTTCTATGAGGTGAACTAGTTGTTGAGGTAGTTGATTGTGGTGATGGTTGAGGTGATGGAGAAAATTGTTTTAATGTTGTTGTTGATGTTGTTGCGGTGGTGGATGTAGTTGGACTTGATTGAGTTGATGAGCCTACAGAGTTATTGTTATGAATTATTGTTTGAGGTTGTGTTTGTGATGTATTTTGTTGTTGTGATATAATGTTTTGTTGACTTTGTTGTGGTGATGGTGACGCAAAAGTAGATTGAGAATGTACTTGCTTTGAGAGTTGTTGTGGTTGCTGGATTGTAGTGTTTGATTGATGAGTCAGCACAGGAATGTTTGATGTTGGTTGTTGTTGGGGATGTGATTGCAAAGATTGATTAGATAAAGTAGCTTCAGTTTGTAATGGAGTTGAAGCTTTACTTGGAGTACCAGCTCCAGATTTATTACCTTCAAATTCTTTTATAGATTTAGTTAAAGCAATATCTAAAATTTTACTAACTTGTTGAGGTGCTTTTTCCACCAAAAAAGTTAATGCATTATCTCCTGCTCCAACTTTTGCTCCAATACTATTAACTTGTGCTATTGTTGTAGTTAATGCTTTTGTTATTAATGTTGTTGCTATTGTTTTATCATATGTTAAATTTCTTGATTTATATAATGTAAATAATTCTTTTCTTAAATATTCTAATGATTTTTGAGTTTTTGGGTCACTAATTGATGGTTGAGTTTGAGTGATAGGTGGTTTAGCTTGAGTTGGAGTGGTGTTTGCGCTAGTAGGATGTTGCGGTTGTGATTGTTGTGATTGTTGTGGTTGATTAGGTAGTGGTGGTTGTTGAGTGGTCGTAGATACATATGGTTGTTGACCATTTGGCAAGTTTACTCCTTGTCTTGGTGGTTGTTGGAAATTTTGTTGAAAACTTTGCTGAACATTTTGATTTGGTGGTAGAATTTGATTATTTTGTTGATTTAAAGGCACTCCTGGTGTTTGATTATATGTTTTAATTGGATATTGAGGTTGTGGTTGTTGTTGTTGTTGAAAATTTCTATTCATTAAAAATTGTTGATTCATTTCTAATCTTTGTCTTTGACGAAATTCTTCTTGTCTTTCAGCTTCAATTTTGGCTAATATTTCTCTTTGTTTAATTTTCATTGTTTCTCTTTCATTTTTATATAATTCATCCATTGTATAAAGCCATTCTGTACCTTTTTTAGAAATTCTTTTAAAAATTTTTGTGAATTTTATACAATGATTAATTGATGCTTGCCAACCTTCTTGACAATATTTATAATATGGATAAACTTCTTTAACTGCGTCAGTTATTTCATTTATTGTTAAACCTTGTCTTGCTGCAGAAGTTTGTAAAACATTAGTTACCATTGATGCAAATGTAATGTTTGGTTTAATTCTAAATTGTTCAGGAATTTCATCCATAGTATAAACTCTTTTTGATGTTTTTCTAGGTATGATTTTTCTTGTTTTGGGTTTTGGAAATTCAGTTGGTTGATCAAGAGTCTTTGGATAAGAAATAGTTGAATGTAATGTTGAATCTCTCATAGTTATAGCACGTAATGGAGGACGAGATCGTATTGCACCAGGTTCTGAGGTGATTAATGGTACTGGAACAGTTAATTTTGGTCTTGGTGGTGGAATTGCGTTGGGGAAAAAATGTAATCCTGATTTATCTAATCCATGATATCTATTATATATTGATGAAGATGCTGGTGGTTGAATTGAAGCTGGTTTACCCATTAATGGAGTTGTTCTAACTGGACCTGCATTTCTTACAAATGATGATCTACTTTGTGAAATATGATCTTGTTTTTGTTTTTTTGCTTCTTCTAATCCTTTCTTTTGATTTTCTTTTTCAGTAATTAAACTTTGATTTTGAGCTATATTATTAGGTGGTCCTGTCAAATTTGCAATCTCTCGATTTAATTGAGAAATATTAGAATCAATTTCTTGTATTTCTTTTTCTACTCTTGCTTCTTGTTCAATTCCTTTTACTAAATCAAGATCATCATCATCATCTGCAATTGCTGATTCATTCAAATGAGCTAAATTTTTTAAAACATTACTTCCTTCTAAATTGTCATCTTCATTTAATAATATTTTAATTTGTTCATCAAGAAGTTCTGAATCTTCTTCATTTATATTCTCTTCCATACCCAAATCTTTTAGAAGTTGATTTAATTCTTCATTGGCTGCAACAGATGTCCTTCGAGCATTTGATAATTTTCGTATTTTCAATAATGAATCTCGCCTACTCATTGATTTTTTACGTGTTGCTGCCGGTATTGGTTCTGTGGACGGCTGAGTTATTTGTTGATTTGTTTTTTTGGGTGAATTTTTAGGAGTTGGTTGTTTTGAAAATAAATTGGATTTTAAATTTATTGCATCACTTGGATTAAATTGAACAGGACCAAATTGAGAATCTTTATCTCTATCATCTTGTTCTGGTAATTTAAAAGAAAATGATATTTCTCCAATTTGAATTTTAACTCCATTAACTAATGGTATTGTCATTCCCTTTTCAACAAAAGTTTCATTAACAAATGCCCCATTTTTACCTGTAACAGATATTTCAAATCTTTGACTTCCAAAATTATAAAATATTTTTGCATGTTTTCTAGATATAGCTTTTTTTTCAGATAAGTGAACATCAACATTAGTTTGATTAGATTCATCATTTGATTTTCTTCCTAATATAATTTGTAAAGTTTGAACATAGAATATGTTATTTTCAAATTCTAATTTAGCGTATGCTGAAACCCTTGCATTTGATTGATCTTCCTCTTCTTCTTCATCATGAATTTCATGCCGTTGGCTATGATGGGATGATGTAGATGATCTATTTTTTATTATAGGATCTTCAATCTTTACTTTCTTCTCTATAGGTGGTAATAATAATTGCTGGTTCTCTTGTTTCGGCTGAGTATGTTGTGTTAATTGCAGTTCATGCTGTAGTTTAGTGTTGGTACTGGTTGGATTTGAATTTGTTAAAAGAATATTAAAATCTTCATCAAGCATTAAACTATCCACAGGATCTTCTGACTTTATTGGTTTATTTATATCAACATTAGTATCAACACTCGGTATTATTGGTTCATCTAATTGTGTCATGGAGTTTGTTTTTGAATTAATCTCGGGGATAAAGTTCAATGTCATATTATTTGAATCATTTGAGTTACTCATGGTTCTTATGTTATTAATATTGTAATTTTAAACACTTTTTCACTCCCCTTTTTTTGATTTGATTTATATCATCAAGCTTAGATTGGTCTTGACTTATGTGTTATATGAAAATTGAAATTGTCTTGTTGTGTAAATCACAAATTATATTGGAGATGACCTTTGATTGTTATATTTCCTTGTTTATTATTTAATCAATCAATTTCTATCGCTTCATTATTTTTTTTTTTTTTTTGTTGTCTTAAAATTTTAAAATCACAAAAAAAGCACACAAGGTCTTAATGTTATTGATAATCTGAAACTTGAGAATAACAATAAGTTGCAAAAAGATACTAATTTCATCAATTGTGTTATTTTAAAGAAACTTAGGCTACAAGTTCATAAACCAAATACTATGTTATTAACTTTGAAAATTGCAATCCTATTTTATATTTTTATCTCGATTAATGCAAGACATTTACCGCCTAATATCACACAAATTAATTTATTGAGTCAAAATATAACAAAAAAACAAGATCAAGAGTATAACAACCTAATTACATCATCATTACCTAAAATATATGGTGTAAATTTAGGTGGTTGGTTAGTTACTGAACCATGGATTACACCTTCAATATATGAACATATAGAAAAAAAATATGGAATTTTACCAATTGATGAATATAATTTATGTAAAATTTTAGGAAAAGTAAAAGCTAAACAATATTTAACAACACATTATGAAACATTTTATAATGAAAATGATATTGAAAAAATTTCAAAATTAGGATTAAATTTAATTAGAATTCCAATTGGTTATTGGGCTTTTGGGCTTTTAGAAAAAGATCCATATATACAAGGACAAGAATATTATTTAGATTTAGCTGTTAAATGGAGTTTACAATATAATTTAAAATTTCAAATTGTTTTACATGGTTTACCTGGTAGTCAAAATTGTTTTGATAATTCCGGACAAAAATGTTTAAAACCAAATTGGTTTGAATATGATGAAAATTTGACATTAACTTATAAAATTTTAGATTATATTGTTGATAAATATGGTAATATGACTAATATTCATAGTATTGAAGTTGTTAATGAACCAATGGGGTGGACATTAGATGAGAAAAAATTAAAAGATTTTTACAATTATTGTATAAATTTATTTAAAGAAAAGAATATCAAAGCTAATTTAGTATTATCAGATGCTTTTTTCAATTTAGAACATTGGTATAATTTTCCTGGAAATTTCATATTAGATCATCATTTATATGAAATATTCACAGATTGGCAAATTAATTATACATTCAATGAACATATAAATAATATTAGATCAATGAGTAAAAGATTAAAAAATACAGGTCATCCAAGTATTGTTGGAGAATTCTCAGGAGCTATGGATGATTGTACAAAATATCTTAATGGTGTAGGTAAAGGAAGTAGATGGGAAGGTAATCTTGAATCTTCTACTCTACATCCAACAACTGGAAAATCATGCAAAAATAGAGATAATCCAAATTTAAAATTATCAAAACCATTTTCAAAAAAACTAAGATATTTTTTAAAAGAACAATTTTATAATTTTGAAAAATTTAGTTATGGTTGGATATTTTGGTGTTGGAAAACTGAACTGTCATTAGTTTGGGATATGGAAAGATTAAATGATTTAAATTTATTGCCAAAACCTTTATTTAATTATCGATTAAATATCAAAGCTGAAATTGAAAAAAATTGGGTAAATTTTATAAATAATACTAATTGATTGATTTTTATTGTATTACTACCTTGAGCTCTTGAGTTGTATTTTAGTTGACTAATATGTACAATTCTACATTATTTATGATTTGGCTGCGAAAGTCTTCTTCTAAACTTTTTTCCTGTATCTATTAAAAAACTCTAAATATGAAACAATTATATTCACACTAAGGTCTGACCTAAACATGTCACATTGACAATTCCAGTTTATGAACTAGAATAATCGGGTTTGGCAAAGCAGAATTACAGAATGGATCAAAAGCTGAAAGCAAGACGATTTTCGCTTCCAATAATATACCTCAACTGACTTTTTCAAGTACTATTTTTTAAGTCAAGACCAGCGCTCGAAATGTTGAAAATCTTAATTCTCTTAATTCTCTTTCAATCTTGCTTACCTGACTCGTTTAGCCTAATGATACTCGAGTTTAACTTTGACCACCACACATCATTATATCTTGTGTAATTTAGAATCTTTCGTCTAATTTAATTCCCGTAATTATAATTAAATTAACATACTAATATTGGTAGCATCAAAATCGCGCTTTTTTCCACACTATATACATTACATAGTGGATTACATAATCATATACTAATAAGATTACATAATAAAAGTAAATAAATGAAAATCAAAACAAATAAAAAATTAGAACAGAATATGGAAAATGGAAATCTTATATCAAAAAGTTTAAAATAACTCACACAATTAGATAAAACTAACTAAATTAATACGAAGGTGTTTTTGGGATCTCATTTGCATAAACTACTATTTGAAAATTGTATATCACCAATTTAATTATTCATTTCATTCGCTCATCTTAGTCACACCCAATTTAATTTCAATTCTTTTCAAACCATAGTTTCTACATACAATTGATTAATTCACTAACCAATTCACTAAATACCTCAAACCACACAAAATTGATTGAATTAACTAATAACATTCTTAAACAATTCCTACAACTTTAGTCTAATACACCAAAATAAAAAAACCATCGAGTGATGGTCAATAATTCATCAAATGAAGAGTTAAACCTCATATCGGATGCACAACAACAAATTGAGGAACAAAGTTCAAAACAAGATATACCATCAGATGAAGATTTTCATAGTATAAACAATGTATCACATCCGTCAAGTCCACAACTAAATAATTCTAATAATGAATCTAAATTACCTTCCAATACAATTTATTCAAATAAACTACAATCAGATTTAGATGTTTCAACTACAGCAACTTTAAGTAAAAACAATTTAACTAAGTCCATATCAGATATGGGGATTTATCAACAACATATACCTTCAAATTATCAATACAATAAACATGATGAATCAATATTTGATGATGAAAAATTATTTCCATGTTTACCTACGAGTAATATACACGAAGATTTAGTCAAATTTGATGAAAAAAATTCAGAATTAATTAATAATGCTACAATTAAAGCATTAATAGTACAAATGACTTCACCCGAAGTAATTGATTATAATCTTATTTGTGATTTTTTTTTAACTTATAGAATGTTTTCAAATGGTTATGATATAATGAAATTATTAATGACAAGATTAATATGGTCATTACAATATATAAGTTCAGGTACAGAATTTAATATTAAAATTGGTAAATTAGTATTATTAAGAACTTTTGTTGTATTAAGACATTGGATTATAAATTATTTTGTAGATGATTTTAATAATAATTATCAATTATGTGATTTATTTTCAAATACAATTAATGATTTAATAAATGAATCAAATTTAATACGGGAAAAAAACAATGATAATTATTTTTTCATCACAAAGATATTTGGAGATTTAAAAACACATTGGTTGAATTTAATTAATGAATTTTGGTCACTTAATATCGATTTGGAATCAATTACTAATAAATATCCATATTCATTGCCATTAGCAAAAGATTTAAATAATTGTAAAAAACTTTCAAAATGTAATACTGAAATGTCAATTCATACAAATCCTTCATATCGACGTTCAGCAATGCTTTCATTATATGATCAAAAAATTCATTATAAAACATTGATTTTCAATGATGATTCTCATGAGGAAGAAAATCCTCAATATTCAATTAATAACCTACTCTTACAACATCAATCATCAAGACTTTCAATAAATAATAAAATTCATGAAATTCAACAACAACAAAAAAAATTGACTAAATCACCTACTTTTTCAACTTCATTTATTTCAAAATCATCACCAGCAATTACTTATGGTGGTGGAAATATGTCTCAAACTCCAACTACATCTATCAAAAACGCACCAAAGAAGAATAAACGAGCATTAGCTCAATCAACAAGACATAATCGAATGGATATCAAAGATTCAGCATTAGAATTGAAAAAAACAAAAGCGATATCAATTGATAATGAAGATGAAGAAGAAAAAGAAAATTCTGATGTGATAAGGACTCCAAAGAAATCTGGTAAACATGATACTATTGGGTTTTCAACAAATGGTAATATTAAACTTCCGACATCTAAAGTCACAAAAATTGTACCACCAACACCTGTTAAAAAAATGGAATGTAACATCTTGAATGATGAATTTAATTCACCAAGTCGAAAAAATAGTTTTCAACCACCAACAACTGAAAGTTTAAATGATTATGAATTTGCAAGAAAAAAATCAATTAAAAAATTAATGGAAGGTTGGAAGAAATCTTTAGTTGCACATTCAAGAGAATCTTTATTTGATATACCGTATTCGCATAAAAGTTTAAGCGCTAAACCTTCTTCTGAAAATTTGAATCATCTAGTCAACAATGCAATCAATGTTAAGAGTGAAATTGGAAATAGAGTTGATGTGTTAAGTGCTAGAATAGTAGATGAATTAGAATATTTAATAAGGTATTATATAAGTGATTCCAATTCAAATAGTATAATACATGAAATCGATGGACATTATGTTGATGAAAATGGAGATGAATTTGTTGATGTACCTGAAAGTCGACCAATTGATAAAGAAGTTGATTTAAAACCTATTGATGTTTCACCAAATAATGAAAGTGATGTTGATATAAATGATTTATCAGAATTAAACATTATTAAAATTGATAATTTAATAAATGAAAAAGAAGATGCAATTCAAACAATAAAAGTTCAAAGAAATTTATCAGAAAATATATTAGATGAAGTTAATAATTCTGCTGAATCATTTCAAAAACCTGCTAGTATAAATTGGAATGATGAAGATGTAGTTGATTTAGAAGCATCTACTGAAAAAATTGAAAATACACCACCACCATTAGGAGAAGAAGATGAATATGATGAATTTAATTTTACAAAAGAACTGGGACTGGGAGGATCTAATGTAATATATAATGAACCAAATTTTAATTTTCAACAATCAAATCAATCATTAGATACATCAACAATATCTACACCAAGTAATTTTACTCAATATGATGCAGAAATTACAGATTTAGGAATAGCATTAAGTCCACAACTGGGTAAACCTAAAAGAATTAGTTTTTGTGAAAAAACAAATAATAATATTAATAATAAGAGATTATCAATATTATCTAAAGGTTCTGCTATGTCAGTTATGAAAAGAGATTCAATGAAATCTTATTTAAGTTATGATTCAGCTTTTTCAATTACAAATGATTCAAATTCTTTTAAAAATCATATAACAATGAATGATAATGGATTAAAGAAAAAAACTGGATTTAATAATTTACAAGATATTCAAAAAATTAATTCTAATCAAGAAGAATTAAAAGGTGCTATAAAATTAAGATCATCATCACATCTGTCAAGAAAAAGTTCTAAAAAAAGTGTTCGATATAGTACATTATATGCATTAATTGAATTACCATTTAATGAAGCTGATATTTTTAATGATGATAGAAGAGCTTCAGTGGCATCATATCCTGAAGTTCATAATAACAGTTCAATATTCTCAATTGCTTTAAGAAGTAAAAATAGTTTAAATAGAAAAGATCAATTATCAGCAGCTATAACAGGTTCATCAAATAATTCAGTTGCTATACCAGGTATAAGTAATTATGCATTAAAAGAATTAGCTGCTATTCCTGATGAATCAATGCAATCAGCAGAAGATCCAATTGAATTTGCATTACATAAATTAGAAGGAAAATATCCATCAAAGGCAACATTGAAGAAGAAAGATACTGATGATGATCAGAACTCTAATGTTGAAGATGAAAAAATTAAAATAGATGATACTGAAGATATTTTAAATCAAATTAATAATGCACATACAGAAGATGCTATTAATATGACAACTTTTGAAAATCTTAGTGATGATACTCCATTAACTCCAATAAAAACTAAAACTAAACAAAATGATAGTTTTATTGAAAGATCAACATCAACACCAGAATCAAATTATAAAATTTCAAATTTATTTGAATTTCAACCACATCAACAAAAATTTAATTCATCAATTGAAGAATATCAATCCCCCAAAATCATCCTTGATGGTTATTCACCATCAAGTGATTTATTATCAGTTCAAAATATTATTCAAAATAAATCTCATATATCATTTGTTTTATCATATGATTCAAAAACTTTAGCAAATCATTTTACAATTATAGAAAAAGATATGTTACAAGAAATAGATTGGAAAGATTTAATTGAATTAAAATGGCAAAAAGAATTAACTCCAGTAAATAGTTGGTTAGAAATTATAGTAAATGATGATTATTATATAAAAAATAAAGGAGTTAATTTAGTTATATCAAGATTTAATTTAATGGTAAATTGGATTATATCAGAAATTTTATTAACATCAAATTCATTGGAAAAAATGAATATTATTTCAAGATTTATTCATATTGCTCAAAATTGTTTAATTTTACAAAATTTTTCAACTTTAATGCAAATTATATTAGCTTTAACTTCCAATAAAATTCAAAATTTAAAAACCATATGGAGAAATTTATCACCTGGTGATATCTTGTTGCTTAAAAATTTAGAATTATTAACTTCACCCATAAAGAATTTTTTAAATTTAAGAATTGCTATAAATTCAATTAAATCTTCAAAAGGTTGTATACCATTTGTTGGATTATATTTATCAGATTTAACTTTTAATGCAGAAAGACCAAGTATAATAAAAAGAAACATCACGCAAGAAAATGATGAAAATTCAAATTCAAATAAATTAATTAATTTTTCAAAATTTAGAACTTCTGTTCATATTGTAAAATCTTTAAGTCAATGTATTGAATGGTCAATAAATTATAATTTAAAAATTGAAAATGAAATTTTATCAAAATGTTTATATATACAATCTTTAGATGAAGATGAAATGAGAATTTGTATTGAATCAAATGTTTGAAAATCATTGTGAGAATTGAGTTGTATAGAATTTTGTATTACATATGTATTAGTTTAATAATAATATCAAGTGAACTGAACTAATTCTACAACATTAAAATTAATTGTGAGATTAGAGTCGTATAGACTTTTGTATTAAATATGTATTAATTTAATAGTAATCTCAAAAGTTTTCTACAATATCATTAATCTATAAGTCATAACGTGAAATTAATTAGTATATAAAATTTTTTATTTATCTATTATATTTTAGTTTTACAACAAGCACCATCTTCTTTACTTTCAACTAATATAGATTTATTAAAATTATTATCAGCTTGAGGAATATCTAAAGCAGGATTTTTATTAAAAAAGTTAAAAGGAGTTAACATAATATTATGAATTTCAACAGGCATAACTGGGAAATCTTCAACTCTTGGAATATGTGTAAAACCCATAGTTGCCCAAACAACACAATCTTCATTTCTAACATTTTCATCTCTTACTGTCCATTCAGCTAAACCAGTATCTTTTTGTGATTGATTTGTAAATTCTCCTGCTGCAAATAATTCATGATCATGATATTTTGTAACCCACATTTGTTGAGTTGCAAATTTTGCTCTTCTTGTATTGAAAGAAGTTTCATCTGCTAATAACATTTGTCTTGCTGGTAAATTAATTTTATAACCAACTGGAGTTTTTGAAATTGGATTTATAACATTTTCATTAATAACTTTATATGATCTATTTGTAAATGGTGATTGTTCAATATATCCTGGTTTTTCAACAAATTTACGATCACTAACAAATCCTATACCAAATGGATTTAATTCTTTATCTTTTGGTAATTTTTTAGTATCATCATAAACAACTGTATTCTTATGACCATCTACAGCTGGATCAATTCTGAAAGATAAAATATGTTGATGATAAGCAGCCATACAATTTGGTGCAACAATTGTACCCCAAGGAACTTTAACATTTTCATCAATTGGCATAGTTGATAAAATACCAGTAGCTCTTGCTTCAATATCAATAGAACCATCACTAACAAATTTTAAATTAATAATATATTCATAATTTGCAACAGTTGCAATGGTTTGAACAATAAAAATTCTTCTTCTTGCAACAGTAGCATTATTAGTTCTATAATTAACATGTTTATATAATAATCCATCATCTTGTTCATGCATACAAACAGTATTTGGAATTATAAATGGTTCACCATTTGAATGAATACCAAAACCATCCATATATTTAATAACTCCTAAACAATCACAACCTAAAGCTAATCTATTACCATTAACACCAAAACCACAATCACCTAAATCAAAAGCTTGTTTTCTATGATAAGGAGCTCTTGGATCACCATAAGGAACAGTCATTTCAGATAATGAAACTCTATAAAATACTTGTCTTCCTTTAAAATAACCATCATAAACAACAAAACCTTCTCTTGAACTTGTTGAAATTCTAAATTCCCAACCTTGCCATTCAACTTTATTTCCTTTTACTGTAAATGAAGGACCTTCTGGTTGAGAAATTAATAAAGGTTTAACAATTCTTTGATTAACTTCACCATTTAAATCTGGATGATATTCACAACATTCAACTTCTTGCCAAGGACCAGTTGGAACAGTAGTAGCATCAAATCCTCCTGGTAAATAATCCATTCTAACATATTTTTTTGTAAAAGCTTCAAAAACTGGTGAAAATTTTAAAGGTAATGAATAATGATTTGATTCAGTATGACCATTACCAGCTAAAACATACATAAAAAATTGAACTAATGGTCTTTTTTCATTTGCATCATCAGTAGCATAAATCCAAGGATCAGTTCTAACTTTATAATTTGATGGTAATTTTAATTTTTTAATTTCATCAATAACAATTGGATGATTAATACAATGTTCTTCCCATTCCATCATATCATCAGGTAAAAATGGACCAACTGTTCCTTTTGGTTGTTGTTGTTTAGTAATAATATGACCTGAAGTAACATTAACTAATGCTTTATTAAAATCTAATTCATTTGTATAATAATAAGCATAAAATATACGAGGAATTGAGGGAGTTGGTAAACCTTCTTTTTCAGCAGCTAAATATTTAATCATATCCTTTTTTGGAGGATCTAATCTATCAATTTGAACAAAATGAACATTTGCAGAAGCTGGATAAGCATCTTTAACTAATTTTGAAGTTAATCTAACTTCATGATCTTTTGCAGATTCAAATGGATGTGGTGAAGCCATTGTGTTTGGATAAATGAGTGATAATGATGAAAATAAAAAATCAAACCAATAGTTTTCAAAAGAAATAAGTGACAAATAACATATTTATATAACTTTTAAAATCTGAAAATTGTTTTGATAAGATCGAAGTGAAAAATTATAAAATAATTAAATTACACAATAATAAGTATGGAATGGAATTTTAATTAGTTATCGGTAACATTATTATCTATCACTGTTAGACTTACTTAATTAGGACCAATGCGCTTAGACTTAAATTTTTGATTCCAAAGAAGCATATGTTTCATATTCTACTGTAGTAATCGAATTAACGGTATCAACCCAATCAGGAGGTCGAAAGTGGATTTAGTAAACGGCTTTAGTTGTGTCTATATTGTTCGATTAAAGTTAAAAATTAATTTGAAGGTAAATGAACTGAGTATTAGATTTTCTCTCGTAAAGTTTCGAATAAATAATCTGAAACACACAAATGCGCATTTTTGTAACAACATTTAACAACATTCATTCTTGGTGAAACCAGTCCCAATAGTGTATCCTTCAACGCTTGGATGACTAATGATCTCAATCTGTATACTCTAAAAAGAAAACAAGCTTAGCACATGTGAATAAAACTAGCTTGTAGAAAAATTTGGCGCAAATTAAGTCCATATTCAGCTTTAGTTCTAATATAAAACGCATTTGGATTACTCAATTAAGTAATTAAATCTTATTAAAATTCCGCTTAAATGAAAATTAAGCAAGACGAAATTTTTACATCCATACCTCAAACCAAATAAGGAGTTTTAGGTGTTTGATAAAAATTTGAAACAATCTACAATAAAACAATAATTATACTTCCAAATGTAGTATGTCCAACAGTTTACATAGATCAAATAACAAGTATATGAGTCATTCAATACGAGATAACGGTTTTATGAGACCAAAGTCATGCAGAGAATTTATTTATGGTTTTATCGGATTAGATCCAAATCCGAAACAATTTACTCGCAAATTTTTCATTTCAATTGCAATTCTTTGCATTCAATTTCAGAAGAGTGAAAGACGCTAACGAAATGTAAATATTTACTGTCATTTATTTAAATGAAACACATGGTGAAGATATTCAATTAAAATTTGGCCCCCACTTCTATATTTAATAAATTATTATAATTGCAAAAAAAATTTGACAAGATTTCGACTAATATTTTAGTTAAGTAATGAAAAAAATGGCTGACTTCACAAACTTGAAACTTGGCAATCTATAAAATAGGATAATTGATAAGGAGATTGAAAATGAGTTGGAAATTTAATCGAACAATTTAAAGGAGTTGGTGATAATGTTGATTTTTTGTTCATCTAAGCACGTTGCAACAAATTAGGATACAATCCTTCAATTTTTAAAAGTCATAGTAAAATTCCGTTGTCTCTTCATCAAATAGACTAAATACCCCTTTCCTTGTACAATTTAACTTTCGGAGTACGGAGTTTTTTTGTATATACTGTTTGTTGCAAACTTACTTTAGTTTACTACTTTATGGTTAGGCTAAGATCTAGATCGAGGGGAAGAAATTAAAAATGTTGAGCAAACGTGACCTGGAAATTTAAGACCGAAAGACAACTAAAGTAAGGACAGGCTACCAAATTCTAGATTAAAAATACTTGCAATCAGGTGGTTTTGGTTTAGTTGAAAGTGGTGTGACTATCCTTAATGAGAAGATGCTTTCGAGCTGTTCAAGATAGTCAACGAGGTTATCAGAATTGGAAAGTTTGTATCCTTCAATCTCATTCATAGTACTTCGTTATCCAGCTCATGTATCTAATTTATTGTCCCTTGTACGTTTGATTAACAACAAAAAGAACACAAAAGAAATCATAAAAATATTTACCAACAAAAAATTTGGGTTTTATAATTTTATATCATTTTATATTAATTACATGTTTTACACCTTAATTTGAAAGTAAAACAAACGTATATCTTTAACTTTACACCTTATTATTTATTCATTTACAAATATATATCTACCATAATCACTTGACATATTTTCATCCAACACTCAATTCAACTTGCTCTACAATACAAATTACATACTAATTCAATATATTTCAAAACAACATATCATTGATATTTATTACATATTAAGCCAAATTATTATTCAACAGGTAATACAACAAATTGATATACATTATTTTATGATGTCAAGAAAAGCTCAAAGAAATCCAAAATTATATATAGCAGCAGTAATAGCAACATCAACAATTGCAATAAGTTATAAAATTTATGATACATTTATAAAATCAAAAACAGAAGAAGAACAAGATAAAGAAATAGATACAATACGAGATCAAAATAATACTTCCCTACTTCCTAAAATTTCGAATTTTAATATACTGAAAAAATATATAAATAAACAAATTGCAATTACATTATCGTCATCATTTTTATCATCAACATTACCATTACAAGATATTATAAAAACTCAAGAAAATATGATATTTATAATCCCACCAAATCTAAACGAAGAAGATTTAGATTTAAATGAACAAAATAGTGAAAATCAATTGACTCAAACAAACAGTAAAATTGATATAAATAATAATTTCAAGATATTAAAATGTTCAAATTTTCAAGGTTATTTACAAATTTTAAAAAATTTAAAACCTGATTTATTATTATTATGTAGTGATGATTTAGGTATAAATTTTAATAATTTAAGTTATGATTTAAATAATTTTATAACAAAAATTATAAATATTGATCAAAATAAAGATTTAATTTTACAAATTAAACCAATAATTTTTAATTAAGTATGAAAATTGAAATTGAACTAATTTTGAACACAATTGGTACTGATATTGGATCAAAATTGGTTTTAAAGAGTTATAGTTCTATGAAATAATGAGTGACTTAGGTTTTAGATTTGATTTTTGCTTTAAATTGATATTCACTCAAAGATTGATTAACTTTATAATTAATATATGTTTACGTATAATAAATTTTATAGCTATAGTCTAAATATATAATGATTTCAATTCATTTCAAGGGTGTATATAGATTGGTGACGTCTGACTGATGCTTCAATTCATTGACTCTTTTGCACTCTTGTCTCTTTATTCGATGATACTTCAGGGGTAAAGATGTTGGTAAAATTTAGAAGTATTTGGTTTTTGGCTAAGAAGATTATTTCTCACTTTGAGACATGGCTGCAAAAAATAAAAAAAATAATAAAGGAGTTTTTTCAAAAAACTAATACAGGAATGTAAAATTTTAAAAATTCATAAAATTAGCATCATTATCATTATATTAAAAGTATTTCATTAAATATATGAAATATACAAGATATTAAATAAACTTTGGACTTAAGGTTAGCCAAAAACAGTCCTTATTAAAAAGTAAAAGAATTGAACAATATCTTATGAAGTTAGTATTCATCAAAACAATATTCAACAAACGTCTACTCCAATAAATGTTCTAATTTTTTTTCCATTTTGATTCCAAATCTGGTAATTGAACAGCTTTAACAGTAATATAACTATTTTGACGATTAGCTAAACCAGCATAAGCACAATACCAAGCACAAAAAGCAGTAATTAATCCAAATACTCCAGCAGTAGTTTTAACACTAATTTTACCACTAAATTCTGCTATAGCTAATAATAAGAAAGTTATTGTTAAAAAGAAAAAAACCAGGAAAAATGCAACTGTTGATTTTAATGTCATAATCATTAAAAAAAATGTAAAAATAAACCAACCCACCAAATAAATCCCCAAAGCATTTGCAAATTCACTTTCTTTACCTTCATAAGCAGTATAAATACCAAATGATTCGACATGTATAGCAGCCCAAGATAACCAAAATCCACCATATGAACTAAGGGCAACACCACCAAAAGTATTTCCAACACCAATTTCTAATAATCCAGCAATTAATTGAGCTGCACCACCATAAAAAAATGCTAAACCAACAACAATATTTGGAATTTTAACACCTCTTGCTCCACAATTAATTAAACTTAAAACAAATGTAGTTAATGCAAATGCTGATAAACCTAAAGGAGCAGGATTTGCAAAATCATTTTTAGGAGGTGGTGATAATCCTGGATTTAATGTACCACCAAATGCTTCCATTAAATCTGATTTTTTATATTTTTCATTACCAAATGTTATATAATCACCTTCTGTTATAATTTTTGATATAGGATGATCTTTATGATTTATATCTGGTTTATAATCATTATTTAGATTATGATTACTGTTGTTGTTATTATGATTTGGATGATCATTATTTTGAATAAAGATATGTTCATCTCTTGGTTCTTGATTTTCTAAATCTGGATTAACCATTGTGATTATTTGAGTTTTATGAAATGGGGGATGTATTAAATTAGTAAATTAGTTTCTGATAGAAATTAGCAATATTAGATTAGATATTAAATTAATAAAATCTAGTGAATCAATTATTGAAATTGAAATGAGTAACTGGAGATTTAAAGTTGTTGATGATTAACTGATATGAATTAAGTAAAAAAAAGTAGGGAAAGTACAAATATATAAACTATAGAAATATATTTACGAAACGAATTTTTATAAATATAACCTACACCAAAACCAGATACAAAAAGAATTAAATAATAGTTTTAACCCTCTTTTATGCAAGAAATAAATAATCTTTATTGTTTGATGGGTTACGTGTTTGATGTTTGTGTTCCTAGTTTTATTCTATTAAGTCTGCAAATTATTTTTTTCACCAACATCCTTTGTTTAATAAACTTTGCATAAAATATTTTTAATAACATAACCATAATAGCAAAATAGAATAGTACAAGAATAGAATTATAATAATCAACAAAAAACTCCGAAATATTAAAAAAAAACTTGCAATAATTTTATTTTGTGGTTCTACTAGAAATTTAGTGGAACAGAATCTCAAGCAAATTTCGATTAAAGAGGAATAATTTGTCTTGTAATTATGTAATTTATTCACTTAGTCCTTTGAAGTTAAACTTTTATTTTAAAACATTGGAAGTAATTGTTCTACCCATTAAAAGAGAAACTTTAAAAGTTTAGAATATTAAAGAAATCTATCAAAAAAATAAAAAATAGAAATCAAGATTTATCCGTCAAATAATAATTTATGAAACCTTAATTATTATATTTTAGAAAAACACCTTATTTTTATTATTTTTTTACAGAGCATACAGAATTAAGCACCGATGTTGATGAAACTAGTACAGAAAATTTTACGTAATTTAGGATGAGTTCGAGTAAGGTAAGTAAGTTCTATTGAATTGTGGGGATGATGGTGAAGACAAAAATTAAATTTTATTTTTTTATTGGGGGATTTGTAGCGAATGTTCGAAGATGTTTAAAATTTAATACAATTTGCATCATCTTGTTAAGAAGCGTTGGGTATTTTAAATTAGCAGATAGAATGATTTTTTTTAGTGGCATCCCTCTCCACAAAATAAATTTTACTTACCATATCTTCTTAACTTAACTCAATTGAAACTATTGTTAAGATTTTTGACGTGGTGCCAGAAGAACCTAAGCAAAAAATGACATCGGTTTTATTTTTTAAAACTCATCGGACATAAACAGTGGGTCAATATATACTGTACTACAAATTTTTATTTTTTTACTACCTCATCAATCTATAAGATAATATTAATTTAAAAATGAGCTTACTTCAATGATGATAATATTAATCAAGAAAATTTTTATTTTTGAAAATGCCCTTTATACTAGTTTAGAAAATTTTTCTTCTTCATTAGAGTTATTCCAATTCTTGAAATAAAATATAAATTATGTCCAACCCGGGTTTGACCATGTTCTTGAAGAGCGTATGACTTTATTTTTTACTATTTTAATCTCATTTGTAGTAGCTTATATCATTATTCTATTTCAAAAATTCGGTTCCAAAATTTATGCGCAATTATAATTCCGTTATATCATAAATAGTTTAAATACAAACGTATTAACAGAGATAAAGATAAACTATTCCTTCATTATCATTATTACTGATAAAGATAAAAAAGTCTGGGGTAACCCAACGTTTCGAAATGAGTTAAGAATTTACGAAGTTTTTTATCTCTCTATATTACTGGTTAAAAGATTTAAGGTTTTAATTGGAAACATCTGCAAATCTTTTTTTCTGTTTGACATATTTTTTTTAGTCACAATTTTATATACAGGATGACATATTGAACAATGTAGTACTTTGTAGTAGTAGCATACTTTAATACAGTGAAAAGACTGAACTGGAAGTTATAGTGGGAGCTTTTAGCTACTCTATTTTTGTAAAGGTGAACCAAACGCAAGCTACTTTATTACTATTTCTGGTATTAATTTATTTGTATATGAAATTATCGGACTTTTTCAAGTTAATTTTGTGTTATTAAATTGCAAACAAAGTAGTGCAAATTTGATAATAAAAATACTCCGAGAAAATCATGAAACATTTTCAAAATTTTATTTTTAATATTAAAAATAGAACTACTTTTTAAATTAAAATCATAAAATCAACCCATAAATCAATTTATGATACATACATTTACATTAGGTAATTCATCTATAAATCTTTTATTATTTTGAACCACTCAAAATAATGAAGAATCTAACAGTGAGATTTTGAAAATAAAATTTTGTTGAAAAAACGTTTCAAAATTATGACGTTATAAAACACTAAATTGATCTTCCCCACAAAAAGTAAAGAAAAAAAATCCACATAAAATAAACATCGACAGTGACTTAAAATGTAGAACCAATCAAGATTCAATTCCAATTTCAGTTTTTTCTATTCTACCAAATTATATACGACTTTGAAATTTATAGAAAACTTTCTGCGCTACACTTAAAGCGCATCAACAAAATTAACTTGTTGGTTGATATTTTTCGCACCAATATCAGCCCAATATTTTTAGACATCTCTGATACTCAGTTAGCTATTTTTCATTATGTTAAAGATTAGTTTAGATCAAGCTTCTTTACTTAGAATCATGTAGGGTTGAACTGTTTTCTGTTAAATTTATTTGATTTTTACACTTGTAGTTTCATCTATTAAGGCAAAAAAAATCCCCCCCATATTCAAGAAAAAGAAAATTCAATTATACTATTGAAGACGCTATTAAGAAACAAGACCATCGTTGAAATATTATGAATTCTGCAAGAGCTATATATAACCATCAGCCTTATCAAAGAGTATTATGGTGATTCTCGTATCTTTCATATAGAACATTTTACGCTACCAAACTATTTACATAAATTCTTAATTAGGAAATCTAATTTATTGAAATCTTTAACACAGATTTCCATACATTTTTCTATTTTTTTTTTTATTATGGAACTGAGCAACATCACTCATACCTTCTTTTATAAACACTTCATCTAAAAAACCATCATTAATTGACTATTTTTGACAGACAATATTGCTAATAAACAAGTCTTCCTTCAGCAAAACATTTTAGAAAGTTTAAGACGCGATTTTATACTAAGAAAAAACCAAACACTTTATACTAGATCAAGCACATGACTAGCTCATTCTTTAGGTCTCCAAAACATCAACATGTTCATGATGTTGGTGATATATCACAATCAATGGAAAATGTTTCAATTTCAAGTAATATGATGGATATTGATTCAAGTTATAGATCTCCTAATAATAAATCATTTAATAATACATTTAATCCAAATCAAACTCAAATAAATAAAGAAAATATAACACCATTAAATTCACCTACAAAAACCATTTTACATAATTCACCAATTGGTACTCCATATGGTAAAAAGCTTAATTTTTCCCAAAATCAACCCCAACCATTAACTCCAACACCATTAAATTCAAATCGAGATAATCAAAAAAGAGCATTACAAGATCATATAAATCAATTACAACCACCACCAAATCAAAGAATTAAATTAACAGAAGAAGAATTTCATCAAAAAGCAAATAATCCTAAAACTAAAAGATTAACTTCAGTTGCACAATTATATTTTTTAGATTATTATTGTGATATGTTTGATTATGTTATAAATAGAAGACAAAGAAGTTTATTTGTTGAAAAAAAATTAATTAACGATCCAACTTTACAAAATGATCCTCAAAAACAACAATTAGAATGGAAAAATTATATTGGTAGAGAAAGAGTATTATTAAGAAAAAGAAGATTAAAACCAAAACATAAAGATTTTGAAATGATAACACAAGTTGGTCAAGGTGGTTATGGTCAAGTATTTTTAGCAAGAAAAAAAGATACAAGAGAAATTTGTGCTTTAAAAATTTTAAATAAGAATTTATTAGTTAAATTAGATGAAACAAGACATGTTTTAACAGAAAGGGATATTTTAACAAATACAAGAAGTGAATGGTTAGTTAAATTATTATATGCTTTTCAAGATCCTGAAAAAGTATTTTTAGCAATGGAATTTGTACCAGGAGGAGATTTTAGAACTTTATTAAATAATACTGGATTTTTAATTCCTCCACATGCAAGATTTTATATAAGTGAAATGTTTGCAGCAGTAAATTCATTACATGAATTAGGTTTTACTCATCGTGATTTAAAACCTGAAAATTTTTTAATTGATTCCAAGGGACATATAAAATTGACCGATTTTGGTTTAGCTGTTGGATCAGTATCAAATGATAGAATTGAATCAATGAGAATAAAATTACAAAAATTAGAAGATTTAGAAAATTATCAAATTCCATCAAGATTAATGATGGAAAGACAAAAAATTTTTAAACAAAGTCAAGGTCATCATAATTTAGCAAATTCAATAGTTGGATCACCAGATTATATGGCTTTAGAAGTATTAGAAGGTAAAAATTATGATTATACAATAGATTATTGGTCATTAGGTTGTATGTTATTTGAAGCATTATGTGGTTATCCACCATTTTCAGGTTCAAAACAAGATGAAACTTATTATAATTTAAAACATTGGAAAACTGCTTTACGTAGACCACAAACAAAAGATGGTAGATATGTTTTCAGTGATAGAACATGGCAATTAATTATAAAATTAATTGCATCACCTAATCAAAGATTAAAAAATTTTAAACAAGTTCAACAAATGTCATATTTTAATGATGTTAAAAATTGGGAAAATTTAAGATCCAAAACTCCACCTTTTACTCCACAATTAGATAATGAAGAAGATGCAGGATATTTTGATGATTTTGAAGATGAAGAAATGATGATGAAATATAAAGATGTATTTGCAAGACAAGAACAAAATGAACAATTATTAAATAATAAAAATGGTGGTTTTAAGCAAAATAATTTTATTGGTTTTACTTTTAAACATAAATCAAATCCAAATAATAAATTTGAAATAAATTTGTTGAAGATGGATAATTCAAGTAAATTAGATCCTTTAGCTACTTTATATTGAGACGTGTATATTACTTCCATATATAATCTTTTGAAATTTTATCATTTATTATTTTTCTTTGTTGTTGATGTAGTTCTTCCACATGAGTCACACTTTTAGAAATTAAATTAAATAATTCAGATTCAGTGAATGAACCAACACTTTCTAATAACATTAAATCTTTAACTTTTTCATTTTTGAAATTAAAACATAAAACATGGTGAGAATCACAAGTTTCTAATACATTACCTGGAGGATTAAATATGAGATTCCCCTGATTATAACAAACAACAATAGATGCAAAACTTGAAAATATAGATAAATCTGAATCAACTAATGCAAAAAAGCAACAATTTATAGCTGAATTTAATTCATTACATGTAAAACCGGAATTTTCATCAATTATCAAAAATTGTATAACAATTTGAATTAATTGTCTTGGATATTTGAAACGTATTATAATTGATTGTAATAATGATCTTATTTTATCTTCTAATAATTTTTCTCGAGTTGTTGATAATCCTATTGCTGGTCTTATTATAATTTCTAAACTTGCTTGTTGTGGTAATTCTTGTCTTGGTTTTGGATCTATGGGGCCATTTATTGATACTATTGTTTTTGTATTATTTAGTTTTAATTCAGCTGAGCCATCTGCATTATCTAGTATTGATGTATTAACTTGAAAGGACATGTTTGATGAAGTTGTATGTCATCAGATATCTGAGATTGAAATTTTGAAAATTATACAAGCCGCACTAGTTAGATTATCACCAACAAGATGATTGATTACGAAAAGGAGCTACTAGCTGACTTGCTAAGTTCAGATGAAGAAGAACAACCTGTTGAATCAACCGAGAACCCACCCGAAGATGTTATTGATCAATCCCTTCCGTTATCTCAAAAATTATCAAATTTAATTACATCATTAAACAATCCATTTCAAACTATTTTACAACATCCAAATATAGAATCAATAACAGATTATTCACGACTATCTAAGATATATCCATTGATACTGGAGCTAAATTTAAAATTTGAACAACAATCAAATGATGAAGAAATAGATTATTTAGAATTAATTGCTCAAATTAATAATGATCAATCATTTGAATCTGAAGAATATAAATTTATTTTATTAATTAATGAATTATCAACATTAATAAATAATGAAATATTAGCTTTTACCATACTATTAAAAATGCAATATAAGTTGGTATTTCCTGAATTAGAACATATTTTATTGAATAATATTGATTATGTTCGTACGATAATGTTAATTAAACAAGATTTAGTAAATATAAAGCAATATGATAAAGATTTACAACTTATAATGACAAAAGATAAAGTCTTGATATTAGTAATGGCAGCATTACAACAATCTAAAAATCAATTTACCTTATCAGAATCAGATTTTTCAAAAATTATGTCATTATGTTTATTAATTCTAGATTTAAATGATCTACTAACGAAGTTATCAAATTTCATATCATCAAAATTATCAAAATTTGCTCCAAATGTTTCTTCAATTATTGGTCCTATAACAACTTCTCAATTACTAATAGCTACAGGTTCATTAGAAAATTTAGCTTTAACTCCATCATGTAATTTGCCATCTCTTGGAGTAAAAGATTTATCATCATCAAATAAATCAATATCAAGAAATATACGTCAAACTGGATATTTATATCATAATGATCTAATAAAATATTTACCACCCGAGATACAAAAATCAGTCATGAGAATAATAAGTGGTAAAATTATATTAGCTTCAAGAATTGATTATTCAAATTCAAACCCCAATGGTGATATGGGTGTAAAATTTAAAAAAGAAATTGAAACGAAGATTGATAAATTATTAGCTCCTCCTGAACATGTTCCTGATAAAGCTTTAGCCAAACCAATTGAAATAAAATCTAAAAAAAGAGGTGGTAGAAAAGTTCGTAAATTTAAACAAAAATTTGCAATGACTGATTTAGCTAAGGCTCAGAATAAAATTGAATTTGGTTTGAAAGATGATAAATTTTATGATGGTAGGGAGTTTCTATAGATTAGTTATGATTAATGTATTGTGAGTCAAATGATCTCTCGTAAATAATTTTCAAAAAAATCAAAATTTTTCAATGAGTAATAACCAAACATAAATTATAAAAGTTCTTCTGTGTATGCTTTCTAGCCGATCACTTCTATTTAAATCATTTATAAGAAGTAAGATCATAAAACCTCATAAATATATTAGAAGATACAATCATTACAACATGAGTGAAAAAACAAGTAATACCCAAGAGCTAGAACAACCACCTAAACAAAAAACTGCAAAAGAGCTAGAAAAAGAAAGAAAGAAAGCTGAAAAATTAGCTAAATTTAATGCTAAAAAGGCTAAACAACCACCAGCACCCAAATCAGAAGAATCCAAGAAACAGAAACCAAAAAAGGAAATTGAATCAATACCTGAATTTAAAGATGAAACAAAACCGGGTGATAAAAAGATATTAGTACCATTAGATGATCTTTCATTTAAAGCTTATAACCCAAAAAATGTTGAAAGTTCATGGTATTCATGGTGGGAAAATCAAGGTTTTTTCAAACCTGAATTAACTGAAAATGGAGATATAAAATCAGAAGGATGTTTTTCAATACCATGTCCTCCTCCAAATGTTACTGGTGCATTACATATTGGTCATGCATTAACAGTATCAATACAAGATACATTAATTAGATGGAATAGAATGAAAGGTAAAACTACATTATTTATACCAGGATTTGATCATGCAGGTATTGCAACTCAATCAGTTGTTGAAAAACAAATTTGGTTAAAAGAAAAAAAAACAAGACATGATTATGGAAGAGAAAAATTTATTGAAAAAGTTTGGGAATGGAAAGAAGAATATCATCAAAGAATTAAAAATCAATTTAAAAAATTAGGTGCATCATATGATTGGGAAAGAGAAAAATTTACTTTAAATCCAGATTTATCAAAAGCTGTTACTGAAGCTTTTGTAAGAATGCATGAAGATGGGACAATTTATAGAGCTTCAAGATTAGTTAATTGGTCAGTTAAATTAAATACTGCTATATCAAATCTAGAAGTTGATAATAAAAATATTTCAGGTAAAACTTTGTTGAGTGTACCTGGTTATGATAATAAAATAGAATTTGGTACTTTGACAAGTTTTTCTTACCAAGTTGAAAATTCAAATGAAAAAATTACTGTTGCAACAACAAGACCAGAAACTATTTTTGGTGATACTGGTATTGCAGTCCATCCAAATGATTCAAGATATAAACATTTACATGGTAAATATGTTTTACATCCATTTTTAGATAGAAAATTACCAATTATAACAGATTCTGAAGCTGTTGATATGGAATTTGGTACAGGTGCTGTTAAAATTACACCAGCTCATGATCAAAATGATTATAATACAGGTAAAAGAAATAATTTAGAATTTATAAATATATATACAGATGATGGATATCTTAATGAAAATTGTGGACCCGCATGGAAAGGAATGAAAAGATTCGATGCAAGATCAAAAGTAATTGAAGAGTTGAAACAAAAAAATTTATTTGTTGAACAAAAAGATAATGAAATGACAATACCATTATGTTCAAGATCTGGTGATATAATTGAACCATTATTAAAACCTCAATGGTATGTAAATCAAAAAGAAATGGCTAAAGATGCCATTGCAGCAGTTAAAAATGGTGATATTACAATAACTCCAAAAACTTCAGAATCTGAATATTTTCAATGGTTAGAAAACATACAAGATTGGTGTATTTCACGTCAATTATGGTGGGGTCATAGATGTCCAGTTTATTTTGTAAATATTGAAAATGAAGAACATGATAAATTAGATAATAATTATTGGATTTCAGGTAGAACTTATGAAGAAGCTTTAGCCAAGGCCAATGAAAAATTTGGTGATAAAAAATTTGAATTAGAACAAGATGAAGATGTATTAGATACTTGGTTTTCCTCAGGTTTATGGCCAATTTCAACATTAGGCTGGCCTGACAACACAAAAGATATGCAACTATTTAATCCAATGTCAATGTTAGAAACTGGTTGGGATATTTTATTTTTTTGGGTTTCAAGAATGATTTTAATGTCATTAAAATTAACTGGTAAAGTTCCATTTAAAGAAGTATTTTGTCATTCATTAGTAAGAGATGCTCAAGGTCGTAAAATGTCTAAATCTTTAGGTAATGTTATTGATCCATTAGATGTTATTACAGGTATACCATTACAAGGATTACATGATAAATTAACTACTGGAAACTTAGATCCAAAAGAATTAAAAAAGGCAATGGAAGGTCAAAAATTATCTTACCCCAATGGTATACCAGAATGTGGTACTGATGCATTAAGATTTGCTCTTTGTGCTTATTCAACTGGTGGTAGAGATATTAATTTAGATATTTTAAGAGTTGAAGGTTATAGAAAATTTTGTAATAAAATTTATCAAGCTACAAAATTTGTTTTAGGTAAATTAGGTGATGATTTTAAACCACAAAACACTAGTGATTTGTCAGGTAATGAATCATTAGTTGAAAAATGGATATTAACTAAATTATCAATAACTGCAAAAAATACAAATGAAGCTTTGGAAGCAAGGAATTTTGGTGATGCTACTAACCACATATATAATTATTGGTATGATTTATGTGATGTTTATATTGAAAATTCAAAATCTTTAATTCAAGATGGTACACCAGAACAAAAAAAATCAGCTCAAGATACTTTATATACAAGTATTGATGGAGCATTAAGATTAATACATCCATTTATGCCATTTGTAACTGAAGAAATGTGGCAAAGATTACCAAGAAGAGAAGGAGATTTAACTAAAACTATAAGTAAAGCTAAATATCCAACCTACTTAAAAGATTTTGATAATCAAGAAGCTTTAAATGCTTATGATTTAGTACTTGATATAACAAAGGGTGCAAGATCATTACTAGCTCAATATAATATAATTAAAAATGGTCAAGTATTTGTAGAATCATCAAATGAAAATATCTACAAAATTGCCAGTGATCAACAAGATTCAATTGTAAGTTTAATAAAAGGAGTTGAAAAAATTAAAGTTGTTAAAACTATTTCAGAAATTCCTTCAGGTTGTGCATTACAAGCAATTTCACCAGATTGTACAGTTCATGTATTAGTAAAAGGACAAATAGATTTAGATTTAGAAATTTCAAAAGTTAATAAAAAATTACAAAATTCATTAGAATTGAAAAAAAAACAAGATGACAGTATTAGTAAATTTACTGAAAAGACAAAACCTGAAGCTATTGAAAGTGCAAAACAAAGATTAGAAAAAGTTATTGCAGAAATTGAAGGATATGAACAAACTATTGATATATTGGAGAAGTTGAAATTATAGTGAGTAGATTGTAAATAGACAATATGTAAGTAATGTGTTCATATTAGAGTATGTATATGACGTAATTTGAGGGATCTATTCGCTGAAAACACAAATCAAATCTATGTCAAGATGATTCAACTTCTTCTGATTCCTCTCTTTTATTTTCCTAATTCAACGGTATCGGTAAGTGCTAACTGGTATAAATCAACATTACACTGATAAAATTTTTCAAAAAACGTATGTAATTTCTAATAAGTAATTAATGTGATAATTTTATTTTTGATAAAGGGTTTCATATAATTATAATAATACCAATTTCAGATTGACAATTTTGTGTCATATTTTTCATATAATAAACAATTTTCCTAAATACACCCTTATCTACACTTTTTATGATATCATCTCTCATATTTAATATTCATATTCCTGATTAAAGCCTGTTTAATGAATCTATCAACTAATTACTTCTGAATTGAATTGATGGAGTGATTTTAATCCACATTTTGAATGAAAACTATTCGATATTAAAAAACAGTCAACTCAAGCACAGTCGTTTCATCAAATTATGAACGGACCAATTAATTCAAAAGCTAATAGAACTAAAATTTGAATTTGAGCACTACTTGTTTCATTTAGTCGCTTTTTAGTCTATTTAAAGTTTGAGGATACGCGGATTCGGTTATGAAATTGTTTATTTGTGTTGTTTTTGAAACTAAAATTTAATGTAATTTCATGTTTCATTTGTATGATTTATCAGAAGTTACATCATAAACAATTAATTTGTTACGGCTTATTCTGCATATTTTGTTCTATTGTTTGTTTTTAAACACGTATAAAATTTGAAATTCTGAAAATTTCTATTGTCTATATATATAACTACTCATATCTTCTTTCTTATCTCAATCAACCCAATTATTAAACAAAACTAATTAACTAACTAATACAAATATCAAAAATGGACGGATTACTCAACAAAGCAAAAGAATTATCAAGTAATGTTGATAGTAAAGATTTAAAAGATGCTTATGATACTTATAATAAAACTGATGGTACATTACAAGATAAAGGTAAAGCAGTTTATGAAAATTATAATAAATCACATTCAAATACATCATCATCAGATTCAAAAACTGATTCAAAAACTGAATCATCAAGTGAATCTAAAATTGAATCTAAATAATTGGAGTTAATAGATATATTGAGATTTGTTAAGAGTGTTAAATAAACTTTTATACAAAGAATTAATACATAAGTTTAATTGTACATTTAATTTTGAATAAATTCGAGTTCTTCAATGAATAATGATTTTAGGAGTAAAGAAATTAAGACAACGTATGTTTATTAAAAAAGGAAGATACTTTCAAAATTACTTTCATCTATAACCCTCATATCTCTTATCAGTTCAATGAATCTATTCTTTAGTTTGACCAATAGTTCCACATTATAAGAACTACGGTTGGTATGTTTATAAGTTCTAGTTTGAAGCAATTGAAATTGAGTTGACGATGCTTACGTTCCAAAGGCAAAGTTATCGTTGAAAATTGCAAATGATTGCATGATTAATCCTTTCAAAAACATGAATGTTAGTAAATGAGGAATGTTTAAATTTTTATAAAATTGATGAATTGATGAATGATTCTTTTCTGAACCATTCACCACTTTGGGCTAAACATCAACGATTCTTAACATTTTCTCAAATAACTTTGATATCGGGATTCTGGTCTATTTTTTTCATTTTGCTAGATTTATCAATTTCCTATGGTAATTTTAGCTCTCAATTCTAAACACAAAACATTCCGTCCTTCAAATATATTTCGTGGTAAATCAAAGATCAGTTCTAGGATTGTGGTTAGTTAAATGAATTGATTGACTGGTTGAATTATCTTTACTGAGGAAACTTCTTTTCTATGCTTATGGAATCCAAATAATTGATAGTTCCATCCAAACCGAAATTAGGACTGGATCCGTTCAATTAAAGTGTCATTCGTTTTCTCAAGAAGAGTGTTAAGCTATAAATCATATTATTGATGATTTTAGTAGATATGAATATATAATTCCATCAAAATCAAAAGATTCCATACTGAACAAATTAATTTGTTCATAACTTCAACAATCTGGAAACTGTTTATAATGAACAATATGACTCATGGCTTAACACACTTCTTGAGAAAATCATCTTTTATGATCTTGATTCGTTTGATCCCTTACGAAACTTTTACCTTTTGGAATTGAACCTTATCTTCATTAAACTTACCTTCTTAGTTTACGGATAAATGATTAAAATTTTCCGTATAATGAAATTTAATGAATTTGTTCAACTTGTTCAATTTTAGGTCGGTTTACGAATAAGACTCTCTCAATTTATGTGCAGATAACTCGACGTAAACTGAATTGATTCATCTTCAATTGCCCGAGGAATTTAAATTTCTCCACAAATCGAAAATTTGTGTAACAAAAACTTAAAAAGGCGTGCAGATCTACCAGATATGTACCGACAGATCTAAGATTTAAGTTACGGTGAATTTCAATATATATAATTATTAGTATCTTGAATTTTTTGGAAAACTCAATAGCACATACTCATATCAATCCAATCTTTCCTCAAATGAGTTCATTAATTAAAGAATCTCCTCAACATGTTTGGGAAACCTTACAATCTAATATACCAATTCCAGCAGCTTCAGTTGCAAATGCTGTTCCTTTACCAAATACTGAAGAACCTGGATTTTCAGCAGTTTATAGAAATGAATATTCACCAAAACAATTGATTAATGTTCCTTATCCTGGAATAGATACATTATATAAATCATTTGAATTATCAGTTGAAAATAATGCTAAAGAAAAAGCTGTTGGTCATAGAATTAAAAATTCAGATGGTACTTTTGGTCATTATGTATGGGAAGATTATAAAACTTTACAAATTAGAAGAAATAACTTGGGTTCAGGTATTTATTTTATATTACAAAATAATCCTTATAAAACTGATAGTGAAGCTCATAAAAAATTACAATATGATCCAACAAATGAAGATCCATTTGTTTTAACTATATTTTCACATAATAGACCTGAATGGGCTTTAGCTGATTTAACTGCAATTGCTTATAATATTACTTCAACTGCACTTTATGATACTTTAGGTCCTGATACAAGTAAATATATTTTAAATTTAACTGAATCACCAATTATTTTATGTTCAAAAGATAAAATAAAGGGATTAATTGCATTAAAAGAAAAATATCCTGAAGAATTAAGTAACCTTATTACAATAATATCAATGGATGATTTAAATACTGAGGATTCAATTTTAAAAAATAAATGTCATGAACATAAAATCTCATTATTTGATTATAAACAAGTTGAAAAATTAGGTGAAATTAATCCATTAGATCCAATACCTCCAAAACCTTCAACACCTTTTACAATAACTTTTACTTCAGGAACCACCGGAGCAAATCCAAAGGGAGTATTATTAACCCATCAAAATGGTGTATCAGGTATTACATTTATGTTTTCAAATTTTCAAAGTGGTAATGGATCAACTATGTATTCATTTTTACCATTAGCTCATATTTATGAAAGAGCAAGTGTTCAATTTGCATTTGCTGCTGGTGGTTCTATTGGTTTCCCACAGGGACCATCTCCATTAACTTTATTAGATGATATTAAAGAATTAAATCCAGATTATTTAGCATTAGTTCCAAGAGTTTTAACTAAATTAGAAGCAGGTATAAAAGCACAAACTGTAAATAATGATGAAAAACCAATACTTAGAAACATCTTCACCAAAGCAATTAATAAAAAATTAGAATTACAAGCTGATCCAAAAAATGAACATATAAATCCATCACATTTAATTTATGATAGAGTCTTGGGGTTGTTACGTAAAAAGTTAGGACTTCAAAATCTTTCAGCAGTTACAACTGGTTCTGCACCAATAAGTCCAGAAACTATAAAATTTTTAAAAGCTGCTTTAAATACTGGATTAGCCCAAGGTTATGGTATGAGTGAAACTTTTGCTGGAATTATGGGAAGTTCAAAATTTGAAACTCAATCAAGTTCTTGTGGTCCAATTTCTGTTACAACAGAATGTAGATTAAGAGATTTACCTTCAATGGGTTATACATCAAAAGATAAAGGTGGACCAAGAGGTGAATTATTAGTTAGGGGTCCACAAATCTTTGCAGGATATTTTAAAAATCAAGAAGAAACTGAAAAATCATTTGATAAAGATGGTTGGTTTTATACTGGAGATGTTGCCAAGATTGATTCAGAAAATGGTAATAGAGTTTATATAATTGACAGAGTTAAAAATTTCTTTAAATTAGCTCAAGGTGAATATGTTACTCCAGAAAGAATTGAAAATACTTATTTATCAGCATTTCCATATATTGCTCAATTATTTGCTCATGGTGATTCTTTACAAACTTATTTAGTTGGAGTTGTTGGTTTAGATCCAATGTCAATATCTCAGTATATTAAATCAAGACATAATGAATCAATAACAGATCATGAAGATATAAAAAGATTTTTCAAAGATCCAAAACGTAAAAGAGAATTATTAATTGATATGAATAAATCTATAGCTGATCAATTACAAGGTTTTGAAAAATTACATAATATAATTATTGATATTGAACCTTTAAGTGTTGAAAAAAATTTAATTACTCCAACTATGAAGATAAAAAGACCAATTTGTACAAAATATTTTGAAAATGAATTAAAAGAGTTATATGATGAAGGTTCTATAATTAAGAGTGAAAAGTTGTAGATTAGATTAGATATAGATATCGGTTTTAAATAAATTAGATCTACCGGCTTTAAAATCGGATTTACAACCTCTTTGTGTTATCTTTGTTGTTAATCAATTAATGAGTACTCCACCTGACTCAAAACATAGTAGCAAGGTGGTGTCAATTGATTCAGGTAACTGCTGAGTAACTACTACCGGACTCATTCTTCAAGAGCATTCAAAACATGAATATTATTGATGGTGTTTTTCAAAATCAAAAAAGGTTATTCCCCACTTTTAGTTACTAACCTAAATATCTGTCATTGTTAAATAAAACCTAAAGTTATATTAAAAGTGGAGTATACAATGGTTAAATTAGCATAAATAATATGCTATTTTCCCTTTCAATGTTGGAAAATTATTCCCATCAACCATGTCATCATTAGTTCAAGAATCACCTGAAGAAATACTTGAACTATTAAAAAAGAAGTTACCAATTCCAAGTAGATTAACATCAACAGCTATAGAATTATCAAATACATCAACAGATGGGTATAGTTCAATTTATAGAAATTCATATGATCCATCAAAATTATATTCAAAATTACATCCTTCTTTAACTACATTATATGAATTTTTTGAATTTGGTTATCATTTTAATTCTAAAAATAAAGCATTAGGTATTAGAGAAGTTTTAAATGATGGTAAATTTGGTGATTATATTTGGCAAGATTATAAAACTATTAGAGAAAGAAGAAATAATTTTGGATCAGGTATATTTTACGTCTTAGAAAATAATCCTTTTGGTGCTAAATTTAATTATGATCCATTTGGAAATTATAAATCATTTGTTTTGGCTATATTTTCTCATAATAGACCAGAATGGGCATTAACTGATTTAACCTGTATAGCTTATTCTATTACAAATACTGCTTTATATGATACACTTGGTGCAGATACAAGTAGATATATTTTAGCATTAACAGAAGCTCCAATTGTTGTTTGTTCAAAAGAGAAAATAAAACCTTTAATAGAATTAAAAAGAAATCACAACTTAAATAATTTAATAGTTATTGTTTCAATGGATGATTTAGATAATTCAAATGACTTATATAAACTTGCTGAAAAGAATAAAATAAAATTATATGATCAAAGAACAGTTGAAGAATTTGGTAAATCAAAACCATTAAATCCAATTCCACCAACTTCTGAAACAACATTCACTATATCTTTCACAAGTGGAACAACAGCTGCACCAAAAGGAGTTGTTTTAACACATGGAAATGCTGTTTCTGGTCTTTGTTGGAGATTCAGTAGAACTTTTGGTGAACCAGATATTATTATGTCCTTTTTACCAATGGCTCATATTTATGAAAGAGCAAATGCTCAATTTTATTTATGTAATGGTGCTTCAATTGGTTATCCTCTGGGAAGAACTCCATTAACTTTATTTGATGATGTTAAGGTTTTAAAACCTACTGTTTTAGCTACTGTTCCAAGAATGTTAAATAAATTAGAATCAACAATCAAATCATTAACAATTAATAACCCAGATCCAAAGATCAGGCAAACATTTACAAAAGCTATTAGTGAAAAATTAAAATTACATTCACAACCAAACATAGATGACAATAACTCCCCTCATATAGATTATGATCCTTTATTAAATTCTTTAAGAGAAAAAATTGGAATGGGTAGTATAAAAACAATGACAACAGGAAGTTCACCAATTGATCCAAGAACTATAAAATTTGTTAAAGCTGCATTAAATGTAGGTATAAGTAATGGATATGGTTCAACTGAATCATTTGCTGGATTTTTAAGTAGTTTTAAATTTGATCCTGAACCTGGATCAATTGGTCCAATAGGTATAACTACAGAATGTAGATTAACAGATATACCATCAATGAATTATACATCAAAAGATATTGAAGGTCCAAGAGGTGAATTATTATTACGTGGTCCACAAATTTTTAAAGAATATTATAAAGACGCCAAAGCTACTTCAGAAGCATTTGATGAATTTGGTTGGTTTCATACAGGAGATGTTGCAAGAATAGATTCAAAAAAGGGAAATCATATATATATAATTGATAGAGTTAAAAATTTTTTTAAATTAGCTCAAGGTGAATTTGTTTCACCTGAAAAAATTGAAAATTTATATTTATCATCAAATCCTTTAATACAACAAATTTTTATTCATGGAAATTCATTAGAATCATATCTTGTTGGTATAATTGGATTAGATCCAGAGTTGATAAAAGAAAAATTTAAAATTAATAATTTAAATCAAATTGAATTTTTAAAATTTTTAAATGAACCAAAAAATAAAAAACAAATTTTAATTGAATTAAATTCTTCAATTGGTGATTCTTTACAAGGTTTTGAAAAATTACATAATGTTGAATTTAATATTAATCCATTAACTGTTGAAGAAAATCTTATTACACCGACATTTAAAATTAAAAGACCTAATTGTATTAAATTTTTTGAAAATAATTTAAAAAAATTATATGGTGAAGGTTCAATTTTAAGAAATGAAAAATTATAGATTGATTTTTTTTAGATTTATAGATTTCATTGAATATAGAAGTTTGATTTTTTGATTATTTACTTTTTATATTGAGGATAAGTATTATAAACCCTGAAGCAATACGGTAAACACGTACAAGAACTGAAACTATATAAGTTATTCGTAATAATAATATCCATAACCATTAAACTACATCAAACCAGTCACTTCCACCGTCCGTTGATTTTAATTTGAAACCAATAATTGAAACCTAGGCTTGTCGAGGATACGAATTTATGGTGCAACAATTCATATCCCTTGCAACCCTAGGTTTCAACATATTGAAGTTAGAATTGATTGATCACAATTTGAAGAATCAAACAAAGCTGAGAAACCCATCCCACCACCAATACCACTTGATTTTCCAAAGATCAATTAGATTTGAAAGACACAATTTTGGGATTAAAATCAATTGATATTTCAATAGCATCACCACGTATGAATTGGAGTGATGTTGAATTGATGTTTAATTGATGTTGAATTGATGTTTAATTGATGTTGAATTGATGTTTAATTGATGTTGAATTGATGTTTAATTGATGTTGAATTGATGTTTAATTGATGTTGAATTGATGTTTAATTGATGTTGAATTGATGTTGAATTGATGTTGAATTGATATTGAAATCCAATCTATCTATACTCAAAGGTGGGATATTCAGATATTAATTGATGCCACATCCCAAATCAAGTCTTTCAAACCTAATTGATCTTGTTGGAAGTTAGATGGAATTCTTGTCACAGCGGGTGGTTAAGTGATATTTTATGTATATTTGTTTGGTTCTTTTCATCTGAAGATTATTAATACCTGAATTTTATTGTTTGATTAATTATCTGTATGTTCAATATTTATACTTACGACTTGATGTTACCTGCTTATTGAATAATGATAATGAAGATGATGTCAGGTGACTAGTGTAGACAATGACTGGTTTTATTGTATAATTTTCATGAATAAACACTCAAATTTGTTGAAGTATTTGATGTGTGTTATCTATTTCTCAACTATAAAATTACTTACAAATGTTAGGATATTTATAATGATTTATATGTAAAGAAAATGTCGCTACCATAATATTATTTATGTTTCATTTACTATTGTTACTTCCTAATTAGGTATTAAAAGGGTTTAAATGTGAAACATAGAGATCTATATAGAGGACTTTATTTTTTTTTTTTTTTTCAAAACTAATTGTATATTAAATCAGTAGTCTAGCTTGTTAAACAGTAAAGGAATAAACTTAATTTAAAGAGGAAAGAACTATATACTATCTACCATTTCTTATATTTCCAGCATTCACCATCTGAAAAACCCCTGCTTTTTTTTTTTTTTTTTTCTTTTGTTTGTAAAATAATATAGATATGATGGTCCTGCTTGATCAAGAGTGTATACTCTTAAGCATGATTTAAAAATATTTATATCATTAAGATTATATTTAGCTATTTATTATTATTATATTTGTTATATTCATTCATATTATCCTTTAATTATTATTTGTAGCATTTGTTACTAATAGCTACAAAAAGAACAATTAATTAATTAATTGTATTAGGTTATTCAACTTAGACGAATCAATTTGAAACATCTAAGTATGAATTCACACAACGAGAATTCAATTTATTATAGACAAAAAGTAAAAGGTACAGTATATTAGTAAATGCAAAAATTTTTCATTTCTTTGATGTATCTGAGGCAATGAGGGCGCAAGTATAGAGATATTAAGAGTGAAGTCTTGATTTTTTTAAATTCATTATGCATGATTCATTTATCGGTTTCGAAACAAAAAAAGTTTATCATTGATTTTACCAGATGAAGTTTATATTAGCTTCATTATTATTCATATGTATAAGTTCATTATTGGTTTTCTCATAATTAATTCTTCTCTCATTATTATTTATAGTTTGAAATTCATCATCATTAATACTTCTTTCATTATTATTCGTAATCGACAATTTATCATTATTAATGTCATAGTCATTATTTCTTTCAAAATTCGTAGTATTACTCTCGGTATTCAAAAATTCATACTTTTTAGTATTATGTTTCTTATTTTTGTTCATCTAAGTGTTATTATTGTTATTCCAGATATTATTCAATTTTAATATAATTATCATTCGAATTCATCAGATTTAACTAGATGAATTAATGGACCAAGTTATAAAATTGACTAGAACAACCCCAAAAAATCTTTAATTACCAAGATAATTGATCACCAAGACATTATGAGAGCCATTAAATCTAATACAAACCTTCTAAATAGCAGAAATACTGGAAGCTGTAGTGTATTTCACTTGTGCTAACTTGACTTGATCTAATGCTAATTCGTAAACCACGTAGGCTGACCTGAGGAAATATCACCGATTTTGTAGAGTATAGTTTTTGAAATTGGAAGATTCAGAGATGTTTGATGAGTTTTCATAGCTAATTTTCTATGTTTTGAATTTCGAAACAGGCTAACATTTTAAAAACTTTAAGAACCAACCATCTTACAGATATTGACCTATTAACTAAATAAAAACTCAGAACTAACGATACTACCACCAAAGTGATCAAATCTGGTAAAGCTTAACATAGATGTATAATTCATGAAACTATCTCACACCAATTCTTACGTTCTGAATGCCATCAAAAAACTCATTTGCTTTCAAGTCATTTAACTAAGTATTGTTCTACAAAATAAAAGACAGAGCATGAACTTAAATTAATTTCAATTGTTTCAAAATTCTTACACAAACTAAACTATGCGGAGATATATCTATATTTGGCAACTCGGCAGGAAGCAAATACGCGAGTATGGTAGCACGCAACATAAAAAAATAAAAATTATCACCAGATTTAACTAGATGAATTAATGGACCAAGTTATAAAATTGACTAGAACAACCCCAAAAAATCTTTAATTACCAAGATAATTGATCACCAAGACATTATGAGAGCCATTAAATCTAATACAAACCTTCTAAATAGCAGAAATACTGGAAGCTGTAGTGTATTTCACTTGTGCTAACTTGACTTGATCTAATGCTAATTCGTAAACCACGTAGGCTGACCTGAGGAAATTATCACCTAAGATATTGGTATTGCTAGGCTGTATACCCCATAAACATTGACCGTTACCTGCATTGAATGTAAATTCACTCAAAGGTACAACAATTTTTGCTCCATTTCCAAATGTATATGTAACTGAACCTTGGGTACTTGCCCCGCAATCTATGAAATATGCTGATGACCCATCAGAGAAGTATTGAAGGCTGATTGTATTGCCTCCAACGTCTTGAGCAATTTGTGAGGCTATTTGTGGATCTAAATAGGTCAAGGTTGTTCCACTATCAAGAAGAGCGTCTTCAGAAACTTGATAATTTTGACCATTATAATTAATTGTATTTAAATTAATGAATAAGGCAACCCCAGGTTGAGTGACAGGTTCTGTAATTAATGATCCAGAATATTTAGCATTATCAACACCTCCAAAGATAATTTGACCAGATGAAGCAGATGGTGAATTCAAATATAATGAATAAGACAATGAATTGATTTTACCTTGTTTTTTCAATGTAACTGGAACATTATCATAGTTGCTGATATCACGATTACCATTAGCATCAGTAACAGCTTCATTACCAGTATAACCAATACCTAAAATACCTTGATTGACTGAAGTTTGAGTAACATCACCAAGTTGTTGACCAGTAATAGTAACCCCACCAAAAGAAACTGTATCTTTACCCCAAGTACCAGTTGAAGATGAACCATCACCATAACCAATAGCAAATTGAGCACCTAAACTTTGCCAAGTAGATGAAGATGATGGACTGAAAGTTCCACTTGATTTACAAGAAACTCTTGGAGCACATTGAGCATTTGAATCAACTACCCATAAATCTGATGATCCTGTATCAATAATAACAGTTTGAGGTTGTTTGTTTGATCCAACAGTAATTTTAGAAGCATATGAACTTCCTTCATTGATTAAACTTAATGGAATTGGTGATCTCTTTTCTAATTTCAATAATTCAGAAATAAATTTCGCAGTTGCATTAACATCAATTGGTTTGGTGATAACATCGAAATCTAAGGTAACAAAACCTGGTGAATCATCTCTTTTTTCTTCTGGAATGATAGTACCTTGAGCAAACAAAGCTAAAGCAACAGTTGCTAATACACTTTTGAATGAAACCATTTTGGATTTTATTGAATTAAATATGAGTTTTACTTATTGAAAGTTCTGATGAAGTTATATGAATTGATTTAGCAAATTATGGAATATCATGAAGTATTTATATTTACTGATGGTTTTCATGAATTGTGTTAGGATAGGTTTTGCATTTGATGCCGTTCGTTTGAAAGTAAAATGAATTTCACCATTTATCATGAATATCGAATCATTTTTAACCCTCAATAACTTTTTCAACAACAATAGAAACACATTATGACATTAAACAATCAATTAGATTTGAGGAAAAAAAAACAATAAGAATTCTCTCTTTCATGTTGATGATATGTAATCTAGTTTTTGTGTATATGCAATGTTACTAATTTATTGTTTCAAACTGTAATTATAAAATATGCACTAAACTCAATGAAATGTCATTACACAATCTTTCTCCACATGTAGTTGTTATACAGCTACGTTTTGACACGTATTCCTCATTTAGCTTCCGTCCTATAGTAACAATGAAATAATACTTGAGTTGTGATACTTATTTTGAGGCACGATTTTGATTAGGTTCATTCTCTTAAGTTGAATACTTAGTTTCGTTTTTGTGACCAACAAATTCTAAACATTTTAGTTTTAATACACCGAACCGTTATGAAGATTTGGTCACAAAATAATAAAACTAGAAACTCGGAATTCTTTTATCCTAAGGAATGTGTTTAATATAGGGGATATTTGACTGAGTTTGAGGTTAGAGCTAACATTAAATTTGACACAACAATAATCAGTTAAGACTAACCTTAAAATTTGACACAATAATCGGATTTGATAATAAACATCATTGCCTCCGGTCATAACCAGTGGAGGAGTAATTAAAAATATTTCCTACAAATCAGAATTCTAAGCAAAAGTAATTTAGGTTATTTATTTATTGAATTGCTGCAGAATGTTTAATTATAGCTGATACTGAACTACCCCATTCAAATTCTGGTATGATTCAACTGCTTGCAGATAAATATTTAGCTAATAAAGTCGTTGTTTTGACCTGACCAAATTGATTGAACTACAAGAAAAGTCAGAGCCGTATCTGCGAAGGGACGATCTTTATTTTTTTGAGATCATAGGAAGATGAAAATTTTCTAAGCGTTATTGTGGGAAGAATGAAAAAGAATTGAAAAAAGAGATAAAATTTCAACAATAGGTTTAGTTGTAAGCAACAGTTCAAATGATGGATCAGCCATAAAATAGTTAAATGTGTTTAACTTCGTTTATCATGTGATTGGGACAAAAGTTTTCTATTTCTTTTGAGTGAACAAAGTTTTTGTGTTAAAGCGCATATATACCAACTTGGTTCCAAAAGTAGACAAATGTTGCACAATTATTTATATTTTTAGTATCCAATAACCTTTAATTTGCAAATTTTCAATTTTGTACATTTTTTTAAATTTACAAAATTATTTAAGTGGCTTTGCGTTTCTACAGAAATTGTTGATTAGCTTAAGCTTATTCGGTCTTATCTTATCAAATTTAATCACTACGGACAAATATCATAACGTCGATCTTTCTTCTTTATACTTTCCCATTTTTTTTTTTTGAAGCCTTTGCTATTGAAATTTTATAAAAAATTTAATACCGTTGAGGTATCAGATCTAGCCAAGAAAAAGAAATTCTAAAACTTGTTTCAACATTTTGACATATTTTTCAAGAAAAAATTAAAATAAAAAAAACCGTTTAATTTCAAATTTAAGGTACACCATCAGATAAGAATATTTTATAATTATGAATTCTAATCAAAGTTATTTTCACCAAGAGTAATTCACTTTTTGGACTATAAACTATGCGAAAAATTGTGGATGATAAGTTTAGTTCTTCTAAATTTAACTCAATCAAATACCTATCCACAATTTACTTTTTGTGTTACTGAAGTTTTAATTGGTTATTCCTTTATCGCGTGAATTTCAGTTTCAAATTTCAAGTTCACAAACAATTACTCAGTGACTCCTAAGTGTTTTGTGTTTCCTTGAGTCTGAAGTTGGGTTTTGATTTAAAGTCAAAAGCGCTAATTTCATTCAATTCTATTAACTCTGAAAGATTTGGTGCCGTTTAGTTGTTGTAAATCTATACTATGTTCTTTTATTCATACTGTTTATAGAGACCTCCACATGATTCTTTTGGCTTAACTCGAACAATGTGTGTATAAAGACTACATATTTTCGAACGGAGTTTTGTGCTGGTTTCTACGAGTTCTAGAGTTTTATTCAAATTTCGGTGCATTCTTCAATGACACAAGATTACGGGGATTAATCTTTTTTACGATAACTTACTAGGTGCATACATAATTGCGTCCAAAACAGATTCATCAGAGCGCATATTCTCGAGTATTCTGAGATTGGTTATATGATCAAAACTTTTGATGAAACGTTTTTCCAAAAACACATTCCGGATTAAACGTGTTTAGTTTGCTCAACAAGACTCTTAGTTAAAATCTAATTATAGAAATATCGATTCAAAGGAATGGTTAATTAAGAAATCACAAAAATTAATAAATTAAAACGTTTCTTTAGTATAAATTAGACTCTATTGTTCAGAATAAAACCATTCTTTATTGACATCACTCTATTTCTTTGAATTGGAAAATGATCTAAAAATTGTGAAGTACTGAATTATATGGCCCAAAACTAGAGGTTCGTAAATAGAGTTCCTGGGGCTGATATTTTTTGAGTAAATGGTTCCTTTGTTGATCCACAATTTATTGTCCATCAAATATATTTCCTCTCAATGGAATGGCTTCATGGGTTATGAAGTAAACTGGTTTGTTGACAATAGTGGAATGTTGCTCTGGTAAACATTCTTTATTCTCATAATGTTTTAACTTTGAATGAAAGGAGAATTGAAATAACCCACTGGTTATGTTGACATTTTTTACATTTTTTTAATTACAAACAAATACATTTTGGGAAAACTGCATAAATTTTGCATCAAGGTATAATTGAACGAATTAAATTAGAGTAAGAACATGTTCCTCGTCGTGTTTTTGTTGCTTTACCAACAATAATGGTTAAATGAATGCATCAATCTTTACCCCTATTTTAATACTAAGGTTGTTGACATACAATTATGACAAAAGAGGAGTAAATGTAAAATCCTTTGATTCATTAGATATATTACCATGCTATAAATCGGAGATTATCACAATTCAGTCACAAAATTCAAGATGATGATTGCATTCCAACTAAAGCCAGATTTGATTTCTTATCATGCTTAGATTTTCTATTATGATTAGCTTTACTTGCTTTATTCTTTTCATTTCTTGCTTGTTTATGCTTTAATTGATCTTTTGTGGGTGGAGTATTTTGTTGTTTGATTACAGGTGAAGATGATTTGGTTTCAATTTCATCTATGTTTTTAGCGGAGTTTTTATTCTGAATTCTCTTATTAGGATTACCACCACCATATAAATAATCTTCTTCTAGAATTTTGAACCTTCGAGGAGATTTTAATAACATTCTTGACCAACCTTCAATTTGTTCATCTGACCAATCTGTTTCTTTTCTCAATTTTGATCTATCTGATGATTTTCTTTTAAATTTACTAAACGCTTCAGCTCCATCCTTTTTAAATATTGAAAAAAGATACCTTTCTTTTGGATCAACGTCAACAAAAGCTGGTTTCTTATCATCAGTTAATACTGCCATCTTATTACTATGTCTGTTTTTACTATCTTCTTCTAAAGCCAGACCAGTTGTTTTTTCTTGATCTTCATAAGTATCATCAGGTTCATCTTCATCACTTTCATACATTAGTCTTAATGCTGCATTTAAAGTTTTCTTTTTCAAATCTTCATCTGTTGATCCTAATGATTCTCTTTGCTTTTTACCAAATGTTACTTTCGATTTGGAAAAATCACCTTTTGATATATCATCGTCATCATATATTGACCTTTTTGGTGTAGGTGCTGCAACTTTAATGTTAGGCTTTGGTTCGACTTGTTTTGGAGTTTCAGTTACGGAGTTTATTAAATCAGGGTTTTCAAGGAGCAAGTTTGTAACGTGTTCAACATCCCCATTGTGTTGTTTTAATATTATTTTTGCCTTTCTTTCTGTCATGTCAGGAAACAAATCAACAAGCATTGATATACCTTCTATATTTTGCTCAAATTCGTCCTCTTCGTCAATTATTGCACCTCCAATGAGTCTTAAAAATTGTAATTTTTCCTCTAGTTTTGGAATTAGTTCTTTAAAAGATTCTGATATGATAATTGAGCTAAACAATGGAGCTACAGTCAAAGTATCAACAGAAGAAACACCTAAATCGTGAGCTAATTTTGCTAATTTTGAAGTAGACAAAGATAACAATGACAACACCATCACATTCTTTATGGCATTTGCATTAACACTTCTCCCACCAGCATACAAATTCTCCAACAATTCAATCCATTCACTAGAAACAAAATTTTCAGCAAATGATAAACTATTATTTGAACTTTTACTTACACTTTTATTTGATCCCATTGAAAAAGTTGTAGTCTTAGTTGTATGTTGTCCTAATAAAATTGTTAAACAAGTTAAATCATAATCACTAAATTTACCATTTATAATTAATTGTTCTAAATATTTTTGTAATATAGAAATTGAAGAAATTTGACCTGATTTTTTATTATCATTAAATTTTGATTTATAATTTCCATCAATTAAACCTCTAATAGTTTGAATATTTTTAAAACAATATATTTTAATAAAATTCCAAATCATTTCTCCTGTTATATTTAATTTAACAAAACTATAATTTTTAATTACTTGAAATACTAATGATCTTAAAATTTCTGTGTTTTTAGTAATATCTGGATTTATAGCACCTAAAGAAAATACCTTATCATTTTCTTCACTTGTTTCTTGTAAATATATTTTTAAAAATAATTGTAATTGTTGTTGTGATTTAACATTTAATTTTGGTGAATTTGAATCAAGTAAAAATTGCATCAATTGATTATATGCTTGTAATAAATGAGCCCAAATCACTGGATCTTTATCGATCATAGAAGACCTTAATTTGAAAGGTGGGAAATGAGGTATTGGTATATATATTGATTCAGAGTCGGTCATTAGTCCTTGCTTTAACTAAAGTTGTAATGATTCATGTTGGAAAATTATTAGTCATCTTCGTTTTGAATATCAACTTTGAGTCAAAATTAAAGAAAAAATTAAGTCGGTGTATAATACGATGTTTTAAAACTAGCACTTTAAAAATTTATAAATTAGCGTCGTGGCGCAGTGGTTAGCGCGCAGGGCTCATAACCCTGAGGTCCCCGGATCGATACCGGGCGACGCTATTGATGGGAATATGTAATTTTCATTTTTTTTTTAATTCCATTGAAACTTAAGGTGTTGCGTATATGCCTTTCATGTATTGGATTATATGATTCAAGTTGCCTAAGTAGATTTGTTTACTTAATAAAGTTCACTCATAATATATTTTGTATAACTATTCGCAAATAGTTGGCATGAAAATTGCTGCAAATTTTTTTTTTTCTTTTCAAAACTAATTGTTTATTAAATCAGTAGTCTAGCTTGCTAAACAGTAAAGAAATAAACTTAATTTAAAGAGGAAAGAACTATATACTATATACCATTTCTTATATTTCTAGCATTCACCATCTGAAAAACCCCTGCNCCTGATTGATTAAAAGTTTATACTCTTAAGCATAATTTAAAAATATTTGTACCCATTTTTTTAATACATGTTCGGAAAGGTCTAGCCTTTCCGGCTGAGTTCGTCGGAACCCATTTAATCTTAAAATTGCTCGTAGGTACATGTTAATTTCCCTCATTTCTGAAGGCGATAATAGTTGATTACAGATTAGGACTCGAGATTGTAGACTCTTATTTCTTGGACCAAGTAATTGCCATATGAATTTGGAAATTTCACAATGGAATATCAAGTGATTCGAGATAATCCTTGATGGTAAGGCAAATTTAAAATAAAATGATCTCAAAAGACAATATTTCACAACCACTAAACCAAAAACCAGCTCAGTTGTGTGTTCATGTTATTCTCTTAAGCTTTAAGAATTTTTAGTTCCAGATCTTACCATCAACCTTGTAAACCAAAACTTCAAGCTCTCGAAAATCGCGTCAACTTCTTGATCATAATTTTAATAACACAAAGTTAAAAAAAAAAAATGAATCTGACGTGGTCTCAAAATCAGAATGAAAAATTATTGATTAATACTTATCTCCATTTAAACTTAAACAATAAAAAACAATCACACTTCACTCTACTTAAATAACTCCGTACAGTAACAGTTAAATATATTCAATTAACTCAATAATGGTATGTTTCAAAATCTTCAGGAATCTCAATCCATTGAATCAATTTTACTAACCATACCCCAGGCTTTACAAACACCAAAACAAAAAGCAGCTAATGCAAAATTTGAAAAAAAAAATACTAAACAATGGGGTCATAAGAAACAAGATCCAAAATCAAAAGTAGAATATCCTGTTAGTAAAACTTGGTTATTTGTATTATTATTTTTAATATGTGGTGGTGCTATACTAGAATTAATTAGATTGATGTTTTAATAATGCAACAAATCTAATTAAAAGCGAGAGAGGTGAAATGTTGACTTAGGAATAGGCTGCTGGTTATACCATTACAATTAGGACAGCTAAGGGAATGTTTTCAAATTTAGAAAATTGAAATTCGCCATACAGAAGTTCGAATAATTCAATCAACACCTTTACGCAGGTTTTATAAGATTTATAAAATGAAATAAATGATAACGTTTTAATGAAAATACACAAATAAGTTATTAAATAATAGTCTATAAAATGAGATTTATTGAAAACATTAATGCAGCGAAAACAATGACCAATGAAGCTTTTAATGATGATCCACTATTAGTTCTACCACCAGATGATGAAGAAGAAGAACCACTTGATGATGAAGAACCACCACCAACTCTTGTTGAATTTTGTCCTCCACCTAATGTAACATCATCAGTTATAACTTCTATATCTTCATCATCAGTATAATAAACTTGAGCAATATGAACTTCATATTCTTCTAAATCATAAACAATATAAGCACTTCTTAAAATATTATCACCAAATAAAAGATAATTCGATGATGTTGATTGTTCAAATAATCCTAAAAAGCATTGATTTCTTGATGCTTGAACAACTAAATCTGAAACTGGAACTCTAATAGTTTTATTACCAAACGCTATATCTAAAGTTGATTGAGAATTTAAATATTGACAATCAACTAAATATGCACCAGCTGAACTATAATATCTACCATTTAATGCTTGAGCAACAGATTGAATTTGATCTGATCTTAAATATGATAAAGTTGAACCTGAATCTAATACTACTCCAGTACTTGAACTTGATACAGTTACTGTATCACCTCTATTATTATTTAATCGCATTGAATTAATTTCAACTTCAAATCTAACAGGAATATCAATTTGTTGATAAGTTTTTAACATTGGTAAAGTATATAATGAACCTTCATATTTTGCATGATCAATAGCTCCAAATAAAACATTACCAGTTTTAGCATTAGCTTCATCTAAATATAATGAAAAAATTTCTCTTTTTATAATACCATCTGATTTTAGTTTAATTGGTAAATTTTCATACATATAACCATATTGAGTTGTAACTTCTAAACCAGGTAATCCAATACCTAATACTCCTATATCACTTGACGTTTCATTAGCTACAGCAAAACTTAAATCAGTAACAGTAACATTTCCCATTTTAACATTATCATGTCCCCAAATACCTATAGCATGAGTACCATCAGCATAATTAATTTCAAATGAATTAGTATTATTTTTAACAAAAGTATCTGAATTTTCTGTATTAAAAGAACCATATGATGTACAAGTATTTGAACCACCACCTGATCCTCTTGTAGTTGAACCAAATGAATTTCCTCCACTTCCACCACCTGGTAAATCTGATGAATCTGGTCCTTCAGTTATATAAATTGTTGAATATATTGAATTATCATCTCTTTTAACTTTTTTAGATTTTGTTGGATTTATTGCTTTTGAAGGAAGTTTAACTCCAGTACCAAAATTAAATACATTTTTTGGATCAGCTTCTCTTTTTCTATTTGTATTTGCAACACAATTTAAATCATGAGACATTACCCATAAATCTGAAGATCCTGTATCAACCAATACTTGATTCTTATCTCCATTCGATCCGATCTCAAGATCAGCCATATAAAATGTTTGTTCATTACTTAATTCTAATTCAAATGATCCATCTCTTTTAACAAATCTTGGTGCATCATTATCAATTGGTGATAAATCATCTTTTGATGAACCTCTTCTAACATTAAATTTCAATTTTAAACCTTGATTTTTATCTCCTTCTGCTGTTACAATCAGGATCAAAGAAATTAGTCCAATGGATATATTTGTAAATTTCATATTGATTCAATGACCTTGCGTGATTTATGGAAATTTTGATGATTTTAGTGAAGGTTGGTTGTAGGAGTTATTTGATGAGTGAGTTGTAGAAACAAGTGGAGATGGTGTATGTATGTGCAAGGCTTGGATCTAAGGTTATTTGCTTTCGGAAACTTTTATTTAAGAAAAATGTTTCTATTTATAAACCGATCTTTTTTTTGCTTTGTTCTCTTGAAATATTTATACGATTTTCAACTAATTACTTCAATTCAATTATTAAATACGAATTGAATATTGTATAATGATTGTTTAATTGAGATCTGCAGATAATTGTTAAACTAACGACGAAATCTTCTGGTATATCAACTAGTAGTATGTAAGATCTTGACAAATGTATGATCTTTGAGTTTAAATATAGAAAAAGAAAAACAAACTGAGAGTATTTCAAGAGAAGACTTATTATATATATATACATGTAAATTAACCTTTGAGAAATGAATTGAATCAACGTCATACTTTCAACTTTAAATCATAATGAAAATTTTCTTAATTTATCAACTTAGTTACGAAATGATATTAATTTTCAAAATTGGAACACAAAAATAAGCATGTGTAAACTATACATATATCAATGAAGTGGGTAATACAATAAATTTACCAAGATAAAGTTTGTGGTTAATTAAGTGCTTTTAGAACTAAAGGGTTATAATGAACTTGGCGAAGTCTTTTAATTGTACCTTGTCATTCATTTTTCAGTAATTTTATGATCTAAACAAAATTAAAGAGAATACAAACCAGTTTTCTTGACTTTTGAAATTTAGTTAATAATTAAGGATTGTAATTGGATAAAAGCTTACAATATTATTTGCATCTTTTCTTTTGCTCCTAATTCAAGTGTAGGCTAAGCTATACTGTAATTGAAACATGTTTCATATTTAATTGCTTTTATTTCAATTACTAAACTTATTAGTAATCTCAATATCCAAGAAAAATATCATTATTTTTTTGTAAATCATGGGTCAAATGAAATTCTGGTTTCATCAACAAGGGGTATGAGCAGAAGAACATCGGTAAAACGTTGTTCCTTTCGTACCGAGTTGAAGAAATTAAATTTAGACATATTTGTGAAAATCAGATTGTTATTTGAAAAATAAAAAAATTATTTTTCTGAAACATTAATCTTGTTTCAAATTTATTTTCTATATCAGGATCATGGCTCGGACCTTAATTTCTGTGGATGATACTAAACTATTCTAAATCTTTCTTCATAATTTTCAAATTCATTATCAATAGCCTTAAACACATTATCTGATACTACAAGACTTTGCTTTTGTTAAAAAACTCTAAATTTTGAATTTGACTAAAAAACATTACAATGATTGAGTTTAGTAGCAACTAAAGCATCTGCTGACATTTGAAAGAAGAAGCTTTCAAGAGTTTATGAATTCCTTTTGTTCTTCTGTAGATGGATTTCAAGTCATTCTTTTACTAACACCTATTTACCCCATAATTCAAAATCGTATAAATATGGAACAAATTTTTGTACACAAAATCAGTGAGGCTTAGATTCTAAAACGTTTTACAGCATTCGATCGAGTACTGAAACAATCTCTGAATCACATCAGGTACCAAGTGATATGAGCCAAAATAAGAATTGAATGCTGTGTTAAGCCATAAGAGCACACTTGCATAATCCCGAGTTTTTTATAGTGTTTAGCTCATCTTATGGATGATACATAGAGGAAAACAATATAGCTTAGAATGTAGACGATTTGATTAAACCTACCATATATGATCAGTTTATCCATAATCCATTCATTGCACCTGTATCTATATTTGAGAATGGAAATACAACAAACTCGAATTTTATTTCGTCGTTAAGAATACTCAGAGATGAAAATTATGGAAAAAAAAAAGTGTTGTAAAAAAATTGACATTTGCAACACTTTAATAATCCCATCAACTACAGCTCAAAAATGGCTTCATCAATCCAAAACTTTACAATAACAAAATTTTCCAAGTTTGAATCCGAAAATTGGTATCATTATCCTCAACGATCAAATTTATCAATTACTTTCAACGATAAAAAGGAAAATGATGAAATTCAAGTTGTAATTCAATATAAAGGTTCAAATTTAAAAGAAATTATATTATTCAACAACAATACTGAAAAAGTAGTTACTTCGCTTTTAGCTAAATCACCATGTATTGGAATAAAACAAAAAAACAAACAGAATGGAAATTTGTTATCAAGATTTCAAATTAGTTTAATTGATGATAATGAATTTAGAAATTGTTTATTATATTTAAAATCTTGTAAGTTTAATGAAAATGGGTATAAATCCAACGATGAAACTTGTTCAGAATTATCAATTGTTACAAACATGACTGATCAAAAATCTACTCAACTGCAAATCAGAAATAACAAAAATTCAACATCTCAAATTGATTTAGATAGTGTTGCAACAAAACGATCATGGTCACTTTCCAATGGTAAATCTCAATTGTTAGAACAACCTACTAAAATTCCAAATTTACAACAACCAAATGTATCACAACCAATTTTACAACAACAAAATGTATCTCAACCAATTTTACAACCACAAATCCTTTATCAGTTTATACCTCAATATATGAATCATTTTACTCCACCGTTCCAACAAAATACAATTTCAGAAACAACATCAGAATCAAGAAGACCTGCAAAGACAGCAAAGTCAAATCCAACATTCTAATTCTCAATTACAAATTAATCAACAACAGGAAATGCAACAAAGTCAACTTCAGCAACAATTTACTCAGGAAAATAGAAGTCAACAATTGCCACAAACGATTTTATCTAGTTCTCAAAATCTAGTCCAAAACGCTAACACAGTGTATTCTCAATTCCCAATGCATCATCTGCAACCATTAATGAACTCACAAATCAATTATCCAAATGTTCCCAGAAATCCAATGAAAATTCCAATTCCAATACATTCAAATCAAAATCAAAATAGTCATCAAAACGTTATATTTCAACCAAATGATTATACCAAAGATTATAAAGAATCAATTAAAAGTCCCACAACAACTGAAACTTCATCAATTGAACAAAATGATAAAGATTTAAAAGAAATGAATTTGGATGAACAAATTAAATCAAAAATCTTGAGTGAATTAAAAGATTTATCAAATTTAACTGATTCAAATTTAAGAAATTTAATTAGTAAAACTTGTCAATTAAATGAATTTAAAGAATTTGTTCAAAAATTGGATAAAATTGTTGAAAATAATTGATGAATTAAATGTTTGTTGAAAGTATTTAAGTGTTGAAGCTTATATAGCTAATATAAATCATTTGAAGATGTGGAATGACATTTCTTGTTTAAAACTCGAATTCACAAATGTTTAGATTGATTTGAAACTCTGTATGTGAATATTGGTTGATAAAATCTGAAACAGATTCCTGTAACGGAATATTAACGGATCTTGTGTTAGCCGACACGTGACTCTTAGAAGACTATGCACGTTGTTTTAAAATTGAAATCACTTTAAGACATACTTAATTTAGGTCTGTCGGTTTTTCAATACGGACATTCTGTAAATTAGAAACGACTTATGACTAAGTACTTGTGACTGTGAAAATTTAATAAAAATCTGAGTTTTGACTTATTACTGAATAGTTCCTAAACCTGTTTTGAATTTCGAAGACGTTTCTACTTTGGTGATCTATCTTAACTACATATCTAAGCGGATCTAAATTTCACATTCAATCAAAAGCTAAAAGTTTAAACAAAGAAAAAAAAATTAAATATTTGATTCAATTATTCAGTCTGAAAAATTCCCCAACAATTTAATCATACCGATTTAAGAACTTTTGATAATTTTTTTCATATTCCAAACACAACCTGGAACTTCACACACCATCCAACAATATGAAGATCTCAGAAAAACTAAATCAAGCACATAACATCACTAATCCGCCACCTGCAACATTTTCGTTTGAATTTTTTGTACCTAAAACCTCACAAGGTGTTCAAAATCTTTATGACAGAATGGATAGAATGTATGATTTGAATCCTATTTTCATTGATATTACATGGAATGCAGGTGGTAGATCATCATCTTTAACTAATGAAATGGTTTATACAGCTCAATCAACTTTAGGTTTAGAAACTTGTATGCATTTAACATGTACAAATATGAAAGTTGAATTAATAGATGAAGCATTAAGAAAAGCTTATAAATCTGGTTGTCAAAATATTTTAGCATTAAGAGGTGATCCACCATTAGATGGAAGTGAATCAACTGGTGATTTTAAATATGCAAAAGATTTAATTAAATATATTAGATCAAAATATGGAAATCATTTTAATATTGGAGTTGCAGCATATCCTGAAGGTCATCCAGAAGAAGATGATGAGCAAAAGACATTACAATATTTAAAAGAAAAATGTGATATTGGAGCAGATTTTATAATTACTCAAATGTTTTATGATGTTGATAATTTTATTTCATGGTGTGAAAAATTAAGAAAAATTGGGGTTATTATTCCAATCATACCAGGAATTATGCCAATATCAACATATGCTGCATTTATAAGAAGAGCAAATTGGTCAGAAATTAAAATTCCTCAACATTTCTTAGATGCATTAAATCCTATAAAAGATGATGATTTTTTAGTAAGAGAAAAAGGTACAGAATTAGTAAGTGAGATGTGTTTAAAATTAATTAAATCAGGTCATATAAATCATTTACATTTTTATACAATGAATTTAGAAAAAGCAACTGTAATGATATTAGAAAATTTGAATTTAATAGAAGCTATTAAATCTCATGAAGTAGTAGGAGCTACTGAATTACCTTGGAGAAAATCATTACATCCAGAAAGATCAAAAGAAAGTATTAGACCAATTTTTTGGCAAAATAGAAAATATTCATATATTTCAAGAACTGCAACTTGGGATGAATTTCCAAATGGTAGATGGGGTGATTCTAGATCTCCTGCTTTTGGTGATATTGATCTTTGTGCTTCTGAATTATTAAGACAATCTCCCAAAAGAGCATTTGAACTATGGGGTATTCCACAAAATTTAAAAGAATTAAGTGATTTAGTTATTTCCTATTTAAAAGGTGATTTAAAATCTTTACCTTGGTCAGATGGAGCTGTTGGTGAAGATACAAAATTAATTATTGAAGATCTTATAAAATTAAATAAACATGGTTTAATAACTATGAATTCACAACCAGCTTTAAATTCAATTAAATCATCAGAAAAAATTTATGGATGGGGTCCTAAAAATGGTTATGTTTATCAAAAACAATATTTAGAATTTTTTTGTCATAAAGATATAATTTCAAAATTATTATATAAAATAGATGATTTTAATTCAAATCAAGGAGAAAGTTCATCATCAATTATTACATATTATGCAGTTGATGTTGATGGTAATTTAAGTTCAAATTGTAAAGATGATGATATTAATGCAGTTACTTGGGGTGTTTTTCCAGGTGAAGAAATCTTACAACCAACAATTGTTGAAAAAACATCATTTTTAGCATGGAAAGATGAAGTTTATAGATTATTTTCAGAATGGGATAAAGTTATTTCATCAAATAAAATAGATATAAAAGATATTTCAAAACTTTCAAATTTTACAAATTTAATGAATCAATTTGAAAAAGAATTTGTTTTATGTAATTTAGTAAATAATGATTTTGTTGATTCCAATTCAACTTTATTCAACTTAATCAATGATTTAAATTTACAAGAATTATAAGACACATCTCATTAGATATTACGTTTTAACGATCAATTAATCAAAATTTTTGAAAAGTTTATTCAATTCCAATTCATTTCAACAGGTATTATACATTTTATATATATTAATTTTAGCATCCTCAACGGCATGGGTTTATTTAGTAGTTTATAATGGTAATTATAAAAGTTTTATAATAGAAAATATTTAATCTCTGAGGTCTTTAAAGTTTTACCCGATAGGTAATAAGTCAAAACTTAACCGGTATAAGTGACAAAAGCCGCATGACGAAAGCTGTGTCGTTTCTCAAAGTAATTCTCAAATCAATTTTGAAAAAATATTTACCAACTCTAATAATTACGAGCCAATTAGAGAAATCAAAATATTAAGCAAAATCAACTCAATTTCCTAGACCAAACGACAATTACTTATTCAAAACTCCTTCCGTATAGATAACTAATTTCAAACATATACAAATGCAACCATATTCAAGATTTGGAGGGACAAGAAGATGCTTTTTTGAATTTCAAAAATTAGTAGATTGTACAACATCATCAGATACCACATCAAAAAAACAATGTTTACCTAAATTTGAAGATTATAATGAATGTTTACATGGATTAAAAGAAAGAGAACAAGTAAGGATATTAAATAAACAATTGAGTGAAAATGTAGCTAATGATAAAGGAATAAATCCGAGAGAATTATATAATGGAGTTCAAATTTATGAAAATTTGGATTTAATAAAGAAAAATTAAATTAGATGAATCGAATGTATATTATGATTATAGTTGTTCCTTGAGAGTTACAGGAGACTTTTAATTTTCATTAAATCTTTAATAATCCAAAAGGTTTGCTTTAAGAGGAATGACCGAGATAAGTTGCAGTATTTTGACAAATGATCCGATCAGCTAAATTCGTCTTCCCACTATTTGGAGCCTCATCTAACTCTATAATCTTTCAAGCTGAGACCAGATCTTACATCTTTTCTTAACTGTCCATAAAAGTTTCAAACTGAGACCAAATTCTACTTCTTTATTATACGATGGACATCTTGAAAGCACTTTCGCAGTAGTAAGCAATTGAACAACACTATCTTTGTTTCCTTCTCACCATGATCTTGTTCTGTCTCGTTATCTCCAAAGTCTTGTTGCAAAATCAAGATGCACCAAATTTGTGTAGAAAAAAAATACCATATTTGAAGTTACTTTTGCAACCTCATACAGAAAGCTCAATATCATTACATATTCACAAATTCAAATGCCAATATAACAATAACCAAACCCTAAAATGGACGTCAAAAATCAATTAATAGTCCAAGATACAAGCACAAAAGTATCTAGACCTAAACAAACAATCCAAGATCTTGAAGAACTATATTTCAATCAACAAACGAAAAGAAAAGAATATGAACAACAAATAAACAAGAATAAATTAAACTATGGCCAATGGCTACGGTACGCTAGATGGGAATTAGAGCACAATCATGATTTTGCGAGAGCTAGATCAATCATGGAAAGAGCGTTAGATGTTGATATACAGCATATACCATTTTGGATACAATATATTCAATTTGAATTAATTAATAAGAATATCAATCATGCCAGAAATTTATTAGAAAGAGCAATAACTAAATTACCAAAAGTTAATAAATTATGGTTTTTTTATATCCAAACAGAAGAAATGTTGAAAAATTATACAAAAGTTCGAGAACTTTTTGAAAGATGGATTGAATGGAATCCCGATGAAAGTTGTTGGGATGCATATATACATTTTGAATCTAGATATGAAGAAATTGATAATGTGCGAAATATTTATAAAAGATATGTTAGTTCGCATAATGATGGTGAAATTTGGTTAAAATGGATTGATTATGAATTGACTAATAACGAAAGTGATAAATTAGTTATAAGAGCAATTTTTGAATCTGCAGTAGATTCATTCTTGGAAAAGTTGAATTCAAATGGAATAGAAAATGAAGAACTTTTTTCACAAATAATAGCCAAATGGCTAAGGTGGGAATCAAAATGTATGGAATATGATAGAGTTAAACAAATTAGGACAATTTTAGTAAGTAATGATAGATTTAAATTTTCTGCTAAAATTAAAAACGCAATTTATAATTCAATAAATGAAGTTGAGGCAATTTTAGGTGATAAAGATTCAATTGAATCTGGAATAATTTTCAAAAGAAAAGCCAAATATGAAAAAGACATAGAAGAAGATCCATGCAATTTTGAATCCTGGTGGTCATTAATTTCAATAATTATACAGAGTGATGAAGAAGCTTTAATACGACAGACTTTTAAAAAAGCAGTTTCAAATATTCCTTCGATCGAATTTGGTAAATCTGAGACTTGGAAGAAATTCATATTACTATGGCAACGATATGCATTTTGGGAAGAGTTTGATAATAAAGAACTAGAACTAGCGAGGCAAGTATGGAATGATTGTATAAAAATTCTAACTCATCAATACTTCACACTGGGTAAAATATGGATAGGCTTGTTTGAGTTTGAATTAAGAAATAACGCATTAGAAGGTTTGACTAAAGCTCGTAAAACTTTTGGTAAAGCTATGGGTTTAATGAATAAATATGGTCCAAAACCAAAAGTTATAAAATATTATATAAAATTTGAGAGCAAATTGGCGGAATGGGATAGAGTTCGATCAATATATCAAAAATGGCTTGAACTATCTATTATATTTGGTCTACGTTGTAATAGAATTGTGAAAAGATATTTGAAATTTGAAATGGAGCTTGGAGAAACAGAGAGATGCGAGTCGGTATTAAAGATGGTCTTGGGACTTGGTAATGATGAACGAACTGCTCGGTCATTTGATCAGGAAGATATGTTCAATTTAGCAGTGGATTTTTTTACTGACGAAATGAAATATGAAGAAATTAGAATGTTATACAGAGATAGAATAAAACTCAATCCAACAACAGATAATTGGATAGCATTGGCTTTATTTGAATCTTCCATTCCATCATCAGCACAATTGGAGGAATATCTAGCTGTAGAAAATGAAGAATTTGAAATTGATATAGGTGAAGAACAACTAACTAACACGAGAGAGGTTTTTAATGAGGCTGATTATTATTTCAAAAGTAGAAATGACAATGAGAGTAGAAAAGTCATTTTGGAAGCGTTTAAGGATTATGAAGAGGTGAATGGTGATGAGATATCATTAAATTCAATCAATGCAAGACTACCTGAGAGAATTAAAAAGAGAAGGAATATAGACGGTATTGAAGAAGAATACTATGATTATATTTTTAATGATGAAAAGGAGGACGACGAAAGAGACGAAGATCAAGATAATCTTAAAGAGACAAACAATGACGACACCGAAGAGAAATATAAACCGCCACCTGCTTCATTGAACAAGTTCCTAGCAAATGCTAAAAAATGGGCAGAAAGTCAAAATTGAATCACATAATCATGAACACGTTTACATTGATGAATCTAGTTTGAATATATAATTATTAAGCCATTGTAATCACCTTGATTGAGTATTATATGTATTTCTTCCTGTCAACCTCTTTTATCAATTACCTCCTCTCAATGTCAATACCAAATGTAACGAAGCTCCTGCTTGAATACCAGATTCTTGAACAGTTTTGTCATCATCCAATTGTGAGCCATTGAAGATCAATCTTTGTTGTGCTGGTGAAATACCTTCTTTTTCTTCCATCATTTCTTTAATTCTGATAATCTTATCCTGTGGTTCAATATCTACTAAAATATCTCTCCCTGTTAATGTTTTGACTTTGATTTGCATGATTGATTTATGTGAATGATAATTATGAGGAAGTGGTTGTAAATTTGGCTAATTAAAGATGAAACAAATCAAAAGCGATAAGTACTAAAATCAATATGATATTATTTTTTTTTTGGTTTATTAAATCTCAGAAGTTTCAGATTTTAAATGATCCTCACAATTCATGCTACCAACGCCAATTGTCAAAGATCTAGACTTTGATAAAGTATATGAACCTTCAGAAGATTCATTTTATTTATTAGATTGTTTTGAAATTGAGAAAGATTTTCTTGTGAAGAAATTCACAAATCAAGTACCAATTATAACTGAGATTGGAACAGGTTCAGGTATCATTACAACTTTCCTAATACAAAATATTCTACAAGATGCAATCTATATAACTACAGATATAAATCCCACAGCATGTGTTTCAGCAAAAGCAACTTTGTTACATAATTGTAAAAAGAAAGCTCATCTAGTGGATTCAACTCAAATGGATTTAACCTCATCCATAAGGAATAAAACTATTGATGTATTAGTTTTTAATCCACCATATGTTCCTGCATCCGAAGTTCCAAATTTACCAACTAATGATACAGATAATAAATGGTTGGATTTGGCTCTTCTAGGAGGTGAAGATGGAATGATTATAACATGGAAAGTTTTAAATAATTTGGAAAACATCTTAAGTGATGAAGGTGTTGCATATATCTTGTTCTGTGCTAGAAACAAGCCTGTTCAAGTAGCTGAAATAATGAGACAAAAAGGATGGGAAGTAACGACGATAATCAATAAGAAAGCTGGTTGGGAAGTACTAAGTATACTACGATTTAATAAGCATTAGACTAGCGTTTGTTTTAGTAGATCTGTAAAAAAAGCTGGTTGTGAAAACAAAGTAAATTTAATTTTATTATCTCTTACATCTTTATCTTATTTTCAACTACATACTATCTGACCAGAGCTGACAATCATGTCTCGAGGTAGATCAGAAGCCGTTAGAGAAACTCGGTGGTCGGGGACACCTGCAAGAACAAAACAATTTGGTCATCTTAAATTAGAAACAGTGATTACAGGACATTTGACACAGGAACAACTTGATGCATATCAACACTTATTTCGAATAGAAGAAATTTCATATTATCTACGTACTGCTCAACAAGAACATAAACTGATCATTGATTTATTGCCGTCGTCAACAGTAGATTCAAGAGAAGTAAGATACAAAAGAGATCCTTCACCACCACCAAAATATGACAACCATGGTAATAGAATAAACACAAGAGAACAAAGAATTACAGAGGAATTAGAGAAAGAAAGACATGGATTAGTGGAAACTGCGGCTGGAAGTATCAAGGACTATATTGCACCTTCAGAGTATAGGAAGCCAGCAAAAACTTTGGAAAAACTATATATACCCGTCAAAGACTATCCAGAGATTAATTTTGTTGGATTTTTAATTGGACCAAGAGGTAGGACATTGAAAAGACTTCAAGATGAAAGTGGAGCAAGATTGCAAATTCGTGGTAAAGGATCAGTTAAAGAAGGTAAATCAACAAGTGCAATAGAGGATAAACCAGGAAATACAACAGAATCAGTAGAAGATGACTTACATGTTTTAATTACTTCAGATTCTCAACAAAAAATTGCAAAAGCTGTCAAAATGTGTAACGAAATTATTGAAAAATTAGTATTTTCACCAGTTGGTCAAAACGAATTGAAACGAGAGCAATTAAAAGAGTTGGCTGTATTAAATGGTACTTTAAGAGAAACCAAACCTTTTGATCCAGAAGCATATCAAAAGAAACAACAAAGATCATTAGACATAACTAAAATTGTTTGTAAAATTTGTGGTAAAGTAGGGCATTATGCAAGAGACTGTAAGCAAAATATTGGACAAAACATTAATGACAACAGGGGAGCTACTGATTCATACACACCTGGGTCTTCCTCCAATTCAGGTGATTCGCAACCTTGGAAAAAACCAAGACTTGAAGTTCCAACACCGCCATGGCAAGCTGCTTCGAGTTCAAAACCTCCCCCACCATCTATGACGAACAATTTTCCTCCACCTCCACCGCAGGTATCTCAAACACATCCACCACCACCTCCTTCACAATTACCTCATACACATGCTCCACCGCCTCCACCTTCAAGTTCAAATTTTCAACGAAATTCACCCGCCCCTTCATCAATTCAGAAACCTAATTCACCAGTTCCTCCTCCACCCCAAAATAGTAAGCCACCCCCACCTCCAACTCAAGAGTCAAAACCACAACCTCCACCTACTTCAGGAAAGAGATGGCAAAGACCACCAGCACCCCCATCTAAATAACGTTTTACATATATGTACAGAATTAAGAAAGATCATCAATTTCATCTCTATTACTTATCTATAAAATACCACTAAATATTATTAACTTTTTTCCAAATCATTCAAGAGCATTCAAGGTTGTTTGTTCGGATATCAATTGTTGTTGTTTGGTTTCAATACTTACTTCCTCAAAACTTGCACAATATTTGGATCTTCTTCTTAATTCCTTACCATAAAAATAAAATAAAAATGGAACGGGAACCAAAATCGCGGAAATACAACCAATTAAAGTACTAGCCCATTTAATTTCCAAATTTTCAAATAATTGTTTAGATACTATAGGAAATATACCTCCGAATGAAGATCTTAAAAATGTATTAGCTGCAATGGCACTTGCTGAATAAAAAATGTAACAATCAACCAAATAAATCAAACAAGGTAAAAAAATAGCTATCAAGCCTACACCGATTGGGACCGTTCCCAAAACTGGAACAATCCAATGAACTTTTGTACCAAAGCCTCCAGCCCAACCTAACCAGAATATACCTATTGTGAATGCAACAGATCCGACCATCATTGGAAGTAATTTCACCTCCGGTGCAACAATACCATTATTTTCCTTCATAATTCTTTTTGACCTTAATTCAAAAAGAAAAACAACAATACCACCAAATATAGTACCAACGAACATAGCTAAATAAGGCAATTCCCCAACTCCATGAGACCATCCATAAGTTCCAGTAAAAATCATTGGAATAACTGTTAGGAATAAATATAAGATACCATAAACAAAAGCATTGTATAATGAAATTAAAAATAAAATTGGTTCTGTAAATAACATAACAATTGGTCTAGTTATTTGACTTTGACAAATTTCTTTAATTGATAGTTTGAGATTTTCATGTGGAGCATATATACCCCAAATTCCAGTTTTGTTTCTTAATTTGACAGCTTTATCGATTAAAATCACATCAGCTAAAGTTTCAGGAATGAATGCACATAATACCAATCCAAATGAACCAACTATAGCAATAAAATAGCCATTCCATCTCCATCCCAAGTCACTATTTTTAATGGTAAACCCTCCGAGAACTGGCGCAACAAGAGGACCTCCCATAAGCAACATACTAAATATTCCCAATGCCTTTGATCGTGTTTCAGCATCAAAAATATCAGCAAAGATAGCTGGGACAACAACTAAAGGTGCACTTCCAACAAAACCTGCAAAGAATCTGCAAAGCATTATTGTTTGAATATCTTTTGCCGTTGCTACAGCGAATGAAAAGCAAACGAATCCAAAACATGATATTAGTAAGGGCAATTTTCTACCATATATTTCTGATGCTGGTCCCCAAATTATAGGTCCAGATGCAAAACCAAATACAAACAATGATGTGGCTAAAGCACTAGGAGTCCATCCAATATTAAATATTTCCATAAGTGCTGGTTGTGAGGCTGCAAACATAGCTGAACCTAAGGTAACTGCAACTGAAGCAACACAACAAGCTGCCGATATATATAATTTTGTTGTTAATTTCCAATTAAACGGGTGGGTAGGATCATTTTGCCCATCGAAAGAAACTTTATAAAGGGATTGTTTAGGTAAAGGTGGTGGAAATGGTTTGTTGTTTCCCATCACAGGTATTTCATCCTTAGATTTAAAATCTCGATTTATCAAGGTAATGTCATGTGTATCAGATTGTGATTCTATTGTTGTTAGATATGTTTCTTGTCTTGATAATGCTGGTGATGATCCACTTGATGTACCTTGTTCCAAGTCAGAGGTTGATGTCTTATTCTGTTGATTTATATTAGGATTATTTGCAAATGTGACTGAGTTGTTTTCAAGATCAATTGTTTGTTGCATTTTTTTGATTAAAGTGATTGACGAATTTAAAAGGGTTTTCAAGAGTAAGAGATAAAATAATTTTGAGATATACCAAGATATTTATAGAATTTATTTGACCCTGAAATCATGCTGTTTGAATTACAAATCTTGTAACTTATTTAGATGTTTACTTCAATCTTTCTCTAATTTAAAGTTTTCTTGGTTACATTCTACGGATCTTTTTAGCTAGCAGAACAAATATTAGTAGTTCTGTAAAATAAACGGATAAATTCTGATCAACAAAATTCGGTTAAATGATTAATAACTAAGTAATTCATCTCTTTCCATTTGAAATATAGTTTCGGAGTTTTTCTTGACAACACTTTTGTGTAAGATTTGTGATGTTTCAGAAATGTTCCTCGGGATTATAAAGGTAAAGCCGTTTTTTCATATAATTCGATAAATTGGGACCACTTTTCCAGTTTTGAGTAAATACTGTATAATAACTCAATTCTTAATTCATGTTTTCAGTTTCTTAAGTATTACAATTTTCAAGGATTATTTTAATGTTTAAACGTATTTCAAACAAATGGAAAAAGAAACTTTTTTATTTTCCTGAATTTTTACAAAAAAAAGTTGCCAAGAATGAAAACGAAAACATCGATAACTTTGTGCAACCATCAACGTTTTGGCTCAATTTGAATCATCTTCTAATTTTAATTTCTATTTTTGCATGTGATGTTTGAAGAACTTCTAATAATAATAATTTCACTTCTTTGAGGCATAATCGAATTCATTAGAGCTTAATTTTGTTTCGATTTGTTTCAGACGAGCATAATTGTAAGACACAAATTTTTTAAAAGAGCAAACGCCTACTTATTGTGCAGTCAGAAGGCACAGTGTTTAATTAGCAGATGCAAAATCTTTGATGCATGCAACGATCGTTCAGTCTCATATCACTCTTATATTAGAATTGCGAAAAAATTCTAAACTTACTTGTTGCACGTTTGTAAACAATTTGATGCAATCTTATCAATACACTTCCAGAAAGCTTTATGAGACTGCAAGAATCTTTTTTGTTTGCCGAATGGTTTCTGCAACGATCTACAACATTCTTTTACCATTACTTAACTTTCGGCTTGAATAACCAAAAAAATTGTATTCAATTTTGCAGCCAAATCTATTTAAAAATGTTCAAGCCTAATCGCCGCTCTGAGTACGTATTCACATTAGCGGATCGCATCTTTCAGAAGCAACGGCTTATTCAATAAAACAAATTGAATCATATTGACGACTTACTATATCAGTTGTATGTAAAAAAAATTAAAGTGTATGACGACCAAGAATAGCGTTGCCCAGTATCGATCCGGGGACCTCAGGGTTATGAGCCCTGCGCGCTAACCACTGCGCCACAACGCTGTTAAATAGTTTAAAATATGCTTAGAAACGTGACTAGAATAACATTTTCGACTGAAAAATAAGCCAAACTTTGAGTGAATGAAACGGTAATGCGACCTGGAGGGTAGAGAGATTTCAAAAATACATTGATCCTATTCGTTTCATCATCATTCATTAATAAGGTAATAGAACAAATTTATACATAAGCCAACATATCTCTAATGCAATCTTTTACTTTGTAATATAATGGCCCAATATTTCCATCAATCACAATATCACCATTTTCATCATCTACATCAGCTATTGAAGAAGATGTTCCAGAAGAGCCACCATACGCAATCTTTCTAATCGCTAAACTATCATTCACCACCAAAGTACCATCACTTTTGAATTCAACGAAAAAGTTTTGTGATTGTAGTTTTTTCTTCAAATCTGGCAATTTAACATTTCCAATTGCTAATTTAGGTACATTTTTTGAAATAATTTGTGCTAATTTTGAATCTTGTAAAGTTTCTAATATTTTGGCTTCTAATGAATTTTCAGATAAATTGGTAGATATAATGGAAGAAGTTTGCTTCAAATTTAGTTGAGTATCTGAATTAAGATAATTCTTGATATCACTCTTTCTTTTCTTTAATTGTGGAGATTCATCATTTTGGCCATGATTATCTTCTTCATCGCGAGTATTTACAAGCTCCAACTCTCCAAATACTTTTGCGACTTTGTAATTTTCACCAATTGGTTTCCATTTCAAAGTGGAAACTAACTGATCATCTAAAGTAATTTCAAAATTGTTTACACCAATAACGTCATTACCATTAACACCATCAGTTTCGGAATCATTACCAATCTTAATTGCTTCATTGTCTTCAGCTATAGCAATATTCATTTTACCACTTGAAAAAGGAGAAGCGGCACTTAAAAGACCATCTCGAAGATTCGCCAAAGATAAATATCTTGAACCATTTATTATTTGTTTCTTATTGTTTTCGATTTTTTGTTCAATTTGTTGACTATTAAAAAAGGTTTCGATTTGTTCCAAGTTTCCAGACTGTTTTTGATTGATTTCATCTGGTAAAAGAATTAGATTGTACGGTTTAATTGATTGAATTATGATACTCAAAGATCTCATATCAACTAATCCAGCTAAATCAACAAATGCTAAACCACACCGTATTCGTAATTGGGTTTGTGAATTTGATCGTTCTGAGATTTTTACTCGCTTCACTGGATGCGTTAAAGTATCCAAATATTTCGTCAATAAATTTTGATTCACTTGCTCTTGAGGTGTGATCTTTTTTATCATTTCTTTTTGTTTATTATGATCCTTATCTCTATGTTTGTTTCTTCTTTTTTCATCAAATTTTTTCTTACCTTCCATAATAATTTTGGCATTTGATACTTCATCAGTTTTTTCAAAATCTTTTGCATTTATCACTTGACCATAATCATCAATTTGTATCCTTTTGTGAAAGAAAGGAAACATTGCTTGTCTCGGCTTCAATTTATGTGTTATTCTGATATCGATTGGTAAATGTTTTTCAAAACTGTTTTTAATATTTTCCATCATAAATGCCTCGTGTTGTATCAATTCATCGACTTCTTTTGTTGTTGACGCTTGTTGTTTCTCAGTTTTCAGTATTGAGTCGTATATCTCACCAGCCCTTTTAGCCGCATTTTCTTCATTCTCTTCTATTTCGTCATCATCTGATGAATCCTCAACATCTAGTCTTGTATCTGCATTTAATAAATTTTGAATCTTTTGATCTCGAACCTTTGCCATTAATTTTTCTTTTCTCTTTTTAGTGATTTTGTCTTGAAATTCAATTAGTTCATTCCCAGTAGCTTCTTCTTCAATCGTCCAGTCACTTAGATCTACGATCTTCTCCAACGGAACAGCAGTACCATCAACAACTTTCCCAGTTCGCTCTTCCGTTAGTTTTTTCCAATCATTGTATAAAGTTCTACTAAGACCTGCACTATCATCATTGGAAGGTTTTTCTGTCAAGATTACTGTAGTTTTTTCATCATTACATAAGTAAGAAAATATTTTACTTGATAAATCTCCATGCCTTAAATCAACACCAGAACAAAAAATAATCTTTGAACCTGGAATTTGAATAATTTCGTTTGGATCCATTACCAAATCCACTTTACTAGGGTTGAAAGGTAAAAAATTTGTGTTATTGGATGATGAGTCATCAGCATTATTCCAATTCTTATTGAAATTCAGGGACATCCAATCCAATAAATTGGAAGCATAACTTAAAACTCTTGTTCCTGTGTATGATAAGAAATAAACTGGGATAGGAGCTCCCTTTAAATGTTCATCGACCAAATGAAAAACTTCCAAGAATCTACTTGTTACTGAAGTAGGAATTATTGCGGAACCTCCATTGGATAAAGTAGCGTCAACTAGCTGTAGGAACTTTTCACATCTTTTTTTATGAGACATTGGAGAACCCAAATTGGCAGATGTTATAAATGCAGTTGGTCGCAATAATGAAACTTGAATGTTACCCAGTGATGAATTTATAAAATTTGCACTATTTAAAAATGAATCCCTCGAATGATTCCAACTTGGTGCATAAATTATTCGATCTATTTTTTTAACAATCAACCAAAATGCTCCACCTAATGAATGTCCAGAGTTATATGGAGTAATTGAAACTTTACCATCACAAATTGTAATGTTTTGTTGATATTTTATAATTTTGAATTTATCAAACCAATAATCTATTTCGTCTAATTCAATTAAATTTGTTAATATTGGACCTAGGATACCTTGTGATCTATAATATTCAACTGTTGATATTCTTCCCAATTGATTAACAGGCAAAGTGGAATAAACAGGTATGTTTGCTATCAAATTTGGATATTTAGTGACTAACAATATCAATCCACTAATATATGAAACTCCAGAATGTGAAATCAATATAGCACTAACATTTTTCAAATCTTTTTCTAAAAAGTCTATTATAGAGGGATCTTCACCGTTCCATGATGGGTCCGCTAGTATGTTGTATTTATTATCAAACGATAGTAGTCCAGCTTTAAATGAATGATCATTTTCACCTGGTGTTAGCAAAGAAAATGCAAACATTCGATGTTGATTGCAGATAAAATAAAAGAGTAAATATTTAAAAATGAAAAATTACTTGGTTTGATAATTTCGTGTCAGTATTTGGTAGCAGCCAACCTAGAAAAAATTGTTACTACGAAGCATTGTACTAAAGTATACAGTCTCAAAATATAAAATCAATAATAATCTATTATACAAAACATGAAATGAATAAATAATATATAACGCTACGTAGAAATTCTTGTATGATATGACATTAATGTTTCGGCATTAGTTAAACCGGGTAAATTATGAGTTGTGTTTATTCTTTCTAATGAAGTTCTTGGTAAATCACCCAGTAAAATCATTTGTTGTCTTAATTGACTAATTGGAATATTTTTATGAAATTGTTCATTTATTGTATTTTTCCTAAGCCTTGCTGCATTTGAATTTTGTCTTGATCTTGTTGTTAAAGTGGTTCTTCTTTTTATAGTTTTGAATGTTTTTTCAATTTTATTTTCATGTTCATCTTTGTCATGTTTGTATTCCTCTTCCATTTTTTCAAACAATTGTGGATCTTTTTCAATAATTTCATTCAATAATCTATGTCTTTCCACATCTTCTTTATCTGTTGGATCATACCCTTCTGGATAATCATCAAATTTCCCATTACGAACCTGTTCTCTTATAATATCCACATCAGTTGGTTTAAAATTAACTCTTAAAAAATCAATAGTGAAAGTTGGTAATAAACATGCAATAATTCCAATGAAAATACAACACCAAACACCTAAAGTTCCTAAAGTTTGAGCACCTGCTCTATAAAACTCACCTGAATAATTCTTATTGACACTCCAAACACCAGTCCAAAAATAAACTAATAAAATTGAAATAGCATAAATCAATAATGATAACCAATCCCATCTATGTTGTTTTAATAAAACAAACAAATCACAAGCAGTAACTGCTATACAAGCAGCTACTACACCCATAAAGAATCTATGATCAATAGTCATACCTTGTGGATTTTGGAAACTTTTATAAAATAATAAAAATGGGAAAAAAAATGATATAACTGATTGATATAATCCATCAATCATATAAATTATAAATTTATATTGTGACCAATCTTTACTCAAAATCCCACTAATATATAATTGTGGAACTAATAATGAAACAGTATCTGAAACATCTTGATCAAAAACTGCAAGGACAATAACTGGTAATGATGTAAATGCTAAATTATAAAACATAAGATAAGTATATTCATAAAGATATGAACCATCAAAATTATTAAATATACCATACCAAAAACAAGTAAAAGTGAAAACAACATTTTTATAAAAGAAACATGGAACCATTTCAGCTAATCTTTTATAAGACCAACGACCATGAACTAATAATAATCTTGTTAAAAATCTAAATTGTGCAATTGCATAATCTGATGACATTACTGCTTGTCTTCCTTCTTCTCCAGCTATACCTACTCCAACATTTGCAGCTTGAATCATAGCAACATCATTAGCACCATCACCGATTGCTAAAGTCATTACACCTAATCTTGTTTTAACTAATTTAACAACTTCTGCTTTTTGAGCTGGTGATACACGACAACATAAAACTGATTTACACTGTTTTCCTAATAATAAAAATTTATCACGGATTAATTTAACATTTTCACTTGGATGATCATCAAGATTTTGAAACATTAAAGTTAATGCACCTCCATCAATAATTAAAGCATGTTTAGGATCTGGAATAGAATGATCTTTTTGAGCTAATTTTATTAAATTTTTAACTTGATCTGGATTTGAACAATCGATATTGAAATTTTCAATCAAATATTTATCAATTAAATCATTTAAATATTCAACACTTTCTGCACTTTGTTCATCTGGTCTAACAACTAATAATTTCATTTCATTTTCTAATAAATTACATGAAAATCCAATATTTATTGCTGTTTCAATTCTGTCACCAGTTAATACCCATAACTTTATTCCAGCTTGTCCTATAATAGATATTGATTGTGGTACACCATCTTGTAATCTATCTTCAATTGCAGTACCACCTAATAAATCTAAGTTTTGCTCGATTTCATCATCTAATTGTTCAATTAATTCATCTCTATCATCATCAATAGATGCATTTGCTTCATGATATTTATCAGACCATTGTTTATACCAAGATGGATCTAATTCTTTTGATGCAATACATAAAGTTCTTAAACCTTCATTTGCATAATCTTCTAAATATAATGCAGTTTTACTAACAATTTCATGAGAATTTGTTTGAGGATTTAATCTTTGGAAAATAACACTATCTGCACCTTTTGTATATAATATAATTTTCCCATCTGGTGATTTAATAACACAAGACATCCTTTTCCTAGCTGAAGTAAATGGAACAATATCTAATAATTCAAATTCTTCTTCTTTACCGTAAATCAGTAAAATTAATGATTTTCTTAACCTTTCTTTGAAAACAATTCCTAAATCTCTGGCAACTGCAACTAATGCTGCTTCATCTGGCGATTCAGCTTTAAAATCACGTAATGTTGGATCAACTTTGTTTTCTTCAGTAACAACTGTATTACAGAGAGCTAATGCAAACATAAATTTCTCATTTGCAATACGTTGTTGATTATTTGGTTGAGCCAATAAAGTATCTCTAACATAAGCACTTGAAACAAATGAAATATTTTCACTTCTTAATTGATCATTATGAGAATATTTTTCTAAATCATCCATCATGATTTCTTTATCATGATCTATTTTCAATTTCCATTTTCTTGCTTCTTCAATTGTATCTAAACCTTTTCTTTTATCTAAACCTTGTTGAGCTTCTGTATATGCTAATCCATATGATTTCCCATTTATGGTACATTTCCTAAATTCCATTACATTTTGAGTTAATGTTCCTGTTTTATCACTAAATACATATTCAATTTGTCCCAAATCATCAGAAATATTCCAAGCTTTTGGAATACATGGGAAATCCAATGGTGCATAGTACATCTTAATATCTGAATGAATGAAATATGCTTGTAAAGTTTTAATAATTTCAATAGAAATATATAATGAAATAGGAACTAACGATTGATAAATAATCAAAGCAACAAAAAATGCAATAACTCCTCTTGCAGCATTGGTTGAACCATATGGATGCCAATCAAAAAATACTCTTGAATTATCAGTTTCTCGATAAAATAATCCATTAATTAAACCAGATATGAAACATAATATAAAAAGTAAAAGAAAATTAATAATAACTGATAAATTTAATTCTCTTGAAATTCTTGATACTTTTGTTGGAGTTATACCTGCATTCAACATAATTTTAGTTTCTGGACCAGTATAAACACATAAACCAATAACCCATTTTGTATTTCTTAAAGTACAACCTCTTAACAATACATTTTCTGGAGTTATAGCTTCTTTTTCATCTTCATTAACTAATTGACCTTTTGAATCATAATTTTCATAATGAATAGTTCCTTTAAAAGCATATAAATTTGGATTTGGAGCATCACATTCAAGCCAAAATTTAGTATCACTAATATCATCAGAATGTTTTAAATTATTATTTCCACCACATTTTAAAGCTTTTCTCATTTTTAAATTAGTTTCACCATCAAGATTTTTTGTTTCAATAAAACAATTTCCTTCTGGATCTGAAGTTGAAATAATTATAACATCTGCAGGTACTTCTTCATTAGCTCTAATTCTAATCATATCTCCAACATTAACATCTTTCCATGAACGATTTTTAAAATTAGCTCTTTTCATTTCTGGATTTTTTGCATTTCCTTCTTTTAAAATTGGATTAAGTAATGAATTTGGTAATGCTACTGTTGGTGGTCTATTTGATTGCATTGATTTTCTAACATGTTGTCCACTTCTTCTTGGTGATTGCATACTTCTTCTTGGTGAATGCATACTATATCTAGGATGTTCTGAATGATATGAATATTCTGAAATCACAGTACTCACTCTATGTAATGCTAATTCATCTTGATACGCTTTCTCTCTAACAAAATCTTGTTTTTGTTTTTTTGATCCACATATGAATATACAACTTTTTTTTATACCTTTAAAAAATTTAATTGAACCTTTTGTACATGATTTTTTAAATCTTCTCCATGGTCCAACAAAATCTTTTTCAACATTTGGATTTATAACACCTGACATTAGATGAATAGGACTATTATTTAATTCGGAATCACTTATAACTCTTCTATAATCTTCAAATGCATCTTTTATTGCTGTAATACAAACAATAACAATTAATGGCACAGCAGCTAATCCAGGACTTGGAACTCCAAAAACTTGAAAAGCACCTAATATAACTAATACCAAAAAATAAGTATTTGCAACATTTGTAAACTGTAATATTAAATTTTTTGGTAAAAATGTTATTGGAGTATATTTTGTAGTTCTAATTTTATTTCTAGGATATTCAATAATAGGATGACCCCTGGAATCTTTCATATCATTAGGTAAATCATAATTAAAAAATATAGTTCTTGGTATATTATTATATATCTCTTGCATATATTCAGGTCTATTAGCTAAACCTTTTAAAAAAAACCATCTTTTTATTCTTGATTTTAAATTTGGTGGTGGTGTATGTAAAAGATCTTGAGATGTTGCTCTTTTAATTTTATTGACATTATTAGTAGAATTTGATGAATTATATTTTGATCCATTTGATGATGATAATTCTTTTGATTCATTCCCTAGATCTGTTTTAGATTGATTAGATATCGTATCCCGTATCTCTGACATGATGATTCAAATTATGGATGAAAGGGTTAGGATGATATCAGTTGTTTTTGTTTGATAAGGTTATGCAAATGAACAGTCAGATGAATGGTGTATGATTGGTAATGATCTACAGGTGGGTTGTGGTATATGATATATGCTAATATTGAAATATGTAATAAATGTATGGGTTATACTGTATTTGGTAAACTTTATTATTGTTTTTTTTTATACCCGTTTTTTAAATTTGTTGTTCTACTAATTAAAATATTGAGTTAATAAATTTACTTATTTTCTTATTAATTATACAAGATTTAACTCTTCAAAGTCTTGGTCAATGAAAATTGGATAACTGAAGAGATACAAGAAAGCTCAAACTATCATCTTATGGTCAAGTTTTTTGGGTATCTTTTTATATACGTTATAAACTTGACCTAGATTTAATCTAACTAAGAAGTTCTAGTTTTGAACGAGAGATATTGATAGAGACTTTGTCTATTAGTAATCCGAAGTTGAAACATTTTCATATTCATAATTGAAATCTGAAATCTAAACTTTTGAATCAGATCTGTGTTCGTTCTAGGGAATTTTCATAGAGGTAGTATACTTTTATGAACGTTTAGTTTCCTAAACTTTATTTGAACCAAGCCCACATGGTGAGACCTTTGTTAAGAAGCTCACTTGAAAAACGGAAGATTGAAGGAGATCATAATAGTTAGACTCCTTTGATAATCGAACGAACCCTAAATCTTGCAAATGCAACATTTTGACATAAATCACTTTACTGATTTGTTCAATGTTCGGCTAAAATCTAAATACGTTTTTCTAGTTCTAAAATTTAGACACGGCTATAAATTTTCTTCACGGAATTACCGATTCATCTTAAATATAATGAATGTAATCATTTCAATGTTAATGAAAACCCAAGGTCTGAATCATATTTAGAATAGACCTTTAGTTAATGTATTGAAGTGATCATATTTCCATTCTATATTTTTAAAGTATTAGCCTTGTCAGTCTATGAAGGGGGCATGGCTAATGCGGGATTAAAGTTCTAAGCCAGGTTAGAAGAAAAAAGATCGAAACTGCACTCTAATTCTACTCCTCGTTTTTGAATTGTTTATTCATCAGCAAAGAGAAGAAAAACCCACTACGTTGCAAAAACTTCAAGTAGTTGATCACCTTCATTTCGTAATTCTTTAATTAGTTGAAAATCTGAATCTAGGTTTGATAAAGTTACACAAAAAATCGGTATGAACTTCGTAAATACAATCTTATATGCAGTATTTTGTTTAACAGATCATCAATTATACAATACATATAATAGGTATGGTATAGGATAAATCATAAGGCAACAAGACTGTGATTAGAAACCTGCTGCATTGAATCTTGCAGCTCATACATTCAGCGAAGAATCTGTCACAGTCCAGTATGATATATTTGTTGTTAAACAATATATTCCATTCGAACCTCATCGCAAAAAAAACTTTTGAACTCATCTCAAAGCTGTAGAATAAACATCAGTCAAATTAAATTCTCTAAATAATTTCACCGAATTGACGAAATGACCCAGACAACTGAATTCAACTAATCAGTTATTCAATATATTGGTCGACGCAACAACATTGGAAAATTAAACCATAGTATTCAATAAAAGTATAATTACTAATAATTATATTTCTTGAAACTTGTCAGACAGCCACATATACCCACCTAATTTCAATTTCTTCCAAAGAAGCATAAAGTAAAAAGGTAAAGATCATTGCTCCTTCACAATCTCTTTCCAACAAGGGAAAGTATTTGATTTACAAGGCAAAATAAAACATAGATAACTAAATCATTAAAGATTATAGTTAAGCAAAACATATTTGAATTTCTCACTTTGAGGGTATATGGGTATCATAACTCATCAACCAAGTTGGATTCAGTGGCTCTTTTGAAGAGTCAAAGAGGGACGTAAACTATAGAAAAAGATCCTATGGATGTACGTCGACAAAGAAAAGAAAAAAAGAAGGGAAAAATTAGTAAAAAAAAAATTAATTTTAGCTTAATTTATATTCTTTGATCTTGATCCGGGTAATACCTTTGAGTCGGGTAAATTTTCATACAAAACACTTTGGTTCAATTTACACGCACTCTCAAATTTGTTCGACGTAATTTTCAATTTTCAATTTTTCAATTAAATTTTCAAATCATAAATTTAGAATCAACTAATCAAACAATCAATTAAATCAAAAAATGTCGGTCGAAGAAATTCCACAAGGTTCAGATGTCAACGTCATCTCAAATAAAAATGAAAAAAAAGCAAGAGAATTAATTAAAAAATTAAATTTAAAACAAATTAAAGGTATTTCAAGAGTTACTTTTAAACAAAGAGGTAATTTAATTTATGCAATTGATCAACCAGATGTTTATAGATCTGCAGCTGGTACTTATGTTGTATTTGGAGAAGCTAAAGTTGATGATATGAATCAAAGAATTGCTGAAGCTCAAGCTCAACAAGCTCAACAAGAAGCTTTAACTAATGCTGCTAAATCAAATACTACCACAACTGAAGAAGATAAATCACCAGAATCAATTACTGCAGATTTAGAAAAAGCTTCATTAAATAATGCAAATAAAGTTGAAGAAGTTGATGATGAAGATGATGAAGAAATTGATGAAAGTGAATTTGATCCAAAAGATATTGCTTTGATTGTTGAACAAACTCATGTCTCAAGAGCTAAAGCTGTAAAAGCTTTAAAAAATCATGATGGTGATATGGTTAATGCTCTTATGGAATTATCATAGATTTATTCATAGGATAGTTTAAGTAAATATTTGTATATATGAAGTACAATTCCATATCATTTTATTTCATTACTTCTTTTCTCTCAATTGTATTATAGTTTAGATTTATCGATAAAAACATGATAAGCTGTACATTCTAGAAAAACTATATACACTTATATACATGCAAATGGAAAGAATTAGTCATTAGCTATAGTACTTAACTTATTCTTTAATTTCTTTTTCAATTGGTGCAATTTCAGGAACAGCTTCTTCAATTGATTTTTCTTTTGGATCATTCTCATTTAAATGTTCCTTTACTTCAATCATTTCAGGAATATCTAAATTTTCTTCCGTTTTATCATCGTCTTCATGTTTTTCCTTAGTTTCTTCCTTTGGTTCGCTTTTTTCATCTATACTATGTTGATCATCATTATAATGATTTTCATCAAATAACATTCCTTTACCATTCATTGAACCACATTTCCAACATTTATATTTTATATTATTTGGATCATCACAATTTGGAGGAGCTAAACCATTATGAGAAAAACAATGAGAACAAATTAATGCATATCTATTTTCTATACTTTCTGAATTATCTGATCCAATAAAAAGATCAAGTAATTTATCTTGTATTGTACGTTTTTGTGGTGCGGGTGGTGGAGATACAGGAGATGATGAGGTTTGTAGATTTGGTTTGGGAGTATGATTTATTTGTTGCTGAATTATTGGTGATTGATTTGATGATAAATGTTGTTCATTTAAATGCAATTCTTTTAATGCTTGTTCTCTTAAACTTTTGGATTTGGTATTTTTATTTGGTTGATTTATGAATTGTTGTTGTTGTTGTTGCAATTGTTGTGGTGTTGGCTTTGGTTTATCATCATATTTATTTATTAATTCATTAGTTTCATTATATTTTGTAATCTTTTTTAATTCATCAATTTTTAATTTATGTCTTTGTTTTAAATTATCTAAATGATGATCTTGAGAATTAATTAAATATTTAAATATGAAATTTATAATTTTAGTAATTAAAATTGAAATTAATGGGAAACCAATTAATAAATAAAAATTAAATTTTGATTGACCTTTTATAAATCTTTGAATCCTATTTGTTGCAATTGTATCAATTGGAATTGAAACATAAGAATAAAAAAAAATTAATAAGTATGTTATAAAATTAAATAATGACAATTTTTTATTTATTGATCTTTTATTTATTCTTAATTTGATTAATTGTTGTTTTGTCTTGTTTATATTTTCTGCTATTGAATTTAATTCTTTTTCAAATTTATTTGGATCAAATCCTGATTTACCACCAAATAGATTGAATACTCCCATGAGTTTTGAGATTGTTTGAGTGGATTCTTGGATAGTAGTAGTCAAATATGTTATAATTTGGACTCCTTAAACGGTTGGTAGGTTTTATCTTGATTCAATTGAGTGATTTAAAAGGTGTTTGTTGATCAATGTTTCAAGTGTAAGTTATTTTTAATTGTTCTATCTTTCGTAGCAAATAATAATTTCTATCATCTTCACTGGATTTACGAGTGTCGTGCATTTTTTGTTTTGACTTAAAAATTAAACTTGTCGTCAAGAAGTTGAAACATATTTCAACACGAAGATCAGCTCTACCTTGTCGACTATTTGAGTAGGTGAAGCTATAGAAATTAACTTGAATAAAAACCATAATTACTAATTGTATTTCAGGTGTTGAACAAGATCCGTATTTTGCGTCAGAATTTTGAGTTAAATTGGTTGCAAAATAATCATTAATCTTAAAGCTTCAATAAAGAAATATTGTATCTTTCTAAAGCGTCTATCTACTTTTTTAAACATAGACTATTAGTCAGATTCTTTACAAATCAAACAAAGCATTTGTACTAGATCAAATCCAGTTTCGTTCAGACGAAGTCATAATAGATATATCCGTGAATATTTTAAATTACACGAGATCAATACCGAAAAAGATACTACAAATATAACCCCAATTGTAATATGAATTAAAGGAATACTAAATTGTTTCAAACCTCTGACTACAATTTGGACCACAATGGTTCCCTTAAAAAACATATATTGATAAGCCGTAGTATTAAACATTTTGGTGTCTCATTTGATTAAATTCCGTCATAAATTGTTTAGTATGTATTTTACTTCTCTATGAAATATTTATTTAAGTAACGTCATATAATTATAAGAAAAAAAAGGGTAGTGCAATTATTAACAAAAAAACTCCGTTTCTATATATAAAATTTAGTTTTGTGTTATATCAGATGTAATTAAATGTTGAGTGGCAAAAACTTCAAACATACAGAAAGATAAAAAAAACTATAGACTAATAAGATAATTGCCAGCTAAGATATATTGGAGCTAAGATTTGGTCTTACCATAGGTTCCATAAACTTGTACTAGCTCTGGCCTACCCTTTTTTTTCCTTCACCCTATGATCTGTAATTCAGTATTTACTATTGTGTATCTTTCTAATTTTATTTTTGCTGTTTTCTATACTTTTATAAATATTGATTGTATTGTGTATTGTGTAATATTATTTAAGTACTAAGTAATATTATTTTTTCAACGAACAATCTAAAATTTTATCACCAAATTCTTAATTTCCATAATTTATTTTTTTCCAACCCCCCTCTTACTTCTTTATTTTCAATTTACAACAACAAATTTATACAGTATTGGACTTCATCTTAATTTGATAGAGGTCTTATATAATACATATATTACATCCATTACAATTGGAATATCTTCATCCAACATCCTTGTATCATACATTCAACTTTTTGTACATAAATTAATTAATAGGGGTCATTTAATTTATCTCCTTTTTTATTTTTCAAGTTTTTTACAACAACTTTACAACCAAATAAATATTTAGAATTTTTTATAATTTTCAAACATATTTAATACTACTATGGCAACATTACGAGATTCAACTACTGGTATACATTCAAAAAGAAAATTAAATGAATTAGAAGATATATCAAATACTCCAAATAAACAACAACAACAAGAACATCTACTATATCGTAATTCATTATCACCATCTAAGAGTAACATACATAAAAGAACTAGATACAGTAGTGATATTAATACTAATACTACAACTTCCTCACAAACTTCCACATCCTCAATAATAATAGAAAGACCAATAACTAGACTGAATTCAAAATTACTTTTAGAACAACAAGAATTACAAAAACAACAAAAATCAGAGAAACCTAATACTAAAAGATCATCATCATCATCAAGACATCTTAAAACAAGAAGCAATAGTGATGTTAATAGTACCAAATCAGATTCCTACCACACAAAATATAACAAAGATCATTTAAATAAACAATCAAATTATACACATAAATCATCAAATACTATAACCCCTCCATCTCCAACTCCAAGTGATGGATTATCAAATGACGAATATCTGAATGAAAATAATCAAGAAATAAAAGAAAATCATCATACAAATTACAAAAATCATCAAGACACATCATCAATTCAATTAGAATATGAAAATGAAAATTATGATCTAGAGCAGCAAGAACGTCCACAACATAGACGTTGTAAATCAGTTTCATTTGTCTTACCAAATGAAGAAACCAAAACTTTTCAACATTCACCATTATTAACTCCTAAAGATGAAGAAGATGAAGAAGAAATTACCAAATATTTACAAGAAAAGGAACAACAACAACAACAACAGCATCATCAAGAAGAAGAAGAACAACAAAATATCAGAAATAATGAAACCTATCCAGCCACTCCACCTGAATCATTAAATGACCATCATAATCAATCAGATTATATGGATCCAAATTTTCAAAATATAATTACTTTACAAACTTCAAAATCTAAACAAGAAATAAATGAATCAACTCAAGAAGAAATATTAGAATCACAACTTTCAATTTTACAAACAAATCCAGATTATATAGTATTAAATTCATCATTAAATTTAAGTTTATATCAAAATCAAAAAATAAAAAATGATATAATAAAATTATCAAATTTAAAAAATCAAATAGAATCATCAACATCTACTTCATCATCTACATCTGCATTTACAACAACATCATCATCAAATATAAATTTAAAAAATTTTATAATTGATTTAATATTAAATAAATTAAATTTACCAAAACCTGAATCAATTATAAATTCTCCTTTTATAAATTGGTCAAAATATCATTCTTCATTAATTAATTTAAATTTTAATGAATTAATTTTGAAAAAAGGAGGTGATGATAACACGAGTAAATATTTAAATGATGATGAAATTAAACTTAGACTTTTTGATTTAATTAAATAATTGGGATTACAATTTTGAGAAATTTGATAAAAACTTTATGAAAGTCTTGATAAATATAAATACTCATATACCATATATATATATAAATTAGTAAATAGGTGAAATATATAAATGATATTATTTTCTTTTAAATATTAATACATGTAAGAGAGTTTTCATTAAACTTTGACATATATGTACCTGGTTTAACGTAAAAGACTAAGTAAGAGTTACGAAACGCTAAAGAAAATAAAAGAGTTTAATTAAAATGTAGACTATGAAAAAAGAATGGTTTAAATTAATTCTAATTTCGGTTTGCATATACGATTTTGAAATTTTCGATAATACGCGTATAAATATAAATGGTTTTTAAAAAAATCTAATTTTTAAAATTCAGGGGCAAATAATTCATTCATCAACACTTATATGAACTATACACATTCATTCGTTCATTCATGCATCAAGCAATCAAATAACAAAAATAGTGGTCTTTAATCTCAGCCGGCTTGAGAATGACATGCGTGATGTAATTAGCATTCATTGATAGGGTCAAGGTAACTACAACTTTCAAGGCTCATATATCTTTTGGTTTTTTATTATTATTTACACCTTGTTGATCAAAAGTGAGGTGGATGGGTAAAAAGCAAATTTAAGGTACAACACTATGACTACCTTTGACCTTCTCTGTGTGTGCTAGGTGCATCCAGTTTGTCTATCCTCAGACTTGCTGGGATTGATCAAGAGCAAGAGCATTTGTTGAAGCATTATTCTCCTTACTTGTGACCAATATCATCAATGGTTGACTCCAGTCGAAATTAATGATTTCGTTTTTAAGTTTTTTTAAATAAGTATTGGTAAAGATAATCATGTTGGTATTAAAATATTGAAAGGTTCTGCATAAAAGGCTGCCAGATCTGATAGTTTAAAATTGGTGACATTAATTAAACTTTTAATATTTTATACTAAAGTTTTGAAAATACTAAAAGTTGTTTTGGAAAATATATGGATCCTTGTATGATACCAGACTTCAACTTAATAAATGAAAAGAGAAAGGAGTTTTTGCTGAAGCAAGAAAGAAAAATACAAAAATTGTGATATTCACGTTCGTACAATTTTTGTATACTTATCTCTAGCTAGTGCAAACATTTCATTCACTTTTCGCTTATTTGACTGAAGGGTAACTCGAAAGAGAATGTTACAATTATTGAAGTTGTTAGTACTGTCGCTGAATTGCTAGAACATCCATTATAATCATTAGTTACTTGAAATGGTACTTCAATCATGAGCCACCAACTTGGTCTTAAAGCTGAATTGTCATTCATTTACGAATTTAGCAATAAAGAGTGGGCTGTTAATTCACAATTGAAATTGTGGTTGAGATATGTTTTCGTACCTCATACTAAACCAGTTTATGACGTTTGTCAGTTAAGGACGATATAGTACATACTACCAGCATTTTTTTTCTAAAGTTATCGGGCATATTGGGAAAGGTTATAAGATTGTTGGATGGTATTTGATTTAAGCAATTTTGTAGGATGGGCTGGGAATAATGGTATGAGATTTGACAAAATCTGGTTTTTTGATGCTGAGCTAGCTGGTATCCGACTTACAAACAAAATTTATTAATGTTCTTTTGTTTGTTAGGTGACTATAAGCTAGCCGCGCATCAACTGAACAAGATGTTTCAGAAGTCATACCTTCTTTTCTAGCTTATGTCCACACTACAAACTCAAATTGATCAACAATAATCAAATAAAAAAGGATACAATAGCAAATGTTTCATCGGCTCACTCGAAATGATAATCAAAACTTCAAGGTTATCTGATGTTTCCACAAAGAATGTCATGAACAGTTCGGATCAAAGACAAAGATTAAACCTGCAAGATTCGAAGGAGAACAGCGAGTTAGGGTGGATAAACAGAATAAAAATAAGTATGAAACACTGGCCTTTAAAAAATCTTATTAAAACGAAAAAATTAAGGAATTGCAAACAAAACTTGAGGAGTCAATCTATGTTGATACGGAGTGTTCTAAATGTTCTTTGGTAGAACATCGGATAGCCTTGCAACATTTGAATTAAAGAAATTAAGAGTCGAAAATCAAAATAAAAACAAGCTTGAATCACTAGCATTTGAAGATAACTTATTTAAAACAAGCAATTGAGGACTTGCAAACAAAAATAAAGGTATTAACCAAGCTAAAAGCAAGTGAGGGTTGAGTCAATTTTGGGAAAGCTATAAAAAAATATTTCTGTGATGGCAACTCAAGAAGATTATGTTGTGAATATCAATGTTTTAAAGGAAGATTTACAACATTCCGTCTAGAATAAATTCTACTCCAGGTAGAAAAGTTTTGGAAAGTATCAATAATAAAGCATTTGAAGACTAATTTAGCTAATTAAAGTTTACATGAAATCAGTCAAAACTCGTATAACTAATTTGTATTTTTAAGTTCTACATACTCATAACGCTCATTTGAACTATAAAAACTTAAAATTTGAAGTTAAATACAAAAAAAGAAGTAAAAAAAATAATTATAATCATCATCATTAACCGCATCAATCTATAAATTTTAATTAAAAAATTGAATTTTATTCTTTCTATCATTCTTCCAATCTGAAAAAAGTAAATAGAATCAACCATGGTAAAAAAAAGTATAGTTACATATCTAAACCTTTTTGTCTCCAAAAATCTCTTTTTATGTCTTTATCAAGATTCGGTTTTTTGGGTAAATTACTTAAGTTTGGTTTTTTAGGTAAATTATTGTTGTTTTCTTGATTTTTATTCTCATTTTCACCTTCATCATTTCCATCTTCAATGTCATTTTCATCTTTTTCGAGACTTAAAAATGATTCAACTAATTTTTTTGTATCTTTTGATTTATTTGTAATTGGAGTTGGTGTAATTGATCTTGATTTTGGTAGACTTTTTGAATTTGAATTTGATTTTAATTTTACTACCTTGGGTTTGTATTCGTCATTTTCATCATTCTCATCTTCATCATCTTTTTCTTCATCATCACTTTCAATTGTCATATCGGAAAAATAATATTTATCATTTATACTTTTATATTTTGAATTTCCTATATTTAAATTTGCTTCAGGATCATAATCTTCTTCATCATCTTCTTCCTCTACTTCTTGTGATTCATCATCATCATTAATCAAAGCATCATTTACAATAATATTTCTATCATCATTAAAATCTCTTTGTTTACCTTTAAATTTTATAATATCTCCTAAAATCAGTTGATTTAATCTTTTTTTATATGAAGCAGAATTTAATTCATAACATTTTGAAATTAATAATTGGAACGCACCACCAAATGCCTTCTTTAAATCCCTTAAATTATATGATGATCTTGTTATATTATTTAATGGATCTGCAGGATCTTGAATTACTATACTAAAAGTATTTCTTGAAGTATTTAAATTTGAATATTTTTTACCTTTTATTAAATATTTTGGTAAATCTGTTTTTTTATCTAATGCAATAATTAAATTATCATAAGAAAAATTTCTACCATATAATTCAAAAAATTCAATTAATAAAACTCCTAAATTATCTAATGCATTCATTGAATTTGTTGCTATTTTCGGATGAAGTTTTATAAAATGATAACACATTATAATTGTTGCATAACCACCTAATCCTCCAACATGAACATTATTTAATTTTCTTGATCTTAAAAATTGTTTTATAACTAATACTAATTCTCTTAATCCTGGAGTTGAATTAAGCCATTTTCTAATTCTTTTTGCTGCATCAATACCATTTTTTCTTTCAAAACTAATATCAATATTTAAATTTGATAAAGGATCAACAAATTTTATTATTGGAACTTTTGCAGAAGCAATAACTTCAACTTTATCAGCTAATTTTTTAGCTTTTAAAAATGAACTTAATTGATATAATCTTGATCTATTTTCATAATCTCCCGTGTCGGAAATTATAACTAAATCAATATCTGAACCAGGTAAATATAAATCAGTTGCACATGATCCAAATACATGAGTTTCTGTACCTGGCCAAAATTTTGAAATTTGAGTTTTTAAATTATTTATAATTTTATTTCTCATTATAATTTCTGATTTATGTGGTGATATATAATTTACAAAATCTTTAATTTCTAATGTTAACCAATCTGCTATTTCTTTTTGAGTTGAATGATCATGATTTTTTATCCATGCATATGTTGAATGAGGGGTGTTATTGTTGGGTCCGTAGTTGGCTTTTGGTGTCGAATCCATTGGTCCATCATTATATTCATTTTGATCTGATATATTTTCTTCGTCTTCTTCTTCTGAGGACGATGAAAACCCAAATCCTATAAAATCTTGATTTTTAGTTACTTCATTACTTTCTTCTTTTGGTTTATCTTTTGGTATAAATTCAGTTGGATCATAATCATCATTGATATCTTCATTATTTTCAAAATCTTCAATTTCATCATAATCTTTTTCATTAGTTATATAACCAGGTGAATTTTCAATTTCATCTTCATCTTCACTATCTATTAGATGAAACCCATCATTATCTGAATAATCATCTATTTCATCATTATTATTGTAATCATATACGTATTCTGAATCTGAATTATCTTCTGAATTTAAATTTTCATATGAATTGAATTTTTTGTTTGGATTTGGTAGACTATTTTTACTATTGATTTTCTGCTTTTTCTGTTTTGGTAGTCGGTTACTCTCTTTATTATCTCTCTTCCTTTTTGATCCCATTGTATTAGTTCTTTGTGTGATTCGAAGTAGATTGTTTCTTTAATTGTTATACTATTTTATCTTTTGGTTGTAAAACATTTCTTAGTGATAATAATTTACGAACAAATTTGATGAGCAAGTGGTAGCTATCTACTTTTTCCAGATTTAGCTCCGAAAAGCCGCATTCGATATTTTTCTTTTAATTTACATGATTTACATAAAGTAAATGGTAATTTATATCATTCTATTTAAGGGGTACAAGTTTTTCAAAATATCATTTAAATTTCACAAATATTCATTAGAATTTATATGATTTGGCTAATTTAGAGATTTTTATTTCTGCTTCACAAAGTACATCACTGTTTAGTTGGAGACATTGATTCAAACTAATTTAAAATGTCTATTATACCATATAATCCTAAAAATAATGATGTTTTATATCATAATCCTAATGAAGGAATATTAATACTTCATGATACTCAAGAAAATTCAATTCAATTACTTTCAACATTAGAAAATTCAAAACAACATCGTCCCGAATCATCCAGTACAACTACCACTACTCCCAATATAAAATCAAATTTTGATAAAGATGGAAGATATTCAAATTTTCAAGATAATGGAGGTACAAAAAAATGTCCAAGTTGTGGATTTGTTTGGAATGAATATGAAAGAAATTCAAATTCAAGAAGATCAAGTACAACTTCTGGATTTAATTTACGTCAACCACCACCAATAGGAATTGAATCAAATACTTTTATGCATAATGATTATTTTAAATTATTAGCTCAAATACCTTTTAATCAGAATAATAATAATAAGAACAATAAAAAATCAAGTACAAATGCGAATAATAGTATACCTAGTGGAGTCTTTAATCAAGGATATTTTAAAAGATTTTTTAGAAAAGTTGATTCAAATCCATTAGGTTCTGGAGCTCATGCACAAGTTTATAAAGTAGAACATATTTTAAATGATATAGTATTAGGAACTTATGCCGTAAAAAGAATTAGTGTTGGAGATAAATATGAATTATTAGAACAAGTTTTAAATGAAGTTTTAATATTATATGAATTATCAGCAAAAAGTGCAAATGAAAATAATTTAATACGATATAATCATGTTTGGTTAGAATTAGGTGAATTGGAAGATTCAAATGCTTTTTTTTTACCTGAATTAAATTCAGGTGCTTCAAATACAAATGTAAAATCAGAAAAAGTTCCTTATATGTTTATATTACAACAATATTGTGCAGGTGGTCATTTAGAAGATTTAATAAATAAAAATTATCAAATTGAAGAAAATATGACTTATAGTGAAAAAATAAAATTAGAAAAATTAAAAAGAAAAAACAAAAGAAATCATCAATCCAATGATACAGAATCTCAATGGTTAGATAATTTTGAAATTTGGAAATTTTTTCATGATATTGCTAATGGAGTTAATTATTTACACAAACATGGAATTTTACATAGAGATTTAAAACCATCAAATTGTTTATTAGATTTAAAGTATAATAAATCTTCATTAAATTTTCCCTTGTATTTTACAACAGTTGAAGAATTTGAAACAAAAGTATTTGATTTACCTAAAATCTTAGTTTCAGATTTTGGAGAAGGGAAATTTATTGATAAACATAAAAATTCTCATATTGGTAATAAATTAGAAGAAAGAGAAGGTAATACAGGTACATTAGAATTTACAGCTCCTGAATTATGGATTTGTAATGATGATCCAAAATTAGGTGGTAAAAATTTTATAAATGATTTTACTTATGAAAGTGATATTTATTCATTAGGTTTAATTCTTTGTTATTTATGTGTTGGAAAATTACCTTTTACTGATTTAATAAAAGATGAAATTGATCCAAATATTGCAAGAAATAATATTTTAAAATGGTATGAAAATTCAACTTTCTCATCATTTAGTGCATGGTTTGATAAAGTTATCATTTCAAAAGGAAGAAAAATTGATGAATGTTTAATCGATTTTAAAATTTTAATTTGGAAAATGTTAAAAGAAGATCCAAATATTGATGATAAATTCAAAGATCAAGAAAGATGTAATTCTAAAGAAGTTTTATTATATTTAAATGATATGAAATGGGAAAGATTTGTTAAATCGGAACCAAAATCACGGCTTGATGGCGGTGGTTTATTTGATAAACCTTCGAATTTGCAATCACTTAGAAATGATTTAGCACTATATAAACCAAACTATAGTGGGATTTCTAAACGAAAATCTATTGAAGATCAAATGGAACAAGAACAAAATAATGAAGAAGAAGATGAAGAAGAGGATATAGAATTTTCCAAATTAAATGATACAGATCATTTCAATTTAACTGAAGAAGAGTATGAATTTAAATCAGAATCAAATCATCAACCATTATTATTATTGAATAATGATCATCCTAACCCTAAATCCAATACCACAACTAATAAAAAAAAGAAAGTAAAATTTTCAAAAACTCAATTTAATTTAAATCAATTTCAAACATTACCATTTTATAGTATAGAATTAATATTATTAGAATATTTATCAATATATTCACCACATTTTTCACAAATTTTATTAAAAATTTTAATTTATTTTATAATTGGTATTGATTTAATATTAGTTGAATATAAAATTATAAGAACTGGATTATTTGTTTTTATTTTTATTACTTTTGCTATTATGTTGGGATATTCTATTGGTGGTGGTTCTAAGAATGTTTATTAAACTAATCACCTGGTACATGCAGCATTTGATAATTTTATGAAATCTGGTGAGAATGAAATGGGTAATAGACTGTTGGTTTTGATACAAATAAAAAGTTAGAATTCATAGTTGTTGATGGGAGAGGATATAACTTGACTTTAAGATTGATATAGTAATTCAATAACACTCATTATTAGATTTCAAATTTGTGGGATCTACTTTATATAATCCTCTTTTTTGTCTCTCGTTGATTGTATTTACTGGCAAGTTAGTAGAGTTCACTAGATACTACGTTAAAAATTTTTATGAGTTATGCAATTTCATTAGTATCATCTATTCATTACAACTATTTAATAAAAAAATTTTATCAATACAATAATCAATTAAATCCCCTAATTTTAAATTTAAATCTAAAACATTAATTTCATCATCAATTAATCTATAATCTTTTAATAATAATTTTGTTTTATAATCATATTGTAAAATATTATTACTGCTGATATTAAAAATATTTAAAGTTTCTATATTTCTTGAATATATGTTTTTTAAAATTGATTCATCATTTCTATTGAATGATACATATTTTAAAAATGGAGAATTGGTATTGTTTGTTGTTGTTGTTTCGGTGGTTGTTGTTGTTGTTGTTGGATAATGTTCTGGTCTTATAATTGTTGTATTAAAACTATTTATTGGAATTTCTTTAACATTTATAATTTTTCTTGTATTAAATTTATAATCTTTTATATTATTATAATAATTTTTCCAATTTATATTATTATGATAAAATACAAATCTTTTTCTGAAAAATGAATATAATCTTGAACTATACAAAATATGACGTTGTAAAATTTCATAATTGAAAAACTTATTAATAAAAGGATTATATTTTGATATTGTTAAAATTTCTTTATTTTCAAAACTTCCATTTGTTGGTAATATAAAATTTGAACTAAATAAATATTTACAAGCTGGAAAAACAGCATCTAATGCTGATGCAATTGCTAAATAATATGTATATAATGTTGTTGATAAATCTTTTATAAAAATTGATTCATCATAATTTGAATTATCAATTTTAAATCTATAATTCATTGCAAATGATGGACATATACAATTCCATTCTTTTGAAATTTCATAAATTAAATTTGAAGGATATGTAGTTACTAAATTTTCATCTCTTGCACTAAAAATATTTTTTAAAACTTTTAAATTTAAAAATTTCATAAGATTTGAATATTGTAAATTTAAATTTTCAAATTTTAATTTTGTTTTAGGTGAAAAATTTATTGATTGATGTTTTGAAGAATTAAAAATAAATTCTAAACTTCTTAAATTTGATTCAATTTCAAATAAAAATTGAGGATTATATGATGGTATATGAATACTTATAACATTAAATTGTAAAACTTTTCTTAAAAATTCAATTAATTCATTATTTGTTTCATAAACTAATTTAAATGATTCAAATATTGAATTAAATGAATTTATATATGAATTATATGAACCTTTCATCATTATATTTGTAAAAAATAATGTATATGCTGTTAAATATGTTATAGTTTCTTTATTCTTGTTTGAAATTCTTGAATTTAAAATTGATCTACATTGATGATATAAGTTTGCTATATGATTATCTCTTTTAATTTTATAATCATGTTTTGAATGTTTGAAATGATTGACTATTATTGATTCACCTAATAATTGAATAGATTCACTTAAAATTGTTATATTATTATTAAATAATAATTCATCACTTATAAAATCTATTAAATCACTTTCTCCAATAACAAGATGTCTTTTAAAATCTAAATCATATTTTTTAATTTTTCTTTTAAATTGTTTTTTATTCATAATTTTAAATTTAACTTGATGTTCAAAACCTTTTGGTAATATATTTTTATTACTGTTGCTATCATTTTCAATTTCAAAATCATTTATAATTTTAAATTCTTTATTAAAATTTTGCATTGATAAATTATTATATTGTAATGGAGGATAATTTATATTTGGTATAATTATAGGTAAATTAGATAATTCATATTTAAATTCTAAAACACTTTCTCCTTTATTTACATGGTTTAATGTTGGTTCAGATGATAATAATAATTTATTTGGATGTTGTTTTATAACTCTATTAGCAGGTAATCTATAATTTGAATTTAATAATTTATTTTGACTATTTCTTAAAGAATGAGTTATTTTAATTTTTTCAATTTCTTCAATTGATAATTTTAAATATGAACATGAATCTTTTTTACTTTTTAAACAATTTTTACAATTTGGTAAATTTTCATCACATCTTATTTTTTTACGTTTACAATTTAAACAACCTAATTTTGAATTTGTATGTCTTCTTCTTTGAGCTTGATTATTTGATGATTTGGTCATATTTTTGAGAAGAAAAAATGGGTATTTTGTGTGAATGGATGACTTGGAGTGTATTTGGTGAAGATAAGTAAGCACAATAATGTGTATCTAGTTTACTAGTTGGTTGTAAAAATTGAAATTTTTTTGAAGTAGTAAAGGATTTGATGTTATATGTTTATACTGATGTATAATGGTAAATTTTGATTGGAAAAGTAAAGTTGTAAATAATGGAAAAGATGGTATTAATGTGGCTCGGTGTGAATATTGATAATGTAAGTAGCTATGGATATTGGTATATGTTGCTAATAAAATTGGTTGTAAAAAAGTAAGTATAGATCATGGTTTATATTTATATTTTTCTTCTCTCTATTTGTTCAAAAATATAATCAATTACGATTTACAACAAGAGTTTAATACTAAAGTAAAAAAGAAATATTAGAGAGAGATTGGTTTCTATTGTTACTAAAAAGTAATCAATTACTAAAATAAAACTTTATAATAAATTCTATTTAAAGAATTAATTACGAACTAAATTAGTAGTAGTGTGGTCTAAGTTATCAGACTACATGAAACTTAAACTTAAATTATTCTCCAATTAATTCAGTTTTCTTTTAAATTAAACGTATCCTTTGATTTTTAAATTCAAAAAACAATGATTGTAACTAATACAATAATCTGAATATACTTTGTATAACCTAGCAAAACGTCTATGATTTATTAATAGAATGGTAGAAGAGCATTAATTGCGCTCCTACATTTCCGTAGTGAAAATAAAAGCACAAAAATAGATTTATTTTTTTCACTTGCGAAGTAAAGCGCAAATATGAAATCTAACCAAAAATATTTAAATCCATACAACAATAAGAATATATTGAATTTGAAAAATTTCAATTATTTACAAATACCTTTCTAGTTGAAAAATGATACATACAATTTACATTCACTTTTGGATGAGGTTTCTAATGATATAGATTTTTAACATTAAAATTTAATTTGTCAAATTCATGAATGTTCAAAAATTCTTATGTAGAAAAAATCCTTCTGACTACGGTTAATTTCTCTACATAAGAATTTTTCACACAGTCTTTTACGAAGAGGGAAAAATAACCTCCGTGAGCTACCAAACATTTTGCGTTAACGTGACCTTTCTAACCTCGAATGAAAAAACTAGTTGCGTTTTAAAAAAGGTCATTCCACACTTAGACCTAAGTCAACCATTCTAGTGACTTGATCTCACCACTTTACTCGTCAGTATGTTTTGCACGTTAGCATAGAGTGTCATAGCTGCATTGACAAAAGAGTCAGACAGCGTCAAGTACTGTTAGATATTGAAAGTTTCCTGAAGTATAAGAGTTGGGTTCCATTATTAGTGTTCAGAAAATTAAAGTTTACCGACCCAATACATGCGTACATCACCCTCGATAATTGATTTCCGACGGAGGTTATTTTTCTACCTTCGTCTTTTACGCGCTTCAATTTCTCGTTCATAAAATATTTATCAGTAATTATTTAAAAGTGGAAAACATTTGTTGTTCAATTTAAGTATCAATCAGGGTTATGGTTAAATTGTCATTACATCATTTCAAATAGACAAACAGTATTTAAATCCACATACGCTGCTTATGTCGATGATTTGGTACGTATGCTCAAACTTACTATCTTAATTAGAGATTTCAAAGAGTGGATAGGAAAGTCAAAAATTCAAACAAAACAACTATGTGTTACAAATAAATCATAAAAGACGACGATTTTCGGTAGGATATGACATACATTTTACCCTGAATACTTGAAGCTTTTAATTCACTGTTTATAATCATTAACATATCGACAATAATAAGATTTCGTGAGGTTTTCTCAATGGTCTTTATCCAAACTTGCAGTGGTGATATATATTCGAAATACTGTGAACTGACAAGATAATTGATGGCTCAGTAACATTTCATGGTAAAAGTTTAGACAAACATCAAAGAAGTCACAATATTGGAGATAAGAAATTACTTGGTATTAATTAAATGTGCTAATGACTTAAGAAATTACTTATTGTGATAAAAGCTGATCATGAGTCATTAGCCCCTATAATTGATACCAAGTAGTTCCTTTTCCCTAACATTGTAACTTCGTTGATTGACAATAACATATCAAACTCCAATTATTGCGTGTGCTATGTGGGCAAAGAATATAATGCAAGTAATATATTATCCATATCATAAATTTTATATACGTCTTGCTAAATAGGTTATATAGTAAAAATTTATAGAAGATATAGACGAAACATAATCATGTCCTACATCCGAAGAGAATTGGCAGACGATATTGTAAAAATCAAGGTTGTATTCAACTTCATCAAGAAGTCATTTGCTGCATTAAAATAATAAGTATATATTTATCTAAATTTTAAACTAATATATCTTTTAAAGATTTATTTAATTTTGCAATTTCAATTTGTTCTTTTACTAAATCATCAACATTTCTTAATTCAATATTTGAATTTAAAACTAAAACATTATTATTAATAATTTCATAATTAATTTGATTTTGACCAGCAAATATCATTTCAATTTCATTAATTAATTTCTGGGAATCATTTGATAATTTTAAAAATGATTGAATCGTAGTAATTGGAAAATTATTTAATCCTGTTATTTCATATAGTTGTTTCAATTTTAAAAAATCATTTTTCTGTTTTATTCTTAATTTTATATCATTTGGTATTGAACTTGGTGATTGTTTTAAATTACATAAATCAATTGTTGAATGTGCTAATGATTTATATATTTCATTTGGAATATCTTGTACCAGTACAAGTTTTTGATCATTTGTTGAAGTAGTATTTGAAGTTGAAGGTAATGCGGAATCTTGATTTTGACTATTATTTTGATTGGCATTATCATACTCATTGATCTGATCATGATTTAATTCAATTAAATTTTTAGATACCTTGTAAAATAATTTAGATTTTAAATCATACTTAGAATCAATTAAAATTAAATTAACTAAATTACAAAAAGTAAATTTATAAAATTCAATTAAATCTTGAAACTCCATTGATTCATTTTGATGATTTAAAAAATAATCAATTTGATATAACTCTAAAATTGGTATAATTAAATTTGAACTATTTGATAAATATAATGATTTACTAAAATTTGATAATAATTTTAAATCTGGATTTTTGGAAATTTCATCTCTTATCATTATTAATAATTCTTCATTTATATGATTTGTATTTGATTCATGTAATGCTTCTAGTATTGTTTCTCTTGGTAATGACATATTGATATGTTTGATATGAAAATTGTGGTTGTAAATAAAAAAAAGATACGTAAACCTTTTTTAGTTTACCGATAAGTTATTTCCTCAAGTGCTGTGATTCAAACCACTTTATGATAAATGAGATCTACTGGTACGAAGTATTTTCACTAGCAGTCCAGACTCTTTGGGGTCTTTGTCTCAAGTGAACTGATGAATTTAATGGAAGTTAGATATAACGACTTATTACAGATCTTGTTGCCGAAGCACCAAGCTCTGACATTCAACTTACGATAAAGGAGTCAATTAAATATTCATCAATTACCATTTTACATGTATCAAACACAACATTATATTCAAACGGAAGTCAAATTAATTCATTATCCCAATATTCATATACAATAGATATCATTGAACAAGTCTTGCCCAATTGGTTGTACTTTGGCAAAATCTAATACATTACGAGATGATATCATAATGTATTAGATTATGCAAAAGTTGCATCAATTAGACAAGATTTAATAAGCTCATTTACAAAAAATCCTCAGAAGATGTATAATAGAGAAAGAAGTCAACTACATTTACTTCAATCTAGTTATATGGTGCAGCATTGAAAAGTTATCTTATTGAAGTTTATGATTAAGCTATAAAGATCATCTTATATTTTGGGTAAATTCTTAAATTGATGCAGTAATATTTGTCAATCAAAGTAATTTGAGTTGGGAAAGTTTGTTTCAACTACCATCATCATCACGGTTGGAGTTGGAGTTGAAAAAAAACTAATATTTGATGGTAGGATTGAGCAAGTATTTTGTTTAAAAAAATCTAAGAGCCTTAAGAGTTTACGAGATTTCAATGATATATCATGCAATTTTGGCTTGGAACAACCAGAGTAGTATGATATATTATTGATATCAACTTTTGACAAAATTTATAATAATAGTAAATCTATTCATAAGTATCAGTGTTACACTATATACAAAATAAATTACCAAACTACTTTTAAAACATAAAAACATTAATTTTAATTACTACCTATAAATTACCATTACTTAAAATTTTACCTTCATTATACATTTCATCAATATCATTTTTAAAAAATTTAGCAGCTATTGGTCTTTTAATTTTTAAAGTAGGAGTAATAACATTTTTTTCAATAGTTAAAGGTTCAAAATAAATTTTTAAATTTTGAATTTTTTCAAAACCTTGTAATTCAATTTTTGAAATTGATTCATTTAAATCTTTTAAAAATTGTTTTTTATTTAATGTTAAAAATTCAATTATTGCATCATTTTGATTAATTTTATCTCCAAATTTTTGAATTATATATTCATGAATATTTGAATCTAATCCAACAATAGCTACTAAGAAATTATGTAATGAATCACCATGAACAAATAATTGTTGAATATATGGAAATTGTGATAAATAAATTGTTTCAATTTTTTCAGGACTTACATATTCACCTTGTGATAATTTATAAAAATTTTTTGCTCGATCAATTATTGATAATCTATTACCATCCTTTGGATTTATATATCCTACATCACCAGTATGAAACCAACCATCTTCATCAAAAGATTTAGTAGTTTCTTCTGGATTTTTATAATATTCTTTAAATACGGGGGACCCTCTAATTAATAATTCACCTCTTGGTCCTTCTGCATCTTCTGAAGTATAATTCATATCTGGTAAATCCATTAATTTAATTTCACAAGTACTTGATACACTACCAACTGATACATTTAATGAATGTCCAATACAAACACTCATACCAGAAGTAGTTTCAGTCATTCCATAACCATTATATAATCCCTTTGGTAAATTTAAAGCAGCAGTTAAAAATTTAACAGTTTCTGAACTTATTGGAGCTGATCCACAAACTAAAAATTCAACTTTTCCCATCCCAATTTTTCTTCTTAATATATTTAATAATCTATCATAAATTAAATGAGGAGGATTTTGAAATTCTTTTGTATGATTTTTTAATTTATAATCAATTGCTCTTTTAAATAATCCACTTATATAAGAATCTCCATTAATAGTTTGAGCTTTTATAGCAGCTTCTAATTTAATTAATACTCTAGGTACTAAACATAAAAAAGTTGGTTCCAATACTTTTATATAATCTAATAAAGTAAGATTTGAAGGACCTTGAGGATAACCAATTTTAACTCCGGTAATTAAACAAAGTTGTAATAATACTCTTTCATAAATATGAGCTAATGGTAAAAAACTATAATGAACTCTATTGGGACTTTGACCTAAAGCACATAAATGACCACTTATACTTGACACCAAATTACCATGAGTTAAAACAACCCCCTTTGGGACACTACCTGTAGTTCCACTAGTAAAAGAAATAGTAAAATTATCTTCAGGTTTTGGAATTATAGGAGTTAAAGAATTAACTTCACCTAATTTTTCAACATGTTTGATATCAAATAATGAAATTTGATTAGCAAAAGCTAAATCTTTTAAATTTATATCATCATCTTCTAAAGAATCCATTGAAATAATAGTTATTAAATTTTTTAAATCATGATTTTTTTTCAACTCTATAAGTTTTGAAATTTTTTCTTTACTACATATAACTATTGGTGATTCAGTTAATTTTAAAATATATCTTGAAGTATCACTACCTAAAGTATCATATAATGCAGTTGATATTATTCCATATGAAGCACAAGTTATATCAGTAAGAGCCCATTCAGGTCTATTATGAGAATATATAGTTAAAATAAATGGATTTGAGTTAGTTGGATCATATTTTAAATTTTCATGATTTATATCTGTAGTTTTAAAAGGATTATTTTCTAATATAAAATATATACCTGAACCTAAATTATTTCTTCTAATTTTAATTTCTTCAAAAGTTTGTGATTCATATTTACCAAATGATCCATTTGATAATTTAATTCTTGAAGCTAAACATGGTTGTTTGGAAAATAATGATGAAGCAATTTCAAAACTATCATGAACAGTTGTAATACTTGGATGTAAACTACTTATTAAATTATCTTCACAAGTTGAATTTCTATAAATTGATGAATAACCTGGAATACTTGTATTTGGAAGTTCTTTTGATTCAGAAAATGTTTCAACTGATGGAATATTTCTAATTAATTCTCCTATATGTTCAGGAGTCTCATTAATTAATGTAGCGACCATAGTGATGTCAAATTTCTAATAATCGTTTGAGGAAAAGGAAGGTAGGTTTGAATGGATGAACAAATGAATGTTAAACAATTGAATGAACGTGTTACTTCGTCGTAAGGAAGTGATGGTAGATTTTCTTAGTGAAATTGAAAAAAAAATAAAAACTTTAAATAAGATATCTGAAAGTATAAATAGATCTACAAAATCAAGAAAAATAATTTCATCTGATTGGTGTTTTGATCTTGTAATGGAAATGGATAAATTTTGAAAATAAAAAGATGGAAAAATTGTCTAATTTTCCTTAAAAAATAAAAATTTTGAAATTTTTCAATTCTTCCCCACATTTAAAGTAAAGTACAAAATAATAAAATTTTATATGAAACAAATAATAATATGCTTCGGTACACCAGAAGTAAGAAGATGATTTTAGTACCGAGTTCTATACTGTAAAATAACGTCTTTTTAAATGAGGAATACTTCAATTAGTTTGTTTGACTTCTTTCTTTCTTCTTTCTTCGTGGCTTGTATTGCAATCAAATTGTACGTCGGAGATTCTCGATATTAAAAACATTTTCGGAGTCGAGAGATTACATTTTGTGGATTGTTTATGTATGATTTATTAAAAATTTAGATTATACAGTTAAGAAATTATTATAAAACCGCTTAACTAGTGGTTAGTATAGAGCTAAATTTAACCGACGGATGTAAAACGTAAAATTAGAAGTCTAGGTTAAATACATTCTATTACTTTTAGGTCTATTCACTTCTATTTTCTGTCTATATCAACACTTATCTCTCTATTTATCTTGTTGGAAATGGTAATTTAACATGACATCTATTTACAATTTCTAAATAATTTGATTCATTTTCAGCATTAATTATACCATGTCTTATTAAAAAATCAATTATAATTAATCCACAATTTGGTTTAAATTTTTTATTTTTTAAATTATTTATAATTTCATCAATTTCTAATAATTGATAATCTTCTGCTTCTCCATCTTGAGGTTTTATTAAATTTGAATCTTTTTCTTCAAATTTTAAATCATAAATATATTCAACTTCTGGTTGTACTCTTTTATCTGAAGTTAAATACATATATGATACAACTCCAACATTTTTTATATTCTTTTTAACAAAATCTTCTTCTAATCCAGCTTCTTCAAAACATTCTTTTATTACTGTTGTTTCTAATCCATAAGGATATCCTAATCCTCCTGCTACTGTATTATCCAACATTCCTGGATATGTTGGTTTAGTCATTGATCTTTTTGGAATCCACATCTTTATTTTACCATTAGATGATAATTCAGCTGGTATATAACCATTAATATGAACTCCATATGTTACAACTCCTAAAAGTACACTAAATGCTCTTTCAATCAACATATATGGTTTTGTAGATGGATTATAAATAATGTATAATTCATCTCTCCAACCTTTGTTTAATAATTCATCTAATTCTGGTTTTTTTCTCCATCTATTGGCTATTTCTGCAAACAATTCATTTCTTTTCTCAAATGTATCATATTTTGAAGAAATTTTTATGTATTTATGTTTTATTGAAAACTCCGACTCAGATTTAAATAGGTTTGCAATTTCTGGAGTTATATAACCTAATTCTGTTTTTCCTTTATGATCTAATAATCTATAATATGAACTAGCATTTTTAAATGAATCCACTTGATCTATTATATCCAAATAAATAGACATAATGTAAATTGATTCATCTATTGTCAATATTATAAATTCGCGGTTAATATTATCATAAATTAAAGAAGACCAATTTTTTTTCTCTTCTTATTTGAAACTAAAAAATATCATAATCTTTGCAACCAAAATTATAACCACCAGTTTATGCTGGGATCATCACGATCCCTTTCAAGGGCGTTAGAAACTGTTTTCACTGAAGATAAAGATATACTGGATATTATAACACAATATATAGAAAAACATAATGAATTTACTATTGTTCAAAATCAAACAATTATAAATGATGAATTATATAAAATTTATAATGAATACATAAAGCCAAGTGAAGATATTTCAAAAGAATTTAAATTCTTGGATATTTTGACTTTAATTTGTTGTGTTTTTAATAAACAAGAATTGAATATTTGGGTTCAAACATATTTAAAACCTGCTGTAGATAGTGCTGGATATGATTTAAAATTTGTTGAAAAATCAAGAGAATATATTAATAGAGTTACTGTGGAATTTATTGATTCAAATGATTTTAAATTAAATGAATTTAGATTAAATTATGCAAAATCTGTAATTAGATTAATATTAGAATCATATTTAAATGATTCTAAATTACTTGAAAATTTAAATATTAAAATTGAAGTTGATCAGAAAAACACTCAAGTTTATCATGAGAGAATACGATTCATCAAATCAAATTGTAAAAATATATTGAAAAAGTTTGGTGATAAACATACAAAAGAATTTTGTGAACTTTTAAGTGATAGTTTAAAAACAATGGAATACAGAGGTGAAGCTCTAATTTTATTTGGAGATTTCATAAGTCAAAAGAATTTTCCAGAGATAATCAAATTTCCATTATTTAATGAATTATTGAAAATTATCGCAGAAGATATAGATGAAGTGGTAGTACATACAGCTTTAACTGATTTATCTTTGTTGATACCACAAGTTGCTAAAGATTTAGGGAAATACATTACAGATTTATTTTTAATATGTATCAGAATCATTAATTGGAATGAACTAAAGCGAAGTAATAACAATGAGTCAGCTGAAACATTACCAAAATACGGAGTTACTATCAACTTTAACATTCAACATTTTGTAACCTTATTATATGGATTATTTTTTTATAATATTTCAGAATTTGTCCAATCCCCTAAAGATTACTTAACTCAAAATCCATTACAGGTATTATCCATATTTTCATTATCACCTTTCATTGAAGAACGTACTAAATCAGTACTTGAACGACTACTTGAATCCTTCCTACTACATCCAAAAATTTTCATCAAAGATAAAGACGAACTAACAAATCCTACAAGTTGGATCAAAAATTGTACATCTCCGGAAGATGTCGCTATTAACTGTTTAAGTTTAAATCCAAATATAATCATTAAACCAACGCCACGAAAGAATTCAATTTCAACAATTGATAAAATTTCAAGATCATCATCATTGGCTGGTCCAATGTATATGCAAGCTAATGGTCCAACAAAACAAATTTTAGCTAGAAAATTATCTATTATACCTACCAATTTAGTAATTGAAGATGACATTAGATTTAAGGATATAAAATTTAATAATAAATTAGATAGTGTTCCATCAAGTCCTGATTCCACTAAAGCAAAAGAGATTGATCCATTACATAATTTATTAAATGATCATGAAAAATTATTTGCAACTAGACATGATCAAATTGAACCACTTGATGAAAAAAAATCAGAATTGAAAATAACAAGACCAATATCATCACCAACTACAACTATGGATTCATCAATTGTTTCAAAAGAGTTCTCAACTACTGATTCTAATACAAGTGGAATTAAATCACAAACTAGTTTAAATAATATGAATGGAGCTATAGATTTTTATCAACGTGAATTATTGTTATTTAAAAATGAATTGGAATTTTCAAGTTATATGAAACATTTAAATAAATTTCATTATCTTAGAATGAATCAAAGAGATGTTACTGAAACCACTGGTAATTATAATGAAGAATTAAGTGCAGTAATTTCAGAGCTAAGAAAAGAAAATTTAAAAAACAAAGAAGAATTTATTAGACAAAGAGATATTTTGATTGATAAAATTGATGATTTAAATAAAGAGAAAGCTGAATTGACACAAACATATTTAAATTTTAAAAAGCAAACTGAAATTCAAGTTCAAAATTATACAAAAATGGTTGAAGAAATTATTCCCGATAAAGATTATAAAATCGAATCATTAAAATCTAAATTGTCAATTTTGGAAAATGAAGAACCGAAAATAGAAACAAAAATTATTAAAGAGCAATTTGATACATCAGATTATGAAAAGCAAATATATAGTCTTAAAACACAAATCCAACTAATAAATAATGAACTAAATAATTCAATTCAAGAAAATAAAACCTGGCAATTAAAATATGATGAAATAATAAAACAAAATGAAATAAATTTATCAAAAACAAAATTATCAATTAATGAAAATTTATCATCATTTACATCAAATTATGATAAAAAAAACCAAGAGTTAAAAACAATATTAATTAAATATGAAAAATTAATTGAAGAAAAAAATAATAAAATTTTACAATTATCTTCATCAAAACCAATTCCTATACAAAGATCAATAAGTGGACTTCGTCATGAAAGTGTAAGTTCTTTAAATTCATCAATAAGAAATGATGAATATTCATATAACAGAGAACAAAACTCCGGAGGTATTAATATTAATGATGAATTGATATATAATACAAATCATCAAACTCCTGCTCCTATTCAACAAATGATGAGAAAAAATGAAAAATCAATTGGATTTAATAGTAACAGCAACAATAATAATAATAGTAGTAATACGGACGCTTTGCCAATAATGAGAGGTAGAGGTGGATTACAAAAAAGGACCAAAAAAATGATGTAACAATATAGAATTAATGTACAAATAATGTTGAGAAAGAATTGAATCTATATAAACAATCTCTTTAATACCTCTTTAAATTTCAATATCGCTACCCCCAAAAGCCTTTAAAAGCCTCCTAAAAAACGGTAAATTTTAGACACTCTTGTTTTTTCTAACTCAATTTTTGCTAGATTTTGGCTCTTTGGCCTAATCGCAAATGTTTTCTTAGCTTCCATAGTTTAGTGGCAGAATTTAAGTCTCATACGGTGTGATCACCTAGTGATTACAACGAGGGCTATCTTACGACCCGAGTTCGAACCTCGGTGGAAGCATTTGACATAATTATTTGTATCTTTTTTTTACTATTTTTTGACTTCACATCTTTGCTTGACATTATTTAGTTGTTCGGAAGATTCTACTATCCTATGTAATATGGTATTCAAAAATCATATTGAATAATGTTTACCCAATGATTTAATATTTTTGCACAATAACAACATTTTATTTCGCATCAAACTTCAATGTATGACCATTTAAAACCGAGAAATTAACTCGAACTCAAATAAAGGTATTTGAATATCCATAATTCAATGGTTTAGGTTTATAATGCGTATTTCCAATATTTTCAATTTGCAATCGTTATTAACGATTCCAGCATTAAATACACAATCTACAGAATATAGACCAGTGATGTTGTGGCATGGATTAGGAGATAATTATAATGCATCAGGAATTCATGATGTAAATAATTTATTGAACGATATTTATCCTGGTATATTTTTCCATTCAATATATATCGAAAAAAACCCATCATCTGATCAACAAAAATCTTTCTTTGGTGATGCAAATGAACAAATTGAACAAGTTTGTCAACAATTATCAGAAATCCCACAATTGAAAACTGCTAGTAATGGAATTGACGCAATTGGATTTTCTCAAGGTGGTGTACTTTTACGTGGATTAATTGAAAGATGTTCTGGTATCAAGGTAAATAATTTAATTACATTTGGAAGTCCTCATATGGGTGTAATGGAAATAAAATTATGTCAAGAAAATGATTGGTTTTGTAGAAGAAGAAATGAAATTTTAAAAAAACAAGTATGGTATGATAATGTTCAAAAAAGTATTATACCTGCTCAATATTTTAGAGATCCATATGAAATTGAAAAATATTTAAAATATTCTTATTTCTTAGCTGATATTAATAATGAAAGAAATGAAAAAAATTCAACATACTATACAAATATTTCTAATTTGAATAAATTAGTATTGGTTACATTTACTGAGGACACTACTGTTATACCAAAATTGAGTGCACATTTCAGTGATATTGATCCTGAGACAGGTCAGACGATTCCATTTGAAGAAACAAAAATATACAGTCAAGATTATATAGGATTGAAGAAATTGCATGAGCTACAGAAGATTGATTTTTTATCTATTAACAAAGATCATATGTCAATTAGTGATGAATTTTTAAGAGATATAGCTATAAACTATTTAGGAAGTTAAATTTCAATAATAACATCTTCACCAAAAAATTTTTGCAACTCACCTAATGATTCATCAGACATGTTTTCTTGAAATTTGTCGGTGTTTTTGACTTCATCAATAGGACCCTTAATAGCTTTAAAATTTCGATATATTGAATCCTCGGATGAAAGTTTAGGATCAGCAATGGAAGTAGGATTAATTTCAATGACATCATCAACTAAGTCAAATTTACTAGCTTGAATAGTGGGAGAAGAATTCAAAAGCATTTTGTCAGCATAATTAATCTGTTCATGAGTCGTATTAGCTAACAAGCTGTGACTGATCAGATCACCTTTTGCTAGAACATTGGAAAACTCATTTTGCAAATCAGTATCAACTGGATTGATCATTGCAGCCGAGCTATCAATGGGAGCAATAATTTCACTTGGAATTTCTCCAGCCTTAATATCAACATCAGCTACAACTTTTGAAATTTTTTTAGATACCTTAAATAGATCATCAGAACTAGAACTAGATGCAAATGAAATGATTGGTTTAGCTTTATAATTCTCTTCTAATCTTGGATTATTTTCTACCTTAGAAAATTGCTGACTTGGCTCTTTATTGACTTTTTTCTCTAAGTGAACTTTTTTCTTCGATTGATAGAAATCTGAGTCTGATGATGATGAAAAAATTGTTTTCCTTTTAATCTTCTTTGGTTTTTTCGTAATTGTAGGTGCTTTTTCATGAGTTTGAGGATCAAGTGTAATTGGATTTACTGTATTCGTAACCAGCTCTTCAGTCACATTTGGTGATGATACAATATTTGACTTGATATCTTTATCTTTAACATTTGTGCTTTTAGAATTACATTTCTTGAGGGCCGCATTATCCGTTTTAGCTCCGCTTGTCATAGTACTTTTTGTTTTATCAATTTTGATCAAACCAAATTCATTAGGAGTGGAATCAAATTCAAAATCATCATCAAATGGATCAACTTCTTCCATATTTCTACAATTTTGAGTGGCCACAACTCCTGCAATATCAATAGATGCTTCAACTTGTAAGTTTCGTGCCTTAACTTCAAACTCAACTGATTGTTTTATATTTCTTAGCGACATTCTTCTGAAATCAACTACTTTGCCGGCAGAAGAACTGATAAATTGTAAGAACAAACCACGATTTTTCCAAACGGTTGAAGTTGGACTAACATCTGCCTTTACCGAGATTATTGACCCATTGTCATTTAATTGTAAGTTAATACTAGGAATTTGTGATAACAATTTTTTATGTTTAGCCCCAGCACCAACTTTAATACCCAAGTAATGCTCTATTTGAGATTGAGTTAAGGATTTTGCATCCGCAATTGATAAAACATTATGATTGACAAATTTCTTCATAGCTGCTAAACCGACACCTTCTAATTGACGTAATTCATTTGGAGAACCTTCCCAGCCTCTTCCAGATATTGATCTCATCAAGAAACTCAGATTGATTAAAGAAACTGCTTGTTTCTTTTCAACGAACACATCCATTATCGCTGTCAAGATTCTTGATAAATGTTTGAAAATATAAAATTTGTCTCCAATAAAACTTGAATGTAATTTCATTGCTCCATTATATTCTGGAAATTCTAGCCCACCCAATTCAAATTGAATTATTGTTTTAACTTTTGACTCTGAAGGATAACGCATTAAGGGAGATTTGTTGATTTCTTTATAAAGTTTCTTTTCTTGATGTTTAATTCTCATTTCTGAATATTCTGATGCATTACTTAACAAATCCAATAAATCTGAAATCGTTAAATTTTCTCCAGCATTCATTGCAGCTTTCATTGTGTTGAACGTGATATAATGCATAATCATTGAGAATCCAAATGCAGTACACTTAAAGTTTTCCATCAACTGCTCGTGTTCTAAAGCATCCGTGTGTGTTTTGCAAAACTCCATTAAACTCTCATCATTATTATTAAAACCTAGCTTGTAATATGATGGATTCAATAACAATCTAACATAAAGATAAGTAGTTTTCAACCAACTTAAAGCATCTTCAATTGAATTTATATTACCAACAGCAATTTCTGCCAATAAATTTTCTGCAAAATTTAAATGAAGAGTACTTTCAACTTTTTCTGTTCCTTTTAATAATCTTTCATACTTTTGTTCAGTGCTTTTATTTGTCATTATAACGGCAACACCATCTTTTTCAAATTGAGGTCTACCTGCTCTTCCAATCATTTGTAAAACATCAGTTTCTGTATATTCTTGAAATGAATTTTCAAACCAACATTTCGTTCCTTTAATTACAACCAAATATGCAGGTAAATTCATTCCAACTGCCAAAGTAGAAGTACAACATAAGTATTTGATACTACCTCCCAAAAATGCAGATTCAATTTGTTTCCGATCAGCTATAACTAGACCAGCATGATGAAAAGCAACACCTAATTTTACATAATTTGCCAAGTCTTTATCTTTAAGTTTCAATGCTATTCCTCTATTCAAATAATTTTCTGATAAATATTTTGCAGTTCCCTGGCAGCTATTCCTAGTGGCACAAAAGATAAGAACAGGCTTACCATTTGAATGTTTATTAATTACCTCAATTAATTTAGTATTCAAAAAATTGTCAAAGGAAAATTCGTTATCACTATGAGGTTTGTAACCAGAAACAATTTTTTTCAATCGAACTGCTCGGTATTCATCTCCAAAATTCAAAGCTTCAGCATCTAACCAATTTGCGATGTCATGAACGTTTGCAATTGTTGCAGATATTGCTAAGATTCTTATTTCTGAACAAATTCTTTTCATTCGAGTCATAACTACTTCTAATGTTGCACCTCTTGTTTCTTTCAAAATATGAACTTCGTCAACCAATAGTAATTTAATTAAACCAAATAATTTTTTATAATCTTTCCATTTTCTTGTGATCATATCCCATTTTTCTGGAGTTGAAATAATAACTTTTGAAGTTCGAACATTTTCAGCTTCTTTAAAAGACGAATCTCCTGTCAATACACCTACTGTAATTCCTAATGGAGAAAACTTTTTTGTCCAATCATCTTTTCTTTCACTGCACAAGGCTTTGGTAGGAGCTAAATACAATGCTTTAAAATCTTCCATTTGTTCTGCTGCTTTGAGAATTGCTAGTTCAAACAAAACTGTTTTTCCTGATCCAGTTGGAGCACTAATTACGCAATTTTTGGATGAACCATAAATTGGATGAAAACTCTTGGATTGCATTTCATTAAACTCATCAAAAGGAAAAACGCATCTTAAATGTGGTGGAAGTACATCTATTTTCAATTTTGGAATCATGGATGAGAAAGATGAATTGACAAATAAATTAGTCGAAGCACTGTCATTACCACTGGAGTTGGAAATGATATTTGATCGTCTTGGTGGACCAATGGTTCTTCTTTTAAAATTACTAGCAACTTGATTTTGATTATGATTAGTACTACTATCATCTCTTTGTACGACAAACCTATTTTCAAGTAATTCAACGCCTTGGATGTGTTCAAATTTATTCTGGAATGAACTATAATTCGTATTCCTCGTTGAAGATTGATTCAAATTTTCTATTTGAACGTCATCACTGTATCTGAATCGGTTCAAATCAGTTTTTAGTGGTTCTGCAGTTGAAATTTGTTTTTGATTCAGTCTAAAATTAGTCTTTTCGAAAAAGGGAGTGTTGTAGATTCTTCGAATTGTATTAGGTTTTGCAATTACTGGTGCTCTCTCTGATTCATGTATATCTATTTTTGATTAGTATCCAAGTAAACACTTAATAAGTGTATCTATTCTAAGTCTTATATACCATCATCATCATCCTCTCCGTCTAAAAATGCATTCAAATTATTCAAAAATGACATTTGAATAATTGAGTTGATGAAATAAAAGTGTTGCAAAAAAGTTCAAAAAAAAAAGTAAGCATTAAATTTATCTACTCGATCGAAACGCAACAAAGCACATATAATACAAATTCAAATATGCCCAAATGTCTGATAGAGTGTCAAGACTAGCGGAATTAAGAAGAAATAGAGCCAAAACTACGGAAGATGAGAATAATAATGATCAATTAAGATCTGAACCACAAGAATCTGTTAATAATTCTTCAGATCAAGTAATTACAAAGACAGATTCAACTTCTGCTGAGCCTTCAAAAATCTATCAAAAATTAACACCCATGGAAGAAATGAAATCGGACTTACAACCTTATTTAAATAAAGCTAGTATTAAAACAAACAGGGCTATTAATAAAATCATACAAGATAAACTTGACTCGTAGTTTTATAGATATATAGTCCATACATAAAATTCAAGTGACCATAAATTTCATTGTCGCTACTTACGTAATTGGGAAATCTAGATTCTCTTCCAATCAAATTTAATTTACTTAGTATTCGAGTTCGCGCATTAACTTCACTAATTAAACCAATATCATACTGAAAAAAAAAGAATTGGAAAAGTTTTCAATACGTAACGGTATAACCACATATATATTCAATACAATACTAAGATGTCAATCAACAGAATTGCATTGAGAAATGTACGCCCTTCAATGGGAATGGCATTCCGTCCTGCACCGTATGTAAAGCCTATCTAACACTAGCTGAGTGCAATTGGATCATTGAATATACATACTAACATTGACTAATAGAATTGGTTTGAGATATCTTTCAACTCCAGTTGAACCAAAACAAAAAGCCCAATCAATTGTTGATGCTTTACCAGGTACCAATTTATTATCAAAAACCGGAATATTAGCCACATCAGCTGCAGCAGCCATTTATGGTTTATCAAATGGTTTAATAATAGTACATGATGAAACTATTTTAGTCACAACATTCGCCATTTTCACAGCATTATGTGTAAAGTTTGTTGCCCCATTATATACCGAATGGGCTGATGGAGAAGTTAAAAAAGTTAACGATTTATTAAATGGTGCAAGAAATAAACATATTAAAGCTGTTGAAGATAGAATTTCATCAGTAAGTGAATTAAAAGATGTTGTATCACAAACTAAAGATTTATTTGCATTATCAAAAGAAACAGCTAAATTAGAAGCTGATTCATTTGTATTAAAACAAAAAGTTGAAGTTGCTTCAGAAGCTAAAAATGTATTAGATTCATGGGTTAGATTTGAACAACAACAAAGACAAATTGAACAAGAACAATTAGCTAAAGAAGTTATTGAAAAAGTTAATAAAGAAATTGAAAATCCTAAATTTCAAGAAAAATATTTGAATGAAGCATTAGCTGAAGTTGAAAAAATCTTTGCCAAAAATTAAATAAAATAAAGTTTGAAAAGAGATAACTTAAGGATAGTATCAATAGATTCAGTATTTATAATTTATATACTTATAAATCTATATACAAACAAAAAAAAAAAAAAATTATTAGATATCAACCTTGGAAGGTTTCCAAACATGTAGTGAGTTATCGGCTGCGACACTCGCCAACGTCCAGTCATCAGCGTAAGACCAGTCAAAATCATTGACTTCTAACATATGACCTAGATGTTGGAAAAATGTAGGATCTTCTTCTTTAGAACGTGATATGTTGTGTAATTTAACCAGGTGATCTGTTGATGATGATGCAATTATTTGTGGGAATTTAGGATGAAATTTCAATTGAGTGATTGATGAAGAATGAGGTTTGAATTCTTTTATTGTTGAATCTAAATTTCTTAAATCCCAAAGGTTGATTAAACCATTTGAATCACCAGTTGCAATACCAGTTGCAAAATTAGGATTGATTGAAATTGAATTAATTGAGGATGTAGGTGAATCTGTTGTAGTGGTAGTAATTTGTTTCAGTATTCTTTGACCTTCTTTTCCGTCTCGTATATCACGTATAACAAATGATCCATCTTCTAAAGCAGCCCCAAAGATTGAGTCATGAGTAGGAAACCATTCAATATCATTAATATTAGTATTTTCTTTCCAACTTTTGAAAGATTCCATTTTTTTCTTTTTATCATAAGTCGTAAGATCATATAAGTGTATATTACCTTCCATATCTCCTGAAAGTAATAACCCTTCTTTATTTTGATTCCAATCTAAAGCAAATATTTCTAATTCACCATCAATTGTGATTTCAGCTTTGTTTACATCCACATCATCAATAATCAGTTTTTGAAAACTTTTATGTCTAGTTCTTTCGAATATATTTAAATTACCATTACTACTTGCACTAGCAATAACATTTGGTTTTTGAGGCATATATTTTAATTTGTTGACATCTCCTATTTGATTTATTTTTTGTAGAACTTTTGGTTTGGGTAATGTTTTATTAATTTCAAATTCTTCTTTATCTTGATTAAAATTTAATTTTGAAATATCTAAATTTTGATTGAGATTGGAACTAAAACTTGGTATTTGTAAAATTGAAATTGAATCAACTACTGATTGACCTAAAGTGTATGTGCCATGTAATAAACGCAGTAGTAAAATATCTGTGGATGATTTATTTTCTGTTACTTGAGTTGTTACATCAGGGAAGAATTGAACTGTTAAAGATGGCCATAGTAGTGAATTTGTTGATAGGTATTCATATAAATAAGGTGAATTTTTTTTCCATATTCGATATTTCTTTTCAGTTTCTTCATCTATTAATGGTATTTCAGACGGTTGGTCATCAACTTCAATTACTTCCAGATCCATCTTGGATGTGTGATAAACCTCTTGAAGGGTGATTTTCTAATTTGTGAAATTCAGTTGTACTTATATTATTTTTAATAAATAAAATTAAATGTTTCAGATTTGTTTGTTGTAAATTGAAGACGCGATCTTGTACAATAAATTATCCATCACATCGAATACAAAGTGACATTAAGCAAACTCCCCAAAACCACACTATATATATGACAGAGGAAATAAAACTAAATTCATCGAAACTAGGAACAAAGGAATAGTATGTTTTAAATTTTTGATTGCCCTTTTTAACTTCTTGTTACTAACTAATACCTCTTATAGCTGGGACAATTTTTATAAAAAAGAACAACAAAATTTCAAAAACAATAATGACGACACAGGGGAATGTTGGTTTGATGATTCAGATGCAGAATCCAAAATAATTCAATTTTTAATAAATGAGTTGATACCGTATTTTATTGAAAATTCGACCATCCTGTTTTTAGATCTAGGAACAGGTAATGGTCATTTATTATTTCAGTTACTGGAAGATTTACAAGAAGTCATTGAACTCGAAGGTGCTTTCCATGAAAATGAATTTGTATTCCATGGAATTGATTATTCATCTGACTCGGTATTGTTTGCTCAAGATATTGCTTCAAAAAAGTACTCGAATAATAATTTTAAATTTGATCAAGTTGATCTACTATCTTCCAATTCAGAGTTTTTGAATAATAACAAATTTGATATAATATTAGATAAAGGAACTCTAGATGCAATCGCATTAAATCAAGATATCATAACTGAAGATGGTAAAAGAGGAATGGATATATATGCTACACAAGTTAAGAAAATGATGAAATTTGATTCAATTTTATTAATAACATCATGCAATTTTACCGAAAAAGAATTAATTAAAGTCATTACTTCACAAACAAATTTAGAAGTTTATGATAAGATTAATTACCCAAGCTTCCAGTTTGGAGGAGTAAAAGGCTCAACAGTTGTAAGTATAGCTTTCTGTAGAGCTGAATCATAAACCACATGATGAATGACGATGTTGTGTATATATTAAATCTTTGAAAAGTCTATTACAATTGCATGAATAACTTTTTTGTTCTCTAATTTTATTTATAAAAAATCTCATATTTCCCTTTGTAATTCTTCGATATTATTAATCAATTCATCTCTTATACGTTCATTACTAAATTTTAATAAATATTGAATTGGTTTACCATCAGATAATGAATTTAAACGTAAATATTTACCAGGATTTAAACTTGCTTCTAAACCTTTTAAAATTTCAGTATCTTTTTGAATTTTATAATTTAATATTACTTTTAATAATCCTTGAGATCTCATTACTAATCGTATTTGATTTTTAAAATTATTTGATTGATTTAAATGTAAAGGTCCAACACCTCTTTCTTTCCAACCTTCGTCTATTGATGTTAATTTTAATTCAAATAATTTTGCTGTACAATTAAATTTAGAACTTTCTTCTTCTTCACCAGTTGTTTGTTCAATTGGATTTAAATCAACTTGTTTAAATTGTTGAGTTGCTGTTGAAGTTGGTAATGCATCTTTATTTGTTGACTTTCCTGATTCCTCTTCATCTTCATTCTCACCATCTTTATGTGTTCCTTGTTCTTTCGTTCCATCTTGGTTTGTTGTTGTACCTGATGATGATGATGGAGAGTCTAAAAATGATTTTTGTTTAATTGATTCTTGAAACGCGTTTCCAAATCTTGATTTTGAACCAAATGTACTAAACCCACCTGCTGAAGGCGTTGTTGATTTGGATTTGTTTATATTTTCATCTTGATTTTCTTTTTCTTTCGTGTTGTTGTTGTTTTTATTCATATTTCCGAATGATGTTGTTGCTCCAAATACAGGTTTTGAACTAACTGGTACTACTTTTGGTTCTGTTTTTTGATTATTCTGCTCCGATTTTGTTGAATTATGTTTGTTTATATTTCCAAATGGAGTGGTGGCTCCAAAAACCGGTTTATTGCTTGTTGAAGGTGATTTGGCCTCTTGGTTTTGAGTGTTTGGTTTAAATTGAAAGGTATTGCTTCCACCAAATTGAGCCCTTGGTGGTAAAGCTGGAGGTATATTCTTTGAAGTTTCAGTTTTTTCATTGCTCTTAATTTCTTCATCATCTCTCAGTACGTCCACGTCAATATCATTTTCTCCTCTTTGTTTATCATTACTTTGGTCATTATTATTATCATTATTATCATTATCATTATGAATTGAATCTGAATTTTTATCTTGATCTTCTACTTTCAAATCTAGTTCATCTTCTAGATATTTCACTCTAGCTTCTAATCTTGCAATTCTATTTTCAAATAAATTTTTAAATTCATTTATTACTATTGATTTTAAATCTTCATGTCCTATTGATTTAGTTCTTTTTAAATTTTCATTCAATTCTTCCAATTCAATTTTCCTTTTTACTGGACTCTCATCTGGCATTGTAAAAAACAATTTGCTGAAAATTTAACTGTGTTTTATATTGTTTTGTTTACTTTGCTTCTTGATTACAGGGCATGTTTATTCTCAAAATAAAAACAGGGAAAAGAGTTTATCAAAATAGGTACTAAGTTCGCGCATGCGTATTTATTCTCTGAATATAATTTTGTACATACTTATATCTGCTATTGAAGAGCTTAGTCACGCTGCCTAATACTACGTATAGATCTTGAGTTTGATGCTGGCTGGTAAGCAGGTGCATATGATGGTTGTTGTTCAGAAGGTGATGAATACCTAGCATATTTGTCTTTTATGGAAACCTTACCTTCTTCTAAATTATTATGTGGGGCATTATTTGAGTGATGATGAGAATACCCGTTATTATGGACATTATGTGAAGTAGGTCCACGAGGAATATGATGAGGTTGAGTTTGTTGTTGTTGAAATAGATCTTTTTGATGACTTGAATTATTTGCAATATGTAATCTTCTACCACCAGCTGCAACTGATGCAACTTTACCTTCTCTTTGATAATTCCTTCCACCTTCACCACCACCTAATCTTCTAGGTTTCCAATTTCTCCATACTCTACTTCTTTCGATATCGACTAATATAGTTCTTTCTTTTAATTTTACACCTCTTCTACTCAATGTTGATACACATGTTTGAGCATCAGTATCTCGCTCATATACCACAAAACCATATCCTCTTGATTTCCCTTCTCTATCTTTTATTATACTTATAGATTCAATAACTCCAAATTTTTGAAAATATTGTGATATGTCAATTTCATTTAAATCATAATCTAGTCTTGCAATAAATACAGTTTTGTAAGGATCTTTCATTACTTCTTGTTCATGTTTAGCAAATAATTCTGGATCATTCCAATCTTTGAGTTGACGTTCGAATGATTCTTTTTGTTTTTGTCTTTTGATTAATGCATCTTGTAAATTTTGTTGATGTTTAGTCAATGGTTGTTTTTTGATTTTAGCTTCCTTTTTCGGTAGAGTCTTGGTGATATAACTTGTTATTTGTGATTTGAAATTCGATATTGGGGTAATGGAAGTTGTTGATCGTTTTTCAGGTGGGTAATCTATTGGTTGTACATACTTGAATGGTGGTTTTGGTTGAAATAATTGTTGTATATTTGGAGGGTATTTTTCTGAGTCATCAGTCTAGGAAAAAGAATGTTAGTATGAATAATCAAAGAACCTGTTCGGTTAAAAAGTACTTACCATATCATGATATTTAAATATTGGTGTAGGAGCTTCTGTTGTTGCAACGATTCTTTCTATTGATAATTAGTTTTTTTTCAGTGTGATTGATGATATAAATTTGAAACAGGTAGCGCTGGTGTAAATTTTAAGATGCTCGACCTGAATTTTGACCAAATTTCCCCGAACTCGACCCGATCTAAATCGGTCAAATAATATTACGTCTAAATGTATTTACTAAGATTCGATCCAAAAAAAAACAATCTAGATAAGTGCAAATAAAAAAAAAAAAAAAAAACACCACAGTTTAAAAACATCTATTGAAACCAATTCATCAATTGAGTAATATTTCCAAACTCATTTTAGTGAACATCTGATTACAATGGCATTTGGAGATAAAAATTTAGAACCAACTGAAATTTATTTACAAAATGATAAAATAGATATTGAAAATCTACCAAAATTTACAATAACTGAACTCCTGAAATATAATGGTAAAGATAAACCACAATATTATGTTGCAATCAAGAGATTAATTTATGATGTTACATCAAATTCAGATAGTTATAAACCAGGAAAAGGTTATAATGTATTTGTTGGAAAAGATTCAAGTAGATTATTAGGTACAAGTTCATTAAAATTAAAACCAAATGAAGAAGGTAAAACTCCTGAGAGTTGGGATTATAGTGATTTTGGTGATAAAGAATTAAAAGTTTTAAATGATTGGGTTAAATTTTTTAAAATGAGATATCCTATTGTGGGTGTTGTTGCTATTGAAGAAGATGATGATGGGAAAATTGATACCAAGGATTGATAATGAAATTTTGTATGTCCGATATCATGTTTTGGGTAAACCATAACTTTTTGGATAATGCTAATATGCATTGGGACCTACTCTGCTTGATTGACAAGAACAGCGCTGGCTCAAAATGTGAAAATAAAGACATCCAAACAAAAACTAATACGAATATGAGGTAAATACTAAAAGAGAAGGTTGTGTTAACAAGCGAAGCAATTGAATGCTATATTAGTTACCCTGAAAACATTAATGGGATTCTTTAGAAAAACCGTGTACGAGCAGTGGTTGACGGTTAATATGTATCGGAAGTGTAAAATTAACTATGAAATTTTTTGAAAAAAAACAGCCGCTTTACTTTTAAGTTGTATAGCCCATATGGAAGCTAGAACAGGTTTTGCTTCCCCTTGTCTTCTGTGTAATCAGAATTAGTTTTAATTATGAAGATCATACTAGGAACTCTATTCCTTGCGTATATAATTTAATATATGATGAGAGGATCGTAAAGTTGTATTTTCTTGATTTCGGAGATAACAAAATGTTTCAAGTTTTGATAAAAATTGATCAACAAAATTTTAAGGTACCGGCCGAAGAATTTGATTATCAGTAATTAGTGCATTATGAGGAGTCGTTGTTCGCCTCAATACGTATTGAATCGTGCAATCTTTGATGTCTCATTAGCAGGCAAGTTTCCCGAAGGGGTTGGCAAATTTTGTTACAAAATTATGGGAATAGATACTATTAAGATTTTAGCTCAGTCAAGTTTCGATTTTCGAACCGAGATTTAAATCTAAATATAACAAAGTAAGGGGATGTTTTAAAATGTAAAATGTGACCGCAATAATATATTTGAAAATCTGCTCTTTCACTAAACTTATCTTGAAATCTCCAAATTAATTAATACATCTATAGAGTATGTATGTCATAAGTATACGACGAACAGATTTTGTGTGAATTATGATGCAAAATTTTATTTGAGTAATTTAAAATTTCAAATGAAATTCATTCAATCAAGAAATCATAAGAATGTAGAATAAGTCACACCTGGAACTTCATCTGTTGATATTTCTAAGAATTTTGGATGATGAATTAGATCAATCCAGCAAATAATGTGTATTTTCACCAATTCATAAGAAAGATATTCTATTAATATCACTTCTTGACATATTTTTAATGTGTAATATGAAACATCTCAACTACAATAATAAATTTATATCCATACACTTTTTTTAAATTAATCTTTGTGTTTAATTAAATTCTATGAAATGAAAAAGAACTTTATTCTAATATTTATTATATTTAATAAATAGACTACATTATAAAACATTTAATTTTAACTAATTTCACTCCAAAAAGAAGGATAAATTATTTATAGAATTTTGGGATTCAACTAATAGAACTTATATCACTATTGTGACCAATTAGAATACTAAAAAGGTTGAATCAAAAGATAAAACCATTCTATTCTGTAATCCCAATCATCATTTTCAACTTTGGTTATTAACCAATCATTAATTCATTTGCATACAAACTTCACTCGTTTATACCATTTTAAAGTATTGTAATTGATTTCATATTGCTATAATTCATTTATAATCACATCTATAAAGATTCATATATCTATTCACACATTAATCAAATAATATGGAAGCATTTCGTAGAATTCAAAATATAAGTAATAATAAAGGTATACCAGAATTTAATGAAGATGCAGGAGCAGATATTGGTGAATTAACAAGTGGTGCAAATTTGTCATTTGATGATATAACTCATATAAGAAATAAAGGAATTTATAATTCTAGTTCAAATTTAGATACTGCTCCAATAATACCTACTTTAGGAAGTTTAGGAAGTGCTTCATCTTTCAATAATGTAGATCCATTAAAATTAAATAATGTTCAATATAGAAAACAAATGAATCAACAAAAAAAATTGGCCATGTTAACAGGAGCAAGAGCAAATTCTTTAGCAGCAAATGGTGGTAATAATCCAATGTTTCAAGGTGGAAATAATAACTTAAGAGCAAATTCATTAGCTACTGGAGTTGGAAATCCAATGCTTTATAATAGTAGTAATAATAGTGCTAGTAGTATGAATAATCCAAGAGCTAATTCTTTAGCAACAAATATGGGTAATCCAATGATGCAACAATCACTACCACCACAACAATATATGCCAAATCAACAACAATATCAATTTTCACAACAAGACATGGGATTGGAACCAAGGACACAGTCAATGGTTGGAAACAATGCAAGAAATAATATGCAAATGCAAGGTGGATATCCTAGGACACAATCATTAAATCCTCAGGCCCCGGTTAATATGAATTATAATCAACAACAACAAAATCCGCAATTTCAACATAGACAACAACCCCCCTTGAATCCAAATCAAACCAATTACAATCAAAATCAAATGCAAAATGGAGCTCCAAGAACAATGTCTTTGATGGGATCAGGTCAAGGAATGATACCGGGTAATCAAGCATATCCAAGAACTAAATCCCTTGGTGGAGTTGCTACTATGAATCAATTTCAACAACAACGTCAACAAGCAGTCCAACCTCAAAATCAAAATTATCCTCAAAACCCTCAATTTACTCAAAGACAGCAACCTCTTTATAATCAAGGTAATCCTCAAAACTCGAACCATCAAATGCTACATCAAAATCAATCATATTTTCCTAATCAACAATATCCGTCAAGTCAAACAAATCAACAACAATTTCAACAACCACAGCAATCCCGACAAATGCATCCTCAACGACAGAGTTTACCTCCTCTTCAAGAACAACAGAATATGCAACTTTATCCAAACAATCAGTCATCACAAAATGATTCAAGACAATTTGTTGCTCCACCACAACCTCAATATACTACGCTACAGGAAAATTCTTCTGACTCATTAAATGATGTTATGGAGGAAGAGGAACCACAACAACTATCAGAATCGAACGAAGAAGAAGATGTAATTTATAAATTTGATGAAGATGATAACAAAGGAATACAAATTTCCAGAAAATCAACTTTAAAGAAAAACAATTCAATGAGGGTGAGAAAATTGAATTTATTTAATGATAGTTCAAATGAAAATGATTCTGATGATAAAAGTTCAACTACATTAAGGAGAAAAAGACCTCCAGTAAGTCCGTATGAAGCAAATTTTAATAATTCATATAAATCCGAAACAAATGCTCCAAATCTTGCATCATTTGAGGAAGAAGAAAAAGATCAAACTAGTAATCACCCAGATGAAAGCACCGAAGATGATGCAACAATTCAAGAAAATGATAGTGTGAAAACATATGAGAAAGATCAATCACAACCGCACACAATATATAAACAACCAAGTAGAAACATACTGGAAAGTCATTCATTTAAAAATCTTGTTGCAAACACTGCTTTTAATAATTTTAGATCACCTTCAATTTCAAGTAATTCAAATTTTGCAAATTCTCAATTAATGAAAACTGATTCTCCAACTTCTTTTTATGAAGCAAGCCAATCTCCAATGCCTACACCAATAGATAATAATTCTGACACTGATGAAAGTGAATTTAGGAGACAAGATCATCCATTTTATACAGATGAAAATAATGAAAATAATGGTAATTTAACTCCACCAACCGCTTCAACTTCAAATATATCTCAACACAAGGAGTCAGGTATAAATGGTAGTAACAAGGTTATCAATTCAAGTCCAAATCATAAATTTGAAACTGATGAACATGGAAATGATACTACATGCAGTATTCCTGTAGATATTACCGAGCCGATTCAAGATGTTAGTGAAGAACAGAGAGAAGCTGACAGAAGTAGAGGTGAGTTCAATCCTATGCCGTCTAGTCATGATAATATTCCTTCAAATCCATCAAGAACCCCAACTACAACATCCTTAACAAGTGGTGAAAGAATTCAACCAAATTCTATCAGTCGTAATTCAACTAGTGGTTCAAATACATCAAAACCAGGATTACCAAAAGTTTTATCATCTGCATCAATATCTAGTCAACAACTGACTAAAAAGGAGAAAAGATCATCTTTTTCAGGTAAAAATTTCTTAAAAAGGTTATCAAAATCTAAAAGATCAAGTATTAGTAATGTAGAAGAAGATATACCAATTTCATCTGCTGCATCTAGTAGAAGAGCTTCATTAAACCAAAGAATTCCATCATCAAGTACTATTGGATCTATTGGAAATGATAATAAATTTCAAACCAAACAACAACCACAACAACCACAACCTATTACATTCACTAAGGAACAAATGCATATTATGAATTGTAATAATGAATTATTAAATGAGTTAGAATTAATCACAAGAGAATTAGCATCATCCATAAAAAGAGAATTAGCATTAGAAAATAAATTAAAACAACAAGATGATAATCTGAGAAATAATAGATCATCACCAATAAGTTCAGAAACAATTGAATTTGAAAATTTAGAAAAAACTAAAAAAATTGTTGAATTACAAGAAAAATTAAATAAAGAAAAAAGACTTAGATTTATAAGTGAACAACATGCATTATTACAAGAAAATGGTATTACACCAAGTCCATTAAAATTAAATTATGAAAAAACTGAAATTTATAATCAACTTGTTTTAAAAAATGATGAAGTAAATCAATTAAATTTGAAAATAAGAGAATTAGAATCTTCAGTTGAATCAAAAAATCAAGAATTTAATACAAATCAAGCACCACCAAATCATAATCAACACCATCAACAACAACAACAAAATGATTTTAATTCATTAGATAATAATTTAATTGAAAAATTTCAATTTTTAAAATTTGATAATGAAGAATTAAAATCACAAACAATTCAATTAAATGAAGAAATTTTAGTATTAAAACAACAAAGAGATGAATTAAGAGATGTTATAAATAAATTATCAAATCAAAATTTTCAAGAAATTAAAATTTTAAATGATAAAATTAAAAATTTAGAAATTAAAAATCAAAATTTGAAAAATTTAAATATTCAATTATCTAATAGAGGAGAACTAGTAAATTCTTCATTTAATTCACAATATGAAAATGATAGTGGAGATAATTCTTTTTCAAATGGATCATCACTGATGAATCATGGTAATGTTAGTGGTACTGGTCATGGATCAAATATGTTCAAATTAGGTATGAGTGGTGGTAAATTAAATGGATTTACTATTGTTTCACCAAATAAAAAATTCAATGCATAAACAAATAACTGAACGAATTAATGAAAGAAAAATGAATGAAAGAAAACACACAGAAATATTGTATTTCATGTAAATACTTAATAGAATATATATTTATTACGACAATCGTCTAACGTAGTCCTTATTCAACAATCATCTCACATACTCTTTATTAGACAATCGTCTCATTTATTCTAATACTTATTAATTATTAATTTATTACCTAATATTTACTCTATAATAAAGAAAGACAGAACACTAGTCTTCTTGATATAAAAATTTACAAATAACTTTTCCAATTAAATCACCTTGATTATTTAAACTTGAAGTATGATATTTTGCTTTTTCATAAGTTAATTCATTAAATAAACCTTTTTCAAATTTATATTTTAATAAATCTAATGCATATGATGTTGTAAATTCTGGATGTCCTTGAAATGTTAATATTTTATAATTTGGTTTTTTTATTAGTTCGTTATTTTCTTCAGTGATGGCGGTAGTAGAAGCAGTAGTTTGAGTAGGTGGTGGAGATGGTATACTTATCATACCTTGAATTGAACATTTACTAGTTGATCCAAAATTTATAAAACCTTGAGGTATACCACCATATATTATATCTTGATGAAATTCAACTAAATTTAAATGTTCAAATAAAATATTAGCAGAATCCATGTTATTATCAATTTGAATATTTTGATTTAATTCTAAAAATGGAGAATTTTTAATTTTATAAATTTCATCATTTATATTTATTGTAGTTATACCTAATTCCCAACCTTCATTATTTCTATCTATTTTACAACCTAAAATTAATGCAATTAATTGATGACCAAAACATATTCCAACAATTGGTTTATTTAAATTAATTAAAACATTTTTTAAAAATGATTTAAATCGAATTAACCATTTATATTCACCAAATGCATCACAACCAGATCCAGTTAATATAAATCCATGAATTAATTTTAATTGAATCGCTTTTTTCAAATTTTCATATACAATTTCTAATTCTTCATTATTATCATTTTTTAATTGATATTTTTTTAATTTATATGGTGGTGTTATTGATGAATCTGGTGAATTTTTTTCTAAAAGGTCTATTGTATTATCTCCAAAATCTCCATATTTTTCAGTTATTGTTGGAATTGGTGTATCTAATACTAATACTGCAATATGTGGTTCTATTTCATTATTTTGATCTGACATTTATTCAACTAAAACTTTTGAAAACTGGTGTCTAACTTTTCGATATGAATTGGTCTTTTTCTCGCAATTGTCGAAAATTGGGTATATTGAAGGATCAATTGGATTATCTTTGAAAATCGAAATTACAAATTTATTTTAAAGTATGTTAAATTAATTTTGAGTTGTTTATTATATCTATTACGTAGTTATCTATTCTTAAAAATATCTGAAAAATTTAGTTAAGCGGAAATTTTTACTTAATTTATCTTTATTTATTTATTTACTTATCAATTAAAAGAATACAAATATTTAAAATTAGTATGGCTTTAAATTGATTTAATGAATGAAGATCTTTATTCAATTTAGATTGAACTTGAATCTGTTTCTCAACTGGCCTTTAGAATTGTTACAGAATGCGATATTTTCCTGTTCTATCTATGATTATATCGACACCAAGTTTACTTTTACAAAGTAGTAACATTCCTCTTATCTCCAGCGTTAAGAAAGTTTCTACAATAAATAAACCATGAAAATTTTATGACAAAAAGATAGTCTGAGGCCGTTCGAAACAGCTGTAGATGGGTCGATAGATGGGTCGATAGATGGGTCGATAGATGGGTCAATAGCGTTTACCAATGTATCCTTTAACTTCTTGTACAAGCTAAGAATCATACAAATTTCAGCTTAGCATGTGGTAGCCTAGTTAAAAACTTCGACGGAATTCATTATCCGGTACTAACCACAACGTTTCAACAAATTTATTATGAGAAGTAAGGATTTACCAGCTGAATAATAGTTAATTGTTGGTGTTGGCGGTGTAGTTACTAGTATCAAAATAAAACCATTACAAAATACGAAAAGTGAATACGTAACCCATTCAATTAATTGTACCTTTCTCAACATTCTTTATCGTATACAAAGTTGTGCTGATTGATTTAGCTGTTGAACGCTAGATAGCTTGGTAGAGGAAAAAAAGTTTTGATTAAAAAATTTGATTAATTTGAAACTTAATATATTATTCAAATTGATGGTAATAAGACAACAATTATTGATAAGAAAAATATCTAATACTGGATAAACCAATTTGGCTATTTATAAATTAGTTCTTAAACATTCAATCCGTTGATCACCAGGTTTAATCGAATTTGACAATTAGAATTATATTTCATTCAATATCACATAATCAAAACTTATAATCCATTAACGACCACCTTCGATTACATCATTTATACGTGAATTCTTCATCACATTTAACCACCAATTAAGAATAAACATTTCATCTTCATTACCACCATACTGAAATTACAAATCCATCATAATGAACAATAATCACAACAACCACAGTAATAATAATAGTAATAACAATAATTCGCAGGGTAATCCACATACTATATCGAATTTATCAGCAGGTTTGAAATCAGTATCACTAACGGATCAACAACAAAATGAAGTAAATTTAAATCTATTACAACAACAACTACAGAATGAAGCTGGGAATTCATCAAATTCAAATAATATAGAACAACAACAACAATTACAATCAAGAATAAGTCAATTTTTTCAAAACCAACCTACTGAAGGTTATACATTATTTAGTCATAGATCTGCTCCTAATGGATTTAAAGTTGCAATTATATTATCTGAATTAAATTTGCCTTTTAATACTATATTTTTAGATTTTAATAATGGCGAACAAAGAGCTCCAGAATTTGTTACAATAAATCCAAATGCAAGAGTACCTGCATTAATTGATCATTATAATGAAAATACTTCAATATGGGAACTGGGAGCAATTATACTATATTTGGTTTCAAAATATATAAAGGAAAACAATGGTGAATGTTCATTATGGAGTGATAATTTAATAGAACAAAGTCAAATTAATTCTTGGTTATTTTTTCAGACAAGTGGTCATGCTCCAATGATTGGTCAAGCTTTACATTTTAGATATTTTCATTCATGCCCTGTACCAAGTGCAGTTGAAAGATATACAGATGAAGTAAGAAGAGTTTATGGAGTTGTTGAAATGGCATTAGCTGAAAGAAGAGAAGCATTAATTATGGATTTGGATGTTGAAAATGCAGCTGCTTATAGTGCAGGAACTACACCTTTATCACAATCAAGATATTTTGATTATCCTGTATGGCTAGTGGGAGATAGAGCAACAGTAGCGGATTTATCTTTTGTACCTTGGAATAATGTTGTTGATAGAATAGGGATAAATTTGAAAGTTGAGTTTCCAGAGGTTTATAAATGGACTAAATATATGATGCGAAGACCAGCGGTAATTAGAGCATTGAGAGGAGACTAAGAGTTTTAGACAACAATCTTTTTAATGATAATGATGATGATTCCTATAGTAAAACATGTATTCTCAATACTGTATTAATATATAATTTATAAAGCATAAGAATTGGTAAATTTCTTGTAAATATCTCGAAGTAATGTTGTTCTAAGTTTTAGGTGGTTTTTGAGAGTTGAAAATTCGAAAACAAAAAACATCTTAAGAGCATCTCTAACTTCAACTTACACCATACTTCAAAGACTCAAAACATCCTTTTGTTCATGTCAGCCGATTTTATACTAGGTCCTCATGCATTATCACAAACCAAAAAGTCACTAAAGGCTTTAAACCTGCATCAAAAAGTAGATGAAAATTCATCATCATCACCAATTTATCTCACAATCAATATCAAAATCAAACTAATAAAACAAAAGGATTACAAATCAAGAATCATACCGTTGACTTACAAAGTAGATAAAGTTGAAAATAAGTCTATACTATTAATCACTAAAGATCCTTCAAATGTATATAGAGAAGCTTTGATACAAAAAGATTCACCAACAGAAGATTCATTTAATGAAATCATATCATTGAAAAAATTAAAAAGTCTTTCCAAAAATTCCAAAAATTTAATCAAATTATATAAAGAAAATGATTTAATAGTATGTGATTTTAGAATTTTTAAATTCTTACCAGATATACTTGGATCAATATTTTATTTAAAAAATAAAAAAATTCCATTTATGATTCAAATGAATAAACCAAATCCTAATATTCAATTACCAAAATCTAGACAAGGTAAAATTAAAGATAATCAATGTGATCCAAGATATGTTCAATTACAACTAGAATCAATAATTGGAAATACATCATTTATACCAACTTCAAATTCTGGTGATGTTATAAATTTAAAAATTGGATATACAAATTGGTCATTAGAAAAATTAATAAGGAATATAAATGATATTATTAGTTATTTAATTGATGAGAAATTTAAACCTTTAGGAGGGATTTTAAATTTAGAACAATTGGGAAATATTCATGTAAAATGTAATGATTCTATTAGTTTACCTGTATTAATTACAAACGATGAAAATGGGAATCTTGATGAGAGTAATGATAATGATAGCGACTTCGATTTTTGAGAAGTCAACATATCGGATATGGATCTGTCATATCAATTTATGTTTCACAATTATCTTAATGAAGCTCATAGTTCAAGCTGAATCTGATAGACAGTTATTGCAAATGTTAGAAGTCTTTAGGTGAGAATGATTTTGCTCGGGTGACGTACGCCAATGATTAAAATCGTTTACTTCGGATCCTCATGTGCATGACTTAAGAATTGAATATTTTGTATGTATTGATCAAATAGATAACTTACTTCCGAGAATGAACCGCATTTTCTCTTACTCAAATAGGAAACATAGTCTAAAAATATAATTTTCATGATCGAGATATAATATTATGCAGGCACCATTTCTTCATTAATATTACAATTTTTTTAACATAATCATCAAATAAGTTGATGGTTGAATCGAATTCACCAGATTCAGTTGAATCAGATTCTACAGAAACAACGCCGTCCTCTTCAACAAATTCACCAACGGAAACACTTCCAACCCAGTTTTCTGCATCACATTTTTTTACCGATCTACAGCAATCTGCACCTATAAAATATGTTGGATCATTAATAACAGAAGAAAGAGTAGCTGGGATAAGAGGTATTTTCACCGATAGAGATGATGATGAAATTGAAGAAATTGAACATTTTAAATATAAACAAGAATTAGAAAGAAAATTAACAGTTACTTCTGTAATTGGGCTAGGTTTTACTGTAATGGGAGTTCCTTTTGGATTAAGTTCTACGTTATGGATATCTTTAATGGATGGAGCTAATGTAACTATACTATATGGATGGATTATTGTTTGTATCATGTCATTATTTGTTGTATTAAGTCTAAGTGAAATAATATCAAAATATCCTACTGCTGGAGGTGTATACCATTTTAGTGCATTATTAAGTCCCGAAAAATATTCATTGATAAGTTCTTGGATTACAGGTTGGTTATTGTTAATTGGAAATTGGACTTATGCTGTGAGTATCATGTTTTCTGGATCACAATTCATACTAAGTATATTCGGATTGAAAGATTTCGAATACAAAGAAGATAGATTTTTTGTATTAGGAGTTTATTTTTTAATTTTATTATTTGTTGGATTGATAAATGTCAAGTTTTCAAAACATTTGGAAAAGATTAACAAAATGTGTATATTATGGACAATTTATACAGTTTTGGCTATTGATGTTTTATTGATTTTTTTTGCAAAAAAGACAAATTCTGTAAAAACTATATTGACTAAATTTGATAATTCCAGATCGGGTTGGCCGGATCCAATTGCTTTTATTGTTGGTTTACAAAGTTCATCTTTTACTTTGACAGGATATGGAATGTTGTTTTCAATCACAGATGAAGTAAAAAATCCTGAAAAAAATATGCCCAAGGGAGTCATAAGCTCTATATTAATGGCATCAATAGTTGGAATAATATTCATTGTACCGATATTGACTATTTTACCAGAATTAGAATTATTATTAGATCAAAATTCAAACATAATGCCTATTGATTTGATTTTCAAATTATCAACAGAATCTTATTTGATCAGTTTTTTAATGGCCGTATTAATGATAGGTACAGTAATTTTTCAAAGCATTGGCTCGTTAACCACAGCGTCAAGATCAACGTATGCATTAGCTAGAGATGGTGGATTACCAATGGCTTACCTATGGACAGAAATTAATTCGACTGAAGACTACAAAATTCCAAGAAATGCAATATTTTTATCAATGTTTGTGTGTGCAGTATTATCTTTTTTATCCTTGATTTCAAAAGCTGCTTTTAATGCATTTATGGGAGCAGCGGTAGTTTCATTAGCTGTTGCTAACGGTATACCAATTTTTCTATTGATGCTAAACAAGCGACAAAAGATCAGAGGTTCAGCATTTAGATTAAGGAAATTAGGATGGTTTGTCAATGGTGTAGCTGTATTTTGGATATTACTATCAATTTTTATATTGTGTATGCCACCAGTGATAAGAAATTTAACCTGGTGGAAAATGAATTATGCTAGTGTTGTATTAATCGTATTTTTACTAATTGCCGGATTGAGCTATATCAGCTGGGGAGATAAAATCTTCACTGGTCCTCAAATCGATACTGATTATTTTGAGTTGAATAATTTGGAAGCAGCCGGAAGAAAAAATTTGGACAATTTTGTTATTGATGATGATGATGATGATGATGATGACGATGAAGAAGATGAAGAAGAAGAGGAAGATGGAAAAACAAAATCAAATGAGACTGAGATAGATGACCGAATAGTTTTATCTCCGCCAAAAGCGATAAAGAAAAAAGGATATGAACCTATAATTGAAAGTAGTTCCAACTCAATGTCAAACAGCGTGCAAGGAAGAAGAGTAATTGAAGATTTAAAGCAGTCACTGCCTAACAGTGCTAATGATAAAACAAGTGATGGTGATGATGAAATCTCAACTGAAAGTGAGACAGAAATATTATTCAACGCTGATGAGGTGGAGAAAGGCTGAGCTGAGAAAGTGATAAATAAGAAGCAAAACAAATGATGATTAGCGGAGTACAAATTTTAACGAATTTAATGATTTAATGACGGGTTTTTAGTATATAGAATGGTAATTTATAGATTTTGGTTCTAAAACAAACTTGTAGATTAAGATGAAGCGCATACGAAATGTTTAATTTTCAGAAAACGCACGATCAAAATTTTTCAAATAGTCTACTAATTACTGAAACACAGAAAAAAATTTAATGTAATAATGACATAATAGTAATTAGCCATCAAAAGATACAGTAAACGATCTACAACAGTTACAAAATTTCACGTAATCTAATTCATCTTACGTCAAACCCTTTATTTCATCTAGACACATTTAAAAAACATTAATTTTGGGGACTTGACTTTATAATCTAAAAAACCGACAAATAAGGCCACAAGATTTACAAAGATTGAATTATTAATTTCACACGATTAAAATCAAATAATAATTTACATACATATATACACATAGAAAATGTCAGCAGATCATACGAGAGATCCATGTCCAATAGTGATATTGAATGATTTTGGAGGTGCTTTTGCAATGGGAGTAATTGGTGGTTGTGTATGGCACGGTATAAAAGGTTTTAGAAATTCACCTCATGGTGAAAGAGCATATGGAGCTTTATCAGCTATAAAAGCAAGAGCACCAGTAGTTGGAGGTAATTTTGGTGTTTGGGGTGGATTATTTTCTACATTCGATTGTACTGTTAAAGCAGTTAGAAAAAGAGAAGATGCTTGGAATGCAGTAATTGCTGGTTTTTTTACTGGTGGTGCATTAGCTATAAGAGGTGGATGGAAACATACTAGAAATTCAGCTATAACTTGTGCTTGTTTGTTGGGTGTTTTTGAAGGTGTGGGTATGATGATGCAAAGATTACAAGCTCAACCAACTATGGCTCCAGTTTATCCTGAAGAGCCAGCTAAATTGGCAGCTTAAGTGGACAGAGATCAATAATATTCTGTGAAAAGTTGGGAGTTTGCTTGTACATATAATAGAATATACCGTTTAAGTTGTGTATGATATCAGATACTTGTATTTTATTTTAAGTAATGTATAATAGTAATGGATTATGGGAATTCATGAATACTGATGAATGATTTATTCATTTTGCTGTTAAACAATTGATCTCTGAAAAGTTGAGACTGAAAGTTATCGGTCGAAGAAGAATGATTTATAAGGCGTACTAACGAAAACGCATATTTCACTCAAGTACATCAGTTCTACGAAACTTTCTATTCCCACATATTTAATATATAGAAGATGAAAAGGATCGCCAGCTAGTTGGTAATGGAGAAAAAGATTAGACAAATTTGAATCAGTCCAGCTTGATGCCAAATTTGAATTTAGATCAACTATTAAGGATATTAAAAATATTTAAGCAGTAACTAACTAAATACTAATTTAGTCTTAAATAATATAGAGTAAGTATGATGATGTGGCCAATGTAGTCAGTGGAGTTGTACAATTCCACTTAGAATACTTTTTTACCCCTCTTATCATTAATTTTGTAATCCACTATCTATTTGAATTTTGAGGTTTGAGTATATGCATATCATGTTAATCAAATTACACACAACATTACTTTTAAACCCACTTTATTAAATATATATTATTTCGAAAGGTATTTTTGATAACATAACAGCCATCGAGATTATTCTATTAAAACTGAGCTACTATTGTTTGTCGGAACTTAGAGGAATTTTTCCACATACATATTTGTGTAAATTAAAACATTTAGTCAATTCTTGTTGATAATCTGTCTTACATTATATTTCTCTCCTTAATAAAAATTAAAACTCACTGATTGTTATCAATATTATTTTTTGATCTAAATTATAATTACATTTAAAAATACAAACCCACTCATCTATTTATCATTGATTTTGAATCTTCCGAATTCAATTCAACATGGCTTATAATAATTATAATTATCGACATAATTCAATTGGTGGAAATTGGCATCTACCTCCACCACAACCACAACAACCACTTCAACAACAAGGACATGTACAAGGACAAAATGGACAACAACTTAATACTGATATGCTAACACCCGAACAGACATTTCTACAACAGCAACAAGCTTACAAACAAATATCAAACCAACAACAAACACCTGGGTTTCGAAATCCGTGGTTTTCCATGAATCCCCCGAGTAATTCAAATACCACTTCACCATCTTCAGCTAATTCGCAATCACCAACAAAATCTCAAACAATTCCTTTATTACAACAACATCAACCACCACTTTTAAATAAAAGACTATCGTTTACAAATCAATTACCTACAACTTATGAAAATGAAAACACGACTAATATTGATCAGAATAATAATTCAAGTCTGTCATCATCAAATCACAATAATCCTCAATTATCACCTTATGTTCATCCTCCTACTCGTGCAGACAATCCATTTAATCAATATTTTGCAAATCAAGAAGTTTCTCTCGGAGGTTCAGATAGAAGAATGTCCGCAGCTATTGATGGTACATATTATAGTGACAATAATGTACCGCCTCATAACAATTCATACGGGCTCAACCAGCAACAAGGAGGTGTGATTGGTAAAGGCTACCCTAATCAGTCGGACATAACTAAGTCAGGTATCGCTCCAGGATTTACACAATATATAAATAATATGCCACCCACAATGCCCGGAATGAGTAATAGAAGATCATCACTAGCAGTTTTACCAAACCATTACTTGCAACAACAACAACAACAACAACAATTGCAACAACCAGGGACATACTTTGCACCAGCCAAATCTGGTAGATCACCTTCAATTATACAGTATCAACAATACCAACAAGCATTACAAAATCAAAAAATCGCGAAGACTAGAAAGCCAGCTCCGAAAGCAAGAAAAATTTATAATAAATTGGACTTAACACCAAAAATTCATCAACAACCGAAATACAGAAGATGTTCCGTGAATTCGATACATATATCACCAGTCAATGCATTATCAGTTTATTTAACGGAATCATATAGTATATGTCAACCAAGAAAATTTCAATATTCAAAATCAACTAATCCAAAAAGAGTTCTTACGAAACCACTGGATCCAAAATTCAACAATGGATTTGATAATGAGGAGAGTGATTATATTTTGTACGTTAATGATATTTTGGGAAGTGAGGAAGGTAGGAAGTACATGGTATTAGATTTGTTGGGATCTGGTACATTTGGACAAGTAGTAAAATGTCAGAATTTAACAAATCAAACAGTTTGCGCGGTAAAAGTCATAAAATCTAAACCAGCTTATATGAATCAATCTTTGACTGAAGTAAGGTTGTTAGAATTTTTGAATAAGAATAGTGATGGAAAAAATTTTATAAGGTTGTTAGACACCTTCATGCACAAAGAACATTTATGTCTAGTATTTGAATTATTAGCATCGAATTTATATGAATTGATAAAACAGAATCAATTTCAAGGTTTGAATATGAAATTGGTGAAACTTTTGACAAAACAACTATTGGAAGCCTTGGTTGAACTAAAAAATTTCCAAATGATTCATTGTGACTTGAAACCCGAGAACATTTTATTATGTCAACCAGACAAACCTAACATAAAAGTTATTGATTTTGGTTCGGCATGTTTTACACGACAGACTATTTATACATATATACAGTCAAGATTTTACAGGTCCCCAGAAGTCATACTAGGATTACCATATACAGAGTCAATTGATATGTGGTCTTTTGGATGTATAGTTGGTGAGTTCTTTTTAGGCTTACCAATGTTTCCGGGTACATCTGAGTATAATCAAATATGGAAAATAGTTGATATGTTAGGTCCACCACCAAGACATATGATTGAAGTAGGTAGAAATGCATCAAATTTTTTCAAAAAAATTCCACCACTAACTAGCGCCAACCCAGATGACAAACCAAAATATACCATTAAATCATACGATGAATATTGTGAATTTATTGATTCGAAACGAGATTCATCTAATAATAATTCAAATTCAAGTTCATCGCATCACAACAGTCATCATCATGTGAAGAAAGAACAACCAAATAAAAATTATTTCAAACATAAATTGTTGAAGGATATAATTTTGAATTACAAATTACCAAGTAAGAAGATGACAAATTTAATGATTGAAAAGGAGTGTCAAGAAAGACTTTTATTAATTGATTTCTTATCGAAAGTTTTGAATTTAAATCCTTTGGAAAGATTAACACCCCAAGAAGCTTTAAAGCATCCGTTTATTCATGATGTCAAAAGTCTTGAAATTTCAACTTGATTAATTCATGGTTGTAGCATCATCTCATTTTTTTTTTTTAATTTTGATAGATATGTAGCATTTCGATTCAATGTAAGAATTTTGTCATCGTCATTGTTGCTCTCATACACTCAACTTCATCGCTCTCATACCTTCAACTTCATAAAGTCTATCAATATCGAGGTTATGAAGTTATATAGTTTGAAGTTTCAAAAGGTCGTGTGATTACTAACAAACTTAAATAGTGAAGAACAAAAAAATCATGAAAAATAAAAATATGAAAACTCCATAATATATTCAAACATTACTTACTATAACGTGAATCAAGATAATTGTCATTAATATTGACAATAATCATATCATATACATTCATTTCAAATTTGTTTATATAACATTTCCATATCTGGTCTAATAGAATATATGTGCACCAAAGCATTATAACTAGAAGGAAAATATCATTACATTTTTTTTGACTTATTAATTTAAAGTTCAAACAACAATTCCAACCAGCAGATATAATAGTAGATATCCACCTAGTCAGTCAATCAATCATATAGGCTTATAATACATCTGATTACCATTATAAACATTAATCTCGAACCAAACCTAACAATCAACATCTGGAACTCATAAATCATTAATAAATAAATTTTTTCTTAAATGAATGTCAGTACAAGTGCATTAGGAGTTAGAAGAAGGAAAGTAGCTACACAAAACATTGATGATGAAGAAAACTCAGCACAATTGAAGCTAGGACCCGAATTTCAATTGCATCAAATAACAAATTCTGGAGAGGAACAACAATTAATTGCACTAAATCTATCAGAAGCTAGATTATTAATCAGAGCTGCCTTGAAAGAACGTAAAAAGAATAAAAATCCAAACAAAAATTCAAATAAACGAAATCAATCAAACGACAACATCAGCGACTCCGACGAAGACGATGAGGATGATGACAATCTAAATAATACCAGAGAGGATGAATTATCAAATATGGAATTAGCAGGACCGAATTCAAATGAAATTATGCATAAAACTTTGAATTATTTGACAAATTTTAGCAGATTCAAAAATAGATCAAGTTGTGAGACAGTTGAAAAATTAATTAATGATTTCAATGCTCATTGTAATGAATATTTACATCCTTTTGAAATGGCTCAATTAGGCACCTTAGAATGTGAAGACGCTGAAGAAGCGAAAAGTTTAATACCTTCATTAACTAACAAAGTGAGTGATGTACAGTTGCAGAGTTTATTGACTGAATTGCGTAAATATCAAACATTGTCATAATTAACTTTAAAATCAAAATTAAAAATTAAATCAAACATAAATCAAAATAAAAATTTAGAAAAAAAGAGTAAAGCAGCGTATGATCATTTTTGTCAAGAACTGATCATTAATTCGTGTTTTATTTCAACCACATTGTATTATTATTAAAGCATAAATTATTATAAGGACTATATTTTAAAATAACCCATACCTAATTATATAGCTTATGCTTTTTCTTTAAATCCTTCAAAATAGAAGTAATAAATAGATCAAGCATTTAATTCGCTCCTCTTTGCAGTTGACTATAGTAATTTGTAGGCGTAATTTTTGTACGTACGATATTTTTTGCATCGATTCTGCAACAACTAATTACGATGTAAGAAAAAAAACGGTTGAAACAATATTTTTTTTTTACACAAACATCAGAAAGGAAGGTTACAACAATATAATTAAGAAGGTGATGGAGAATGATGACGACGTATATGACGAATTCGGAAACTATATTGGAGAAGGGTCAGAGCCAGAGGAAGATACGACTAATGGTGAGACATATACATCAAACAATAAGGATGCCATAGAAACTGATCCAGAAGAAAATGAATTCTCCCATCAAGCAATAGTGAAGTCCTCCATCCCAGCAAACGACTCGGAAATAATTTATGTACAACAAACTCAACCAGACTCAGTCGATGAGCCAATTATTAAACCTGAATCCATAGAACGAACGAAAATAACAATAGATGAAAAAAATCTACCACCTACCACCTACACCGTAGAATCAATTGTTGAGGTCATGCATGACAAACCAGAAAGAATAAGGAACTTTGCAATAGTTGGAGGAATACATACTGGTAAAACATGTTTAATTGATCAATTCATAAACAAAACTCATCCCACTATTAATAATCAAAAATCAAATAATCATAAGTTCATGAGACCATTGAGATATATGGATTCGTATAAAATTGAAATTGAAAGGGAAAGTACGATCAGAACTAAAGATGTGACACTACTATTAAATGATTCAGAAAACCAATCGTATTTATTTAATATTTTAGATACTCCCGGTCATATTGATTTCAATGATGAAACCATTGCAGGATTAGAATTAAGCGACGGTGCTGTGTTAGTTCTTGATGTACTTGAAGGCCTTACCTTGAGAGATCAAATTAGATTAGACGAGATTTTAAAAAGGAATCTATCGCTAGTTCTTGTCATTAATAAGATTGATAGATTGATCCTAGAATTAAAATTACCTCCAAAAGATTCATATCTAAAAATTTTCAACGTAATAGACGACGTCAATGATTACATTTTAAACAATGAGTACCGCAACAAACACAATCATGTTGCACCATTATCACCCTTGGACGAAAACGTTATATTTGCATCATCCAACTTTGGCATCTCATTCACCTTGAGGAGCTTTTTGAAACTTTATAAGCATAGATTGCCAAAAGGGAAAGAGAATGAGTTCATTAAAAAATTGTGGGGGGATTTTTATTTCAATTATGAAACTAGCTCGATTGTTACAAATTCAGAAGGAGGTAAATATCAAAGAACGTTTGTTACTTTCGTTTTAGATGCAATTTACCAAACGGCTATTTACACCTTAACTTCAGAGCCGTCCGACCATAAAAAACTAGCCACCATTTTATGGGAAAATTTTAGAATTGGACTACCAAAAGCAGAGTACAAGAAGGACATCAAGATTTTATTAAAAACAGTCTTCAGTACAATTTTTGCAAAAGATTCTGGTTTTGTTGATTCAATAAAAAAGTCAATCTCCGCTCCGAATATAACGCCATTAGAAAAGAACACCCCGATGTTGGGGAAAGTGACAAAATTAGTTGATTCAACAGACGGTCAAAGCTTTTTGGGTTTAACTAGACTTTATACTGGTAGGTTGAAGGTAGGAGATACTGTAAAGGTATGTATTGAAGATGTAAATGATGAAACAAATCAATTTATTTACAAAGATGAAATTATTAAAGGTTTGTACATACCTGTTGGAAGGTACAATTTACCAGTTGAGGAGATTAGATCAAGCACAACTCTTTTGATTGAAGGAATTGACTCCATCATAAAGAAAGGAGCCACAATAATATCTCCAAATAACTTGAAAGATACAGTTTTCAAATTACCAAACTACGACATTACTTCAGTACTAAAAGTTGCAATTGAACCAATGAACCCCATGGATCGACCGCGCTTACTCAAAGGTTTAAACAACATATCAAAAGCCTACCTCTCATCAGTTATCAGGGTTGAAGAAAATGGAGAAAACAATATTTATGCACCGGGTGAATTTTACATGGATTGTGTGTTGAACGACTTAAGGTTTTACAATAATAATAATCTTAAAATCAAAGTAAGTGATCCCATGACCAAATTTTCCGAAACATGTCAAGAAACTTCATTCACTTATATTCCAATCACGGCAAATAATAAAAGTTTGGACATTGCAATTGTAGCAGAACCAATGAGTGATCCAAATATAAGTTACGAAATTGAAAAGGGTACAGTAAATGAGCAACAATCTAGAAAAGAAATGTCAATGATATTGAATCACAATCATAAATGGGATTTGAAAAGCTCGAGATCAGTATGGTCCTTCGGACCGAATGATTTAATTGGTCCAGACATATTGATGGAAGATCTTGATGAAACGACTTTAAATAATGAACAATTGAAAAAAATTAGTCTAATCAAGAACTCAATAATTAGAGGGTTCAAATGGGCAACAAATGAGGGACCTTTAATTAATGAACCAATACGAAACACCATGTTCAAGTTAGTGCATATAAATTTTGACAGCAATGAAGATTCCGATCTTAATCCTGCCCAAATTATACCATTAGTTCGAAGGTCTTGCTTTATAGCTTTATTAACAGCAAAACCAAAGTTGATGGAACCAATCAATAAATTTGAATTTATTTGTTTTTATAAAGCCATTCATGTTATTAAGAAAATTTTAGGAGAAAGAAGAGGATGGGTAACAAGTCAGATTGGAATAGAGGGAACACCATTGTATAAATTACAAGGTTTCATTCCTGTCATAGATAGTTTTGGATTTCATTCAGATTTGAAATTATATTCTGCTAATAAGATCAAAACTAGTATGATTTTCAGCCATTGGGAGTTGGTGCCTGGCGACATTTACGATTTTGAAGCGGAATTACCACATTTGAAACCAGCTCCTATAAATTCATTGTCTCGTGATTTTTTAATGAAAACTAGAAGAAGAAAAGATTTAACTGGTGAACCAACTTTACAAAAATATATTGACATGGAAATTTATGAGAAATTGAAATCAAAGGGTTTAGCTGTATGATATGACGTCGCTAGAGTGCAAACTAGTGAAAATGAAAGATTCCATTGAAATTGCATATGAGTAGCAAGAATCTATATAGAGAGGTTATAATGGGCCCCACTTATTTCTTGTAAGTATTCTCAAGTTACGTGAACGTAGACTCGTCAATCCTTTCCAACTCCAATGAAATTCAATCTAGTAGCATAAGTATTTGTAGATCCGGATCATTTCCAAACTCCGTCAGTCTAACCCTAAAGCAGGTTTCCTTCCGAAAATTATTAGACCATTAGCTAGCTATTACGTCTTTTTACCTTATACCTTTCTTTTCTTTGTAGGTGGTTCTAAATGATCAAACCCATGAGATTGTTCAACTAAATCATTGTAATTTGTAATAAATCTCGGCTGAGTACTCAATTTAAATTCTAAATATTCAGGTATTTTATCCTTAAAATTTGAATCAGTACAATCACATAATTTATCGTAAACATCAAAAAAATCTGAAATTGACAAATCTTTACAATATACGTTATCTTCAGTTATCACAATATTGTTGAATTGAGGTATTGATAATTTGATTTCTTCTTTTATTTCGAATTTTAATTTTAATCTTAATACTGCAAACAAATCGTCTAATGACAGTGATTCATCAATTTTATCGGATTTTGATATTAATGCTTTATGTTCTTTTGTTGAGGGGGAGTTCAAGGGAAATAATAGATATTTTGAATCCGTATATGTTACATAAATTGGAAGTTTGTTGATTAATGAGGTATCTCGATTGGGTGAGTCATTAGTTGAAGAATTATTATTTGTTGTTTCTTTATCATTTTCATCATCGCGACCAATGGCGTCTGTATTGGCATCAGAGTTCGATATGTCATTTTCTTTATTTTCTTCTGGGTTAGTTTGTTTTACATCAATTTCAATTCTTTCATCTGACCCATTTAGTTTTGTTATATCCACATCTAACTTTTCTTCCTTGTCATCATTAGATTCATCACCGTCCTTATTTTTATTTTGGCTATTTTGAGAATTGTCATCTTTGCTACCTAGACTACTGTTTGCCTTTTCGTTTTCATTTTTATCTTCTCCGTGTTGTTCTTCACCTTTCGAACCACGTTTATGAGGTGGAGTTTCAGGTTCTTCTCCATCAATTAATGCACCTACTGACTTCATCGGAGCAGCATCTTTATCACCATTTCCATCATGTTCATCAATATCTTCATCTTCATCATTTATTGCTCCATTTTCAATTTCTTCTTGTTTTTCCAAAAAATTTTCATAATATTCTTGACTCACATCTTTGGTATTTAATGCTCCTTCGCTAGAATAATTGACATCATCATCTCCTCTTGCTACTTGTTCACTAGCTACGTTAAATTTAGTTATTGCATCTTTAGTTATTGCATTTAATTCATCTTTATCTTTATCTTTATCATCATTCTTGGAGTTACCTTGATTTGAGCCATTAGTGGAACCTTCCTGTTCCTTTTTATCTTTTTGTTGATCATCATAAATTTGATTCATTTGAGAAGTTCTATTAGCTTGAGGAATAGTACTTCCTTGAGCAACACCAACTAATCGATTATTATGATGGCTATCATCAATTGTATTATCTGATTCACCAGTACGATCATGTTCTTTGCTATTTTGTATTTCTTGATCATCAGTAACATCTTGAGCACTAGAATCATCATTACTCTTTTGCTTTGGATCCTCCTCAACTTCTTCATCTTCATCGTATTCCAAATTTGCATCCCCTTCTTTATTTTCATCACCCGTGTTTCCGGCTTTCGATTCTGTACTCAATTCATTACCTACTTGAGGTTCAGCATTTTGCTCGTTTTCAACGTCGTCAGGTCTCACCTGAATGTCATTCGTTTCCCCCAGAAGCTTATTGTCAGGTTGTGATGAATCTCCGTATTCTTTGTTATGCTTTTCTTGCTCTTTTTCATCATTTTGATTTTCTTTGATAGTATTTTCTAAGGATTCATTAATTTTATCAATTTCTGGAACATCAATTACATCAGTATCTTGAGATATAGTATAAATTTTATCTGGTGTGGTTGGTCTTGGAGTAGGGAAATGTTCAGGAATTTTGAAATTTGTGTCAGTATTTATATTATTTATATCTTCTCTGACTTTTGCTAAATCTTCATCATTAATTTTACCATCTTTTGAGGTAGACGTTGGAGATAATGCTGGATCATTTGTTGTATTTTGCTCCTGATTTATATATTGTTGTTCATTATTCAATTCACTCATTATAAGTATTTACACGATATCACTGCTTATAAAGAATAATTTGTTCCTGATTAGGTCACTCCGTTTTTAATTCAATGAAGTTTGTCCAAGTTATTCTTTGTATGAATGCGTATTTTTTTGTTCTAGTATTTGTCGAAACCAAGTATAACCGCGGTTTCGTTAGTAAAATTAAGTCAATTGGTTGTTAATAACGTACCATCAATTTCTTGAATGACTGAAATGTAGATTCGGTTTATTAGATGATGGATTGTGTTTTTCTGGTTGTGAAAATCTTACAATAGTCTATAATTCAAAATTTTAAGATGAATTTTAGCTTTCTTGCGGGAGAAAATTTGTATGCAGGTCCACAAGAATTTCGTAAACTACTTCAGTTAATCTTACATTTCAAACAAGAATCGAACTACATTGTACCACGCTTCGACTGTTTTCTTTCTTTTTTAAAAAATTGTTTATTAAAAGTACAAATTATGAACAGAATAGTATTAAATTTAAAAGTGGGTGTCATCGTGTAAATTAATTTCAAAAACAATTGATTCTATTCGAGATTCATCATCAAAAGATTTTCTAATTTATATTTATGGAGCCCAAATTTTAAAAGTTTGTGGAGCAATTAATGAAAGAGGTTTATAATCATCAATATTTGAAAAATCATCAACCAGTTTTTTAGAACCTTCACTAATCATACTATCTTTATCTTGATCATTTTTACCTTCACGATTATCCAATTGTTCTTGTTGATTATCAGCTTTACTACCAACAGCTTCTAATGATTGTTTGACTGGTTTATATAATAAAGATCTTGCATCTGAAATGATTTTTTGAAATTCTGACTTTTGTGTCGTTTGATCATTACTTTCAAGTAATGAACAAGCTTCTTCTAATTTTTTAATTACGTCTATAGTTGATCTTGTTAATGATAATCTATCAGTAAAAATTTCTTCTTGTTGTTTTGATAAATTTTGTCTTTCTCTTTCATAAATTTTTTCTAATTCTTCAATTTTTGCTAATTTAGTTTCACATTTTTGTAATTCATGATTTACTATACTCATACTAATTTTATGTAATTCTCTTTCTTCATAACTTGAAAATAAATGACTTCTACCACCAACTATTCCAAATGTGGTTGCAATTGCTTCTTCAGTTTTGTTATCATGAGTAGAATCATCTTTTTCAATTGATCCATTTCGTTCTTCTGAATCATCATCTTTGTTTTCAAGTTCTTTTGAATTCACTACATCAGTCTTTATTTTGGCTTCCTCTTTCCCTTTTCCATCACCACCATATACTTCATTAATTTTATTCCTTATTGATTCATCCATGGCTTTACATGCAGCTTCACTAGCAGCTTTTGCGACATTACTATCAACAATTCTTGTCATAAAAACCAAATTTGCTAAAACAGGATTATCTAGTCCATTAATAGGATAATTAGATGCATATTTTAATAACTTTATATCTTCTTTATCTGAATCTTTTATTGGATTGAATTGATCTTCTATTGGTAATTTTAAAAATTTCAAAACACATTGTTGTGGAGTTTTATTACCTCCAACTTCTGAAGCTATTTGATACCAATCATTTTTATGTTTTGCAATTGCATTTATTAAATTATTAGATTCTTCTTGTGTCCATCCATCATCATCTTCGTCTTGTTTATGTTTTCTCTTATTTTGTGGTTCATCTTTAGATGGTTGATTCTCTATTGAAAGTTTCCTTTTCGTACCTCTTTCTTTATTTCCATTTTCAAAACCAGCTGAATTGACGGAATCAGGTAAGGATATTAATTTTTTCAACTTTTCAACATCAATTTTATCAAGTGGAATTCTTGATGTATCAAACGGGAAAAGACCTCTAGGGGAATCATATTTGACATGATAATCTCCAGTATATGGTAAATCAACCAGCAGACCATTAGGCATTTTCTCAAATGCATAACCTGGTTTAAAATGTGGTTTCACTTGATAATTTATTAAACCCCATTTATTTAAAAAACGATGCACTCTCATTAACGTACCAACATCACCAACCAAATTTCGACGACATGAAGTTAAAGTTAAAAATTCATTTGGATTAAGTCTATAAGCGTTAATCATGAAGTTTCTATAGTTTGCATATAATTTTGGTGATTTTGAAGGATGACTAGAATCAAAAAATTCTGATAATGATTGCTTTTCTATTTTATGAATTTTTTTCATATTAAACCAACTAGCATATGAAGGAATTATTATGAGATGTGTTTGTTTATATTTTTTCGTAGCTTTGACAGGTTCATCCTCTTCGTCCTCTATTACGTCTTCCATATCAAGGTCTTCTTCTTGGTCAATACCAGTTGCTCTTGTTTCATTTGATTCTGAGGATAACAGTGGTGTTGGTTCAGCTTTAGTTTGATCTGATCCATTCGCTGATTTTGATTCTTCCTTAACGTCGTTTGATTTATTATTGTGTTCTGCTTTATTATCTTGTGATTCAATTTTTTCATCTTTTGGCTTTTCAGTCTCACTTTCAAGTAAAGATGCGTCAAATTCATCACCAGACTTTTCAGAATCTTCCACATTAAAGTCAGCATCAAATGCAGGATCGTCAACTTGAGCATATGAAAGCATCTCATCTTCTCCCTTTTCTTGACTTTTTTCTTCGGCATCATATTCCTTATTTCCTATTCCACTAGCATATGCAATATCATTTGTTTCAGTCGGTATGTCAATATCCATTTGATCTTCATATATATTGTGGTCAGGTGCAGTTGGATCTATATCGTTATTATCAGACAAATCATTGTTTTTGAATCCATTTTCTAAGATTTTGCCTTCTTCATTTGCATCATTTTTATTAGTTTGCTCTTGGTTATTATTTTCTAAGTATGAATCATCGTCATTCTGTTGCTCATCCGATGATGTCCCTTTATTTGACATTAATGAAGCTTTTGAAGCTCTTCCAACGAAATTTGCCTTATCATCAAATGGTTCATCCACTGGTACTTGATCCACAGGTATTGAAGGTAGTTGTTCTTCTACAATTGCATCTGCATGTTGTGTTTGATTTCTTGAATAATTAGAATTGTCTTCATTATCTTGTTCTTCTAAATTTTTTCCATCATCTATTTTAAATCCATTTTTTTCATTAAGATCTTCATTATTTACTTTTCCCTCTATATCATTTTGGTCATTCTCTTGATTCTCTAGTAAATCATTTGGTAAATCTAGGTTATCTGATTTGTCTCTGTTATTTAATTTATCAGCATTTAAATGAGTTAATGAATCACTCTCCAAATCATTAGGAATTTTCGTAGGTTGATGATCACTTAAGTTTTTCATTTCCTCAATCTGTTTCTCATCTAGATTTTCAGTCGTTAGTTCTTTTTCTTGAAAGTCTTGAGCATTATTCAATTGTTCATCAGTATTGTCAAGTTGCTGTGAATCTTCTTCATCGTCATCTTCATCATCATCATCTTCATTTTGAGAATCTTTGTTGTCTTCTTCATCATCCTCATCCTCATCATTACTTTTGGATGATTCGTTTCTCAAATCTTCTCTTTCTTTATTTCGATTATCTCGATTTGTCTCGTCTGATTCTTTTGTTTCATTAATTGTTTGTGCCGGTATGTCGTTTGTATTTGAAGATTTATTATTATTATCCAATGATTCTGCCTCTTTTATTTTTTCATCCGGTGATATTGAACTCATTTTGAAAGAGATTGTATCTATTGATTGTGTTTTATTTTACTGATGTTTACTTTGAAGTTTGATGGAATTTGTTAAATTGAGGATAAATTTGCTGTTCAACGACAAGTCGAAATGATTATGATGTGCTTAGTGATATGTCAAATGGGTGATACTGTGTTGGGTATAGTTACAGTTTCTTTTTAATTTTGGTTGCAAGAATTTAAAGTTGGAAAATAGAACTATATGTTGGATGATTGAATTGTTGTTTTTTTTTGTTTAGATGGTTGGTTGTTGAGTTATATTAAAGATATGATGATACTGAATCTAAACCCAAAGATCAATAATCAATCTCAATGTCTTTAATCTAATAAATGAAAAACAATGAATCAAAAATCAATGATTGATTAAATTGATAATGGATTACTATTTAATAAATATATTTATGGTTGTAAAATATAAATAATAAAAATATAATTTTAAGATTTCCATTTTTTTTTTTTTGTATTTTTAATTTTTAATTTTTATTTTTTCGACATTCGATTTTACTAATATTTTAAGACACTATCGTGATATTGGACATTAAACACGACTATATTAATGTGAAAAAACACATATATACACCAGTATGTTGTGAAATTTTGATAAAAGGGACCACATACCATCTGATGAAGTTTGAAATTTAAACTTCAAAACGTTTTATTTCGAAGTAAATCTATTTAATCAATCTTCACGAATTTGGCAATATTCCGCAAATTGCTGTTTGCGTTGCTACCAATTTATAAGTTATATCAGTAATTAAGACGAACATTAAATTAACTCAATCTGAATGCAAAAAACTTGAATAAAAGATTGGCCCCCATTATTTGCAATATTCAAATTCTCCCAAAACTGAAAAGGCATCTATTTGTTTTCCAGATTATAATTGCCAATTTCAATATAATAGGATTTCGGATAGAATTTATGTCTCGTATAATTTTATTTGTGACAGAAAGTTTACGAAATCTCACTCTAATTATTAAATTTATTTTATCTCCTTCGTATTTGTAACTATAAATATCACTATTAATAATTTTAATTTGACTTTGCATAATCAATGAATAGCCTTGTTTTTGCCTTCCACTGTGATCATTTCGTCTAATACTGTTCTCACTCGATTTTATGTCTGATAAAGTTCTTCGAGTTTGATCTTTTTGTTAACTAGCCCACTCATATTAATTGAAATATTAAGAAAGTGGAAATGTGCGAGGTTTCTTAAAATGAAAAACTATGGAGATTTTTGATTTCATAAATTCCTGATAGAGAATAGTTTATGAGCTAGAACTTTATCCTTATTCAATTGCATCTAATATATTGAATATTAATTAGTCTTTTAAACATTACAAAGTGGTAGAACTTTGTAAATATCATACGCCACATGAAAATCGTTTTGCCCTGGGGTCTTTTTATGTTGAAAATTAATAAATTGTTAAACGAATGTAATTGAAATATTTGACTTAAATATCATTGATTCTGAATATATGAATTAATAAGAAAGAAGAAGAAGAAGAAGAAAATGATACATATATATATTTATATAATACTTCTTACAATTTTTACATAATTTTTAGAAATTAGTCTTAATATGAAAATCTAAAAAATTTATATGTAAATATATTAAAATAATTTCTTTCTTTCTTTCTTTACTTGCATGAAATCTTATGTATAAGTATAAATAATCGAAAAACGTAACCCCAAAAATCTGTTTTACCTTAAAATTATGATTGTATATGTAAGGTATAGTAAATATTAAATATAATATGCAATAATCAAAAAGAACAAAAATAAGGAATAAAGCATAAACTGATATCTATCTTACAATAAAACAAAATTATGGAGGTTTGAAGATTATGAGATAGTTATTTAATTGAAATTACTAATTATTGTCAAGATCTAAAAATTATTAGTGGAGATGAATGTTAATAATTTGAATTTGTAGTTGGAAAATGGAATTTTCCTATTGAAATTGTGAATCTGTAAAAAAATGAGGTTGATTGAAGTATATTTCGGCAAAGTCAATCCCAAGCATAACTGATTAATTTTAATATTACAATTTGTTAGATTAAATCAGCTTACGTTACAATTCAACAGATTAAATCTTCATAATTTAAATAGTCGAATTAAAAATAATAGTAAATTACGTTTATCAAGCAATTTAATAACCACAAAATCCGGTCTAATCTTTACCAAATCTTCACTGATATAGTTTTAAAATTTATCATATTTGCTTTGAATTTGTGATTAGATTAAATTGAAAGAAAGAAAGAATAAATAAAACAAAGTTCTTAACAATTTTTTTCTTAAACAATTTTAATGTACAATTTATTTAAGTTTTTAATTACCTAATCCTTTTGATGATTAATTGATGATGATTGTTAAATTTTTATTTTTAAAGTTCAAAATTATTTTAAATAATCTTGCATTTGATTATTTCTTTTTTTAATTTTTTTATTTTTATTATTTTGTTACAAATTCCAAATTTTTTGTTTTGAAATGATAAGATAGTTTGGTTATTCTTTTCTTCATACTTTTAATTATTCAAGGTCGCAGCGATTCTGAAAACGACTTTAGAGAAACTAATGCCTTAATTGGAACAATCTGATTTAGTTGAAATTCAATTATATAAATTTTGAAACTCTCTTTCAAAATATTAGAAAATGCAAGGTTTATTAAAATTGAGATTAGCTTTGTATCATTTAATATATTATTTTTAATTTTATTTTTTTGATTTTTGCCATGTTTTCCCTTTCAATAATAAATTCCAAAATTTTAGATTGATAAATTTTCAAATCTATATTTGCTTTGAAGATACGTTTTACTTGTGTAATGGGTAGAATTTTGTTTACCTATTTCATGTTGAATATTGTTTGTAGTGAGTATCACAAATATAGATCTTGTTACAAAAAAATAATTATAAGCTAAATCGGCTGTCACTACCATATGCTCCACAAAGTTTTGGATTTTTATCAGGGGAAATATAATATTAACATAGTTTAGTTAATATTCTTATCGATATATTTTTTATGGAATTCATTTCATGAATTTGCAGCTGGAATCTCTGTTCCGATTCTACTAGTGAAAGAGAGGAAAGTTTGTGTTTGAAACTTTGGAGTTTACGAAAGTCAAATAGAATTGAAATAATGTTGTACATAAGGCTTGTTTCTTTCTGAAATTTTCGGTCAATTGTTTCTGAACATTATTTTTGATTAATCGATCTAATTTAGGAGTAAGTGACTTATCATTGCCTTCTCTAAAAGTCTCTGATCCGATACCCTTCAACGAGACGATGAAAACATTAATGGAATTCCAATGATTATTTTGATCAATCATATAAGATTTGCTATGGATAATGCCATTTCGATTGGCACAGTATGCTTTGATTGCATTCATCACTCTTCTTCATGTATACAAATATATTAATATGTGAATCTTCTATCTCTTTAGGGCTACAACCATAAACTATTTTTTCTGGCACTAAGAAAACTCACTTGCTACCAAATCGACCCCGCTGCGACTAATTTTATCTCCTTCGTCTATTGTCGCAATAATTAAATTTAAGTGGTAACAAAAACAAAAGTGAGAAAACTCATTATCAAAATTTTTCATTTTAATTTTTATTATAGAAATTTTAATTAAACCTATCCAACAACAGTTCATCAAAAACATTATATATCAACAATGGTTCGTTACGCTGCCACTCCATCAAACCCAGCCAAATCAGCTTCAGCTCGTGGTTCATACTTAAGAGTTTCATTCAAAAACACTAGAGAAACTGCACAAGCCATCAATGGTTGGAAATTAACTAAAGCTCAACAATATTTAGATCAAGTTTTAGATCATCAAAGAGCCATTCCATTCAGAAGATTCAACCATTCCATTGGTAGAACCGGTCAAGGTAAAGAATTTGGTGTCACCAAAGCTAGATGGCCAGCAAAATCAGTTAATTTCATTAAAGATTTATTAAGAAATGCTCAAGCAAATGCTGAAGCAAAAGGTTTAGATGTTGAAAAATTATCTATTTCTCATATTCAAGTTAATCAAGCACCAAAACAAAGAAGAAGAACATACAGAGCTCATGGTAGAATAAATGCTTATCAATCAAGTCCATCACATATTGAATTAACTTTAACTGAAGAAGATGAAATTGTTGAAAAAGCTAATGATAAAAAAGTAACTAGATTAAATAACAGACAAAGAGGTAGATTAACTGGTCAAAAAAGAATCAGTGCATCAGCCTAAACAATTTAATACATAAAAAGGAAAATTTAATGAGTTAAAATAGCATACAACTGTCATTTTGAGACTTTACTCAGAAAACTCTAATGTGATCAAGTGTCATCGACAATTGGATTCTCTGAATCGATGAATCAATTGATTGGATCCACTTAAGTATTTTCATGACCTTAAGTTCTTTCCCAACTCTTACTCTCTCTACCTCAAGGTTCAGAGACTACATTTGAAGTTTTAGAAATATAACCTTCGGGTTGATTTTCTAAAAATATTACCTCAAAGAGATTTTGATTCCTCTTTCGGACCAAAAGTGCCTCTTCTTAGTCTCCTATTTTGACTATCACAATGCAACAGGAAGTCATTAGTTTGAAAATGCTTTATGACATATCATTGATGCTGCGGACGAATAACTCAGTGATATGTTATATCTAAGATGTTTTCTTAGAAGTTGTGAGTGAAGTGGCTGTGGTGTTTTGTACTGTGCAAGTACTTTTTATTTTAGTTTAGTTGCAAAAAAATATGAAACACCGTAATCTCATAAGGCGAGCTTAAAAGTCAGAATTATAGTAAAGTTTATACGTAGGAATGCTTTTAGGATATATTCATTTGAAAAGAACTAGAAAGCGAAATAGTTATTCCAACAATTTAAAAGAATTCTTATCCAAACCCTGTTCTGCTCAATTAATCCGTCGCTGAACTTATTATCTCGGTGAAAAAATACGACGAGAAACAGCTCAATGTTTGTGCTAGAAATAATTTTGGTACTAGCCATAATCAATTATCTTATACGCGTTCTATACGCGTTTTATGTTTTTGAAAAAAATCTAGCATCAATACAATTACTTGAACCAACTCATTCTACATTTTACAATTCATTCTACGATACAAATAACAGACCAATGACCACTGAAGCTAACAAGAAACAAAAATTAGTAGCCACTGATAACTTGAAAGTTCATTTAAGATCTGAAAATGGTAAATTACCAACAAAAGGTTCAGCATTAGCAGCAGGATATGATTTATATTCATCAGAAGATGGTATAATTCCAGCTCAAGGTCAAGGATTAATAAGTACAGATATTTCAATAATTGTTCCTATTGGAACTTATGGTAGAGTTGCTCCAAGATCAGGATTAGCTGTAAAACATGGTATTTCAACTGGTGCAGGAGTTATAGATGCTGATTATAGAGGTGAAGTTAAAATTATATTATTTAATCATTCTAAAAAGGACTTTGAAATTAAAAAAGGTGATAGAATTGCTCAATTGATATTGGAAAGAATAGTTAATGCTGAAGTTGAAGAAATTAGTTTGGCTGCTTTAACAAGTACTGAACGTGGTGAAGGAGGGTTTGGATCAACTGGTAAAAATTGATATTAGAGAAACATTATAGATTTTACTTAGATAAATATAAATACATATGGATTTATAGCTATATAAATTTCTATAGGATAAACCAATAATCAAAATGTATACAAATTACAATCAAGTAGCTTTATCATTTTTTAATTTCTCATCTTCATGTTTCACTGTTTCTTCTTCTTTTGCTAATTCCGATCTAACTTGTGAAGTTGGATCTTCAGTAGCTTTGTTATGGACTAATTTTTTACCATCATCATCAGATGAATTTTTCTCCTGGTTTGCATCATGTTCCTCTTTTATTTCTTTTTCTCCTTTTTCCAAACCTTTCTCCAATTCTTTTTCTTCTGGATCTTGTTCATAATTTACACCACCACTTGCGGTATCTTCATATTCATCCAAATTAATATCATCTTTAACTTTATTAACTGTATCTTTCTCTCTTTCATTTTCTTCTTCAATCATTTCATCTTGTTCTTTCAAGATATTTAATTTCAATTTAGAATCATCAGATAGTTCCAATTTAGCAACATTATAAACTTCATCAGGAATTGATGATAAGACAGCCAATAAAGCGTCATAATAAGTTTCTGCACCATGATCTTTATCACCATAAGTGTAAGCACTACTCAAGATCAATAATGTAGATGGAATTTTTTGTCTTAATCTTAAATCTAACCAAGTTTCTAAATCGTCTCTTAATCTTCCTGGAGATACATCACTAGTTTTAATACCTCTTTGAGAACAAGCTATTTGTAATTCTGGAATGGTCAATGAATCAACACCTTCATAATCAATGGCTTTGTCATCTTTAATAATTGTTAAAAGTCTATGTCTGATTTGATATCTCAAAATAGAATCTGTTCCAAAAGGTCTTAAAGACATATATTTACACATGGCCACTAATTGATGTCTACTTAAATTATCTAAAACTTGATCGTTTTTAAATAATCTTGCAACTTGAATCAATTGATCTCTAGTTGGATTTTTACCCATAGATATAGCATGGAAAAATTGTACGAAGTTTTCTCTTTCAGCATCGGTAATTTTTTTAGATAATTTTAAACCTGATTGTTCCATTGTTTGTTTTATATATTCACTTGCTGCATTTCTTGTCTTTTTTAATTTAGCTTTCTTCTTTTGACGATCAGTTTTTGATTCATATGTTGATGGTAATAAATTTGGAAATACTTTTAATGCAACCGGTAATAATAATTCTGCAAATGGAATTATAAGGAACATAGCAAATGGAACTAATCTTACAACATCTACTATAGTCCTTTGCAATTGATTTGATTCTCTTCTACTTAACCCGTATCCGGCCATTAATTTCACTAATAATTTAGTTGAAACTTTAACTTCATATCCTAATAATTTTGTACCTGCCCAATAATGTTGAGCTTCATGTTTCACTTTTTCCCAAAGTGTTTTTTTAGATTTAACTTCTTTAGAATTCTCATCTTTATGTACAAGAGCGTTTGCTGGAGAATTATCTAAAGTTTCAAGTGCTTGAGTTTCAATAGGTGTATCTTCCTTTGGAAAAATATCTTTCTCCTTGACAGACTTTTTCAAATCTTCGGCAGCTTCAGTCTGTTTTTTATCTTGTGTAGCAGTTGATAGGTAACGTATTGAATTTATTAATTGATAATTGATTGTATTTCTATTTATATTTCCATGCAATTGTGGTCTCAAAGGATACCTTACTTTTTGTATATACGCTATTCTTGAAAAATTTCTACTCAATATTCGCTGATACATTGCACCATTATATCCTGATAGTATTTCTTTTCTCAATAAATGAATCGAACTCATTATTGGTTATAATTGAACTAAGTGGCAATACAGGGACCCTCGGTAAAAAAAAAAAGTTAGGTCAATTGAAATAATTAATCAATTAATGATACCACTTACGATGATTTGATGGATAATTCTATTGAAAGGACTTGTGAGTGGAATGAGATTTGGGTTGTCCGCAGGGATCGAAAGATTAAATTTTCTTTAATAAATTGATACACCTAATTGAAAGTATTTGCTGCTTAAAAATTAAGTTTTAGTCTGGAAAATTAATTCGGTGAAAATAAAGAGAGAATTATAATGAGGGAGAATTTAAGACCACATTCTATTACGTCAAATTGATCGGGTTTAAGTTGTTTTAATTTCATTAAAACCGCATTTAACAAGACAAGTCAAACTACAATCGAGCTCAAATGATGCAAATTTACTATGGGTTTGGTGAAGTATCTCAATTCAAGAGCGTATCAATCATCACGTTGGAGCACGTTGTTCTACTATACTCTATCTAGAAGGTTAAATTGACTCTACTCTTCTTGTTCTAATGACGCTAAACTTTTTTGTTCTTTTGATTCTCCATTAACTCCAACTATAATTATTTTGTCAATTATAGTATGATAGTCTTCATCATCACCGTCAATGAAGATGGTCAAATTCTGAACATTTTGAAATTTCACAAACTTTAATTTTAACTCAATCCAATCTGAATCGAAATCCCCATCTAATTTTTCAATATGAGGAGTTTTTGAATCGTTAGATGCATCTTCAAATGATATAATATTTTGCTTATTTGGCCAAATTTTAAAAAGATTTGGTTGTTGAATTTCCTCTATGTCCTCCTCATCGATTGTTAGTTTTTCTTTTTTCACATTTTTGCTAGACTTAATAAAAATGGAGTAAATTTTGGAGATATTTAAAAATGGAATTACTATCAATATTTGAGAATCTGAATCTGATATAATGGAACTTTCAGATTTCTTATCAAGTTTAAGCACATCTTTAACTTCCGAATTTTGATATAAACTTTTGATATTCAAAGCTTCAAATGACCCAAAATCAATGTGTGAGTTCAACACATCATAACCTTTAGGGATTTTGTCTCTCAATTCCTTATATTCTGCAGAATTAATTGCATTTGAGGATTCGGAAGTAAAGTTACTTCCATTACCTTTTCTAGTTTCTCCTTGAGCTTTTTCATTACATGATGCCAAATTTTTCATTAGTTCTTCAGCATTAGCACCTCTTATTCTTGATTGTTCTTTACCGGATTCAAAAAATATGAATGTTGGAACTGCAGTAACTGTATAATTTCTAGCTAAATCCTTTTGAGAATCTAAATCAACCTTTACAATTTCGATATTTGTAAATTTTGTATATGCTTGATCTAGTAACGGTTTTATGGCCTGACATGGTCCACACCAAGAAGCTGTAAAATTTGCTATTACGTATTTATTGTGATTTAAATAGTCCTCAAAATCTTTTGTTGATTTTACAAACTGGATTGACATTTTTCAATGGTATGGTAGAAAATAATTTCAACTTTAATGTATTTATTGAACTTGATTATCTCAATATTGAGGGTTTCACAAGTGTGCTTGTAATGATTACGTAGCTTTCAAAAATGTCAGTAGTTAAGATTTATTGTGTTAACTCTAAATTTTCAGAAGGACCTTAACGCGGAATTCTGCAATCAGTCAGATACTATTCACTACAACAATTCCAGAAAGAAAGTTATATGGAACTAATGCTTTCTAGCTCTGTCTAGTAATTAATCACTCAATTGAAATTACGAGAAACAAATACTCACTTGAATGGTTTAGATTCAAATAGGTTGTTCATACTTTGGGATTATAAAGTAAGCCTCAAAAAATTCATCAATCGATTCGTAATTAGCGACTGAGCCACTGATTCAGACCATTGTGAATTACATAACACTCAGAAATCCAAGGACTCTTTACATAGTTATAACTGAAGCTAACTAGAGCCCTTCAATTTCTAGAACAAAGACTCAACTTTGTAATCATGTTGCTATTATTAAACCCTCGTATTTTTTAAGCCGCACCACAAAGTACTTTTGTGTAATCATTTCACAATAGCCCTCTTTTATAGTCTAACTATGAAGTTGTAACTTTAATCACTTCAATCTTATATTCTGTCATACATTTATATCACATTCTAAACTTACCATTAATAACAAAGTCCTATCAAAAAGGCGGACCCGAATGTCACGAAAGTCTAAAGACTTGTCAAATTCAGATAGAACTAAAACTTCACCATTGGCTCCACTACGACTATCAAATATAGCCTCAACTGTACCAAATGGTAAAAAGAACACCATCAAAGATGGAAGGAGAAGATCATCCGAAGAAAAGAATATAAAACCTACTTTTGCGGTAGCACCTGTGATTACTACGACTCCTCCTAGATCGATCAAAATCAATGACTCTAACTCCAAGTCATACCAAAAGCATCGAAACAGTAGCTCAAATACCAAACTATCTGATATTGAGTTAAAGGACCTAAATTCAGATTCACTAGATGATTCCTTGAATCAATTAATATCGAATGGTGAAACATTGATTAAATCCGATTCATCTTCATCGGATCATTTATCTAAAGATGACATAAGAAAAGCTGGACAATTGGCTTCATTATTAGTTGATACAAGAAATGTTCTAAAAGCAGATTGTAATGTTATTGATCCTGAACCGAATTTGAAAGTAAATTCAAATTCGAGTAATGAAAATACTGTCTCCAAAATAAGCAGAAATACATATGTTAGAGCTGAGAAAGTAAAGACAATGCTAGGAGTGAAATACCTTTATATCGAGAGGATACATGAGTGGGATCAAATAAACGGTCATGAGAACGAGCATCCAGGAGTGGAAGGAGTTTATAATCCTTTGCAAATTTTAAGAAACAGAAAGCTTAGAGCCAAATATAATGAATATCCAAAACCATTATTAATGAAGACCTTGCCATTAGCTTGTAACGTTTTCAGTCGACATAATCAACAAAATCATCATCACCACCATCCGCATAGGAAAAAAGACTGGCGAATGCCATGGGCAATCGAACTAAATGAACTCATCAGTGACTCTCGATGGCGTGTAAATCATTGGGATGAATTGAAAGACCCTAAAGGAAACTACTGGTTCAATACGATGGACGGAGAACGAAGGGAGCATGAGCATCTTCATTCTCGTAGGAAAAAGAAGCATAACTTCAGGAGAAGAATTCATGATAGATTGTTTGACCTGTCTGAAGATGAGAAATTGGAAAAATTCTCAGGAAGTAAGAATGGTAGACGATTGGAACCGAACTCAAGTTCAGATGGCGAACTTCATAATATTAGTTTATCACGTTCAAAATCTCCTGGAAAAGGTATAAGATCAAAAGTGAAAAAATTCTATCAAGGTGATTCTTCATCTTCCTCCAATGTACTAAATCAATTTGATGATCCAACAAATGATTATGAAATGCCCTATAATGAAGATCTGATGATGACACCAACTCCACAGAATAAAGTAAAAGTCAATGGTTCAAACTATCAAATTGATGAGGTTGATCGTGTTGAAAATGCACCACAATTACTTCCACCGGCAATTAAAATTGAGCCAACTACACCAGAGCCCAATACAAAATCTGAATCATCATCGCCCCATCAAACTCATCAACAAACCGTACAAGACGTTGAAATCCAACCGACACATAAAGAGAGATCCAATACTAATGATTCCTCCCCTATATCAAGTGCAGATGCTGGTGAATTATCAAATAGTCCAGGCAAAAACAACAATGAGTTAATTGACAAACACGAACAGAATTTAGCTCAGTTGTTCCGGTATTTAATATACTTTATTGAATCATGCTCAAGTCGAACTCAATATTTATTATCAATATATCCAAATTATTTGAATTTGGTACAAAATAAAATCAATGATATAACTACAAACTCCATTTATGAATCATTAAATTCTATGTCAAGTATTAATGATGAGACTTTACCAGCTTACGAAGAATTATATCTGGGTTTCTTGGATGAAACTCAATCTATTTTGCACATGGTCAACGAACAATACTCCATGAAGATAGACACGTTGTTGAGTACTAGTGATCGGTCGATTTCAGAAATTAACGCCTCATTATCATTGGAACTACGAAAAACAAATGAAAGATTGGATTCTTTGGAGAATGCATTGATCAATAATTCAAATAACTTGAAAAAAGATATTTTAAATGACGCATCAAATTATAAATTACTTTACTTGATTTTGGAAAATATAATTGTGATTTTGTTGAAGTTAGTATGGGTAATTGTCAATATTTACAAAGTTTTTGCATTTCTTGTTAGAATAATATGGAAAATAATAAGAATTTTTATCTAAGTATGGACAATTTATTAATGTATACAGCACTTTTTTTTGCATTATATAAAACTTACTTCTCAAATTATTTTTACGAACTCTAACTATTTAGATATATTAGTGCTAATAAGCAAAATATATGTTTGATTTCCTTTATGACATTAGTGGTCGAATTTGAATGAGGATATGAGAATTTCCAGAAAATGACACAAAAAAAGTTTATTCGAAAAGCCGTTTTTTCTCGTGTCAGATCGAATTGATTATCTATTTTATTCACTTCTATTTACAGTATTGTATCTATTCAAGTAGATTGATCCATCTTCCTTGAATAGCTAGAATGCAACCTAAATCCATTACGTTATTACAAAAGATCGATTTCATAATAGAGCAAATCTTAACCAAGTTTCAAGATATCTTTGAATCATTAAAGAACGATACAAAACCAAAGGAATTACTATCAATTGAATCATTAAGTATTGAAAATAATGCCAATCAAATAATAAGATTATGTCAAGACTTACTAAGTATATCGAGAAATATCAAAGAAACTTGGATATTGAGTAGTTTGAAGGTTGAGAATGGTGGGAAAGAAGACCCTGGGGAAGACGAAAACGTTGATAGAGTATTTCAACTATTCAATGAATTGACTGAAAATATATCCAAGTTCGAATCTCCTCAAGTATATGGATGAAGAGCTTGAAGATATAGTAAGAAACGAGTATTATTAGGTTGCAGATAATACCTTACACCCATGAATCATTTTGATGTCTATGGTTCTTTCTACTCGAGGAAAGGAGGACTAAGTCCAGTCATGGATACATATCGAGGTGATATTCACGATCACTTCAATATTTGGTTTCAAAACAATTCACTCAAAATGTCATTATGTCTAAATTCTTCTGATGTTTTAATTGTGGAAGCAAAGAAGTTGCCTTGGAGTTAATAATGAGGTAGAACTTTTTAAAGTAGACTACCTGAGAGTAATACGGTATGGGTTTTAAGTTTCTTCGACTCTAGAGATATTCTGAGAATGATATTATATTCAGGTTGGTCATCGTGTCATTAATACAACATATTTTTTAGATCGAACGTATCATAAAGCCGTATTATCAATGCTAACACAATTCCATCATCATCTTCAATCAAGCTATCGTCGGCTTGTACCCCATTAGCCAGAGAATTGGCACTTCGTATCAAAAACGCTTCATCCTCCTCGATTCTTCTACCACCAAGTAGTGAGCTTTGATGAAATACACTTTGAAATAATATTAATTGAATAAATAGTACCACTAAATCAATTATGACAATTTGCATTAATCCTAGTTTCAAAATCTTTAACCAGAATGAGTCAGATTGGTTTAAGTCGGGGGTTGATTCACCAATGAATGAAACGAACCACCATGTACCATATTCCAATTTTGACAATTTATCTTCATCGACTAAAGATACCACCCAAGTACAAATAAATATAACATGGTATAATATAACAAATATGGTTTTGATGTATAACATATAACATAGTTTCGGTAATCTTGACTTTAAATAATTAAGTCTCTCTTCGGCATTCTCTTCATTTTCAAAAACTATCTCCAAAATAGATTGATTACCTGACAAAAGTATTTTTGGATTTAGTCCAAGTAATGGTACAATATTTAGTATGAAAGGTATTAAACAAGCTAAATGACAATATTTTGAAAATTGATAAAATATAAGAATATAACATAATGATGATAAATTCTGTAAAAGATCATGCTGAAATTTGGTTTTTTTATGAATGATATTACTCGAAATGAATTTTTGTTGTAGTTCTTGCTGAAGATTTTCACTCACTATTTCAGTCGCCCCTGCTTTCTTTCCTAAAAGTGTATTACTTTGTTGTGTTATATTAGAGTCAAATGACCCAGGCATAGTATATGATGCCATGATAACATTGAGTAAAACTGTTGATTTTAACTTTGATAAACTATTAATCTCTAGATCTTTTGCATTCGTTTTTGTTACTCAATATTTTATGGTGATATTGCGCGTTTAACTTATCATCTTGTTGAACTCAATCTAAATATACATTGGAAGTTACGATTTAAAAGTACTCCAGTATGGAGTTTAATTGTAATTATACTCGGTGAAAATACCGCGCTTGTTAGTTTACGGTGGAATGTTTCGCTCATGAATATGATTTGTTCATTTGTAAGCGAAAATTAAACCAATCTGAATCAACTTAAATCTATGTCATGAATTTAAAAAATATCATATATGAGAGACCAGTATTAAAGAAAAAGTATATTATCTACAACAAAGCTTTTGATTCAGTGAAAAATCCCTAGTTTTGTATTATAATTTTGATTAATTTCTTTCTACTTAAATATGACCTTAAGCAAAAAGTGATCCGATATCAGCTGGCATTTCAATGATTTGAGTAGAGTAGAATTTTTCAATTTCTCTCATCATACCAACATCTTTATCAGTAACGAAGTTAATTGCAACACCTTTTCTACCGAAACGACCTCCTCTACCAATTCTATGAATATAGTTTTCTTTGTTTGCTGGTAAATCGTAGTTGATAACTAATGAAACTTGTTGAACATCAATTCCTCTAGCTAATAAATCAGTGGCAATTAAAATTCTTGATGATCCTGATCTGAATTCTTTCATGATGGTATCTCTTTCGGATTGTGGTAAATCAGCGTGAATTGCTGAAACAGTGAAATTTTGTTCTCTTAATTTGTTGGTTAAAAATTCAACTTTTTGTCTAGTATTACAGAAAATAACAGCTTGAGTAACTGAGATTGAATCATATAAATCAACTAAACAATCGAATTTATAATCTTCTACTTCAACATTGATGAAAAATTGTTTGATACCTTCTAAAGTTAATTCATCTTTTTTGACTAAAATTCTGACTGGATTGTTCATGAATTTTGTAGTAACTTCTAAGACATCTTGTGGCATGGTAGCTGATAATAAGACAACTTGAGTTGTTTCTGGTAATAATCTGAAAATATTGTAAATTTGTTCTTTAAATCCTGATGATAACATTTCATCGGCTTCATCTAAGATGAACATTTTAACTTTATCGGTTTTGAAGTATCTTCTTTCGATCATATCAAAGACTCTACCAGGAGTACCAACAACAATTTGGACACCTGATTTGAAAGCTTCAATATCGTCACTCATTGAAGTACCACCAATTGATGCATGGACGGTAACTTTTAAGTATAAACCAATTGAAGTAATGACGTTTTTGATTTGTAAAGCTAATTCTCTTGTTGGAGCTAAGATTAAAGCTTGAGTTGATTTTTCATTTTCATCGATTCTTTGTAATGCAGAAATGGTGAAAGTAGCGGTTTTACCGGTACCTGATTGAGCTTGAGCTAAGACATCTCTACCTTCAGTGATTGGTAAAATAGCTCTTTGTTGAATGGCTGATGGAGTTTCGTAACCGTAACCAAAAATACCTCTAACAATATTTGGTTTTAAGTTTAAGTCATCGAATTTGTAAACGACATTATCGTAGTTTGATTCAATTAAACCTGAATCAATTTCAGTAATACCTTCTGATGCCATATTTTTGATATGATTTGAGGAGTGTTAAAACAATTAAACAAAATTCAAATTCAATCAAGTGAAAAATTGTTATAAAAATTAAAGAGACGAAAAAAAAAAAAAATTATTATGATGATGATTTGTGTTGATTTACACTACCATCATTAATATAAGGGGAGTTTCATGTAAGTTAAATCTATAGAATCTAGATCAACTAAGTACTGCTTAAAATGGATGACCTCCAAATCAGGTAACTTCCAGATGTGTTGATAGTCGCGGATTTCATTGGCAAATATGGCTAGGGTCAATCAAGTATCAAAAGAAATTTTTGCCATCATGACAATATAAGCGAACGTCATTCACTTCCCTACAACCTATATTTGACTCAAGACAAGTAATGACCATTCTTTAACTATCATGATGTAGTTCTAAAACAGATATTGAATCAGTGAAAAGTAGGAACCATTTTCTCCTTGAATATCTACAAATACAAATCAGATTACCGTAAAATTATTTTGTACATTAATTTATAAAAAACATTAAAACCCAATTGAAAGAAGCAAAAAAATCTATCTTGAATAAGACCAAACATTTTTTAATAATCCATCTTGTTGAGCTAATCTGTTTAATGAATCATCAGCTTCACCTCTACCTCTAACGTAACCACTTAAACAATAACTAATGTTTTCACCTGGAATAGCTCTACCTTCTTCATCAACTTTAGCAATTGAGATTTGTACTGAAGCGTGATCTTTAGCTTTGATGATTCTGTTGGTGGCAGAACATTTTCTTGGGACGTATAATTCAACCTAAAATGCACATGTTAGTATATTATTGAAGATGATTTATTAGGGTCTGATGGCAGTCTGGGTAATTGAAAGTAATAACTTATCCCAAAAAATTTGATAAAGTTTCGTAGATGTAAACCTTAATTATAAGTTGATCCCAGTCATATTCTAATAAGATTCTTTTCTAAGTAATAACAGTTCGAACTCTGTGTTCCTCATATTCCATCATGTCTCATATGTTCTATTCTATTATTCCTGATGTGATTTCCTCATAATATTTCGGAAAATAAGTCGTCACATGTGAAAGTACATGCATATATACTGGTTTTTTGTTTTCATGAATCAGATTTGTTGAATTGTTGAACAAGTCATCTAATAATATGTGAAACTGTTGTTGACATGGATTCTTGATAGTAATTTGGCTTGACTTATCAGTTCCAACTTTAAATGACATTCAAAACTCTCCAAAGTAACGTGCTCCATCCCACTAAATGCAAGGTAGACATACTAATTGACCTTTATCGTTTTCCATTTTGATATAGTTATTTTATGATGTTGGTTGGTTAATGGTATACTATTTTTCAGTCAAACAGAAAAAAAATTACTAGTACTTTGAAAACCGCATACATTAAATTTCATTACACAAAATTAAAACAAAAAAGGGTTACAGCCCTAACCCATGTTTTAGAGTTTATAAATTGTTTCAAGTTTATAGACTGTTGCAAATACATTCTTAAACTGACGTCAGACATCGGCAAATGTCTCTCTTTTCAGAACTAATTGTTTATCAAATCAGTAGTCTAACTTGTGAAACAGTAAAGAAATAAACTGTATGATAACCGACATAGTCTAGTATCGAAGAAAAAAAAGATGTTTCATTAAATAAATAAGTTTTTTAATACTCAATACTATACGTCTTTCAATTTCAATACAGCAACTGATTCTATATGATGAGTTTGAGGGAAAAAATCAAAACCTTTTATACTCTCAACCATATATTTACTTCCATTAGTAGTATGATTTAAAAACCATTCAACATCTCTAGCTTGTGAATGAACATTACAAGAAACATATACAATTTTAGCAGGATTATAAGAACTTAATTGATTTAAAAATATATCATCACAACCTTTCCTTGGTGGATCTAATATAACTGATGTTTGTTCCGGTGGAGTATCTATATCTTTAAAAATTTCTTCTGCTTTACCTACTATAAATTTAGCATTTTCAATTGAATTCAATTTAGCATTATGACGAGCAAAAGTTACTGAATCTGCACTTACTTCAACTCCAATAACTTTTGATACATTTTCTGAACATGTTATTGAAAATAAACCTGAACCACAATAAGCATCAACTAAATAATTTTCATTTTTATTACTTCCTTGTAAAAGGTTTTCTTTTACATATGATGTTATAATTGGTAAAATTGAATTATTATTTTGAAAAAATTCACCTGCTGAAAATTCAAATTTATAATCACCTATAATTTCTTGTACAACTTGTCTTGAATTTGTAACACATGTTTTTATTAATGTCTTGTTATTTTCTTCTATTTCAACTTTTGTGATCTCATCATTATCATCCCTTGAAGCTTCGTCTAATTTGATTGTTTCAGATTTAATTTTAGTATTTTCTCTCAATAATATCGTAGCTCCTTTCTTGTAAGTTTTATAAGTTTTTTCCAATCTTTTACGCTCATTTTTTAATCCCATATTCACAATATTTGTACCAATTTCACATTCCTCAATATCCATAATAGCACCAGGAGGTCCAAAATCAGTATTTTTTCTCCAAGTTGGTCTTCCTTTTGCACCAAATCCAAAATTAGGTCTTTCACTTAAATCAGCACCAGTTTTTTTATTAGGTATATTAAAATGTGGAGTTAATTTTGTTCTATAATTATATTGTAATGGTGAACCTTGACATTTTAAAACTTCTGGTAATAAATTTAATTCAAATAATTTAGGAGCAAAATGTTTATATGCATTAATAATAGTTTTTCTTTTAATTTTTAACTGTTCTTCATATGAAATATCTTGAAGTTGACAACCTGAGCATTTTCCAAAATATCTACATTTTATTAAAGAATCGTCTCGTATATTTGAGCTTTTTTGAATCGATAATAAATCAGATTCTGCGTATAATGGATGAGTTTTAAAAATTTTAATTGTTACTATATCTCCAGGAATTCCAAATGGTACAATTACAACTTGATATTTTTTATCTTTTTCAATATGTGGTATAAGTGCAATACCATCACCATTTGATAAAAACGATAGTATTTCTACATTTTCAACTTCTCTATGATATTTTTCCTCGACGGACTTATCATTCAAAATTCCCGTCAAATCATTTTTTATATCATCCAAAGAAATATTGTGATCTTTACATAATTGTTTTATTTCAAATTCTAATACACCTAAAGGACTAGTAGATTCAATTGGTTTTGGTCTGTACCTTTTTAATTTTGATTTTTTTGACTTTTGACGATGTCCATTTTGTTTTTGTTTTTGCTCCAGTGCTTCATTTTCATCATTTGGGGGTGTTAATGGTCTTTTCTTTTCATCTAATTCTGTAGTCATTTCGAACTGGGGTATTTTGAAAATAACTTTTATAGTTACCTCATCTTTTATGCTTTCGTAAATATTGATTTAAATTTATTTTTTTTTCGTTATTGTGAAACATCAGTATATAGTGACACAAAATGATTTATCTTTAGTAATTAAATTTATTAAGGAATTTATTGGCTGCAAAATATAATTGATTCTGATATAACTCACGGATAACTTACACATTCATTTACGATTACCCAATGGTCCCAGTATTTTTCTTTTAATAATAAATTTATGTTTCATGGCTCCGCAAGAAAACTATTCTGATCGCCAACGATCCTATGAAACAGAGAGAGATGATTATTATAATTGAAGATTAATAAAAAATGACTAGATTGTTTATTAGGCTATATATTCAGTAAAATACCATCAATTAAGCTATCAATATCTTCAACTTTTATACCACAACTTAAACTAATTAATTTTCTATATTTATACATTTTATTATTTATTCCATATTGCTTAGTTTTGGTTATAATTTCATTAATTAATTTTTTTCTTTTAATTTGTAAATTTGTTAATTCTAATGCATAATCAAATTTTGTTTCATTAAATAATTCAGATTCTTCTTCATCATCATCTTCCTGTGATTGATCATGTTGGGTTGCCATTGATTTGGTTTCTTCTTCTTGAATTAAATTAGTTAGTATTTTAGATTGATTTTTTTGAATTATATTAGTTAATTGTTTTTCTTTTTCTACAATTTGTTTTTGAAATGATTCAATATAATTATTTACAATTGTATGAGCTTGATCAATTGAATTTATTTCATTTTCCTCAATTCCTGAACTATGAAATAAATTTATAATGTTTTTAATAGAATTTTGTGCTTCAATTTGTTTTGAAGTTATTAAATGTTTCATTTGTTCAATATCTTCATCTAATTTATTAGATTCTTTTGAATATGAGTCTGAATAAGAATTAATTAAATTTGTAACAATTGATGATAAGTCTTGAAATGGAAGGTTTGATTTTGTTTGATTTTCTTCAATGATTCTACCGTCATTGTCTAGTTTAGGTATATTTAATTTTCCTAATGGTTTTGTGTGAAATTGTTTGATTGATGGAACGTCTTGCTTAAGTTGTGGTGATAATTTATCAACAACCGTTTCATTTTTTGATAGGTGATTGTTTATTATTGGAGTTGTAGAACTTTCAACTTCTGAAATGACTGCTAAAGGTTGATGATGTCCAGCTGTTAAGAAATTTTTGTGAAGTGGAGTTGAAACATTATCAAATTGTTTATCAATAAAAATGTTTTCCTTGTCATCATTCAATGCATCCAAGTGTTTACTATCAACTCTTGCAACATTTTCTTCTTCATCCATATCGTCATCTTGTACTGTCGTTCTTTGAGTATCTGGTGTTTCTACTCGGTTGAAAGTAGGTGGTTGAATAGGAGTTGCTAATCCTTCAATTAAACCACTTGTACCATTGGATGTAATTTCTGGTGTTGGTTCAATATGTTGCGATTGTAATTTCGGTTGTTGTGGTAATGGCTGAGGTTGGAGTTGATTCTCTTGCAGTTGCAATTGTTGCTGCTGCTGTTGTTGTTGTGGAAAATTTTGAAATCTCATTTGTAATTGTTGTTGGAATGCAGTTTGAGCAGCATCAATTTGTACATAATTTGGTATAAGATTAAATTGCATTATCAATCCTCTTGCTGTCTCTCGATTAATATTTTCTACATCATCTCTTGCTCCATATTTTAACAAAGTCTTGACAAAACTAATACAACCAGATTTAATTGCAATATGTAAACATGTGTCACCTCTAACATCTTGATGATTCAAAACATTTTTCATTAAATCTACCAGTCTAGCTGGATTTCTATTGGATAAAGAAGTCAATTTGATAAGGATAGTATTCAAATAAACTCGAAGACTTTCAAATTTTGATTTGACTTTTGCAAATTGACATAAATAATGTAAGGGAGTTCTTCCATTTATATCAGTATTGATTAAGCATAATTCTAAATCATCCAATACTTTATCGAAATTTCTTAACTCATAACAATTATTAAATGAAATTAATTTAGATAATGGATTTAATCCAAAATTATTCACAATCAAAGGATTAGCCCCCTTACTTACCAACACGTGAATCATTTCATAATTACCAATAGACGCAGCCCAATGTAATGGAGTGTGCCCTTCATCATCAATTGATTCATTTATATTGAAGTCATTTGGTGGAAATTGAACAAAATAAGGTATTTCTGTATTATCTTCACTAAAAAATTTCAATAGCTGAGCTGCATAACTATTTTCTTCATTAGGACTTGAACCTTGTTGTGGATATTGACTATTGTCGTTGTCGTAAACTTTAACTCTTCGATCATCTGGATTTGAATTTATTGAAGTATCACTATCTCTTTGATCCTGACTTATTGACCAGTTAGTATCATTTGATGACTGTGAAGACAGTAGTTTACCATGTTGAAAAACTTGTTGATGTATTTGATTTGACATAGGAAATTGTTTTGGTATTTGATTAGGGTTTGGAAATGCGTGTTGAGGTGGATGTGGCTGCTGTAACGGTATTTGTTGAGAAGGTGCTTGTGGTGGTAATTGTTGTTGTTGCAACAATTGTTGATTTTGAAAATTATTTGCATAAGGTAGATTGGTATTCACATTGATTGGTATATTATGTTCATTGAAAGGTTGATCCATGACTTGTGGTGGTTGCGGTACCATGGTTTGACTCATGTTGTACATTTGTGGGTATTGAGGTCCATTGAATGAATTTTGTCTACTATTAATATTACTTGATTCTTGAGATGTGAATGACTCTTGAAGATGATTATTTGGATCTTTAACTGCGGCAGCTTCTTCTGCAGCTTGAAGAGCAGCTTTCTTACCTGTTTTATATTTTCTAGGAGTATCACCTGGTAATTTTGGTTTCTTTACATATTTTCTTTTCATTCCTGTTGGATTTTCTTTTGGAGGTGGTTTTGCTTTCTGTGGTATAATTAAATTTGGATCAGTAAAATCCAAGAATAAAACTGGTGCTAATTCTTTTGTAACACCATAAGTTGCAGCTAGTCTTCGAGCATCTTCTAATGGTATCCACGTTCCTTGAAATCTTCCAAATCCTCCTTGAACTTTTTCATGTAAACCTTGTTGAACTCCCTTTTCTAAAATTTTAGTTCTTTTTGCTTTTGGAAAATTACAACATTTTAAAATTTGAGTTGCATTCACCCAATCATCTTTACAACGTCGCATTATTGGTGATTCATTCATATCACATTCATAGACATCAGTCTAATTATTGTTAGTAAGTATTCTTTATAAATCTTTGCCTACTAAACTTTTTGAGCTCAAACGACGCGTCAAGATAAATTAAGTTCGGATCTAAATTAGTAGCATCACTAATTTAATATAAAAGTTGTGATTGATAATTTTAGACATACATTCGAGTAAGTAGCTCGGAATACTGGTGGTGGTCCAGGCATGATATTGTTACTTTATGGTCGTGGTATTTGATCTTTTGAAGTGAATCAAAATTAGATTGAATTATTGTTGGAAATATAAAAATGAGATTTTAATTTTTTTAATTATTTTTTTTTGTTAGAATTTAAATCAAATAAAAAAAAAAGATGGAGTTCACGCGCCCCATAGGGAAAAAAAAAAAATTATTTTTATGCCAGTGAAAAGCTATTTCGGTCGAGCCCAACGCGATATAGACGCGGAGCACCGAGCGAGTTGATCTTGACATCAAACCTCAACTAATAAATACTGGCGAGAGTAATTGTTACTTTGCTCGTACTCCATTTGTTATTAATTGGAGCTAGGTCTAAGAAATTATCGAAGACAATGTCAATTATATAACACTTCATAAGAAAAGTCTGAAACTTCAATTATAAAACTTATTATTTTTTTGTTCTCATTAGTTCTAATTATTAATTTGCAACCATTCGCGTCCTATTTGATTTTTTTGTTTCAATTTTTACAAGAATTTATTTTCGAATGTCTAAGTTGGTTGCATCATCACTGAGTATATCCATGAATTTGAAGCCGAATTTCTCTTTGAATAGTGAAAACGCTAAGTTACATGACAACCAGCTTTTAGCCCACTCCATTCAAATGAGGGAACTTAATTCAAGTTTTTCTAACAAAGTGTGCTTCGAGTAATTTGATATTCAAGTACCAAATTTTGCTGTTAATCTAAGTTGAACCTTGTGAACGAAAATTTCAGTACTGAACTAAAACGAAACGTTCAACAACTAGCTTGCAAATTCTGTTATCCTGAAGTATTTTTATCTTGAAGCGTGATATAAATTAGGCTTAAGTTCGATCTCGGTTAACATCACCAAAATAATAAACTAAGTAATTTTTTTCCGATACGTACTACTTTTTCACGTATGAGGTTAGACACAACAAGTTCTCAATAATCACAGGTATTGGCTCAAACAATGTATCGAATCAAACTTATTTTATAATATGAGCATTTACGAAGTCAGGCAAATTATTCTCCTGAACTATTAGTACATTAATTAGTCTATATTTATAAATTTGTGTAATTACCAAATTTGTACTAAATTTCTTCTCATTTATCAAAAAGATCTTCCTACTTATTATTGTATATTCTTAGCCAGACTATATACGAACTTAAAATACACACGCCTTACTAGATAAAATTTATTCAACTAGTCTAATACTAGTTGAATCTCAAATTAGTATTAGAGAAGGTTCAGTTTCAGTTTCAGTTTCAGTTAAATCTCCACTTTAAATTATTTACTTTTATATGACTTGTTTTTATCCAATTTTTCTTGACTTATGTTGTCGTTGTTAAGTAACCACTAAACTTGAAATTAAGTTTATTAATTACGTATTAAGTTGTTGTTGATAGTATTATTATTTAGTGATTTTGTGTCATATATAATAAATTAAATGTAAGGCTAAGTTAAGAAAATTGTTTCATAATAAATTAATATAACTACTATCAATATTTACTGTTAAATATTTATAAATACCGTCATTTCTTAATCATTCATTCATTCATTTTTTAGATTAAACTATTAGGAGTTCATTTGTATCGATATCATTTCACTTTTTATTTTTTCATTCACAAACCATAGATCTCATTCATATATACAATCATCCTAAATCATGACCACAACAAAATCATCAAATAATGATCTACCGAAATCTAGATTAGGTATAAAAGTAGTTCATGTAAAATCAGTAACTGGTACAATTATTATGTTAGATGATCCAAATGATGAAAATGATTTAAATTCAATGAAAAAATCAAGAACTGGTATAATATTAAATCCTCAACCTCAAGATTCTCCAAATGATCCTTTAAATTGGTCTGTTTGGAGAAGAGATATTTGTTTAATTATTATTGGTTTAGCTAGTTTTTTAGGTGGTGGACAATCTCCTTTATTAGCTGCTGGTATGTCTACTTTAGTTGTGGAATTTGAAAGACCTTTAACTACTATTTCATATTTAGTTGGTGGATTTATGTTATCATTAGGTTGTGGATCAGTTATTGCAAGTCCAACTGCTGTATTATATGGAAAAAGATTTGTTTATATATTAGGAACTTTTATATTTATGATGGGAGCAATATGGGGAGGTATTGCACAAAATTTTGGTAATTTAATGGGTGCAAGAGTTTTAACTGGTATTGGTGCATCACCAACTGAATGTTTACCGAGTTCAACTATTGCAGAAATTTATTTTGCTCATGAAAGAGCTTATAGAATTGGTTTATATACTATGTTAATGTTAGGAGGTAAAAATATTATACCATTATTATCAGGTTTAATATTTCAATATTTAGATAGACATTGGTTATTTTGGATTTTAGCAATGTTTTTAGGTTTTACTTTAATTATGATTATTCTATTTGTACCTGATACATTTTGGGATAGATCACCAAAACCTTCAAAAAGATCAATTGAAGAAACTCAATTAGCAAGATCTGTTGCTTCATATCATCCACCATCTCAAAGACCAAATGCATTTGCTTTAAGAACACAATCAAGAAATAGTACAATTTCATCGATAGCATCAAATGCAGAAGATCAAGAAGAAGGTGAAAAACCCATAGGTTTAACTGAAGTTACAACAATTGAAAAAAAGCATAGTTATTTACATAGTATTAGAATTTATCAAGGTAGATTTACAAAGGATAGTTGGTGGATGGTTGCATTAAGACCATTTGTTTTATATACTTATCCCCATGTTTTATTTGGTTCTTTTACTTATGCATTAGCTGTTGTTTGGTTAATTGTTATATCAGAAACTATTGCAGAAATATTTAGACATCCACCATATAATTATGATCAACAAACTGTTGGATTATTTTATATATCACCATTTGTTGGTGGTATATTAGGTTCATTATCTTGTGGTTTAATATCTGATAGATTAAGTAGATTTATGGTTTCAAAAAATAAAGGAGTTTATGAACCAGAATTTAGATTAGTTATGATTATTCCTTCAACTTTTTGTATTGCATTTGGATTAATGGGTTATGGTTGGTCTTCAACTGCACAAAATCCATGGATAGCTCCTGTATTATTTTTTGGTGTTATGTCATTTGGTTCATCAATGGCTTCAACTACTGCAATTACATTTGCCGTTGATTCTTACAAGATGTTTGCTGCAGAAACTTTGGTTTCTTTTAATTTCCTCAAGAATTTTTTAGGTTTTTGTTTTTCATTATTTAATAATAAATATGCTGATGAACAAGGTTATAAAAATGCTTATGTTACTTATGGTGGAATTCAATTATTTGTGAGTTTATTTGCTATACCACTTTATATTTATGGTAAAAAATTAAGAAGATGGACAGATGAAAAAGAATTAATGAGAAGTTTATATCATGAAGATAATGTTCCACCAAGTATGACTTCAAAATTTGATGAAGATGATTCTATTGATTAGAATATTTGTATTGGTTTTATTTCTTAAAGTTTAGTTTAGTTTAATGAATAACGATTTGATTTTCTGTTAAATATTTGGTTAACCTATCTTTGAAACTAATTCCGTTAAATTTATCATCTATTACAGTGGGCATACCTAATTTTTCAATAACACATCCACTCCCCACATTACCATAAATTCCTGCTGTTAACCAATTTTGATCGTTTAATATCCACCCCATTGCAAAACTTCCCAAAAATGAGTTCCCACCACCAGTTACATCGACTACTTTAGATTGATCCTGATGGTACGCCGGTAATTTATAAGTTCCATTGTTTGTTGTATGTATAAAACAACCTTCTGATCCACATCGTATAACTGTACCTGAATTCGGTATTGATTGATACTTTGTAAATCTTATGGCTAATTCTTTTAATAGATTAGATTTTCCAGCTAGTCCTTCTGCTTCATCTAAATTTGGACTGAAAATATGTATATATGGAAGTAATTTAGTTAATTTTGTATAATTTTCATGTATGCAATCAGTAGGTAATGGTTCATAAATAAAAATAGCTTCGGGATTAAATTTCAAAATATCTTTTATTATCGAATTACATCGATCAATTGAACATATTAAATGATAAGTTTTACTTCTTTTTAAATTTTCATATTGAATTATATCATTAACTTCAATTTGTTTTTTAGGTGATAAATATTCAAAAAATCGTATTCCTTTATCGTAAATATTACATCCTCTTGTAGTTAATCGATCACTATCTCTAAAAATTATCCCAGTTGACCAACTTTGTAACTCTGCATATACCGTGGAAGGAAAATCGATACCTTTATCTATTATACCTGAAATTAAATGTGAATTATTAAGTTCAGTAACTATTCTTGCACCCATTATTGCATATGTTCCTGCTCCACCAATTATATCTGTTTGTGAGGGAGCTGGCGGGTCAATATATCGATTTTCATCGATTATGAACATCCCCATTGTTGTGAATAATGACATTATTGTTTGAGTTGCAAAATACTAGAAATAGAAATAATTTACAATCAAATATTTTAATTCCGTAAATTGTGAAACACGCGAAGGTTTGAATTTTGCAACAATTTACTTACGATTTTCGATTCTATAATTTCACGCCTATCAAATAATCTATATAGTCTATAAATAACACTAAACACCATCGTATTCATCCATAAAAAAAGATTGTATCAAACAAATCAATGCAATTAATCCCAATACAAACCAAGGTAAACCACCAATTTCATTTTCATTACACCAAGTCATGAAATGACCAAATAAAATAGGACTTATACCACGAGCTAATGAATTAAGACTTATACCAGCACCATTTATAAATGCTCTATGTGATGGAATTGCTGATGATCTATGAACCATTATCATGGATACACAAAAACTAATTGATACAACTGTTGATAAAATTAATGCAACCAAATAAATACAAAAAGCTGATAACCACGATGGATTCGACGCGTCGTAATCTTGATTGAAAAATAAAAAGTAGGGAAGCAGTGCATATGCAATTGGAATTAAAACAAAAGATAATCTTAAAATTGTAACAGTTTTTAAATGATGATCTAAAATTGGAAATAATATTATAACTGCTATAGTACCAATTATACCAGTACTTGATAATAATTTACCAATTGATTCCGAACTCCACCCATATCCACCTGCAATTGTAAAAGGCCATTTTAAATTAATTAATTGACTTGCCAATAAAACTGGTAAAAATTCTGAATATAAAACAGCATGAAAACATAATAAAAAATTTGATATAACAGATTGAATAACTGGTCCAGTAAATACTTCTCTTGTAAAATAAGATTCTGGAACATTTGTAGTAACATGATTATTTGAAATTACTGGACCTAATTGTTCTGATGAATATCTTCTTCTAGCCGCCTCTCCATATCTTGCAGAAACTAAAGTGTTATCAATCACTTCTTCTTCATCTTCTTCTAATGAAGAATATACTTGATTTGCCGAAAGTAAAACCTCTCTTTCTTCTTCATCAGCTTGTTCTTCATCTTCTCCTTTTCTCGATTTCGATTTTTTAAATCCTAATTTTTTCAAAATCCAATTACCCAATTCTAATCCATAATCTCTCCTACCTTTAAATTCTTCAGAAGGTTCTTCTAAAAATAAAAAGCCTAAAATTAAACTAAAAAATAAATAACCAGCAAAAACAATATTAGACATTGCATACGGATATTTATTAACGAATTCATTATAATTTTCAATTTGAATTTTGGGTCTTGTAAATAAATGATAAGATCCAATTAATGGGCCAATAACTGCTCCAATATTCCAAGTAGTAGCTAATATTGAAAAAGCAATATTTTGATGTTTTTTTTCCACTGCAATTTCACCAACTGCAACTCTTAATACAGAAATATTACCATTTAATGCACCCATCAATGATCTTGCAATCATAGCCATTAAAAAATTTGAACTAAAACCAAATAAAATACTTGATATACCAGTTCCAAATACTCCAAATAATAATATAGGTTTTCTACCATATTTATTTGATGCTTGAGCATGTTGAACACAAAATAAAAATTGAAAAATTGCAAAACTTGAAGATAAATATCCAGCATAAGTTGAAATTTTCAAAATATCTTTTGTTATACCAAAATCTTTAATCATGAAAAATATATATGAAAAAATTGATGTAAATACTAATGGTTCACCTAATCTTAATAGACATAATAATGTTAATTGAGTATATGGAAAGTTTTCCATTTGTTTCCAAAACGATTTTTCAGTCATGATTTGGATTTTGACTATTGAAGTGGTATAGATGAATCCACAGTTTTGTTTACAGCACGTTGAATGATAAATTTTTTGAAAGACCGGTTTATCACTGTAAAAATTATCAGTCCAAATGGGAAACAAAAGCTATCTCAAACATTAATCTTCAAATTTATTAATATTTGTTGATGTTGGAAAGTAGGCCGGTTATAATATTGAGTCATTTTGTTATCAAATTGATACTTTTTCGTACAAAATTTGAATCAAAAATTTATACATTTTCGGTCAAACGTAAGTGAAGTGTTGCAAACTAGGGTCAAAATTTTTCGATTTTTGAACGACTTGTCTGATTGGTCAAGTCGCGTTAAGCTCTGTTAGTATAGAGGCTATTACAACTCTCTCGTATCAGTTTACTGTAAAGAGGAGGTCGTCGGTTCGAATCCGATACAGAGCACTTTTAAATTCACGATGCCAATTTTTTTTGGGCTTGATTTTTCAACTATGTCAAGTTGAGATAGCTGACCAAGACTAAAGAGGAGAAAATAATTGAAAGATTCCATATATTCAGAAGTTTCTTATTCAACTAGTTTTACTACTTGGAGGAGGTGGAGGTGGTGCAGATTCTGATTTTGTTTTGGGTAAAGAAGCTTCATCTAAATGCTTTGATTTTTCTAATTCTTCATTCATATAATCACTTAAACCATCAACAGCTGATGAAGCCACATGTTTTTTCTTTTTATTCACAGATGATTTTGGAGGAGGCGGTACGGATGCAATTGATGGTGGTGCTGGTGGTTCATTGATTGTTGTTGTAATTGGAGGAGGTGGTTGATTTATAATTTCTTCTTCATGATTTTGATCTTGACTAAATAAAACATCATCAATTATTGAATTTTGTTCAAATTTACCAATTACTTCAGGAATTCTATGAAGTATTCCATATCCTACATCACAACCTAAAATACCTCTATTATGACCAGATCCCCAATTTCGTGATAAATTCACAGTAACGGGACGTAAAATATCATAATCATGATTATAAACAAAAAGTGTTATCGGTACATTATCACCATTAGAATTTTGATGATAATTATAATAATTTGCAACAGTATTTGAAAGTAATGATTCACCACCTTTACTTAGTAAACCTTTTGAATTTGGATCAATTGCTGAATCACAACCTATTATGAAATCAGATTGTGGAACTAATTGTGATCTAAATGCTGGAGATCCAGGATGTGTATTTAATATTCTCCAAACAAATGTTGATGTATTTAAATGTTGTGATTCAACTGTAAGTCCCAATTGTTTAAAATTATTTTCAAATAATTTATATCCATTTGCTTCTTCTTCTTCTGAAGGTACGTAATCTTCCAATTCAATGCTTATTTGTCTCAATACTCCACCTTTTGCACTCCATACATCTAGTATCAATTCTTGTTTATTTTTAGCTAACGTTGATAATTCTTTAGCTAATAATTCATAATTTATAGCAGCTGCTTGTTCTGAAGTCGCTGAACCTCCATAATTTATAGTTCCATCTTCATTTATTGAATATGAGTAGTTAGATAAAGATGGATAAAGCATTGGCAATTCATGATTATTAATTTTAATAATATAATCAAACCAAGATTCAAACCCTTTTTTATGTGCAATTGAATGTGGTATTACACTTAAAACTCGTAAAGCATGACCTCTATTATTTATTTGAGTAGCATTTTTGAAATATAAATCATTGGATGGCTCGGTAGTATGCCCTTCAAATCTATCCACTAATTTCTTTGCGAATGAAAACATTGTTGGATTGATTCAACGGTGATTGAAATTAGTTTTCAATATACTTTTTTCTAACACACACAAATGAAGCCGCAGAAATTAAAATCAAGAACCATTTCTACAATCAAATAAAGATACTTACGAAATCATTATAAATAATAATACACTAATAATACAATTTTTCTATGAAAATTACAGAAGTTTAATTTCAAGCAAAACCACCAGCAAACGCTAAACTCCAAGTTCTACTTTGTCCATTATCCAAATAATTATTTGTCCAACTGTTTGAACTAAAAAATTCATAAGATGTATGAGGATCTATAATAGCTTGATTTAATCTTAATATACCAGCCCAACCATCATTTACATTATTAACAAAAGTTGAAATTTGATCATCCCACTCTTCTTGAACATATGATGGAATTCTAATTGAAGAAGAAGCAGCAGTAATTGGTAACATATGAATACCATGAACATATTCCGGATGATCTTTTGGAGTACCAAAATAAGTTGTATAATCAATTTTATTTTCAAAAAATATTCCACTAACTTTATTTGGTAAAATTTCAGATGGTTGTACTTGATTATCAGATTTATAATAAAAATACATATTGAAAGCCCTATTCATTATTGATAACATTAATCCACCTCTTGCTTCCATTGAATAATCACCAACAACTTTACCCCATAATTTCATACCATAAGCAAAATGAATATCTTCAGAACTTGATTCTTGATTTTTACCATCATTACTTGCATATAATCCTGCTGCCCAACTATGTCCATCATACCATGAAAACATTCTTGAAACTGGGAAATAATAATCTTTTCTTGAGGGATTAGCAGCATCTCTTACTAATGAATTAACCCATGCCTTATTATCTTCTGCCCAAGTACCATTTAATTTTTTATCAATTAATCCAACTACAGCAGCTGCATGAATAAAATATCCATAATGGAAATGATGATCATTATAATAAGCACTTCCAAAATCTGCACCATCATCACCATTTTGTGCAGCAGTTGAAGTGATACCACCAAATTTAAGATCATACATTAATGGATAATATTGTTTATTTGCTACAAATATTTCAAAAGCTTCTTTCATATCATTTAAAGTACTTAAAGTTACATCATCATCTTGAATTATTTCACTAACAACTAACAAAATTTGTGCATATTTATCCAAAACTTTTCCTGAAAAATAATTTGAATTCATGTTTTTTACAGTTGATGCGATATCAACTGCTAATTCTTCATTTGCAGATTTAGCTAATAAAGTTAATTGTTCAATTGAATAACTAGGTGATGAAACTCCTTCAAGATATGGTAAGAATTGAATTTTTTTATCAATTGTTTCAGAAAATGATAATTTTTTAGTTAAAAATCCAGTCATATCACCTTTAGTTTGTGACGCAACTTTTATACCTGTTGCTCCTGATGAAGTTAAAGTTGAAAGATGATGTGGTAAAGCAAAAATTATAGGATTACCACTTGATGAAGTACCTTTAGTTTCATAAACAAATTCATAAGAAGCATCTTGTGAACAAACAACTGAACCTTGGAAAGAAGCATCTGTTACATACATACCAGCTGCTGCATCATAAAACGGATCTCCTTCAGCAGTAGGAGCAATTGCAACTTGAATAATCAAACCATCAATAGATTTACTTGCCTCTAAATGGTATGGATCTTTAACTGTCAATTCAAAATCAGAATCTTCAACTGGTAAAGTAGCATAGATCAACCATTCAACACCATTAAATAAAATTGCACGATATTTCAATATATTTTTCAACAAAGCATTTGAATCTTCTAAAATTAAAGTTCTTATTCCATATAATGAATTTAATTCTGCTATTAAATTACCATTATAAATAGCACTAACGAAACCCATACCTTGAACAATTGGAATTTCAAGATTATTAATTTCATCATCATCTTTTGATAATGTAACTTTAACTCCCATTTCAGTCATATCTGTTACACCCATTGCAACAGAATTATCAAATATTGTAGCTGAAAAAATAATTTCGCCATTATTAGTTGGATTAAAATAATATGATGCAACACCTTCATTATTTGTATTAATAGATCCAAAAACTCTATTTGACGTATTTGTATGTTGAACTCCAAAACCATAATAATTATTTTTACTCCAATAAACACCATATGGATAAGTATAAACCATTAAATCTTGATTGCCAAGGAATAAATTAGCATAAAATTTATTAGTTTGATAAGCTACTCCTTTATTATTAACTCCTGAAGGTATTGCAAGTGGTAATTCTTGTCTTGAAAAATTATATGGTGGTGAGCTTATATCAATAGCAGCAAATAAATCTCCTGAATAACATATTTGATCTTCTGCGGATAAAGTATGTTGAGATAAAATGGAAGAACTACTTGATGATGAACTTGATGATAAACTTGATGATGATGAAGATGAGGATGAGGAGGATAAGCTTGATGAAGATGAAAATGCTGATTCAGTAGCAGATTCATAATCTGATTCAGATTCGAAAAAATCTTGTGAACTATAACTTGATTCTTGAGAACTTGGTAAAATTGAACTTGTTTGTAAAATAGTTGAAACAGTTTGATAAGTTGAAACAATATAACTTGATGAATTTGCATAAGGAGCTAAAGTTGATGAAGAAGTAAGTATAATTGTTGATAATGTATAACCTGTTGAAACACTAACTGCTGCAGTTTCTGAATCTTCATCGGATGGTAAGTCATTTGTTTCAACAGAATCAGGAGCAATGGCCGAAAGTTGACTAGAACTTGAAATTGTTGAAGATAAAGTTGAATTTTCATTAACAGTTAAAATAGATGCTGAACTAGTTGATAATGTTAAACCATCAGTAATTGAAGAAAGATCAATTGTAATTGATCTACTTTCTGATACAACTGATTGTGAAGTAACTGGAATTGATCTTGTTGTTGATAATGGTTCTAATGTAGCTGATGGTGAATAAGTTGATTCTAGTGAAGAAGTTGCACTAAAAATTGTAGATGAAGTTGTTACACCAATTGGTACATCTGATGTTGGTATAATATTGGAAGAAATTGAATTTGAAATTGAACCTGCATTTGCAGCTAAACTTGCTGTATTACGTCCAATTGTTGATGAAGATGTTTCATGAGCTGTTTCAATAGTACTAGGTCCACTTTGTTGTTGTTGATTGTCTAATGTTTTACTTGTTGTTGTAAATGTTGCTTGACCAGTTATAGTATAAACATGAGGTACAGTAATAGTATAAGCAGAAGTTATACATTTATTATTTGAACAAGTTTTTGAAGTTTCTATACTAGTTGAATGAGTTGTTAAAGTATAAGTTGTATCAGTAGTTTGAGTGTAAGTTTCAACTTCATTTTGTATTTGATTTTCAGTTTTGATTGAATTTGCTGTTGGATAAACTGTTTCATAAACTATATGAGTATTTGTTACTGTTGCATAAACTGTTTTCTTAGGTTTTAATGCTTGATTTGGTACATGAACAAATGTTATTGGTATACCAGTTGATAAATTTTCGGGATTATTTGGTAATAAACTTTGAGCTATATTTTTAAGACATTGATTATCAATATATTGTGTTTGTGTTTTGGTAACTGTTTTTTCAGCTATCACTAAAGTCAGTGATAATGCTGCCAAAAGTAATTTTAAATTCATATTTGTGGTTTGTTTTTGAACTAGTTTGTATAAAGGATTGAATAGTAGTTAATTGTTATTAGATTACTGAATTAATATTTAGTTGAATAATATAAAAAATGAAAGTATAGAAGTTGGATTATTTTAAAATGAGTGTAATAATAGTTGGATGAATATTTCTATAAAGAATTGTATGTTTATGTGAAGTTTTTAAGTTGATGCAAAAAAAAGAAGTGAAAGAGTATTCTAAAACAAAATCTTAATTTAATAGAAATATTGAGTTAATTTTATACATGCTCTGCAAGTAAATAATCAAATCAAAAATAATAATACATTTAACCGGTAAATTTTGCAAGCTATTTTTACAAATATTTAATGTATAGAAAAATAACACAAAATCTAAGGTCTACATAATTACGAATGCACGCAAATCTTATTTTTATTTTACGAGAAAAACTGTTTTTTGAAATTTCTTTGTTTTGTTTATACTTTTTAAGATTTTGTACTTCTTTCAATGATATCGTGTAATTATAAAAATTTAGCCTGTATCAAGACTGTTTGGAAATAGATATACCTAACACTAACTAATATAATAAACCTACATTCATCTAAATTGTCAGAATCAGCTTATTCCACTTTCCAACATTTACGATTTCAAACTTAACGTTCAGTTAAAAACTTACTCCTAAACAAAACCTCGATATTGACTTATTTGAAATCCAAAACAAATTACTTGCAGTTTCTTGCATTTTAAACCTAAAATGGACGACGATCTACATATACGTCACAAAGACGTTATAGTAAGTACTTTACTATCATCATAGTTTATTTTATAATCTATAATTATAATTTTTATTATTAATTATTCGAATTTTGTGCTACTTTTAATTTTTGATTTCGATTTTCAACCAGCATCATAAGAATTTATGAATCATTTAACGATACATGATCAAAGCTATCTAACATTCAATTTAAAGTAAACTTTTGTATCTAAAATTGGTTGTCGTATCATTCTATGAATTTTTATTCATTTGAATATAGAGATTAATGTAGAATGTTCAGGATAAACACAGTTTCGGTTAGATAAATTAACGCGATATTATTTAATTTTTAAAAATGAATTTTTAAGTTTTGATTTAAAAATGTTGATCAACTTAAATCTTAAATTTATTTCATGATCTCATAAAACATGTGTGCGATACTTGTTAAAATTTTGATCTCTAAACATATTGATTTGATTTGAGTACTTTTCACGTTCCTTTTCTTAATCATTTTATAATTTTAATCCATGAATCAACGCGATTCGACACCAATCATCTAAAACTTTTTTTTGACGTAAGGAGTAATTGATCGATAATTCTATCGATACTTATTAAATAGCTGAGGCGTAATTATGACTTATTTGTTCTACCAGCAAATCATAAAGGATCAGATATTCTAATTCAATTCTAAGATATAATTTTATAACTTTTTCACGATATTTAAACGAATATTTTTTTTCTCTCTTGTATGAGAACAATTGAAACATTGTAAAAAAATGGCTTGCAACAACATTTTTATTAAACAAATCAAATAATGAATTATTAAAAACCATAACTATCTTGAATGTAATAAATTTTGAGTTGGGCATAGCCTATAAAAGCATCACATAAATGCATGATGACGGTTTTACTTCGAAAAAAATCGTTAAAACTTTATTTAGACGTTTCAAAACTAATTGTTTATTAAAACACATATTTCAAAAAATATTCACATTAATGGTCTTACATGTTGAACTACTAAACACTCAAACAATCTTGTTTTCTTTTCATCGTTTAAGTTATGATTTATACAATTCCGACTTAATTTTTTAATTAGCTAATGTTTCGATATTCGTCAAAAAATGTTGCAAAATTCATACAAAATTGTGAAACTGATTCAAAAAATTAATACAATTGACACTATCGATTAAACTGACTTATTTGGACTCGTTTTTTGCGGCACTAACACACATAAAATTATAGTGACCATTTTGGCAGCATTATATACGTGTTGAGATGCATCTAATTTGATTTATTATATCTCATAAATGGACCCATAATTTGATTTGAAAGATAAAACATCTGATTGTAACAAATAACACGACTTTTCACTTTTATCAACCGAGATTTATCAACTAATTTTCCCCAGTATTTTAGAACTATGATTCAGTTGATGTATAAATCTAACCTATAAAGTTACAACCATGACTCAAATAATAGTACTTGGTGCAGGAGTTGTTGGATTAACGACAGCAATAGAATTAAAAAAATGGAATCCTAATTTAAATATAACAATAGTTGCACAACATTTCCCAGGAGATTTTGATAATCAATTTTATACATCACCTTACGCTGGAGCTAATTGGCAATCATTTGCAAGTAATGAAGATATAAATTTACAAAATTTAGATAAACCATCATATAAAAAATTTATACAGTTAGCTAAAAATGATCCTGAAAGATCTGGAATATGGATTAAAGATAATATTACATATTATACAAATTATAAAATAAGTGAAACAAAAGGGAATATGTCAGAATTTATACCTTGGTATAGAAATTTTGTTGAAGATTTTAAAATAATAGATGAAGACAAAATTAAATTTAAAGATATTGGATTTGGAACATCTTTCAAAGGAGTTGTTATATCAGTACCTATATATTTAAATTATCTTATACAACAAAATAAAGAATTAGGTAATAAATTTAAAAAGGCTAAGATAGATAATATAGATGAATTGAAAAATTTTAATGGGATAAAAACAGATTATGTTATAAATTCAGCTGGATTACAAGCAACAAAAATAAAGGGAATTACTGATAAAAAACTAACGTTTCCAGTAAAAGGTCAAACATTATTAGTGAAAAACAATACAAAATCAGTTTTAGCAGTTGAAGGATTTCCAGGCACATCAGATGAAATGTTATATATAATGCCAAGAAAAGAAGGTGGTTCAATAATTGGAGGATGTTTTAAACCAGGAGATAATTCATCAAAAATAGATGAAGAATTAACATCAAGATTAATTAGAAGAGCTATAAATTATTCACCAGAAATAATTGATCCTAAATATAAAAATAATCCTTCAAAAATTGAAATTATAAAAACCAATATTGGTTTTAGACCTTTTAGAGAAGATGGTGTAAGAATAGAAAAAGATCCAAAATATAATTGGTTAATTCATAATTATGGAGCAGGTGGTGGTGGATATCAAGGAAGTTTTGGATTTGCTCAAAAAGTTGTTGATATTTTGAAAAATGAACTTAGTAAATCAAAATCAAAATCAAAATTATAAGCTCATACTTAGTGTTGTAGGGTCTAATAAGAAACAATCTACAATCTTTTCATATATTTATTTGTAGATTACAATTTGTGAATTAAATTAGTATACAACTTTGAATCGAGACATTTGATTTTTCTTTACTTCTTCTATTGTATTCCACTCTTCTTTTTAACTTTACCAACTTTCTAAATTTTTTAAATTTAATAACTAATGACAAAGAAATCCAATTAATTGACCTTTTAAAATATCAAATAATTTTTTACCACCTTTTTTACCATATTCTTTTGCATGAGCACTATCAGTATGTTCAGATATGAAACCTGAAGCAGTATTATTATGAGCTTTTATTGGAGTTGGTTTATTTGAATAACTTTGAGTTTTTATATTAATATCTGAATAACCATGTTGAGGTTTAAAAAATCCAGTATCTTTTGGTTCTTGTGGTATATCTACTGACATTTGATTACTTTGATTACTTTTTTTTAAATTTAAAACTTAAGTTTTTCTTCTTTCTTTTTCTTTTAATAATTATATTGGTGCAGTAATTGATTGAAACAAGGATTGATTAAAGAATAATTAGTTATAGTTTCATATCTTTGTAATAACTATATGTTTATCTTTTATTCTTTACAATTAAATTGCTATTTTTAAGATAGAATTAAAGATAATGTGAAATTTTGATAGAGCGGCTTTTACTTGTTGCTTTTGTGTAACTTGTGACAAACTTCCTAATTTCATCCTTTTTAATGATTTATTAACCAGAGAGATTGAAAATTCATACGTAATTAAGAACCGGAAGGAATTTAAAATCTTATCTCATACTCAGTTTAAACAATAGAAGATGCCAAAAACTTTCCCTCAATAAATTGTTCAAGTGAATAATGAAATTTAGAAAAAGGTTCTGTCACCTCTCACATTTCTCAATATTACGAACCCCATTCGACCTAAACTTCAAGCATAGATTCTTGAACTTAATTTTCAAAATAAACTGAGTTAGAAATCTAAGATGAATGTGATCACTCCTACACGGTTCTATCCTTGTGTCTATATTTTTTGCAACCATGGAAACGAAAATCAACAATAGCAATTGGTAGTAATCCGTTTCAAAAATTCGCACTCAAAATACGTTTGAAAAAAATTTTAATACCGGAAACATAGATAAAATTCATTGAATCATTAAACTTCAATCACATATATCACACAACATTGAGAAATGAGAGCCTCACAGATCTTAAGTTTTCAAGCAACTGCACAAACAGCATTAAGGAGGCCGTGGAAAACTTTCAGAGATGGGTCCTTATACTATGGTCAATTAAAATCAGGATCAAAAAGACATCCATTAACTACAAAACAAGGGAATAAACATTATTATAAAGGTACAAGATCAACTGGTATAGGTCATTTAGATAGTCGAGGAAGATATCATATAGATTGGAATAAAGTAAGGACATATGTTGTTCCAGTTGGTTTGAATACCACTGATTTGAAACCATTAGTATCACCAAATTCTCCACAATTTATACAAAAAGTTGAAGGATATGATGATAAATTCAAAAGTCCTGAATTAGCTTTACATAATGCTATTAGATTTGTTGAAAATGGAAGTAATTATAGTGCAATAGATTTGGAAAATGAAGGTTATATAGAAAGAATTCAACATCCAAAATTAAAAGAAGCAGATAAAAAGAAATACTTAACTGAAACAGACTAGTTTTGGGCTTTTCTACATGTATATATAACAATTTAATGAATAGTAATGTCAATAATTCAGGTAAGTGTATTAATCTAAATCCTACTGTACTTTAGTCTTGCTCACGTGATTTGTATTTCAAATTCGAGGGTATACGTCTGAAATTATTATAATATCTACTTTAAACTTAGACACATACCATTTCAACTAAGATCACCAAAGATGAGTATGGCAGGTATTCTAAGGTCCGAATCACCAGTAGTAGCTGACCAAGAAATTCAGATAGAAGAAGAATCAAACACAGCAACTCCATTACCACAAGAACCAGAAGAAATCGAAATAGATCAAGTCACCAATATCGATCAAAACAAAGATGAAACACCAATTGATGAAGATTTAGAAGAAGTAGCAACAATGTCATTACCATTATCAAAAATTAAAAAGATATTTAAAATGGATATGGATTATTCTGGAGCAAGTTCAAGTGCAGTATATACCACTGGTTTAGCTACTGAATTATTTGTACAATACTTTGTTGAACAAGCAAGTCTTTTAGCTAAAATGGATAAACGTAAAAAAATAATATATAAAGATTTTGCAAATGCTGTAAGTAGTCATGATTCATTAAATTTTTTAAGTGATACAATACCCAAGACTCATCAAGTTGGCGAACTAATATCCAGAAAGAAAATTAGTACATTAGATCAAATTAATTTAAACGCTAATACAGTTAAAAGAAGAGAATATAATAATAGTAATCGTATCAATAATTCAAAAGATTCAAATAATGGAGGAAATATACAACAAGTACAAAAACTTCGAAAACAACAAGAATTACCTAAAGGTCAACAAACTTTAAATTTTCAACTGGAAAAACCATTAAAAAAGGCTAGTGTAACTGATTTAATGACCACAGAAGATGATAATGATGAAAATGTTAATGAAGATGCTGATGTTGAAATGATTGAATAGTTATGGAACTAAATAAAATACTTAATGAACTACATTAGTTTTTAAAACTTCGAGTATACACAACGTATCTCTTGATATTGGAAATCGTGGAGGAATTTGAAGTTTGTAACAAAGCTTTATAATGGAATATCTAATTACATCCGGTATTGATTTTTCATAAACTTGAGCTCCAGTTAATAAAAATTCAACAAGCTTTTCTCGTAATTTTGGACTCATACGTAAAGTATATATAGCCTTTTCAGATATAGCTATTTCTTTTGACACAACTTCTGAGACTGTTTGAGATTCATTTTTAACTAAATCTGAATGATTCGATACGAAATTCCAAGTATCTTGAAATTTTCTACTGAAAAAATATTCGCCTTGTAAGAAATCTTGTTGGATAATTTCAATTACAAACTCTAATGATTCGATTGTTAAATTAATTTTTTCTCTTGAAAATGAATTGTTCTCCCTGGATGTGGTTGATAGTGAATCGACTCCGGAGATGAGTGTGGTTAAAATTGGCCAATTGCTCACAATCATTGGTAATAGTAATTTATAATTGGTACAAAGTAAAGGGAGTAGTAATCTTAGGGTTTTCATTATTTGAGACTTCAATGTGAATGATGGTTGAGATATTAATACAAATCCATAATTAAAGATTCTTTTAAGGACAATGTAAATTTCTTTTGGAATTGGTGAAGTCCATTTCTCTTCTTCCTCTTGAATTTCGGTTCCTTCGTTATCTTCTTCATCATCTGAATCATTCCCTATTTCTGAGAATGGTTTGTCAGCTGGTCTTTTAAAATACTCTTTGTTACTGTCATATTCCTCCATTGGGTCAATCGTTTTCTTATCACTCAAAAGCTCTAATAGTTGTGCCTTGTTAGTCATTCCCCACGGTTTGAATTGAGAGACATTTTCAATCTTGTTCTCAACTTTTAATACATTCGATAATTTGAGATATAAATTTTGAATTTGATCAACTAACGCCTCAAACACAACAAAAAAGCTCTCAACTAGTTTATTGTAACCATGATAGGAGTCTAAAATAACAAACATATCTGAAAGAATATCAGTCAATTGATTTGTTTCTAATAGTTGTATTCCAGCTATCCTCACAATAACCATCAAAATACCTGGCAACGTAGGAGTTAAATTACTTGCAACACTCATCTGTAAACTTATTGCATCGACTAAATAATCCAGGTTGTCCATAATCATTGCTTGTATTGAACCTTTGTAATAAATGTCGACAATGTCCTGAATTGTTTTTTGAGCTTGCAATTGTATATTTGGTTTGTCTGTGAAAGTCAATGCTTGTAAGATACTTAGCAAATGGTCCATTAAAACATTCGACCTAAATTCATCTATTGATATTGTACCGGCGACAGTACTTATTGTTTCCAACGATGATATTATTGAAATTTGATTCGCTAGTTGACCATTTTCTATATTACTCAATTCCGAGACATTCAAATTGTTCAACAACTCTAATGATTTGACAAGCAACAAGAATGAAACCTCATTTTCCTCACTATCAACTTCCATCGGTTCTTCGATATTTAAGAACTCACTAACATCGAGCGACATTGATTTTGATAGTCCATTTTTTGCCAAATTTGTTGCAAACCAAAGAGAGACACCTTTGCTTATTGTATCCTCATCAAAATCGTCCAACAAGCTTTCTATTTCTTCAAGATCCGTACCGGTTTGGTTGGATTTCAATTCAGATATAAATGAAATTAGATTTTTCAATTTTCCCTCTAAATATGTAGAGCCAATCCCAACTGCAATTCTCTCAGTTGTAAGAGGAGGACCCTTACTCCATTGACGCGATAAGGTTAAAATATTATGTGTATTGAAGTCTCTTTGCCTATTATTATCACCATGTTGTGCTTTCACACTTTTCGCATTAATATAACTTGGTAACTCAATATTATCCATTGTATTCGAATTTTCATTACCAGTAGTAATTTGTAAACTGTTTTTGCTACTCTTCAACAGTCTGCTCGAATTGCTAATTTTGGCATGATCGATAGTAAGTTCTATCAAGAGCTTGAGGCAATCATGTTTGAGAATGTTCAACTCTTGGAATTGACGATCCAATTTCCTAGATAATTCCATCAAAACAGCAAAGTGAAATTTGAGAGCGATAAGATTCATAGATATCTTGTCCTCATCAGTTGAGAAAACTATAACAGATAGCTTGTTATTAATCAAACTTGAAAGCTTCTTTCTTACGAGTTCAAAATATGCTTTCAGTTTTGTTTCATTGTCATTGATTGCATCATCGACAAGAGAAGCTAGCTGCCATATTTTAAAGTCCAATTGTTCATCGTAACTAGATGAGTATAGTAAAATTGAGCAGATATCCAACGTTAAAGGCGGAATCTCATTGTACAATGCTATAAAGCAATTCTTTAGTACAGATGTATTGAAATTCACCACAGTGTCATATAAATCAGATCTAGTTTGCCATCGCTGTCTGTTACGTGAATTTAATAAAACGGATTTGAATATTGTGACTAGTGTGATTTTTAATTGTTTCGAAGTTGCTCTTAACCATGCAATATTTCTGTGATCTCTCTCAGTAATTCTGATCTCATCTGACGATTGTGGTGAGCCATCAAGTGTTCTTTCATCATCATCCCAAACAACATCAATTTCTGTCAAACTGTGTATTTCCGGTACAATTAATTCTGAGCCAAGAGCATCATCACTAAAAGACGAAGTAACAATGTATGTCAACAACCTTAAAATTTGAATGAGTAATTGATAGTTGATGTTGGAGTTTGAAGAAGTAAACTTTGCCAAGGAAGAGACAATTCCAGGAAGTATGATTGAAACTTGATCTTCATTGAGTCTAAGTAACAGGCTGCGAATTAATTCAAAGGTTTGACTCAAAAGAGTGATTGACTCCTGATCATTTGAGCTGGTAGAAGTTATGACATCCAATGAAAGTGTAATCGTTGAACTCAAAAAATGTAACCTGTTATTTTTTTCTTCGAAGTAAAGTTTGCTCAATGAATTTATCAATTGGGATAATACAAATATAGTGGACAGTTGAAATTGAATTGATTTCTCTTTAATAATCTCCAGTGCAGATCCAGAATTGCTGGCGCCACTCAAAAACAAAACTAGGGAAAACAATTGATCGAATAAGGTGTAATTGACATTATAACTCCAACAATGTTGAATCAAAAGTCCAATAAGTATTAATATCTTCTGTGTGATGGCATCGTTTAGATTGGATTGTTTCAATAGATTCGATATTGGAAAAAAAATGTAATCGGCAACATTAGGTAGTATTTTGAAGTGAATCTCAGTATTTGTTGCAACCTTGGATTCAAACTCCATTTCATTAACAATTGAAGTTAATAAAGATGTGATTTTGGACTCATTTATTTGTGGTTGGAGAACTTCTTGAGACAATTGAATACAAAATGGTTTTAGCTTATCAAACAATCGATGTGATACTAAACGTTCATTTTCATTGCTGTTTCCATTCCATACACTTGTCATTTCGATTGCATAGTAGCCCACTTATAATTTGATGGTGAATGAAGTGGCCTTGATAGAATCTTATTGTGCTACAATTCAAACACAGATTGCAAAATCCGACTTTTGTGTAACGAAGATTTCATTACTTTCGGTTGATTTTTATTTGAAAATTTTTTTACAATTTTCTTTTTATTGTTTCAATCACTCAATCAGAATACAACACCAAGTGTCCATAAAATAGTTGCAAGCTTATAGTACGTTTATCAGAATTCGGAAAAGATTATGCCACGATGGGTATCACTATTTATCACTCCTCATTATATGACTCGAATTTCAGTTTGGAAAAGTGTTTAAGAAATTATTTTAACTTTGGTTGAATTGAAAGCAGAATTAAGTTAACCTCTGACTATATGTCATTCTCAAACTTGATTACACTTTGAGTTTATCACCCAATCATGTGGAAATCATGATTGTCAAATTATGCTTAATTTCAACATTATTAAGTAAATTTGAAGAGTTCTATAATACCTTGAAACACAATAAAAAGTTATCGTCCATGACTCCAATATAAAATTGGATACTCATGTGGCCAGATTCCAATTTGAAAAAAAGTCATTCAAATACTAACATTCCTATAGAAACGAAATGACTAGAACTTCTGTACTAGCTGATGCTTTGAATGCTATTAATAATGCTGAAAAAACCGGGAAAAGGCAAGTTTTGATTAGACCATCATCGAAGGTCATTATCAGGTTTTTAACAGTTATGCAAAAGCATGGTATGTGAATTTTAAAGAAAATGGTCAAAATGTTTGATATAAAGTTTTACACTGAGCCTTGCACCGAATTGATAACTGGATGGATTGATCGGTGTCTAGTCCCTTTCTGTCTTTTAAGCATTCGGGATAATAACGTCAGGAAATGATTTCTTACACGATGTTCACTTAAATTAGTGCTGATCGTTTACTTTTCCTCGACATTCAAACTTATGACAATACATTTTGATTCTTTCACTATCAAAATAAGAAATACTAACATTTTGCTTCAGGTTACATTGGTGAATTTGAATATATAGACGATCATAGATCAGGTAAAATCGTTGTTCAATTGAATGGTAGATTGAATAAATGTGGTGTCATTTCACCAAGATTTAACGTTAAAATTAACGATATCGAAAGATGGACCGATAATTTGTTACCAGCTAGACAATTCGGATATGTTATATTGACTACATCAGCTGGAATAATGGATCATGAAGAAGCCAAAAGAAAACATGTGGCTGGTAAAATATTGGGTTTTGTATATTAATTATTAAAAATTGTATTGCATTTTGCATTCTTGTATAGTATTATGAACTAAAAGTAATTTGATTTAAGTTGGATATGTCTCAAATTAGCTCTGTGATTATATTCTATTTACAAAATATTCTTGCACACGAGAAAACTTAGATCGAGAAATAATAATAATTTAAAATAAACTACTCCATGTTTCAAATTCCTTTTGAAATTACGAATTCATACATTCGATGGTAATATTACCTGAATCATTAAGATTCGTTTTTTCAACATTATCATGGACTTTACGAGCAGGATGTTTGGCTCATATAATACACGAAAATGTATATGAATTCACAGAAACAAGAGGTGAATCAATGTTACCAACAGTTCAAAATCAAAATGATTATGTGCATGCTTTTAAAAAATATAATTATGGTAGGGATTTAGATATTGGGGATTGCATAGTGGCGATGAAACCAAGTGATCCTTCTCATAGAATATGTAAACGAATAACTGGAATGCCTGGAGATATAGTTCTAGTTGATCCATCATCATCTTCGGACTTAACAAATTCGCCAAATGAGGTAATACAGAATGATGGATTCAACAAATTCATACGAATACCTGATGGCCACGTTTGGTGTACTGGTGATAATTTATGTCATTCTTTGGATTCAAGATCTTATGGAGTTTTACCTATGGGATTAATAACTGGTAAAATCGTAGCAGCAAATTCAATGGGCGATGGTTTACGTGGTTTTTTTAATTTTAGATGGATTACAAATACATTTAAAGATGAATGATGATAGAGATATGTAAAAATTGATGAATTTAATGTACCCTTATAAAATATTTGGCATTTATCTCTCTATAAAAATCTAGCTTATCTTAATTCTTGGATGATGTTTTGGATTTTTTGATTTTAGTTGAGTTTAAACGATTCTTGCCTAAGTAGGTCAAAACGCTTAAGCCAAAGTAATAGCATGGAAAACTTAATACGAAACCATAAAATAATGTAGTAAAAATCGATTGCCCTAAATAATATTTGACAAAATTGAACTCGAATCCAATTAGCGATGAGAAAAATAATATGTTATGAGATATTTGACCAATTGATGTTCTGTTAAATGTTTTGAAGAAAAGATTATTTGCTCCAATGAAACCAAACCATGAACCCAACAATGCTAAAAATAAAAATGTTGCAAAACCAATGAATATGGTAGGAATTATTGGATTTATGGTTTTCTCGTCTTCTTTAAAAATATGATGTATCTCAGGTTGAACTCCAAACTTTGGTTTGCTTTTATAGTTACTTGAAAGTTTAAATTCTTGACTTGGAATCAATTCACCTAATCTTTTAATCAAATTTGAATCACCTGAGGAATCCCCAATGATCAAGCTTAATGCTAAAGATTCTTTGGTTTTCAAGAGTTCTGGAATCGAACTTGCCCTAATTTTCAATTTAATTGTGTCGTCTTTCACCGTTGGCACAAAATGAGTAACAATGCTTGGTTTCAAATTATCTGATAAACTGATCATTATTTGTTCAGGTTGTTTATTCTTAATATCCAGGTTTTTTAAGTCAATTTCTATTATGTCTTTAGGTGAGTGGATTGGTAATGTTTTTATGACTTGAGTATCAATTTCTCCAAAATGTATGCTTTGACCACTGTTTGTATTTGATATTTTACCAGTCACAACGCCCTTTGCAATTGCAGATGTAGCAAGCAAACTTATTAATGCTATGGGTGAGAATCTCATAGTGGTGTTCAATTGTTATATTTGGTGAATCGAAGAAACTATGTTGTGTTATATTGTGACGTTGTAAAATTGAAAAATTATTTTGGTTCGAGATTCTTCAACACGCACTAAGTATATCAATGTATTATATTTTTGAGAAATACAAGCATGAAATACAATGGTCTTTGTTGCCTTATCACTTACCCTTTAAATATATTCATTGAGTAGCAAACCTTCAAGCCCTGTTTGATCACCAGATATTTCTGGAAACAAGGATGAAATTATATATATTACACCTGCCATGATTTCGAAAACGAAAAATAAAGGAACCAATATCAAACCTTGAAAGTCAGTTAGTATCTGAAATACGATTACATGAGTTCTGATCTATAATACAAGTTACATACATCCAACTACGAATAACATGACAAAGATGATGCATAGGGTCAACAAGGTCAATGACGAAATTGCAAACATTCTTGATATTTCTTTGCTAAACTTCTTTCAAGTAAATAATTGTAACTAATGATTGAAAGTTTGAATTAGTTTGAAATGAACAAATTTGAAAAATGAGATCAAGGGAAGGTCGTAGATCAATTTCAAAGCTATGAAACTTTGAAGTTGGTTGTAAAAGATATTTTGCAACACATTTAAAATTAATAAAGCTACTTAAGCTACTTAAGGGGTAAACAAATAAAATTGATTTCATTAAATATTTATAGACTCCAATTTTATATTGACCTATTACAAAGATGGAATTTTACATTAATCTGAGAAATCCAATGGCTTCACTGACTATACTTTTTTAGTCTTATCTCCCTCAATGAAACTCATGAATGAGATCCAATGGGTGGCCCATGTATCATCTAACTTTATCTCGAGTAAGACCCAAGATCTCTACCAATGCTTTGTCTACTTTTTAGCATAGTGATAAAATGATGAGCTATAAACATGTTGTCAATCTACGATGGATTCAATTATAGCGTATTGTTGCTTCTTCTGGGAGAAGAATTTGATTTCACAAACTTCTCTTGAAATGAATTTTGATGTCACAAACTTGTTTTGAAATGATCATATTACTAAATTGAAAAAAAGACTGAATCAACCACATCAATTCTACAAATTTTCATATCACATTCACTATAGCATGCAGTTTCTTACAGGAAAATCATTACTTTACGTACGAGTCATAATGTTACTTGTGATACCGTACTATTTAATAAAATATCCCGAGACAATATCATCGGCAGGATTTGTGGTATTACTTGGTCAAGCAATGCAAGTACCCATATTAAAATTAAATCCAACAAATCCTTTAATTGGATTTTTATCTATATTTATGATTACGACATCAATAACGGATCTCATACCTTTGATAGCGGAAAATTGGCCATTTTTTGAAACTGTTGTTCCAACTAGATTGTTTTTTTACTTTTTAGCAACAGCATATATTTATTTCGTTCCAACTTCCATCATTAGTAATAGCTTAATCATTACTTATACTATGTTTGAAATATGGATTAATTTTTTGATTTACAATAATTTGAGAGATGAAAAATTCTATAGAATGAAAAAATTTGTGGAAGAAAATGTTGATGCTTTAAAACAAGCTCAAGATGAAAGAGTTAAAATTATTGAAAGAGATTGAATTAGTTGAATTTTTGCATTATATTATTGTTTTTTAGATAGATTATGGTATATTACTTAATCAGCTTTGAAATCTTCAATAACCCATTGTAAATTTTCTTGTAGTTCATCAAAATTGTTAAATTCGTTTTGTAAAATATTGATACAGTTTATATTTTTCGATTCATTCTCCTCAGATTCATACTTGAATACATTTAATTTTAATACTAAGTTGACAAATAATTCATTTGTTGTCACAATCACGTTGATGTTTAAAATCCTGCCTTTGGAATTGATAAGTTTCAAATCGATACTACTTTTTGGTTTCTCGATTGATTTTTGGAAAGGGTTTCTATTAGATTCAAGATTTAAATTCAGATATTTATTGATGGTGAGCCTCGATTTGATATCATTTTGGTTAATAAAACTTCTAGCCATTTTTTCAACCGTGGTTAAATACGACTCGTGCTTCAAATTACCCAAAAAAGGTCTTAAAATTAACGGATGAGAATTGCTTTGTTTCCATTTAGTTAAAGCTGTTGGAACTTTTTGTTTCAATTTTAAATTGTATTTGTAGAAACAACAAAGCATTAGTTTGAAGTAAGATAAAATTAATTGACATTTTTGGTTATTTATTGATGATGAGGCATTAACATTTTGGTAAGCTTTACTCATTTCTTCTTCAATCAGTTCGTCATATATCATATTTTCAATTTCAATGACGTGATCATCCAATTCAAGTGTAATCTTGTTTGAACTGGAAGTTACATTATAAGTAATGAGCAATTTTGCTTCGTTAATCAATTGATAGAATAATTCCTCCTCAAACAAAAACAACCTTGCCTTTTCTATATCATTGATTAGGTCAAGTTTGGAGTCATTCAACTCAATTTTAAAACTTGATTGTCCTGTAATAATAAGATCACCATCTCCTTCCACTTTACTCAAAATCCGTACCCTTATGTATTTGTAGATTTTATCAACCACTCTATTACCAATTGATGATAATGCATGAAATTTGATCTCTCCAGTTTCAATGTCTTTCCGCAAAAGTCCCATACCTTTGTCATAATAATCAGATCCAGAGTCTCCATATCCATATTTGACACCAATTGCCCTTGCATTATTTGCAGGGTCTCTCATTCGAAACAACGCTTCATTATTCGATAACACAGTATTTACCATATTCCAGAAATTTTTCTCTTTTAACACTTGCTTTTGAATATCCTCACTTGATTCTTTAAACATCAGAGTGATTCTATTTATTGATTCAACTTTCCAACCTTGTCCAATTTTAGTTGATTGTGATACTTCGTTAGTCTCCATTGAATGACTATGAATACTACTTCCGTTATTTGTTCCATTTGTTTGGGTTTCGTCTACTATTAATTTATCTGAATTCAATGAGGATGGTTTAACTAATTTAGATAAGTGTGGTGACATTGTGTTTTTAGCTACATTAGGTTTCACTGACGCTACTAATAATGAAACAAAATCAAGTGATAATGAAGTTTCATTTAAAGCATTGTTTATTGATTTTGTTAGTTCAAATAACTGCTTATTAAATTTTTGTTGAACATCATCTGGACTTGACAGTCGAGCGCTATCTCCATTGCCTAATTCTAATTCTAAATCTTGTGGGTCTTCTTCTTCTGGCTCTTTTTCATCCTCGTCCTCATTGCTTCTACGACTTGTTGAATTCTCACTCTGAATTTCCAAGCCCTCATTTAGTATTCTTATTTCTTCTTTCAATGATTCTTCGGTCAATCCTAGAAACGATTTTCTTTCATGTAGTATTCGTGGAATTAATTCTTTAAGTGTAAGATCGTCTCTACATTTTACTTGTTAGTAAATGTCCTGAAAATAATCATCTTGATTTGAACATACTCCTTTTGTACAAAAGGGTCATTGTGACCATTTTTGTCGAGATCAAGCTCTATATAAAACTTCTCCGTCGTCATATTATCAGCATTGAGACGTGTTGTAATTGTATCTAGGTTTATGTTTCAAATAATTATCGTTAAGTTATACTTTTTTCATGTAAGGCAGTTTTTGTGTACAAAAATCACCGCTTTGGCTGCAAAAACATTAAGAAGCTTCTTCCCAGATATAAGCCTCATGCATTCTAACACTAACTATCAGGTCATTATATACTTTGAGAGATAGGGCCAGATTAACAGATTTAAGAAACTATTTCATCAATTTAATGAATTGTTAATACAACGAAAACTATTTATTCTTTTTTAAGTCTTTTGCTACGTCTACGACCATCTCCTTCACTCTCTTTTTTTGTTTCGTGCTCTTTTTTAGCTTCCTTGGCTTCCTCTCTCTTTTCTCTCTTTACTTTTCTTTCTTCTTCTTTCTCCTTTCTTTCCTCTTTGGCCACAGCTTCTTCTCTGTCCCTTTTCTTTACAGTATTTTTATAATCATATTCATCATCAATATCATTAGCTTTATCTGCTTTATCTTGGTCTTTGGTTTGTTTAGGTTTGAAGAAATGACTAATATTGTTTTGCTTCGATTTTCCCTTCCCTATATTTTTTAATATATCTTTTGATTTATTTGCTGTATTTCCCATATCTTTTGTAACTTCATAACCTTCAATAGATTCGTAAGCTTTATTTGATTGAGAATTCAATACTTCATCAATTAATTTATCGTTCCATTCATTATTAGGATTGAGCCATTCATCCCATTCCTTCGTATTTGGTTCTATCATCAATGGTTTTCTTGAATGTAACCAACTTAAATCTTTATAATGATCGTTTTTTAAAGCTGGTCCAGTGATGATTGTAAATGACGACAAATATTCATCACCATCTTTCTCATCTTCTTCCTTGACTTTTTTATTGTTAAAATTCTCTTTATAATTATAATTATGTGCAAAAAATCCCGCTAAAAATACTAAAGGTTCCGTAGTAGAATGAACAAAATATGGTTGTTTTTCATTAGTTTTTTTATCTTTTAACCATTCAAAATAACCTTGAATTGGTATAACACATCTATGTTTTTTACATGAAGACCAAACTGAACGATGTTGATCTAAACTTTCTTTTCTACAATTGAAATATTTTGATTCTGTTTTACCTAATTCTTTTGAATATGGTTCTCCTTGATTTTCTTTTCCTTCATTTGTTGGAGATGAATCTTGAGGTTTTGCCCAAACTGGGATTAAACCAAATTTCAGTTTTTCAAAAACATATTTAGTTTTAATATCTTCTTTGGATTCATTTGAATTTGGTTGTGCTTCATAAATCATAATTGCTGTATTGGTTGGAGCAATATTGTAAGATGGATTCCATCCATCAATTCTGGTTAAGTCGAGCTCGACTTTAAAATCTTCACCCTTGGATTCTTTTACATTTACTTGAAATATATCTTTGTTTGTTTCATCAATTGAGTCGTTCCCTTTATGATATACTGACTCACTAAATGCAACTGGTACTTCCTTTAAAGCCTTAAATGAGAGTTTGTTAGAAGATGATAACATATACGACAAAATTATTTAAAAGTAATCCAATACATACAATTCCTTGAGCGAATCTCCCACACATAGTCACGGTTTGCAACAGTTGTTTGCAATTTTAAAATGTTATAACTTTGTAAAGAATTTATGGATATTAATTTGGAGCAATTAATTAGAAAGATAAAAATTAAGGGGTATTGTGGATTGAGATAGAAAACTATCTTCTTAAGTTCAAAATTAACACAAACCGAATTTTAAAGAGATTGTTTTCGGATTCTTAAGGTAATGCACGAGATTCTGCTCGGAATCCTTAGTAATGCACAATAAGGTGATCGAATGATACTAGAGTAGCTTTTTGAATAGAAACGTATACAATAATAAAGATATATTTTATAAATTTATATATTGATATTGTAGGAGAAAAAAAATAGAGCAATAAATGTTTGTAGAGTAAAATATAAAGTAAAACACACAATTATTTAAAGTGTAAAAGGTAAATAATATAATAAAAACAAGGAATAAAAGTTGATTATATAATTAGTTGTTGATTGAAAATTGATGGATTGATTGATGGGATTGAAGTTAATTCAATATCTTCTCTCTCTTTTTCTCTCTTTCTTTTTTGATTCAAAAACTAATAAATTTATTCTTCATTTTCATTTTTTGGAGCAGTTGATTCTTGTGGAGCTTCACTTAAATCAGTCCATAAAGTTAAATTATCTCTTAATAATTGCATAATTAATGTTGAATCTTTGTATGAATCTTCTGATAAAGTTTCTAAATCAGCAACAGCATCATCAAAAGCTTGTTTAGCTAAATGACAAGCTCTATCTGGTGAATTCAAAATTTCATAATAAAATACGGAGAAATTCAAAGCTAAACCTAATCTGATTGGATGTGTTGGAGGTAATTCGGTAACAGCAACATCTGATGCTTTTTTATATGCTTCTAAGGATTCATCAGCCGCTTCTTTTCTTTTTTCAGCAGTAGCAAATTCAGCTAAATACCTATGGTAATCTCCTTTCATTTTATAATAAAATACTTTTGATTCACCTGATTGAGCACTTCCAATTAAATGATTAGTTAAAACTTCTAAAATATCTTCACAAATTTTACTTAATTCAGCTTCAATTTTAGCTCTGTAATCTCTAATTAATTTAACTTGTTGATCATTACCTTTTGATTCTTCTTTTTGTTCAATTGATGAAACAATTCTCCATGAAGCTCTACGAGCACCAATAACATTTTTGTAAGCAACACTAAGTAAATTTCTTTCTTCTACTGATAATTCTTTTTCTGCTGAAGCAACTTCTTTCATGGCACTAACCATTTCTTCATATCTTTCAGCTTGCTCAGCGAGCTTAGCAAGATAAACAGAGTTTTCTCTTGATGATTCAGTTGACATTATTTTAATGTTATTATACTTTCAGTTCTTGATCTAAATAAAAAAAAGCAATTAGTTAGTATTTTGAATTTGTGAATGAATGAACGGAAAAGATATCAATGTATGGAACGACGGATCAATGGATATCAAATGTTTAGTTTAAGTTTAATCAATAATCTATTTGTTGTTGTTGTTTATTGTTGCACCAATTAGATCTAAAATATATGTTAATTTTGTAAATATATTCCAATCTCTAATCAATTTGGAAAAATGAGCGTTGAATTTAAATTTTAAAGACTTTAGTGATTTGTAAAAAGATCTATGATTTTTTTTTCTCTCACTCTCTCACTAAAAAACTGAGTCGTGTCTGAGTCAAGAATGCAACAAACAACAAACAACAAACATTTCAAAGTATAAACATTTTATTAACAGGAAATTGATTAAATTATATGTTGAACATCAAATGTGGAGTATGATTTTGTAGTATACATGTAATCACTCTCATCTAGTTCGTGCTGTTGCAAAGATATGAAATTGATTGATCGAATTTGAATTGATATTCGTAACAAAACTGCTGGTCTTAAAAGGGGTTTATCTTTGTGAATATTGATTCCTTAACTCCAAACATTTGACAATCCCATAGATCACTTTCCAATGGACAATCATAAAAGACGTCTCAATTAATAAGACATCATGAATTATATTAAACATACATTTAATTGATGATAAGTTTAATGTATATATCTAATTTAATTTAAATATATATAAAAATATAAAAGAGACAATCAAAAATTCAATTTTCTTTTTTTTTTTTTTTTGCTCACTGATTAAAAAATTTTGATATTTTTAGTTGACTAAGATCAATGTCGCGGTAATATTCTACATTTAGATCGAACTCTACACTGTCTTGTTCGTTGTAGAGTGTAATTAAAATACTAATGTTTTGCAGGGTAAAAAAGCGTAAGGAAACTTACGGATTAGTAGCCGCTTCTTGTCCGCCTTGCCTTGTAGACACTGTAGGAGATTCAAAAAGAGGTCAATGATTTTTAAGTCTCGTCAATAATTACATCATACTTGGTACGTATTATTAATAAAATCATACGGCAAAAATATAATCTTTCCAGTCATTAAATCAATTTTGTTTGAAGTCTCTCTTATATCATATCGTATTGATTTATCAACAGGCATTCCTCACGATGTTGATTGTTTTCTTTGTCGTCTGATTTATCCTTATTGGACTTTAAAGTTATTCCAGTCCTTTGTTTAGGTAGTTGGTATTGATAGAATTTACCAGTTTGATAAGAAGCAATAAATATTAGATCATTATAAAATCCAATTTCTACTTTATTTTTATTATGTTGTTGATAAGTATGTTCTGGTAATTTTACATAAGCAAAAGATCTTGTAGGAGGTTCCCAAATTAAATTATCAAACAAATCTTTGTAAGGAATATTCTTAAGTATAGATGAAGTATATTGATTATTTATAAATTTCTTTTTTGTTTTCTTGAACCATGATTTTGATTTAGTTTGTTGTTGTGGTTTTTCTTCTTGAGAATATAATAGTAGATTTGCAAGACTTTCATTCAAATCATCTGATGAGGATCTATTTGCTTCTCCGTCACTTTGTTCATCACTATGATCATAAATATCCCTTCCATCTTCATTCTCATCTAAATTTATATCTTTATCACTCAATTTGAATAAATGTATTGTACTAGATTCAGATCCACAACCTAAAATTAAATCTTGATTATGAAAACTTAATGAATTAATGGTAGTTAAATTATGACCACGTCTTAAATTTTTCACACTACTTAATGTAACTTTGTCTTCTTCATTTTGTACAAGGTCAAACACTCGTATTATCGTGCCTTTAGTGGATGCTGTGGCAATTTTAGAACCTAGATGTGATATCGATATTTTACCAATTTCCGAATCATGAGCTTTGAATATAATCATCGGTTTTAAATTGATAGTATCGTAAACTAATAACCAACCATGACCTTCCTTGTTTAAATCATCGATTGTAATCTTGGGATTGTCCAATATCTTAGTTTCTTTAATCTTCGGTGTTATCGCAATATATTCATTTAACTGTTCATTAACTAGTGATGAGTCATTTAATGAATTTAAAGGTAGACATAACCAAGATAAATCATTTATACTTAAATCCCCTATAAATCCATGTTCAATTGTAGATTTGATTTTTAAAGTCTTCAACAATTTTAAACAACTTAAATCATATATTTGGATTTCACCCAGTTGTAAAACGACAACTAACCTTTTTCGATTCAACTTCACATCAATTACCAGTGATTCAAACTTTAAATCCATTATTTTTAAATTTTGCTTCAAATTATAAATCTTTAATATGTTGTCGTCCTCAGGTACTATGATCGTTAAACTTGTTGAGAACAACATCTTTAATAATTTCGTAGGATAAACATCTGGTTCAACCGGTTTAGCGGTTTGCAGTTGTTGCTCTTCGTTTTCAATTGAATTTGAAAGTGATTTTCGTAATGGATTTTGAGCCGATGAATATAACTCACCAAATGGATCACAATTGAAAATTTTATGATTTTCAGAAGTTGAGATTGATAATGATGAGTAATCAGGATTAAATGCTAGATCATTGATTATCATTGATGGTAAAGATTTTCTAGTTGCAATTAATGCAAATATTAATTAACTACTAACAATCATAAAAGAAAACTGAAACGCGGTAATTATTGATTTTGTGCCATACTTCAAAATTGACATACATGCATTAAAATCATCTATACAAGGATTAAGCAACTACTCTTTAACTTCTTCCAAAATGACTTTTCTACTTTTAGTTTCACCGTTTGAAGGTTTTGTTTCTGCTCCAGTTGCACTTTTATCATCTTTACTCACAAGAGGTTCAATTTTTTCACCACTTGACTCTGTGCTCTGTTTACTAGCTTTCTTACTCTTTTTTGATTTTTTCTTTTTTGGTTCTTCCCATCCATATAAAGGTATAAAACTTTCAATAACTCCACAATCTGCAAACAAATTAGGGAATAACCAAAACGGTTTGGGAAATGCAACTAATGATACTATATAAATGATTAATCTAATGATTGCAATTACAAAAAACAAAGCAATTAAACCTAATGCACCCATTGATAAATACCAAACTCCTCTTCTCATAAATGTTGGCCATAATGGAAACAATATAATTGTAAATACTCCAGCAATTGCCAATATTGAATATAACAAAATATAAGGATTTGGTCTTGTATATAACCATCCAAAATATGATTTTGGATCAATAACGGCCTTTTCAGCTCTTTTAAATGTTGGTTTATCACGTACTGGTTTCCAACCTTTAATAGCTTTAACTTCAGAATAATGTAATTTATTAATTGGTAAAATTAATTGATTTTGAATTAATAGTACAAATATTTTTTGAACTTCTTGAGCATTTGCAATTGGAATTAATCCGTTTTTAGGGTTTTGTTGTTTTGATTTATAATCATCACTCAACAAGGCTCTTTCAAATCTTTTATATTTAAAGAATTCAATATCAGTTTTATTATCTAATAATCCTGATCTTTGTTTTAATATTGAGTTTTGAAATAAATAATTGGCTATATTTATAGCTGCTGGAGCTCTTTGACCTGTATTAGTTTGAATCTGGAATTGTCCCGAACCAGGTGGTGGAGGTGGAGATGACATAATCAATGTTGACTTTGGATGTTAAACTTGATTTAAAGCTAATTGTTATTACGTATCCAGTTTTATCGTTTTTTTTTTCGCATTTTTCATGTTACAACTCAAAACGCATACGCACGACTGAACCAAATTTGTCAGAGCATTCACATTAAAAAATACACTTCCATCATATGAATGTTTGATAAATCTATAAAAGTCTATAAATAACTACCTAGGCTTATAGTTCAGAAAATCTTTGGAAAAATTCTTCTGCAACTTTGACACTCCAAAATTCTCCATTACTTTGTACATAACCTAAATGTCCACCTAGATCAGTTTCAACCATACATAAATATGGATTAGTTTTACAGTCTAAAATTGGTAATCTACAACTAACAGCAGGATCATCATTTGAATTTATTATTAAAGTTGGTGTTTTAATGTTTAAAATTTTTCTTTGTGGTGAAGATTCTCTATAATATTCAAATGCATTTTTAAAATTTGAAGTTTTACAAGTAATTAAATCATCAAATTGCCATGTTGATTTAATAGTTTTTAATTTTTTCATCACTTCTTCATTGACTAAATCTGGATTATGGTCATGAATCTCCTTATAATTATTTTTAATGATTTTTGTAAGAAATCCAGTTAATCCAGGTCCAAGTAAATATTTACCAGTATATGAATTCTCAATATGATAAGCGCTATCAATGAGGTCCCATGGACAACCAACGACACAAGCAGCATCGACTAATGGCTCACTTCCGTTCTCACCTTCTTCACCTAGAAAATTTGATAACATTGCTGCACCAAAACTAAAACCAGCCGTGAAGATTTTTCTATTTGGCCATTTTGATTTGAAACTAGTCAATACTTCTCTGATATCATCTGTTGCAGCTGCATTGAATAATTTTTCTGATGTGACTTTTGTACGGCAACAGCCTCTGTTATTGATGACTACTATATCCCAACCTTCAGTATTCTTTTGAATAACTTCTGCAAAATTTCGAATCATAGCCTCGTGAGAACCACCTCCTAATCCATGCAAAATAACAACAATTGGTTTGTCATTATTAGTGGAAGGTTCATTTAAAGTCTCAAGTTCTTCTTTTGTAAAATATCTTGTTCTTGGATGTAATTTTGGAAATCCTTCAGGTAAAGTTTCTTCATAAATTTTATTAAATTCTTCTTTCGATTCAGGTTTTTCAATGACCCAATCTAATGAACAAATTCCACCATCTTTATATTTGAAAATTTCTCTACCATACCAAATTAAAAATTTTTTAGAATTATTGGATGATGTGTAATGTAATGTTTGTAATGAACCGTTGAATAATAGTGGATTTAACCATAGTTTTTTTGATGAATCAATTGTTTTTAAAGTTGAAATAAATTGATTGAAACTGATTTTATCTTTACTATTCAATTCCACTGCGTTATCTTCTGGTACTTGATGAAGCTTCACATCGGTTCTAAACCCCCATTTCAAAATCAGCATCTTTGACTGATGCAAAATGCTAAGAAATTGAGATGATTTTTAACTACTCTTATATAATTCTCGGTGTTTGATGTCATCAAAAACTTTTGTGTACGTAAAATTTAAGTCCGAATGATTCTTGAAAATATGGCCCAATAAATTTTGCAAGAGCCAGAATTGAATCTATTAATCTATAAATCTATTTGTCTTTCTTTTTAAAGAATCTACCACCTAATTTTGGAGAATCTGGAGCTAACTTATCTAATTTCACAAAAGAATTAGATCTAGAGTTAGGTGTAGATGCGTGTTTCAAAGATAACTTGAAATGACCAGTACTGTTATTTAATTTTGGATTACTCATTATCTTTATTGGTGTAGTAGATCCTGACTTTAAACTAGCACTTTCACTTCCACTCCCGTCTGTATAAGTTGGTGCAAATCCATCTTGTATATAACTATCCTCTTCATCGTCATCATCTATTGCTTCATTATATGATGGGATATGGGAAAAATCAACACTTTTGTTTCTTTTCTTGAGTTTCTTATTATTCATCTCTATAGCTTTTGCGATCGGTATATCAAAATATTCACTCAAGTTGGTGACTGAATTATTTGCGGAAGCTAATGGTGTACCTGATTGTGATCTTAATTGTTCCATAGGAGTTTGTGGTAGATTCATATCATATATTTTATCAAATTTATGCTTTTCATATAAAGGTGGAGCAGTATCTTCTCTATCTAAATTATCACCTTCTTCATTTTCCTCTTCTTCTTCCTCTTCTTCTCCCTCGTCTTCATCATCTGACACAGCAGGTGTTGTTGGAGCAGATTCTTTCTTATGAAACAAAACATCTTCCTTTTTGTAATCTAATTGGAAAGTTCCATGATGATTGTCTACGTCATAATGTCTACCCACCACATGACCGATGTTTGCACTTATGTAAACATATATTGGTAAATTTGCTCTTAGCTCACTTGTATGTCCTTCTTTATTCTTTAGTTGAATGGCAACTCTTAATCTATGTTTTACAACAATCATACTATTTTTAGTCTCACAACTTTGAGTAATTTGTTTCAATTGATTTGGCACTTTGAAATGTGTTTTTATAACCCATCTATCATATTCAATATCTGAATTTGGTGGAATTGTTAATGGCTGTTTCCCGCATAATCTTTCATATTCCGGAGATCTTTGATTTTCAAGTTGTATATGATAATGCTCTACTATACATGCATTAATTGCTTTTATACTTAGTCCTTTAGCTATAGGTACAATAGTTATGTGTATTGGCACCGTCGAACCAATCGCTACTCCCTTTTTGGGCATACTGACACAATATTGTAATTTACCAACCCAAGTATTATTAACATCTATTGAATCACATAAGTTCATATTTTGTGGATGTAAAGTTCGAACTATTCTAATATGTTTACTTATCTGATGTGCTCTTTCAAACCTTCCTCTTTCTATTGAACATTGTAGTTTGTATAATAATGTACCTATTGGCAAACTTTCAACAGTTTCGGAGACACTTGCTGGTAAATATACTTTGAAAGGTAAACTATAATTTCCTTTTGGTAATAAAAAGGAATGTAATGAAGAATCTTTCAAATCTTTGAATGGTGTTCCATCGATACCTGATTTTGGAATTTGAACAATCTTAGAAGCTGCTTTTGAAGTTCCATTTACGTTAAATTGTGGAGTTGATTTAGTTCTATGATATTGAGGTCTTGGACTTGAAGTTCCAGAAGTATTTCCCGAGGCATCACTCACTGTCCCTTTTTTTAATTTATACATTGGTATAGTTCCATCTCCATAATTTCCAAATACGACTTTCCCTTCATCATCACATAATAAATTATCCCAATCAATTTTCAAAACACATAATCTATCTAAAAATTGTTCATGAGTTTCTTTCAGCATATACTCATAATAAAATTCACCAATTAAATTTAATTTGATCTTTTTGACATGAATATCTTCCTTTGATGAAATTTTAACACTACCTTCCAATAGTACATGTTCTACTTCAAATTCATTTCCTTTTATTAGCAATAAATTTTTATGATGAGATTTTATTTTTACATCAAAATAAGAAAGATGTAAATGTTGGTTAAACATTATTTGGATTTGTTAATCTTTTGGAATCAAATCTAGTATTTTCAAAAGAAAAAAATAATCTAATGAAGTAATGAATCATGGACTTTAATAAATATGTTTTAGATTTCAAAATGAAGAGGCTTTATTATTCTTTTAATGCAAGTACTGTTAAAATTTATTCATTTGATTCTGTTTGAAAAAAAAGAGTAAAACATCAGTTCAACTTTAAAATTGCTTTGTTTTGGTTTTGTATTTGAATTATTAACTACGATATGCTTTGGTCGTGAATTCAATCTAGTACTATCGCAATTTGCTTGAAGAAGAGAGTCTCATAATAAATTTTCGTCAAAAGTCTTTCTATAGAGAAGATAAATTTAATTTAGCCTAATAAAGTTTAATTACGTCAGAGTTATTTAAAAATTCTTTTTCAAATTGCGCTTGCGCTTTTGAATATTATGGCTTACAACGAAACAAACAAAATGCTATATGAATTATTTATTAATTAACCTATTTATAAATATTATCAAGTACCCAATGAATTAAAGACGTTATGTATGCAAGTCTTACCTAAGTAAAATTCATCTATTAATGCAAAATTTGAAAAAAAAAGGTCAGATAATGTTGCTAATGCTAAGTCGCTCCCACTCTCTCAACCAGTCTTAAAATATAGCTCTCAAAATTTAATCCTACCGGTTCTCAACCTGAACTTCCAGCTCCGGGCTCGAACCCTTCTGCCTCTCCCGTCAGTTCTATCAGTGGCTTCACAACCGTGACATCTAAAACACAATCACAACTCGGTATTTTCCAAAAAGAAATAATTACCTGATAATTTTTGTTCTTTATCCATTTGTGAATCCAATTTATTAATTCTTGGTCTATAAGAATTTGGATCTCTTCTGAAAGTAACATTTAAATTTTTTAAAAATCTATTACAACCAGTTAATAAAGATTCTGGTGATTTTGCAATAGCATGTCTTGATGGTTTACCTTCAAATACAATAACTCTATCAGCTAAATAAGTAGCCATAATGAAATCGTGCTCAACTATAAAAGCTGTCTTTTTAGCATGTAAAATAAATCTTCTTATAACTTTTGAACATATAATACGTTGTTCTGAATCTAAATAAGCTGATGGTTCATCAATTAAATATAAATCAGCTTGAATTCCCAAAGCTAATACGATAGCGACTCTTTGCAATTCACCACCAGATAAAGTTTGAACTTCTTGATCAACAATATCTTCAATTTTCAATGGTTTAACAACATCAGATTGAAATTGTGGATGTAAGAATGAAGCTCTAATTTTTTTGAAAAATAATTGTCTTACTGTACCTGTAAATTTTGGTGCAATTTTTTGAGGTTTCATAGAAACATTTAATTTTGGAATCTCCTTATTATTATCAGCCGCTATAGCACCTGCTAATAATTTACAAAAAGTTGTTTTACCAGTACCATTTTCTCCCATCATTACTAAAATTTCAGAATTTGTAAAATCACCAGCTTCAACATCTAATTTGAAATCACCTTGTGTCTTGGACATACTTGGATAAGCTAATGAATTTGATTTATCTAAAATCATTTCATCTGCTGCATCAGCTAATCTGAATTGTAATGATTCAGTTCTAAATCTCATATTTTCAGTTGGAATATGACCATCTAAAAAGATATTAATACCTTCTCTTACTGATGATGGTAAAGTAACTACACCATAAACTGATGGTGCACCATATAAAATACAAACAAAATCTGATAAGTAATCCAATACTGATAAATCATGCTCTACACAAATGATATATGTAGTGGCAGATAATAATGATCTTATAATTTCTGCGGCTCTTAATCTTTGCTTAACATCTAAATATGAAGATGGTTCATCAAACATATAAACATTTGCATCTTGTACACATGTCATACCTAATGCAAATCTTTGTAATTCTCCACCAGATAAATTTTCAACTTCTCTTTTCAAAACATGCTGTAATTCTAATACTCTCAAAACGTAATCATATGAATCTGGTCTTTCATTTTTACTTTGTAATATTGCTCCAACTTCTTTTACTTTGGATTTAGCTAATGCTCTTGGAATATTATCCACATATTGTGGTTTGATTATACATTTAATATCATCTTCTAAAACTTTTGTAAAATAATTTTGTAATTCTGAACCTCTAAAATGTCTCAAAATTTCTTCCCAATCTGGTGGATTATCATATCTTCCTAAATTTGGTTTTTGTTTACCAGCTAAAATTTTTAATGCAGTTGATTTTCCAATACCATTAGTTCCAACTAAACCTAAAACTTGTCCTGGTCTTGGAGTTGGTAATCTATGTAATTTGAATGAATTTGCTGAATATCTATGAGTTGTTTCACCTTCTAAATTTGTTGGTAAATTAATAATTGTTATTGCATCAAATGGACATTTCTTTACACATATACCACAACCTATACATAACGTTTCTGATATAAATGCAATTTTAGAAGCTGGAGTAACTTCTATACATAATTTTCCAGTTTTAACAACAGGACAACTTTTCCTACATTCTTGCTTACATTTTTTTGGTTTACATCTATCCGTTGAAACAATAGCAATTCTTTCATTTTTTGAACTAGTATCACCCTTCTGATTCTTAGCCCCTTTCCCTTTCGAGCTCATAATGTGATTGTATTGATTAGGTTGATGTACTATGTAGTGATTTAAAGATAAAATAAAATAATGATTGTATAGGTAAATGTTACTTAATTAATATTTGTTAGTAAATTTCAATTATGTACTGCGATGCTAAAATTTTTTATTTTTTTTTTTTTCGAGTTATTTTTCACGCTACTACCAAGTGACGTGTTTAATTTTTTTTCATTTTTGCTTACTAAATAAAGTAACATTATTGGTTGTATATAAAGGTGTCTGTCGACAGTACTCATCTTACATTGAAACAAAATAGCTAAGACGAAGTGAATGAGTGAGGGTCTTATTGAATATTTGTGAGATTTTTGTTAACATCACTCATAGGCTACACGGAATAGTTCAAAATTTTTTATTCAATTGATTTCGCATTAATTCGTATCAAATTTAAAGTGACTTTAAAGTTTCAAAATCAAGGTTAGAGTTGTAAACACTCTTTTTAAGATCATATTAAAAGTATCACCTTCAAAAATTCAAGCTTTAAGTGCTTTATTTTTGATTCTTCTCAGTAGTTTAAATTGTAATACTTGTGATTTTAAATATGACAAAATCATAAAAATCAGAGTAGACTATTCATACATACATAGTGTCATGAATCGAGACTTAGTTTCTCGTATAATACTTAGCCTAATATTATTGTATTGTAATGCTTCATAGGTAGTGCATCAACCATTCAAATATTAAATCAAAAAAAAGAATAAAAAAAGTCAACAAATTTAAATTTTCCCTTTTATTTTGTTTCACTTTTTTCTTTTAATGCATTATTTAATCAAATTATACATGAATTTAAATATCATCAAGATTGGTTAATCCAATGGGTATCATCGAAATACTAACTATTAAACATAGGATGAGCTGCTCAAATGTTTAGAATTGCTCTGAAAGCTTATCATTGAGTCCCTATTTGCTTAACAAGTGGCAATTCTTAGATGTTATATTTCAATGGTGTTGTCTAAAATTTCATTTTTGATTGTTGGTCTAGTTTGAGTTGAATTTTCGAAATTCTTAACTTAAATCCGATTTGCATATACTAGCTAATGGAGAGGAATATCATTTAAATTCTTGTGAATGAAATCAGACAATGAAAGGATGAAACACTAGGATAATGTACCTGATACAAATCATATGGAGTGGCTGCAAAAAATTAAAAATTGTTCAACATACAAATATTTGATCATCCAAATTGTTGACATTCATACAATGAATGAAAAGTATAAAAATAATTACATTTATCATTGAAAATGTTTCAAAATATGCAACTACTGGTGTTCGGATTTTTGTCGAAGTTGCCCATTGATGTCGGTTTGTTGTATAAGATGCTAATTCTTTGATGATACATAGTTAGGACAAATCCGCAGACGTTTTATAAGTCCTTCTATGAGCTAATTGATGTTTATAGCATGCTCAATAAATTTTGATATAATGAAATAATAGGCTTTCAAACGATCTAATTGTTTCAATCTTTATCGCTCTTCGTATGAATAAAGGAGATTAATTGCCTTTATCCAATAGCTATGTTATTTTTCTGCAAATTTAAGAAATTTGTCGTTGTTGTCCACATACTAAATTTTCTTTATTTTTTTTTAATTTCTTTCTTTACAACTGATATTCGGCTAACCAAACTTACAATCACATACACCAACACCGATCAAAATCACCATTTATCACCTTGTTATAAATTATATCGATACCAAAACTTATTTACCAATATTCCAAGTACCAGAAACTTTTTCATTTAAAAGTAGATATTAAAAATCAATTCATTATCATATCAGATAAAAATAAGCCATTTTGAGATCAAACTCGAGGAATCAGTCCCATAAAAATCTTTCACAGTTGAATTAGGCGCTTATTATTTGATTGCCTGGAAGCATTATATTATCCACAAATGAAACCATCAGTACCCGAGGAAGCTTCATTAAATCCAGATTTATATGGTTTAAGAAGATCACATAGAGAAAGAAAAGGTCCGGCGGTAATTGAATCAGACTCGGATTCTGATGATGTACGACCAACAAGAAAAAAGAAAACTCATCAGGATTATGAAGATGATATGGAGTTAGATTTAGATGATGATGAAGAAGAAGAATTTGATGACGAAGATGATGAATTTGATGACGAAGATGATGAATTTGTAGTTGGAAATAAACCTGTAAAGAAAAAATCAATATCTAAACCAAAAAGAAAACTTCACAAAAAGAAGATACAAACATCTGTTAGTCCCGAAATACCTCCTCAAGAATTAAGGTTTTCAACAAGGAATAATAAACAAATAAATTATACAGTTGATGACGGTAATGATGATGATTTATTAGAGTCAGATCAAGAAGAAGATGAAGATGAAGAAAATGGAAATTATTACTATTATCAACAAGCAATAGAACCTGAAAATGAAAGAGGAATTGATTTGGTAATGGATCATAAATTGAATCCAGAAAATGCTGAGATAACAAATGAACCAAGGTTGGATTACCTTTTCAAAATCAAATGGACCGACGCGTCTCATTTACATAATACTTGGGAAACTTTTTCAGATTTGAAAGACTATAAAGGATTCAGAAAACTCGACAATTACATAAAACAATTTATAATATATGATAACGAAGTCCGAAATGATCCGTTAACTACAAAAGAAGATTTAGAAGCTATGGATATTGAACGAGAAAGACGAAGAGATGAACAAGAAGATTACATGCAAGTTGAAAGAATTGTAGATAGTCAAAGAGTTGAAAAAGATGATGGTGAAACTAAATTAGAATATTTTGTTAAATGGAGGCGACTTTATTATGATGAATGTTCTTGGGAAGATGCTGAAGAAATTGCAAGATTAGCTCCCGATCAAGTAACTAAATTCCAACAAAGATTAAACTCTAAAATACTACCTCATTTATCAGCAAATTATCCAAATTCCCAAAGACCAAGATTTGAAAAATTAGTCAAACAACCTATGTTTATTAAAAATGGAGAATTAAGAGATTTCCAATTGACTGGATTAAATTGGATGGCTTTCCTTTGGTCAAGAAATGAAAATGGGATTTTAGCTGATGAAATGGGTTTAGGTAAAACAGTACAAACAATAGCATTTTTATCATGGTTAATTTATGCAAGACGACAAAATGGACCTCATTTAGTAGTAGTTCCTTTATCAACTATACCTGCATGGCAAGAAACTTTTGAAAAATGGTCTCCAGATATTAATTGTGTTTACTATTTAGGAAATAGTGAAGCTAGAAAGACCATTAGAGAATATGAATTTTATACTACTAATGGAAAACCAAGATTTAATGTTCTTTTAACAACTTACGAATATATTTTAAAAGATAGAAATGAATTAGGATCTTTCAAATGGCAATCCTTAGCAGTTGATGAAGCACATAGATTGAAAAATGCAGATTCATCACTTTATGAATCATTGAAAAGCTTTAAAGTTGCCAATAGATTATTAATCACCGGTACTCCATTACAAAATAATATAAAAGAATTGGCTGCTTTATGTAATTTTTTAATGCCTGGTAGATTTAATATAGAACAAGAGATAGATTTTGAAACACCAGATGAAGATCAAGAACAATATATCAAAGAATTACAGAAAAATATCAAACCTTTCATATTAAGGCGATTGAAAAAAGATGTTGAAACGTCTTTACCTTCTAAAACAGAAAGGATTTTACGTGTTGAATTGTCTGATATTCAAACTGATTATTATAAAAATATTATCACCAAAAACTACGCTGCATTAAATGCAGGTAACAAAGGTTCTCAAATTTCATTATTAAATGTTATGAGTGAATTGAAAAAGGCATCAAATCATCCTTATCTATTTGATGGTGCTGAAGATAGAGTTTTATCAAGAGCCGGGTCATCCAATAGAGAAAATATCTTGAAAGGTATGGTTATGTCTTCTGGAAAAATGGTATTATTAGAACAATTGTTAACAAGGTTGAAAAAAGAAGGTCATAGAGTTCTAATATTTTCTCAAATGGTTCGAATGTTAGATATTTTGGGAGATTATATGTTTATAAAAGGTTATCCATTTCAAAGATTGGATGGAGGTATACCATCATCTCAAAGAAGAATCTCAATTGATCATTTTAATGCACCAGATTCAAAAGATTTTGCATTTTTATTATCCACAAGAGCTGGTGGATTAGGTATAAATTTAATGACAGCTGATACAGTTATTATATTTGATTCAGATTGGAATCCTCAAGCTGATTTACAAGCAATGGCTCGTGCTCATAGAATTGGTCAAAAGAATCATGTACTGGTTTATAGATTTGTTAGTAAAGATACAGTTGAGGAACAAATTTTAGAAAGAGCTAGAAAGAAAATGATTTTAGAATATGCTATTATTTCATTAGGAATAACTGACCCCAATGCAAAAAAGAGTAGTAAAACTGAACCATCAAGTAATGAATTATCTCAAATATTAAAATTTGGTGCAGGTACAATGTTTAAAGATAACGATAATCAACTGAAATTAGAAAATTTGAATTTAGATGATGTTTTAAATCATGCAGAAGATCATGTTACAACACCTGAATTAGGTGAATCAAATTTAGGTTCAGAAGAATTTTTAAAACAATTTGAAGTTACTGATTATAAAGCTGATATTGAATGGGATGATATTATTCCACAAGAAGAATTAACAAAATTAAAAGATGAAGAAAAGAAAAGAGCAGATGAAGAATATTTACAAGAACAAATTGCAATGTATTCGAAGAGAAGAGCTGCTGTTACTAAATATGAAAATGGTTCAGTTGTACCTAGTGATGTTGAAGATAGTGGTGAAGAACCAGGTATTAAAACAAAAAGAAGAGGTGCTATTGATCATCAATTATCTGAAAAGGAAATTAGAGGAATTTATAGATCTATATTAAGATGGGGTGATTTAACTGGAAAATGGGAACAATTAGTCGAAGAAGGTACAATTTCAAATAAAAATCCAGTATATATAAAACATGCTTACAATGAAATAGTTAGTACAGCAAGAAAATTAGTTAAAGAAGAAGAAATTAGAAGAGCTGAAGCTTTAGCTGAATTAGAAAGAAAAGCAAAAGAACCTAAAAAGGAAGATGATCCTAAACAAACAGCATTATGGATTGCAAAAAAGAAAGAGAAAAAAGCTGTTTTATTTGAATATCAAGGTGTTAAAAATATTAATGCTGAAATTATTTTAAATAGACCAGTTGATATGAAAGCATTAGCGAAAATTATACCTAAAGATGATCCATTACAAATTAAATTACCAAAACAACCAAAAGCTGTACAAGCATGGACTTGTGAATGGACAGCAAAAGACGATGCAATGTTATTAGTTGGTGTTTATAAATTTGGTTATGGATCTTGGGTTCAAATTAGAGATGATCCATTATTAGGTTTGCAAAATAAATTATATTTGGAAAATACACCTTCTTCGAAAGAATCAAAGGAAGACAAAGCTAGTAAGGATGCTACAAAGAAAGTACCTGGGGCCGTTCATTTGGGAAGAAGAATGGATTATTTATTCAACTTGATAAGAGATGACGGCGATTCAGCTCCTGAACCAATTACAACAACTACTAAAAAGAGAGGTAGAAAACCCGCCGAATCTACCAATAAAAAAAGATCAATATCTAAATCAGAAACACCAGAAATCAATACGAGAAATGTAAAAGCCAAAAAGACACCATCTCACGATAGTAAAAGACCTACACCAATTCCACATTCTAAAAAATCAACTTCATCTTCAAATTTAAAACATGAAAGTAGTAATAGTTCAACCAAAATCAATAAAGATCACGAAACTCATATTAAAAAAGAATCATCACATACTGAACACAGTAATAACTCACATCAAAATGGAAACGGTAAACATAATGATTATGAATATGATAGCATGGATGAATCAAAATGTAAATCAGTTTTAGCACCAGTTTATAAATCATTAAAAAATTTACAAAAAGGAAGTAAAGGATTAGATAAACACGAATGGGCAAAAATTTTAAAAACTGAATTAATAAATGTTGGTGATGAAATTGAAAAATCAATTGAAAAATCAATTGAAAAAATTAAAAATGAAGAAGAATCTAAAAAATTTAAAAAACATTTATGGTCATTTGCTGGATCTTATTGGCCAAGTAAAGTTCCAAGTAATAAAATTAGTGAAATGTATAAAAGAATTAAGAAATCTTGATTTAAAAGTTTGTTATTGGATACCCAAAAATGATAAAAATAATAGGTATATAGAGTTCAATTTCAAGATCTTAGTTGTATAATTGTATTAATCAAAAAATTTAATTGTATCATTAAAATATTGAATATCTGATCTTGATAATTGTAGTTACACAGTATACGAACTGTATAACCAAACTTTCATCAATTAAATCCTGACTTTCAACAATTCGATCTTAATTTTCAAAGAATTAAATCCAAATTATTTCATTACTCATTACTTTATGTGTAATTAAAATTTCGATGATTTGACTCACTAGTATTGGATGTCCATCAGAGATTGCTTTGAGATCGATCACCTATCAGATCCAATACTAGCAAGTATAATCATCGAAATATTGAACACTTTGTAAATCGGTAGTGATGCAATTGGCATATGATGAATCCAAGTTATTTCATTATTCATTACTTTATTCGTAATTATATTGTTGAAAGTTAGGATCAGACTAAAAAAATGCTTTTTATCAAATTCAATGTTCTTTCCAATGAAGATTAACATCTTTCCTAGTTCATTTGAAATTCGATGATTCTGATTATTTAAATGTGAATTTTTCAAGTTACCTAATAAATAAATCTTTTGATTTAGATCTAGACTATAGTTGAAGTGAAAATTCACTTTTTTTCGTGCGACTGACCAAATTTGATAAAGGTTAAAATGAGTATTTTGGTAGCAATTTGACGTGTCTACGTGTTCAAATATCTACCATTGGTCTACTAATTCTTTATTGAATTCTTAAATCTGAAATTTAGACTAGACTCAGTTATTAAATATTATATGATTTAATTATTTGTGCCAATGCTTAAAATTTATTATTAGACTAAACTATTATACATTATCATAATGTCACACAAAATTTTGTTTCTGTGTTACTGAAAAAATTGAAATTTTTTTTTTTTCAAAACATCTCTCCTTTATTGAATACAAAAAAAAAAATATCAAATAAATAATTTTCAATCACTCTTTTATATTAAGTGCTTTTTTTATTTCACAAATCACCCAACCAATTTCAATTTATAAACTAGGAATATACCTAAGTTAATTCAATACTTTGTATTTTATTACTTTTTATATACCTTTTTTTTTTTATTCATTCAAAAAAATAAAAATTTACGTATAAGATAATAATTTCAAATTTCATTTGAAGATATATATAAGTGATAATCTATCAATCATATATACCAAACACTTGAAATAATTTTATTTTATCACCTAAATTTATAAAAAATCCCAAAAAAATTAGAAAATTATAAAAAATCAAAAACTTTTAAATCCCACCCCAAACCCAAAAAAAAATGTCAGCTGCTGAAACTAATCAACTCCAAGAATCATTGGAAAAGTTGAATATTGATTCACAAAATGCTCCAGTTGAACAACAATCAACCACTGAATCTCAAGTTGAACCACCAACTGAAGAACAAGGAGAATCAACTGGAGTTGCTGAAAATTCAGCTTCATTATATGTTGGTGAATTAAATCCATCAGTTAATGAAGCTACTCTTTTTGAAATTTTTTCACCAATTGGTCAAGTTTCTTCAATTAGAGTTTGTCGTGATGCTGTTTCAAAAAAATCATTAGGATATGCTTATGTTAATTATCATAAATTAGAAGATGGTGAAAAAGCTATTGATGAATTGAATTACAGTTTAATCGAAGGTAGACCATGTAGAATTATGTGGTCTCAAAGAGATCCATCAACAAGAAGATCAGGTGATGGTAATATTTATATCAAAAACTTACATCCAGCTATTGATAATAAAGATTTACATGATACTTTTTCAGCTTTTGGAAGAATTTTATCATGTAAAGTTGCCACTGATGATATGGGTCAATCAAAATGTTTTGGTTTCGTTCAATTTGAAACTGGTGAAGCTGCTGAAGATGCCATTAAAAATGTTAATGGTATGTTATTAAATGATCGTGAAGTTTATGTTGGCAAACATGTTTCCAAAAAAGATCGTGAATCTAAATTTGAAGAAATGAAAGCAAATTTCACAAATATTTATGTTAAAAACATTGATTTAGGATTTTCAGAAAAGGAATTTGAAGATTTATTTAATCCATTTGGTGAAATTACTTCTATTTATTTAGAAAAAGATCAAGATGGAAAATCAAAAGGTTTTGGTTTTGTTAATTTTGAAAATCATGAATCTGCTTTAAAAGCTGTTGAAGATTTGAATGATAAAGAAATTAATGGTCAAAAAATTTTTGTTGGAAGAGCTCAAAAAAAGAGAGAAAGAACTGAAGAATTGAAAAAACAATATGAAGCAACAAGATTGGAAAAATTATCAAAATATCAAGGTGTTAATTTATTTGTTAAAAATTTAGATGATCAAATTGATTCAGAAAAATTAGAAGAAGAATTTAAACCATTTGGTCAAATTACCTCAGCTAAAGTTATGATTGATGAATCAGGAAAATCTAAAGGTTTTGGTTTTGTTTGTTTCAATACTCCAGAAGAAGCAACTAAAGCTATTACTGAAATGAATCAAAGAATGGTTAACGGTAAACCATTATATGTTGCTTTAGCTCAACGTAAAGATGTTAGACGTTCACAATTAGAACAACAAATTCAAGCTAGAAATCAAATGAGAATGCAAAATGCTGCAGCAGCTGGTGGATTACCAGGTCAATTTATGCCAACTATGTTTTATGGTCAACAAGGATTTTTCCCACCAAATCAAAGAGGTAATGCTCCATTCCCAGGTCCAAATCCTCAAATGATGATGAGAGGTAGAGGTCAACCATTCCCAGAACAATGGCCAAGACCTGGACCAAACGGTCAACCAGTTCCTGTTTATGGAATCCCACCACAATTTCAACAAGATTTTAACGGTCAAAACTTAAGACCACAACAACAACAACAACCAATTCCACAACAACAACAGCAACAACAACAAAGAAATTACTTCCCAAATCGTCAACAAGGAGGTAAAGTTTCATCAAAAGATTTAGCTGCCATTATTTCAAGTGTTCCACCAGAACAACAAAAAAGAATTTTAGGTGAAGAATTATATCCAAGAATTGTCTCAACTGGTAAAGCTCAAGACCCAGAAGCTGCTGGTAAAATTACTGGTATGATGTTAGGTTTAGAAAATCAAGAAATCTTAGATTTGTTAGATAATGATGAATTATTTAATACTCATTTCGAAGATGCTTTAACTGCTTTTGAAGAATATAAAGCTGGTCAAGTTAATAACAATAACGAAGAATCAGCTTAAATTCTCTAGTTGATTCTTCTTTTTTTTTGGCTTTTTTTGCTGATGAAAAAAAATTCAATGTTTACATAAATATTATAGATTTCCAATTGTTCAATAATCAACGTTACGATATTTATGAGACAAAATTTGTATAATAATATTAATTAGGTTAATAATTTCAATGAAAAATAAAATGTGTTTAAAAAAATTGTAAAAACATTAATGTAGAGTGAGTTTTTGTCGATGCTCTTCAATTGTCTTTTCATACAAGCAACGCAGGTTTAAAAAATGTGGTGTTTGAATCTCTTCGTCCTGATCTTTCCCCTTTAATGGACTTTAAAATTGTCTGAGTCGATCGAAATTATGTTGCATCAGTTTTGTGTGATGTTTGATGTTAAAATATAAAATTCCCTCGACAACCGCAATCTTATAAATTTTATCAAATAATTAAAAAGTTTTAGATCCTTATACTAAATTTCAACGTTGCATACTTAAAATATACTTGGACTGATACTCAACAATAATTCCAACACTCGATATCCCGACTTGATTTTTATTAACGACCAATTATACCAATCAACACTACTCATTCATTTATTACTATTCAAACTCAAAATAAATAATGCCGGAGTTGGAGCAATTAAAAGTTACACCGGCTAACGGTTATACGGTATCTCCAAAAGATTTTGAATCTAATAATAAAGTAAAATTATCAGGAAGAATACTAAATGTTATGACAACATTACCAACACAAATAGTAAGTAATTATGATCCAAAAAATAATCATTATTATTGGGAAGTTGATCCATTTCGTGGTAATTCAGCATTATTTTCATCACAAAGTTTTTTACAACAACATTCAGATTGGGAAACTCATTTAATTGCATGGACTGGTGAATTAAAAAATAAATCAAAAAATACAGTTAATTTGACTTCAGAAACTTTAGAAGATGATCCACTTTATTTAGATGAAGAAGATAAAGAAGAAATCGAAAAAAAATTACAAACGGCAATTGGATCAAAAAATATTCATCCTGTATGGTTATTAAGACGTGATCAAGAAAGATGGAGAAAATATGCAGAAAAATTTTTATGGCCTGTTTTTCATTATTTTCAAGGTACTCCTTCAGATGGTAAAGAAGAAATTGAAGCATGGCATGATTATGTTAAATTTAATGAAGCTTATTTGAATAAAATAAAACAAATTTATAAACCAGGGGATGTTATTTGGATTCATGATTATTATTTATTATTACTACCTCAATTATTAAGAATGGAATTACCTGATGCTTATATTGGACATTTTTTACATATCCCTTTCCCATCTTCTGAATATTTTAAATGTCTTTCTAAAAGAAGTCAATTATTAGATGGATTATTAGGAGCAGATAAAATTGGTTTTCAATCTGATTCTTTTCAACGTCATTTCATATCTTGTTGTGCAAGAATAATGGGTTGTGAAGTTACTAAAAATAAAGTTTTTGCTTATGGAACAACTATATCTGTTGAAACTTTACCAATTGGTATAGATACTTTGAAAATAGAACAAGATGCATTTTCAAAAACTAATGGAATTGATGAAAAAGTTGAAGCTATTAGAAATTTATATAAAGGTCAAAAAATAATTGTTGGAAGAGATAGATTAGATAAAGTTAGAGGAGTTGTACAAAAATTACAAGCTTTTCAAACTTTTTTAGAAATGTATCCTGAATGGAGAGAAAAAGTTGTACTAATTCAAGTTTCAACACCTGGTTTTAGTCATTCTGCAAATATTGAACAAAGAGCTACAGAACTTATTAATCTGATAAATTCGGAATTTGGTACCTTGAATTATACTCCAGTTGTGCATTATCAAATGATGATTCCAAAAGAAGAATATTTAGCATTATTGAGAGTGGCTGATTTATGTTTAATTACATCTGTTAGAGATGGAATGAATACAACTGCATTTGAATTCGTTATTTGTCAAAAAAATCATGATTCACCTTTAATTTTATCTGAATTCACTGGTACAGCTACAGTTTTAAATCAAGCTATATTAGTTAATCCATGGGATTCAGTTGGAATTTCAAAAACTATCAATGATGCTTTAAATTTTTCAAATGAAGAAAAAAAATTCTTAGAAAAGAGTTTATTTGAAAAAGTAAGTTCAAATACTATTCAAAATTGGACATCAACTTTTGTTCGTGATATTATTGAACATTCTATTATAACACATTCAAATCATTATACACCAGCATTAAACAGACCTTTATTATACAGCAATTATCAAAAATCAAACAGAAGATTATTTTTATTTGATTATGATGGAACATTAACTCCAATCGTAAAAGATCCAGCTGCTGCTATACCGTCTAGTAAATTAAATAAAACTTTAGATTTATTAGCATCAGATCCAAAGAATCAAATTTGGATAATATCTGGTAGAGATCAAGCATTTTTAGAAAAATGGATGGGTCCAAAACATGTTGGATTATCTGCTGAACATGGATGTTTTATGAGAGATTTAGGATCAACTGAATGGCTTAATTTGGCAGAAGCTTTTGATATGTCATGGCAATCTAAAGTAGAAGAAGTTTTTAAAAAATATACTGAAAATACGCCAGGATCAAATATAGAAAAAAAGAAAGTTGCATTAACTTGGCATTATCGTGGTGCTGATCCTGAGTTAGGAGCATATCAATCTGAAGAATGTTATAAAGAATTGGAAAATGATATAGCGAGTGAATATGACGTAGAAGTAATGACTGGAAAAGCAAATATAGAAGTTAGACCAAAATTTGTTAACAAAGGTGAAATTGTTAAAAGATTAGTTTTACATCCACATGGTCAAAAACAAGCAATTGAAGAAATTATTCATCATGATTCTAAATGTGATGAATTACCTGATTTTGTAATGTGTGTTGGAGATGATTTAACTGATGAAGATATGTTTAGATCACTTTTAAAAGTAGAAAATCAATGGAAATTAGATGGTAGACCAAAAAATGAATTTGGTTCATATGGAATTTATCCAGTTGCTGTTGGACCAGCTTCTAAAAAAACAGTTGCTTCATCACATTTAACTGAACCTTCACAAGTTATAGAAACTTTAGGTTTATTAGCTGGTACAGTATCACTTTTTGAAAGTGCAGGTAGTGTTGAATTAGATGATCGTGGTCATGTTGCAAATAGTGAAAGTTCAACAAGATCAAAAGATGCTGTTTTACAAGCTTCATTACGTAGGAAGAAAAGTTCAGAATTAGCTGCTAAAACTTGATGACGATGATGATGATGATGATTATTATAGACTTTGATATAAAATTGAGATTTGTATATATTACAATATTAGATATACACGTAAGGAATTTATTTAAATTAGACATACTCTACTTTATCGTTACATGTAATAATAATAATTCTGTCAATGATAAAACACAAAAAAATAAATAATTTACACAAGATCAAATATAATATTGATCACATTTCTTTTACAACCAGATTTATTGACAAAGAATCTAATCCACATCAATCGCATTCCATGCCTAGTAAAGATGAGTTTACAATATTTCAAGACCGAAAGTCTTTTAATATAGAAAGAATGAAAAAATCAAAGAAATTAAATTTGTCAAATCAAAAAAATAGAAATCCATTACAATCCATAAATGTAAACAAACAAAACATAAGAGAAAATCATAAATCAAAACCTCAAGTCCCTACTTCTCAATTAAATACTAGGCAATTATTATCCAAAATCAAAAAGGACGAAGTGCATAGGGTTGAAAAGATTAAGAAACAAGTTGAAATAAATCCAACAAATTTAAGATTTGAAAGTTTGGAAAATAATAGAGGATTTTTACCAAGATTCAATTCGATTGAGACTAAATTAAACAATGAAGATATAAAAGACCCGATAGTCAAACTATTTCAACTCCAACTTCAAAAAGTGGTTTCTTGGTATAAATTAAATCGATATCAGTACAGTGTGAAAGAAGAGCAAATTAAAATTGATCCAATCGATTCCATCACACCAGTAGCGGAAAATGAAACAAAAAACAATTCATCCAACAGTTTAATGGAGTCTCTTTTGCAATCTGAAGAAAATAAATCATCCAATAAACAAGTTAGAGGTAAAGTCTACAAACTCACTAAAATTCAAAATATAAGTGAATTTCTCACCATTGTCACTGTTGCACCAATTGAAAAAGAAAGCTCAGAAAAACAGATGGGATTGATCAAAATATATGATACTAAATTAACTATCGGTGAAAGAATTTGCATAGAATCAAAAATTGACAACGAACCTAATCATTCATCCATTAAATTGTCGAATGGTCAAGAAATAGATGTCTATTTGAAATGGAAAGTTGTAGAATAAATTTATGAAAGCGTTGTATATAAAAATTCTATTTATAATGAGTAATGAATGAAATTGCATAGTAATAAAATTATTTGTCATTATTTGGCTGCAAAATACATCAATATTTGATAACAACTTTTGTAGATCCTAAATATTTTTCGACAAATTTGTCTCTTTACGAATTCTTGGCTATTAATTTAGCTTTATATAGTTCTCATACTTCAGTTCTTTTCATCTTACGCTGATCCGCTACTGGAGCTTTGTTTAGTTGTAAGGATGTCTTACATAGGTATAGAAGAAAAATGCTTTTTTATTCATATAATACCTTCTTGATCAGTCAGAGTTTCAGAGCACACGAGCAAAACTAGTAGAGCTGCATCTGCTATGACGATAAATTGAATTCCATAAACGGAGTCTCTATAATCAGTAAGAAAAACACATTAAAGTTGGTAAGTATTCAGATTTTGGACTGGTAAGTACTGTAAGAAAAGCACTTACAATTTGTGGTAGTGTATTATTTACAAAATATTGAAAACACTTTGTTCCAATTACACTACTCTTTTGTATTTAAAGTATGATCATAGAATAAACTTATATGTAGATTAATAATACAATCATCGTCTTTCAACCAACCTTTAGCATACCACCATAGACCACTTAATCCATCAAAGAAAGAGTGATATATATTTAGACTCATAGATTTTAATCACATATATCAAATTTATTGTACCGTTAATTCGAGCTTACGATAAATAAATTTTTCGAAAGATTATAAGCAAGTTTTATCTTTTATAATTGTTTATGTCACATTTAGCTACTGCTTCAGTTAAAGACGTTCAAGAATATATTGGTCCAAATTTAAATGTTACCTTAACATGTCCTGAATGTAAGATTTTTCCACCTGATTTAATTGAAAGATTTAGTGAAGGGGATATTGTATGTGGTAGTTGTGGATTAGTTTTAAGTGATAGGGTTGTTGATACAAGATCAGAATGGAGAACTTTTAGTAACGATGACCAAAATGGAGATGATCCATCTCGTGTTGGTGATGCAGGTAATCCTTTATTGGACACTGAAGATTTATCTACAATGATATCTTATATGCCTAGTGATACAAAATTGGGTAGAGAATTGAACAGAGCACAATCAAAATCATTAGTTGATAAAAAGGATAATGCATTAGCTGCTGCTTATGCTAAAATATCCCAAATGTGTGATGGTTATCAATTACCTAAGATTGTTCAAGATGGTGCAAAGGAAGTTTATAAAATGGTTTATGATGAAAAACCTTTAAGAGGTAAATCACAAGAATCTATTATGGCCGCATCTATCTTCATTGGTTGTCGTAAAGCAAAAGTTGCTCGTTCATTCAAAGAAATTTGGGCATTAACTAATGTTCCAAGAAAAGAAATTGGAAAAGTTTTCCGTATAATGGATAAAATTATTCGTGAGAAAAATGCAGCAAATCCTCAACAAGCTGCTTATTATAGTCAAGATAATATTCAAACTACTCAAACTTCAGCTGAAGATTTGATTAGAAGATTTTGTTCACATCTTGGTTTAAATACTCAAATTACTAATGCAGCTGAATATATTGCAAGACGTTGTAAAGAAGTTGGAGTTTTAGCAGGTAGATCACCAACAACAATTGCAGCAACAGTGATTTATATGGCATCTATGGTATTTGGAGTTGATTTAGCACCTTCTAAAATATCTGATAAAACAGGTGTTAGTGATGGTACTATAAAAACATCATATAAATATATGTATGAGGAAAAAGACAAGTTAATTGATCCTTATTGGGTTGAGAGTGGTAAAGTTAAGTTAGATAGATTTCAAAAAATTGATTAATTCAATACTTCTTATACTTTTTAGTATATCTTGTTTGATTTTTTTTTTTATAATTTTGATTAGTCAAATATACAGCAGGTATTGAATAAGTCGATCTTTTGTTTGAAATGGATATATATATATATCTATGAAAATGTCTTCTACGTTTACTCTCCATTTTTGAATTCATAAAAATGTAATTCTCGTAATTATAATGGTACAAAGAAACTTTGTTTTACATTTAGACTTTGTTTTACATTCATACGAATCACTGTTCAACTACAATCACATTAATGAACTTTATACGGAGGTTAGCAACAACGGCAACCAACACAAGCCTTCAAGACGTAGTAATAATAGGTGGTGGACCTGCAGGTCTAACAATTTTATCAGCTATAAAAACTTCACCAAAATTAAAACATTTAAAATGTACACTAATTGAAGGTCAATCTTTAGATCCAATACGAAATTTCTACAATGATCCACCTGAAAATTATACAAATAAAATTGTATCATTAACTCCAAAATCAATTGAATTTATGAATAATAAAATAGGGAATTGGGAATTTATAAATCAAGAAAGAATTAAAAATTATGATGGAATAATAGCTTATGATTCTCAAGATTCTTCATCAAGAATTGAATTTGATATTGGATTAATTGATAAAGATTCATTAGCTACTATGTGTGAAGTTATAAATATTCAAAGTTCATTATTACAAAAATTAGAAACATTAAAACAAGAAGAAGAAGGAATAAGTGAAGATGATTTAACAATACTTGATAATACAAAAGTTGAAAAGATTGAAAATCCTTTAATAAATGAAAAATTTTTAGAAAATCATGATTTAAATCAAATTGATCCAACCTTAGAAAAACCAAATTTAGATTGGCCAATTATTAAATTAAATAATGGAAATCAATTACAAACAAGATTATTAATTGGAGCAGATGGTTATAATTCACCAGTTAGAAAATATGCACAAATTGAATCAAGAGGTTGGCAATATAATAGATTTGGAGTAGTTGCATGTATAAAATTACAATATGAAGATTTTAGATCAGTTGGTTGGCAAAGATTTTTAACTACTGGTCCATTAGCTATATTACCATTAACTGAAGATAATGCAACTATAGTTTGGTCATCAACTCCTGAATTAAGTGAAATATTAATGAAAGTAAATGATGAAATTTTCCCACATTTAGTAACTGCAGCAATGGTATTAGAAGAAGTTGATTTAAATTATATTTATCTGGTTTTAGCCAAAAATCCAAATGATTTTTCAATTTTACAAGATATTGAATGGAGATTATCTAAATTTAATTCAAGAGATTTAGATGAAAATTATCCTTTACCAGTTGTTGAATTAATTCCAAATACTAAAGCAAGATTTCCTTTAAAAATGTCTCATGCAGATACTTATGTTGCACCAAGAGTTGCATTAGTTGGCGATGCAGCTCATACTATTCATCCATTAGCTGGTCAAGGCTTAAATATGGGTCAACTGGATGCTTCAGCTTTAATAAATGCATTGGAAAAGGGAATTGATAGAGGAATGGATATTGGTTCAACATTAGTTTTAGAAGATTATGTTTCAAATGCATGGCCGGCAAATCATGCATTATTAGGAATATGTGATAAATTACATAAAGTTTTTTCAACTGATTTTTATCCAATAGTATTAGCTAGAGGTACTGGAATGAAAGCTTTAAATATGTTTGATGGAGTGAAAAGTATAATGATGAATATGATAAGTGGTAGATAAGAAATGAGAGAAGGTTATGTAACGAAATGAAATAATGAATTTGTTTATAGTGATCTTATTCAAACTGAAAAGTAACCAATTGATGAAGGGTCATTTGTTGATTGAATTGTATGTAATTTTCTTTAATCTATTTGATCAATCTAATGTTGATCTTTATTTTTGTGCAATTTCTTGATACTGAAACTCGAGATTGAAATATTTAGCAACCAATTTTTATTAAAGATGGTTTGGAAATAGAAGTCAATTGAAATAACACACTTGTACTAGACAATGATTGAAAGCATATACCCAACCAAAACCATATGATTAAAACAATAATACGATATAATTCAAGCTCATTAAAAACAGCGATAAAGCAACAACAACAACAACAACAAAAACCAAAATTTATAACATCAAATTATAGAAAATTAAAATCTCATTATAATACACCAAAATATCCTATAGTTTTATGTCATGGATTTTCAGGATTTGATAAATTAACATTTATTGCGAAACCAAATTTAGCTTTAAATGAAGCAATTGGTACAGCAAAAGATATTGCAAAAGATGCAAAAGATACAATAAAAGATAAAACTCCAGGAATTGAAAATTCTACCTCGTCATCAACAAAAAAACTGTTTATTGAATTAGATTATTGGAGTGGTATAAAAGAAGCATTAACTAAATTAGGATCAACTGTTTTTATAGCTAAAGTTCCAGCTTTTGGTAAAATTAAAGATAGAGCAATAAGTTTAGATAAATTTATAACAAAACAATGTAAAATTTTAAGAAAATCTGAATCAAAATCATCAATTTATAATAAAGATCATCCTAATCAACATCATCATAATACTTTTAAAAATGAAGATGAACCAATAAAAATCAATTTAATAAGTCATTCAATGGGAGGATTAGATTCAAGATATTTAATTTCAAAAATTCATAATAATTCCAAATCAAAAATTTATAAAATTGTTTCATTAACTACTATTTCTACACCTCATCATGGTTCGGAAGTTGCTGATTTTATAGTTGAAAATTTAAAAGATTTACCAATTTTGAAATCAATTTGTCCTGAATCAATAGAAGAATTAACTACAAAACAAATGATAAAATTTAATGAAAATGTTCCAAATGATCCTACGGTAAAATATTTTTCTTTTGGTGCAAGATTTAATCCTCATTGGTATAATCTTTTCAATTTAACTTGGCAAATAATGAATCATGAAATAATAAAAAATAATCAAAATCAAAATCAAAATTCAATTAATCCTTCTTTATTAGATAATGATGGATTAGTAAGTGTTGAAAGTTCAAAATGGGGTAAATATATTGGAACATTAGATCAAGTTGATCATTTAGATTTAATTAATTGGACAAATAAAGCAAGATTAACTTATGATAAAATTATGTGGGCTGAAAATCCTCCTTTTAATGCTATTGCTTTATATTTAGATATTGCTGATAAATTAGCTAAAAATGGGTTATGATCTTGCAATTTGGATTATGATCTTGTAATTTTCAAAAAAAAAAAAAATGACAGTTTTAAACCATAAATTATTTTAGAGAGTTTATAAAACATTAGACATAATTAAATTAATTTTTCATTATTGACTTTTTATATACATAAAAACATTAAAAATATTAAATTATTAAAACCTATTCATTAATTGTAATAGTTTTTGTAATTTGAAATTCATCCATACCCCAATGACTATTAAATCTACCTAAACCACTTGATTTAACACCACCATGAGGAACAGTTGGTTCATCATGAACAGTTGGAGCATTTATATGAACACCACCAATTTCTAATTGTCTTGCAATTTTTAAAGCTTTTATAATATTTGTTGACCAAACTGAACCTTTTAAACCATAATCATGATCATTAATTTCTTTTACAACATCTTGAACATCTTTAAATTTATGTAATGTAAAAACAGGACCAAAAGTTTCAATTGAATTAATATCCATTTTTGAAGTAACATTTTCTAAAATTATTGGTTGAATAATATTTGAATTTAAAATTTCTTCTTTATTAAAAGTACCAAATACTAAATTTGCACCTTTATTTAAAGCATCTTCAACTAAATCAATAACTTTATCTCTACCAATAGTATCTCTTTGACAAATTTGATGATCTTTATCTTTACTAAAACCTTCAGCAGTTTCAATAATTTGTTTTTTAAATTCATCATAAATATTTTCATCAATGAATACTTTATCAGTACTCATACAAATTTGACCTTTATGAGCCCAAGCACCAAATAAAATTTTTCCAGATGCTGATTTTAAATTTGCATCATTTAAAACTATAGAAATATTTTTACCACCTAATTCTAAAAGATAAGGAATTAAATTTTTACCACAAACTTCTGCAATTTTTTTACCAACAATTGTTGAACCAGTAAAATTAACTTTTTTTATAATACCAGTTTTTAAAACTTTATCAATAAAACTTGGATTTTCTTCTGGTTTAACATGAACTAATTGTAATGCTTTTGATGGAATACCAGCATCTAAAAAACATTTAACTAATATATAAGCAGTTTTTGGAGATTTTTCACTTGATTTAACAATAACTGAACAACCAGCAGCTAATGGAGCAATAATTGATCTACCAGCTAATATAACTGGAGCATTCCAAGGACTAATAGATAAAACAGGACCAACAGGTTCTTTAAAAGTCATTGCTAAATCAGAATGACTACTTTGAACAATTTCACCAGGAGATCTTGATAATTGAGAGATATATTCTTGTAATTGGCCTAAACAACCATCAACATTAAAATTTGCAAACCAATCTGGTCCACCAATTTCTGAATGACCTTTAAATAATTCAGATCTTTTATTTAAAATATTTTCTTTAACTTTTTCAAATATTTTAATTTTTTCATTAATAGAAATTGATGACCATTCATGAAAACCCTCTTTTGCATTGACAGTTAATTGATCAATTGAATCATCTTTTAATGATATACTTGCAAAATGATGTATTAAATCATTTTGATGATTTGTAACTGGATATGGATTTGTTGTAATATCTTGACCATTGATGATGTATGGATAAACTTCTTTTGGAATTTCTGAATGTGGTGACATCGTTGTTGTAGTTGAAATATTAATTGGTTCTAATTCAGTTTTTGTTTCAATTTCTGAATTTGTTGTGGGATTAGTAACACTACTATTCCTTCTAGATAATAATATTTGATCTAAAGTTCTTGGAGTTTGAGGATTTGGTGGATCTAATAAGAAACTTTTAAATCCAGATATAAATCTTTGTCTTTTGGTTAAATTCGAAATTTTGAAAAATTGGTTATAATGTAATAAAGTTTTATATAATCTAATATATTGAATATTGAAGCTTTAGATCTTTTTAATAACTATTCTTCTTATTGATATGAATTTGAAAATTCTGTTATTTTGAAATATGAAAAAGTATATTATAGAAGTATCATAAGGGAATTTGAAGATGGTTATATAATCTGATTTTAAGATATTAATAGCCGATGAATTATATGTGAAAGATGTAATGGTTAGTTTTCCTGTGTTTATGCTTTTAATGATGCATGAAATTATAATAAATAATTATAACTCTCCAAAGTAATGAAAATATGAAATTCCTTGAGTTTAAGTTAATCCTTTATTTTGATAATCGTAAATGAATAATATTTTCTTATAATTGAAGATCCCCAAATTTCAAGAATTTGCTTAATGAATGTGAATTAGTTATAATAATTTGTGGAATAATGATGAAATTTAGTGTTTGAAAGATACTCCGATTAATTCTCCACTTAAGTCTATTGAATGAATATATGATGACTAAGTAAATTATTTGTCAAAGCAAACAAAGATATAAGATGGTTTGTAGTCCTATTTGAACAATAGGAATTGTCTCATAACAATAAGATCTATCTCCCCTTTTGTTACTAAAATAACGGTTTTTTCATCGTATTAAAGTTTTGTACACTAAAAAGCGGAAATACGATTAAATTGAAGGGTTATAGGAAAAAGGATATAAGACCAAACTAGGATTAGTTTAGGTCAAACTACTACTTGACGTAATTGCATTAAATATTTGAAGAGTAGATTGAACTACATAATTAGTGCAAAACTGAATCCAACAATGAGGGGAAAGATACTAAACAACTGGAAGGTGGAATTATATAATAATTTATTATAAGCCTAAACACCAAGATCTTTTCTCATTGAGGTACACAATCCTTTGTTAAAATGATTAAACCGATATCATGGTTAAACATTTAACCAGATCTTTTGATCTTTTTGGGTTGTTCATAATTACTCTTCAATTATTCTAATTTGTTTTTCTTTATTCCCGATAATTTTATTAAGTGTTATGAAACCTTAATCACAGTCTATCACGCTTAGATATTCCTTAATTTTCTTCTTCTATTCTTATGTAGACTTTTAATACTAAACTCATCAATGAATGTTTAGTAAGCAAGTTAGTAATCATTGTTAAGGTGAAGGGATAAGTCCTTTACTTGTTGAAGTTTTATATTAAAATAAAAATAAATTATTTTTTACCCCATAAAAGTTATTTTTTAACTCAACTTAAAATAATAATAGATCAACTTAGAATAACAAGAAAAATTGGAAGAAGAAGAGTACAAACACTTAACACCTTAATAGTAAATAAGACGATCTATCAGATAGTTATTCAATCAGATTATTTTGAAACTGATAAACTTTTATCCATACTACATATTCGAAACATAATTTTGTACTTCGTGTAAGATATTATTTCATTATTATTATGTCAATAAATCTATCTCGAACCGAATTTGTCAGTGTTTTCACTTGAAATCTTCCGAATTTTTCATCTTTGAAGTATTTCCTTTTGAAACTTTCAAAGCAAGTTACGAATAGAAGCGAGATTAGTTGGTCAAGAAGGAAGTGGTAGCTAGCCTTAGAGCGACCATAGTCTAAACAGTTATAACATTGCATGTTCCAAAGTGATGAATTTCTCGGAAATGACCCATCACTTTTCTTGTCCTGCAATGTTATAACTGCTTAGGATATGATCACTCTAGGGCTAGCTACCTAATGTCCAATTTTGAATCATACAAACATTGGATTGAGTATTGCAAATATATATTAAAATTCAACTCATGAGTATCATTAAACGTATTTAAAAAATTTCCACCAGCCAATGATCATTACCTTCCTCCTGACGTTTAATTTCAGATCACTTAGGAAACAATGAACAACCAATTCTATTTTAATTTATTGTACTTCAATTATTCCGCTCCATTATACAAAATCATTTAAAATTTGTTTACAATCACTACAATAACCCATAATATTATCAATTCCATCAATTAAATTTATATCTTTCCCATTGATAATTAAATTTTGATCCTTCTTCTTGTTGTTCTTATGATTTTTTCTACCATTTTTAATTAAAAATTTTTGTAAATAATCACATTTTGAAATTTCATTTGATATAAATTCAAAAAAATTTGATTTTAATAATTGATTTTCTTTTAAATTTAAAATTTCTAATTCAATTAATAAATCATATCTTTTTTTACCTATATTTTTAAATTGATTTTTTAAATTATTTAAATTTTCAAAATCTCTTTCAGAATATGTATGTGAGTAGTCATCAATTAATAACATTGATAAATTTTGATAATTATATATAAAACTTTGATCTTTAAAAAATTGAAATGGTTTACTTTGAGTTAATTCTGATTTTGTTGATTTAGTGTTTGTTTTGACTGATTTATTATTAAAAATTAAATTATCAAAATTTAAAGGTTTAAAAAATTCATCTCTTATATCTTGTGAATAAACTGTTCTTTGTAATAATAATGGATTTTTTTGTATAAATTCTTCAGCTAATGTATTACCTCTATAAACAGTCCAATAATTTATACTAGATCTTGTAAAAAAATAAAAATTTGATAATGTTAATGCTATTATAACTAATATTAAAAATTGATTTTTTTGAATATATACCAAAATAAATTTTAAAATATTTAAAATTATATCAAAAATCAACTTTATAAATTCATTAGTTGAATTTATAATTTTTTTCGTAAAAATACTTATAGAAACTGATAATCCAATTTTAACTAATGGTTCAATTTCTTGAATATCTGGTTCATTTGTATGACTTAATTTTCCATAAACATATATAGATTTAACTATTGGTCCATGATGTCCAATATCATTTATAACTTTTGTATTTAATCTTTTATTAAATTTTGAAATTTGATCAATATTAATTCTATAAATAATTAAACGAATTAAAGGATTCCATATAGAATAATTTGTAAAATTTATCTTGGAATAATAATAAATTTGAGATTTTTTACCATTTATCAGGGTTATTATAAATTTAAATTCATTTTCAAATGATGAACCTAAACAAAATTTTAATCTTTTTGCAGAATTTGTAAAACAATAATATTCATTATCATCCATTGTTTCAATTGTTTGATTTATTTGTATAATTTGTTTTAAACCATTAATTAATATTGGAATATTTGCATGTCTATATAAAATTTTCCCATCATATTTACTTCTCCATGGTTTTTTCATGAAAATTGCAAATTTTGTTATAGATGTTTCCTTTTTAAACATTGATGAATCATCACCTAAAAACGCATGAAATATAGCTTTTGGTGGTATTGGATAAATTTTAGTACTTATTAATTTATATTCAGGTGTAAAATCAATTTGTCTTGTTATTCCCTTTCCACTATTATTTTGCGAGATAGATGAAGAATTTGATAAAATTGTATGTTCACCAAATCTATATCTATTACTTTGTAATGCCTTTTTTGATAATTTTTGACTTAGCAATTCAATTTCTTTTAAAATTTTATTATCTTCTTCATCTTGATGAACTCTATTTTCAATTTGTTTAAAAATTTCTAACGATTCTTTTAAACCTTTTGGTTTATCACTTGCTAAATTATTTATTAAAAATAAAAATTTTTGTTGAATTAATATACCATCTTCTAAAAATAATTTTAATCTGAAAGTTCCTTCAACATTATAAAGTTTTAATATACCAAAATTTTTTTGAGATACATATTCTACAGAAACACATTCTTCTATTGGACCTTTATATAATGCAACAAATCCTAAAGCTTGCATATAAAAATAAGTATGATAATTTGTTAAAAAACATCTACCACTTAATTCTTGTTTTGAATTGGGGGACCATATACAACCAAATGACATTAAACAATATTCTCCTGGTTCTATAATATTTTCAAATAATGCTCTCATTTGAATATCTAAACTTATTAATTCATTGGGATAAAATGATGGATATGGTATAGTATTATTTGTATTTAATTGTTGAAATTTAATCATTTCTTCATCTCTAATTTGAAAGTTCTTTAACTTATTGTCATTATTATTCCCCAAAGATGAACGATCTTTTAAATAATATAATCCCCAATTAACTGATCCCCAAATATTTGCAGTTAAAGCTGTAGGTAATTCTGTTGCTCTAATAGTACTATAAGCAACTATAGCTAATTTTGTTGTTTCTGTTAATATAGGAGGAAAAACTTGAGGTAATTTATAATACCATTTACTATCATATTCTTTATCAAAAATTTCTAAAAATTTAGATAATGATGAAGAAATTATAATTTCATTATTTGAATTTATAATTTTTAAATTTGAAATTTCTTGATCTTTTAAAGTATTTATAGTTGATGCAAATTCTGAAAAAATTGGTGGATATCTATTTGATGCTATAATAAATAATGGATCATTTGGTGATAAACTTGTAATTCTATTTCTTTCATTTGCAAAAACTTTTAACCAAGATTTTAATTCAATTAATGATTCAGCTTGTAAAATTAAATTATTTTCACTTGTTTTTAATTCAAAACAAAATCTTCTATCTTCATTTGGTGAATATCTTAAATTACATAATATTATACCAAATTTATCAGATTCTTGTACAGAAGTTTGATTGGGACTTAATACTAACATTCCAAATACTCCATTTTTTATAAAACACCATCTTTTTTCCCATTTTGGTTTATTTGATTTTTCAATAAAAGTTTTCATAAATAAATATCCATGTTTTTCAAAACTTAATTCATTTATATCTTGTAATGATTTATAATTTATAATATTTACATTATAATCATGTATATTATTTGAAGGTTGAAATTGTAAAAAAGAAGATTCTTCAACTTGGATTTTAGCTGATATCATATCATATTTTAATTTATCTATAGCTATTGAATAAGAATCACTCCATGCTTGAACTTTTTGAACCATATCCCAAGATTCCTTAATATTATTATAATTATATAAATTATCATTTGCAAAATGACTCCATTTTTTTTGCCATAAATTTGTATTTAAACATACTAATAATCTATCTAATTTTTGACTTAAATTTTGTAATTCAACAATTAATTCTAATGATATATGAATATATTCTTTTCTAACTTCATATAATTGTTTAGCATCTTCTAATACCATTATAGCATCTTTTGTTTTTGAAGTACTTACAAATATACTTAAATATTTATCATATTTTTTTTGATATATCAAGAATTTATTTCTTAATTCTTTATAATTTGAAATTTCAATTTTTCTAAAATTATTTAAATCATTTAAAATTTGTGGTGGAGTAGTTAAAGAAAATAAAGATTTTGTCCATATAGTTTTAAATCCATCTAATGATGCATATAATGATTTAACAGTATATTCTTGATCAATCATACCATCTTGTAAAAAATTTGGAACTAAATGTTCTAAAAATGAATTACAAAAAATTTCAACTTCTTTAACATATTTTGGTATTTTCTTTATTGAAGAATTTAATGCAATTAACCATTGTTCAATATTATTAATTTGTAAATCTAAATGATTTGTTGATGCTCTAAAACTTGGACTATCTAATGCTGCTTCTTTAAAATTTACTGATATTAATTTAAATTGTCGTATAAGATGTTGTTTTGAATCATTTGTAGGGTTTGGTGATTGTGATGCTCTTTTACCTCCTGGTGACGGCAGATTTAAAGGAAGTCTATTTGAATTATATTGACGTTGTTGTCGTATTTGATTTGAATTTGTTGTATTTGGAGTTGATTGTGATACTTGTCTTATTGATCTTTGTGACAAATCACGTTGAATAGGTTTAATTGGAGTTTCATTATTATTATTAGCTAGAGTTCTATTTGAATCTTCAATTATTGATGATTGATTATGATTATGATTATTATTTAAATTTCCATTATTACTTCGAATGGAATTACTCTTCCCAATTGTACTTATATTTTGAGGAGATTGACCATTACTTTGACTCATATTGTTTTATTTGTGCTTTCTCTAATCAATTGAGAGAATCAAACAATCAGATGAAGTTGTGCTGCAAATAGTTATTAAGTATGAAAGTGTTGTAAAAGTCGGATATTTCGTATCAAAAATAAAAAAGCAAGTTAAAAAAGATGTTTCTAAAAGTTAAGGGGTAAATTGAAAGAATTACCACTTAAACTGAAAACCAATACATATCGGAGTTATGAAACTACGAATTCGAAATTTTACTTACAAGATCTAGAAATGTATGAAAATTATGCAAAATTATGAATTGAAAATATATACTCTTACTTATACAAAATTATTACAACTTAATCATTTGTCAATTTGAAAAGCATCCAGCTTACTTTATTTTTTCTCATTCTCTTCTAAATTCAAGTTTTTGGTTTATACATAACAGGAGTATTTGAAGGAAATCGATGAATATTCATACTAATATTATTATGACTATTAAATCTTGAAGATGATGATGCTAAAGTAGTAGTTGAACTTTCTTGTTGTTGTAATTGAATTTGTTTTAAATCTTTTGATGGATCATATCCTATTATTGGACCAAATTTAAATTCTATTGGTTTTGGAACTTCTTTTTGATTTGATTGAGATTGTGAATGTTTTGTTGTTGATGATGAGGAAGTATTTGAATTTTTTCTTGAAGAAGATTTTGTTGATTTTGATTGTTGTTGTTGTTGTTGTTGTATTGGTAAAATTGGAGAATTAGATTTTAAAGGTAATCTTTGTGGATTAGATGTAATTTGATGAAACGCCATGTGCTGTTGATGTTTCATAAATTGTTCGTTTAATACATTAGCATTATACATCACTTGATTATTTGAATTCGTTTGAACTTGTGATTGGGTTTGATTTTGCAATTGTTGTTGTTGCTGTTGCTGTTGTTGTTGTTGTTGTTGTTGCTGTTGTTGTTGTTGTTGTTGTTGTTGTTGCATCTGTAGTTGCATCTGAAGTTGCATTTGTAATTGCATATCCATTTGTAATTGAGCTTTTTGTTGCTGTATTTGATTAGTTGGTTGAGTCAATGAAGATTGACCAGCAAAATTAGGAGATTGACCCATAGATGAATGCTGTTGTGATGGAAGCATAGTAGTTTGATTAAATGAGAATGATTGAGGAATGTTTGTTGTTGATTGAGAATGTATATTTAAACCTGGATGTTGAAAAGAATTAAAAGGTTGATTATTATTATTTTGAAATTGAAATGATTGGGGATGATGATTTTGATATTGTCTTATATCATTTATTGAATATTTTTGAAAATTCATAATTTGATCATGATTTACAACATTTGAATTAAAAACTGGAGCTGTCATTGGACCAGAACCAATTTTCATATTCATATTATTAGCTTTACTCAAATCAATTTTTAACTTATTGTTATTATTATTATTAAGCTTCTTAGTTGGAGTATCTAAACTTTTTAATGAATGAATTGGAGAATTTGATGATTTACAAGGTGATGAATCAGCAATTACTGTTTCATTATCATCAGTAATTGAATTAGATGTAGTAATTGTTGTTAATTCAAATTTATTCATATAGTCTTTTAATGAATTTACAACAATTACATCTGTTTGACCTTTTGTACCCATCATATTAAAATCATGAATTAAATATGCATAAATTTGTGAATTTTTCAAATTAAAATTTGAATCATTTTCGGAATTTTCATTATTATAAATATATTGATGAATTTTTAAATTTTCATTTGTTGTTGACGATCCATTTATTAAATAATTGAAAAAACCAGCAAAAAATGTCTTTATAAATGGAACTTGTAAAATATAACATTTTAATTGTGGATTATAATAACCATTTATTATATCTGTAACATTTAAAATTTTTATACCATTTTTATAAACTTCAATTAAACTATACCAATTAAGCATAGATTGATTAGATGAATCTTTACAATATACATTTATAGACATCATTGATTGAAAATTTAAATGATTTAAAGTTAATGCTTGATTTGTAAATGTTGGTGATATAGCAGAAGACATTGGAGTTGATGATTCAATATGATTAATATTTAAATTAATATCATGATTTATGAACCAGATTGGAATATCATTCTCTTTTAATATTTCAATAATATATTCATCATTAATTTTATTTAAAATATTATTATCATGACATGTATTCCAAGATTTCATTTGTGTAAAAATTATCGATTGATCTTTATTTTTAAAATTTATATTAAAATCAGTTAAATTTAAATAATAATTTGAATTTATTTGTTCATCAAATATATCATCTAATGGTGAAGAAGATAATAAAATATCTAATTCTTTATCAATCATTGCATTATTTTTTGCAGAATCAACAATTGAATAATTACTTCCTCTTGCAACCAGGTTGTTATTAAAGATATCATCAATATCACTTGTTGAACCATTAGTTAATGGAGTTTTTATATCTTTATCTTTTATTAATTTACCACTTTTACTTAATCTAAAAATTCTGGAAGAAATTTGTTTTGAAGATCTTAATATACCAGTTCTATTAAATAACATTCTTGATATAATTTTATTTTGTGAAGTATGTTTTAAAACAGAATTATTATTAAGATTTGGATTTTCTTTAAATTTCTTGTATTTATATAATGATTTTACTAATATATCATCTAAATAAAGATTCCAAACTTTATCATCATTTATATTTGAATTTGAATTTGAATTTGAGTTAGAATTTGATGTAACAGAGTTTGTAACACTTGGTTTTCTGAATGTAAATGGTGATACCATTGATCTATCAATTTTTGAAGCTATTGCATTATTGGGGGTATCTGTAATAGAAGGATTGATTTTTCTCTTTTTAATTACTGATGTTAATTTATCTTCATGTTCTTCTTCTTCCTCTTGTTTTTCTACTTTAATTGTATTTTTTGATGGAATGTTAGGTGCAATTTCTAATGAAGGAGTTGTTTGAGTTGTTGTAACTGTTGAATTTACTTTGTTATTCAGGTATAATAATTTATTTGGAGTTAAAAATTCATCAAATTTTTGTGTGACTGGTTGCGATTTTTGAGATTCAATAAATGGAATATTCTCCTTATTAATATCATCTTCATAAATTGATGTTAAATTTGAATGATGTTGAGTAGAATTATTTAAAGAAGACCAAATATCATGATCTATATCTTGATTCCCTTCTTCTTCTTCTTCTTCCTCCTCTTTGTCTTTTAAATTCCTCTCTATTCCATTCTTTATAGGTGATTGTGTCTTCTCTTTATCTAAAGATTTATTCAAAGATTCAATAAATTTATTATATTCTTTACTTGATGTTCTTTTATGATTTATAACTTTATTTAAATTATTTGATGTTGAAGAATTTAAAAATTTTCTTGGTGAATAATTTGTTGATGATGATGGAGAATTATTAAAGTTGATTAATGATGGTGAAAAATTTAAACCAAATGGAAAAGATGATGGAGTTGTTATATTTCTATTTATACTTTGTTGTAAATAATGATTGTGAGTGTTTAAATTTGAATTATTTGAATTATTTTTACATCGTGGAGTTTCTGGTGGTTGTACTGAGATTGATGGTAAATTCTCTGACATTGGTGATTCTTTATGATATTGAAATTGGCTATGGATTTATATATTTGATTTAAGTTTATCAACCAGTGATAAAAAAATGCTATAATGAAGTTTAAATGTTTGATTTTGAGTGCAAAATGATCCTAATTCTTTCAAATTACACTGTAAATGAACTAACCTATCTGAATGATGATTGAAAGATAAGAAAAGAAAAGAAAGTGATTGAAATTGAGAATGAAAAGTGTTGGTTGTAAAAGAATACTGTTGATATCTTTTATGGTTAAATCTAAATCTAAACACGATATTTAATTTAATAAATTTAAGACAATAGAAATTTGAAACGCGTAGAAAAATAAAATAGATAAAAAAGATTGCTTAAGGAGTTTTTTTTATTAACTCCTTCACCAGTAGATATCACTAATAGAGTGAATAGAACTCACCCCACTTTGTTATAGAACCTCTTGATCTACAAAAGATATCATTGAGTAATAAGTAAGTACAACAAAAAATGCTAGTTTTATTCCTTAAAAAGCCATTACACAAATATTGTCTTCCAAAATTCATATCCATATTCATCAATCAACCAACAATTAATTTGAAATAATTTAATTAAATAATTACATAAACCATTTAATTTCTTCAATTAAAGCATTACATAACCCAGGATTCTCATCTTCAAAATTTTTAAAAATTTCAATTAATTTTAAAACATTTTTTTGGGTTTGATGATCTTTACTTCTTTTTAAAACATTTGATAAACTATAAAATAATATTGATTTTTTATCAATTGTAAACACTTCATTATTATTATTGATGTGGTTGTTATTTTGATTATTTTGATTATTTGAGTATGATTGATTTTGAGATTGATTTTTTGTTGATGAATTAAATGAATTTCGAAATTTTTGATTATTTTCTTCATCTTCTTCTTCTTGATTATTTATTGAATGATGTTTCAATTTAAAATCTCTTAAAAATTCATTTTTATTTAATGAATCTTGATTAATTTGAAGATATGGAATATTACTCTTGTTATTATTATTTGCTTTATCCATTTGTAGTTGTAATGTTCTTGTAAATTCCCATTCAACTTTATTTTCATTATTTATTTCATTTTCATCTTCTTCTTCTTCATCATTATCCTTATTTTTGGCATTCTTATTCTTCTTTCTTTGATCTAAATTTTCAACTAAATCTGAATTCAACTTATGTCTTGGTTTCAATTGACGAGATCTTTTTAAAAAATATTGATTTTTTAAATTAATTAATTTAATTAATTCCTTTTTACTCAATTCTAAATTTTGTTGTGATATTTTTTTAATAAAATGATGAGATAATAATTTTTTACAATTTGGTCTTTTTTCTGGATCCATTAAACAACAATATTTTATAAAATCTTTTATATTTTCTGAATATTGCGAGCCTTTTAATTGAGGTGGCTTTTTTTTAGGTATATCAAATATAATCTTTAATGGATCGTGTTCTGATAATGGTGGTGATCCTGTAATTAGTTCAATAACTGTTATACCTAATGACCAAATATCTGCTTTATAATCATATCCATCATTTTTTTTATTTAATTTATTTAAACTTTGATTATTATTACTAATTTTATTAGTTGAACCTCTTGTTATAACTTCTGGTGCCATCCAAAATGGTGTTCCAACAAATGTCATTTTTTTCTTTTTAGTTAATGATATATCAGCACTAACTCCAAAATCTCCTAATTTAACTATACCATCTTCAGTTAACAAGATATTTGCAGATTTTATATCTCTATGAACTTTATGTTCATTATGAATATATAAAAGTCCCATTAAAACTTGTTTTATAATATAACCAACAACTAATTCATTTAATTTTTTATGATATTTAATTAAATCTGAACATGATCCTCCTCCACAATATTCCATTACAATAAAAATATTATAACCTTGTATAAAACTTTCAATATATTCAACAATATTTTGATTTTTTAAATTATTTAAAAATTGAATTTCTTTTAATATTTGTTTTAAATCATCATTTGAATCTTCAATATTTATAACTTTTAATGCAACATATTTTGGTTTTCCATTTATTAATTTATGATTTAAATCTATTGCTCTATAAACATCTCCAAAATTTCCTCTACCTACATTTTTTAAATCTCCATATTTCAGTAATGAATGAGGAGATGGTAATTGATTTTGTTGATGATTATGATTTTGTTGTTGTTGTTGTTGCTTTTGATTTTGAAGTTGATGTTGCAGATTTATTTTATAATAATGATGATCCACTAACTTTGAGTTATCAGTGTTTTTGATCATGATATAACTATGACCGTTGAGCCGTGTAATAAACCTTAAATTATGTTGGTAATGTTAATTGTTATGTTAAAAAATGCATAAAGTTTGTTTTGTTTACATTTATTGCAAATTTAAACTTTTATTTTTTGTGTTGTACCTTAAAATCCTGCATATAAACCAATTTGTAACCCAAAATAGGAAATGTAATTAAAGACTGTATGAACCTATGTTTCGAATGATGTACAGCTTAACTGATCGTCTTTCCCTTATGAATTCAAATGTTTTCCCTTAGTTGAACCAATATTTGTACAACCATTTAAAATTAATAATTCAGAAGCAACGAAATATTTTTTATTTGTAGGATCATTTTCAATTTGAATATATTTTTTTAAACTATATTCATAAAGACTTATAATTTGAATATCATCTTTATCTTTATCATTATCTTTGTTATCATTAGTATCATTTTTATCTTCTCTATTATCTTTAGTATGAATTTGAAGATTTAAATTTATATCACCTCCACATAAAATACCTTTTAATTCATCATGAATCAGAATTTTTTGAATAGAAGAAAATAAAAAATTGTTAACATTAGATAATTTTTCAATAAATGATTTATCAATATATTTTAATTTTATAAAATTTAATCTATTTTCATAATTTGAATTTGAATTAATTTTTTGTTGTGATTCAAGATTAAATTCCATATATGAATTAACTTTTGAATTATTTATATAATTTAATAAAATTTTTGATTCATTTTCAAATAAATCTAATTTTAAAGATCTTATTTTTGTTATATGACTTCCTAAATTTCTATGACATGATGCACAATTTATACACATACAAATTAAAAAATTTATTGATACCCATTCAACTTGTTCAAACAGGTTACAATCTATACATTGATTATTATTACTATTTGGAATTGATCGAACAAGATTTAAATTATTATTATTATCTGTGGTATCTGTGTTGTCATTAAAAAATGGATCTTTTGAAGTTATTGATATTGGTGATATTGATCTATCAGTTGTTTGACCAGGTATTATTGGTTTTGAACCAAAATCAGTTATAATTTTAGTTATATGTTTTTTATTTGATTTAGTGTTTGTATTTGTATTTGCAGAAGATGATAACTCAGAATTACCAAATCTTTGTTGTAATCTATCTGTATTAACTAATTGTCCAGCATTATATAAAGCTTTAACCCATTTATTTCTATCTTCATTATCAAAAGCTTGAAAAACATGTTTTGAATTTGTTGAAGTTATAATTTCAAAACAAAATTGTCTTTTATCATGATTTACAGCTTTAACATTTGATAAAGCGATTTCAATTGGTTTATTAATTGGAGTTTTACCTTTTCTCCAATCTGAAAATTCTATTAATTGTCCATTTTTTAATACAACCCATTCTTTATGCCATCCAGTTTTTTTTTGACCTCCTAAAGTAAATAATATTCCGGATTTTTCAGAATCATTTTCAATTTGATGTTGTTGTTGATCATTTGGTGGATTAATATCTGAAAATATTAAATCAAAATTTTCTTTCGTAACTAGGAAATCATCTGTTGTTATATTTGAATTGGCTGATGTTTTATGAGTTAATCTATTATATCGTATTAAATTTGTTAATTCTTCACTTGATTGACTTGCTTCAATCATTTGTCTAAATTGATATTTCTCACTATTAAATCTTGTTAAAGCATATAAATAAATTTGATAATTATTACTTAATAGTAGCTGATTTGAATTTTTTTTATCTAAAAAAATTTTAAAATTTAATAAATTTGGATTAGCGGGATCATTTTTTAAATTTATAAATTTAAATAATTTTTCAATTAATTCATTTACATATTGATTATTTGTAATTTTACTTAATTGATTTAAATAATCAAATTTTGATAATTCAAAAGTTTTTTTTTTTAATAGGAGTTTAGATTCTGGTCTTTCTTTATCATTTGATAAATATTTATTTAACCATGCATAATATTCCTTGGAATCATTTTCAAATTGTTTTTTCATTTGAATTAATTCTGATTGTTGGTTAGGATTTTCTCCCAGTTGTGATGATATATTATTTAATATTTTTGTAAATAATTTATTATCACATATATTATCAAAAAAGAAATTAATATTTTTTTCAAATGAATCAAATATATTTTTAAATGCTAATTGAAAATCTTTTTTAAAACCAAATTCTTGTAATAAAGAATCTGATTCTAAATCACATAATTGATTAATTTCTTCCATTATACGATATTTACATGTAGTTATTCTTCTAACATTTGACTCGAGTAATTTAAAATCATCAATTAATGATGAATATACTTTTTTTGCAGTTGGTAAAGTTTCTTCATATTTTGTTAAAGTTTTTCTAAATTCTGGTCCATCTTCAATATTGAAACTAAATTCTTTTCTAAAATCTCCAAGACTATATGATAAAGGTTCTGGTATGTTTTGTTGAGTTGTTTTATATATTGATGGAGATGATAGGGTTGAATCGGTAGTTGATTTTTGAGTTGTAGGACTATTTGTATGACTAGTTGCACTGTTATTTGTAAAATTATTTGTAAGGTTGTTTGTATTAATTGATTTCAATGGTAATTGATGATATTCATTAATCCATAAACTAAATTTTAAAAAATATTTAATTTCCTTTGAATTTAAATCTTGTTCAAAAATTGAAATAGTTAACTTGGTGTTATTTATTAAATTTTTATTAAAAAAATCATTTATAATTAATTTTTGAAATTCATGCAAGTTTTCATCAATGGGTAATTGTTTATATTCAATTTTTGAAATTTCAACATTGGAATTATTTTCTTCATTTTCTATAATTTTACTTAATTTTGATATATTATTTATACCATTTGATTTTACAATTAGTAATACTCTATTTGTTATATCATTTTCTGGTTTTATTGAAACATGTAATTTAAATTTATTAAAATTTGGATCAATTTTAATTAATAATGGAAATTTTTCAATCTCCAGTTCGTTTTCCTCATCATCACCACTGACATTCTGTATATAACTTATTTGTTCATCAATAATTTTATGAGATTGGGTTTCTTGTTTTGTTATTGAATCAACATATTTATTTTCATTTAATGGTATTATAATTCTTTCAAAATCTTCTGAATCTGTTAATATTAATTTATTTAATGTAACTTTAGTATCATTTGTTTGATTATATGGAAATGATAGTTTGGATAGTAGGTTCATTGAACTTTAAGAATGTATATTTTACAATTGATAAGGGTTATTAGTGGTTGCAATTGGCTGTAAATGATATATATTGGTTGTAAATATTATTAAAATTGGTTGTAAAAATCTTTTGATTATAAATTTCTATATTTGTGCTTAGTTAGTGAATTTAAAACCGTTTAACTTTTTTAATACGAAGAAATTTGCCTCTAGTTGGTTTTACTCGCACCGCACCGAATCAATCGGGTCGAGATTTGTTTTATGAATCTTGTAGCGGAGTTTATGAAAAAGTTAACCAGAACAAATAATGAGATAGCCTACACAAGTTTAGACGGTAGAAACTAAATACAATACACCAAACTTGATACTTCAGATTTCTCGATCATCTCTAAGTTCCTGATTAAACGATCCGACTTAGTTCAACTTGTAGTACCGTACGATCTCTAAACTCAACAAAAAAATTTAGAGCGCGAGTGAGAGGAGGAATTTAATTTCTCCATATTTTGATTTTGAAATTTACAACTCGATTGTTCTTCTTGTTGTTGTTGTGCTTGTTGTTATTGCTCATTAGTTCATCATTAGAACCAAAATTAGTTGTATTAGACTATCTATCCATATTTGTTTGCATTTACATGATCAATTGCTAGAAATTGTTGGAATTACTACTTAATTATCAAAACTTATCAACACTAACTAAAAAATAACCCAATTAATCCGAAATAACTTGAATTCAAGAAAAGATGTCAACATATTTACCAACAATAATATTAGATCCATTTGAAAAATACAGACCATTTCCAGAAAACCCCAAAAACCTATTAGAAGCTCATTGGCATGAAATTTTAGGATCAACAATTTTTTATTTTTTAATTCAATATTTATCAAAACCAATTTCAAAATTAATATTTGGTTCCAAATATACTACGCTCAAACCATCAACAAAAATTAATTTTGATGTTCATATAACTTCAATGGTTCAATGTTTTATATCAATTTTAATATTAGTACCACATTTAAATAATCCTCATTTTCAAAATAGAAATAATGATCCAATAAATTCTTTATTAGGTTATACACCTTTTGGTACATTAATTTGTTCATTAAGTGTTGGATATTTTATATGGGACTTGGTTGTTTGTTTGAAATATTATAAATTATTTGGTATTGGATTTTTATTACATGCTATTGCTGCATTATTTGCATTTGGTTGTGGATTTATACCTTATTGTCAACCTTGGGCTGGTGCTTTTTTATCATTTGAATTAAGTACTCCATTTGTTAATTTAAATTGGTTTGCAAGTCATTTACCTGCTGGTACTTTTAGTGATAAATTTGTTATAATAAATGGTTTATTATTAATTATTGTGTTTTTCTTTGTCAGAATTATATGGGGAATTTACGCAGTTATTCAAATGGGTATTGATATGACTTATTCATTAAATCAAATAAATATTTTAATTCCAATTTCAATTTTATTAATGAATACAGCATTAAATTTATTAAATATTTTTTGGTTTTATAAAATGATTAAAATTGCAAAAAAGAAAGCAAGTGGTAAATCATCTACGAAACAAAGTTCAAAAGAAATTGATAAAGTTGATTAATTTCAATGATTCATATATATAGACTTTACAAAAGATAGTTTAAAATTAGACAATTTTCTTACATATTGAGTGGATAAAGTTAACTCGACATGCTCTATATGCTCTATTTTATATATCGACTGTAATGGTAGTAGTAATGGTAATCGTAGTGGTCCTGGTGGTGTAAGTAAAATAACGATGGTAGTGTAATCTATGTCAAAAATTTGTCTAATATTTGGAATCGCCTTTTTTTCCTAATAATTGAAGTTTAACTGAAACTATCAGCAAATATAGTAACTTACTACCATTAACTTATCATCAAAAGTACATTATTGATTCATCAACATACAAATTGAGTCATATTTACGTTTCATACTCATCATAGCATCATACCATTGGTTTATACAAATTTAACTAAGTACTTATCTCAAACACATCCAAAATCAATATTATCTTTTTTTCTATTACGAGGGTCATTTGAAATTTAATACGTAATAATAATAATATTATACTTATCATTAGAAACAATATACTTTGCCACTAATAAGGTCTATACATTCACTATACAAAAAACAATCAAAACATATATAAGCAAACAAATCTATAATGAATAACGAATACGATTACTTATTTAAATTATTATTAATTGGAGATTCAGGAGTTGGAAAATCATGTTTATTATTAAGATTTGCAGATGATACTTATACACCAGATTATATTTCAACAATTGGAGTAGATTTTAAAATTAGAACAATTGAATTAGATGGTAAAACTATAAAATTACAAATTTGGGATACTGCAGGACAAGAAAGATTTAGAACTATTACTTCATCATATTATAGAGGAGCTCATGGTATTATTATTGTTTATGATGTTACTGATCAAGAAAGTTTTAATAATGTAAAACAATGGTTACAAGAAATTGATAGATATGCAACAGGAGGTGTTATGAAATTATTAGTTGGTAATAAAGCAGATTTATCAGATAAAAAAATTGTTGAATATACAACAGCAAAAGAATTTAGTGATGCTTTAGATATTCCATTTTTAGAAACTAGTGCATTAAGTTCTACAAATGTTGAACAAGCTTTTATTACAATGGCAAGACAAATTAAAGCTCAAATGACAAATAATTCTAATTCAAATGGTATTAATCAAATTGGTGGTTCAAAAAATAAAAATAATGTTAATTTAAGAGGTGAATCATTAACTTCAAATCAATCAAATAGTTGTTGTTAATAATAAATGTTTGCTTGCATTAGAGAGTAAGAGTAAAAGTGAGTGAATGTACCTGTGTCTGTGTCTGTTTTGTTTAATACAATTGAATTAATATAATAATAATTAACTAATAGTCCCTTGATCTTCGACTTAAGAAGAAAATCAATATTTTATCTAATAACATAGATATAATATTGAACATAAAGATTATTATCATTATCTCTTGCAAATCTACCTTTTCCAATTAAATTTTCTTTTAAAACCCATTTAAATTCTTCTTCTATAGAATCATCAAATATAAAATTTGGATTACAAGTAACATAACTTTCGGCGATTGATGCACTTGATGAAGAACCATCTAATACATCAATTGATGCTTTATTTAATTGTACTTTACCACCATAAATAATCTTAACTCCTGATCCATTGGGTGATTTACCATATAATTTACAATCTAAATAAGCAGTGTTAATTGATGGTTTAATATTTAAATCATCAGTACCAAATATATCATTAATTTGAAATTTAAACCCTAATTCATTTCCCTCAATTGCTCTAATTTCTCCTTCAGTAATAGTAGCTAAATTTAATGTATTATCAATTATTGTATTTGTATAGATTAGTTTTGGATCTGATTTTAATTTTAAATTGAAAGTTAATACTGGGATTAATTTTGGTGATGGAACTTCTGGTAATGACAATAAGTTAGACATATTTGAACCTGGTTCAATTGGGTTATAAGAAGAGTTGGGAAGCGTATAATGAGTGTGGAAGTGTGGAAACCTTGAATAAAATTTATGATTTTAGAACGAATATTTATAAAATCTGTGTTATTGTTAACTAGAAATAGTTTTATATATCAACAACCAATTCTTATATTAAGTATATGCAATTTATATCAAATAAGTATCAATCATAAAATCAAAAATTTATCAACTAAGTATCAATAATAAAATTTAGATTGATTTAGATTGATCTAAATTTTATTATCGATACGTAGTTGAATTTTAGAATATTACATAATTTTACAAATAACATTCTACTCTGACAAAGTTACATTCCTTAAGACGTAGTAGATCTACACAATTAAATCCAATTCAGTCCCTATAAACTGGTCAATGGTTTTTGAATTGAATTAGTTCCTTATGTTAAGCTTTGTTTGTCTACTGAGTTGATTAATTGATTATGTTTAGTGTGTAAACTGAATCAAATTTTTGAAAAAAATCAAATTGTGAGAATCTATTGACAATTCAATTTTTTTTCTATTGCCACCACCAATTAACAAACGAATCAACAACAGATTCAAACTACTATACTCAATCTTTGTTCATATAACCCACTGCATACTAGATTTGTTATGTCTGAGTCAAAAGATGTTGAAATGAAAGATGCCAATGCATCAATTGAAGAAACAAGATCAATAATTGAAGAAATTGAATCTTCATTTAATTTATTAGAAAAAGCTTCAAATACTTTTGATAATAGATATGTTTCAAAAGTTATACGTGATTTTGGACCATTAAGAAAGAAAATATTAAATTATGAATCAGTATTACCAACTATTATAAATGATGTATTTCCAAATAATTATAAATCAAAACAAGACTTATTAAATTTATTCACTGCCCAACCTTTAGATTATAAATCAAATAAATCTTTTAATTTTATACCTGAAATTGAATTATATATATATTTATTAATTCAAGTATATTTATTAGATACAAATCAAATTCAACAATTAAATGAATTAAGTCCTCATTTAATTAAAATTATGAATTCTTATAATAGAAGATCATTAGATTTCATACAGGCGAAAATTTGGTTTTATATAAGTAGAGGAAAAGAATTATCAAATGATTTAATTTCAATAAGAAATGAATTAATTTATAATTTAAGAACTTCAAGTTTAAGACATGATACTGAAACTACAGCATCAATTATAACCTTGCTATTAAGAAATTATTTATTATATCATGATATTCAACAAGCTTCAAATTTAGTTGAAAAAATTCAATTTCCTGAAAATTCAGCAAATTCTTTAATTGCAAGATATTATTATTATTTAGCAAGAATTAATGCTGTTCAATTAGATTATTCAAGTGCTCATGAATATGTTATTGCTGCTATAAGAAAAGCTCCTCAAACTAAATTTACAAATGGATTTATTCAATCTGCAACAAAATTAAATATTGTTATTGAATTATTAATGGGAGAAATTCCAGAATTAAAGACTTTCAAAAGTGGTAAAGGAAATTTTGAACCTTATTTTAATGTAACAAAAGCTGTAAAATTAGGAGATTTAAAATTATTTAAAGAAGTTTTAAATAAATATGAATCAATTTTTAAAAAAGATGATAATTATACTTTAATTTTAAGATTACGTCAAAATGTTATTAAAACTGGGATTAGAATTATTTCATTATCATATTCAAAAATATCTTTAAAAGATATTTGTATAAAATTACATTTAGATTCAGAAGAATCAACAGAATATATTGTTTCAAAAGCTATTAGAGATGGAGTAATAGAAGCAACAATAAATCATGAAAAGGGATATATGAAATCAAAAGAAATTTTAAATATTTATTCAACAAATTTACCACAACAAGAATTTAATCAAAGAATTAAATTTTGTTTAAGTTTACATAATGATAGTGTTAAATCAATGAGATTTCCAAATGATAATGAACAACAAAAAATTACAAATAAAGAAATTGAAAATGATGAAGTTGAATTATTAAAAGCTATTGAAGAAGGTGATTTAGATGATTTTATATAGTTTTTTGGTACTTTAATATCTCATAGACAAATATACAATTCATGATAAAAGTGGTTAAGATTTGAAGCTCTGATTTGTAGCACTTGGTAGTTGTATGAATTTGATCTCGTATTATCAAACAAATTTTTTTTTCATATAATTCTACAGTCTTTGAGTTCACCAGTCACCATTTCACCAATTACTCGAGTCTAAATCTGATGAAGGCATTAAGACTAATAAGGCAGTATTCCAATAAGCCTGATTTATTTTTAAATCCTCATGCATGGGAGGGTCTTCCAGCAGATCAAATTTTTCAATTACATCAAATAAGAAAAAATTATATGGGAAAAGCATATAATCCAACAAATGAAGAAAGAACAGCAATATTATCAACTATAACATCTCTTGCAAGATCTAAACCTAATTTAGATTATTCATTTGAAATAGAAAATTTTAAAGAAAGAATAATGAATAATACACCAATGAAAGATAGAGGAAATCCTCAAAAATTAAGTAATCAATATGTTATAAATTCTGGAAACATACCACATAATGAAAGAAGATTTGAACAATTAAATAGAATAGCTGCTTATGAAATGCCATTATTAGTTAAATATAGAGAAAAATATATACCACCTGACCCCAAAGATTCACCAATAAAATTAATTTATAATTCAGATTTTTCAAATGAAACATCAAATAAATTTAATAGAAAAGTAACATTACAAGTAAAACTTCAAGATTTAAACTTGAATAAAGAACAAGAACATAAATTTAAAATATTATCAGGAAAAAGATTTCATCATGATTTACAAACATTTCAATTAAAAAGTGAAAAATATCAAACCGCTTCACAAAATGTAACATGGTTAATAAATACATTTAATAAATTATTAAAAGAATCCAAGGATTTATCCAAAGAATTATTCGAAGATATACCATTAGATAAACGTCATATGAAAACTTGGACAAAAAAACCAATACCAAATTTTCCTGAAAATTGGAAAAAACCTGAGGATGCTCCTGTCAAGAGACATGATATTATATCGGATTTAGTTGAAATTAGTAAAAATAAATTAGATAATGATCAATTACAAAAAATAAGTCCATAAATGTATATAGAATTGTTAATAAACTAGTTGGGACAGTCTATTTTGAATTTACGTCTTCGTTTAACTCTCTCGTGTGAGTATTTGCAACGCTGGCTTAGCCTTTGCTTCAGACTATAACAAGAGGTCCTTGCACTTATGTGGTGGACCTTAATCTGGTTGATTTATGTTTGAATCTCAATCTCGTAATTTTCTATTTGTGTCAAATTTTAATTTTCAAAACAAAATCATATACCAACTGATTCTAAAACAACCACTTAAGTTCCAAAATCATAGACAAGCAAATAACTCAAAATCCATCCAGAATGTCTGAGAATGGGGCATCTACTACATTAAATGATATAATAGATGAATTAAAACTAACTTATGATTCATCTATTGGAGTATTAGATGGAGAATCAATACGGAATATACCAAATATCAATACATTATTAAATTTAAATAAATTATTAAAAAATTTATCAAAACAATTAGATGAAGTTGAAAATACAGATGATGAAATATTAAATAAAATTAATATCTTACAAACAAATGAAAAGAAACGTCATTTAGAAGAAGATGATGATGAAACTAAAGAAAAAGAAAATGATGAAGATTCACTACATAAGAAACGAAAGACTGAAGAAATAAATTCAAAAGATGATCCAGTACCGCCAGTTCAATCTGGTTCATTCACTCATGAAAATGATACAAGACTAAAAAATCCTAAATCTGAATATGTTGAACCTCAAACATTATCATCAGAAGCAATATCAGCTCTTGGATTATTTTCTGAATCAAATAATGAGTTAGAAACTCATGGAAAAGAATATTTAAAAAAGAAATATGGAGTTGCATCATATCCAGAAAATGATTTATTAAATTTATTACCTGGTACTATACCAAATATAGATTTTTCAAAAAATAAACCACCAACAAATCAAGTTCAATTTACAACTTTCCAATCATATATAGAATCATATTTTCGATTATTTAATAATGATGATTTAAAATTTTTACAAGAAAGAAATATTATCCCACCTGGATTTGAAAAATTAGGTTATGATCCGGATGTATCACCTTATCTTATACCAAAATTAGGTAAATTTTATACTGATGTTTGGACAGAAGAAGATCCTTCATTAGCTTCAAAATTGAATGCTTCTACTGCATATTCAACTCCAGGAACTAATGATTATGTTGCAAAAGGTTCTATTAATTCATTAAATGATGATAATTTATATACTGAAGAAATATCTTGTGGTCCTTTATCAAGTCGATTATTATCAGCTATATTAAGTAATCATGAAGCAGGAGGAGGAGGAGGAGATAATGATGAAGAAACAAAAGATAATATTTTAGAAGATGAAGTAGCAACACAATTAAATAGTGGAGAAGATTATAAAATTACAACTGAAATAAATGATTATCAATCAATTGAAGATAGATTAAAAAGAGAATTAAAATATATTGGAATATTTATGAATTTACCAATAAATGATGAAAAAAAGAAAAGAAATTCTAAAATAAGTATAATTGATAATGATGAATGGATTAAAAATAAAGAAGATGATGAAGTATGTGCAGAAATTAGATCATTACAAAAACAATTAAGAGAAGTAGTTAGTAGAAATAGAGCTAATAAAAAATTACTACTACCTATAATTGAAGATCATATAGCATATCAAGAATATTGTACAATTTTAGAAGATTTAGATAGACAAGTTGATCAAGCATATATTAAAAGATCAAAAGGAAAAGGTAAAAAGAAAAAAATTGAAAATCATAATACTACTCCACAACAACAAGCTGTAAATAGTGGATTAAGAGCATTATTAGAAAAAAGGAAAAGATGGATTGAAAATATTGGTAATTTATTTCCACCTGCAGAAAAAATGAAAAGAGTACCTGATGAATCAATATTAATTAAACAAGGAGAAGTTCAAAATGATGAGGAAGAAATTGGAGTAGATGAGACTAATGATCTTTTCAAACAGTAAAAGGAATAAATAAAGAATGTACGATTTTAATGATTTTATTTACAGTCTATAATTCTATTACTTAAAATCCATTCCTTTTGTGATTTCAGAAAGTGGTGGAATAGATTTAACATTCCCCACTGCGGCTAAAGCTATTGGTTTATTTTTTAACCTATAATTAGTCCAATTTATAACATCTTCTTTTGTAATTGATTCAACTCTTGCAAATACATCTTCCGGTGATAATCTATAACCAGTATTTACAACTTGTCTTCCAATATCTTCAGCAATAGCTGTAGAATCATCTAATGCTAAAAGTAATGAAGCTTTTAATTGTGCTTTAGCTCTTTCTACTTCTTCATCAGTTATTTTACCTAAACTTAATCTACCCCATTCTTTTTGTATAGCATCTATTAAAATTTTTAAATTTGAATTTTTATCAGCTGTAAAATAAACTCCTAATAATCCAGTATCTGCATATGATGTAGTATAAGCCATATATGAATTAGCAATTGGAGTATTTCCTGGTCCACCTGTGGCAGCAGTTACAGCTAATGGAGATGGTGAATTTGATCCAATACCAATTGATCTATCCCATGATCCAATTATTCCATTTGCTACAGATGCAACAAAAAAATCAGGTGCTGACCAACTAACACCTTCAACAGCTAATGCTACATGAGTAGTTGGTAAAGCATCATCTTGAACTCTAATTTCTTCCCCATAAAATATTGGTAAATCATCACCACTTTGTTTAAAAGGTTTATCTGATTTTTTTATATCTCCAAAATATTTTTTTCCAAGGTTAACTAATTCCTGGTGATCAACACTTCCAACTCCTATTAATGCCATTCTATCTCCTTTATAATTTGTAGTTATATAATTTCTTAAATCTTCTCTATTTATAGTTTTAATCAAATCTCTTGGTCCTAATATAGTTCTACCTAAATCTTGATTTTTGAAAGCAACAGAATGTAAATGATCAAATACAACTTCATCATACATTTTATCAACTTCATCACTTTCTTGTAATATTACATGTCTTTCATTTTCAATAGCTTTTGTTTCTAATTTTGATTTTGTTAATAAATCACTTAATATATCTACATTTTGATTTAAATCTTCTGATAAACATTTAGTATAATAAACTGTATTTTCTCTACTTGTATATGCATTAATTTGTGATCCTAAATTTTCAATTTCTAATTCTAAATTTAATTGAGTTCTTTTATTTGTTCCTTTAAATGCTAAATGTTCAAGAAAATGTGCTGTTCCACTTGATTTGGGATTATCAGCTCTTGATCCAGCATTTATCCATACTCCTACTGTAGCAGTTTTAGTTCCTGGCATTGATTCACTTGCAACTGTTAAACCATTAGGTAGAACAGATGTTTGATATGTAGGTGCTGGTGTAGTTGCGTTTGTGAAATGTCTACTTAGACTTGGTATTCTTCTCTTGGGTATGGGTATTCTAGATAGCATGTTGATGTGGGTTGAGTATGAAAAAGGAATAAGATGTAATTGATGATTAGTTATCACTCTTTTATAGTAAAAGATTAATAAGTTTTGATAAATCCAGATTTCAAAAATCGTTTGGTAGCTTTTTTGTATGTCTGAAAAAAAAAGTAATACCGAGACAGAAACATCAACAAAACAAAAGTTACATTCAAAACGTAATATCATTACCTTCACAAACACAAGACCCTCATAATCAAAATGGCTTATACTGCACCGGCCGTTGTGATAGACAATGGATCCTACACAACTAAAGCTGGCTTTGCCCTGGAAGATCTACCGTCACTAGTCTTTAATTCAAACTATACACAAATACCAGAAACTAAAAAGATAATAATTGGAGATGAAGAAATGGAACAAAATTCACAATATCCAGTTCAAACGTTACTAGAAGATGGAGTTATATATAATTTCGATAATATAGTTCACAATTGGAGATATGTTTATGATAATATAGATAATTATAATCTGATAAATTCAAAAGATTATCCATTAGTTATGACTGAACAATCATGGAATCCAATGAAAAATAAAATTAAAACTTGTCAATTAGTATTTGAAGAATTAGAAGTACCAATTTTCAGTCTTGTGAAAAATCCAATAAGTCAATTATATAGAAGTGGTAGATCCACTGGATTAGTTGTTGATATTGGATCAAGTGTTACAAGTGTTACTCCAATAATAGATGGAGTAATTCAAGGAAAATCAACTTTTCATACAAAATTTGCAGGAGATTTTTTAAATTTACATGTAATTAATTATTTACAAACTAAAATTCAATCAATAGATGAATTATTACCAAATAAGTTTAGATCAAATCTTGCTTCAGATTCATTTAAAGCTTATTATATGTCAACAAACATTTTACAAGAATATAAAAATTTAACAAGTAATTATCAAATTTCAAATTTTGAAATATATGATCATAAATATTTAAATGTATCTGATCAACACAATTCATATTTAAATAATTTATTTAATCCTTTAGCAAATCCTATACCTAATTTCAATCTAATGACAGAACCACCATCTTTAGATAAACCAAGTACTCAAGGTTTAAGTTCATTATTTTATTTAGTATTGAAAAATCTTGAAGCTTCATTATTACCTACCACAAATGAAGGTCCATCACAAAATAGATTTGCAAAATTTATGGAAATTTTTAAAAATGTTATTTCAAATGTTTTAATTACTGGTGGTACTTCATTAGCTGGTGATTTATCACATATGATAATAAATAATTTAAAATATATAACTCAACAAGAATTTCCAAATTATTCTTTTCATTATAATGTACAACAAATTAAATCAAGTTCAGATAGTAGTGAAATTTGGGATAAACAATTTAGTAGTTGGTTAGGAGCTTGTAATTTAGCATGTATGTTAAATGATAATGAAGATAATTCAAGTAGTGCTAAAATTGCATTAGATAATTGGTTTATTACGAAAGCTGATTATGAAGAATTGGGAGAGGATTTAATCGTAGAAAAATTTAAATAAGTTTTTTAATAAAGACCTGTACTATTATCTTGAGCATTTACTAATATTCATATCTATCACTTTTTCCATGTAACATATTTATTATCGTACTTTGCAGTCTCACCATGTAAATCTAAGATTTGCTTTATTTTCAAATCAACACCTAACTTATCATCAGTTTTGGTTTTAAAATGTTTAAAAACTTCAGCTGGTGTTGGTAAATAAGTTCTATTTGATCCATCACTACCTTCTATATATTTAGCAACTTCTTTGTTTTTTGGTAACCCGAAATTCAATGGATAATCATTATAATCTAATCCAAACCATTTTTTAATTAATGGTGATGATAACAATTTTAATGTATCTTCATTTGCAGTTAGTATATTTTTTACAAATTCTGGAGTAACAGTTTTAGGATCATTCCACTGTGGATAAAATGGATCTTTTATTTTATCAACTAATTTATGAATTACACCTTTTGCAAAATCATTTTCTTTTGGTGGTAATCTTTGAATATTTGTAGCTGCTATCATTTCTAACTCAAATTGTTCCTTTATTGTATTTTTTAATCCTTGATTCATTAATTCAAAACCAATGGCTAAGGATGATCTTGGTTTTTGTAATAATGTTTTTAAAGTTTTTTGAGCAAATGGTGAATCATCTTTTTTCAAAAATTCCAATACTTCATTAATATTATTTTGTGAAAATGCTTTCTCTATTAAATCAATATCATCATCACTTAAGAAATATTTGTAATCATTTGGTAATTGTTTTTCACTGAACTCGTTCAAAATAGTATTTACTTGTTGAAAATATTGATTGTTTCCCTTGATTAATGAAATTTCTCCTTCAATTTCAGGTGGTTGTAAATTTGCCAATCTATTAATCAAATGTGGGATTTTTTCAGATTTAATATAATGAGTTGCAAAACCTGTAAAATAAGCATCTAATCCATTCAATATAGTACCAGTTAAAGCTGTATAATAACCTAATTTATTATCTAACCTTGGTAAAAAAAAAGTAGTACCAACATCTGGAAAAAATCCAATATCCATTTCAGGCATTGCTAATTTAGTCTTTTCTGTTGCAACTCTAAAAGGTGCATGAACAGATAATCCAACACCACCTCCAAAAGTAATTCCATCCATTAATGAAATATAAGGTTTTGGTAAAGTTGAAATTATATAATTTAAATTATATTCTTTATCAAAAAAATCTGCTCCATAACCTGGATTTCCCTTTACGATTTGATTTGCACATTCAGCTACATCACCACCTGCACAAAGAGCTTTTGGAGAATTTGAAGTTAAAATAGTAACATTATTTACTGGTTCTTTAGCATAATTTAATAAATCTGGAGTTATTAATTCAATCATTTCAGTATTTAATGAATTCAATTTTCTTACTCTATTTAATGTTATGAATCTAGCATGATTTTTAGAAGAATGTAATACTACTGGTTCCTCAGCACCAGCTGTTGGATTTGATGATATTTGTTGACTCATTGATCTATAATTGTAATGGAATAGATTAGATTTACTATGAATTGATATTGCTTTGATCCCCTTGTTTATGATTGAAGGTTTTATCAACATATAAATTGAAATGCAAAAAAATATCAAATTTAATAAGGATATTATTCTAAATTTATTGTACTATTATTGTACTATAATTATGTGAAAAATATTGTGGAGAACAAATTATGATTCCGTGGAAATTTAGATAAAAACTTTGGTAGCTCAACTATCAACTAGATTTCATACAATGTATGAAGAAGAACATGTCGTAAGAAGTAAAACAAAAGAGCTAAGTATTATTCGATATTTGACATGATATTTAATCTATTTGCATTGATTCAACTGCTAAATTATGCTGTTTCAATTTATAAGGATTAATTTCTTTAACTTTTATACCAAATCTTTTATCTTTAGTTAATTGTATTAAATGATTTATAATATCATTTAATTCATTTGATAATTTATAATTTGAATGAACCCAATTACATTTAAAATTTTCATCACCACCATTTAATCTTATAACTTCTTGTGATTGATCATTAATTAAAATAGTTGTTGATTCTTTTACATTTGAAATATTTGTACCTAATTTTAATAATGATTTTAATTTTATTGAAGATATACCTAATTGTGGTAACGGTATTTCCATACCTGGTAATACTGGTTTTGAAGCATCAATTCCATGTTTACCAGTTGGATTTGATGTTAATAATATTTCCTCTAATGGAATGAATTTTGTAATTTGTATTGGTTTTTGTTGTATTAAATGACGATTTATTAATTCTGCTGATCCTAATCTAAATGATTTTAATTCGTGTTTAACTGATTCAATTTGATTTTTAATTTGTTCTTCAGATTCTGTGACTACTATGGGAAAAGAACTACTTGCAAAATCTAATTTAAAAGGATAAACTGAAAATGATTTGTCAATTTGTCCTAATAATTTTCTTGCTGTTTTTAATTTTAATTGATGAACTATTGCAAAATCACGAACGAAAATTGATGGTTTTGAGTTAAAATCTTGTTTATAATTTTTTCCAGAAAAATTATCAATTTCTTGTGTTGTAACAATACCTAATTCATTTTGAACACCACTCATACTTATTTCAATTTGATATACTTCTCCTGGAACAATTATAAAATCATCTGATGGTATAGCTGATGAACTATTTGTTGCTCTTGGTTTTTTAACATCTGTACTTAATTCCATTGATCCCTGTTTCAAAAATCTAGCTTCTTGATGTGATTCATCCCAAACAACTCCTTTGAAATCACGCTCTGCAACTATCCCTTCCGCTTGTCCTGCTAAAAATCTTCTGATTCGTCTAACTTTGGAACCTGGTACAACTATACAATTGAAAGAATCAGCAATTGCATCAACTAATTGACGTATCTGACTACCATTAATTGTGTTACTCGTGTTTTTTAATTGTTGTGGTAATTTTTCAGGAGATAAAGAACATCCAATCAATGCTGAAACTGCCTCCGTTGCTATATGAGTTGCACATAATGCATCTGCATTATTTCCTAATAAGGGACCATTAGGTTTAGCATTTTCTGTTGGATATATTACAATCGTATGACTTAATTGTGATGTATAACCATCTATTTGAACTCCTAAACTGATTGTAGCAACATCTCCTTCACTTAAATATAATTCTCTCTCGTCATCTATTTCTGGTGCGAATCCATTCAATAATTCATTTACATTTATTGTAGTTGGTGCAGCAATTCCTTTTTCATTTACTTTATTCACATATCGTTTTGATAATAAATCTGTTAAAAATGAATCTGATAATAAACATAATTGTTGTATCGATAATTTATCTGTAGTTTTTAAGTGATATGAATTATTAATTAATGAAATTATATATTGTAATCCTGTTTGAGATATTTGACCTGCTACTCTATATTTTTCTATAACTCCATCATCTAGTATGTTTTTCTGTTTCAACAAAATATCTGCATCATCTTGATGAACTGCTACTAACATTTTCGTTCTGTTGTGTAAATAATGGTTTATTAGACTGTATTGTAAAATGAATTTTCTAAGTAAAAAATCTCATCTCTATTATTTCAAGAATATTACACAAAATCAATTGGTTGCAAAAAGAGTAAATACTGAGAAGATAGTTTAAGCTAATCAGTAATATCGTCCATTAATTTATATCATGTCTTCGTTTGTATCATCATTATACTCTGGTTGAGAGTCTCTATCCAAAAATTCATCATATGACTTTCCGAAGTTATTGGTACAATCAGGATCATCTGAATATTCACTTCGTTCATCTTCCTCTGAATTTTCATCATTTTCCTCAATTCCATCACTCAGTTCAGTCTTACTAGTATCATTTATTTTCATCTTTGTAGAAACATACTCTTCTTCTTCTTTTTCTTCTGCTTTTTTGTTCTTCTTTCGTTCTTTTGACCATTGCAAATAATCATTGTACTGATCCACCACTGTTTTTTCTTTCTCATAAATTTCGCTCGGCACACTTGGATCTCTAACTGATCCTAAATGAGTATCTTCAAAAAATTTAATTGGTTCCATATCATTTGGAAAATATTTTTGTTTAACAATTCCATTTTCATAATTTGGATTATATTTATAATCTTCACCAAATCCCATTGATTTCATTAATCTAGTTGGTGCATTTTTTAAATGGATTGGAACTGGTAATCTTAAAACATCTGGATTCTCATTAATATATCTTTGAGCAGATCTTAATGCACGATAAGATCTAGTTGATTTTGGAGCTCTAGCTAATTTTGTAGTACAATGAGCTAAAATTATTTCACCTTCAGGCATTCCAACAAATTCAAATGCTTGTTTTGCTGCAACCATGAAAGGTAAACATGATCCATCTCTTAATCCAATATCTTCACTTGCAATAACTGTCATTCTACGTAGAATAAACAATGGATCTTCTCCACCAGAAAGCATTTTAACTAAATAAAACATTGCAGCATCAACATCAGATCCTCGTATAGATTTATGGAAAGCACTAATTATATCATAATGAGCATCTCCATTTTTATCATACATTTGATGAAAGTTTCTTGATTTTAAAATAGTCTTTAAATCATCAACAGTTATTTTTGTCGGTTCATTCTTTTGTTCTTCTTCTTTATTAGCTGAGGAGTAAGCATTTACTGTTTCAAGGATATTAAGAGCAACTCTTGAATCACCCATACATAAATCTGCAATATATTTGAAACCAGCTTTGTCTATTGATAAATAAGGCAATTTAAATAAAAGTTTTCTCATTTTATTCACTTCAAATAAAGCTCGATTTAAAATTTTCATCACTGATTCTGTGCTAAATGGTTCCAATACAAAAACATGCATTCTTGAAAGTAAAGCATTATTTAATGAAAATGATGGATTTTCGGTAGTAGCTCCAATAACAGTACAAGTTCCCTTTTCAACATGTGGTAGGAGTTTATCTTGAACTAATTTATTATATCTATGAATTTCATCAACAAATAAAATTGTTCTTTGACCAGTTAATTTCCTATGATTTTCAGCTTGACTAAACACATCTTTCAAATTTTTAGCAGTACTGTCAGCTGCCGACAATTCAACAAATTTATGTGATGATTCTTTAGCAATAACTCGACATAATGTAGTTTTACCAGATCCTGGTGGACCCCATAATATAAAAGAAGGTATTAAATCTGATTTTATTATATTACTTAATGTTGCTCCTTCTCCCAAAACATGTTCTTGACCAATGAACTCTGATAATGTCTTTGGTCGTAGTCTATGAGCCAAAGGAATACCCAGTTTTCTTTTTAATTCAGCTAATTCTTTTGCAGCATCATTTTGAGTAGGCGTGTGTTTTTCATCTTCTTGATCAGGTTGACTTTTAATAGCTTGTATGGACTCATCAAAGCTTTGTTCTTTGAAGCTTTCACTTTTCTTGATTTCAGATTTATTCTTCTTCTTCTGTGAATCGAGTTTTAAACCTAACGCGGTAAATGCATCACGTTTTTTCAGAATTTTCGTATCGGTTGTAGATGGTTTCTCTTGACCGTCTAAACATGAGTTGACATGTCTCTCTAGTAGAGTTTCTGGTATAGGTTTAGCACATATAGGACAAATAGTGTTCATTTATGAATGGAGTATTCTTGATGCAAAATGAGGAACGGTTAGTAAATTAAATTGGATTCTACGTGATTTAATATCAACAATTTGGTAGCTTGATTTTAAGCAGATTCTAAATCATTTTTGTACGCGATAAAGAATTCATATCACACTTTTGATTCAAACTTTCAAATCCAAATAGATGACTGATATAGAATTCAATCTACTGGGATCCCCAACAAAACGGAGAGGAGGATTCAAAAAGAAACGAAACACGGTCAACTCCCAACTTGATATTTTACAAGAATCAAATGAAGATATAGCAAAACAATATAAAAAATTCACAAATGCTCCAAAATTTAATTTAAATAGTGAAGAAGTTTATTGTATATGTCGTGAACCAGATGAAGGAGATATAATGGTAGCATGTGATGGATGTGAAGAATGGTTTCATATGAAATGTATGAATGTTAATCCTGATGTATCAAATTTAATATCAAAATTTTATTGTAAATTTTGTAATTGGAAAGGTATTGGAGTTACGTTATGGAAAAGAAAATGTAGATTGGACGGGTGTTTGGAACCTATAATGGATAATTCAAAATATTGTAGTAAAGAGCATGGAGAAGAATATATGAAAAGATTATTTTATGAAACCAATATTGATACAGGTATAATTAAAAAAGTATTAAATTATGTTGATAATGGAGAAAAATTACATCAATTAGGCTCTGAATTTCCTGAACTTGAAGAAGTTAAAGCATTCAAGAGTAATGGCAATATGAATCAATTTCCTAAAGATACTCAAGATGAATTGACAATGTTGGAAAATAAAATTAAAATAACTAATGAAAGAATACAAAATCAAGAAACAAAATTACAAACTTTACAAAAATTAAAAGAGAGTACTAAATCAATAAATGAAAAACTTTCGGAAATAATTTATCCTGAAGAGAATCAAAAGAAGAAAAAACATAAAAAAATCGAATTATGTATGTGTGATAAATCTGAAAATAATATGGTTATTCGAATTGGTTCTTCTGACGACTTGATGGAAAAATTAAGTAACAAACTACAAAAGATTCGTGAGAATGACGAGAAGGAAGAGGATGAAGGCGAAGATGAGAATGAAGATGAAGATGCAATGGAGACGGATGATTTACAGGATGAAGATATTGAAGATCCTGATTGGTTTCATAATGTATGCATAAAAGAGAAAAAAAAATGTCATCGACATTCTGGTTGGTTTAATCTTTATTATGATGAAGTTATAAAAGCACTAGATCAATTACTTGTTAAAAAAGATCAATTACAAATTGAAAAAAATAATGTTTTACGAAATTATTCTGTATCTATATATGAAAATCAATAGATATCTTAGGAGTTAGTGAAGTTAAATACTTACTTCAATTATTCATTGCTTTGATCATTGAGTTTGGGATGTTGTAGTTGTTGATACTCCATATAATCACTTTCCTTTGCTACAAAACTTTACTCGTATGTTCTAATAATTGTCTGATTTGATTTATTTATTTCGTCAGACATTTCTAGTTTTATTATATTTCATTCCACATGTATATGGGTAAAATTAGTTTAAGTAATATTACATCAGATTTTAAATCTAGCCTAGCCTAATCAGTATCTTGTGGAAAATTAATCAATTCGCTATTAGTTCAAAAAAATAAATTATTCAAAACAATCTACGTTATTATTAATGTAAGATGAAGATCCTTTTTTTTCTCTATTTAGTCTATCAATCTATTTTTCAATCATCTTTTGCTCCTTCAACTTTGAGTAAAACTTGAATTTTACATTTGTGATTTGTTAACTCGTGGTTGACGACAATCTGTAATACTTTTTTTCTTAATTACATAATCTTTGAATTTTTAGGGGTTTGGGTAATTACTTATATGAAATTTGTCATTTTTGTTACAAAATGATTGTTGAAGGCGGGACTGTTTTTAAGTTCAATTAGATGACCCTGAGAAAACTTTAATATAACAGCAAAATTAAATTAATATTTGAATTGGTTGATTTATTGTAAATTAGAATTAAGGTTTTCAAAGATAATTCTTGGTAAATTTTTCATTCACCTATTTTAAGTTTTATTAAATGACGACCGGTTAATGATTTATCCATATACTTTTTTTTTAAATTAATATAAGTATCATTACTAAAATTATTCTAGATCTACGATTCAACTTAAAAGTTTCAGATTAATTTTGATAAATTCACCTATACTCTTCACATTCATCTAAATTTGTTTATTCATTTATTTAATCTACAAAGCCTAAATGTAAGCTCTGTTCAGTAAAAAGGTTAATCTTCATTAAACCACTTTGCTACGTACAAGAATGCAGAAATTGGAAGTATAAAATATGGACAATTTTTAAAGATGCCGATGCATGAGGTATAAAACCCTTTTTTTTTCTCAATCTGATTGAAAGACTCAATAAACTTTCAAACCTTTTATTTGAAAGCAATTGAACTGAATTCCTACTTTGTTGAACAGCTGTCTTAGTTTAAAAAAACTTAGCTTCGTCTGTTCTAAACACCTTCAAACTGATGTTGTTTCTTTATTCTCCTAATAGAATTTTGAAATTATTTTTGATCTACCGGAAATTTGTAAGTCCTAGGTTTTGCCAGGTAAAATTTTTTAAGAAAATTAAATTCATTAGCCTAAACGAATTATTATTTAATTAATTCAAACACCTGAAAGATCGTCGATTGAGATTTTCATTTTCAAACTTTTTTGCATAAGCATTTTTCAGCAAATTTAACTATCAATGCAATGAATTTTTCAATTGAATTAAAAAAAAAGCTTGTTTCATCAAATCGGAAAAGAGTATATCCAATACTGAGAAAATCAGAGTGGAGATTTACTTATTGTTTTAGCAATAGAATGCACCTACCTTAAAATATCCAATCAATTTTTAGGTTTGAATATTAATTCAGAATATTCAATAAAAAAAAAATTAAAAAAAAAAATTCTCGTGAAGTGAGCCCTGGTCTTAATTTTACGTGAGATCCTTTTTTTATAGATCTGAATCTTACCTTAGATCAGATCAGATCTAAAATTCTGTTAACGAAATCAATGATTAATTAGTATCTTTTTATAAATTTTATTCTTAAACCATCATTTATGTTTCTAATGGATCTATTAGGTAAATTACGCTTTTCTTGATTTTGATTCTCATTCAACATATGGTGAAAAACTTTTTTATAGTTTTGAATTTGTTTCAAAGAATAATTTATCGAGAAATTTTACCATCTTTGCTTGGTCATACAAGAGCATGAAATTTTCATAAATGTTGAGTGATTGTAACACAGCAGAAAAAAACAAGCTTTTTCGTTATCGTCCCTGCTGCTCCAATTATGCAAAAATTATTTTGTTCGATAACTGTGGCACATTTCCTTAATTCCTTATTTAGTAAAACGTTTTGAAACGAAAATTAACATGCTTATACTTTTTTATACGTTTGGGCCTGCCTAAGCAAAGTTTAAAATGAATGTAATAATGAATTGAATTTTTTGAATGACAAGTTTGAAGAAATTTAAACTTTTTTCTTCTCTTGATCTGATCTTTCACATTAATTTTAGTTCATTTTTCATATATCCGATGATTAATTTTATTACACTGGTACCCTAGCATGTGGGACCTGTTAAATTTACAATTTAGATACTTTTTAAACTTTATCTTTATTATTTATTTAAAGAGGGCAGTTTAATTTTCAATCTCAATTTGTGATAAAGGCGTAGATCTACTACCAAGAATAAATTGAGAATGGATTATTGTTTAAGCTAAATAAAATACAATTCCAAGTAAAAAGTGGCATGATTTTTATGAAACATTAATTTTTCATTACGATAACAATAAGATCCCTTTTTCTGTTTTTTTTCATCTCATTTAAATTTCGTATTTATATTTATCGTCTTTCATCAAGTTAGTAAGATCTGAAACTACATGAAGAGATGTTTTTATGATCTTATTGTTCATGATGAGAAATTTCAGGTCCTAATGCAAATGAATTACTCTGACTTTCTCGTAGTTTGATCTCTATATAACAGGAATCTCGGTCAATTCTTATTTTCACATATTCAAATTTACAGATCACCAATGTAAAAGTGTAAATTCTCGACTAAAATATTATATATTAATGAGTTTAATTATAGAATGTTCTAAGAGTAATGAACAACAAATCTAATCGATTGAAAAAAGTATAAGCCAAATTTTAATCAATGCATGTAATGTCACTTAAAAATGAATTAATCTAAGTCTCAAGAAATTTCTCTCAACTTAAGATCTCAATTTTCAGTTAGTATCATAAATTTTAGTCAATGTTACATGAAATAATAATAAGAAGATTAATCGTTTCTTTCTTTCTTTCTCCAATAATAACTAACCTATTACATAATTCTTGGTATCAATCTTGAAACCCTTTGATACAACCAAAAGATTTTATTAATTTATGTAAGATTGATGCAAATAAAAACTCGAAAGATAAAGCTTGTCTATGTCATAAGATAAGATTTACTTAATATTTGACTAATTTCAAAATATTCAATAATCTTTCGTCCAACAATAATGGAGTTCTTGTCATTGTGGCCTATTGTAATTCTTTGCTCATGAATTCTAAATATAAGTTTGTTAAAGTCGGATCGATGAGATCTAAATTAATTTAGTTATTTGAAAACTAAAAATTAAATGAAAAAAAAAAATATTATAAATTCATTATACCGCCTTTTTATCAAAGTTTCCTCTTTTTGAAATTAAAGTTTATCTACAACACAAAATGTAAGAGAATGAAAATTGTAGATATTATAATCATGAATAGGAGGATGACAACTTCTTCATCTAATTCTTTAATTCTAGACATGGTCAACGAATGAAAAAGAGTTAATGCATAGCAGTATCACTTTTCAAAGTAAGATATGTCTGATATTTGTGGAAGGACCAAAAAATTAAATCTTTCGTTCCGAGATTTCAGAAATGAGATCTAAAGAAAAAGCAAATAATTTGTAGCACTAAAAGTGCTTTTGTGTAATATGTTTAGCTGTTTAATAAAAGAAAGCGCAAATGATACATTTATACTTAATTCAATAAGGAATTTCAAAAAACCAAGTATGAACTTGGGTGAGTAAGTAAAATGAATTAACTACTAAACTTAAATGTTGCCATTCCATTTCAAAGAAAATGATTTAGTATTGGACACTAAACAAGAGACAAGATGTAGTTAACGTGTGAAGTTTCGTAAATATTACACTGAGATCTATAATCGTAATATGTATAACAATCAATTTACAGAATTATTTTTGAGCCATTCAAATCAAAGAGACTCAAAATAGAAATAAAATTCCATTAAAAATTTCGCATTCGCTCAATTTATTTAATCTACAAAATCAAATGGCCATGCACCATGTGACAGTCTTAACTCATAATTGCCGACTCTAACCATCTCAATGTTACATGAAACCTATTGAATAATTTAAAGATAAAATAATAATATTTTATTTTATAATAATATTTTGTTCTTTTGTGCAAATCGATCTAACCGAGGCGAACGAAATTGGAATGGACAAAAAAGGGTCTTTATATTTTAATTTCTTTATGTTACATCACTTGATTGGAAAAAGAAAGTATGAAGTACAAGCTGAACAACAGAAAATTAGGTCATCATTGAATATATCTTCTTATCTTGATGACGAAAAACTATTTTAGAGTCTATGATTTTTATTTCAAGAGTGTCGTTACTAAAAATTATATTTCGCAAAAAGTACGAAAATTAATAAAAGATATCAAACCATAAATCTATCTAATTGTTCTGATCAATTAAAAAATGTATCAAAAATTTTAGTTATCTTGACCTATTTTACTCCAATTGCATAAATTATTATTTTTGGTGAGTTTGATAATAAAGAATTCTATTACATGGGTAAGCTAAATCATTAGATTGGTTTGTTCTAACCCAAGTCTGCAACAGAGATGTTTAAAGATATTTGTAGTTTCATAATTTTTTATTAATTTTAATTTATATAACATTATATACTATATGTTTAACTAATGTATACAGAATTGAATAAAATATATTGATTTTTTTTTTTTTTAATATTAACTAGTAAAATATATTTAGCAATTGTTTTTATTTTTATATTAATGACGAATTAAAGGAAATGTAGGTATGATATGAGGATGTGATGTATTATGATTATAAGGGATTGGTGGAGGTAATGAAAATTTAATTGGATTATAATTTGATTGTTGTTGTTGTGGAGGTTGTGGGATTGGATTATAGTTTGGATGTTGTTGTTGTTGAGGTTGAAATTGATGATGATGTTGATGTTGATTTTGATGTTGTTGAGGAAGTATTCCATAAACATTCATACCAATACGATCAACCCCATGATTCCCATTATTTAAATTATTATTATGTTTTTTAACACTTATTCTTCTACCATTTTTACCTTTTGTTACCTTATTATTTAAAACTTCTTCAGCAGCTAATAAAGCACCTTTTCTTTTAACTAATTTAGCATGATATAAACCACAAGCATTACATAAAGTTCGTACCCCCTTAGGACCTCTTCTCCATTCTGGAGTTTCTGTTGTTCCACATCTATGACATTTATTCATTGGTCTATAATTTATTTCTGGAAATGAATTTTTTAATTGATGTGATCCTGCAGTTGTTGGTGGAGGAGGTAGTATGTTTTGTGGTTGTTGTTGTTGTATTTGGTGAGGATTAGATTGAGAAGGGTAAGGTGGTAATGAAATTGGAGCTCTTATATTTGTTTGTTGATGATTGTGAGGATACGATATTGGAGATTGTTGTTGGTGTTGTTGTTGTTGTTGTTGAATTTGAAAGATTGGACTAGCTGATGAAGAAGAAGATGATGATGAATAAGAACCTCTATGTTGATTAGCTAATTGACTTGGACTTGGAATTGAACCATTTAATCTATTAACTTGATGAGAAATTGAAGGTAATTGAGGTGGTAATATTTGTTTTGAATCTTGATTATTATTATAAGGTAATGCAGGTGATGGTAACTTATTAAAGTTATTAATACTTGAATTTGTTGAATTGTTTGCAAACGTATAATTTGATGTAGGTGTAGTTGAAGTTATTAAAGGTATTTTGAAATTATTTTGAATACTATTACTATTGGTATCATTATTATTTGAAATTTCTTTTTGTTGTATTATACTTGGTAATGAAGTATTAGTATTACTATTGTTGTAACCAACTGAAGAAGAAACTCTTGGCGAAGTTTGAGATATTTGATTTGTGAAAGAAGTTGAAATTGGTGATGTATTGGTACTTTTTATTGAATTTGTAATAGCTGATATTGATGATGATCTTTGATTATTGTTTCTTGTCAACTCATTAATTGATGGTAACCTTATTGGTAAATCAGTTGAATTTGATGATGTTGTAGATACTGACATTTTCGTTGTATCTATTCTTTTATTAGTTTTTTGATAAAATTTGTCAATGTGAAATTAATCACACTTGTATTTGTATTGTATTTTGATACAAGTAGTTGAAAGGTACGTGTATTATAAAAATGTGAAATGTTAATGATGTTAATGATAAGTTTTAAATGAAATAAAAAAGTCAAAAAATTGGAACAACTTTATAAGAATTTGAGAGGATATATCTAAATATTTATACAAATATTCATATTGTTAGTAGTTACAAGTATCTTTTAAACAATAAGTGTGTGTGTGTGTGGATAGATAATGAATATTTAAAAATTTGACATAATTAATATTTTAAGTTTGTGTTATATTCTGGATATGTATAATGTGATAAATTTTAACATTTACATTTTGTGTAATGTATGTATGTTGTATTAAAGCTTAGATTTCATATCTCAGTCTATACTTTTTGTGTAATGTGTGTTTAAACTATATAAGTGAATCTACTTAATAAAATAATTCAAAAAGAAAGAAAAAAAAAAAAAAAATAAGACAGACAATTATTTTTTTGATTTAACTGGAAATATAAATTTAATCTCCCCGAATGAATATTATAACCAAAATATGTGTGTTACATAACAGATTTTAAAAATAGAAAATAGAAATAGAAATAGAAATAGAAAATTTCAGTGAACCAAGATCCAACAAGAAGTTGTGGAAACTTCTTGCATTATTTCTTTTTTTTCTTATTGTTTAGATAAACTTCCATTGAAGAAAAAGCAATAGGTCCATGTTCAAATTTAGAATCGTAGAAAATTCATGAATAAAGTAAGCTTATTTCCATAAAATTTAAGTTAAGTTGTTACAAATTAAATCTTTTCCTTAAACGAACAATATCTCAATTAAAGTTTTTGGATTTAATGGAAATAATAACAAAAAACTCTCTATTACTTTTAAAGTTTTAAAGTATTACGTTGATGATTTAATTCAAAATGTAGGTACCTAATACTATGACCAAAACCTAAAGAAAGCAGGTAAATTTTTGCAACAAAAGTAAATAATAATCACAAAGGTAAAATTAATAAAATTTATTTGATCATTCATTCACTTTAATTCACTCAATTTGTTCTTCAAATGTCAAAAAGAAGCACGACCTGGTTTTACCAAGCTTAACACGAGCAAATTAGTTGAAACAATATTGATAAGGAGTTGTAATTGAGCAATAACATGGCTGAAGTATTCGTTATCAATCAAATAAAATGACAAAACCAAAAAAAAAAAGAAAACTAACGCGCAAAAATTAGATTAGGTTAATCAATTGATTGATTGTGTTTCAATTTCATCATGCCAAAAAAAGTTATGAAACTTTTTAAAACAATATAACAGTTTTTAGATCCCTAAAAACTTATTATTGAACAATAGACTTTTAATTTTTTAATTATCGACCCGTTATCAATATTAAGATTTACTACTTCTTTATTATGGTTGTTTAATTTACTCAAATATCGTTGATAATCTCGGGTCTGATAGAGAAGTAAAACTTAATACATTAATAAACACGATTGTGTTAATGTAGACGTATAGCTTTAAAATATCATACCCTTTTTATGGAAATATGATTTCTAAATAATAATGATTTCTTCTTTTGTTCCATAAAGGTATAAAATAAAATATTATTTAATTATTGTATGAACGTGATAATAATAACTTATGATATCTCTATCATATTTCCTCATCCATTCAGAATTAAAATTAGAATTTCTATTTGAACTCAAGATGGAAAGTAACATCTGAACTCCACCGCCTTTAAACATTCAAGTTAAAGTTCAGAAGTTAAAATTTGAATTAAATCTGATCTGTTTAGGTTAATACCAAAATTGTGATAATAATCAGATGAAGTTATTTAAAATTTATGCTCATACGAAATGGGAAAATTAATTCAAAAAATCTTAAAAATTTGGATCGACGATTAAAACAAAAACAATTCATTCCTATTTAGAATGTTTTTATTCACTCGTTTTTTTGATTAGCGTGAAATAATAATAGATAACCAAATGATCTACAAAATAGTTTTTACTGTAGCAACCGATTGATAACGATATATACCGGCCCTGATTATACATTTGGAAAGGTTATCAATATTGATAGTCAAAACTTGAAATTTCGAAAAAGATGCTTAGAACCGTTTTAAAAATTGAAAACGCAATATTTTAGAAATATGTGATAGGATATAGACAATAGAATTCTCGAAGAAATGATGTGATTATAATTAACATTATTTAAGACTCCACATAATTTTCGATAAGGTTGGGTAAGTATCCGATGTATCTCGTTTAAAGTAAAAAGTTCATAGAGACAATATTGGGAAATTGTTAGCGTTTTCTCATTTATACTTACATAGAACCAATTGTTTTATGTTAAGTGAGTGTTTCAAATGTCAAAAAATAAAGAGGGAAAAAATAAAAAAGAAATTTTGTAATTTTATTGACTATTACCACTGAATGAAATAGAGGCTTTCAAGTTACTAAGTATTGGTAATTTCAAATACCGAATTTGAATTTTCATAAAGGAAGGTAAAGTTGTTGAAGAATGAAAGAACAAATGATTTCATATCATATGCATTATTTGCGTTAATTGCGAAACTTGCAGATACTAATACAGAGAAAGAATAAAGAATTATGGAAAGAAAGTATTAAAGAAAGTTTTGGCGTAAAACTTACCTCAATCACAAATCCAATTAATCATAAGAAATACACTAAAATCTTATACTTTAAGCTTATTATCAATATTATCCTTAATTCCCGTTCCAATATATCTTGTATGACCTAGTTGAGAAATAGTTTATTGAATTAAGCTTAAGTTCAATCTCAATTGAAATCACATGTGATTAAATCAAAGGCTAAATTTAACTCAGATTGATGAAGTTAAGCTTATTTTGTGTGTATTTTATTATCTTGCAACAGGATTTTCTTGATGTTGGTGATAAATAATATTCTGATATAGTCCAAAAAATAATAAAATTGTGTTCTAAGAACTTTATGGTTTTTTGAACGACTATACCATGGTCAAGACTCACAATTAAGCTTTCTCAGTGATACTGCTGAATAATAATTCTATATGTTCAAGTAGGTCCCACTTTGAGTAATATAACATTCTTAGTTCATGTATATAATTAGAGAATTATAATTAAAAGCTTGAATTTTCTTACAATTAAAGTTCCTCCTCCATACGTACAATTAAACTCTTATCAGTTTCAAAAAAGAATCTACATCAAAAGCAAAAAATGGGGTTAAATCATGTTCAAACTCAAAAGCTAACTATGGAAGATTTTATTTAAAGAGGATTGGTTTGTGGGGGTATTAGGTTTTAGGTTATGATCTCACTATAAGAAAATTAGAATAATGAAACATCTGACTAAAAATCTGATTGAATACTAAAATCCAAATTTAGATCAGAACTTTTGCTGCTCCCTTGACCCCCCTAACTCCATCTCTTCTAAAATGTGATTCGTTGATTTGTCCAAAATGATTTTAATTTGCGTTTCTTCTTAAAGCAAAATTAGAAGTGACTATATTGATTGCACATTATTTTAGTAATAGATCAGTAAAATGAATTATTTCGGTATTTGAAACTCGTCAATTCTACATAAAAAAATAAGAATTGCAAGTATTTAATCAAATTCTAAATCTCGCTCCGAGTTATATCTTAAACACAATATGTCGATCGTATCGAATTTTAATTTTTTGAAAAGATTAGTTTATTTCATAATTAAGCCTCACTTTGAAACTAAATATGATTGATGGAATCTAAATTAAAGATTTAGCATTTTAAAATTTGGTTTTATAGAACAATACCAATCAAAAACGTTATGACGTATATGTTTAAATAGTATATCATTTGATAAGCTTGACCCTTTAAATTAGATCAGCTAATCTAAAAGTTAATTTTTCTATCTCATTAGATTAGATTAGACTCAAGTAAAAAGTTTAAACATGTTAATCACACACTAAAAGTTATTATAAACAATAGAAAAATCTCGTACCGCATTTTTAATTTATTTCTGTCATTGACTAATTAATATCAAAGGGCTGAATTAAAAAATAGTAGTAACAACTTACAATATAACAACTTACAATATCTTAAAATTTAGAACTAGACTAACAAGAAGGGCAAATGGAATGAAATTTAAAGAAGTCACTCAAGAAAAGTATGACCCCATGCATTTCGATTCATCAATCTTCCCCCCTTAAAAGGAAAAAGATATAACCATTATGATTGACATTCCACCAGGATTTTAAAAAGATCTGAAATTTCAAAACCCAGAATGAGTTAAATTTGCTAAAAACATGCAAAAGTAAATTAGATTTCATATTGATATTTAGGAAATCTCTTGAATTTTAGTAAACCTTACACATTATGCAGACACTTTTTTATTTTGACTAATTAGTCAAATTTCAGGATATCACATAGATTGAGTTAATTTTAATTCTATTGTTTGAATCGTGTTTTGCGCTTCACCAGAATAAGAGTTGATGCATTTACTAGCTAAGATCGAAGAATCTAATTAATTTTTTTAGTGGTTGATTGGCTGTTATCGATTGGTTGTGATTAACAACAATCTGAAACTTAATCTCAAATTTTTTAATGTCTGTTTTATTTTAAACACAGAAGGATAATTCATTAACCGGGGTTGGTATTACATAAACTTTTCTTTTTTGTCATAACGGTTATTTCAAGTTGATCTTTTTATTTTTATAGATTCTTTTTCATATTATTATTCTGATGAATCTAGTTACTCCTTTTTGACACAATTTTTATTCAAGGGGTTCTAACCATTAAAAGACTGTACACAATTTTTAATACTTGGTAAATGAATCAACTCATGAATCGTTCTTGATCTATTTTTGGCTAGGGCAGATCTTTCCAAATTCCATAAGAAGTATTATTTCAAACTCGAACACGTAAATCAGAATAAAAAAACATTTCACGTAGTTACAAAAAATACAAACATGAAATGAGTTGAAAAAATAGAAAGAAGCAAATCCTCTATCTTTCTATTGTTCATGGTATTACTCAATAACTTTCTCATTTCTCCATGGGAAAAGAAAGCAAATAAAATTTAAATCTCTCATAGTTTAACTCCATTAACCAAATATTTTATCTATTGTTCTAACTTTAAAATATTACCGCAAGATTATCTTTATAGTTATATCGATATGAATTAATCTAAAGAATCGAATAAAATAAAAAGACGTTAAGATATACTATCATGCATGAATTATAAACAAATAGTAGATTAGGGATAGTTTAATAGTTTAATTCTATTGTTTGGTATATAAGTATTACGTTATCTTAGTTATATATCAAATGAAATAGTTAAAGTATACAAACCATTCTATTGTTTTATATAAAACTGACTGTATAAAAGTTGATTTTTGCGTTCGTTAAACATTTCCCCCACCAAATCGTCTACTTCATTGCATTCAAGTTATACAGGAATAATTCGAATGCATGATTCTTTCCCTACCATTAATTTTGTGCTTATCCGCTTACAAATATGTGGTGCAAAATAAGGATTCGTCTATGCCTCACCTTTTCACAGGCATAGACAAAATTCGATAATAATTTAATAAACATGGATTTTGCTTTAAAAAAGCGTTTTTCGTATCATATATTTATGTCGTGCATTCTATTTATGGAAAGCCAATAGCTTTAGTTCTTAATCCTAATTCTATGGCTCTATCGACGTTGATTTTGTAGGACCAAATTTCAAATTCCAAATTATCTATAAAAGACCGATTCTCTACGACCTTGTGTTTCAAATCATAAAATTATGACGTATACGTCTTGAAGAAACTATGATGATAGTTCCGAAACTGTGGATTTGAACTAAATAGGCCAATATAGACACGTCTAATTCAATATGTATTTCAGCCAAAAAAATTTGATTGATAACGGTTTATTGCGCTTTTTGGCGCTTTTGATAACTAAATTGATTAGTTCGGATGTTTTTAGATTTTAAATTTTTCTTGCAAGATAAGAAAGATAACTTTAGCAATACTAGAGTATTGAACTCGAAATAAATTTTTTTGAAAGTTTTCAAATGCCTGTAGTAATGTCTTCTTCAGACTTGCGTAGTTAGTGATTTCCCTAAAACTTGATTAATTTTGTCTTTTTTTATAATTTTTGCAACAATTTTGAACATGCGATTTATTCACTCATCTTATAAACTCATAGAGGTAAAATTAGAAATATACATTTAAGTGCTCTAACCCATGTCATGGATCGATACTAAACATTTATTTGTAATATTAGTTTTTTTTAATACCACCATCATCATTAAATCTAAAACGTTTGCCAGTATTAAATTCACAGTCCATATCTGCGTTAACGCAACTTATTTTATACAGGATGATGGTTGCAAAATTTTGGACATTTTTTTGCTTCATTTTGAAACCTCTATACAAATGAATGAGCATACGAAGGCTACACTAGTTCCATGACTATCCCATCAAATCACATTATAAAATTCTAACCTTTAGCAGTTTACTTGTTCGATTAAGATTTGTCATCTTTGCCAAATCTTCTATGAATTGCTGATAATGAAGAATAAGCGGTTGTAAGTTCGGATTGCTGTATTTCAGCGATTCTTGAAACCATTCATGTTTGATCGTGTTTTACACTATCTTATTTGACAGACTGATGAAGATTTTTCAATTTTTCAAAATTTGGTTTCTACAATTATTTCACTTGCAATCAAATATGATGAAGAAGAGGAAGAATAAGAAGAAGAAGAAGAAGAAGAAACAGTAGATGAGTAGTTGAATCAAATTTAGCTTTTATACAACCACTCATGCATCAGAGGTATCGTTGTTTTTGCAAGTTAAAGGGTACAAGCATTGTATATAATTCTATTCTTCTTGCCTCATATCCCTATCTGCCTCATATCTGTGAAGAATCACTTCTTCAATTATTTCAGCGTTCCTATAAATTTAAGCATCCAAATTGCTGATTGTTACAATTGAGGAAGCATGTTGCCTTTTTTCTTGCCAACCTGAAATGCTTGGTAACTCTTGTGAATTTGGCAGCAACTTTTTTGATGGATGAAATTTGGGATTCCAGTTCTGATCCAGTTTTGGCCCACTTCTGATCCAAACCTTTCAAAATATTTAGTTTAATTAAAGTATCAAACAAATAAACCCAGGCTATAATTTACATGATTATGAATAGGATTTGTATGGGACTTTGGAGCTAAATATCAACTAAAAAGATTGTTTTGCACTATTTGTTGATCTTATAATTAATTAAAAATTTCCTACACTTTTGTACTACCAGATACTCTTTTGTTTCATGTCCCTGTACTTTCACAATTTACCTGAGATCACTAGCAACTCCAACTTTTTTGAATATAATCATAAACCACCGAAAGTATATCCAGCGTTACTAGTTGGAATATTTCGAATGTTATTTATATGTGGAAATTCAACAGAAGTAAAAGATTCGAAAAGTTAAATTCAATTGGCATTATCAAATAATAAATATTTCATTAATCATTTATACAAAGACATTTTCCACAAATTAGTGGACTTGACTATATCATACTTTTTCATTTCTTTTGTCCATTTATTGTTGCAACAATTTTTCTATTATGCTTTTCTATTCTACCTTCAACTAACCAAATCCCTTGCCAAGTACCTAAAGCTAATCTTCCATTAGTTATTGGTATATTCAAACTAACTCCAATAATTGAACTAAAAGCATGAGAAGGCATATCATAATCACCTTCTGAAGAATGTAAATAATCTTTCCTTTGTGGTACTATTCTATCTAAAATAGATTCCATATCTGTTTGAACATCATCATCGAAATTTTCATTTAATGTAATACCTGCTGATGTATGTTTTAAAAATAAATTTAAAGATCCTATTTCATAATTTTTTATTTGAGGTAATTTACTGATGATTTCTTCTGTAACAAGGTAACATCCTTTGCTTCTAGTATTTAAATTAATTGTTGCTTGATCCCAAGAACTCATGATAATTTTTTCTTTTTTGAATTGGAGAATTGACCAAAATACAATTAATAAAAGTGATAGGTAATTAATGATTATTTTCACCGTATTTAATGACAATAATAAAAAGAATGAAAGGTATTTAAAGGTGTCAAGCAGTTGCAATTGAGTATTATAGTTGCTTTGAAGATTTTATGAATGAAACATGCGCTACCGCGACCGACTTGAACCGACCTATAATTCTGCTGGAGCCGGACTCTATAATTATGTAAGAAATTGTTTACTCTATTATACCTATGCTATAAATTTTTCTATAGTTATCTATCTATACTCCCCGTTCAACAATCACATCTGTTTTCTAGAGAAACTCAAATTTTAATCCCATTCTTGTTCAAAACATATTTGACTGCGTCTTCAACATTATCAAAAACACCAACTGTAGGTTTTGCAATAATTGAATCATAATCTTCATCTTGAAAAACACCAGTTCTCAACAATATTGATTCCCAACCATGATCATTTGCTCCTTTTATATCTGATTCTGGATTATCACCAACCATATAAATTTTTTTAAATGGAGTTGTTTCAGGAATTTCACCTAATTTTGGTAATTTTTGTATATCATCATTAACTTCATTTGATTCTAGTTTTTTATTCCAATCTATTAAAATATGGTGAGCGAAATCATATTGAAGTTTGAATGGTTTACCAAGTATTAATGAATCTAAATTTTGGTCCGGTTTCAATTTATTTGTAGTGTTGTATAACTTTTCGGTAATCATTCTAAATGCTCCTTGACCAAATCTAGGTAATGGATGATCATTTGCATATACATAGTCATTATTACTGAAAATTATTGGAATTGATGGTGAGGTATGATCTTTCCATGTCTTGAAATCTCTCTTAGTCCCTATTAAACCATTCTTTGAATTTAACAAATCTTGAACAATTTGCATATCAGTCGATAAATCTCTAGGATCATTGAATACCAATATTGCATCAATTGGTTTAGAAAGATCAATTTTTTTGGAATATTTTTCAAGATCTTCCTTTTTGTACATAGAATGTGGGGAAATCGACTTATCACTTCTAACTATATCAATAGGTAGAACAACATCTTTGAATCCATAACTTTCAGCAACTTTTCTTGCATTATCTTTATCTCCCCCAACAACTAAAACTCTACTATAATTTGGATCATGAATTAATGATTTCATTGGTGTATGACTTTGAACAACTTGTAATGGTGAAATATAAGGACCACCAGTTATAGAACTTACTTCCTTTGCTTTCTCAGCTTCAGAAACTCCTCCTCCATTTGTCATTAGAATATAAGGTATTTTGTGTTTATTTAATAATTCCAAAGCCGGTTTGGCTTGAGGTATTGGTTTTTTACCACGAATTAAAACACCGTCTATATCGAAAACAAACGCAAAATCTGATCTCAATGATAGGCTCGCATGAATTGACCTACTCCATGATAATGATGAAGATTTGAGCTGTGCTAGTCTTCTTAGTGCCAACATGGACGTTAAAGCTTAGATCACTACAAAATCGGAAGAAAATATGAAACCAATTTATGGCACAAAATCTAAAAACATTATTAAATTAATACGTTCAATGTAAAATCTTAATTATACAGATCCACCTTTGAGACACCAGTCTCTACCTCTATCAACTTGTAACCCACATAATTTAGGTTCTAACCACCAGTTGATACATCCAGCCAAAACTATCCCTAATCCATCACTTATACTTACCGAGCCCATACTGAATTCTCTATTACTTTTCGGTACTTCTTCACTCACTGACATAAAAGTGTTTACGTATGAGAATCCACCTAATAAGCCTTCATAAAATATTAAAATTAATAACAACCAAATTTTAGTGAATGGTATATCATATACTGATTGAAAAACGGTAATTACGACATTCAAAAATTGTAATATTGATAATAGATATAATTTTCTAATCCTTAAACCAAAGGATATTGATGATCTAGAAATGAAAACTCCCAATTGATATAAGAAACCATACACGACGTAAATATCTCTGTAACTTGAAAACAACCAATGAGGTAATTCATCTAATGGAAATAATAAAGTTGGTGATATACCTTGATTTATTACATACTCTGAAATGTAAACAGTTGTCAAAGGTAGCATGAATGGAATAATCAACGGTTTTATTTTGTTAAATGTATGATTGAAATGTTGACTCAAATTATTAACGTTTAGTTTGTTTTCATATATTCCTTCAGTTTCATCATTAACTTCCTCAGCTTCCACCATCAAACTATCATCATTGATTTCATGATATTCATGTGATGGCTTGGGCAATAAGTAATAATATACTACTAAAAAACCCAGTGGCATAATTGCGAATGTTAATAATACTATCCAAACTGGAATCCCAATTAAATTTGTGGTTATCATGAACAAAAAACTTCCTAAAAGTCCAGCAGCTCCAGTCCCACTACTCCAACCACTAATGGAATTCTCATTACTACTATAGTAATGAGTCAATTGTAAAAAGCTAACTTCTCCCATACCAGATGATAATGAAGCCAACATTATTCCAAAAATCTTTAATCCAATCATATTTGTTGTAGTCAATGATATTAATAACATTCCCAAAGTGGATAAACCGACTAAAGAATATAATCTATTTTGATATGATATTAAATGAATAACAAATGGTGATATGAATTTAAATAAAAATGATGGTAAAACATCTGCTAATAAAACAGTAGCTTTTGGAGTTGAAGAACCAACTAAATCAATAGCTGCAGATAATATTATAACATAAAGAATATTATTTAAAGTTCCAAATACAAAGAAGGATATGAAGATTTTTCTAGCGTCTGTTATATACATTTGAATTGAATTATTGACATTACTTGAAAAGATCTTGTGACACTTAAAGTTTGAAATTTCAAAACTCAATTCTTGATTGTTAAATTACTTTGTTGTGCATATTAGAAGAAGATAAGATATTGGGTCTACTAACAAATGATTTTAGCTACAGATTACCCAAATAGGAAGTCTAGAGAAGAGCTAGGTTTGAAAACTACCACATGGGCTAATTAAGTTTTTTAAGTAAGAGATCTTTACAATATTAAGTAACAACCAATAACCCTATACAAGGCTAATTAAAATTCATGCAATCAATGCAAACCTCGTGTTCGTTATTCCCAAATCAAAATCCTTTCAAATTATACTTCAGACTATAGTTACCACCTCCTGCGCTCACCAAATGCAACTCAAAAGTTGCATTCCTTTTGCACTATCTTTTTTACTACACAAGTTCGTTAACTTTCATACTTAACAGGAGATGAAATATGAAACGTCATACTAATGCTGAAACCAAGAGTATCTTTTCTTTTTTGTATGATTTCTTTCTTTTTATGTGTATAAATTTTTTTTTCAACATCCGCTACCAGAATTTTACGGTATGAGTAACAATAAAATAATTTTTCCGGAGTTATAATGACTAACTAAATTTTTCACTTTCTCTTTAAATTGAATAAATATATATAATATAGGATTTGTTATATTCATACAGCACCAACCTTTCTCAAGAGTTTATTAACTAACAAAACCAAACTTTTTCATTCTCATATTGTCCTTTATTTATCGAGGAAAATCATTTAATTTACATAGCATACAGAAAAAACCATTATGAGTAACACACCAGTTCCAACTGAATATGATGACACAAGAATTTGTGGATATGATCCATTAGTCCCACCAAATTTATTACAACACGAAATAAAGGCTACTTCACAATCTTTGGATGTGGTAATAAGGGGACGTTTTGAAGCATCACAAATATTAAAAGGTAATGATGATAGATGTCTAGTTATAGTTGGACCATGTTCTATTCATGATACAAAAGCTGCATTAGAATATGCTCATAGATTAAAAGAATTAAATGAAGAATTAAAAGGAGATTTATGTATAATAATGAGAGCTTATTTGGAAAAACCAAGAACTACAGTTGGATGGAAAGGTTTAATTAATGATCCAGATGTAGATAATTCATTTGATATAAATAGAGGATTAAGAATTTCTCGTCAATTATATGCTGATTTAACTAAAGAAGCAGGATTACCAATTGGTTCAGAAATGTTGGATACAATTTCACCACAATATTTTTCAGATTTCTTAAGTTTTGGTGCAATTGGTGCTAGAACAACTGAATCTCAATTACATAGAGAACTAGCTTCTGGTTTAAGCTTCCCAATTGGATTCAAGAATGGTACAGATGGTGGTTTAGCAGTTGCATTAGATGCTGTACAAGCTTCTTCAAAAGGTCATCATTTTATGGGAGTTACAAAGAATGGTATGGCAGCCATTACTACTACTTTAGGTAACGATACATGTTTTATAATATTAAGAGGTGGTAAAAAAATCACAAACTATGACGCCGAATCAGTTAAAGCAGCAAAAGAAGCCATAAGTAAATCAACAGATCCAAGTATTAAATTAATGGTTGATTGTTCACATGATAATGCACAAAAAGATTTCAGAAATCAACCAAAAGTTTTAGATTCAGTTGCTGAACAAATAAGTCAAGGTGAAGATGCTTTAATTGGTGTTATGATTGAAAGTCATTTGAATGAAGGTAAACAAAAAATGCCACCAGCTGGTGCAAGTAAAGAAGTTTTACAATATGGTGTTTCAATTACTGATGGTTGTGTTGGGTGGGATACTACAGTCGATATGTTGAGAAAATTAAGTAAAGCTGTACAAACTAGAAGAAGTTTAAAAAACAAAAAATAGGGTATTTAAAAGGTGTATATAAAATAATTTATTAGATATTTCATGTTAATAATTATCTCGTAAACCTACCTATTATACTAATAAACTCTCCAGCACTGTTAATCACATATTATAATTGGCATATTTTAATCATTTATTTCATTCCAAGATGGTATTGTCTTTCTGATTCTAAAGTTTTGCTCCTCCACTACCAAACTTGTCGAGCTTTGATTCATTGCTCTTAAAAGATTGACCAATTTATGATTTACTTGTTCATACCCATGATGACGACGGAATGGATTTCGAGATATTTTTTTCTTAGATAACTTATGACCAATTCCGTACCAGTCACTTTTAAAAAGTTCATAAGCGTTGTTGTATTCAGCATTCCTCAAATCCTTAAAATACTTTTCTTCTTCTTCTTTGGACGAATCGATTAGCTTTGGAGAATTTCCGATATAGATTACAGCACTTACTGAATATCCTAATGCTTGATGTAAATGAAGTTTCAAGAATCTGTCTCTTTTGAATTCAAATCCAACAATTGTAACCATTTCGGGATAAACACCATGTACTTCATAAAATCTACAAAACAGATAGATGACATTTTCAAATGAGTCAGTTGCATAATTTTCAGTTGTACATTTTAAGTAATCGACCTTCTCATTATATAATTCTTGATATAATTTAAAATAGGAGAAAGCTTCAGAAATTGGACCTGCCTCAATCTTGGTTTCTCCACCACTGAATATCAAATAAGCATTAGGATTTTTCTCAAGTTCAGCATGTGCTCTCTCTATATGTTCAATGAAACATAAATGATCATTGCCTTGAATTTGAAAATTAGCTAAATGCCATGAATTTCTTTGTTTTGGATCTCCACGTTTATATATCCCATGACATGGGACTAGAATCAAATGGTTCGGCGTCTTTGAATTAGATATATTTCTGTCATGTGAATTGATAGTCATAAATTCTAAAATGAGCCAACAAGTCTAGTCCTGTTGCAAAACTAAATCGCACAAGCTTTTGTGCGTTGATTTTGGATTTTTTTAAAATTCATTTATACGAGAAATGGAATTTCGATAGTAAAAGAACAGGCAAAGTAGATTCTTGAGAGAGATCGATAATACAAAAGTAGCTAAACAAATCTATTGTCTATTTGTCGGTCCATTCTAAATTCAACTAATCTACTGTAAAATATTTTGATGCAAATAATGATAACATTGAACCAAAGCTTTCCAATGACAGAAAGCAGCTATCACAACAAAAATGTGGAAAATTTGATGAGAATGGCCGAAAATATCAAATTTACCAGCCACTGGGTTATCTAATAACAGTTGTTCGTCTTCTTCAACATGTGTAGTTCTTTCTGGAAATCTAATGGCATATAACACAGCTCCTAAAATATAAAAAAATCCTTCTAAAATTAACCAGATGATACCACATCTTTGCTTTGTTGTTTCAAATCCAAACTCATAAACTCCCGTTGCTACGGGTAAAACTCCTGAAAGTCCAAATAGTATAAACATTGTTGATCTATATGGTCTATAATAATTTTTTGAAAATTCAGGATGTAATGTGAATATTGTACAAACTGTTCCAAAAAACAATGTTAATCCAACAAAAAACCATTTTTGAATAGGCAAATCATAGTATGCAAATAAAATGATTGAAATAAGGGAACAAGTAATTAATATAACGATTCCAAAGTAATCCAACTGATTCCCGAATTTACTTACTTTATGCGAATGAGATTTCAAACAATGAAATACTGAAGACATAAACATACAAAACGTACATGCTAATCCGAATTGTAAGAAATTCAATTTTTCCCAAATTCCAAGATAATTTTCATATTGAGTCAATTGAAAATTTATATAATATAAAATGATCCAAAATGATATACTCGAAGGTATAAGATGTGAATAAATATTAACTGTTTCATTATGTAAATAACCTAAAGATTTAAAACTTTCCAAATATGAAGATGTACCTTTAACATAACCAGATTTTATATAATGATTATCTTGCTGCCATTCATCTAATTCATGATAATATGCTAATCTCCTAACTAAAGGGTTTTTTGAATTTGAAGATTGAATGTTTGATTTTGAAGTATCCTTCTCTTTCCTCTGTCTAATATTTGATCCCGACATGAAGACCTAAAAAGATGAAAGAGAAGTAGTTTCTCCATTTTTGTAAATCATTTAACAATAAATTGATTATAAAAATGTTGGGGTCGTAAGATTCATAAATTAATAATTTTGTGTAACGTTTTTTGGTAATGGAGATCTGATTTTAGATCCGAAATTTGTAAAGAGTATGTATGAAAAGAGCTGATGCATTTATGAAATCTCTATAATCTATTTGAAAGAGGGAACTATGCTTTCACAAATTGCTGAATACTTTTTTAATTTTTCACCAATATTTACTAATCCTTTTTCCAAAGGTTCAGATCTTTTGAATCTATCAATTCTTTTATCAAATATATCGCCGGTATAAAAGATTTTCCATTGTGATTCCGGAGAGCTCATACAACCACAACATCTTTCAAAATACCATTTGTTTACTGGGTTATTTTTTCTCGATCTCCATATCAATTCTGTAGGATGAGATTGTAGAATGATTTTAAAAATAATATCGGCTAATCCAGGTAATCCTTGATTTCTTTTAGCTATAGCAAATTTGTCCAAATAGGCAATCTTATCTCCCTCACTCTCCTCCCAAGTCAAAATTGCTGCCCCGTCATAGTCACCTACTAATATAAAAGTCGCCAAATTTTTATTTATTCTTTTGAAATAATCATCAACTTGTAATGTTTTACCAAAAGAATCATTCAAAAGACTGACCAATTTTTCCTTTTCAACCAAACCATTTTCAAATAAATAGTCCATTGAAAATTCTTTATTAAAATCACTATGATTGAACACTTGAACATTAACACCTTTTTTTATGATAGTGGTTGAGACTTTAGGCGTTCGTTTATTTGCACTGGGTAAAGACGAAGATATTATTGACCTGTCTGTGAGTACATTATATATAATTGGATTTAATTGATCATTATTTATGGACAATATTTCTGGAGTTGTTATTATACCTGTTGTTTCATCGTTACCCGACTTCTCCATTATAAAAGTCAAAATTGAATTCATACTATTTAAATTCTCAACATGCAAATCCCGATCTTTTGGACCAATGTGGCCAATATATAGTTCTGATAAAATTTCTGAATATTCTTGTGATAAATTTATAAACACATGACTCGTCTGATTTCTTTCAATTGAAGGTATACCTCCTATTGGATCTATCAATACTATTTTCTCTATCGAAAGTAAATTTGTTGTCCTTTGTTCAATTAGTGCTTCACATAATGAATATAATAACTTGTCACACCTCAAAAATTCTTGTTTGGTACTGCCTGTGTTATAAACAATTGGTTGGATTATTGGTATGACACCTTGATACAATGGAATCAAAATCAGTTCCAAACTATTTATGGTAGGATTGCCTTGAGTAGTAGTAAACAAACTTCTTAAAATAGTAGCTTTCAAATCACCTTGTTCTTCTGGTTTTCCCAAAATGTTCAACATCTTACTGGCTTGATCAATCATGTACAATTCATTTTGTCGGAATGAGTCCTCTGGTAAATGATCATAATCTAATAATATTATCGGTGAAATCCCTAGTGTAATTAGTCGTTTAAAAGTCTCAGCTATTCCTTTCCATTGCGTCGTAGTAATACTAGGAAATTTTATTTTAAATATAGCTAATCTCAAAGGTATTTTAGTTAACTTTGTTTCATCTTCATTATAAATATTAGTGAATGGATTTTTTTGATTCAAAAACCTATTAATAAATAGTTCCCTTTGATTGTCTCTTTGACTCAAAGGATCATCATTCTTAGTTTTAGTGAACTTTATGTTTGCAAAATCAAACTGATTTTGATATTTGGTCAAATAATTTCTAGCTTCTCTCTTCGTCGTTGTCGATTTCAAAATTGATAGAATTAGATTTCTTTTAGCATCTGTTATAGCTTTATGAGTATCTATATTTGAAATGAATTGTCTGTTCAATGGTTGTATTTTGCTCATAGAATAGATTTAACCCATAGATTGATTCGATCTAAATTTTAAGAGAATTTTAGCGCGGTATTAATCTTTTTATTGGTACCTAGATACAGAATATAATTTTAACTACGAAATAAAAGTTTACTTTAATCTTCATCATCGGAATTTTCCTCTATATTACCGCTTTCCTTATGTTTTAAGACTGTATCATGTAGTTGCCTTAGTTTGTTCATCACGGGTAATACAAATGGTCTTATCTCATTAATTTCCATCAAAGATAAACCACTCAATTGTATATTTGATTCATTTAATTCTTTCAAACCTTTTCTAGATTTGATTAATCTTACTTCTCTCAAATCTTGTAATATTGATCGTATATCGTGACTCGAATCTTGCAAATCATCTGGGGCTTTGCTTAATAAAATTTTAGACATTTCTAACCAGTTCCATGGTATATCACTAAATTGTGTTGGTTTCTTTATTTCTTCTTCATATTTTTCTTTCAAATATATCACATTTAACCATTTTGGAGGTACTATATTACATTTATCTTGATTTTTTAAAATTAAAGCGACCCATAGTGGAACTTTTTCTCTTCTCATAGCTCGTAGGTTCGGTATTCTTGTCTATTAAAATATAGTTAGTACATAAATCAGCCATAATGTCTTTGTTCAATCAAAACATACACCTATCAAGTCAATTTTTTTCATGGAATATCTCGGTAGAATAGTGATTAACTCATTTTCAGCTAGAAAACTAATCTCCGTAGGCGTTAGGTTGCCTTGCAAGTTAGTGGGCAATACCATTTTGAATCTGGATAAAACTTGTCTATAAATCTCGAAAAAAAAAAAACGCGTCCGTATACAAACGCATGTTTGAAGAAAAAAATTATTTTGCAACCATTAGTCCACTAAGACTTAATACTACTTACGAGAGATTCATAAAAAGTAGATTTATTAAATTAAATTTATCTTTTACTTCCTTTACCATATTTTAATTTAAAAGTAGAAGTTCTACCAGCTGTATTATTCTTCTTTCTCTTTGCTGCTCTTGGACCATCTCCTTCTTTAGCATTAGGATCGAACGATCTCTTTTTCTTTTTATCTTGCTTTCTAGATGGTTCAATCAAAATCTTATCCGCATTGGCATAGTCAATAGTAGATTCATCTCCTGTTTCCAACTCCTTCTTGTGCCTGTTCTTGTTATTTTTTCGAAGCGTTATTAATTCGTCAGGATTAATGTCCCTGTCTTTGCTGAATAAAACTTGTTGGCCAGTCTTAGGTTTTATTTTGTCTTCCTCTATTTGAGCTAGACTAGCTGCGTCCACTTCAGGTTCAATTTCTTGATCTTCCGTATCCACTTCCAAATCTAGTACTTCCTCAGGTATGATTGTGGTTTGCCTCAATGAGCAAAGTTTTTCCCAAGCTTTGACCGAACGCTCTTGACTAACACTACCAAAGTCATGTTGTTTCACATGGTCTCCATTATATTCATAAGTCCAGACTTGAGGTTGTAATGTGCCATGTTGTAATATAGCTGAATTTACTTTCATTAAAGTCTTGTCGCCTATTGAAGTATTCGCATCATTCAATAAGTACTCAAACGCATCGTTCACCAAGTCAATATCAATTAAGTGAGTCTTGGTTTGATCAGATACTTGATTGTTATATTTATCCACTATTGCCCAATCGTTTTGTTCACTTTCTTTTAAAGTTTGATTTATTAATTTTGCAATTTCTTTAGCATTTAATCTAACTGCTTCAGAAACGTAAGCAGGCGCATTCAAAATCTTGTTCACATCAACAGGTCCTTCGATTGTAGCTAAAGTTACCAAAAGTTGATTTGGCATAATAAATCGTACGGATTCGTCTTTTTGCCTCGCAACTACATCCCTCCAGTTGTACAATACCTCAACTATCGGCTTTTTGAAAAATGGTACATTATATTGATACATGATTGAACCCCAGGGTTCTTTTGGATTTGATGCCATTATTGGACATGAAACATTATTTGTAAATTTATTTGAAAATGGTCTAAATTTCGTGTACTCGAATCTTCTCTTAGCAACCTGTCTTGAATCATATAACACTTGCTTTAACTTATCGGCATCTATTAATTTATTACGAAGTTGATCAAATATGTATAACAAAAAATGAGTGTCGGATCTAGCATATGCCATCATTGCCTTTGGTAAAGGTCGTATTCTCCAATCCGCTAATTGATACTTTTTAGATGTTCTAAAATGTGCAAATGTGTCTAATAAGTATTGCAAGGAAAATTTAGAAAACCCTAATTGTCTTGATGCATGATAAGTATCAAATAATGAGACAACGTATAATCCTAAATCCCTTTGTAGCCATATTATATCCATAAATGCACCATGAAAGACTTTTATTATTGCTGGATTAGCAAATACCTCATTTAATCTAGTAAGATCGTCTCTCAATGCTATGGTGTCGATAATCCAATCTTTTTCCCTATTTGAAATTTGCATTAAACATACAATACCGTAATAAGATCGATAGTCATGATGTTCAAGATCAACAGCTATTGCTTGCAGTTGTAGTAATTCATCAATCATTTTATTTAATTCTTCAATAGTTCCAACCCAAATCGCCTCTGTGGAAGACCAATCTTTTGGTGGAATAGGTTCTGATTTTTGTAACACTTCATTCGGATATGGTTGATTATCTATTTCGTATTCATAAGGGTGGGCATAGTATGGTGGATCAATCAACTCTATTGATTCTTCAAATACTGGCTTAGGGTTGACAATTTTACTCACAGTATCCCAAGATTGTAATGCATGAGGTTTTGATGAAAGTTTAGGTTTGAATGGATTTTCTTCGGAGTTATCTACTGGAACTTTGAACTTTAGTTGTGGTTTGGATATAATATGGTTTAATTCTTTAGATACCAGGTCATTTCCACCATCCTCTAGATATTGTTTTGTTTCTTCATGATTTTTGTTCAAACTTTTATTTAATTGATCAAATGTAAAATCTATTTTTTCAAAAATCGAATCAATAATATTTCCAACTGGCTTCCAAGAAGCTTCACTTGTGATATTTTCTTTACCAAATTTGATCTGTTCCACATCATTAGAATTCAGGGATGTTGCTCTTAGCAAATCATTGCTTATGGATAGAAGTCTGTCAGCTCCTTGATCTATTTCCTCACCTAAGTTTGAATCCACTGATTTATAAAAATTAACATCTTGAGCAGCCAAGGCAGAAGCCGCTCTTATTGTTGGCACGAGTTTTGACAATATATTCTTGAGTGCATCTAGATCGTTTATTGACATTATTCTTATTAAAACCTGAAACAAGTGCAGTTGTTTGACACTGAAGATTTTTGATTACAATATTCGGTTTTTATTTTAAATCAATTCGTGACACAAAACTAGGATCTCTCATCTCATACATCTAATCATTTGATCTTTTGTATATCATAAGTAATAGTCCCTTCTTTCTAACTATATCTTATTTTTATTACCACAACCACAATGTTTACCTGTAATACTTGTAATTTACAATTTCCGGAATCAAATGATCAAAGAACACATATGAAATCAGAATGGCATCGATATAATTTAAAAAGGAAAGTTGCGCAATTACCACCAATAAATGAAGAATTATTTAATAGTAAAGTTACCAGACTACAGACTCCAGACGATGGTGAGAAAGTTAAACAGATAACGAAGAAAGAGCAAAGAAGGAAAGAGAAAGAAGCAATTTTGGAAAAGAAAAAGGCGATTTTAGAACAAGCAAAGAGAGCAATGATGGCTGAAAGAAGGGCAAATCAAGCCTCTGGAGAGGCGTTGGAAGATGAAAAATTTACGGAGACAATCGATGACTCCGAAGAAGCTCCTGAACAAAAGAAAGAAACAGAAAATGTAGACCTAACTCAAGAAGCGGAAGAAGAAATACAATTGGAACAAAAACTTGCAAATAAACTAGACATACCACCAACTACGTGTCTTTTCGCTCATCCAAAATACCATCATGAATTTCAAACAGTTGATGAGAATGTAGATCATATGTTTAAACAACACGGTTTATATATCCCGGAACCAAACTATCTTATTGATAAAACAGGGTTAATAGAATATTTGGCTGAAAAAATTGGGTTTGGCTTTTGCATAGCTTGTAATTACCAAGGAAGAAATGCAGAAGCTGCAAGGGAACATATGCAAACTAAAAGACACATGAGAATACCGTACGAATCTGAAGATGAAAAATTGGAAATATCAAAGTTTTATGATTTTTCTTCAACTTATGATGATGATGATAAGAAGATAATTGTTGATGGGGCAGACGAAGCTGAAGAAAGTGAAGGAGATTGGGAAGATGTGAGCGATGAAAATGAAGAGTCTGATTCTGATGAGGAATTACTGGCTGCAGACCAAGATGCTATTTACCAAAATGGTAATGAACTAATACTCCCATCTGGTGCAGTTGTTGGTCATAGATCAAATCGAAGATATTATAGACAAAACTTAGCTCCCGAAAGAATTTTATCTGAAGGTCAAGGAACTGTTATTGCTGCTGAAACCAGACATATGTTGACATTACAAGATAGAAAAGAGTTAGCGGAAAAGAAAAGAAAATGGAGAAGTGAAAAAAAACGAGAGGATGTTAATGATAGAAGAGCTGCTAAATTTATCAATAATCAACCACATTTTAGAGATCAATTGTTGCAATAGTTTGTGTATAGTTTTGATTTTAATAAATTAATCGTCTAATCTGAATTCTAAAAAAGTAGTAAAGAAGAAGATAGTATTAAATCAATGAAGAAATTGACAAATAGTATCCAGCTACCGAAGAATAGTAGTTTAGGTGAAAACACTGTCCAAATAAATAAATGAAATCTTAAGTTTATACATGATCCAATTAGGTTGATTGATGAGACTGAATAAAAAAATAATAGGATGAAGGATTTGACTAGTAATATTGAATATTTTAATGTTGAGAAATTGACTAAATTGGTTTTATCGGGACCTTTGAAAAAAATAAAACTTGGTTCGAAAATCAATTGTAATGATGATAAAGACCAAAATATTGGACCTGCAAAGTTGGAAACAAATGTGAGAACTCCCACTATAAAGACGTCATATGTTTCAATACCATTATAAGCATTAGATAGGTCAACAGTTGCTATTGAATTTGTGTTTCCCATGGAAAAAAATGTCAAGTTCTGCAAACAAAGTGTAATGAATGTAATTGATAAAACATAGTTGTCTATAGATGAAGATTTGTTGTGACATAATTTAGATAGTGTAAATTTTGCAACCATTAAAACCAAAAAAATTGGGATATTTGCATGTCTAGTTTGATTTATTAAAAAGATTGTGAAAATGTTTGTAAAATCAGTTATAGTGCCAAACTTTATGCCCTTGATTCTTCCGATAAGGAGTCTAGCGACTACTAAAAATAGTAGCAAATAGGAACTTATTTTTGACAATTGTATGCTTATCGTTTGCAATTCAAATTTTAAATCAGGATGATTAATATTGATGTTATAACTTTGAAAAATCCAAAATAATAACCATTTGAATGATCTTGGAATTTGATTTGTGTCTATAAAATATTGTACAACTTTGAACAGGAATGATAAAGAACTTGTGACAAAGATAAGAATGAATGATATTAATGAGCCAAGGTCGAGCCGGCTTGTTGAGACCGAATTCGTTGTAAGCCCGGCTGTGTGAATCATACTTCCTTGAAACACTATAGCCAACGTGAATACAATATAAGTCAATGCTATCAATATCCAAAGAATATCATCACCGTCATTGCATAAATAAGATGCTATGTTGGATTGGGTGAACCATTTTTGACCACTATTATTCCATGATTTTAAGAGTCTTATGCAAGAGAACAATAAACAAAAATTAATTAAATTCATTTTATTGTCCAATACTTTGAAAAAGCTAAACCCAAAATATATCAAAATCAAACATGTAGCAAAATACCAAATTTGATGTTCTTCTTCAATTAAGGAAGATCCATGAAAATGAATTGAGTAAATGAAAACAAATATTAGAAAAATTATGACGAAACTTTGCTTAACGTTTGACAGGGTGAAAAAATACAAATTAAAAATTGAAATGATTGCAATAGTAGAAATTAAAATCACGATCGCTGATAGGTAAATATCATCGTAATTATAATTCGTTGCCGATGAAGCCATTTTTAATTGAACTTCTTGTAAAAAACAGTAGTACTCGTCCAATAAACCGTGTCCAGATTTTAACTTTTCCCATTCTCTCGAAAGTTGTCCCTCATTTCCATACTTCGCGTCATACAATTTCATCATTTGAATACAATTTTCCAACATAATTTTAATTTGTAAATTTTCAGGCCAAAGTTCAATTACTTCTCTTGTAATTACTCCTAGTGAATTCTTCGGAATTGGAAAATTTAATAAGCTTGCCAAAGAAGGTACCAAATCAATTTGAAATACTGAATTGTAGTATTTATAATCTGAATTTTTTGGCAAGGGAGCAATAGGATTTTGTTTATTAAATTTAGGAGATATTATTGTTAATGCAGCTGAAGTTTCACCAGCAGATGATCCCCCATGATTACCTACTTCGTTCATTCCATGATCTCCCATTAAAATCAATAAAGTCTCTTGATTTTCATTTGTAAAATTATAAAGTCGTCTCAAGATATTATCCATCTCAATTTGCTTGGATTTCATATATACTGAATAGGGACCACTTTTGTGACCTATGTGGTCTAAACCTAAGTAATGTAAAATTAGACCGTCCCATGCCTTACTGTTCAATTGATGATCCAAATGACGGGTAACATTATTATCTACTTCGGTAAAGTCACTAACAAAAAAGGAGTTTGTTCCTTCAAATTCACTAAACTCGTTAGGAAATAATTTTAACCATGTATCGTCTCCAAAAAAATTTATTGTTTTATTCAAATTTTTGTATTGCTTTATCCAAGAGTCCTGGGCATGTAATCCCTGTGTGTTATCATAATCATCAGCAACATTCAATATCGCATCTAAGAAACTAGGGGTCTCTCCACTACTTATCCCTTTCAATCTCGGTAAAGTTACAGTTGGTGGATTTGAAAATGCAGTGAATGGTATAGCATGACCTTCATTGATTAATTGATGTAAGAATTTGAAATTAGAGTCTTCCCCAAAACAAAAATCCGATCTCATTGCATCCACTACCATTAATATAATTTTCTCGAATTGTGGTTGTTTTCTTTCGTTCAAAAATGGTGATTGATTTTCATCTTGTAAAAAAGTACCTAATCCAGGAAGAACAACTTTTGAAGGAAAAAACCCTTTTAAAAATAGTATAAATCCTAGAAGGTTAGCAGTTAATAGTGACAAATATATGAACCATTTCAACGCAAGTGATCTTAGCATGTGAATTGAGTAATTGAGCTCACTATACTTTGGAATAAATTCAAACTCTGATCTGAAAAATAAATAAAAAACCTAAAACACGTTTGGCGCGTAATTCATAAAGACTATAATTAAATAAAGACAGTGTTGGTAACGCATACAACTGATAAACAAGTGTAATCAAAAATAGATCGAAGTTGACGTGTCACTTCTAGGCTCATATAGATTTCCATTGCTATCAATAGCTGATATGAAATATTTAATTTCATTCAATCTGTTTTTCAACCGATATTTGAAAATTTGATGTTTTAGAGAATAAATTTGAATTGGGTCCTGCACCGTTATTGAAAAGTTAAAGCATTCAATTACTAAATATCAATACATCCCACCTTCAACGCCTCATATCAACTAAAACACACCTCATATTTTTATTCTAAAAAAAGGACATGTGAAAAAAAAATTATATACTTTTAAATTTGGTTTACACTCGAAGTTTGAAATCATATTAACCAATAGCAACAGGCTCCCCTTTCTTCAATCGATCAATAGCTTGAGAATCTAAACTACCCGTGGTACCACAAATATTACATTTCAATCTTTTTGAATAATAAAATGGAATTAAAGGTATGAAAAAAATAGTTATAGCATTGATTGTTCTTACTGCAAATGCACTTTGATTATGGCAATGACCACAATAACATGCAATATTACCTACATCTTTTAACGGTTTATTGAACTCTTGAACTAAAGATATGTTAGTATTTCATGTGCTAAGGTTTTTTGTCTGTCAAAATTGTGAACGGTGGCATAAGTCAAATACAATTCGTTCGTTACTCGAATTGGGTCTTCCAAAAATGCTTCATCAACTTGAAATTGATGGTACAAATTCATGAATATTCTTTTAAACGTCTGATTTATTATACACTCCAAATTACGATGTTATTCCCAAGACTTAGTAACTCATGAACAATTTCAGTACGAAGTTTCAAATTACGTACATCCAATTAAAAAGAAACAAAAGTCCATGTTTAATAAATTGATATAACTTTAAACTGGTGTAAATGCTTGTATTCCTCGAGATAGTCTAAATTAGTCTAATTTTAGATTTTGATCTTCTATGAAACGATGAATGTTATGTGTGTGAAAGCAATTGATTTTTAAATCGATGCTGGTTACTCAATTGAATTCTTAGTTGGATAGTATTTGGTATTGCCGTCTTATTCAATTGATACAAGATTTGTTATTATAATAATATCAATTTTTATTTTTTCTTTTTTGCTGAATTTTGTACCCATAAGCAAGATTAAACTAATCTGTCTACGTAATAAAATTATTTAATTGATATGGTTGCTAAGTAATCATCATAAGAACACATAAGATCATTGTAACATAATTTTAACTCCGTCAATCATAAAGGAGAGCTTGAGTGTCTACTCGATTAGTCTTATGGTCGTTATCAAGTTTACGATCCTTATAAGCTAACACAATTTCATTGAAACAAGACACAAAATCGTTCATATATTATTCTTTGATTTTACTACGCCATCTTCAATCTTTTCATGAACCTCAACGCGGCTGAATTATAAATTGTTGAAGTTGGTAAAAGATCACAAGAGTATATTCATTATCAAGAAGGGAGATTAACGGGACTCAAGTTGAAGGTATGACACTCACGTATGCCATCGACGGTAATGTGATTGATAAAAAATCTTATCAAGTATTTGAAGTTTCTGAGTTTTAGTTCTCCACATATTTAGTTGTAAAATCGTGATTGTAGATGTTTCTTCCATACTAACCACTCTGTGATAACCGATTAAAGCTGTTTTAGTAATATTTCTTGTATCAATAATTTGAAATGTGCTTTAGTTAGTTCAATTTGAATTTTAAATCAAACAAAATAAAATCCGAAGTTCATAATTGTAACAAATTTAAAATTTCTGTGTCTTCAGTTATACTATCACTTAACTTCTTGCAATTTTTTTTTCAAAACAACAAACTGATTACCTTCACTTCATTTTACAACATTTCTGATACTCAGGATAATCATCATCAAATTTTGTGTATAAAGAAGTATACTGTTACTTGTTGCTAATTATTTATTTTGGAATTTTAGTATAGCACGGCAAGTATAACTTTGCAAGACCATCGGATCCAATGAAATTTTCACATTCATTACAGTTTAATGCTGTTCCAGAATGGTCTTCAAAATATATAGCATATACTACATTGAAGAAATTAATATATTCATTACAAAGGGATAATTTAAGAAGGAAGCATTTATCAGGTGATGATGGAAATTTTGATTTGGAGGAGAATTCTCATTTAATAGATAATACTTACTCAAGTATAGGACAATTAAATGATATTGATTCAAGTAGTCCTCAAATAGTGTTTGAAGCTGCCTTAAATGCGGAATTGAAAAAAATAGATACTTTTTTCAAACATCAAGAAGAATTTATTTTTAAAAGTATTGATGAATTAGTATTTGATATTGAAGTATTTGAAAAGGAAATTGATAGTTCATTACTTGCTATGAAAGGTAATACTAGATATAAGCCAAGAAGAGTTAAAAGTAGTCGAAGATTTTCAGAAACTTCTGGTGAACAATATATTACAAATACTACCGATCCTGACACAGAATTTACCCAAGCGGAAAATGATTTTGATGATGATGACGAAGATGATGAAGGGGCACAGGAGGAACATTACGTAGAAGGATTAGAAAGAGGATACTCTCCAGTTGAATCTAGGGGAAGACAAGTGAAAAGAATGGGATCAGCACCAAATATTCATCATGATGATTTAGACGGAAATGGATTAACTCAAACCAGATCAATTGATGAATATCTCAAATCTACCAAATCTCCTCGTCTATGGAATGAATTGTCAAATGTAACCACTTCAGATAGTAGAGTACCCCCACAATTGGTTTTGTTGAGTGAAAGTAGAATTATACTAAGGAAAAGAACAATAGGATTATTTACAACATTATCAGAATTAAAATCATATATCGAATTGAATTATACAGGTTTCAAAAAAGCTTTGAAAAAATTTGATAAATCTTTAAACACAAATATAAAAGATCAATATTTAGATACCCTACCTTCAAAATCATATATTTTTAAAAATTCAACAATGCAGAAAGTTAATGATAGATTAGATGCATTAATCAAAATATATGCATTGATATGTAATCATGGAGATGATTTAGAAACAGCAAAGTCAGAATTATCAATTCATTTGAGAGAACATGTTGTTTGGGAAAGAAATACAGTATGGAGAGATATGATTGGATTAGAAAGAAAATCTCATGCAGCAAATTCAAAACTAATCGATCAAAGAGAAAGAATTAATAATGATGACAAAGAAGCAGATTTAAAATCAAGTGGGAACAAAGTAATAAGTTTTAATGTTTCAATAAGTAATCCAACACTTTTGAAATTGATTTGTATCATAACAATAACTGTGCTATTGTTGTTCTTCTCGCCATTTAAAGACAAACCTCAAAGAAACTGTTTTGCAATGTTAATATGCGCTTCATTGTTGTGGGCTACTGAAGCAATACCGTTATTCGTCACGTCATTGTTATTGCCATTATTAATAGTCATTTTTAATATCATCAAAAATGATGATGGTTCAGTCATGGATTCAGTGAATGCATCCAAATATATTTTAAGTCAAATGTGGAATTCTGTGATTTTGTTATTATTAGGTGGTTTCACTTTGGCTGCAGCTTTGTCAAAGTATCATATAGCAAAGCTAATATCCACTTGGATTTTATCAAAAGCTGGTACTAATCCATCAGTTGTCTTATTAACAATTATGGGAGTAGCATTATTTTCGTCAGCATTTTTATCAAACGTGGCTGCGCCTGTAATGTGTTTGAGTTTAATTACACCATTGATTCGTACTTTGCCTAAAGGTTCGCAATTCATCAAAGCATTAATTTTAGGGATTGCATTAGCATCGAATGTTGGAGGAATGGCAAGTCCCATTGCTTCACCTCAAAATATGATTGCAATCGGAAGTATGGAACCTCAACCCTCATGGGGTCAATGGTTTGTTATTGCTGTACCCGTTTGTATATTATCCTTATTATTAATCTGGATATTCTTATTAATTACATTTAATTGTAATGCTAAAAACACTCATTTAGTACCAATAAGAACAATTGATGATAAATTTACCAGCATTCAATGGTTTATTGTTACTGTGTCATTAGGAACGATATTATTATGGTGTATTGCTTCAAAGATTACATTTGTATTTGGCGAAATGGGTATAATTTCATTGATTCCAATTATTTTATTTTTTGGTTCAGGTTTATTAACAACTGAAGACTTTAATAATTATCCTTGGAATATTGTGGTTTTAGCTATGGGAGGTACAGCGCTAGGTAAAGCAGTTGCATCAAGTGGATTGTTGACTACCATTGCAGTTGAAATTCAAAGACAAGTTGAAGATTTCTCATTATTTGGGGTTACATTAACTTTTGGTTTATTAATCTTAATTATGGCTACGTTTGTAAGTCATACAGTAGCAGCATTAATTATAATACCGTTGGTTCAAGAGATTGGTAATAATATGCCTGAACCTCATCCAAGATTATTAATTATGGCAAGTGCATTATTATGTTCAGCTGCTATGGGTTTACCTACATCTGGCTTTCCGAACGTTACTGCCATTTGTATGACTGATGAATTTGGTAAACCATATTTGACAGTAGGTACATTTATTACAAGAGGTGTTCCGAGTTCATTTATAGCATATGCTATGATTGTAACGATTGGATATGCAACTATGAGAATCATCAATTTTTAGACCATTTTTGCAAACTGGATTTTTAAAGAATTTTGTATTGTACATAATAAATAAACATTCTGTTAGATCTTTCAAATGTACAAAGCTAGTAATATCGTTATCTCAACTCTTTCAAATTACTTTATGAACGTGAGTTCTAGCATTGTGTCATACCACCAATCAATCAATGCAATATTAGCGATTAGTGACAAATGAGACAATGTATCGTAAATGGTTGCACGATAATTATAAACAATTTGTCCTTTTGGTTGACTTATGTTTTATATTTGGGCCAAAATCAATCGCATGATTATCAATTTATCAGTAGGGTTTTTAAGTACCTGATAGAACTATATTTATCGAATGAAGTGTTGATGATATAAGCTCCAAATAAGAACCGAATTCGTTTAGATTAACCGACTTAATTTTTTTTTTTGTTGAATTGCTTCTATTAAATAATAATATGTCAAATTACTTACTAATAAAATTTCTTATCTTGTTCAAGTCAAATATTATTAACCATTTCAAGCTAGTTCGAAGTACAATTAGAGAATAATAATAGACCCAATTGAATATTGTAAGTAACTTTCGAATTCACAAAAATCGAAATAGACTTTGTTGTTCTCAAGTTTATATTATATGGACCTTGCTATAAATCAGATCAAAAATTTAATAAAGAATCAAGATTTAAACTCAATTTCATCTCAATCATCTTACTCGTCTCAACAAAGAATAATCCAAAAGGTTCCTTCGAAAGTTTTCATTCCTGAGTCATTGATTAAATTTTGGTGTAACAAATCATCCAAACAAAAGCTGTGTCTTTTATTACAAATAGTCTTAGTATCAGTTGCATTCTACATTTGTCTTCCTTCAATTCCATTATTTCAATCAAATCAAAGAAAAATGTTTTCCAAACGTCCTGATAAACATACAACTGGGTTGATTAATTTAAGAAATGATTGTTTTGCAAATTCTTCATTACAAGCATATTCATCCTTACCTTCCTTAACGGATTATTTGAATAAATTTATTGTGAGTTATCGTCAATTGTCTGAATTTATAAATACACATAAATTGGATGTAGATGCATTAACTAAATTAAGAATGGAACATAATAAATCTTTACAAAATTCAAAATTCAAATCTTCGAATGCAAAATTCACTATTCCTTTACATATAGCTTTAGCGCAAATGGTGAAAAAACTACAAGAAACTCAAATGACAACAAAGACGATTTCTGTTTGGACTTTCTTGCATGAATTGGAAAATATCTTCCAAGCTAAAATATCAAGAAGTCAACATGATGCTCATGAATTGACTCAATTAATAAATGAAACTTTAGAGAATGAAAACTTGAAATTAAAAAGCTTTCATAAATTTATCACGTTGAATCTACATCATATAATGCCAAAGGGAAACCAACCAAATCCTCAAGATTATACACAACTAGAACGAATTTCGATTCCTGAATTCCCTTTTGATGGATTAATTTTGGGTCAAATGACCTGTTTGAAATGTCATGGTGTTTCGAAACCTACTTTCACACCTTTTGTTATGTTGACATTGCCAGCTCCGATGAAACCGCAAGCCAACTTGGAGAGTTTGTTAGAAGACAATGAAAGTGAAACAATTGAGGGGTATCAATGTCTCAAATGTAGGATTGACAAAATAGTTGCAAATGAACTTTTAATTCAACCTACGAGGAAATTTCATTCTCTCGAGGAAGAACAGTTTATTCATCAAATTTTTGACTTGCATAATAATCCGCATTTATGTATAAACGAGGATATACCTGAACCATTGGAAAATTATATTAAAAATTACAACGTTAATGGCATTGATATTTCAAAAGTAACTTCAACTGTTTCCAAAAAATCTCATATTTTGAAACCACCAAAGATTTTTGGTATCCATTTATCAAGATCAGCATTTGATGGTCAAACTGTTTCAAGAAATTCTTGTCGAGTGACTTTTAAAGATAACATGAGTTTGTCAATTGGTAAAGAGTATCATGATAGATTAAAAAATTTTCAAACCATAGTTCAAGACGATGAAGAAAAATTGATAAAACAATTAAGTTCAAAAGTATTGACTACTGATGAAAATGATATGGAAGACGAAGATGTACAGAGGGGTGATTATTTGGAAAAAGGAGAACCTGATGAAGATTTGGATGAAGACAACGACGAAGCAACAGATGATAATGAGACTATACATAATGGAACAACTGAGGAGGAGGATGAAGATGATGATGACGATGATGAAGTAGACGATGATCTTTCATCACGAACAAGTATTGAATCGACTCCACAAACTATCACGACTTCAACAACAATTAGACCACCAAATAGTGCATCATCGGAAGTCGAAAATCCAACTATCAATAAAGCCCCAATAAACGACCAACAAACAGAAAATTTGAGGGAACATTTTAAGAAGTTCAAATTTAACGAAAATGACATTTATAAATATAGATTGAAAGCTATTATTAGACACATGGGATCACATACTCAAGGACATTATGAATGTTATAAGCATAAACCATTATACGTGAAAAACAAAGACGGTAATATTTTTAAGTTGTCCCCAGAGATCATGGACTTGTCCGGAGAGGTTCATTACGATGTTTCACCCGTGGATGAAGATACGTCTGAGAAGAAAAATTCAAGATTTTCAATACGTTCAGGGAGTAACGCATCTGCCTCTGACGATGATGGGATACGTCATAGATTTTCTTCAATGATTGGAAGAAGACCATCAGTTATACAAGCCAACCCCAGAAATGTCGAAGAGATCATTCAGTCTGGTTTACAAACTCCAGCTGAGATTTTAGTTGATGATCCAATGAAAAACAATTTTGATAACGCTTTTGCCAAAGCTAATTTTAAGTCATCATTCCAAGATCATCCACAAGAATCATCTATTGAGAACGGTATAAGTACTAATGGATCTCAAGCTTCTACTAAACAACCTGAAAAAAAGGTTAAAATGAAAAAGATTCAATCTCTTATATCGAATCCGTATTGGAGGATCAGTGATGGTAATATCAATGAAGTTTCAAGAAATGCTGTTCTAGCGGAGGAAACCACGGTGTATATGTTATATTACGAAAGAGTTGATAGAAAACAAATTAAAAGATCACATAGAAATTGAAAACGATAACGAAACTAGCATTAAATTAAGTAGACTTTACATTTAGATTAATTAAATTTTATTTAGAGAATCAAGGTTGTAGTATTCGCAAAAAATAGCACCGAAACTTAAGTCTCTGATAAGTACTCTGCATACATAAGAATTCGATATGTTATTTATTCGCGTTTGTGATTTTATTTAAATCAAATGGAAATACTTTCAACTTTTGATTTACAATAACATGGTATGACTTTGAAGATAATCATCCCGTCTACAACAATTGATGTCAAAAACGATATAGATAAATTAGAGAATTTGCCAATTAGACAAATAGTATATCATGATGAAATTTTACAAGGATACATAATAAATTATAAAGACAATGACTCCAAACTGAAAAAAACTACGGTTTATCTGTGCATACTACCTCAAAATTCAGATTTCACAACAGAGTTAGTAAGTCAAGAGAACACTAGCGTCCACAAATACACATTTGACGAAAATCAGGTAGTATTTGAAAACAATGAAATTTTAGTATGGCTTTTCAAATTTCCAATATTACACCAAAGAAAGAAAATAGCACAACCGAACTTGTATATAGCATGTCAATTGGAAGAATCGACTGAACCTCAAGTGGTAGATATAACAAGGGCCGAAGATTCCATGGACTTACCAAATTTTATGCCAGTTTTCAATGATTTAATGGTGTATTCTGATGTCTCAATCAATGAACAACCAAATCAGAATAGTTTGGATACGACTATAAAGAAAAAAGCGGAAGATGAAAAAGAAAGAGTGAAAGAAGAAATTGCAGTCATCAACTTGCCAATAATTACGTCATTAGTGATCAAATTGAAGACAACGAAACCAGCTGGTCGGAATGCGATTCTTTTAGCAGCATTAAATATTGAATGCTCTGATGATCTACTTCATTTTTTGACGAAGGAAAAGTCAATCGATAATACCTTGCATGACATATATTTTGAAATAACGGAATTAAATTTGATTTTTGAAAACTCATTAATTCAACCAACTACTCAAGTTGTTCCTACAAAAATAAGAATAATGGATTCATTAAATGTTATTTACAGGCTAGTTTCCAACGCATTGCCAAATAAATCCAGCTCAAAGCCCATTTTTATTAAAATGTCATTTAAGGTGCAAAAAGTGGTCAATGGAGAATTGAAAAGTATCAGTAACCTAATTGAAACTGAGTGGAACCCATTCATAGATTTTGGATTAATTGCTCCACCAATCAACAATGCTTTGAAGACAAATAACAATGTATCTCAAGTACAATCTCAAGTCGGTGCTCTACCGAATGGAACAAATATTAGACAAAAAGCATTATTGAATAACATATACAAATTGAGGAGTCCGAATTCTTCAACCCACAGTGCAAATAGTCTAACGCTATCATCTTCATCTTCGACCAACAATAGGAAATCAAGCTCAGGGATGCCCAGAATAGCGTCCTCAGTTACTGTCAACTTGGCTACGAATGTCAACTCATCATTAGCAGGTTTGAAATTGACATTTATTGGTAAACTAGACATTCAAGTGAATCAGGTAACAAACTGGAAGATTCAAGCTGTCAATAATTCACCAAATAGATTGAATTTATCATTGTTAGTTCAAAATGCTATAAATTTCAACCCAATCTATAGTACAAATACAACTTCTACAAACAATATTTCATCTTCAAATCTACTAACAATGAATCAAAATAGTAAAAGCACCTCGAATAATGATGTTATAATACAAAATAAAAATCGATCGTATTCATTATACAATTCATTGAAAGCGAATTATGAAGAGGAAGGAGTAATAATTTTGAATAATGATGTTAGGATTGGACCATTGGAACCTCAAACAGTTTTCGAAACAAATATACAATTGATAGGAAATAGAAAGGGTATTTTCAATTTAGACGGGATAAAGATATTTGATATCAATACTGGTGACGGTATAGATTTTGGAAAATTGATAGAAGTTTTTGTAGTCTAGTTTGAATTCGTGTAAAATTTAAAAGTACTTTGACTCCGGTCGTCTTTTTGAACAGATAAATAAAGTTTAATCTCATGTGCATCTTAAGTGGTTTTCTATTTTCGAAACTTTAAATTAAAGCCGTTTGATCAATTGGAAAATTGATGCAAAAAATAATTTTAAATGTAAGAAGTCAAAATCTTCTTCGTTCGGTTTAACTTTAGTGGAATGGGAACTTTTCATTGTGGTGTTGTACGGAATTATCAATGTCTAAATTAAGTAACTCAGATTTATGTATCTTGTTGTATTCTGAAACTATTTTTCAAAACCTAAAATTATTATATTATTCATAAATAATATGTGTCAACAAAAGTTTGAAGATAGCTTTTTCAATTTATGATAAAAATCAAAACTATTATTTTTATCTTGATTTTCAGTCTCATATACAAATTGCTTTTCATTAATAGTAGGATGACATCGATTGATTTTACCGCATTAGTTAAGGAACAGAATTATCCAGATTGGATCCATACCCCACAAAATGTTAAGGATATAGCTAAAGAATTGGCACAGGATCAAGTACAATTGTTTGACAATATTGCCAAACAAATAGATAATCCTACTATTGACAACGTCATGAAGCCATTTGCCAAGTTTTCAAATGAAAATAGTTTTTTGGAAAATCAAATCACATTTTATCAACACGTATCAGATAATAAAGAATTGAGAGATGCATCTACCGAAGCAGAAGAACTTCTCGATAAGACATCGATTGAGCAATGGTCAAGATTGGATGTATTTCAGGTATTTGAAAAATTGAATGAATCAGTCAAAAATGACGCTCTAGTAGATCCAGAAACTAAACGTTACTTAACCAAAATATTAATTTCATTTAAAAGAAATGGTTTAGCATTACCTTCGGACCAAAGAGAAATTGTCAAAAAATTACAAGTTGAATTAAGTAATTTGAAATTACAATTCGCTAAAAACTTGGGTGAAGACAAAGGTTATATCCTTTTTTCCGAGGATGAATTAGAAGGTATTCCAAAAGATGTAATCAGTCAATATGAAAAAATTGAAGAAGATGGGAAAACAAAATTGAAAGTTACTTTCAAATATCCAGATATTCTTCCTGTTTTTCGTCATGCTTCAAATTCCAACACTCGAAAACTTGCGAATCTTGCATATGGTAATAGAGTTTCGGAAAATGATGAAATTTTGGACAAAATAATAAGAATAAGGTATGACATTGCAAAAGAATTAGGTTACGATACATTTTCAGATTACGTTTTAGAAGAAAGAATGGCAAAAAGAAAAGAAACCGTTCTTGATTTTTTGGATGATTTGAGAACAAAATTGGATCCAGTAGCTGAAAATGATTTGAAGGAATTAAAAAAATTGAAAAAACAAGATTTTGTAAACAGAGGTTTGAAAGAAGAAGATGACTTCTACGCTTGGGATTTCAACTACTATAATGAGAAATTGTTGGAAGATAAATATCAGGTTGATAACACTAAAGTAGCAGAATACTTCCCACTTCAATCAACAATCGATAAAATGCTTCAATTTTATGAAAAAATATTTGACATCAAATTTGTTAAATTAACACCTCCTAAAAATCAAATATGGCATGAAGATGTTCAACAATATTCTATTTTTCAAGGTGTGACTTCGGGCAAATTGGAACATATAGGAGCTATTTACTTTGATTTACATCCTAGAGAAGGCAAATACGGCCATGCTGCTAATTTCGGCTTGGGACCGGGTTTTGAAGAAAGTAATGGAGATCGTCATACTCCTGTTACTGCGTTAGTTTGTAATTTCACCAAACCAACTAAGGAGAAACCATCATTATTAAAACATAATGAAGTTGTAACTTTTTTCCATGAATTGGGTCATGGTATTCATAATATCTTATCGCAAACCAAATATGCAAGATTCCATGGTACTTCAGTGGAAAGAGATTTTGTGGAAACACCTTCACAAATGTTGGAATATTGGTGTTGGTCAAAGAACGAGATCAAAGCTTTGTCATCTCATTATGAAACTGGTGAACCAATGAATGATGAATTGATTTCACAATTGGTCAAAACCAAGCACATCAACACTGGTTTATTTAATTTACGTCAATTATTTTTTGGTATCTTCGATATGAAATTACACACAATCAATAGTAGGGAACAACTTGACAAATTAGATCTATTAAAAACATGGAACGAATTAAAAGATAGTGTTACATTATTACCAAGTGATGATAATCCAACAAAAGGCTATGCTTCATTTGGACATATTGCTGGTGGGTATGAAAGTGGTTATTACGGATACTTATATTCGTTAGTCTTTGCTGCTGACATATATCATACATTATTTAAGGAAGATCCAATGAATACTGAAAATGGTATTAGGTACAGAGATATAATCTTGAAAAGAGGTGGATCTAGGGAAATTATGGATAATTTGGAGGAATTGCTAGGTAGAAAACCAAATTCAGATGCTTTTTTAAAAGAGACATTTGGTTGAATTAGAGTTAGGAGTTAACAATTAAAAGTTTATACGAGTTTGAAATTTAAAGAAATGCATAATATGATCAGTGCTCGTTTATTATTATTGAACTCTTGTCTGTAATGCATAAAAACTCGTATTACATCGTGTTCAAGTATTCATTAATCGTCATTATTATTTAGACAAAACTCTATAGACTTGTATAATGTCTGTCTGTCTTCTTCGTTAAAAACCCATAATCCAAAAATTTCTCCCATTAAATTTCTAACAATTATCAAATTATCATTTAGTTCAACATCCATCTCCAGTATTTCGGAATCGTCAATACCATTAGGTAGATACTGTTTACTAACTTTTGTAGGAATCAAACCTATCGAAAAGCAATCTGGATTATTTCTATTCAACAAAATTAGACCGTAAGTGAATAATTCTTGATAATCAGTGATTGAAATTGTTTGTGAAAATGATCCTAGACTTCTGGCATATAATGCTAATGACCCTTGATAGTCAGTTTTATTCCATTCTTCGGTTTCTTCGTTGAATCTATAAACCACACAATGCGAGGTAGAACATATTAATTGCTTGATAGCCGGGTCGTATCGACTAATTACGTTAAAATTTAGCGTATTTGAATATAACTTTAATGCCTCATCTCGAGATATCTGCTCCTCGTTTATTTCAGTGTTATTCCGTACTTTGACTGACATTTTATGATGTAATATTGTTGAAGCTATACTGCTATACTACTAAACTAAGAATGAATACCTAAAATATTTTTGCGAACTGCGTGAAACTTAGTTTCAATCAGATTGAAATTTTAAGGGGGTCCTTCATGGATGATTAAGCAAAAAAAGGTCAACAGTGTTCCGTCATTGAGTACCTCTGTCTAAGCCAATTGAAATTTTTATTGTCTCTCAAAGTTTTATCTCCCTTCCGTTGCGGACTATCTAAACGTGGAGAATAGGATGTTGATTCTAGAATTTTATTTGACTGGTTTGTATACATAACTATTTAAATTTTAGGGGGGTTTATATTTTCGAAAGCAATTGAATCAATAAAACACATGACTGTGTAACCAACTTCTTTTCCCTTAAATACCTGACCTAATCGAATAAAAATGCAATCATTTACTAAATCTGTTTTTAGATTACCAATCCATCAATCATTAAAATCATTTAACAGAATGTATGCATCAGTAGGTGATAAGATTCCATCAACAGTTGTTCATGAAAACTCTCCTGGAAATGATGTCAATTTAGCTAATGAAACCGCCAAGGGTAAATCTATTTTAGTAGGAGTTCCAGGAGCTTTCAGTCCAGGGTGTAGTCAGAGTCACATTCCTGGCTATATTAAGAATGCAGATGCCTTCAAAAATAAAGGGTATGATCAAATTTTTGTATTAGCAGTTAATGATCCATTTGTAACTAAAGCTTGGGGTGAAGAATTGACTTCAAAGAATGGTAAAAGCTCAATTAGATTTTTAGCAGATAGCACCGGTGCTTTTGCTAAAGACCTTGGTGTGTTATTTGATGCAACTAAAGTCTTTGGTAATGACAGATCAAAGAGATACGCTTTAGTAGTTGAGGATGGTAAAATCACCGAATCATTTGTTGAACCAGATAATACATCAGTCGATAAATCAGAAGCTAGTAAAGTTTTAGAGAGTTTGAAATAAAATAGTTATTCAATTGAAAGTTACAAATCAAATTTTTTAGAACGGCTTCGTTTTTTATCGGATTGTTTCTTCTTGTTGAACTTTTTACGCTCCTTAAAATCCTCTTGTAACATATCCCATTTTAATTTATCTTCCTCTTTTACTTCGGGTGCAAAATATATAGTTGACTTAATTTCTTCAAGTAGCCTTCGAAAACATTCCTCAGTGTTTTCATCTCTGTTTCTACTGGAGTCACATTGTATGACTAAACCTCTCAGTTTAGTCTCATACCGTATTGGCAGGGATTGCAACTGTTCAAGTATTGGTGATGGAATCCAATAACAAATTGTAGGATTTAGCCACATTCCAGATTGTAACGATATTGTGGCTTTTGAAGATGTCTTATTCACTTTTTGTCCTCCAGGTCCAGATGAACGACTGTAAGTTATTTCAAATAAATGTTTTGGAATAATTGAAGTATCTACAGTCTGAAGCCATATTTTGGATTTTTGTATAGCTTCACTTGAAACCACTTCTGCGTCACTGCTTAAAAGCCTAATTGATCGTAGGATTATGCTAACATGTTTTATCCATAGGTTATATCTTGGTTTCAAGAATAACATTTTTGAAGTTTTTCCTGTTTTGCATATTTACGAAATTTTATATTTTTCAGCCAAATCCAAACTGGAAAGTATAAAGTAATAAACATCAATAAACATCAATATGACTGATATACTACGGAAAAAGTCAGAGGACTTTTACAAACTCATCAAGAAGGTGGTTGCAAATGTTGAACTTTCGAACTTGTCAGGAGAATCATCAAATTTCAAAAAATTTAACAAATTCAAAACCCAATTGAATAGGATCCTAAAAAATGATGGCAGTTTGCGTTTACCTCAAAGTCAAGACAATGAAATAGCGGAAGAGCATGTTGTTAATGAGATTGAAAAATATAACACACAGTTAGATTCCTCTTTTGATGAATTTATTGTTACCACAGGTTCACAAAAATTTATTCAATCAATAATACACGATTATGTGGAAGATGAAGATAAAGATCAATCGCATTTTCACCAACAACTTGATACTGTATTGGACTTTACATTATGGTTAGCAATTGACCTTGAATTGCCAGTGAAATCCTCATATTACCAAAATTTACTATTTATTCTGAGTCAATTAATATCATTATCAGTTGGTGAACTCTCATTGTTTTGGACATATTTAGAGTCTAGAATGGCCATGATTAAAAATAAATTGTTTACAGGAACCACTAGCGAAAGAATGTATATTTTAGAACTCGGAAATTTTTTGACTGACTATTTCCAAACCTCTGGTTATGGAGACAAAACCAATTCGATTGAAAAAGATACAAATAACGATATAATTCAAGCAAGGGTTAGGACGCTAATGACAAATTTATTAGAGTTTGAAGATCTGACAGGAAGAAACAAATATTTCAGATTTGGCAATAGGATTACACCTAAAATTACAATGAAAGATAAATTTTTGAGTGATGTCATGGATATTCAAAAAATATTTAATGACCCAATCTTTTATATGAAAAAGGAAAACTATAAAGACCTTCATAAGATGTCTGACAAAATACATGCTGTTTATGATGTTTTGTTGAAGGAATACAAAAGTTATAGAGCTAAACTTAATGAGCCTGACCAATTTACTAAGAAGCCAAAAGTACTTGAATCGGAAGCTAGGTATTTGTGCAAAAAATTTGAATCCAAAAAATACGTTCCGGAAACATATATTGGAGCAGTTGCAGAAAATCATAAGGCAGATGTTGATTTTTTGTTCAATCAATTGGAGTCACCGAAAATTAAATTGCTATACATTGCTCAAATTTTCATTCTTGCTGGACTTTATAGCGAATCCGCTCCCCAAACCAAAAGAGATTTTCTTCGAAGTATAGGAGCTCCAACAAATTCTAAACATTTAACTGATGAAACCGTTAATAATACCACCGCTAAAACTTTTTTCGAATTAAAAAAAGATATATCAAATAACTTAAGATTAGCAGATAGTCAAACAATGTTTTTGTTTCAAAGTTTACATTTCGGTGAGAAGTCATGGTGGGGATTATTATTAAAGGGGAAGGATCTGGATATTCAAAACATTTTTGCGGATAAAATGATAACTCCTGAGGAAGCAGAAAATATTCAAGAGAAGCATTTAAGTCTATATCCATACAAAAGCAAAAAGAATTTCAATACTTATATTACACCACAAGTTTCTAAGAAAATGAGAAAATCAAGGGGTTTAGAGAATTTAAGAAAAAGGGTTGATTTTGATGCAAAAAAGGCTGAAGAGGACAATATTCGTATTTCCGATCAATTGAATGATGAGGACTCCATGGAAGATAAAACTGAGTTAAAAGAAAAAAAGTCATCCAATTCATGGAAAATTTTGAGGAAAAGACGATATGATTTAGTGAATTGAGTTACAAAAAATGAAATCATTGTATCGTATTTTGACACTTATGGTCTGACTCTAATCTTGAAATTGCCATTAATTTATATACGTACGGGTACTTTGTAATTCCAATCCATGTTTTGGTTTTTCACTCTCTGAGTTAGAATCTGTGACACTCGTAATTGACGCGTCTCGTAATAAATTTTTAATTTTTTCCTAACTCTTTATCATTATCATTTTATATTATGCGTTTATGCTATAAAACCAACTAATATTTCAATTCAAAATTCAGTAAGGTTGCAATTCTCAAAAGAAAACATTTGGCATAGCTTCAATTTTTTATGATCTGAAATAAATCGTTCATCAAATTTGCTAACTAAAGATATCAAATTTTTGGTTGCAAAATAATTCACATCAAACTCGTTAATGGCACCCGTAAGAAGATCATCCAGAAATAAAAATAAAACTACAACCAAATCCAATTCACCTAAAAAGCAAAATGTTCAAAATTCAAGTAAGAAAAAGTTTGGCAAAAAGAGCAAAAATACACCTTCAAAAATTGAGACCTCAACTACTATCAACGAGTCTGAATTAAATTCTTCTCCTATAAAAAGAGCTACAACTCCAACCAAAACATTTAATGAAACAAATAACTCAAATACCAATCCAAATAGTAAGGAAGTTGGTGGTTCCAAAAATAACCAATCGAATATCATATCTGTCACACCAACTAGGCTGAATCAGTACAAGGGCCCTGCACAAAATACAAGGAGAAAAAAATGTGTCCTATTCTCAGATGATTTAGTTTCGGATTTGCCAAGTTCTCCCGATCGATCTACGCCAAAAAGATCCATTTTAAAAGCGTGTGATATTAATCTAAAAACACAATTGACTGATCCTAATAATTCAACTTTATGGGAGAAATCAACTTTGAAACAACCACATGGACCTAAATATACTAATTTTTGGTGTCCTGGAACTATTGTTCAACTTCCCCCAAATTCGGATGAGTTACCCATGTTAGTTGAAGGATGCTTATCTGTACTTAGTGTAAAGACTTTTGATAAGAGATTTGAAGTTTATGCAACATTAAATTCCGTTTTAAAAACTAATTCTCGTGAAACTATATTCAATTTATTTACAAAATCAATGGAGATAAATCACGATGAATGCAAGTCAAAAGAATCAACATATCTTCAAAAGCTAGTATTCCATTTAATTCAAGACATTGATGAGATTGAAGATCAAATATTTAAATTTGATAATGAAAACAAGGAAAACACTTCTCCATCAAAAAATGATCCTTTTAGAGTCAGAATTATAAATCAAGCATTAAAATTATTAAATTGTTTCATGGTAGACCCGAATGTGAACTGTTTGATACTGATTGAAGATGCAGACTGGATCTATCGGCATGCAATATCAATGTTGACTCATCCTCGTATCTCAAAAACATTGGTTTCACCTTACTTATCAATAATAAAAGATTGTCATTTAAATGCCATGAAAAAACGGGAATTGTTTTCAAATAGTGAATTGATAGAAAAGATGTTGTTTGCATTAATGAATATGAACAGTTTTCCGAGTGCCACATTAGTATCTGAGAAACTACTATGTATTAAAAACTATATAATCAATTTTCCAAATTCTATGTCAAAAAACATTGGGCATTGGTTTGAGTCGGTACTTCTCAACCTTTGTAACATATCGCTGCCATTATATATGAAATGTTTGGGATTCAGCGTCAATTGTCTTATGGAAACTGCTAAAACCTTTTTAGACAACAATAATGTACAAATCTATATCAGAAAGTTATTATCATCAACAATATCTAATAACGTCAAATTTTTTTCAATAGATGAAGAATATTCACAAAATTTAAGTCAATTGAGCTCACAAAATATTAAACTCGTTGACTTCGTAAACTCGAAATTACAAAAATTATGTGACGAGGGACACCATAAATTGGCGTTGGACCTGTGGATGGCTTTAACTGTATTGATAGGAAATGGACAAACATCATTTGAAAAATGGTCTCAATTAAATTCGTGGTTAGTTGTTCCCCAAAGATGTCTCGAGAGTAAAGACCCTGCTATAATTGAATTGGTCCTAAACAGCTGGAAGGCAGTTAATTTTAACCTTTGTAAAGATGGGTTATTGTACATGAGGAAAGAGTTGGACCCCATATTGAGAGGACCTTTGAATAATGAGAAAAAAACTCGTATAAATCAAATAATGAAACCTAAAGTGGAATTGTTGACTCATGTTTTTCTTTGCATGGATGTACCTAATTTGCCAAGTAATATCATCAATTCACTTCATAATCTATTCCTTGGTATATTATACATGATAATAAATTCAAATGTTTTAAAAGTTTGGTCAAAGAATATACATCTATTGTGGGATAGAATCATTCAACCGGTATTCTTAAATTTTTATTTCAAAAAGAATTCATCAACCAATTACCTCAACTTGCTTGGGTTTAGAATTTTAGCAACATTGCTTAAGTTAGACCTTCGATCGCGTAAGACTTATAGTGACATAAATGTCTTAGCAACCGAAAACCTAACTTCGAATGACCTCACTCCACTTCCATCTAGATGGGTACATTCCCATTTTGACAAAATAATGCAGAATATATATTTGGTCTTTCTGTTAAAGAAATTAGAATTTGAAGATAAGTTATCTATGTTGATTATTTTTTTGAATACTTTAAGTCAAATTGTAAAAAAGGAGAGAGTCACGTCCACCACAACCTACGACTTGATAGATAACCTTCCATTGGTATTGTCTCAATTATTAAAAAATCATGATTTGATATGTACTGAACGAATTAAAGAAATAATAATAGAGCTTCAAAATACTTTCAAAACTAAGGATTTATTGTCTAGAGGTCCTGATGAAAATCTTGACGTTTATTTCACCATCTTGAGTAATAGCAAGATGAAGTTCGATGAAGAATCTAAGCATATATATGCAACCATTTTAAAGTCATTAGATTTTACAAAAACTTTGATATTTATATGCAATATTGTTAAAAGTGATATTTTTGAGGACTCATTAAAACTGTTTCTTATTGCACATTTAAGTCAATTAAATCTTGAAATTAGTCGTACCACCGTAATTTGCTACGGCGAAATTTGTCAATTTGTTAAAACTGGCTATCATATTTTTGTCAAGAAACTTTTTCGATCTATACTTTCCACTAGCAATACTGAAGATATAACACTTCGATGGTTGGGTCTATTGAATATGCAACACTGGACATTGGAGACTTCTCAATATGCATTACTTTTATTCAGAGAATCATCGAATGAAGCATTTCTACGACTTTTCATCCCATTAATCACCAATCAGTTGGAATCATGGTACAATCCTACATTGCAATTTCTAATACTAAACGATTTTGCTGTTGTAATTTCTGAATTAAGGGATCAGATTTTTGACATTGGCTCTCGACAAGATGCAACCATTATTGGGGATATCTGTTTGATGTTAGAAAATTATTTAAAAAATAAGCTTGAAGAGCTGGAGATAAATTATGATTTAATAGATAAATTAGGATACAATTGCTTGAAGATTTTTAAAATGAATATTTCGTTTTTGAATGATCATTTACAAAATTTACCTTTGTTAAATCAAGAAATCAATACGCAAGTATCTGAAAGTTCTGATGGATCCCTAAATTTAGATAATTCGAAGCATTCATTATCGGAATTGGCCATTTCAATTCCTTCTGTAATTTATAAAGATATCACACAACAACATATACATCAACCAACCCAAGAAGAATCAAATGGACAATTACTTCAAGAAAATTCTACTGATTCTTCAGGATTTAGTGAAGTAGAAAATAGAGAAACAGCTACTACTGGAAAGGAAAGTACTACAAAGTCATCTGTACCACATTTAGACCAAGATCATGATATGATGATGGATGAACTTGCAGAATCTGAAAATATTAGCTCCAACTCTTCATCATTTCCGACATTGAAAACCACTAAAGCAGAAGCTTCGGCTTCAGAACTGATTGAAACGGCAGTAGATGATCTGAATATCAAAATACCACCAAATACAGCCAAAGTTACGAATGATGTTGAATCTAGAGAAGAAACCATTTCAGAGTCAGAAAGCACGTTCATTACACAAAGGAATGACTGTTCGTTGATGCCTCAATCAAAAGAAGATACCATTGCAAACACATCATCCATCGATGTCAATGGAGAAGAAAAGAATAATAAAATTCCAGAATTAGAAAAGGTTTTACCTGATTCTATTGAATCCGTCAACTCATCTAATGGACAGTATAATACGGCCGAATTAGTTAGACTTTTGGATTTAAAATCTTACAATGAACTTTCGCTTTTAAGTAATGAGGAAAAATATGAAATCGAAACAAAATTACTTAATTTCATGTTAAAATTGAGGAATATCAAATCATAAATCGAAATCATTATTGCAGTAACTTTTTATGTCCATTACAATTTTCATTTTTAGCTTTATTTGGTGATCTTCATTATCTTGCATATATCTACAAAAAAGTAATAAATACTTATTCTTGTAAGTTACATCTGAAGACCAATTCCTCTTATTCTATCGTTTTTACCCTAAATATGAGACAGGAGGAAAAGAAAGACTACATTTCCATTGATGGTAAATGAAATCTAACTCACCTCGAAGTATAAATATCTTGGCCTCTTTAAAGTTTGAATGATTGCAAATAGTTGTTTCTCTTATTTTGTTTGTTGATGCGATATCTCATTTTAATAGATCGTGATTATTATCATTATTTTTTTTCCTTCTTTAAACTTCTTTTAGGCGTCAGATCATTAACTAACAAATGTCATTGAAATTACCTCAAGCACCCAATTCAGGTCTTTTCAAGAATGGGTATTCATCATATTCAAATGCTGATGGTGCAATTATTAGAAATATAGAAGCAGTTAGAGAAATTGCTTCTATATTATTAACATCAATGGGTCCAAGTGGAAGAAATAAAATTATTGTAAATAAATTAGGTAAAAAATTTATAACCAATGATGCAGCTACAATGTTAAATGAATTAGAAATTGTTCATCCAGTTGTTAAAATATTAATTCAAGCTTCAAAACAACAAGAATTTGAAATGGGTGATAATACAAATTTAGTAATTATATTAACTGGAGAATTTTTAAATATTGCAGAAAAATTATTAAATTTAGGATTAAATGTTACTGAAATTATTCAAGGTTTTAATTTAGCTAATAAATTCGTTATGGAAACTTTAAAAGATTTAGTTGTCGATAAAGTTGAAAATTTTGAAAATGATTTATTAAAAGCTATAAAACCTGTTATATCTGCAAAACAATTTGGAGTTGAAGATATTATTTCAAACTTAGTAGTTGAAGCAGTCAAATTAATTATAAATCCTAAAAATCCTTTAAGTTTTAATGTTGATGGTATAAGAGTAGTTAAAATTATGGGAAGTTCTTTATCACAATCTGAAGTTGTAAAAGGTATGGTTTTTCCTCGTGAACCAGAAGGTTCAATCAAAAATGTTAAAGATTCAAAAGTTGTAGCGTTTACATGTCCAATTGATATATCAACAACTGAAACTAAAGGAACTGTATTATTACATAATGCACAAGAAATGCTTGATTTCACAAAAGGAGAAGAACAACAATTAGATCAAATGTGTAAAGAAATTTATGATTCTGGTGTAAAAGTAGTTGTTGCAGGTTCAAATGTTGGAGAATTAGCATTACATTATTTAAATAAATATGGAATTTTAGTATTAAAAGTACCAAGTAAATTTGATTTAAGAAGAATTTGTCAAGTATGTGGAGCTACTCCTTTACCAAGATTAGGTGCACCAATGCCTGAAGAAATGGGAGAAATTGATGTAGTTGAAACTAAGGAAATTGGAGGAGATAGAGTTACAGTTTTTAAACAAACTAATTCAAGTTCAAGAACAGCAACAATAGTTATAAGAGGAGCAACACAAAATAATTTAGATGATATTGAAAGAGCAATAGATGATGGAGTAAGTTCAATAAAGGGATTATTAAAAGATTCAAGATTATTACCTGGAGCAGGAGCTGTAGAAATAGAATTAATAAAACGTATTACACAATATGGAGAAACAACTCCTGGATTATTACAATTAGCAATAAAAAATTTTGCAAAAGCATTTGAAGTTATACCAAGAGTATTAGCAGAAACTTCAGGTTTTGATTCAACAGAAATAATAAGTAAATTACATGCAGCTCATTCAAATGATGATGGTTTAAAACAAGGTTTAAATATTGAAACTGGTGATATAGAAGATACAGGAATTTATGACATTTATGAAACTAAAAAATCAGCTATAGAATTAGCTGTTGAAGCTACAAATACTATATTATCAATAGATCAAATAATAATGGCTAAAAGAGCAGGAGGACCAGTAATGCCAAAACAACCAAGACCAGGAAATTGGGATCAAGATGATTAAAGATGATATATATATATATTGGAATTTATAATTAAATACTTTTACCAGCATTTATAAATTTTGTAATTTTAGTTAAATCTTTTGAACCATTTGTTTCAACACCTCCACTTACATCATATCCTAATATATTCGGTATATCTTTAGTTTCAATAACATTTTCAGGATTTAAACCACCTGCAAGTATAGATTTTGTAAAATTTAAATTATTTTTTATAAATTCCCAATCAATTTTTTTACCTTCACCACCTTCTTCAGAATCTAATAATTGTAAACTTAAAATTTTTTCATTCATAACGTAGTTACTATCATTTTTTAAAATTTCTAAATCTTTTGGTAATACATATCTTTTTATAACTCCAAATCCTAAATTTAAATAATCTTTTAAATTTTCATTTCCATGTAATTGAATAAAATCTAAATTTAAATTTTGGGCAATTTTTGAAACTTCTTCTGGTGATTGATTTTTAAAAACTCCCACTAAAAATGGTCCGTTTTCTATTAGTATATCTTTAATATATTCAAAATATTCTATAGGTGAATCAAATTCCTTCGTTGAATTCTTTATTTCTTCCAGGATTAAAGTTAATGATTTAGGTCGACCATGATTAACTAATTTTGAAATTTGTTTAGCTACTTCAGGTGGAATAGTTCTTGGTTTATTGGGGACTAATATACATCCTACTAGATCTGTTCCATGTATTATTGCTGTTTCTGCTGCTTCTAGTGTTTTAACTCCACATATTTTAACTAATTTCATTCTTTGACTGTTTAAATGAATTTCAAAACATTAATGAGAGTCATAATTTATTAGCGTTTCAGAATTTTTCAATTTGAGCTTCATGCTCAATTTTGTGTTACTAAAGGAAAGAACGTAATTATCTGATTTGAATAATGATACTGACATAACAAGCAAATCAAAAGAAATGGATAGAGAGAGGTATGAACTCGTTGACTCTGTTAAGCTATGTATCGAAATACTTACGAGGGGAAGATTACTTCAAGAATTGGTAATGACATCAATTCAAAAACTTTGATATAAGTGGTTTGACAGTAAAAAATTGTCAAATGTAAACCAAAGCTTTAGATCTCACTCTCAAATACTAAGTTGTAGCTTTAAATTACACTCAAATGCCTTGTTTTAGTTTTGAATTACTTCCCATCATGACCTTTTAGCTTTAAATTTAGTTTCACATCAAAGTATTCCAGACTTTAACCCAAAATAGATCATTTGTTTGACAATCTTTGTATTCTAATTAGCGAATCTTAGTAAGTTGTCGTCATTAATACAATCTCAAACCTAGTCAAAATCTAAGAAAAAAAAAAAACTATATCTCATGCCATTATAAATTTTATTTATTATCTTTTTCTCATCTTTCATCTTTTCTAAAAAATTTTCCAAAATTTTTAAAATTTTAATTAATTTTATTAACATGATTTTCACCATTTAATGCAAATTCTCTTATATTTTTTTCAAATTGATTAATTTTTGGAATTAAATTTTGTTGTTGTTGTTGTTGTGGTGATTTTGAACCTGGTGATGCAATCTGTTGTTGTTTTATTGGTAATGAAGTTGGAATTTGAATTGGAGTAGGACTTGATGAAAATTGAGAAGAACTTAGTGAAGGATCCAACATTTCATCATCTTGTAAATTTGTTAATAGATGATTTATTTTATGATTTTGTTGAGTTGGTAATGATGAGGTGTCTTCATTATTTTCAATAGATAATTGTAGTTTAAAATTTTCAATATAATTTTTTTGATTTAATTTTTTAATATTTTTTAAATTTAATAATTTTATAAAATTATTTATTGATTTATCTCCAATAATTTCAAAATAAGTTTCAATATAATTTTCTATGGAAGTTGTTGGTGGAATCATAAGAATCTTTATAATTGATTCTAATTCATTAAAATGATTATTTACGTATTTTATATAAGATTTTGAAATTTCTTTTTGACCCAATTTTGGTAAATTTAAACATAAATCTTTTAATGATATAATATCTAATAAAATTTGTTCTAAATTTATAATATTATTTGAAATTTTATTAAATTTTAAATTATTTAATAATGTTGTTGTTAATAATTCAATTAATTTATCATTAAAATTTCTTATATAACTATCTCTTATAATTAATGATAATATTATTTTACAATTATCTGATGTAATTTTTTTTAAATCAATCATATATGAACTAACATCGGATACATTATCTAAATTTTCCCAATCAATATTAAAAAATTCTCTCCAACATGATTTATAATCATTTGTTAATTTAATTAGCAACCCACTTATAGATTTTTGAATTAATTGTTGAAAAATTTCTGAATTTAATTGTGGTAAAAATTCTTTATAATTTGAAGTTATTATAATTTGAAATTTTTCATTTAATTCTTCTATGTTGCTAACCATATAATCACTTGTATTTAATAACATTGTTAAATATTTTATTGAATCAATACCATTTATATCATCATCATTTCTTGGTAATATAGGTAATAAAATTTTATTTATATATTCAAATAAATATTTATTAAATGATTTTGCTAAATTTATTAATATTTCACCATTTGATAATTTTAAAATTTGTGATAAAATTTTATGAAAAATTTTAAATAATTCTATTGATGTTATTGAAATATTGGGGATATTTGAATTTATATCTTTTATTAATTCAATTGGTAATTGTGATACTGATGAAAAATCTAAAATTTTAGAATTTAAATATTTATCTTGTTCTTGTACCCATATTAGTAAGTATGGTTCAAAAACTGATGAAATATTATAATTATTGTCATTTGAATAATTTGAGTTAAGCGATTTTTCAAATTCAATAGTCTTTGTTAAATTATCTAATAAAATATTTGAATCAATTTTTCTACTCTTTAAAGTTATAGATAAATCATTTTTAGTTAATTTTATGAATTCTTTAATTATTTGATCCAATATATTCCAATTTTCAGGAAAAATAACCAATGTCTTAATTTGATTTAAAATTTTATTAAAATAAATAAATCTTCTACCTAAATTTTCAATTGATCCTGCTTCATCAGATTGACTAAAAATATTTTTTAAATCTTTTAAAATTTGATTATTAAACCAATTTATTAATTTTATTTTATTTTTATTATCTATAATTTCCAAAATCTTTGCACCATATAATAAATTTTCATTTTTTTGTAAATTTTCATAATTATTATTAATTTTAAAAAATTCTTCAAAATCTAGAAAAATATCATCAATTAATTTATTTTGAGTATATATAATCATTAAATTAATTTGATTTATTAAATCAATTGATTTATAAGGTTGAAAAAAATTTAATAGCTCCTTAATAGCAGTTAATCTTTTATATATTTCTTGATAATTCTTAGTTTGAATAATATCTTTTAATTCATTATTTAATTTTATTAAAATTTGTAATTTTTTAAAAATATTCATTGATAATATTAAATTTCGTTTTGTTGAATCTAATTTTTGTATAGATGAAGTCATTGATGATATTGAATTTTTAGTTAATTGTGAACTTTGTTTCACATCTTTAATATTATTAATTAATTGATTTATATCTTGATCTAGGTTGGTTGTTGAATCATATTTTGACAGTAAATTATCAATTTCTTTTGATAAATTAAGTTTATATTGATGAATATGAGATAGTACTTGTGGTATTTGATTTAATGTATCTGGTGCATCAAAAATTTGATTGAGATGGGTATTAGGGTCATAATCATATGAATTCATGATATCTTGATATCTCAACTTAGGAATGCATTAAGGCAATGAATGATATATTTGGTTTACTTGACCTCCAAATTTATTTAATATTTCAATTTCAAAATAAGTTTTGATAATTTTGATTGCGCGAAAAAGTAGCCGTCAAAAGTTATATCGCATCAGCAAAGGACACAAGCTGGCATAAGATTCAGCTATGATGCTTCAGTAATACCAAGTAAGAATTATTGCTTGAAGAGTCAGAATTATTCTGCTGGAATTGATCATTTCAAAAATGAGAGCTAAGTTGCTTTAGTGAACGGGGATATAATTTTTGGGATCAAATAAGTCCAACTAAATTTTAGATTTGGCTGCAAAAAAATGCGTCCAGCAAAATGTCCGCGTTTAAACCACCATTTTAAAGGCTCTGCTCTTTGATAATGCGTAAATTGATAAAAAACTTACAAAATTTGCCATCCTAAGCTTGGTTCAATCTATATATTGGAGATTTGGAAATTTGTCTCACAAATCAATTGAGTATTGAGGTACGGTAGTCCTATAGTTATTATAGTGGTCTGTAACTAGGCTAGACCAAAAAAAGAACCGAAATCTTTTTGCAATTTTCGATAATTTGCAAGATTCAATGATCAGGTAGTGGATTATATTTGTATTGAATAGAGCTATCGAACTATAGATGGTTGATTTGAGTTAGTGTTAAAACTAAGGATGGGGATAAATTTTCGGTCCTGTAATAGTTTAAAATTGATTGAATTTAGTACCAAATTAGGATTAATCTCCATTTAAAACGAGAGACATCTCACAGAAAGATTTACGACTGATTCAACATCAATTTGTCGGAATGTGGGGTAACATTGAATCAATTTTATGTTTTAAGAAGCCATTAAGCCAACTAAATTGTAAACAAAACATGTGATAATTTATGTTGTAATTGTTTAATTGGTAGAGTTCGTTAACAAGTACGATTTTAAATCTGAAACTCGTATATTCTAATAGCTCATCTTTTTTTGACACTGAGTTGATTGTTTCTTCGAAGAAATCTCAAAGTACATTCAAAATACATACGTATGACTCAAAGCTTATTCATAATTGAGTATTGTAAAAATCTCAAAATTACAACAACCTATAAACAACTTTTAATTCTACTTAATCGGAGAATCAGTCAATCAATTAATCAATCTATGGTTGAACTTCTTCAATAAAAATTAAAGTCAGAAAAAAAGTTGTTACACAAAAAAATAAGACAATAGAACTTCCTAATCGAGTAATATATGATAGACAATACCAAAAAATAGGCCCAAGTACAAGTTGATGCATTTGATTATCGTCAATTCAATCAAACAATGCTTAATTTTAAAACCAGTGTTAGATAATTGACTAGTGTTACAGTATATCAGGTAATCTGTGTTGCAATACATTTTATCGATCTCATGCAAATAATGCATTAATAATATTTAAGTGGTAATTCGGTTTATCAAAGGTAGGACCAATTTAAAAAGGAAATTTAAACAATAAGATTTACCAAATGACGTAAATCGTCCATGTTTTTATCTTAGTCGATTCAAAGAGTAACTTATAGATTATATACTATACTTGGTAATCTAATTTAAGTTGTAGAATCTTCAATAAAAAGGTACAGCATATAAAATAATAATTATGTAAATGCCGATTGAGATCTATTCATTCAATTAATTTGGTTTTAGTCTAAATCAAAATCGACTACATTTTAGGGACTTTGAGAAATCTCAGATATTCAAACCTACCAAAGTTAGTTTTACCCTGATGAATTAGACATTTAGAGAGGGACCATTTTTATTTGACTATTAATCTTTTGAAAAAAGCTTTCTTTGTTGATACTAGAAAGTGATATATTTTCTCGGTAAACTTTAATTGATTAATGAGTATAGGCATAGTAGTAAGTTAAGTAGTATATGTACAACGTACTTTTTTCCTTATTTAGTTAATTCATATAAAGCCTAATTTATGGAACACTAAGTTACTTTTACTTTTTATGGGAATTAAAAATATTTGTACCTAATTAACTACTTTCAATTAATCTATTGTTCAAATTAGCATTACTATTCAGTACAATGTGTGCAATACGAACCCTATTTAATTCAATTATACTCATTCTCTCTACCACTCTCTCGGTGCTTAATTTAACTCAATTATCAAACGTTTTCTTTTCATAAATTCTATACAAATTCTATTAAACTTTTTTTGATTGATAGTTTAAATTGATAAACAAATAAACTAAATATATACAATAAAGTAAGCTTTGTCTCGTACTATACTATATATATTCTTCAATACATACAATTTATTGGTTGATTTTATTGAAATAATTTGGGGAAACTACAAAACAAAAAATTAGACAACTTTTTTTATTGTGTTACTTTTTAAATTATTGATTTAAAATTTGACACAACCAAAACATAAGTTAATTAAAGAAAAGAAAGTGTTGATAATATCAATTCAATTACACTTTACACTTCTTTCTTATTCATATTTTCATCATTTGAAACAACATATTACTTGTTTAAGTAGTTATTTTTGTTTTATTTTACATTCCTACTTCATACACAAAACACATACAACATATTTACACAAGAAGTATAATTTCTACTAAATTTTTCTTTTCATAAGAAGGTTCAACTGATTAATTATAATAATAATAAATGGCTAAATTTAAGTTTGGCAAAAAGAAATTAGAAGATTCAACAACCTCAGCAACTACTACAGGTAAATCAGGTACAATTAATTCATCATCAAATTTATCATCACCTTCATCATCAATTGAAAAAAGAAAACAACAACAACAACATAAGAAGACAAGTTCAAATTCAAGATCTCCATCAACTAATTCTTCAAAAAGGAAAACTTATAGATTTTCAATATTAAATTCATCTCAAAATTCTCCAAAATTAATTGATAAAACTTCATCATCAAAATTTAATAATAATAGACATTCATTAACTGACGAAGAAGAAAATTACGATACTGACGATTATTTACAAAATAAAAATAAAAAAATGCCTTCAATTCATGAACCATTAAATAATCATAATCATTATGATGATAATGGTTATGCTGTTGGAGGAATTGGAGAACCTTTACCTTATAAATCAAGAGCTCCTCCTCATTTAAATGTTACAAATCCTTGGAATAGATTTAAAATCTTTGATTCTCCTTTCCCAAGATATAGACATGCTGCTTCATCAATAACTAGTGAAAAAAATGAAATTTTTATAATGGGAGGTTTAAAAGATGGTTCAGTATTTGGAGATACTTGGAAAATTGTTCCACAAGAAAATTCAAATGGTGAAATTTTAACTTATATAGCAGAGAATATTGAAATTGTTAATAATAATAATCCTCCTGCAAGAGTTGGTCATTCATCTGTTTTATGTGGTAATGCATTTATTGTTTATGGTGGTGATACAGTAGAAACTGATTCTCAAGGTTTTCCAGATAATAATTTTTATTTATTTAATATAAATAATCATAAATATACTATACCATCTCATATATTAAATAAACCAAATGGTAGATATGGTCATACAATTGGAGTAATATCATTAAATAATCAATCATCAAGATTATATTTATTTGGTGGTCAATTAGAAAATGATGTATTTAATGATTTATATTATTTTGAATTAAATTCTTTTAAATCTTCAAAAGCAAGTTGGAATTTAGTTGATCCATTAAATAATTTTAAACCTCCTCCTTTAACAAATCATTCAATGTCTATTTATAAAAATAATATTTATATATTTGGTGGAGTATATAATAATGAAAAAGTTTCAAATGATTTATGGAAATTTGATATTGAAAAAGAAAAATGGGAACAAATTATAACAAATGGTGAAATTCCTTTACCCGTAAATGAACATTCTTCATGTATTATAAATGATAAATTATATATTTATGGTGGAAATGATTTTAGTGGTATAATTTATAGTTCATTATATGTTTTAAATTTAAATACTTTAATTTGGTATAAATTAAATGAAAATGCAGAAGAAAATGGTCCTGGTCCAAGATGTGGTCATTCAATGACTTATTTACCAAAATTTAATAAATTAATTATAATGGGTGGTGATAAAAATGATTATGTTGTAAGTGATCCTCATAATTTTGATACTTATGAAAATTTTAATGGTGAAGAAGTTGGTACAATGATTTATGAATTAGATATTCATTTAGTTGATCAATTTTTATTTGGACCTTCTGATCCTCAACCATTACTACAACAAGTATCACCAAAGAAAGTTAAAAAAGTAGCAGCTTCTGCAGCAGCTGCAGCAACAGATGTTGGTGGTAAGAATTATGATCGTCATGCAAGAAGTTTTTCTGCTGGTCCAGAAGATTATGCAACACCTCATGGATCACCATCACCAGAACGTGAACTTAATAATAAAGATGGTCTTGAAAATGATTTTGTTGAAGTTGAAGTTCCTTCAGGTACAATTTCTCAAACAGATCATGAAGATGGAGATGATGAAGAACGTATTAATCCTTATGATTCAATAGATCATTCTCAAATTGAACCAATTAATAATGGATATGGTGATGAAAGTAGAAGAAGATCTTTAGATCCAAAATTAGATGAACCAGTAAATGGAGGAGTTTCAGGAGTTGGAGTTGCTGCTGCTTTCGCAGCTGCTGGAGCTGCAGGATCTGCAGCAGGTCATTCTGAAGGTATAATTCATAATAATTTTAGTCATGATACTTTAGGAGATGAAGAAAGAGATGAAAGACCTACTTATCTTGAAAGACCAAGTTTTGTAAATCATGAAGACGAACAAGAGGAAGATGAATCACATTATCCAGAACCAACAACTAATTATGAAATTCATCCAGTTGAAAAAAGTTTTGAAAAACAACAACCACAACCACCACAAAATGATTCAAAAGTTAAACAAATTATATCTGAATTAACTAATGAATTAAATAATCTTAAAATTTCAACAAAAGAACAAATGCAAAATGCATCAGAAACTATTGAAAATTTAAAAAATGAAAATTTAAATTTACAAACCAATCATTCAAAACAATTACAAGAACAAAATCAAATTATAAATGAATTAAAATCTTCAATTGATCCAAATTTTTTTAACCCAGATTTACCAAATGAAACAAATTTATCAGAATTAAATAGATATAAATTAGAAAGATTAGAATTAAATAATAAAATTTTATATTTAGAACAAGAAAATTCTAAATTAAATGAAAAATTTATTGAATTTGAACCATTTATGAATAATCAAATTGGAGAATTAGAAACTTTTCAAAAAGTTATAAAAGTACAAGAAGAACAAATTGAAAAATTAAGTCACCAGGTAAAAGATCAAGAAATTATAAATAAAGAAATTAATGATTGGAAAATTAAATATGATAATTTAAATTTAGAATTTGAAAATTATAAAGCTATACATAATGATGATAATATTGAAATATCAGAAGAGCCAGAACAAAATGAATTTTCAGATAATAGATCTATATTAAGTACAGCAAAATCAAGAAAAGATATATCTACTCAATTAGAAAATTTAGTTAATTTATGGAATATAAAACATCCTTCAACAAGAGAAGTATCACCCTCAATAACACCAGAAAATAATCCAATAGTAAATAAATTACAACAACAAATTAATGATTTATTAAGAATAAGTAAACAAAATGAAGAAAGTTCAAAATTTGAAATTGAATCATTAAAAGAAAATTTACAAACAAAGATTCAAAATTTAAAACAGCTTGAAGATAATTATAAAGAAAGTTTACAATCTGTAAATAATACTTCAAAAGCTTTAAAATTAAATCAAAATGAAATTTTAAATCAAAGAAATTTATTAGAAAAATTAATTAAAGAAAATAATGAATTAAAAATTTTTAAAAAAGCAGCTTCTGGTGGTGCATCATCAAGATCTCCAATAATTAATAGTGAATCAGCAACTCCTGGTGAACCACTACAAGAAAATGAAGAAGATGATGTAAATGTTATAAATAATGCTCATTATAATATGAAAATAAAAGATTTAGAAGCTGATTTATATATTTTAAAACAAGAAAGAGATCAATTAAAAGATAATGTTACAAGTTTACAAAAACAATTATATTTATCAAGTAATAATTGATAATTTTTAAATGATTAATAGTAGTTGAACAATTTTAGTTTTTTGTATAGTTCTTTTTATGTTTTAATACCACAGACAATTAATACGTTTTTAATAAAATAATATGATTAACTCGATAATTACTCTGTTTTTGATCCCACGTAGCTCATTTTGACACCATGTGCCTCAGGAATACTTCTAATGAGCTGCATTTATAGCTACACCTAAAGACATTTTAACTGCTGGAGAGGAAAATATTGAGAATATCTTTCGCATAAGTTTCGTCATCTACTATTTGTATAATGATTCTTTGACTACCTCACTACAGTATAAATCAAATTAAATGCTTATAGAATGAAATTTTGTATTATTAGTGAAATTTTTAAACAAGCTATAAAAAATTAACAACCTTTGTAAAAATATCAAACTTTTTTACTTCACTTGAAATTAATAACCAAAAGCAACTAATTTAGTAACAACTTCAGAATCAGCATTATTAGCTTGAGCAGAAGCAATTTTTTTATTGAGAGCTTTCTTTTTTGCATAAAATTCAGCACTTCTAATTTTTCTTTTTTCTTCTAATTTATCAACAACTGATTCATATTTCCAACCAACTGCTGAAGCTAATTTACCAGCAGTAGTATATTTTCTACCTGGTTTTAATCTTAAAACTCTTAAAGCTTGTGGAACAACAACTCTTTTTTGTTTATCATATGGTGGTGGTACACCTTCAAATACTTTTAATCTTTCTAATGCTGCTGCACCTCTTGCAGTTTTATGAGGAATCATACCTCTAACAGCTTTATAAAAAATTCTTGAAGGAGCTCTAAAATGGAAAGGACCTTTAGTTTTGTTATATCTTGTAGATTTTCTTAAATAATCTTTATAATTTAATAAATTTCTAAAATGATTACCACTTATATTAATTAATTCACATCTTGTAATAACTATTGATTGACCATTAAGAATTTGTTTGGCAGTGATGGATGCTAAACGTCCCAAAAGATGACCTTTACCATCGATGACGACTGGAGTAGTTGAGCTAGTCATTGTTAGTTGTTGAAATTGAAGGTATTGATGATAGAGTGAAATGAAAAAAAAAAATTTTCTATAAGTAAATTGGTAAAGAGAAAGTGAAAAATTTTTTCAGTTACAAAAATTAAAGTGGGAGTGAGAATATACTCAATTTGGTAGTTATGCGGCTTGGTATTTTTTCAATGAAGAATCAACCACAGGAACTGCATATAAGAATTGACTTGTGTTTACCCGGATTAAAAATCGATCATACCCACCAGTGGTGTTTTTTAAACAACATTTTGAATTGAACTTACAAGAAAGGCAGAGTTTGATGAAGAAAAAAACGTAGATAAAGATTGAAATAAATATCAAATCCATTTAAATAACCTATATAAATATATAATCAAACTTTTTTATCATGAAAATCTACCAACTTATTAAATTTTAATTGAATTTTTTTCAATTAATGAATTTACAACACTTAAAATTGCATCAATTGAAGCTTGACTTACATCATGATTTATACCACAACCCCATCTTGAAATTTTTTCACCATTTTCATTCAAATATCCAATTTGAACATATGATACAGCTTTTGATGATGTACCAGAACCTAAAATATGTTCAGAATAATTTAAAACTTCAAATAATGTACCTGACTTATTTGAAATACCATCAATAAAAGCAGAAATTGGACCATTTCCTTTACCTCTTATTATAGAATTATTTGAAAGTTCAGCAAAAATTTCTTTATCATTACTATTTTTTGATTTTGTTATTTCAAAATCAATTAATTTTAATGGTGATTCGATTAAATATTCTTTTTTAAATAATTCAACTATTTCTTCAGTTTTTAATTCTCTTCCTAAAGAGTCAGCTTTTGTTTGAACAATATTTGAAAATACAACTTGTAATTGTCTTGGTAAATCTAATCCTAATGATCTTAATATAACCCATGCTGCACCACCTTTACCTGATTGTGAATTAACTCTTATAACAGCTTCATAAGTTCTACCAATATCTTTTGGATCTAATGGTAAATATGGTATAGCCCATCTTTCATCTTTTCTTTCATAACTAAAACCCTTTTTAATAGCATCTTGATGTGAGCCACTAAAAGCACAAACAACTAATGAACCACCATAAGGAGATCTTGGATGAACATTTATTTTATTACAACGTTCACTTACATCAATAACACTTTCTAAATCTGAAAAATCTAAATTTGGTGAGATACCTTGAGTATATAAGTTTAATGCAACTGTGACTAAATCAACATTACCAGTACGTTCACCATTTCCAAATATACAACCTTCAACACGATCAGCACCAGCTAATAATCCTAATTCAGTAGCTGCAACACCACAACCACGATCATTATGACAATGTACACTAACAACTATTTTTTCTCTTTCAGTAATATTTTTTACAAAATATTCAATTTGATCAGCATAAACATTTGGACCAGCAACTTCAACTGTAGCAGGTAAATTAAAAATCATTGGATTTTCAACTGTTGGTTCCCAAACTTTTTTAACAGCTTCACAAATTTCAACAGCAAATTCAACTGGAGTATCTGAAAAACATTCTGGAGAAAATTCTAAATTCCATTCAGTTTCTGATTTTGAAGGATCATCTTTTGTTAATGATTTGACTAATTTTGTAATTTCTACAGCTTTTTCAATAGCTTCTCTTTGAGACATTCCAAATACAACTTCTCTAAATATATCAGATGTTGCAAGATATATATGAATAATTGCCTTTTTGGCACCAGTCACAGATTCAATAGTTCTTCTAACTAATGGTTCTCTTGATTGTGTTAAAACTTGAATAGCAACATCTTCAGGTGCATTTTCAACTGCATATCTTGTAAAATCAAAATCAGTTTGTGAAGCTGAAGGAAAACTTACTTCAATTTCTTTAAAACCTAAATCAATTAATTTATGAAAATATTCTTTTTTTTCAGATATTGACATTGGATCAGGTAATGATTGATTTCCATCTCTTAAATCTGTTGATAACCATCTTGGAGCTTTTGTTATTACTTTTGATGGCCATTCTCTATTTTTTAAATTAATTTGTTTTGGTGGTGGATATTTTTTTGATGGATTTTTAAGCATATTTTTATACTGTAGTTGGACAGGTGGAATACGAGACGCGGCTCGTTTAAATATCCTACTTATATTGAACATGATGTTGGATAATGTAGGTTTGTTTGATAATTATTGAGTTGTTTGATGTATGAAAAGTTTGAAAAATCAGTTGACTTACATTTGTCTTAGTCATAGTGAAAAATAATGAAAAATATGATTCCCCGCATACAGGAGCGAAAAAGGATTTATGACATTACACATTAAAATGTCAAGGATATCACTGACATAAAAATGATATTTCAGCAAGTGTTTCATTCAAGCTCGAAGATTATATATGGAGTTTGGAGATTGATGAGACAATACTAGTCTTTCGCACATAAATGAGCAAAAGAGGGGAATTTATATTGATAAGTTTTACCGAAGAATTCAGTAGAACATTTACGGAAGCCTCGAGTATTCTCTAACGCTTGAATCAAAGTGAATGAACTCAAAAGTGAAACATTACTATAGCTTGAGGACGTCTATGAAATACCCCAGATTTAATACTTTGATGCAAAATCTGGTATCCTCCAAATTTCGTTCATCATTCATTAAGATCAATTTAGTTTATAATTAGTAAGTTGCTTTAAATTCCATTCAAGTAAAAGGTTTCCACAAATTTGGCATGTATATTTGGAACCATAAAACTTCTTTTACGAATATAATAGGGCGGCAGCCTAGCGCGCACCGTCTTAAAATGTATTTACGCAAGCTCATCTTAGATCTTTTTTTTTTTTTTTTATCAAATTTATTTATTTTTCCCCTTCAAAATTAGCAGTCGTAAGAGGTAAAAAAAAAAAAATTAAATTTACAATTGTTTCATCTTATTATTTACCATTGAATTAAGCTAGCTAATATCATATAAACGAAATGGCTAAGTCATCATCAAAGGGAGACAAGAAATTGTCTAAAAAGGATGTTAAAAAACAAGTTACAAAAGAAAGTTCAAGTGAATCATCATCAAGTTCAGAAAGTTCTTCTGATGAATCAAGTAGTAGTAGTTCTAGTTCTGATAGTGAATCAGATGAAGAAGAAACTACTGTTAAAACTAAGGTTGTAAAGAAAAAAGAATCATCATCCTCATCATCATCATCAAGTTCATCATCAAGCTCATCATCTAGTTCTTCTGAATCTGAATCAGATGAAGAAGAAGAAGTTAAAACTAAGACTAAGATTGTTAAGAAAAAAGAATCATCATCATCGTCATCATCCAGCTCATCGAGCTCATCATCTAGCTCTTCTGAGTCTGATTCAGATGAAGAAGAAGAAGTTAAAAAAGAAATTAAAATAACTAAGAAAGAATCAAGTTCATCGGATAGTGATTCAGACAGTGATTCTAACTCTTCATCATCTAGTTCATCTAGTTCATCTAGTTCATCTAGCTCATCATCATCATCATCATCATCAAGCTCAGATTCAGATTCTGATTCTGATTCTGATTCTTCATCAGATGAAGAAGAAGAAACTTCCAACAAAAAACGTAAAGTTGAAGAAGAACCAATCCCATCAAAAACAAATAAAAAATCCAAAACTGAAGAAGTTATAGAATCAACTTCATCATCATCAACAGCTTCATCAGAAGTTGAACCAGCTACATTATTTGTTGGTAGATTATCATGGAATATAGATGACGATTGGTTGTATAGAGAATTTGAACCAATTGGAGGTGTAATTGGAGCAAGAGTTATAATGGAAAGAGATTCAGGTAGATCAAGAGGTTATGGATATGTTGATTTTTCAAGTAAAGAAGCAGCTGAAAAAGCTTTGGCTGAATATCAAGGTAAAGAAATTGATGGTAGACCAATTAATTTAGATATGTCAACAAGTAAACTACATGCATCAAAATCAAATGATAGAGCTAAACAATTTGGTGATAAACAATCTCCTCCATCAGATACATTATTTATTGGTAATTTACATTTTGAAGCTAATAGAGATAATTTATTTGAAATATTTGGAGAATATGGTAATGTTATATCATGTAGATTACCAACTCATCCAGATACTCAACAACCAAAAGGATTTGGATATGTTCAATTTTCATCAATTGATGAAGCTAAAGCTGCTTTGGAAGCATTAAATGGAGAAGTTATAGAAGGTAGACCATGTAGATTAGATTATTCAGCACCAAGAGATAATAATAATAGTCCAGGAGGTTTTAGAGGTGGTAGAGGTGGAGGAAGAGGTGGATTTGGAGGTAGAGGTGGTTCAAGAGGTGGATTTGGTGGTAGAGAAAGATCTGCCACTCCAACTGGAACTCCAAGAAAATCAACTGAATTTAAAGGTACTAAAAAAACATTTGATTAAGAGAGGAAAGGGTTGAAGTAAAAGAGTAAAACATTGTTGTATAATAGCCATTTAATAAAAGTAAAATTTAAGAAAGCGATATGTAAATTGAATTCTTGATGTTATTTGATCATGGAATTCGTCTTTGTAAAAATGTAAAAAATTAGTGAAATTTCGCATCAACTCGACTCCGAATCATCAAATTAGGGAAAACAGTGATGAAAAATCCTTCCATGTTCTGCAATATAATTAAAAATGAAATTAAAGTTCGCTTATTGTATTATACTGACGTAATTTTAAAGTTTATATAGTTGATCAATCTTTTAAAACTTTCTTGGTACAAGAATTTTAAAAAGAATCAGATTTTGTCATAGATTGATCTGTCAAATTAGTTAGAATATGTTTCTCGGACTTTGAAATTTGTATAATCTGCATTACTCTTTTTCTAACAATATTCCTACAAAGAGTTTATGATATGTAAGATAAAGTTGTTATAGCTATTCCATTGTTGAAAAGAGATTGGTTTAACATTCGTTTCATAGGAGTTTAAGGTTGAATTGGTGGGGAAAGTAGAGTTAAAATAATAAATTATTATTTTTCATTTAAGTACTCAATACTCATAACTTATGATATAAAAATTTATGATGTAATAATTGAGATATAACAAATGATGAACCTGTAATCAAAGAATGAGGATCCCCTTCATCAGTATTTCTCCTGAGCTACTCAACAAAAGTATATACACTGTGTGTAGATTGAAATTTAAGGGATAGTCTATTCATTACTTCAAAGCCTTGTTTCCTCTTTATATTTAATTCGTACATACTTAAACAAAAAACGGAAAAATTTAAAATCTGAAGCAGTTCTATTAAACAATACAATACTTAAAAAGAAACGTACTTAGGCTACTTACTTAAGTTTCAATTTTGTAACAGAAATTAGTTTTGAGCCATTCCATTATTATTAGTTAATACTCAAATAATATTAATCATACCACGAACAATACAAAACTGTTCTACATTTTGATTGAGACATTCACTTCACTCCTCTCCTTCCCCCTTACTTTATAACTATCGAGTCCATTCAATCTATTCACTTAAGAAGCAAATTTATGAAATTATAGACCAAATATATTTTTTGAGTTTAATTCATTCACTTACTTTATTATACATTTGTTTCTTCAGTTACTTCTTACCAAGTCTCTGTTTTCTCTATTTTTAACCGATTGATGAACTTAGAAATAGACTGAATGTGTCCCGTAACTAATAGCTCTAATTCATTGGTTCTTACTAATAGTAGTTACTAAATCTTACTAAATCTATTAGTGTTTACTGTATTGTAAAATACGCCTTAATTTAAAATTAACTAAAAAAAATTAAAAAAAAGGAAAATAAAGAAATTAAAAAATTGACAACCAAAAATTAATTAGACAGACATTGAAACCCGAATATTAACAAACATTAGCAACCACTAATTATACTACTATTGGACAGATATATGAACCAAATAAGAAGGGGAAATTAATCTTACAGACAACTTGATAGTATATAATTCATATTTGATACCCCCATGAGACGTGCGGTATCTAAAATACTACCTACACCAAAATTATTTAATGAATTACCAATAAATTCTTCTTCAACAAATTCATCATCATCAATAATAAATAATAATTCTTCCAAAAATTCCTCTTCAAATCTTGTATCAAATTTTAAATTAGATTTTAATGCAGTTGATGAATTTTATACACAATTAGATGATCCTCATAAAATTTGGTTACCAGGTGATGAAGTTTCAGGACAAATTGTTTTAGTTTCCAAAAAAAATTTAGCAAATATTATAATAACTTTATCATTAATTGGTTTTATTAAAATAAATGCTTCATCTCATTCTAAATTAAGACCTTTAAAACATACTTTATTTGATCATACTATTAGAATTTATGGAAATGATAATGAAGAACAACAAGAAGGAGGTGATAATTCGGAGTTTAACAATGGATTATTTAAAGGTGAACATGTTTTCCCATTTATTGTAAAATTACCAAATAAAAGAGTTTTTACATCAATAGACTTTGGTAAAGGTTCAATAAATTATATATTAAAAGGATCAGTTGGAAATAGTTCATCATATATAAATGCTCCAACTTCAGAAAAAAAATTTATACATAATCCTTCTTATACAAGTGAAAAATTAATTAATTTAATAAATCCAATGGATGTTTCTTCATTACCAAAACCTAAACCAAAAAGATTAATACTACGAGATCCAAGAACAAATCAACAAAATAATAGAAAATTAATACGAACTCAATCTTCTACATCAACTATAAATACAATAAATACTTTTGGAACTTTTTCATCAAATAATTCAGATACTTCAACAGATGATAGATCTTCACTGCAATTAAACATAGATGATTTAAATAATCATAATAATCATAGTCATAATAAACCACCAGCTACTATAAAAGTAATATTAAATGTTCCACAACGAGGGTATTTAAGAGGTGAATCAATACCTGTTAAATTATCAATAAATCATTTAAAAAAAGTACAAGATTTAAATGGGATTATAATAACATTTGTAAGAGTTTGTAGATTAGATAATGGACCAGATGGAGTAGTTGAAAGTTTTAGAAAAGACTTACAACAAGTTGTTTTACCATTATATGTTGATCCAATAACTTTTCAATCTGAAATTCAATCTTCATTAAGAGTACCAGCAGATTCTTTTCCAACAATAACAGGATGTCCATTAGTAAGTTTTCAATATTTTATTGAAGTTTTAATAAATTTATCTGGAAAATCAATAATAGTAGATCCAGAAGCAATAACAGATCGTCATTCCCCAGATTCTCAACAACAAGATCAACAACATCAAATAACATCAATTGAAAATTTTCAATTTAATTTTAATTCTTCTTTACAACATCAAAAAGATAGATCAAATTTTATAAATACTGATAGATTTAAAAGATCAAAAAAATTTTTACAATTAACAAGTGAAATTTATATTGGAACTCATAGATCAAAATTAGAAATTGAAGATGATAGAATGTCTGGTAGATCATCAAGTTCAATATCAAATTCAAATAATGTATCACCTGCAATTTTTACAAATTCACCAATAGCGAATAACAATAACAATAATCATAATAGTATAACAACATCTCCAATAAATCATAATTCAACTTCACCAAGTAATATATCAGCAAATTCTCCAAGTAGAATTATTCCAACAATTCCAGAATCTTCACAATTACAAATCCCACCTTATAATGATGTTCCAACTTATAATAATCAAATTAATAATTTTAATAATAATAATAATAATGAACCCCTATCTGAAAAAGAACAAATGGCTCAATATCATGAAAGTTTATTACCATCAGCACCACCTGAAGAGGATGGTGATGTTGAAGATAATCATGATTTGAATCAAAAACACGGTATTAATATTCATAATGATCATCATAATCATCAACATCAAGATTTCCCACCACCTCCATTATCTGAATCTTCATCAAGTCAACAACCATTACCACCACCACCAACAAATCAACATCAAGTTCCAACATCTCATCAATTTAATTTTTTCACATATGAAAATAATAATCATCCAACTTCATCAAATCATGATATTTTTTATCAATCAAATCATAATTCAAATTATCATAACCATCAAAATTCAAATCATCAACAAATAAACTCTAATAATTCATCAAATTTAGTAAATGAAATTTTTAATGATGAAATAATAGATAATGTACCAAATTATATGACAGTTGAAAATGATCAATTATTAAGTATAAGTCATAGTAATCCAAATCAGTTGAATTCTTCATCATCAATTCCGTTAAATTCTCAATCACATGATGAAGATCAAAGTTATTATCATGATCATAGATCTCATACTACTAATCACAATCATCATCATCATCCATTACAAAACGTTACGAATGGAATAGATGATGATCAACAAGATTAATTGAGGTTAGAGTGAGGTAAAAAGATATACATTTCAATTTTTATATTTCACCTTTTTTAGTTCTTTTATTTCAAGTATTATAATATATATTAATAGATGTTTATTGATGGATTTTAAAGATTTGAGTACAGCAGTTTCTTTTCTTCTTTTCACGGTTTAAAATGATATTATTTTTAATTCATATTCTATCTGAAAGGTTCATTATTGAAATTGAATTATGTTTTATAAAAATTTGACTAGTGTATTATAAAAAGTTGAAATTCAATTATAAACTCCCAAGATTAGTTTTTGTAGGAAAAAGAAGAGAAATATACAACAGCTGGTCTAATTGATGAATTTAATAAGGAGAAATATATAACAGCTGGTCTAATTGATGAATTTAATAAGGTTTAATATGATAAATGATGATTTATTCATTTCTTATATGATATACCTTGTAAAAAATGGGTAAAAGTATTCGTATTTTTTGCTCTTACAATACATAATCGAGGACTATAAATATATGATTGAAAACAAATTGGAAATTTATCCTTATTCAAAGTTACAATTACATTTTTAGTCAAAATTCAATTTGAAGGTGCAATTTAATACCACCTGAACTAAAATTAACAAATCGGAAATTTTGAAGTTGTTGAAAACATTTACAACCAGTGATTTTATTTTAGCTACTACATTAACCTCTTTCAATTTTGTTGATTTTAGTCGATCCCCTTCTTCCTAACGATCCTTAGCTTATGGTGACTTATATATTCCTCGTTGAGTACTCCAGATTCGCTAATTGCGAGGAAAATGGATCTAACTGCTAGAAACATTAAAGGATGTTCGTTACTTCAAATCACAACTAATAAACCCTTCATCAAAGCACAAATTGAATTTTATCTCTTCATCTGTACTTTGATAACGAGTTTGTTCATGTAGTTTGTAATTTGAAGTAACGAATATCTTCTAACATTTAAAACTTACTTACTGTGGATTTTCAAAATGGACTGACATTGTTTTTAAATCTATTTACATATTGAAACCTTAATAAGTTCTCGTTCATCTGGATATAATATATCAACTAAGTCAAAACATCCTCCTTTACAACTCTTCCTTGATAAAATGAATTTAATTTGATAATAATTCATTGTTCGTGATCTTCACGTTTAAATTTCTTCTAAAAGTCCTCAATAAATTAGCCAGGATCATGGTTCAGTCTAGCAGTCTAGCTTGAAACTTTTTTTAAGGATTATTATTTTTTCTTTCGGCTGATACGTCATTCAATAACGTTAAGGGTGATGAATTTGTAAAATTTGAATTCACCAATCTTAAAGCTTCTCCAACACATATGATCAAGTAATATCATTTACTACAAATACACTTCAAGTACTCTAGTTCAATCTATATCTAAATAATGTAGTTGCCATTTCATGGATTAGTTTCCTGATATATTATTGTGTATTTCACTAGAAAAGATCGTTATAACCTTGTCAACTAAACACAATCAGTTCATCTACTTCTCTTCTTTCCTTCTTTGATTTGCAATGTTAAAATCTGATGAAGTTACTTTTGTTGACATTAGCTATATGAGCTTAATGAAGCATTTGAAGTTGATAATTATAAATTTGCCAAAACATTGAAAAAGCAACTGTTGAGAAAGGAGGTTGGTACAAAAATTAGCGTCAAGCGGTAAATTGTCTCATCAAATATATCACCAAAGGTACTGGAATGCTTGAAGCTATCAACACTTAAAATGCTGAATTTGTTTACCCGAATTTTATGCTTCTTTGGCATCTATTTTAGTATTGATAGATTCAGGCATTTCAAAACCTCTGGTGATGTATTTTATGATGAAAAACTTTACAGCTTGACGCCAAATTCGTATACCAACAAATTACTCCATTTGATGATTCGACATACTTTATTGTTATTTCCACTTTTTTAGAAGTAGTTAATACAAATTTTGATGTTATTTGATGTTTTTTTGATTTGTTTTAAAAATTTTTTATTCAAAGTTCAACATCCTTCGTTTTAAATTTCTTCTATTACCTCCGAAATTTGTTCTCTTTATATGTTGAATATACATTAATGTCACTTTCACTTTTGGAAGGGGGAACTTGAGTTGATATGAATTATCAGTACTCACTAAGAACAAAGTAACAACAAATAAAAAAAAGTTTTATATCAAAATTTAAATTTGAAATTATGAAATATTTGGTTTTACTTAAATTTGTCAAATAGGCTATTAGTGATATAAAAATAGGTACTAACTAAACTTATTAGTTGAGGATTTACATACATATCAATCTTCATATAGCTATCAATTTATCACATTTTTGAAAAGGGTATAGGATTCGTATCAAAAACATCTTCCTGTCAATACAAAATATTCAAATAGTGTTAGATAGGGACAAGTACCAAACGAAAGAAGATTGTAATATAGGATTTCATTTGTTTTAGTCCTTTCCGTTTGACCATTAGCTCCTGTTGCACACACTTTATAATTTGTAAAGATTGTTTGAAGGATCTAATGGTTAAATGTAAAGGACTAAACATTATATCTTCACCACATGAAGTTACTTGTCCAACATAGCGTCCTCCTTTCAAAAAGTAACATTTTATGGAGTAAGAGTATGTTGAACATACGAAAGTATTAATTTTAAACCCTAGAGATTAAGTTTTAGTTCATGGAAAAGCTAATATATTGACACTAATATTTTATATGACTAAGCAATTGCATTTATAATTTGGGACATTTGGGTATACAGCAACAGATTCAACTTATGCTAATAATATTTTGCTGAGGTATGAATATCACCAGATTACAATGGATATTTTACTGGTACAGATTTTGAAAAGACCATTACCTAATGAAAGTGTTAAGCATTGTTGTAATAAAATGTTTTAATTCCTCATTAAGTGTCATTTTAAGTTAACAGGATCAAATCTGTTCACCTGAAACTATAGTTAATGAGGACTTAGAATCTTTGATTACATGCTTGTTGCTTTCATTAAATATGAAACATTAATTAATTGCAAAGAATCAAATCATTATCTTCAATGTACGTTTGGGCTACGAGTGTTGGAAGTTCCTTTCACTAACAACCATTATCAAAGAACGGCAAGCAATTTATTGTAAAGTTTGAGGTAACTTTAGATCGCTCCACCACGATTAACACTCGAAAAAGAAAAAGCATCCAATTTTATCAAGGTAATGCAGATTATACGTAGACAACAAACGGAGCAGATAAACTTCATGGGATAATGTTTAGATTAGTTTTTAGTGGATCAAAAGTATTTGAAAGATATACAGATTTTCATGTTACCAACGTCAAAAAATAAGGATTTTTATGTTAGAAATGTACCATTCATAATTCCAAATTCCAATTTCAAATCCATCACTTCATCTCCTACAACTTTTCCAAGAAGAAAACTTATTCGATCAACTAAAAAGTTCTATCAATCTATCAATGCAAATTTTCAAAAATAATCTATTTAATAATTTAATTTATAAATTCCATTATAACAACTTCCAAAAGAATAACAAACACAACCACCACCCAAGATTAAACTTTCATTATCACTATTTTCAATACAACTAAATCCAATAAATATAGGTGATTGTAATTCATATATCTCTTGAGAAATTTCAATAGATTTAAAATTTAGTGTGGTTAAATCTAATGAAATTATATTTGTTTTTGAAGTTAATATTTTGGTTGATGATATACCTCCAATTATTATTAATTTATTGTTTGGTAGTAATATTGATTTTGAACTTATTCTTGATAGTAGATTATTTTGTAATATTGGTGTTATATGTATAGTATCTTTTTCAATTGTAAATTTATATAATTTATCATTAACTTTAGGTAGATGAACTTCCGAATAACCTCCATATATATATCCTATACCATTTTTATAAGTCATTGATGAACTAAATAATGATTCAATCTCACCTTCAATTTTTAATGATGTTATTTTCTTTGTGATGATATTAAATTTTATAAACGGATCACCTGTGGTTGCTCCTCCAAATATTAATAATTCTTCATTATTTAACACAACAACTGAATGTCTATATCGACCTTCATCTAACTCAATTAATTTAATCCATTGATCTCCATCAAATTCATAAATATCATTCATTATATCATTTGGTTTTGATCTTCCACCAATTAAAATTAATTTATCTCCAATTGAAGTTAAACTATGACACATTCTTGGAGTTGGTTGATTAGATAAATCTATCTTAGTTAGTTTACCTTGTTGATTTAATTGTAATGTTTCATTTGTTCTTGATTGTTTTAAACCTCCGTTTATTATTATATTATCTTTAAATTTAGCAATTGCTGGAAATTTTAATTCAAATGTATCTGAATTTTCAAAAATTGAAAAAGTTACTGATGAATCTTTATCAAGTTCAATTTCTTCTTTTGGTATTGACGATTCAGTAGAGTTGGAATCATTATTTGCATGAATTACAAAATAATGTTGACAAAATAATATAAATTCTTCCCATTCATCAAATTCTTCAATTTGATTTAATTTAAATTTTGTAATATCATCAACTAAATTTTCCCAATTTTGAAAAAGATCATTTATATTAACATTTTTATAAAAATTTTTAAATCTATCGTACTGTAATCTTTTAGTTGAATACTTTTCAACACATTGTATAGGACTTCTTAAGTGATTAAAATGATATAACATTTTTTTAGCAAATGAATTTTTGGAACCATCTGGTATTATTTGTTCTAATATTAAAAAATTTGAATTTGACACTTTTGATGAGATTTCTATTATTGGATTTGCAAAATTAGGATCCATATAAGCTAATGATACTTCTGCTATAAATATATTGACTTCATTATTATTGCTAGTTGGGAATAACTTATCTATTAGTTTTTGATATGATGAAGTTTCTTTTAAATCACATCCAATTAATTTATAATTTGAACAATTTAATTTATATTCATTGGGGATAGATTCACCAATTAATTCCATTATCTTTGTTGAATTTTGTATATGATTAAATTTTTCATATACTAAATCTGGATAATCAATATCAATAAAATTTAAATTGTCATTGGTGGTTGAAGATAATAATTGAAAAGGTAATGGATCAAATCCACAACCTAAATTTATAATATTAATTTTTTGATTTTTATGAAGTTCGATAATTTTTAAAATATTCAATCTAATACTTTCCATTCTTATCCAATAACCTCTATTTATAGAAGGTGATCTTCTTTTAGAATTAAAAACAAATTCTTTAAACCATTCTCCTAAATTTGGTTCTAGTTTAGAAAAATATAATTTTTCAACACTTCTTTTTGAAACTATTGATGAATTATTTGTACCTTGAACTTGTTGATCATTGTATTTTTGTTTTCTTTTGAGCTTTTCTGATTTTTTTAAATTTTGTTGATTCATTTAAGAACTAAGAGAAAAAGATGCAAAAAGTTTTGAAATTAATTTTGAAACATCGCGAAATTTCGTACATCTTATTTTGTTACAGATTTAGACTCATGAAAATTATGTTCTTACTTCTATATACCTTTAAATGCTAATTTTAATTCTTTTTCAAAATTATCAGGAGTAGTTCGTTCACATCGTTTAATATAATTTACAGCTGCAATAGTTTCTTTTAAAACTTTTAAATTTTTATTTTTTAAATTTATTTCATCTTCATCTTCCATTTGATCTTTATCTGTTGATTTTAATTGTAAACCATCATCACATTTTAACCAAATTTTCCCATTTATTCCAATTGCAATTTCAAATTTTAACTTTTGTGCTAATAATTCTAATACTGGTGATTTTGAATTATATAATAATTCTCTTGCAAAATTCATCGATATGTTAAAGATATAACCTGAATCATCCAATATACCAAATCCTCCAGATTCCTTGTTGTTTGAACCATCAAAACATTCAATTTCAGTTTCAAAAGTTGAATCATTATCATCATTTACTATTCTACCATATATGACTTGACCATTTTTTAAATTTGGTCTATTTTTTTTATTTGTATTGGGAAATGCAAAAAAATTTAACAATATTGATGATGAAAAATTTTGTAAATTTACTTTATAATATTCTCCTATTGTACCTACTATTGTACCTATTACAAAGTCATTATTATGTGGTATATATCTTTTGGTTTTGGATTCAATATATGTTAATTTTGAATTTTGATGATATTTTTGATCTATTTCTAAATAACCTGCTGTAGTTGGTATTATTTTAGAAGTTCGTGGTATTTTATATATTCCAGGACCTATTGTTGTTTTCGTAGTGGATTCTTGTGTCTCTATTGGTAGTTTGTCACCGGGTATTATTATAGACATCTCTTTTATGGTATTGTTTTGTAGGATGATCTTTGAATTGATAAGACGGATTTTAATATTTTATGCGCAACATCAACTGAATTTAGATTTGAAAAAAAAGTTCAATTTTCCATACTTAAACTAAACTAAACATACAACTTAACTTAATGTTTCTATATCCATTCGTTAGACAACCTACAATTCGAATATCGCTTCATATAACATCAAAATGGTCACTCTTTAAAATATCATCTACAACATTATCAATACGTTCTTTACGATATAATTCATCATCATCACTACCTTCTCAAAGCAAATCAATTGCAAAAAAAAATCAAATTCTAAATCAAAATCAAATTTTGAAACAAGAACAAATACTAGACAAACCAATTGAAAATGAACCCCATAACCTAAATGAAAACAAATTGACAGAAACTCCAAATCAAAATGACAAACAAATCCCAATTTCTCAAATTTCAAAATTATCAAAACCATTATTTGATCCATCAATATGGACAGTACCCAACATATTAACATATACAAGAATAATAACAACTCCAATTATAGGATATTTTATAATCAAACAAAATTTTATAATTTCAATGTATTTATTTACTTATTCATGTATAACAGATTTTATTGATGGTTATATAGCAAGAAAATATAATATGAAAAGTATAATTGGATCTATAATTGATCCATTAGCTGATAAATTTTTAATGACAGTATGTGTATTATCATTAACTTATATTTCATCAATACCATGGGGAGTTGCAACAATTATAATTGGTAGAGACTTAATATTAAGTTTTATGTCAATTTATTATAGATACAAGAGTTTACCACAACCAAAAACTTTTAATAAATTTGTTAGTATTGGACAAATTCCAACTATATCAGTACATCCTAATTTCTTGGGGAAATTTAATACTTTTTTACAAATGTTATATATTGGAAGTTTAGTATATAAACCATTATTAGACAATTATATAACTAATACATCATTATATTTTGATGGATTTGGTTATTTAGTTGGTATAACTACTTTTTTAAGTGGTTTAAATTATATTTTTAATAAAAATTCATGGAAGTATATAAAATAAATGGATCATTTTGTAAAATTAAAAGTGATTGAAAAATTAATGAATTTGTTAAATTTAATTTAATTAATAAAATGAACAAAAATTTGATTAATTGTTGTTTTTGTTTAAATTGTTTTAAATTGATGATGATTGTGGTATTAATTGGTTGAAATTTATAATTACTTACAATTTTTTCAATTGTTTCATTTGTATAAATTTGTTTATTTCCCTCATCTTTTTCATTAATTATTAAATGATATAACATAGATATACAAAATGCAAATATTTTATCTTTATAAAATAATAAAAAATCCATTACAATTGTTAAATGATTTAAATTATTTGTTTCATTTAAGATGATATTAAGACATTGGATAATATGAATTTGAAGATTTGTAGTGAATTTATTTCTCATTTGAATTTGTATTAATAACTTCAGGATGATATTAATTTGATAATTTGATGATTTGTTCAATTTTAAAAAATATTCAATTATTTCAAATGATTTAATAAGGTTTCTTCTTTGATTCATTTTAATTTGATATGAATAATATGAAAGATTAAAAATTTGTTTTAAATCTTTTTCAATAGTTGGATCTATTTCATCAATTAAATTATCAAAAATTTCTATACTATAGTTAGTACTTAAATCTTGATAGAAAAATGTGATGCAAGCAATTGATGATCTCTAACTTACTATCTAATGATAATTTTGATTGTTGTTTATATTTTATAATTAATAAAGCTAAAGCTATTGTAAAACACATTTTTTGGTTAGGCTTTAAGAATCATGTTATGAAAAAGTGTTAAAAATTTGTTGATAAAATTAATTTGGTTGCAAAAATTTCTCATTGTTTTTTACAACCAATTTTCAAATTCTTTAGATCTGTCACAACAAATTTTCATTTATTCTTTCAATCTTTGGACCAATGACCAATGACCAAATAACAATTGATAAGGACCAATAAGCCGAAGACCAAATACCAAAAGACCAAATTTCGAAAGACCAAAAGAAAAGACCACAAGACCTATTATATCAAAATAAAAAACCAAAGTAGAAAACAACCAAATTTTATATTTATAGTTTAATAATTTCAAATTACGATAATCATACCCCTGGATGATATTTAGAATCATTTGTTCACAATGAAAACAAAGATCTGATATATTGATCAACTAAATTGTGTCTAGTTACGTGATGTAATTAGAAAATTTATTCTTTTATGTATGACATCAACCATCTTACTTATAAGAAAATGACTAACGAAACCCTAAAAACTAAAATATTTGGTCTTTATTCGTTTATTCTTCCTCGATTTATGCAGATGGACAAACTAATTTTCGAAACAAGACATTATACTCAAAATCTATTAGGTTTGATGTAATTAAATGTTTAAATTTTGCAACACTCTGAAAAAGTGTTTTGTATTTCTTGATTATTAGCTGTAAAGATCTAAGTAAATAGTTTCAGATTTATTTCAATTTACGAATTAATGCAATCGGAACGAAGGAATCAAAAAGGAATTGAAAAAAAAAAACCGTTGTTATAAAATTCCGAATAGCAATTTTAATAGGCATTGAATTTTATTGTTCGTAAAAGTTATTATTGGTACCCACCTCCCCAATTATTTAAAACCAGATAAGAATTACATTCGTACATTCACAATTATCCCAACTTACTTCAATTTCTTTTTACGATACTCTTGTTTGATTCAATTCTTACTAATGAGTGAGATAGAATCAGAGAGATGAAGCTAGAATTTGAAATTTGAAAGAAGTAATTACGATTGAAATTATGCCTTATTTCATAAGTCCTCCTCCTATTTTCATAAAATTTTAGATAAGAAGTTTTAGGATGTTGCGGTACGGGTGCATTACCTTTATATGCATTATCTTTATATTCCGTGAATTCAAGATCCAAATCTAACACACACCATAATTAAAAAAAAAAACCGTTGAGGCGAAAATTGGAATTAATCTAAATTATTATCATATACGATTCAACTGAAAGAGGAGTCTACTGTTATTGAATTTTAAAATTTTAGGAATTAGAATATTGAGGCAGGATAATTCAAAATTTTTATGCGGTTCATCAATTTGTTTAATGAACTTTATGAAATGAAGATTTCATGTTTCAAAATTGTCGTATATTTCCAATTTCAAGTTTGTATTAGAAATTCTTTATCATTATGCCACATGATTTTTAATTTTAATAAATTTTGAATCTGGTTTTGATTCTGACTTTTTTAACTCTTTTTACTCCTTCTTTGTCTATTTCTGTACTTACCCGTACAATTTTAATACGAACTACTTTTTTTTGTATTATAATCTTTTAATTATACCTAATACATACATTTTGATTTCTTTTTCTCTTCTTAAACACTGACCAGCTAATGTAAAACTTATGGAATTATTTTTCAAATAGTAGTAAGATTTCTTAGACATTGGTTCTTGAACAATTCATGATCCAAGTGTTAAGCTTCTTCAAAGGCGTTCGTTTTCCTATCCCAAATTAAAGTTTTAATAAGTCTATTGTATTGTTCCTTGTTTCAATAATTAGTTTAATTTCAATTTTTTAAAGTTTTGAAAATAATTTGTTACACAAAAGTTAATTTTTATTAATAATCAAAAATTCAAATCTTTTTTTTAAAAATGAGATTTTAAAATAAGAAATATCCTCCGTTTTTAAATTTTATAATATTCATTCAATACCCATTTGTTATTCATATTTCACTCAGAAGATTAGAATATAACATCAAAGACTATTTCCAATACAACTTACCACTTTGCATTACCAAAATTTCATCCAGAGTTTTTATATAACGGTCTTGGTTTGAAGAATTAACGGATAAATTTTTGAATTCTGCGGATACAAACAGGTTGATTTAAATCACTTGATATTAACATCTAGACGTATCATTATAAGAAGAATATTTCAAATACCTCAAATACAGCTTATATTGTTGATAATTTATCAAGGCACATTAATTAAATCATATACAATTTATCAACGCGGAGTTATTTACACAAGCAAAAGTAAGATTATAAGCTATCAAGAAAGATGCTGACTAACTATTCCATCGCGTTTGAACAACCACAATCAAATTTAAATGATCAAATACCTATTCAATCAAACAGTCAACAAATAAATAATTTATTACCAAATGGTTCATTAAATCAACAACAATTTAATTCAAGAATTCAACAACAACAACAAAATATACTATCACAACAAATTCATCAACAAGCTTATCCACAACAACACTCACTTAATATGGCACAATCAAACAAAAATATTAATTCAGGTTCACACCAACAACAACACCAACATCAACAGACGCGTTCTGTCCAATCTTCAAATCAAACTGATCAACCCCATCAACAATATCAACATCAATCAAATACTTCACAAAATATTAATAATCAAGATTTAAACAATACAGTTAAAAAAGAACTTCAACAACAACAACAACAACAAACTACATCATCTTCATCATCATCAATTAAAAATTTTAATCTTATACCTCCTTATAATCCATTTGATTTAAATTCTTATCCAATGACAAATCCTCCTATATTTGATTCAACTTTTATGTTACCTTATACTACAGCTGAAGGTATACCAAGAAGAAGAAGAATTTCTATATCAAATGGTCAAATTGGTCAAATTATGAATCATGAAGCATTTTTTGATGATAATAATGATGAATTAGTTAATAATAATTCTTTAGATGATGAATTAACTCAAAAATTTAATGATTATGAGTTAAATAGACCTCAAACTAGTTTTATTGTTGAAAATCAAAATCAACATTCACAACAACAACAACAACAACAACTACCGCCTGCACAACAACAACAACATCAACCTCCTGCACAACACATCCAACATCAGAATGACCATCATATTCAACAACAACATCAACAGCAAATGACTCAACCAGTGCCGCATCCTCATCAACATCAAATACACCAACAAAAACCTCAACAACAACACCAAGTTCCACCACATCATCATCAATTACAACAATCTCAACAACAGCAACATCAACAACAAATACCAATACCTCAAAAACCTGCATCTCCACCAGTAGCAGGAGTACCCCCACCAAATCATCAATTAATTTACAATAACGAAGTAATATATAACCCAGATAATGGTCCAATAGCAGGAACAGCAGCATGGAAAAAAGAAAGATTATTAGAAAGAAATAGAATAGCAGCATCAAAATGTAGACAACGTAAAAAAAATGCTCAATTACAATTACAAGATAATTTAAATAAAATGGAAAATGATTTAAAATTTAAAAATGATTATATTAAAAATTTACAAAATCAATTACTGTACCTCAAAAATGGTATTAATCAATTTTTAAATTTAAAAGATGAAGAAATTTTGAAGAATTTAATTAGAAATTTTGATAATAATAATATTAATAATAATAATGATAATAATGCTTAACTTTGGAAGCTTAAAATATTGGAATCTATGGAACTTTTTAAAAGTATATACATATACATATTTAGTACATTTATTTTGAGTATACCACCTACCTTTCAAATTTCTCTTCTCTATTTTGATACACCACATTCCTTCAGATATTTTCTACTTTGGTAGTCCTTTATCATTAATTAGTGATTCTTCAACTTGTTTTGGACCTTCACCAATAGAAGTTAATATGACTTTAGAAACTCCATTAATTTTTTCATCTTCATTAAATTTAAATTTTTTATCATGGTTATTCCATCCATCAACATAACCAAATTTTTTATAAATTTTTTCCAAAATTACGTCTTCATTTTTTGAATCATAATAAATAACAGCATTTGGACCAGCATCAAAAGTATAAGCAGCAATAATTTCTTTTTGGTTTATTTCTGTTTCAACTAATTTTATAATTTTTTTACTTGTATCATTTAAATAAAAAATTGGAGGATAAGAATCTAAACAAACAGAATGAAATTGATTTGAATCTTTCATTGTTAAAGTTGCAAAAGTTGGGAAATCTTTTTCTAAAATGGCTTTTTTCATCTCCACGAATCTTTTAGGTACCACATAGTCAATTCTATATTGAAATAAATCAGAAGTTTGTACAGTTAATTGCATACCAGAAGTTGAACTAATATCTTTTTTATCATCACTTACAACTAATATAATAGCTTTTAAACTTGACCAATGCAGTAAAGGAGCAATTTCAACAGCTTTTGAATCTTCACCCCCAGCATCATCTTTCCCCATTTCCCATGCAACAAATCCTCCAAATAATGATCTACATGCAGAACCAGATCCTTTTCTTGCAATTTTACTTAATTCTGACATTGATTCTTTTAATTCATATAATTTTGCAATTGAAGTAATTAATGCAGCAAATCCTGCAGCTGATGATGCTAATCCTGCAGCAGTTGGAAAATTATTTTCAGAAACAATATGTAAATTTAACGTAGATAATTTTGGTAAATTTTGATCTTTTTCTTCTAAATCAGATCTTAATTTTCTTAAATCTTTTAAACATGATTGAGTTCTTTTTGTTTCCAAAGTTTCAATTTTGCCATTTAGCCATAATTTATCTTCTTTAAATTCAGAACTACAACTTGCTGTTGTTAAAGTTCTTAAATCATTTGTTGATAATGTTACTGATATTGATGAATTTGTTGGTAAATTTAAATCTGTATTTCTTTTTCCCCAATATTTTAATGTCTATAAATAGATGTGTTAGTAATTTTTGCTTTTCAATTCAATCGTTCAAGAGATTACATACCGCTATATTCACAGGAGCTGTGACTGAAGCTTGGTATATTGTCATTAATGTTTACTTGGTATTTGGTGTTCCTCGTATATTTTTTTTACAACCAAATTTTGTTTTTGATATTTTTTTTTTTTTCACGAGAATTTGATTTTAACGACAGACGTGTTACAGTGAAGAGTTGTTTCAACTCATTTTTATGGTTCAAATGGAAGAAGAGTTGATTCTGCTCACTTAATTAATAAGATACGTTAATATTATTATTTTTGATTTATATTAATACAAAGTTTGTTTTTTAAAAAATTAATTTTACTGTTTTTCATCTTTTTAAATTATTACCACCATAATTTATTTTCTACTCCATTTCCAAATTCTTGCTTTACAATCACCTGAACCAGTTGCAAATATACCTTCAGTACCTTGAGAATTTGAAGAAACAGCAACAGATATAACTGAATTACGATGACCTTGTAACATTAATAAAGGATTTCCTGAAGCTTGATCCCAAAATATAACACCTCTATCTTTTGAACCAGATAAAATATATTCATTATTTGGTGTACAACATACTGATAAAACAAAATCTTTATGACCAATATAAGTTGCTTCACAACTTGAATTTTTATCTGATTTACCTTCTAAATTCCATAATTTAACAGTTCTATCTAATGAACCACTTGCAATTTGATGACCATTATTTGAAAATGCAACAGAATAAACTGAATCTTCATGTCCATTACCACTTTCATTACCTGAATCTAATCTTTCAACTAAAAATCCGGTAGTTGAATCCCATACTCTAACAGTTCTATCTAATGAACCAGCAGCAATTAATTTTCCATCAGGAGAAACAGCAACTGTTGTAACACCATCTTCTATGCTTAAAGTTAAAGTACATTGAGAAGATCTTAAACTCCAAATTCTAACTGATCTATCACCTGAACCAGAAACTAATCTATCACCATCTGGGAAAAAATCTAATGAATAAATATCTTGTTCATGACCTCTTAAAACTTTAATAATTCTTTTTGTTGTTAAATCCCAAATTCTAATTAATTTATCTTCTGCTCCAGTTGCTAATAATTTACCATCAGGAGAAAAACATACTGATCTAATATATAAATCACCATTTGATGAAGGAGTATCTTCTTCTTTTGTTTCATTTGATGAAGAATCATCAATTAATTTAGCAACTAATTCACCAGTTTCAACATTAAAAACTTGAGTTGTTTTATTACAACCAGTAGCAATATATTTACCATCTTTTGAAAATCTAACACAACATACAACAGATGAATGATCTAATGAATGAATTAATTCAACATCTAAATCACGAGCAAATGCTGGATTATATAATACATAATAATCAAGATTTTGTTTTTTAAAATCTGGATTTGCTTTTGCAACATCTAAATCTGATAAATATGGTGGAATTTCTTTAACATGTCCTGCTTTTTGTGCAGGATTTACTATATATTGAGATTTATCAATAATAGTTAATGAACTTGATGGTGGTACAACAGGGGTAGAAGGTTGTTGATTTTGTTGTTGAGGAGGTTGTTGGGGAGCAGGTGGCTGTTGTTGTGGTGGTTGGGGTTGCGGAAGTTGAGGCTGTTGTTGTTGAAGTGGCTGAGGAGCTTGTTGAGGGGTTTGTTGAGGTTGAGGTTGTGGTTGAGGAAGAGGAGGTGCTTGTTGTGGAGGTGGCTGTTGTTGTTGCTGAGGTTGAGGAGGTGGTTGTTGTTGTTGAGGTGGTTCTTGTTGTGGAATTTGGTTTTGTTGTTGATGTTGTTGGTGTTGTTGATGCTGTTGTTGTTGATGCTGCTGTTGTTGTTGTTGTTGTTGATGTTGTTGCTGTTGTTGCTGTTGTTGTTGTTGATACCCATTTTTCATTTGTCTATCTCTATTTTCTAATTCAGTTTTTAATCTTAAAATTTCTTCTTCATAAGCTTCTTTAATTTTTCTATGAGCCATTTCTAATTCATAAACAGTTTGTCTAATTTGTTGTAATTCAGTATTTTGTTGAGAATATTTTAAATGATATTCATCTTCAATTTTTTTAAAACTTGTTGCTTCATTTAAAGCATAATCAAATTCAGATTTAATAGCATCTAATAATTCATTAAGACGAGTTTGATGATTTCTTTGATTATATACAGACATTATGAATAATGTATTTTATATGTATGATGTGTCTTAGATTTGATGACTGATTGTATCTAGGTGTGTGTTTTTGAAATAGTAAGGTTGTTTGAACGATGTAATTTAGTATGAAGATGCTGTTTAAAAAAAAAAAGTTGTTCAATTTTTTCCTAAGTACTTTTTTTCTCTCTTTATTTGGTTTTGTTGTTGATAATTTTTTTTTTTTTTTTATTTTTTAATTTAATTTTTATTTTTTTTATTGTTTTAATTTTTTCTTCAACAAATGTCAAAATATTTAACCAATGGGTAAGTCACAACAACAACAATTTTTTTTTGTTTTTTTTGGGATTTCACCTTCGGAGTTTAGTTTTATTCGTTTTGGTTTGTAGCTAAAACAAGCATTGGGTAAACAAATTGTTTCAGCTAGAGGAATAAGAGTTTTTAATCCTACATTAAGATATACTCTGTAAAACTTACTTGCTTGCAAAATTGATTATCTTTGATTAATAATACTTTTAAGAAGTAGTTTACGACAAGATTAAAAAATTTTTAAATAATAAAATTGAAATACGTATTTAATACGTAAGATTTATTATATAGGAACATTCCTTTCGTAACCCAATGATTGAAATTATAAATAGGGATTAACGCTACCAATGAAGGCTTTTCACGTGCAATCCGTCGAATAAATTGATCAAGGACTGTACTAGCTTTCTAGTTATAAGAATTTTCATGATTATTTCAATAACTTTGTTTTGCTCGTACAAGGAATAGATAGTATGAATTAAATAGTGCTACTTATAATCGAAAGGCACGAGTGAAATTATACATTTGATTCAAAATCTCGCGCACCCCATAAATTTCTTATAGGGGGTGTAAAGCTCTTGTCATAAATTTCAGAAGTCCAAATTTAGAAATTTTAATTTGACATAGAAATTTGATTCAAGTAGTATGAATTAATTCATGAGTCTTGACATAGTGTTAATTTTAAAACACTGAACATTAAGTTTAATTTTCCACTGGCTTATCGATTCCATACGCTTAGGAATCCTACATACAATTGTAATTATATAGCACTGTATATATTAGTTATTTGAATGTATGTCGAAAAACCAAAAAAAAAAAAAAAAATTTGATTTTTCCGGATTTTTACAGATTTTCTCGGATTTATCAAATTAAGTTACGTGCGAATTTAAACAAATCAAGTTTATAAACTCATGCTAGGAACACAACCCAATATTACTTGAAATAGACCGTAGTGTCTACAAATTCAGATAGAATCTCGTAAGAAAAAACAATGGTATTATACATCCTGAGCAAAAAGACTCATACCACAAAACTATTTTTCGTGTTAAAACCTATAAATTTTCAACTAACCAATTAACAAATTCATCAATCATTTTTTCATTTACATCATGACCTAAATCATCATCAATAAAAATTTTAGTAGAATCATTAGTATTTAAATATAAATCACACCAAATAGAATTTAATTTGTATGGAACTAAATTATCTTTCTTACCAAAACTTGCAAACATTTTAATTTTTTGCATTGGAAAATTTTCAAAAATATTTAAATCTTGAGATTGTAAGAAGTTATGTAATTGTAATGGATATTTTTCTTGCTGTTCAGGTGATAAATCTAATTCATTATAATTATAATAAAACCATTTTTTATCATAATCTGAAGAATCAATTGAATTTTGTTTTAATCTATTTATTAATAATGATGATAAATCAATACATCCAACAACTGGATTTATAATTTTAATTAAATTAGGATATTCATTTATAAATCTGAAAACCGTATGAGCTCCCAAGGAATAACCACTTAAAATATTTTCAAATTTAATTTTATAATTTATATTTCCCTTTTTGAAATCATCAGTTAAATATTGATCTAAATTTAAATAAATTGGTAAAAAATCAATAATTAATTTTAAATCTTTAACATTTCCCATTATTGAACTTATCATATCTGATCCATGAGTTTTATTTCCTCCTACCCAATCTTGATTTTTAAATTTATTTATTTCTCTTGATCCATGATTTCTTAAATCAAAAGTAACACAAATTAATGGAATTGATTGTTGATGATCCTGCTGAGCTCCTTCTCTTTTAGAATAATATTTATTCAAAATATTATAAGCTATAGCTTCAGTATATTTATAATTACCTTCTCTTTGATGTAATAAATATAAAACATTTATTGGAATTTCAAATATGGAATGATTTAATTCATGAGTGTTAAAAGATTCAATATATGGTTTTAAAACGTTAGCATTATATACATGAGTATCAATTCCTCCTATATTATAAGTGATTTTGGAAAATTGATCTGGGTTATAGTCAAATAATTTCATTCTCTTCTGTATCAATGTTTTGTAGTAGTTGGTTGTAAAATTAAGTATGAATTCCGCATTATTTATTTGTGATTCGATTTTTTTTTCAGTTTGTTTCAAAAAATTTATTAGAGTATTAGTGAAGTTTACATGAATAACAATTTACACAACATAGTAAATCAAGTTACACACAATACTAAAGACATAATATTCATAATAATACAACAAATTACAGATATATACGATATTCTAAAACTCATGAAATTCCAATTCCAGAATTTAAAATAGCATTTCTATTTGCTAATTTTTCATGTTCAGCTAATTCCTTTTTTGTTATTGTATTACCTCTAATTCTATTACCATTATTATCTTTTTCTTGTAGTTGTTGTTGAGTTTGTTGTTGTTGATTTTGACTTGTTGAAGATGAAAATGATGGGGTTGAATTTAATGGATTAATTGAATTTGTATTATTAGTATTATTTATATTAATATTAGTAGTTGATGATTCATTACTTATAATTGATGGTATTTTTTCTCCTTCATTATATACTCCTAATTTTTTAGGTTGAGATGAATTAGGTGATTTAACACGTTTTGGACCTTTTTCAATAACTGTTGTTGTTTTATCTTTTTTGATTTCAGTTGTATTATTTGGTTCTTCATCGATTACTTCTTCCTCATCTACATCCTCTTCCTCTTCTTCGTCATCATCTTCATCATCATCATTATCATCATTATCTTCTTCATCTTCATTTTCAATAGGTGGTGGTCCTAATTTTTTAGAAACAAAATCAACAACTTCTCTCCATGATCTCATACCACCCATTGCAATGTTTCCATCCATATCAACACATTTTTCAACAGGTTTTAAAATACTCATATTTGGATAAGTTTCTTGAAGCAAGCATAATTGTTTTTTTGTTATTGGATGTGAATACATTGAATTTGTTAATGCTAATGCTGAAACTATTGGTTTTGGTGCTATTATATTATTTGATATAATTGTTGTATCTTTTTTTTCTGTATTTGAAATAGAACTTGAATTTGTTATTGAAGCTGATGTTGAACCTGCAATTGAAGCTGCACTTGGTATATTTGAAGCAGGTTGTACATTCTGTGAATGTTGTTGTTGTTGTGTTTGTGCTTGTTGCGCGGGTAGTGGAGGAGAATGTATTGGTTCTGAAATATGATGAACAACAGGAATTGGCCAAACATGTAAAATATCAGTTAATAAATTATCAGCTAATCCATTAATTAATTTTGCCATTGTATTAGCAGATAAAGGAGCTAATAATAAAACATCAGTCCATCTTTGTAAATCATAAGCTAAACTCCATTGTTGCATAGTTTGAGGAGTAATTAATTTTTTATTACCCGTTGCAACAGCTTTTGAATAAACTTTTTGAAAAGGAGAAGTTAAAAAATATTTTTCACCATCATCATTAAACCAAATTTTAACACCCATTTCATTTAATTTATGTAATTTTTCCAGTAAAATATATTCAGCAGATTTTGTTAAAACAACTTGAATTTCTAATTTTTCTTCTGTATATAATTCAAATAATTTTTCAATAATTAAAAAAATATTCTTATGAATTGATATACATCCTGTTATACCAATTAATAAATGTAATTTATCATCATCTGATGGATTTAATGAATTATCTAATCCTAATAATCTTTCTTCTGAATTGTTATTTGATAATTGTCTTGAAGTTTCAATAAATTTTTTATCATCAATTTTTGAATATCTTAAAGAATTCATTCTTGAGATTGGAGGATGAGAAGTTTGTGGTTGTTGAATAGGTTGAGGTTGTGGTTGATTAGGAAGATGAAATGGTTGTTGAGATTGTGAAATTGGAGGTGATTGATGATTTAAACCAAATGAAGGTGATGAAATTGGTGGAGAAGTGGGATTTCTAGCAGATTGTTGAGGTGAAGTTACAGATGATGATATACTACCTTGTGAAGAAATTAATGGAGTATAATTTGAATGACTTATTGTTGAATAATCTTCACCAGATATTAATCCATGTTTATTAGGAGCAATATTATCAGTTGATATGAATTGAGGATGTTGTTGTGATTCAAATTGATGATCTATTGATGGAATATTTGAAGTTTGTTCATTATTTGTAGTTGATTGTGATAAACATGATTTTAAATTATGATCTTGTTTTACAACTAAAGAAGGTAGTTTCTTATCTTTGGAAGTCAGTGAACCTAATGATGATTGTGATTGAGTTTGAGATTGAGTTTGAGATTGAGTTTGAGATTGAGATTGAGATTGAGATTTAGATTTATTGTTCTCTTTACTTTGATTATTTATTAAATCATTTTTATTTGATTGATTTGGTTTTGTTGGTGTTGGTTGATGAAGAAAATTTAAAATTGGATCATCTAATTCAGTTAAATTGATTTTCACTTTAGTATCATCTTTGATTTGATCCCGCGATTGTTGTGATGTGTTAGTTTGAATTGAAGATGATGACATTTTGTAAATATGTTGAAATTTATTTAAATTATTAGTAATTATAACAATATGAAAAATAAGGATTTGAATTGAAAGGGAAAGGGAGTAAATAATTTAAAATTACAAATAATGCTGAAGAAACTCTGATAATTTGAAATTTGATTAAAATAATACTTGATGATTAATGTTACAAATGATGATACTTGATTAATGAATTAAATATATTAATACATGAAATAAATTGAATTTAATGGCAACATTAAAGAACAAAGATAAAAGATAAAAAGATCTCGATATTATTTTTATTTACTACGAAAGTCACTACCAGTTTCATATTTTTTTTTCTGTATTCTACTTAGGTAAGTTGAGCCTTTCAAATGATAAGAGATCTCTCAGAATTTTAAAGAAATTATAATAAAATTTTAAAGTCTTATGATTGAAATATAATATAATTTGAAATGGAGTAAATTGTGTGACCTTAAATTTTCGAAGCTTCGAACTACTTCATGAAGTAAGTTACTCGCCACTAAACTCAAATGAAAAAGAAAATATCATCAAGTAGTCACACAATACCTAAATATTCAATTCAAATTTGAGTGATCAATCACATTTTCTAAAAGATAGCTTGAATAGGGGGAGAAATTTATTGCATGTATGTCCAGCATCTCTTGTTGTAATATGAATTAGAGAACGTCAACAATAGATTAAGTTGTATCAGTAGAAAAGCATTAGTAAATACTTTATTTTCACTCAGCAACCTTGATTTAAACAAACAAATTTTAAACGTAAATCATTGAATTTCAGCAAACACACTGATAAATTCTCCTTTAAATCTATTGAGTGTCCATAAGAAAAACAAGAAGTTTCTTAATCTTTCATCTCCTACTTCAGACCATTTGCCCCTGAAACACAAGTTTGAGTAACAAGAATTTTATTTCTTGAATATTGTATTGATCTCGTATAATTTGATACAATTCAAACTTTAAATATCCTTAATTAATTATCATGTAAAAATTCTTAAAATTTTGAAGAATTTCAATAAAGAAAAGTAAGAAATGACATAAATTTTGATAAATTTGTATGGACTACTTATGGATTTCAAGATCTGTCAAAGCATTATCTAAAATTTGTTACTACATTTGAGAAAAGATTTTTCTACTATATTCAAGTTTGAATCACGGATAACTTACTGATCAAGACAAAATTGAAAAACTCATTCTAGGGTGTATATATCGCTTCAAACTGATAATTATTTTGTCAAATGGGAAATCTGAAAACGATTGATCCATATAGATCTCTATTTATTTCAGTTTGAGCTCACTTACATATCGATCCATTCCGCAGACTCTAACTAGTTCTTTCTATGAATTATGAAAATTAAGGATAATACTTTAGTTGGAACGGAAAAATATAATATTGGTTATAAAGTTTTCCTTTCCAACAAACTATAAAATCAATCAACTTCCCCCTATCTTTTCATAATATCATCTGTTAAAGTATGATTAAAGTTTCTTGAAATCACTCTATATAGTAAAAAGCTTCTTTAGCTCCTTATTCCCAATTTATATAAATTGATTGTTAGCATTAGTTTATTATTGTGAACTTAAATATCCTTAAAAATTATCCGTTATCCTTGTTTTAGTATGTCTAATTGGTAGTACTGTACTACAGTAATTTAATACAACAGTATTATAGTACAGTAGAAATTAATACGTGGGGTAATTTTAGAGAAGAATGTGAAATTTTTCTACTCTAAAATAAAAACCGATTATTATTTCTATCTAATTATTATTTAAATTAGCTTATTTGAACAAGGGGTAATTTCAATATTTACAACCAATAGATACTCAAAACATAACTTTCATCTCATATCATTCACATTAATTCTAAACCAAAATGTCACCACCATCAAAAATTGAAGAATCTTATGCAGAAATTGAAAATCCAAATTCATGGTATACTCCAATACCATCAATATCAAAAGGTATTACTCATTTACAAGATTCATTTATAAATAAACAAAAAACTCATGATATACAATTTAGATTAAATCAATTAAGAAATTTATATTTTGCAATAAATGATAATATTGATGAAATTTGTCAAGCATTAGAATTAGATTTTGGTAGAGTACCAAGTGAAACTAAAAATTTAGAAATTTTGGGTGGTTTAAATGAATTAATTCATACAATGGCAAGTTTACATGAATGGATTAAACCTGAAAAAGTTACAGATTTACCAATTACATTAAAAACTAATCCTATTTATATTGAAAGAATTCCATTAGGTGTTGTATTAATTATTTCTCCTTTTAATTATCCATTTTTTTTAAGTTTTTCAGCAGTTATTGGTGCTATAGCAGGAGGTAATTGTGTTGTTTTAAAACAATCTGAAGCAACTCCTAATTTTTCAAAATTATTTACTGAAATTTTAACTAAATCTTTAGATAAAGATATATTTTTTGCAGTTAATGGTGGTATACCTGAAACAACAGAATTAATTAATCAAAAATTTGATAAAATTATGTATACTGGTAATGGAACAGTTGGTAGAATTATTGCAAAAAAAGCAGCTGAAACTTTAACTCCTGTGATATTAGAATTGGGGGGAAAATCTCCTGCTTTTATATTAGATGATTTAACTGATAAAGATTTAGAAATTGTTGCAAGAAGAATTGCTTGGGGTAGATTTACAAATGCTGGTCAAACTTGTGTTGCAGTAGATTATGTTTTAGTTCCAAAAAATTTACATAAAAAATTTGTTACAATTTTGATTAAGATATTAAATGAAGAATTTTATCCAAACCTTGATGAAAAAGATCCAAATTTTACTCATGTTATTCATGATCGTGCTTTTAATAATTTAATTAAAATGATTGATAATTCAAAAGGTGAGATTGTAGTTGGTGGTTCATCAAAATCAGATTCAAATTCAAGATTTATTCCACCAACTGTTATTGATAATGTTACTTTTTCTGATTCAACTATGCAAAATGAAATTTTTGGACCAATTTTACCAATTATTGAATATGACAATTTATCATCTGTTATAAGTCAAGTTGTTAAACAACATGATACTCCATTAGCTTTATATGTTTTTACATCAGGTTCAACTTCAAGACAATACAATAAACAATTAAATCAAATTTTGACAAGTGTAAGATCAGGTGGTACAATAATAAATGATGTATTAATGCATGTTGCTTTAATTAATGCACCATTTGGAGGTATAGGAGAATCAGGTTATGGATCATATCATGGAAAATTTTCATTTAGACATTTTACTCATGAAAGAACAACAATGGAACAAAAATTATGGAATGATTTTATGGTAAAAGCAAGATACCCACCTCATTCTCCAATAAAAGATTCTTTAATTAAAACTTCTCAACAAAGTTATGCTGGTAATGTTTGGTTTTCAAGAGATGGTAATGTTCCAGTTAATGGACCTGGTATTTTATTTAGTTATTGGAATACTTTTACTGGTGTTTTAGGATTAATTGGAGAATTTGCATCAGCAAAAATTTAGATTTCTTTAATTCAATAGTGATTAGTTTATAAGATACAATGATTTTTTATAATGATAATTAATAAATGTCTTTAAAATATGATTTATTGGTAAAACAAAATTTAGAGATAATGAATCAAACTTTTAAAATTTCTTCTATAAATAATAAAATCTTTTATTGATACTAAGTTAACTAGTTATATAGGAATTTTATTTTTTTTCTTAAAATTCAAATCTTCTTTCTGCTTCTTTCCAATTAATAACATTCCATAAAGCTTTAAAATAATCAGCTTTAACATTTTGATATTGTAAATAATAAGCATGTTCCCAAGCATCAATAGCAATTAAAGGAATTAAATTTGGATCTGTAATAGTATCTTGATTAGCTGTAGTAATAATTTCAATTTCTCCTCCATTTTCTTTATTTTTAACAATAAAAGCCCAACCTGAACCTTGTATACCTGCTAATTTTGCATTTGTTAATTCAATTAATTTTTCAATTGATCCAAATTGTTTAATAATTTGTTTACCTAATGCACTATCTTCAGAAGGTAATTGTCCACCACCATTTGATTGAGGAGCTAAATTTTTCCACCATAAACAATGATTAACATATCCACCACCATTAAAATTAATAGCTTTTTGTAAAGCAATTAATTTTTTAACTTCTCCTTTTGATTTTGCTTCAACAGCAGTTTCAATTGATTTATTTAAATTATCAACATAAGTTTTATGATGTTTATTATAATGTAAATCATTAATTTGTCCACTAATGTAAGGTTCTAATGCATCTAATTCAAAATCTAATTCTGGTAATGAATATTTTGTTCTTATTGAACCAATTGATGAAATTGTTGATGGTTTAGTAATTGTTGATGCTTTAAATAAATTTCTTGATGCTAATTTAAACATTTTTTGAACTTTTGGTGTCAATTGATGATGTACTTCTGGAAAGAAACTTTGACGTTTAGCTGAAAAAAAATGTGGATCGTTCTAGGGGGTTGTACGGAAATAAATTTATTCTGTATAAATTGCTATTTTCAATTGGTTTATATTACACTACTACTCTAAAACAGTATTAAAAAAAAATAAATTGTTATTTTGCAGCCAAATGATACATAAAATCGGTACCGAATCTATTAAATATTGATTGTATTGATTCATGAACGATATATACACTATTTACATTCTTTCAACTGGAGTTAAACCTAATAATTTCATACCATTATTTAATACTTGTCTCGCAGTAGCATATAAAGCTAATCTTGCAATTGCAATATCTTTTTCTTGACCTGCAACCCATAAAATATCATAACATTGAGAAACAATATGAGTTAAATTAAATAAATATGTAACAATAGTTGAAGCTTCCATATTTTTTACTGTTTTTTTAATGATATCTGGATATTGAGCTATTATTCTAATTAAATTTAATGCACATGGTTCAGTTAATAATTCAAAATTTGCATTTTCTAATTCTTCCTTTTTGATATTTGATTTTCTTTCAACTGAACATAATCTTGAATGAGCATATTGTAAATATGGACCAGTATCACCTTCAAAAGAAGTCATTCTATCCCATTTAAATTCATAATTTAATATTCTTTTAGATTGGAAATCTTGTATCATTACTGCTGATATACCAATTAAATCAGCAATTTTATCAGGTTCTTCAATTTGAGAATATTTATCTTCATTTTTTTTCATAACTTCATGCATTTTTTCTTTTGTTTCTTGTAAAATATTATCTAAAAATACAACATTTCCCTTACGAGTTGACATACCTTGAACCATACCAAAATTAATATGTTCTAAATTATTAGCCCATTCAAATCCCATTTGTTTTAAAATTTCAAAAAATTGTTGACAATGTAAATCTTGTTGTGATGCAATAACATAAATCATTTTATCAAATTTATAAGTTTCATAACGTTTTATTGCTTCTCCAACATCTCTTGTTAAATATAATGATGTACCATCTGATTTTTCAACTAATGCTTTACCTAATTTTTTATTAAATTTTGTTAAATCAATTAATTTTGCTCCACGATCAATATGAATTAATCCTTTTTCTTCAAATAATTTTGTAGCATTTTGCATTTTTTCTTTTGGAACTTGAGATTCTCCTGAATAAACATCATATTTTATATTTAATCTTGCATAAGTATCAATATATCTTTCAATTGATAAATCTCTAAATCTTTCCCAAATTTTTAATGCAGATTCATCTCCATCTTCCATTCTTTTAAAAAAATTTCTTGCTTCTTCATTAGTTGATGATTGTAATTTTTTTTCATCTTGTTCAGATGCATCAAATTCTTCATTTTTTTCTCCTTCAGTATTTGCATTTGTTTCATTTCTAACATCATTATTAATTTTAACATAAACTTCAAATAAATGATTTATTGGATCTTCCAATAATAATTCTTCTGAACCATATCTTTCAAATCCAATAGCTAATAATCCAAATTGTTTACCCCAATCACCTAAATAATTAATTCTTTTAACTTCCCAACCAATTTTTTCATATAAATTAGATATAAATCCTCCTATAATAGTTGATCTTAAATGTCCAGCATGAAAAGGTTTTGCAATATTTGGTGAAGAAAATTCAACTATTGCCTTTTTACCAACTCCCAAAGGTAAATATCCAAATTCTTGTTTTCTTTTTAAAACATCATTTATAGTTAAATTAAATAATAAATTTTTATTAAAAAAAAATTGTAAAAAAACACCTTGTGATTTAACTTCACTTATAAATTTTCCCTTTTCAAATTTTCCACTCCATTCTTTTGATTTTTCATTTGGATTTATTCCTTTTATTTTTAATTTTGGTATTGGTATAATTAAATCTCCTTGATCTAATAATTTCGAATTATCTAATGAATTGAAAATTGTTTCTTTATCAATTTCTGTTATACGATTTAATTCATCGGATATATAATTTCTAAAAACATCAATTATATTATAATTTGGTAATGAATCTTTTATTGTTGAAGGTTGTTGTAATCCTAAATTTTCTAATTCTTTTGTGATTATACTTACTGATGACATTGTTGAGTTTCTTTGTATATGTATGATATTTCTTGATGCAAATGCTCTATGTGGATTAGTTTTAGATATAATTGAGAAGAATCTCAAATTTTGCATTAACTTTCAATTAAGTAGAGATGATTAAATTTTTCAAGATCACTAGAATTTGAATTTTTTTTTTTTTTTGATGTAAGAGAATTTGAAAAGTAGGATTTTCAGATATCAAATCGAGATACGAAAATTAAGCTCATAGAAACAGAGATCGTGAGTCAAAAAAGCATCGCTTGGTTATCTAAATGTTGGTTTTTAACCTTCCTCATTGAAATTCTTTAGACCTCATCTTTGATCGTGTTTCAGAATAATTTTGCAAACGGATTTTTGGTTTTATAAGCACCGTATATTCTTTGACTGAAGTCATACAGCTGTCCCAAAAAACTATCAGATTTGGTTTATATAGGGGTTCATTAAGTTTTTAGAGTTCTTAATTTAAGTTATTTGGTCTTTATGATGATAAAATTAATTTACTTAGTTTTGTGTTACCTCTTATTTTGAAACGACTATCTTAATTTACCACATTATCCTTACAACACAATTTAAAATACAAGTAACCACTACGCATTGATCGAAAATGGAAGATGAGAAGCTTCAGCGACTACAAGAAATGGGTTTCAGTAAGTTTGATTCCGAACAAGCATTGAGACAAGCAAACAATAATGTAGAAGTGGCGATAACATATTTATTTGATGAAACCCGACATCCAGGACAAGATCAATTGTTTAATGAACCATATCAAACAGATACAATCCAAATACTGAATCCAGAAGAAATTCCACATTTTAATGAATTGAATAACTATGAACCCAATTATAATGATAACAATTGGGCTGAATCAATCGTTGAAGAGAATACTTTATTCAAAAATACCCCAGAATTTGAAAGGAGTGAAAATTCCCCACCTGCTGTTATTCCAACTACCTTAAATAGTGGGTATATAAGTGCATTATTTGTTGTTTTCAGTCAAATTAATTATTTGAAGCAAATCATTTTAAACAAAGATTTAAAACAAGAATTCACAGAAGATTGGTATAATCCTCAACAAGATTCAAATACCAATTTTTTGATTGAACTTCAAAGACTATTTGGATTTTTTACCTCGTTGAGTCAAAGAGCGTTTATAAGTGCAAATGGTTTGTGTAATAGTCTACCCGAGGACTTATTAAATGTTCAAAGTCAAACTTGGGAGGAAGTTTGGAACAATATCGCTAATTATTTTATTAAAGAGATTGGAAATAATTTGAATCAAGACTTAGAAGATTTTTTTATATCGAAGTTTCGAATGCTTGCTGATGATAATGACATTAGATACTTCAAAGTTATCGGTGTAGATTATTTCAATAGAGAGCACTCAGTCACTGAAACATTAAATGGATTAATACTGAAATCAGGTAATTATGAAGCTGTAGCACCAATTTTGGCAATGGAATTTCAAGGAACTGATTATCCAGAAACTTCAAGCTCTTTCACAATTGAAGAGTATATATTTCCGGAATTTCATGTCTCCAAGTACAAATCGTTTATTGATAAAATGGATCTAACAAAAACTCAAATTGCAAATGAAAGAAAAGCACTTACTTCCAAGATGATGTTATTAACGTCATTCGAAGGGAAAAAGATTAAAAGCATATTAGAAAACACAAAGACTCATTTAGCCAAAATAGATAAAGATAGTTCAGATGATATTTCCAAACTAGCGGATAATATACAAATTGAGTATTCTCAATTAAGTGAATTACTACTGAAAACTAATGCAAACTACACTAAATTTGATTCATCAAATCCCGATCATGTCATAAATTTAATCAAGGTAGACCCATCTTTAAAAGTACCTTCAAAATATATTTTGATAGCCGCATTATTTTCCGAATCACAATATTTATATAGAACTGATAGAGTCAATGAAAATGGTCCTGTTTGGACAGCTTTTGGTCGCATGAAACATGAATTCAAAACCGAAGTATTTAGTTATGAAGATGTCGTTAATTACTTAACTGAAGAGTTCAATCAAACAAATAGAAACATACTTTTGATATATGCGGATGAAACAGTATTAAATCATCAAGAAACTGAAATTTCTCCTAATTTAGTTGAATTTTTCAAAAAGGATAATGAATTACTTAAAAAGCAAATTGAAGCATCAGAAGCGGAAGATTTGAAGAGTGATGAAAATGACATAAGCTTACTTGGTAATTCAGCTGAAGATATAGTTGAGACTGAAAGAATAGTAAATAGTGATTCAAATTCTGATTGATAAATGTAAAGCACTATTTAAAATTTAAGTTTTGTAAATATTTTGATAAACTCTGATTTTCTAAGCGGTAGCCTACACAAAAAAAGAAGACAACTACTTTTTCTAAATTATTCAATTTAACATCAAATCTCCGCAAATCAAACAATACAATGGACTATGAAGATGAATATGAAAACAATAACCCATTTGCAGAGCCACAAGATATAAGCCAAAACATTGACACTTCTTCAAACCATGAATCTTCCATAACATCAAATGATTCTAACCAAACTCAAACTCAAACTAAACCGACACAAGACAATGACAATTCAGAAGATAGAATTTTCAAAACAGATTTAAAAAAGCTATTACCAGAAAGGTTCTCACATAAATACAGTATTTCCATCAAACTAATAGGGATAGAAAAAAATAAACCAGAAAATCCAATACTAAAATTGGAAGCGAAAGTTCATGGATTACCAAAATTCAGACAAAAAGAATATAAGGAATTACGTCGAACATATAATGAAGTTGTAAAATTTAATAAATATTTATCAGTATCTAACTTGGAAGTATTTGTGCCAGTAATTCCTAATGTAAATACTTCATATCCAACTGGTGGAGAGGATGAAAAGAAACAATTAATGATTGTATGGCAAGAATGGTTTAATAGGATAACAGCAAATCCAATTCTAATAAGAGATGAAGAGTTTGTATATTTCATTGAAAATGATTTTGGATATAGTGTTATTAATAGTAATAAGAAATCATCTGTTGCAAGTGGATTAATGAGGAAAACTTTGAAGCAATTTTCAATTCCATATGATCCATTTGAAGAATTGGCAGATTTCAGACCTACAATAAAAAATGCTTATTTAACATGTCAAAAATTGCATAAATTGTTAGAGAAAAATTCAAAATGTGAAAAACAACTATCTATTCACGTATATGATATGTCAAATAAGTTGAATGTATTATCTCAATTTGAAAATACTCATCCTGGTATGAAAAATATGTGGGAAAATTTAGGAAAAGTGGTTCAGATCCAATCAGATTTATTACTTATTGAGTCGATAAACGAGATGGCAATATTAGGCGATGGAGTACAATTACTAATAAATGACTTTTATGAAATAAAGGAAGCTTTGACAAACAGATATTTAATAATGAGAGAATTAATTCAAGCGGAAGCTCAGACTAATCAAAAACAAATACAAGCCGCAAAAATAAAAAACAAAGTATCATTAGATCCAATCAAGGTGGATGAAGCTTTGAGATCTCTAGAATATGCGGCGAAAGTACAAGAATCATTAAATTTACAAGTTAAAAGAATATCAGGAGAAATGCTTTATGAAAAAGATGAAGTGGCACAATTTACTGAAGTGAAGTTTAAAAATCTACTAAAGTCATATGTCTTACATAAAATTGATCATCATAGAAAAATCTTAAAAAATTTTGAAACAATAAGGTTAGATATTAGATGTGTTGATGAAAAAGGTGGGTTATCAAGATTGAATAGAGACAATTTAGCTAATTTGAAACATAATTTGTCTCAATCCCAGTCTAATCAAGGAGATACATGGTCATCCAGAACTTTTAGATCATTGGAAAAAGAAGAAGCATCTAGACAGCACAAAAAGGAATCAAATGGTCCCTTGAAACCACCAGTAGTTGATGCTAAAAATGCAGCAACTTTATTGGGTGTAGCTACATTTTGACCGATTGATATAATCGTAGTTTTAATAAAGCACAATAATGTTATTATTTTTTATGAAGTATTTGTATTATATTATTGATCTCTTGTCACTCGTCTCATCCTTATCAAATTATTTTTAAAAACTTGTTTCACAGAGAAACACAAACGAAAAAAAAAAATTAATATAATCAATCACGTCTGATAATTTATACATGATTAAGATCAATCAAAAATCAAAAACACATTCATAAATCTTACATCATATCTTACAAATCACAAACGAAGCATATCTACCCCAGGTGGCACTAAAACCAAAAGAATTTCATTTCATTTTTCAAACCTCTTTTGCTTGATTCAAAATTTTTGTTACACCATATCATATTTTTCATAAATTAGCGGCAACAATCTAATGACTGGGAAATGAGCAAAGTAATAACACCATTAACCGATGAGGAGTATGAACACACAAAGAGTCTCATTCCAACATTGAAAGTTCAGTATTTAAAAGATGTCCTACGATCTATGGGATTGAGACAATATAAAACTAAAAAGGAATTAATCAATAGTTTGGTGACATATTTAGATCAAGGGCGTATTCATCAAGATCATGTTAGAGGTTTAGCCATGAGAACCTTGATAGTGAAAAAATTAAACAATGAAGAATTACCAAAGTATCATGATTTGTATAATGCAATCAATCAAGGTAAATTTGAACCACCCAGATTTTCAAATTCATATAGAGCTCCTTCACAGAATATACATGCAAATGATTCAGTGGCTAATGAAAGTCATAGATTATTTTTTATTGAGGATCCATTTTATAAGTTAGTAAGAAACGTTCATGGATCTCCTCAGGTTTGTCCACCATGTAATGGTAAAACTTATACAGATTTTAAATTCATTTTAACTGAAGAAGAAAATGCTGAATTAAAAAAAGATCCACTGATAAAATTATATTTACTTTGTGGAAAACAATCTAATCGAAAAGGTATTATTCAGAGAAGTTCTACTGATGTTCAGGTAGAATACCCAAGTCAAGTTGATGTTTGGGTTAATGGGGAAAGGGTGACCCAAAGTTTCAAAGGATTAAAAAATAGACCAGGTACCGGTAGTCCTGTCAATTTAACCAATTTAGTATTGAGACATCCAAAGTCAAATAGAATTCAATTTGTTTATGAAAAAACAACAGAAAATTTTTATATCTATTTATATCTTGTGAGAACAACTCCGATTGAGACTGTATTTAATCAAATAATCAATGCGCCAAAAATCAGTAGAAATCATGCTATTGGTCTCATAACAAAGGATGAAGATGAAGTTGATGGAATTGTTATGCGTGAAACTTCAATAAATTTAAAGGATCCTTTTTCATACTCCAGAATCAAATATCCTGTCAAAGCTATAAATTGTAATCATGTTCAATGTTTTGACGCTTATTACTTTTTAAATTCACAATTGCAACAGCCAACTTGGGAATGTCCAACTTGTTTAAAAACTTTGAAACTTAAAGATTTGGGGATTTGCGAATATTTTCACGAAATTTTGAGCAACACAGGTGATGAAGTGGAAAAGGTTCTTATTCAAAAAGATGGTAGTTGGAGACCAGTCGTTGGATCAGAAGAACCAAAGAAAATGAACCATGCCATAGCTAAAAATGATCCAGATGTTGTATTAATAATTGACTCAGATAGTGAAGATGACGATACACCAATTAATGGGAGAACAACAGAAACAGCTCAAGTCTCACCGGGTGCAAACCCAGCTGCTTCCACTTCTACAGCTAACCAACCAATTCAAGCACTTCCTTCACCTCCTTCACCTTCGACTCTCATGACCAGAGAAGATGAGCCATTGTCTTCGTTCACAACTCAGTCAAGACTAATTACCACGAGCCAACAGCAAAATCCACAACCTCAACAGCATCAGCAAAATGAGCAACAACAACTGCTTCCGCAAAATCAACAACAACAACTGCAACAACACCAACTGCAACAACACCAACAACAACTTCAACAGCAACAACAACAACAACTGCATCAACAACAACAACAACAACAACTGCATCAGCAAAATCAGCAACAACAACTGCATCAACTGCAACAACTGCAACTGCAACATCAGAATCAGCAACAGCAAAATCAGCAACGGCAAAATCAGCAACAGCAAAGTCAGCTACCCCATGTGCAACAACAATCAAATGGTATTGCTGGTGCATCCAATAATACATCTGTTGAAACTCAACAACAGACATCAAGTGTGAGGTCTGATGGTAATTTGAAAGCATGTAAAGTTTTCCGAAATACGTCCCAAACGACAAATACTCAAATACTGCGAGGTGAGCTAGAATTGTTGCAAAAACAACAAAGGTATTTACAGGTAAAACGGCAAATGTTATCACAAGATGAAGATGAAGATGAAGCAAGTAGAAATCGTTCCAATCAAGTAGAAACTCCAGTTAGTAGATCTCCTCAAATATCAGCACGAGATGTCACGGCAAGAGCCACCATATTAGAGAGTAGACCAGCTGGTTCAGATTCGCGACAAAATGCTATACCTATCAATACGACTCAGTCTTTGGTTGGAGATAAGGTCTCAAACATAAATGGCTCTGATCGTACCAATGGTGCTCATGCAGGGCAAATGAGATTAGTGAATGTGTCAAATGAAACTAATAATACTCAAAACAGATCGGTTCAAACTTCACTTGATACACGAAATGCTTCTAATTACAACCATCGAGCAGCTTTATACAACTCATCAGCTCATTCTCAGCAGCAGCAGCCATTAACTCGCCGTATTTCCTTGGATTCAGATAATCAACTAAGTCATCAAAATCGGCCCAAACTTACATTGACTCAAAATCAGCAACAACAATTTGAAAAACAACAAAATCAACAGCAAAGTAATCATCAACTGAATTTTCATCAACAGAATCATCATCAGCAAAATCATCATCAGCAAGATCATCATCAGCAAATTCGTTTTCAGCAAAATCATAATCAAAATAACCAACTGCAAATCAATCAGCAAAACCATCTACTGATGCATCAGTCAATTCTTCAACAGCAAAAACAACAAAATCAAAATCACAATCAACAAAATCAAAATCAACAAAATCAAAATCAAAATCAACTACAACATCAAATTCAGCAACAAAGACATCAACAAGTGAATGATAAACACCAACCCACGGTGCTGCTGCCTAATTCTCAGAGTGATGTACAACTGGTATTGCATCAACAAAACACTCAACAAAATGGTGTTCGAAAACAAGCTTCCCACAGATATATGTCAGGTCGAGACTATGTGCTGATAAATCAATTAAATCAAACGACAAATGAAGGGCCCGAAAATATTGACCCTCATGCTACGAATACATCGGGTTATACAACTAGCACTGCTACTTCGTCTCAAGTTCTATTGGCACCAAGCGGTAAGAATTCATCTACCATTACAAGTTCAACAACTACCTCGATTAATCCGTCAGTGATTTCACAAGTATCTAGAAACACACCAAATCTGTCAGGTATTGCACGACAAAATCGTCCACAAGGCACTCTCAACGTCTTGGATTTACGTATTGATGTGAATCATCAGCCACAGTCTTCCCAACTTAGCGGAAAAATTTCACTGCCAAGAACACAAATAACGACTCCTTCTGATTTTGGAGGTAGGTCTTCCAATGGTGCCTTAAGGAGCAACGGAATAACAGTTCCGAATCATAATTCGAATTTGCAAAGCGTTCAAAATATTGGTTTTACTTCAAGTTCAAACGGAAACACCAGCAGACCAACGTATAACAATTCTGGACCGGTTCATTCAAATCCTAATTTGAGAAGGAATGCAGAATTAACAGCTAACTTATCTGATGCAATAGATCGGAATGAAAGAGCACAACTTTTTTTGGACCAGAGTAAATATGATAGGCAAGAATTACTCAAGTTATCGGAACAATTTGATTTGGAATCAATTGCCATGAAGGACGCCCTAATGCAAAGGTTAAAAGATGAACCGAAGAATGTCATTGATTTTCATCTTCTTCAATTTCAGAGAGAAAGGGAAAATATTAAAACCAAATTTATCAATTCCTTCTTGGAAACTTCGGCCATGGCAAACAGATTGAAATTATTTTCAAAGTTCCAAAGGAGTCGTAATCAAGAACTCAATCATCAGAATGCTCCAATGTCTGAACAAACTTCAGAAAATGTGAACACTCAAACGAACCGTATGTTAACAAGCCAGAGGTCTCCTTCGACTGCCAACGCGGAAACTGGGCCCGCTGCCCAAAATTCAGTTAATTCAGGTGCTCGTATCATTGAGTCCAGTGCAGACATTCTTGGTATTTTCAAAACTAGTACTGGCGGCTCACAAGATAATAATCCAGGAGATGGAAATGTTCCAAAACAAACTGTAGCGGAAAAATCCTTCGATTCGAATACTCAAACGGCAGCTTTCGCTCCCACGACTCAACCTTCAAATTCACCATTGACACAAGGTGGAAGTAGAGTCCAATCATTAGCCACAGTTCCTGCATCTAGAAACCCTAATAGTTCTGATGTATCCTTAAATAGAGTAGCCGTGTCTAAACTTTTAAAGCAACTGAGTAGTAACTCAAATTTGCCCAATCGTGGCGATGCAATAAATCGGGTGTTGAATCAAAATGAGACAAATCATGGTTTTGCTAGGTCTGCAACTTTTCAGTCAAATAACAATAGGCACAATTCAACGGAAAATCTTGTAACAACAAGCCAAAATGGTTCACATACGAGTGTTAATTTAATGAGTTCAAATGAAAGTACTCGACCATCGATCCCATCTCAGGTGAAGTCTAATGAGACTTCAAGAATCGTCAATAATCAACCTACCGAACAAGCTACTGATTCATTTACAATCAATATTTCAAAAGATTTTCCACCTATACCGCCAGACAAAAGGTCTAAAGATTCGACTATTTTTGAGAAAAATATTGATTCCAAAGGACCTAAAAAACCTCAAGTTGAAGAAAAATTATCACTTTTTGATCACGCCAGTCCACCACCATATAAAAAGCAAAAAATATCAATATTAGACTTAGATACTGCTCATGAAAGTTTTAAGGAATTTTCGTTTACGAAAGAAATCTCACCTATGAATGACAAGATTCAAAATCTTCAATTAGAATCAAAATGGTTAGAAGAATTCACAGAAAATGAGAAAAGAATTGAGGAAAGATTTAGATCAGGAACAAACAAGGATCCTATCGTTATTGATGAAGATAATTGAGGGAAAAATACTTCTACAAATTATATAGCATATGGAGTTGTAAAAATTATTTGCATAAACATCCCGAACTGATGTAGATTTTGTCTCTCATAAATGACAAAAACCGGAGTAGACTACCACAATTCTTTGTCAAGTAAAAATACCTTTTACATAGGACTTGGACCTAAATAATCTTCCTTTATACTTCCAATAGCATAGATTTCATTCACATCTGTTCTTGTTCCCACAATCTTTAACCTCACTTTTGAGCCTTTCTCTATATTTTCATCTGGACTTGAATAAGCAGGTGGATTTGCCGATGGGTTAAATTTCATATCACTCGGTATTAGATGTGTACTAACAAACACTGACAAAGGCCCCACATCTGCAAAAAATCCCATTTTATTCACAGTTGTTACAACGGCATCAACTACTTCCCCTTTAAAAGGTTTCCACACTACTGCTCTGTATTTTACTTCAAATTCTGCCATTCCTGAACTAGGTATTATTCTTCCTTTCCCTACATCTATATTCATTGAATCTAGGACACATACTATGTATCCAAATTGACCAGTACATGTCCCCTCTACATCACTTAACAATTTGTCACGTAGATACTGATCCATTTGTGGTCCAAAGAATGATGGATGTAATGTTATATTTAATGATAGATCTTTCAAGAAAAACATGATATGTGAAAATTTATAGGCTGTGCTTTGAAGTTATGGTTAGATCGAAATATTTACTAATGAGGGTCAGTATGTGATTATGAAGCTTATGGGATAAATAAATATTGAAATGAGTGACTTTTACTTATGCTGTGATAATAATACAAAAATGGTGAAAAAAAAACAAAAAGACTATACTCAAAACTAATCTTTCACGAGATGATGAAACTGAAAATGATTATGCGAGATGGTGATATGATTACTCGCAAATGTAGTCGATTTGTTCCACAATTCTTTTCTTTATTCTATTATGTTATAATCATTTTGAAAAAAAAGTTTCGAGATTTGAAAAATAAATTGTAATCGCACGACTACGACTGAATATATACGAAATGTATATGGTAAATTTTTTTTCGAATATCATGAAACATTCCAACAAACAAGCTTGATATTTCATCTCACCTCATATGTCTCAAAGAATAGGTAATTCAGTACTGGCCCTAACAAGAGTATGGCATCACGTTGATGTAGCGGCAGACGATAGAACATTGGGTAGATTAGCCTCACAAATTGCAATTACTTTACAAGGAAAACATAAACCAACATTTACACCAAATCGAGATCATGGAGATTATGTAGTTGTTACAAACTGTGCACATTTAAAAATAACTGGTAACAAATTGAAAGATAAAACTTATTGGCATCATACTTCAAGACCTGGTACTTTAAACTTAATACCTATGGAAAGAATGATTACAAATAAAGGATATGGAGAAGTTTTGAAAAGAGCTGTAAAAGGAATGATACCGAAAAATAAACATAGATTAGTAAGAATGGATAGATTGAAATTATTTGATGGTGATGAGCATCCTTATAAAGACAATCTAATAGCTTTTGCCGATGAGATTAAAGATATGAAGGAGAAATTGGCAAAGTTGGAAATTAACGAAGCCAAAAGATCGGAACTTAGAGCCAAATATTTAGCTAACTGATTTTTATTAACTTAACGAACTTACATACTTGTAAATAATTTAATGACGATATAATGTTTGTACTTTTTTCTTTTTTGGAAAAAAATTGTCTATTTGTAATTATTTTTCTATATTAATACATGATGAACTATTAACCATTTTTTATGCACGAATACTTACACCAGAACTTTCAGTATATAATCTAGGTGTTATATTCATTGCCATTAATTCCTGGAATAACAACTTGGCAGCATAAGGAATATTGATTTGATAAATATTTGTTTTATTTTTACATGAACGACACTCGAATTGATTTTTCTTCAAATTCGCAATAACTGACATTAATCCACACATACCACATACATGAACCTTAAATGCATCTGAGGCTTCCATTAACCTTTCTTTAAGGAATCCGGCTGCACCATGAGCTATCATACAATCTCTTTCCATTTCTCCAAAACGTAAACCACCGTCTCTAGATCTACCTTCAACTGGTTGTCTTGTAAGAACTTGAACTGGACCCCTTGCTCTTGCATGAATCTTATCATCAACCATATGTCTTAATCTTTGATAATATGTAGGACCAAAAAATACTTGAGCCATTAATTTTTTACCAGTGTGACCATTATACATGACTTCGAAACCTCTCGATTGATATCCGTGGTCTCTTAATAATTTAGAAATAGCTTCTGCTGTAACCTCTGTGAATGGCGAGGCATCACCTTCAAGTCCAGATAATGATGAAACTTTTGATAACAAACATTCGATTAAATGCGCAACTGTCATACGAGATGGAATAGCATGTGGATTGATAATTAAATCTGGAACAATTCCTTGTGATGTAAAAGGCATATCTTCATGTCTATATGTTACACCAATAGTACCTTTTTGACCATGTCTAGAAGCAAATTTATCACCAATTTGTGGGACTTTTGTAGTTCTCATTCTGACCTTGACGAATTTAGCACCATCTCCATTTGTCGTTAACAACACTTGATCAACAATACCGGACTCTGTACTTCTTAATGGTGTTGAAGCATCTCTTTTAGTATGATATTGTGTTCTTTGACCCAATTCTTCTGTGTCAGGTGGAATTGGTGTTGTTTTACCTATAATGATATCTTCACCACTTACTCTAATACCTGGTGCAATTAGTCCGTCATCATCCAATTTTTCATAAGTACCATGTTTTAATCTTAAAGTATCTGATCTTGAAGGTTTTTCAAAAGTTTCCAAAGCTTTCATACCTTGTCTTTTTTCTAAATCCATATAAGATCTAAAAAATAATGATCTAAAAAGACCACGATCTATTGATGATTGATTCATAATCATAGAATCTTCTTGATTGTAACCTGAATAACATGCAATTGCTACAATGGCATTTTGACCTGCTGGTAATTCTCTAAATTTCAAATGTTCCATTGCTCTTGTTGTGGCTAATGGTTTTTGTGGATAATATAAAATATTAGCCATTGTATCCATTCTCACTGAATAATTGGTCAAGAAAACACCCATAGCTTGTTTACCCATCGCTGATTGATATGTATTACGTGGAGATTGATTATGATCTGGGAAAGGAATGATAGATGCTGCAACACCTAATATCATTGAAGGATGAATTTCACAATGTGTAAATGTATGAGTATTACTACTACTAGTAGGTTTAATTCTTTTAGCTGGATCTAGTTCTTGTTCTTCCATTTGCAAATCTTGTTGTTGTGTTTCTGTTAATGAACTTTTTGAGGCTTCTAAATCATCAGGAGTCATTGCAATCATAATAGTTTCCTCTTCTTCTGCATCAACATATTCTACAATACCTTCTTTCACTAATGAAGACCAAGTATACTTAGATTCATCTTCATCAGCACCATCAAATAATGATCTTGCTAATTGATTCACATGTTCTTTTTGTAATTTCATATCACCTTTAGTTTCAGAATCCTCTTGATCATCAACTATAAATAATGGACGATAAACTCTACCAGCATCAGTAAATATTTTGAATTCTTTTTCTCTTATATCTCTAATGATAGACACTTCTGGTGATATGTCACCATTTCTTCTTAAATCACGCATATAATCAACTAATGAAGCTGGATCTCTATTTACACCTACCCATACACCATTAACAAACACTCTTGTTGCATCTGGAGAATTTGAAGGAACATAATCTTCTAAAGGTTCTAAACCCCAATCGTTTAAGAATGATAATATTGGTTCAGAAGGAGTACCAACAGATATACAAGACATTAATGATAAATTCTTCACTAAACCACACGCTTGACCTTCTGGAGTTTCTGCAGGACAAACTAAACCCCAATGAGTATTATGTAATTGTCTTGGTTTGGCAATTTTACCATCTCTTCCGATAGGTGTATTTGTTCTTCTTAAATGTGATAATGTTGATGAATAAGTATAACGATTTAAAACTTGTGAAACACCTGCTCTTGAACTCATGGCTTTCTTTTGTTCCCCCCAATTACCTGTTGCTAAAGAATATCTTAATCCGTCAGTTATAGTTTGTGATTTTACAGCCAAAGTCAAATTGAATTCTTTGTCATTTTCAACACATCTTTGCATATAATTGTATATATCTTTTGTTAATTTTTTGAATAATATTCTAAATAAATTGGCTAATAAAGGTCCTGCTAAATCTAGCCTTTTCTTACCAAAATGATCCCTGTCATCTGGTTCTTTTCTTTCTAATGCACATAATAATAATCTATTGACCATGTAACCTAAAAAGAATGCTTTTCTTGTTTCGAAACCTTCTTCTTGAGTAATGTTTGGTAATAATTCCTTTTGTAAAATATCTTTTGCATATTGTATACGTTTTTCTCTTCGTATACCAAGAACACCTCTTCTACCTATGAAATCAAGAGCAACTTCTCTTTCCTGTATAACGAACCCTTCTTCAACACATGGTTTTAACATTTCCAACATTTGCCAATCATTTTGATCATAACATATATGCTCCAAGATATCACCATCAGGTACAACACCTAAAGCTCTGAACACTATCACTATAGGTATATCTTCTTTTATATATGGTAATGTTGCCTTTATTGTTCTTCCTGAAACTCCTTTTTCATCACGACCGTATAATTTTATTTGCATAGATGATATTAATCTTGAACCTTTTTCTAAAGCTGATCTTATTTCCGCCACATGAGATATTGGAGATGGTGCAGCTTTTTTAAATACTTGAACAATATTTGCCGCACTCCTTTCTTGTGCAATTAAAACTTTTTCTGAACCATTTATAACAAAATAACCTCCCATATCATAAGGACATTCTTTTAATTCATAAAATTCATGTTCTCCCAAATCTCTCAACATACAAAATTTTGATCTCAACATAATTGGAACTTTTCCCAAAAATACATGTCGATCTGAATCTTCTCCCTTAATATCTTCTTCTATCCATTCTAATTCGTTATTATCTTTTCTTTTGTTATCATCAGATGTAAATGTTTTTTTGGTCATGTCAACATAAAGTGGGGATGAATAAGTTAAGTTACGTAGTCTTGCTTCTTGAGGAAACATTGGATGAGTTGTACCATCACCTTCAGTTTGACTTGGTTTAGATATATATATTTTACCAAACGATATTTCAAATCTTTTATTCTTATGATCTTCAACTGAAGTATGTTGTGCGGGTTGATCCAATATCAAATGAGAATCTTCCCATACTAACTCTTGAATTGTTGATTCTATAAATTCATCAAATGAATCTAATTGTTGTGATACTAAACCTTTTTCCAGAAAAAATGATGAAATTACTGTCCAACAATCTTCTGGTTGAATCGATCTATCATCATCATCGTATCTATACGGATCATCCATAAGTTGATCTTGTGACATTATGAATCTCGATGTTTGTTGGTAAGGTTGATAAAGGTAGGAATGAATGAAGGCAAAGGTTGTATGCTTTATTTATTGTCTTACTTCGTTAATCTGTTTATATTTTTTTTTTTTTCACTGCATTAGAATATTTCAGATTGAGCGTTTTACACTACCACAGTTAAGTTAGACATATTGAAAAATTTTTGGAACTTTATTAAACAAATAACCTATCTGATAAAAGAATATAGCTTCATCCAAGTGTATCATAAATGTCCTCAATAACGAGGATAAGTACAAGATCTGTACACCATAAGTTGACACCATCAAAATATCCTAAAGTCAATGCATCACAAGTAGAAATCAATCCACCAAAATATGGTTTTAGAAAAATAAGGCCGCCTATATTAGCTCAATCACCAACAAAAACTTTATTCCCCAATTCAGAGTTAGCTAAATTATATGTTGAAAATGGCAAACCTATCCCAAATAGATTCATGAGTCAAATTGATTCCGAGAAAGCACATGCAGAATTTGAAAAGTTTCAAGAGAATTTAGCAATGGATGAACCTCATTTCACTAAAGGTAAAAATGAAATATATTTACCAGGAGGTAGAATATGTCTATTAAGACCGAATGCAAAACATACACCTTACCAAGCCAAATTTTTGGTTCCCAAATCAATGAATAAAATGGATTTAAGAGATTATTTGTGGAATATATATGGATTAAGAGCTCTTAATGTAACAGTACAATTACAACCTGCCACTTGGAAAAGAGGTCCACAAGACTTAGGTCGTTATAGAATCCCACAACTCAAAAAAATGACAATAGATATGGCTGAACCATTTGTATGGCCAGAAGTACCTCAAACAAAGATTTCGGAGTTAAAACAACAAATGGATGAAAGTGAAAAAATCGTTAAACACAATATTGCAGATGGAAGTGATAAGAATAAGACCTTGGATGTTTATAATGGAATGTTTAAAGGAAACCCTAAACCAAAAAAATTTATACCTAAACAAATTCAGAAATCAAATTTCAATTCCATAAAAGCAATTAATAAAGGTTTAAATTCTGCAAGTAAAAGAAACCAAGTTTCAAATTATTTGGGATTATAAAATCATGTAAATAGATGAATGAAATGAATTAATGTATCTTTAAAAACTGTAATTAAAATAAACTAAAATTTCAATTAAAACAGGGTATCAATAACTATAAAAAATTAGATATAAACTATACAAATTCCACTACCAGAGAGAACAAAAATTAGAATAAAATTCAATCAAATCCACTTAAAAAGTTGTAAAAAAACCAACCACCCAAAAATTTATAATAAACAGCCAAAGAACCTTACCAAAAATAACCTTTTCGTTTATGAACTTCAGTAGTTGAAGTCTCCGTAACTGACGAATCTCCTTTTATTTCGTTTTTTTCATTACTATCAATGATATCAAATTCTTCATTCAAACTCTTGTCATTAACAACTTTATTAACTTCATTTGTTGATTCTCCATTATTTCCTGTGAATCTATTCTTCATATTCATGACCATTAAAAATGAACTATCTAAATAACTAGAAAAATCATTTGATGAACTAGTAGTAGCATTACTAGATCCACCAACATTTGCAAAATTAAATCCAATTAAATCTTGTAATTTTAAAACTGATCCTAATTTTGTAAAATTTCTTAAATCAAAAGGATTTAAAACAAAATTTCTAATAAGATCAATATTTTTTTCAATCCAAGGTTTTAAAAATTTAAAAAATAATAATCCTGAACCAGTATTTGTAAATTCTTGCCATTCTTTAGTTTGATCAAAATTTATATTTTCATTTATTTCATTAACTCTAATATTTGTACTAATCATTGGTAAAATTAACCATATATTAAAAATTAATTTTATAATTGTATAACCTGGAATAATTGTAATTATGAATAAAAAATTTTCAAAAAATTGTAAAAAACCTTGAATAATCCAATAAATAAACCATTTTTGTAAATTAATTAATTGTAATTGTAAAATTTTTTCATCATTTTCATTTAAATTTTTATTTGATGATGAATAAATTAAATTTAATGGAACTGTAATACCTTTAATTTTGAAATTTTGTGATGATATAGAATTTGTGATTCTTGTATAATCCTCAAATGCTTTACATGATGCTATAACTGGATAAACTATTGAGATTAATACGCTTGAAGTTTGTTAATATTTGTGTATTTTTTTTGGTTTACTTACTTATCTTAGAAATCGTGGGGCAAAAAATGACTTTTATTTTGTGATAAGAAGTTCCTTATAGTAACATACTTTAAGATTGAAAATATTCCAATCATGGTTAATATGAATTATCAAATTGAGTTAGTTGTATAAATTGTATGATAATTTCTGAATGGAAAGTAAATGTTTGAGCTTTAGTTGTAAAATAAATGATATAATAAAGCATGTAAAACTTTATCTCTCTGTTATATCTAATATTATATCTCTGCAGTATAAATTAAAAATCCCGTTTTTCATTAATTTACTACCAAATGATTTATTATTTAACATCGGATAAATAGCGTAATAAGTAGTGTATTATAGTCCAAACTAGTAACGGTAGATAAGATAAGATAAGAAGAAATCACAGGTATCACTAGATTTGAAAATTAAACAAACTGATATAAAAGAACAAACCTGAAATAAAAAATCAAATTTATAAAGAATATATTAATGTCTATACAACTATATCGAACAAAAATAATTTAAAAGAGTACCTCCAAGATCTTAAAAATAAGTAAAACTGATATACATCAAACACAGTTTCAAACATTGAAACCTCTTTTTTGTAATTCTTTTACATTCCAATCCCAAGTTTCTTCACCATATTTCAAATTACTTGCATTTTTACTTGGTTTTTCAACAACACCACCAGTAACAAAATATTCACCATTATCTTTCTTAAGATTTAATTCAGGTGACATACAAGCTTTTAAAGTAGCTAAAGCACCTTCTTCATTTGAAACTCCCATTACTTTATCACTAATAGCAAATACTGCATTAGCTGCATATTTAACAATTGGAAGTTCTCTCCAATGATTATATAATTCAGTACCTAAAATAATACCTGGATGAACTGCAATTGATAAAATTTCTGGTTCTTTAACTGCCAATTGTTTTACAAGTTGAATTTCTGAAGTTTTGGCAATACCATATCTTACCCAAGTATATATTGAATTAGGGAAACAATTTAATTTATTTTGTTCTGGTTTGAAATGTTTATATGAAGCAAAATTATGACCAATTGAACTTAATAATACAATTCTTGGAGTAATACCAGATTTTGATTCCTTTTTCAAATATGGTAAAAGTTCTAAAATTAATAAAAAATGAGCAACAAAATTAACTTGATATTGAATTTCATAATCATCTTTTGTAACTTTATATGGAACTCCCATAATACCTGCATTACCAATTAAAATATCTAATTTTGATTCCTTTTCACTAAAAGCTTTAACAGCTTGAGGTATAGATGATAAATCTAAAAGATCAATATGAATATAATGTAATTCACCAACTGGATGAATTTTATCTAATTTTGAATTTCTTAATTCTGCTTCCTTTTTAATATCTTCAAAAGCTTTTAAAACTTTTGATTCAGTTCTACCTGCCATATAAATTATATAACCATGTAAATATAAATGTAATACGGTATACCAACCAATACCAGTATTACCACCAGTAATTAAAACAACTCTTCTATCTTCTTTTGGATCATAATATGGAGCTGTTTCTGGATTGAAAAATTTAGATCTATTTGGAGACATTGCTGACGTTTAGATTTAGATTCAAAGATGTGATGGGATAAAATATTTTGATTTGTAGATGAAATTGAAATAGCAATTTTTGATAAATATCAATTGATGATTATTTGATGATTTATATAATTTTTCTTTATCTTAATTCAGTAATTAAGTTTGTTTTTCAGGAGATAATGAATTTATTGAAAATTAAAGTTATTATTGATGATAATAATTATTATATTTTTCAAAATCTTAATACCTTTTTCGCAGTAATATATATATTCATTTAACTCCAACAGAATATGTAATTGGGTTTATATAAATATTCAAAAAAGTCTCTCATTAAATTAATTTCTTTAGTTCATTGATCACGTAATAAATGAGAAGATGTGAGTTGTATATAATTTGCTTTACCTAAGGTACATATTTCCTAAAAAATATAAAGAAAAATAAGCCACTTAAGTTTGAAAAGTTAAATTATTAATAATTATTATGACGGATAATTCAATTTTGTTGTTTGCTTCCTTTGATAGGAAATATCTTATCACATGACTATCACATATTAAAAATATTAACGGATATATCTACTTGCAGCTCGGAACGGCTGATATTTGGATATCAATTTCTGATGCATAAATCTATTAGATTGAACTTCACTATCCGTTCTTGTTCACTAACCGTTCTTGAGCTATATTACATGATATAAATTTGGGAGTTTTAAAATTAAATTTCGTGAACGTTTGTAATCAACATTTTACTGATCAAGTCTAGACACAAGAATGGTCAAAGTCAATTCAGTGTAAAACTAGACTTAACTATTTAATATGTATCAAGGGAAAGCAGACAAGACGTGCAGACAGGGAGTTTCCACTTTTGTCAGACCTTTCGTGTGTTTAACTCGTTTTTAATAATCAGGTCTAAATTAATTAAAGTTTGAATAATTGCTCTATGGGGTAAAAAATGAAAGGCATAATAACTTTATTTAAATTGAGAGAATGTAGCACATTCAAGGTTCAAATATCTACTTTTAATAGGTTAAACTCTATAACTTCATTTTTTATTTTAGGTTTGTTGACAAAAAAGCGTAATTTATTTTCAGGTTTTTTTGCATTCAATTTTGAAACAAATATTTTGAACATGTTGAATCAAATTCGAATCAGAATTTCAAAACAAATGATTATGAAGAATTTTTCACCTTTCAATTCGGCCTGAAATGAAGAAACAGACATCCGTACCTACATAACATCCGCCCCTAATTTTAAAAAATTGAAAATCAACAATACTAAATCAACCCAACTTTGGCTTGTAGGATGTTTTTTTAGAAATAAAATGTTACTTTAAAGCTAAATAATATCTTTAAATTATTGTAGATATTTATTAATAGTAAATATAAATTTAAACCCCTTCTCAGCCTTCCCTTCAGACATCGTTTTCGGTATGTTTCAAAAATTAAAATTTTCATTCAATCGCATTTATAGTGAGACAAACCATAGCTGAAGTAGTGATTAACCAATTCTTCTTTTTTTATAAATAGACTTGAAAATTGAATTTTTTTCAACTCCATTGACAATTTCAAAAATCACATCTAAATCATAGTTTGTTAAAATTGCATCGATATTAGTATCAAGATTTAAAAGTAATTTCCTTAATCGACTCGCACCTCTTGGTTTATCCTTTGAAGTTACTTCTCTCAAGTTTAAATCTTTCAAATTAATACATTTATATAAAGACAAACAATTTAAATTTTCAATATTATTGTTTGACAAATTTAAATGCGTTAAGCAGAATGGGAACTCTTGAGAACTCAACATTGAGTAAGTTATTTGATTATTTTGCAAATCTAATTTCTTTAAATTATCAAACTTATAAATATTTCCTTGAACGTTTTCCAATTTTAAATTATTGATTATTAATTCCTCTAATGAATTGGGAAAATGATCAAAATCCAATGATTTGACACGTAAATTTAACATCTTCAATTTGGTCAAATTTTCACATTTAAATGAAACTTGAAAAGATAAAATTCTTTCATAAGGATCATAACCATCAAACCTGGACTTTTTCAAAATTAAGTTTTGCAAATTGGGTGTATCGAAACATACATTTTCTTTTACATTAGCTAAAATTTCCAATGGATCAAGTAGGTATAGACCAGAGCCACATGAGCAATAATTGTTTGACATATCCAACACCTTCAAAGATTTTAATTGGTTCAAATTTGAATCTAAACAATTAAACCATACGTCATTGTTGGTAAATTTAATCCGCTCCAGCTCAGGAAAATCGACATGACCTTCAGCTACAACTCGGCAATTTGTTATGATGATCTCGGACATTTTCTTTGGTAAACTGACTAAAAGCTCGTCTAGCTCAAGATGTCCGATACTATTTAATTCCAAAATATCAAGTGTCTTCCTAATCACCATAATATCTCCTACTTCTAGACTCTGCATAGTATCGCAAATCTTCAAATTCTTCAAATTTCTAGGGAACCTAAACCTACCATCTATATGAACCTGCCGACTTGCTATATAGTCAAATCGTTCTTCGTCTAATAACTTGTTTATTTTACCAGGATGGAAATTGTTGACGAAATTGAAAGTTTTCAATGAATCGGGAAACGATGTAACACCTAAATCATAAAGTTCAGGACAGCAAGATATATGGAGTAATTTTAGATTATAATACTTGGATAAATCACCTAAAGTTTTAAAATCACAAGAGTAAAGTGCTAGATTTTTGATAGATAATGGGAGCTGAAGATTATCCAATGTACTCATCTTGTGAAGATATTTGCAATCAAATGATTCGAGATGATGTAACTCACTTATATTCAATTCAATATTGTAACCTTCATTTAACGTTAGCTGCTTCAAAGATTTTGGAAAAGAAACTGTGAATATATTCAAATGTGATGTTGTCAATGATTGCAAGAAGGTACTTTCCACAAAACTTAGGAATGATTTAATTTCATCTTTTTTAAAATACCCAACAAAAGGTTCTAAATATTGATTCAAGTGTACGCCAACAATATAAACTTTATCTGAGATCGAGACTAGATCAGTAAATCTAGTAGTTTTCAAAATCTTTACCTCATAATTGACTAATCTGAAATTTGGCTCATTTATTAATTGATTGATTTGTTTCACATTCCCAATGATTGTTGAAGGTATAAACTTAAACTGTTGATGAAGATTTATTAACGTTTCAATTGAATTTTTGTAATTATTTATTTCATATTTTGGATATTTTCGTTCTAAAGCGATATGTTGTAAACCTGGAATATATAATAAGCTTTTGATTGTAGATCTATCTTTGATGTTACTAAAAATTAATGATAGTATTTCCTTGGGTAATTTGAGAAATACTTCCATCTGAGTGGTGAGTCTTGATTATCTTGATATGAATTGATGGATAATTTTGGTTGCCACTTTTTTGAAAATCAAAATTATTTAGACGTGATTTTCTGGCTACCATATGGCGTTTCAAATTGGTTTCGTCTAAATTTATCTTTTAGGTTAGTTTGACATTTAGTATGTATCACTTCCGGAGCTTTCAAAGTATTGAGTGGTCTAACGTTGCAAGAATTCAGTACTCCAGTTTGAATTTGGGTTTACATTTGCTTAGAGTCCAATGTGAAAATGAACTAAAATTCGATCTGAATTTCAATTATGTATTTGAAAACCTTCTTTCAACATCTCCTTGCAACGTCTCCTTGCTTGCATTATCAAATTCTCACTGAAAAAGAATTACTTTAAAACTTAGATCTCAGTGCTTAAACCAGTGACTAAATCGCAAAAACCTTTACCGTGGCTCAAATTTCTCCTATATGGACAGATTGACTGTTTTACTTTATATCATGAGATCGAATATAAAGTGAAAATTGGAGTGAAGAATGGAGACCGTGTGAGTATGTGGAGGACTAAATCGTTAACGTATATTCCAATAGATAATAATGAATGATGGAAGTAATGATCAGGTCTAGTTGCTTGATCTCATAGTCGAGTGATAAAAGTTAAACATTATGAAATCGATTTTGCCACAATCCATTTGCGATCTGAACAAGCAACTGTGTGACTCAAAGCTTGATGCGATATCTTTCGACTCACTTTCTTATTGTCGAATCAGTGAAGGACTTTTCTCATGAATTTTGATATTAGTTTTTCATGTCACAAACTCGAATTTTTAGAATGAAAGTAAGTCTGTCACCCCATAGAATAACAAACACATAATTGAGAAATCGTCATGTTTTACTCTTTAACTTTCAATCCACAATAACTCAAGAACTAAAATCAAGTTTATAGTCGTCCATTCAAGTGTCTTTGCTGCAATAAGTGTATTATTAGTCTACTTGAGTTCAAAAAAATTTGAAAGTTTTGCTTTTTATACCCCTCTAGTTAATTATCAAACACCGAATTACCGACGTATATTACCCAAAACGTACTAAAAATTTATAAAAGTCCAACAAAAATTTCGATTTAAGTCTGAAAAAGAGTACATCGGTCTTATAATTTTTTTATTCCTACTTTTCTCAGATAGGCCGGAGATTCATATAAATATTGAATAAATGAACTGATTAATCATCATTGGAATGTTAATATATCAACTGATAGTGTTGAAATGGCTACGTCACATGAAAATAAATTTTGTATCGACAGGTGATAATTTATTCATTTGCTTCTTAACTCTGTTTGAAAAAGCTGATAAAATAAGAAATAAGATTAAGTCAGGAGATTAAGAAGTAGTATCCCGAATCAGCTTCTGAAAAAATGATTAGACTACATGAATATGGACAAACCTTTTAACCTCCTCTTTCACGATTAAATTGATGATACATTCTATTTCTTAGAAACGGTTGTATAAAGGAAGACGTTGTAAAACTATAAAATTGGTTCCATACTTGCTTCCAACAAATAGCTTGAATGTACACAATTGTATATTAAATTCGCTCAAACGTTGATTTTTGAAAAGTTATTCAACATTAATTCCCTTATCAAATTAATCTACAACAATAAAATGCAATGAATATATTTTTTTTGGTTCTTTTGTTATGGTAACATTTACGTTTTCTTTTTTACTCCGCTTTAAATTTTTCAGTTTCTCTCCACATTTCAAAAACTCATCTATCAAAATAGTTTAGACCTGTCATTAGTAAGTTAAAAATTCATTACAGGTAATTAATACAGCAAGTCTTGATTTAGTCATCGTTTATAGGATATATACTAAAAAGTTGTTGGATTTTAAAAGGAAAAATGTTTGAGTAAGATTCCTTTGGGATTGGGTATTTTTAATTCCAAATTTTATATCCTTGTTAATTATTATCTTATCGTAAACTCTCTAGCACAAAATATTACAGCACAAAATCAAACTCCGAGTTTTTGATTTTATTTGTTACAAAAGACCACAAAATTATTATTAGGAATAGTCCTTAGTAATGCTACCATCTAGAATCGATTTGTTCTGGCTAATTCTCTCCTTCTCTCTTTATTTTTTCTCCCTAATTTATCTCTCTTTGTCTCTTGCTGTTAAATATTATAACTATTAATCAGTTATCATTCCCCACTTATCGAATGCAAATTACTACTAATATCTAATATATGCAAGTAGGTATATATTAATATACGTATATCTTCTATATATGTTGATAACCCCTCCTTGATTTCATTATCTAATCTATTATTATTTTATTATTGTACAAGCCCAATTATATATTATTTACTTTATCTTACGTAGATCTTATACTTTTTACTCCTATTCTTCTTTTATACTTTATCAATATATAAGTAGCATATATATACTCTATCATTTTCTTATTTAAATTTTTCAATTTTGAATTTTTCAGAAAACTTTATTAATTGATTATACTTTTGGTTTCATTTAATTTTCATTAACAATTATATTATCTACCTACTTATTATTAAGAACAGAAAAAAATAGAAAATTAATCAATCTTATCATCATTAATTAGTAAGACTTTAAATTTGAATTTACAACATATATCATCTAAATTCATACACTTTCTACCACCATTTACAAGCACTTATATATATATACTTACACTTATATCTATACTCATTATCAATTTGTTAAATAAACCTTGACTATCAAATTTCCAAAAATGATGTCAATGAAAACATTAGGTTCAAATAATTTAATAAAATCAATATTTTCAAAACAAAATGAATTAACAAAATCAGTTTCAACAATTTTAGATTTTAAAACAAATCCAAAACAATCAATTGATGATATAATAATAAGATCAGATAAAGAAATTGGTGGATTTTCAACTGTAAATTTTACTTATGATGAAAAAGAAAAATGTGGTCATTTTTTTGGAAATTTATCATTAGATTTACCTAAAAATAATCCAACTATTACAAGATCAGGTTATGCAATGTTTAGAACTAAAGATCAATCACAAAGTTGGCTCAGTGGTGATAAATATTGGGATTGGACTAATTTTTCAAGTTTAGTTATGAGAGTTAAAGGTGATAGAAGAAAATATTTAGTTAATATTCAAGCTAATACTCCTTTAGTTACTGATTTATTTCAACATAGATTATTTTTAAATCATCCTGGTCAATGGGAAACTATTGTTATACCATTAAATGATTTTGTAATGACTAATTGGGGTGTAATACAAGATGGTTCAGAATTAAATAAATCTGAAGTTAAAACTGTTGGTATTGGATTATTAGATAAACAATATGGTCCTTTTAGTTTAAAATTAGATTGGTTAAAAGTTATGACTGGTTCAGAAATTTTAAAAAATTCTGAAATTTTACATAATGAAAAATTAACTATATTAAATGATAATTATAATATTATTAATGAAAATGAAATTAAAAATCAAGATAGTGGTGCTTTAGGAACTGAACCAACTTATTTTAAAAAGGATTAATTTTTTTAAGATTAATGATACAATAAGAGGATACTTTAAAGCAGTTGATTTATCTGTTACAACACCACATCTAGTTATTTGTAATTGAAAGAGTATTTGGCAGGTCCAATTTAACTCATCAGTTAATCAAATAAACATCGAGGTTTTCTTTCCAATGGAAAAGTAAAATACTACTACGTTAAAGCGAATAAAGCAGCAAATTAGTAGCATGAATTAAACAATTCTATAGTATTAGCTTCATACTAGTTCTTTTTTGGTATCTATTTGTTTCTATAGTGCTATATTTATTTTTAAATAGTTTAATAAATAAAGATATTTAAAACGTTGAGAATTACTACGTAAAAACTAAGTATTTGCTTGTTGAGTATGATAAAAGCTGGACCATATTCACTACATATGTTACAATATTAGTTGGTCCTCCAATCTGAGCTCACGTGACTTTTCTCGTGACTAAATGCACGTGTGTATTTTTATAAGTAGGGTTTTTTTTAGTGTTAATAAAACATTTTTTACAACAAAAAGTTTTCAATTCTCTTTTTCACCTCTTTCTTTTGATTGACTACAACAACCAACAACTTATATTCATATCATTATAAATCAAAAATGGCAAGAGGCCCGTATGTTTCAAAATAGATTCTATTTTGAAAGGAAGACGAAAAGTAAGCAAAGATTTTTAATATTTTGCTGAAAATACAAAGTAAGCCCATGAAACTTTTTCCATGGCAGTACCAACTGATTCTGAATTTTTTGTACTTTGTTGTATGAAATTTCAGAATTGGTTTAGGAATTAGGGAGCCTTGTCTTGATTTATATTTGATCTTTCATCTTATGTTTTGAAGTTTTATTTCTGGGGTTCTAAATTTTTTCAATGTGTCATATTTTTTGATGAGGACCATAGTGGTTCGAGGGATATTTCATATTTGATATTATCATCTTCAATTCAAGTCTTGTATAAGAGCAGGGACCTTGTATATTTGGGGATGAGATAGAATGAAGAGTATTTTGAAAGATACTATTGATTCGATAGTCAATTGTCACAAAATTTAGGTATCTTCATTAAAGCTTCAACGATGAAAGATTAGATATAGATCTCGTACTGTAGTGTTCCCTATATTCCTCTTTTCAAGTCTTCCTTCAACTTCAATCCTTGAATTCGTTAACTAACCAACATATAGAAAGAAACATTTAAAAAGATTAGCAGCTCCACATCATTGGATGTTGGATAAATTATCTGGTGCTTATGCTCCAAGATCATCAGCAGGTCCACATAAATTAAGAGAATCATTACCATTAATTGTATTTTTAAGAAATAGACTTAAATATGCTTTAAATGGTAGAGAAGTTAAAGCTATATTAATGCAACAACATGTTCAAGTTGATAAAAAAATTAGAACTGATTCAACTTTTCCAGCTGGTTTTATGGATGTTATTACTTTAGAAGCAACAAATGAAAATTTCAGATTAATTTATGATGTTAAAGGTAGATTTACAGTTCATAGAATTTCAAATGAAGAAGCTAATTATAAATTAGGTAAGGTTAAAAAAGTTCAATTAGGTAAAAAAGGAATTCCTTATGTTGTAACTCATGATGGTAGAACTATAAGATATCCAGATCCATTAATTAAAGTTAATGATTCTGTCAAAATTGATTTAGATACTGGTAAAATTACTGATTTTTTAAAATTTGATACTGGAAAATTAGTTATGGTTACTGGTGGTAGAAATATGGGTAGAATTGGTGTTATTACTCATAGAGAAAAACATGAAGGAGGTTTTGATTTAGTTCATATAAAAGATTCTTTAGATAATACTTTTGTAACTAGATTAGGTAATGTTTTCGTTATTGGTGAAGAACATGGAAAACCTTGGGTTAGTTTACCAAAAGGGAAAGGTATTAAATTATCTATTACTGAAGAAAGAGATAGAAGAAGACAACAACAAGGTTTATAGAATGGGTTAGGGTTAGATTGAGTTTTTTTTAGTTTCAAGCATTTATATTGTAATATTATTTTCATACATTTAATACTGAGCTTGTAGGATTCGTCAAATTCTTTATACTGCTCTAAGATTCATATGTCCTCTCTTTCCAGTGATATTGAGTATGTCTACAAAGCCATGTAATAAAAGTGATTGTTACTTTCAAAACGTGTTTCAAATTTGACTGCAAAATAATAATTTGTTAACTTGCTTTCAATATTACACAAAACCTAATATATGTAAGAGCATTTGGATCTTGATTTGAGCGGAGTTTAAATTTTCAGTTATCTAGTCATTACATATTACTTTTAAGCTCAATTGAATTAATTCCAAACTACATTCGTTAATCAAAAATGACATCAAGATATAGAGTAGAGTATGCATTAAAATCACATCGAAGAGACGAATTTATAGAATGGATTAAAGCACTATTAGCAGGTCCGTTTGTATTACATGCAGATATAGAAAGTTTTGATTCAGAATTCCCAGAATTATATAATATATCAGAAGATTCAGATATTTATTTAAAAGAACATGAAAAAGTTATTGCAAAAGATTGTCAAAGAAGATATTTAGAAATTTTCAAAGATGTTGAAAATTTAATTCAACATACTATTTTAATTGATGAACTTAATGATAAAAATCCAGAAAGAAATTCAAGTAGTAGATTAAGAAATTTAGTTCCTTCATTAGGGAAATTTTTTACACCCTTACCTTTAACTGAAGCATTTTTAGTTGAAGATGAAAGAAGAGCAATAAGTAAAAGAAGATTAGTTAGTCCTTCATTTAATGATGTTAGAATGATTTTAAATACTGCTCAAATTATGGCATTAACTAAAATTTATAAAGATAAAGCTAAAGCTCATTTGAAACTTATAACATTCGATGGAGATGTAACTTTATATGAAGATGGTCAATCACTTAATGAAAATAGTGCAGTTGTAACAAGATTAGTGAAATTATTAAAATTGGATTTATTTGTTGGAGTAGTTACAGCAGCAGGTTATCCAAATCAAAGTGGAGCAGAAAAATATCATGAAAGATTACAAGGATTAATAGATTATTTCAATAGTGAAAATTGCATATTGAGTGATAGACAAAAGGAAAATTTACTAGTAATGGGAGCAGAATCAAATTATTTATTTCGTTATAATAATGAAATGAAAGGTTTAAAATTTATACCAAGTGATCAATGGTTATTACCACAAGTTAGAAGTTGGGATAATAATAAGATAGTATACATAATGGATACAATATATCAACATTTACTTCATTTGAGAATGAAATTTAATCTTGAATCAACAACAACAATTATTAAAAAGGAAAGATCAGTAGGAATAATACCAAATGAAGGTCATAAAATTTTAAGAGAACAATTGGAAGAAATGGTATTAAGTTGTTCAAATAAATTAAATATTATATTAAGAGGTTCAAAAACATCTTATTCTGATTCAAATGAAGCTTTAATACAATTAAGAGATATAAAAGTTTGTGCATTTAATGGAGGTAGTGATGTATGGGTAGATATAGGAGATAAAGCTCTTGGTGTTGAATCCTTGCAAAAATATCTTTGTCAAGATCCAAGTAATGAATTTTGTCCAATAACAAAAGCAGAAAGTTTACATATTGGAGATCAATTTGCAAGTTTAGGTGCTAATGATTTCAAAGCAAGATTAAGTGCTTGTACTGTATGGATTGCTAATCCAGCTGAAACAGTAGCCATACTAGATGATTTGATAAATTTCATCGATGAAGCTTGAATGAAATATAGAATAATTTTATAGAGTCTAATAGAAGAAAAATTTACTAAATGCAAAATAAGTGTTTCATTACATGGTCCGTTATTAATGATTCAATGATATGGGAATTCCATAAATAATTGGAGCGGCACCATTCAAGTATTTCAAAACACAAACATCCCTACTTTTTCTAATAGAATTTGCTAAGTGTTCATTATTCTCTTGATTGTTCTTGGGAAATAATCCCCATTTTTCAAACATCGAAATTGTAAATGCATCTATATCTTTATCCGTCACGTCCCATAAATTGACTAATATAGCTGAGGATTTACAATTCAACCAACTTAAAACTAAACCCAGTGGTTCAAATTTCCCATTATCTTGTATTTCGCCAGATGAACATCCTATTAGGAAACTAGGAGGTAAGCTTTGATTTTTTGTTGCTTTTATTAAATCTGAGATTTTTATATATTGTTCACAACCTCCATGTCCTATGTAAATGAATAAATCAGAATTTAAAATATTTGAGACAATTTCAACTTCTTTAGGTTTTGATCCTATTATTCCTTTCCAATTTTTCTGTGTTTCCATAAATGGTCTAAATCTACTTTCACTTGATTGTAAATCACCACCAGGATTGACGAGATAGTAAACATTTGATGCTATTGTCTTGGTTGGATTTTTTAAAGTTTCTAGAAGCATAGATATACTTGGCATTCTTGAGACAGATTTATTTCTCAAACAATTTAGTGATTCCCATGGAAAGAATGAACAACGACTACTTGGAATTAATATAATGTGTGAGTTATCATCTGTTCTTAAATTTGGATATTTTTCATATAATTCTTGTAATGCTTGATGGATCTTTTCCATACTGAATGTCTTATTAATCTCAAGATGAAATTGTAGTAATTCAAAGAGATAATTCAACAAATCATCAACAAGTGCTCGATCATACTGTTCCAAGCCGTAAAAACACTTATACACAAGCTCGTTCAAAGCGATTGTCAGATTGATTTTCACCGATAGATTTGCTTGTAAAATTTGAATCAATTCACTTCTGAAAAGTTGATAATCATTCTCATCATTTAAAGTTGAGAATATTGATTTAAATCCACCAAACCAATAATTCTCAACGTGTTCACATAATTCTTGTAATTCATAATTCAAATTAAATCTTTTTCTCCACCATTCTTTTCTATCTTCACTTGTTTTAACTAAGGAAGTGGTTGAATATTGAGTAGATTTTCTATTATTTGCAAATATGGTTTTGAATTTTAATTTTAATTCTTCAAAATTTGATACTTTTATTGACTCTCGTTCTTCAAACCTTGACAAAGAAAGTCTTAATAAAGTTGGGGTATTATCGAACTTTGACAATAAAATGTCACCAGTTTCCTCACAAATATCGATGGTTATAATTTTCCAATTTGATGGTAGCTGATTGTTTAATTGATCTTTAAATGTTGAGTAAATTTTCAAGTAGTCATTGGTATGATCGATGCTAAGTTCAGGAATGTGGCCTATTTTGTTTATTGATGAAAGAGCTCTATTATTTTGAAATGGCTCAAATTTAACTAAATCTTGTATGAAAAATAGTTGATAAATCAAATCTTTCCCCTTATATGCACTAATTGAAGCTATTATGTGAAGAGTTTTGGAAAGCAAGTAATAATATTTTCTTCTCTGAATGATGGACATTTTTGAACTTTGAGACATCTTCAATAACTGATCTTTAATTTTACCAAGTTTTACAAAATTATTCATTGTATTCTGGTCCAACACTATCTCACCGCTTGTAACTGATGGGAAAACTTGTACCGAGTTTGGAAATGTGACCGTAGTTGCAAAGCTACTCAACTCTTTTGTACATTTTTTCAAAGAAAGTTCGAGCTTGACTATTTCATCATGAATTGGTACCGTAAAAAATTGAAGAAACTTATATTTCTTTATTTCGTAGTGACTTTCTACGATATTTTCTGAATCAAACTGATAAAAATGAGGAATGTCTTTCGTTTGGGTTGATTCTAATAATTGTTTCATATATTGAACAGTTTTATTCTCCGAAACTTGATCACATTCCACAACAATTGTCTCTGAAATTTTATTTGTATTCAACAAAGAAGCATAAATCCTGATTTTGTAAGAATTAATTTGGTTCACAATTGGTATTTGATGAGTTTCGTTTAACTTTTTCCACTCTTTCAAAAACGCATAGATATTCTTGGACAATCCTAAATCAATTAACTTCTCGATTGCCAAATCATATGCCTCGAATAACAAATGACAACATTCCCACACAATATCATCATTATCAAATTTTTTTGTAATATTGGGGCAGTTATGAATAATTGATTGTAATGATTGAATAGCATTCTTTATGTTTGAGAAAGATAAAACCAAGTCATTTGAATTTAAATGAGATGCTAGAATTTGTAACTTGGCTAAAATAATATAATTTTTCATCTTATCAACGAGTGGTAATGACTTGGAAGCTGACATATCAAATTCTGGTCTCAGTTTGACAACAGATGTCAATTCTTGAAATTTTTGAATAGCTAAATCATAGCTTTCAATTTTGCACAAATATGCTATTCGTTGAAGTTTATAGTCAAGTACGTTTTGAAGACTCAAGGACTTGGCATTTTTCATCAATGCATGTATATTGTCCAAACACTGATTCCAATCCGAATGAAGCGATAATCTATAGCTGCAATGACACATTTCAAATTCCAAAAATAATTTGAATGGGTCGTTGAATTCATTTTCTCTCAAAGTGTTAATCAAATGATATAATTCACTGGTCATTCCATTGTATTTGAGACCCAAGATTATTTGCCTCGCCATGACATGCTCAGTTTCATTATGAAATTTTGTGCATTGTTGTAAAACATTGACACACCTTAATAAAATATCTTGATTCCAATTTGATGATCCTAACATTTTATATAATTCTAAACCAGAAGCTATAAGGAAATTGGGTTCCAAAATGCTAATTTCAGCGTCATGATCAATATTGTTTACATTGTAGTATGCAAGAATAACTCGAGTGTTGTTGACATCCTTTACAATACTCATTATTGAATTGTAAAATATAGTTTTTTGATGTCTCTTGACCAGGACGTCTTTATAGGTTAATAATCCCAATACGTATGAAATTTTTGAATGCTCCTCAAGCTGATTGAAACATGGCAAAAGGTTTGGGAATTTTAGGCAGAGTTTATAAATGCAACCTATCACTGCTTTCTTTGCGGGACATGATTGTAATACAGTCAAAAAAAGTTTTGAATCAATGTGATTTAATGTGTTTAATTTCAGTATAAGTCTTTCCAAATTGTCATCATTTGGCCATTGCCTCACTATTTCACATTCCCGAGTGACTGACAAATCTAAAATAATTTCATTGTTGGTCTTTTTCCCTAACTGAAGTAATAGGGTACTTAAGTTTTTCAACTTTTTCTCAAGTTTAAAATGATTGAATATCTCATATAGTTTTTCCAAGGAGTGAAATGAATCTTTTTCCAAATGTTGAGAAAAGTATTTGGTAATTGAATCTAAGATTTCTAGATGAAGTGATGATAATTGTTTGATTGAGTTTTTGGAGCCAATAAAAAATTTTAAAATTCCACTTGTTGAAGCGTCTGTTAACTCCATTTTCGACAAATTGATCAAAAAGTCCTTATTTATAATTGATTTATTGTTGAAAGTTATAGTGAAATCGCTTGACCGTCGATTTGTAACTTTTTGCTGTGGTGTTGTATCGAGTAATTTGCGAGATAATATATGAATATTTTCAATAGATTTGGAATCATTAAGGAAAGGTTCGACCCCTGCTAAAACAGTTATTTCCTCGATCTTTTCACTATTTCCAGTAATTTCCATTAATTTAATCTTCAAACATGAAACTTCTAACTCATACCCTATGCCCAACTTTTCAGTTATTTTGATGAATGCGTTTAGTAATTTGATGCAATTGTTCGTGTACTTATTTTTGTTTCCATCATTTTTGAAAATCCACTGTCTCAAGTTACCCGTTGATAAGAATAATGACGGGACTAACTTTAAAAGTTCAATATCTATTTCTTGTTTGATCAAATTTTGTACTAGCCATTGCAAGGTATAAAAATGAAATGCTATTATTATTTGACCCAATTGCTCGTCACAAGCTTTGTACGGTATGCCCTGGATTAGTGTCTTTTTATCAATTGTTTGACATTCAATATTTAAACTGTAACAAATTTGTGAATATGAGCTGACAAGTTGATCTGAAATTACGTCTATTTGTTTCAATTCGAATAACCTTACGATGAATAATTGGTGTTTTTTTAGTACTCCTAACCAATATGTAAAATTTTTGGAGTAAATTGAGTACAAAAATTGTAATTTAATATGTATTGATTGTAAATTGTTAATTTCGATTTTATTTAAGGATTCGTTTAATGAAGTAATACATGATGATTCTAAGGTTTTGATGTCATATTTTGGTAAGTTTAAGTTTTTTGATGGTGATAATGGTTTTAAATTTTGCTGCTGAACATAGGTTAGTAAAGTTTGATCTAAGCTATCCATCTGATCACAGCTTGAGGTCTTAATATTCGTAATCGTGATCTTGAATATAAAAATGAAATGAAACTTAAATAATAATATCAAAGAACAAATTTAAACGGAAAAAGGTAAACAACAGGACCTACCAAATGAGCCGTATATGCTACCACTTTTGTGCGCTTTTTTAGACGTCTTGAAAATTTTCAATTCAATAGTGATTTGATCAAGTCAAGTCAAACATCAAGACGAACTTCGAATATATCCACAATGTTTAGATCACTAATAAGAACCTCATTTATACAGCCGAACTCAATTATACATTGCACCAAACCATTAACCAAACCAGCATATCAAATCACCTATAAATTCTTTTCACAATCATCCACAAATTATAAAACAAATACATCAACCCGAACTAAAGAAAATGTACATGACTTAAAAACATTCCTAGAATTAATAGGACGTAACTGTGTGGAACATCTTGATGCATTCGAAGGAGATTTGAACAAATTCATAGAGACTCCAAGCAAGAAAATGAAAGAAATAGGAATTGATACAAGAACAAGAAGATATCTTTTAAGATGGAAACATAAATTTGTAAATAATTTAGAACCTTTAAGGGAACATAAAAGAGGCAAGAAAAAGAATGGAGGAGAAAGAAAAGCTAAAACCGTCATTGCTAAAAGAAAAGCGTTACAAAGATTGGAAGATAAAGAAAAATTCAGTCAGGAAGAAATGGATGCAGAAAACAGAGGTGAAAGATTGTTTTAAGAAAGTGAAATTCATATTTGTAAATAGATCATCATTATTGTGTAACGTCATTTTTACGAAACAAAATGTCTTCATCGGATTGTAAATTTCAAATTAATTCATCATAGTAAAATTAAACATAGGATCATATATTCTCTATAAATTCGACTGATCAATGTTCATTATCAAGGAGTTGTTTAGTAATTACACAATTTCATTATCAATGTCTAACCATTATATCATTTAAAGAAAAATTCCTTATAATAAATTTTTTGCTTTAAATTCATTTAATAATGAATTACCTAATCTAGCTGGTGATTTTTCAACTTTGACACCTGCTGATTCTAATGCGGCAATCTTTGAGTTAGCATCACCTTTACCACCTGCAACAATAGCACCGGCATGACCCATTCTTCTACCTGGTGGAGCCGAGATACCAGCAATGAATGAAACTACAGGTTTAGCTCCTTCTGGTCTAGTTAAATTGTGTTGTTTTAAGAATTCAGCTGCTTCTTCTTCAGCACTTCCACCAATTTCACCAATTAAAATTATACCTTCAGTTTCTGGATCTTTTAAGAATAAAGTTAAAGCATCAATGAAATTAGTACCTGGGAATGGATCACCACCCATACCAATAACTAATGATTGACCTAAACCAACAGCTGTAGTTTGAGCAACTGCTTCATAAGTTAAGGTACCTGATCTTGAAATGACACCGACTCTACCTCTTTTATGGATACTTGATGGCATAATACCAATTTTACATTGATCTGGTGCAATGACACCTGGACAATTTGGTCCAACTAATCTTGTTTTATCTTGAGTTTTTAAAATTTGAGCAATTCTGACCATATCTTTTTGTGGAATACCTTCGGTAATTGCAACAGCTAATGGGATTTCAGCACTAATTGCTTCTTCAATTGCTGCAGCGGCAACTGGTGGTGGAACAAATATACCAGTAGCAGTTGCACCTGCTTCTTTTATAGCTTCGGCTACTGTACCGAAAACTGGTCTATCTAAATGTTTAGTTCCAGCTTTTTTTGGGTTGATACCACCAACTACTTGTGTACCATATGCAATTGCTTGTTCTGCGTGGAAAGTGGCTTGTCTACCAGTAAAACCTTGATAAATGACTTTTGTATCTTTATTGATTTTTAAATTTGGAATAGTTGATGCATAATTTTTAGCAGGTGCGGTTGATTTGAAACCACGAATGAATTGTTTACTCAACATTGTTCAATATAATTCAATTGATGTGTAATGATAGCAAAAGTAGGAAGTGTTGATGAATTGAATCTATTTCCGCTATGTTTACTGTGTTTTATAAAAAAATTTAGAATTTTGATTTGTTGAACCAAAAAAAAAATTAGAGTGAAAAAAAAATAATTATAGAAGAGAACGTTGTTTATCGGTTTAAAATTAACAACCGAAATGAATTTGTAAGTGAAGCTCAACCTGAGTGTAAGCCAAACATCGATTGATCTGGGATCCTGAGGCTTATTTCCTCCAGTTGAAAGTTGATCTCCCGATCTAAGAACAAATCGAGTGTTACTTGACGTAATACTTTTGTTTACTTCATTTAAAAATTCTGAAACCAGGACTCGGAGAAAAATTTCTCTAAGCACAAATTTCAAAAGAAAATATTTGATAATTCTGAGAGCAAATCCTACATCGTGAATAATTAAAAGTAGGTCCTGATTATGTAGAAACTATGGGCTTTGATTTCATGGTCCATCTGCGTCGTATAAGAAGTGTAACAATTATTGGTGAAAGATTTTGATTAATGATTGAGACAATTAAGCATGCAGCACGAGCCTAAAAAATCAATACTTACCTTCCGGATTCAAGATCGTCAGAACAATCGTAGATCTTCTCTGCGTAGCTATTTGAATTGAACTTGAAACATTGGAATTTCTAAAACCAATTTTGCAGTTAAAATTCAAGTAGTAATTGATCTTTATCTAAATTCTGATCTGAAATTTGTTTCATCGAAGTTAAATTAATGCATTATGAAAAGCTCTGACCACTGAGGTAAGATCGTTACGTCTAGCATAACAATCATTCATGGAATTATCTAAGCTCAATGATGCAATAAGTAGGTCGCGAAGAAAAATTAGTGTTGCAAAATTGTATCAAAGAATGCATTGAGATCAAAAAAACATTAACGAACGAGTTTCAAATAAGAAAAAATAATTGATGAAACAACATCAACATCAGCCAAAACAAAGCCTATAACAATCAATCATTCATTAAATGCTGGAATCATTAAATCCACCAACTTCACCTCCAGATATAGCTACAGATCCACCAACACCATTACCTTCATCACAAGCTGATTTCAATCTACATTCTGAACCACCAGAAGAACCAGAAGAAATAGAAAATGGAACGAAACAAGATGATGAAGAACATATAAACAAAAAACAAAAACCCAATTCAACAGCCGCCACAACTGAAACTACTCCAGTACCGACATCATCAACTACCACAACAACTAATCCACCAAAAAAGACAAGTGCTGAACAATTAAAACGAAGAAGAGAAAATAGACAAAAAGCAGCAGCAGCATTAGCTCAAAATTTAAAAAATTCAGGAGTTGCAAGATATGAACAAGAAAATGGATTTGGATTAACAAGTATTAAACCAATTGCATTATTAAATCAAAAAAATTATTATACAGAATATTTAAAAAAAGATGAACAAGTAAGTTTTATAAGAAATTGGAGATATGAAAGAGATTTAGCTGCAAAATTAAAAAAATTAAAACAAAGTGGTGGGAATGAAGAAGAAATTAAAAAAAATTTAGAAGAAATTAAAAATTTTGATGATTTTGATTTAAATAATATTGAAAATGAGTTAAAGAAGAAAACTGATGTTGTTGTTGATGATGATGATGATGATGATGAAGAAGGTGAAAATGAAACTGAAGAAGTAAGACAAGAAAAAGCGAAAATTGGAGAAGATGTAATAGTGTTACAGCCTGGATCTACTTATATAAGAATTGGAAGAGCTACAGATGCTGTTCCAAAAATAATACCGAATGTTATAGCAGTTAGAAATAATAAACCTAAGTTAGATGTAATTGCACCTGAAAGACATATAGATGAAGAACATGATAAAATTATAATAGATGAAGATTTTGATGAACAAAGAGCTTTAGTATCAAAAGATTTTAGAGCTAGAATGAGATTTTATAAAAGAAGAATAATACCGAATTCAAGAGAAACCGTTGCAGGATATAATAAAAAACAAGAATCCGAAAAAATACCAGATCATAATGATCCAAATAAAAAAGAATGGATAAAACCTGATTCTTCAAAAAAATTTTATGCTGGAGAAGATGCTTTAAAATTAATTTTAGAAGATGGTTGGAATTTAAGATATCCAATGATTAATGCTAATTTTAATGAATATTCAAAAGATTATAAATCTCGACAAGAAATCTTGGGAGATTTAACAAATATTATAAAAGATTCTTTACAAAAATTATTAGATATAAATGATGTATCTAATTTAAAAGTAATGCTTATTATACCTGATTTATATGATAAAACTTATGTTGAAACTTGGAGTGATTTATTATTAAGATTTGTTGGATTTGGAAAATTAGGTATACTTCAAGAAGCAGTAGCTGCTACATTTGGTGCAGGTGCATCAACTGCATGTATAGTTGATGTTGGAGCACAAACTACAAAAATAAGTTGTGTTGATGAAGGTATGATTATAAATGATTCAAGAATTTTATTAAGATATGGAGGTGATAATATAACAGAAACTTTTGTAAAATTAATACTTGAAAATTGGTTTCCTTATAAAGATATTAATTTATTAAATTCATATGATTGGGAATTAGCTAAAAATTTAAAAGAACAATTTATTACATTTCAAGATGCAGATATAGCAGTTCAATTATATAATTTTTATAAAAGAAATCCATTTCAACAAACCGAAAAATTTGAATTTAAAATATTTGATGAAGTTATGTTAGCTCCAATGGGATTATTTTTCCCACAATTATTTCAATTACAAAAAATTCCCAAAAAAAATAAATCACTGAATCCTTCCATTTTTAGTTCAACAAAACCAAGTAATATAAGATTAAATCATTTATTCCCCAAAGCGTTAGATCAATATAGTGGTAAATCAAGTAATCCTAAACTGAAAAGTCAAGATAAATTAAAAACAAATTTAAATTATTGTGATTTAGATGAAAGAAATTTATTATTAAGACTTATAGATAATGATAATGAAGAAGAAAAAGAAGATAATAATAATTTAAAAAAAATTGAAAGATTTAATAATAATTTAAATTTAAATAAAACACCAATTGAAAAAGCAATAGTTGAATCTATAACAAATGCAAGTTTATCAAGTGATATATCAAAAATGAAAAAATTTTATGATAATATTTTAATTGTTGGAGGAGGATTAGCAAAAATTAATGGTTATGATTTAATATTAGCTGATAGAATTAATATATGGAGACCTAAATTTTTATCAACTACATCATTTGATTCAATAATGGATCATTTAACAAGTGAAGTTAGAAAAAATACTTTAAAAAAGCGAGAATTATTAGATGAAGCAATAAAAGAAGCAAAAGAAGCAAAACAATTAGCAAAAGAAGAAGAAGCTGCTGCCAATGGTGAAGATCCTCAGCCAGAACCACCACAACAACAACAAGATGAAGAAGAAATTGAATTATCTCAAGAAATTCTTGATTCTATAGATTCACAAACAGAATTAAATTTAGATATAAATTATTATGATCAAATTTCTGAAGAAGGTAATCATATACCAATAAATATTTTACCAACACCAAGAGAATTTGATCCTTCTATGTTAACATGGAAAGGTGGATCAGTTTATTCAAGATTAAAAGTTGTTAATGAAATGTGGATAAATCAAAAAGATTGGGATTTATTAGGTAGTAGAAGTTTATATTATAAAAGTATATTTAATTATTGAAAATTCTTTCAATAATAAAAACTATATATATGGATACTTTGTAATATACAATTCACATCTACACCATTACTTATAAATTAAAAGTAAATTATGAATATCGTCTAACCTCTCTAATAGCGTTCTAAAGAGATAAAAATATTAAAGTGGGGAAATTAAGACGAAAAATTTAATTTTTCATTCGAATGTTTCACAAAATTTCCGGTCTAAAATAGAAAGTTTAATGCGAAAAAAATCAAAAATTAAGACGAAGTAGTGAGAAAAATTATTATTAATTAGATACTGAAACAAATCTTATAAGACCAATTTTTAATGAGCAAAGAACCCTACATCTTCCAATTTTCATCATTTCTACTGATGAATAAAGTGTCTCGGATGCTTTGCTCTGTTTGACCTCTAATTTGATCATCTTTTAACTGAAATCCCCGACCGCAATATCTGAACCTTCAATAGTTTTAATTCCAAGATTATATGATAACACAAAATTTGATTACGGTAAGTACTTAAATTTCATTTTTTCTTAGGATTAATTTGAAAAATTTATCGGAATATTCGCCTCGATTATTTATAAATAATTTAAACAGGATAAATTAGCAGAAAGAGTTCACCTTTATTGGGGGATTGGATTTTCATTCCAAGAGTTGGTTTTAGTCGTATTCTCTATCTACTTTATTTCAAAGTATTTTACCTGTAAGATAATGTGTATACATAAAATCTTTGTAATATATTTATAATAGATAATCATGTTAATTATTATTTCATTTTTTATAGTACGATTTTGTGTTATATAAGTTACTTACCAAATATTATTTTATCTGATTATTGTTCGTAAATATTTATAAGAATGATTATTAAAACTAGATTCTTAAAAGTAAATAGTAAAGAAGGTTGGTGTTATAAGTCAAGACAAGTAAGATAGTGTCCTAACTTACTTGCTTAGAAGTAATTGATGCTACTTTGAATGAGATCTATAGTGTATATGAGATCCCCATAAAAATTTGTACTAAAAAATAAGATACGGCTAATTGACATAAAAAATGCACTAATAATGAAAGGGTTAAAAATAATATTTTTTAGGTAAGTAATATTATATAAACAATTACTACATATAACCACTAATAAATTTGATGATACAAGCAAATCAATTTCTAGAACCAAGACATATAACTGAAGAAAGTAGATGGCTGATACATAGATGACAGTATCACTTTAATAAAATAAATCCTATTGCTCCGACACATATTTATTGGATTCTAAACTCATTTTGTATAGAAGTACTAATAATAATAGTATACACAAAATCAAATTTATTAATTAGTTAGACTAACTTAGTAAAATAATTAAATAGTACAATACATAGACTAATAATATGAGTTATTAATTTACAACCATTTTTATTAAAACCAAATACCAATTACACTTCTTTTTCAAATATCTTATACCAATATATACTCATTTAAAGCTATCTTTTATACTTATTGAATCCTTACTATCTCATTAACTATTCAAATCAAACTAATCAATCACAATTCTAGAGAGATTTTATAACTTTTTGCATCATTTTATATGTCTAATATAAAAATATCCACATTAAATCCATATACAATAAATAATAATAATAATGATATTACTACTACTACTACTAATAAAAACATATTATCACTTCCAATTGCAATACAACTAAAGTTAAATAATGATATAATACAACAAATCAAAGAATTAAATAAATTAAATGGTTTAAAAACTGTCAAATTAATAGTAAAAGATGGTAAATATGTATGTATTTTTATATCATAATACTTTAAACTGAAAGGTGAATTACTAACAAATTTATGTTTGAAAAGTCTATAAAAATTACTGAAGAAGTTCAATATCCTTGTTTAAGTCAACCTGAAAATTTAAATGTTGATATTTATTCATTAAATAACGAAAGTTCAATAAAAAATTCAAATTTTAATTATGGTGGAAGAGTTTCAACAAAATTAACAGTTATAACAGATTTAAAAAGAATAAATCAATTAAAAAATTCAAAATCTCAAAAAATTCAATCTTCAATACCAAGTCCAAAATTTATATCAAGTCCGAGATTTAATACTTCTTCAAATCCTAGTCCAACTATAACTCCATTAACTTCACAAAATTCCACACCATCATTTTCACCACTAAATAATTCAATTGAAACCACTTCACAGAAAAGGGAGAGATCCATTACTCCAATCCCTTCATTAAATGATACTTATTCAATATATTCACTGACTTATAAAACTAATCATTTTAAAATAAATGAAAATGATACTGAAATTTCAAAATTAAAAAAATTATTATATCTAGTTGCATTAGGTCCAATTTCAAATGAAAATATAATTAAATTATTAAATTATAAAGAAATAGAGGAATGGATACAAAAATATTGTCAAATTTATAATAAAAATGATATTTTTATACAAAATGATAAATTTCCATATATTGAAAATTTAAAAAATTCTAGCTTATATATTTTAAAAGATAAATCTTATAAAGAAATTATACCATTAAATTGGAAAAATTATGATGAAATTGAAAAAAATTTAATTTTTAAAAATATTAATAATGCATTAACAAGATTAGGTTATTCAAAAACTCATCCATTAAGAAATAAAATTATACAAATTGATAACTTGGATAATAATTCAAATCTACCTCAAAATCAAATTAAATCAACAAAACTTGGTGGTGGATTTTTAATAAGTAAAGAAATTAAAAATAAAAAGAAAAATGGTGATAATACTATAAGTGGAACTACAAGTCCCGTATCTAAATCTAAATCTTCAACTCCAATATCTACTCCTTCAAATACTCCAAAATTAAATCAATCTTCACAATTTAATGGTCCTAAAATTTCAAAACAAGATCAACTTTCAACTTCTTCATCATCATCATCATCAAGCATTAAAACACATAATACAAAACCATTAAATAGTTTGAAATCTAGATCAGTTTCTCCTAAGGTTAACAATAGTGTTTCCACTAAGAAGGAGGAATCAAAAGGGGATCTGTCACTGCATTCACTGAAAAGGCAACAAACCTCAGTAAATACAAAACCTAATTCAGTTACTAAAAATATTAAATCAGCATCGCAAACAACACCTGTCAAAACAAACCCTAATTTAGTTGCTGAAAATACTAAATCATCATCACAAATATCACCTGTCAAAACAAAATCAAATTCAACTGCTGAAAATGTTAAATCATCATCACAAATATCACCAGTTAAAACGAATCGTGATAATTCGACTTCAAATAAAATTGAAAAAACCGTATTAAATAAAACATCACCTAAAAAAGAGGAAAGTCTTGATCATAAATCTTCCACTAAATCCTCCAAAACTTCTACTAATGCTTCACCAACAAAACGTCTAGCATCACCAATCAAATCTATTGAGACTAAACCGAAACCAAAATCAACATCCAGCGCTAGCAATACAATTTCAACTTCCTCAAAAGCTCTAGCATCACCAATCAAATCTATTGAGACTAAGCCAAAACAAGAATCAACAACTACTGAAAGTAAAACAATTTTAACTTCATCAAAACCTCTAGCATCACCAATCAAATCTACCGAGTCTAAGCCAAAACCAAAATCAACATCCGTTGAACGAAATACAATTTCAACTTCATCAAAACCTCAATATGTCGAACCCTCCAAACATAATTTTCCGATCACATCAACGACACCCATTGCATCATTATCAATTACTACGGATAATTCATCAGTTAAAAATCAAGAACTTATGAGAAAAAGAACTTTCTCAAATACATCAACATCATCAATAAATTCAAATACATCATCAATATTACTGAATATATCGGATGATGAGCCTTTGAATACCAATCAAAAAAGAAGAAAATCAATTACATATACTTCACCTCCTTCATCATGTGAAGATGAAATGATTATGCCAATTACTATTTCATTACCAAAAAGAAACAAGAGAACTAAAAAGGAAAATTCAATTATTAATGATAAAATTAATGAATCTGAGGAAATTAATGAATCATTACCATTGAGTAAATTAAATAAACAAAAATTTTATGTTCATTCTACTACGAAAGAAAATAATGAATTAAATGTTTCTGATTCAAACAATGAAAATAAGGGTTCAAAAGTTAAATCAGAGGAGATCAACCCAAGCTCAAATGATTCAATCAAATTTAATAACAAATCACAATCACCAAAATATTTATCTTTTAAATCATATATAAGTAACAATCATAATGAAAATAATGAAAATAAAAATAAATCAAATTCAAAAATCAATGAATCAAGAAACTTAACCAAATCCACAACTCATGACGATTTAGAAATAAATAAACTACAATCAAATGAACTAAATAACAAAAGTAACACAACAAATTCTACATCAAATACAAATTTTAAAACAACTCCTCAAGTCAAAGTTCCAGTTAATTTACCTCAAAAACCTCAATCATTTCAACATTTAGATAATCATAAAACTAATAAGATTAATACCTCGACACCAGTGAAAAAGTCAGAGCCAATTAGTGAACCAAAACCAGTAAAGGAATCAACACCAATATCATCATTACCTCAACGTCCATCTGGTCCTAAAATAAGACCAAAAGGTCCATCAAGACCAGCTGAAGACTCTAGAGATAGAGAATTAGAAAGAAATCGAAATCGGGAATTAATTGATCATTATATTCCACAGCCAAAATCAACAAGCACTTCAAATTTAAATTCAACCTCGACTTCAACACCACCACCAATATCACCAAGACCCATTTCCAATTCTTCTTCCACCACATTAAAAAGAAGTTATCAAGAATCTCAATCTCAAAAAAATGAAGAAGATAAAAACAACAATAAATCTTTTACAGCACTATCAAGTTATGGTAATGAAAGATATAATGATGATACAACCCAATCAAATTATGGTAATGAAAGATATAATGAAAGATATGAATCAACAACACATTCAAATCATGGTAATGAAAGATATAATGATAGATATGAATCAACTACAAATAATAATAATAGAATAAATTTAAAAAGAAAAAAAATAATGAATTACTAGCATATCACGATTTTCGGTATAGATATATAGATATAAGAATTTTCATAGAATGAACGACTGAATGAAATTCGATTTCTTCTTTTCCTTTATCCTATAAGGCTATTCATAAACTTTCAAAGATACTAAGAATTAACTACTATCTTTTTCCCCTGCTGTTAATGAAAATCTCTTATTTTTTTTAGTCATAATATGATTCAAGGTTTTTTTTCCAAATTATGACTTTAATCAGCGTATATAGTATACTTAAAAATAATACTTTCAAAATTGAACAGTTGACTGAAATAACTAGCAGGATACGTTAACATCAAAAGCAATTCCCACGCTCGAAGTTTCTTCGTTTTCAAACCTAATAGACTATCAGATTTGGAAATCTTCCTTGTTGTTGTATAAAATCTTCTCTGATGTCTAAATAATATAAAATCTTCTCTGATGTCTAAATAATATTTTTATTTAGACATCAGAGAAGATTTTATACAACAACAAAGAAGAGTTTCAAACAGCTTTTGCCTCATTGAAGAAAGTTTCATTTGCACCTGATGTACTCTAATAATTAATCAGATTGGGTAATGATTATAATAGTAAAATCAGAATCCAATTGTTGTTAGTTTGACCAATACCTAATGCCAGAAATCAGGTTGATCAGTAGGAAAATGTGGTTGTATATTTAAATTTGATTTCATTGTCTGTAATTTTAGATATATAACTTAACCTTCCAACCGAACCCACTGATTTCCTGACATTATGGAGTGGTCAAGGCAACAACATTTAAATTTTAATTTAACTGTCCTTATGCATCAATACATACCAAAAGTTAGGTTTAGCAACGAAAATTGCTTCGACTTGGAAATTCACTTTGATAATATCCTATTTATCCTGTCTTTGATACTTCATCTTTGTTTATTCATTTCAATGATTCACAACTATATCTGTAATTAACATTGAATCTCTTTTCGTTCTAAAATCAATAATAACTGAATTGGATTATGATTACAATTACAAACAGTAAACAGTAAAATCAATATCCAATTATTCAAGCTTGTCCGATTCCCAATGTTGAATATGTAATTGATTCAATTGAAAGATGTGGATATATATCTAAATCTAATTTAATTGTTTGTAGTTTAAACATATAACCACACCTTTCAAAGAAAAAAATACGTATCCAACATTAGGCATTGGGCAAGTTCTAACAACGGAACCTTAATTTAACTGTCTTTAATAATCATTGATACGTACCAAAAAGTTATGTTTAGGATCGATATTTTGCTTCGACTTGAGAATTCACTTTGATAATATCCTATTCATCCTGCCTTTGATATTTCATCAATTTGTTCATTCATATCAATGACTATCTGTAATTAACATTGAAAGCTTTTTCCTTCTTCAATCCAATAATAAATGTAAATTAGATTATGATTACTCTTGCAAACAGTAAGATCATAATCCAATTATTCGAACGTGCTAGATCACAAATGTTGGATAATTAATTGATCCCGTTGAAAAACTTGGATATATATTGAACTTGATTTAACTGTCTTTAGTTTGAACATGCAGCCATACCTTTCAACGAGAAAAAGAAAATATTCACATTAGGCATTGAGCAAGTTCGAATAACTGAATTTTAATTTAACTGTCTTTAATCATTAATACTTACTCAATATTAGGTTTCAAAACGGACACTTGCTTCGACTTGAGGATTCACTTTGAGGATATCGAATATTTCCTGCCTTTAATAATTTATCAACTTGTTTATCCGAGTCTTTCCAATTTTAAATGATATCCCTTGTTATGTGATCTATTCTTATAGATTTTATAATATATCTCTCTTTTAATATATAATATATTGTCATATATTTATTGAAGTATAATTAATATTTGCAACTGTAGATGGAGCTAACATTGAGTCTTTAGTCTTACCTTTGATTTACTCTCATGTTTGAAACAATGATTCTTTATTTAATGATGATGGTTTGTAACTAACATTTTAATTAAATCGATCTAAAAAAATGGTCAATAATTGACTTGCGAGGTGTTTTATATTAAAACTTCGATTTATAAAAATCTTCAAAATGCATGTGTATCAGTATTGTTTCAGCTTGTGAAAATTTGAACATTTATATATGTGTTGTTAAATAATCTTTATTCTTAGTGACGTATACTTTTATGATAAGACCTACATACTGTTAAATTTTTTTTTTTTATCACCTTATCTCATCTATTATTAGTATGAATTGACTTACAACAAATATTCAAGTATACGGAAACTTCAAGTTTTGCAAGATACTTGGACAGTAAGTTCATTAGTAGAACCTTCGAGGAGGAACTATACATTATCTTAAATTGATACTACATTGCTAACTAAAATATACTTCTGGTAATCTAATATAATTTGCTTTTGAATTATATACACGACTTTCTTGCTTCATTATCAAAATCCTAAATTAATTAAAACATCACAAGTAAATAATAATATTATCTAGTAAATTACAACCAAATTTATACTCTATTTCAATATTTACTACCTGTCATTATTTCAACAATAGACAATAAATAAAGACTTATTTACAAAACTAATAAAAAACAATGTTTAAATGGATTCAAGGTGGACTTTCAGCAGTTGCAGGAACTGCTGAACCAGAATATGGACCAGATGCAATTCATCCAATTACTTCAAGAATTAAAAAGGGAGAAAATTCACAATATCATAGATCTACTACAGCAAAAGATTTTGAATGGTTATCACCAAATTATACAAATGTTGAAACTCAAACTTTTTATTTTACAGATTTAGCAACTAAAAATATTGGATTTGCACAAATTATTCATTCAAATGTAATGGGAGTTCATACAACTGCTCAATTTACTTTTAGATTATATAATATTTCAGATCCTTCAGTTAATATATGGACATCAACAAAATTAGAAAATTTTAAAATTGAAAAATCAAATTTTTATGCTGATAATTTAAAATTGGAATTAATTGATAATAAAAAATATATTTTAAAATCTTACGTTAATATGGATAGTATTGTTGAATTTGAAATGGAAAGAAATACTGATGGTATAATATTTGGAGATGATGGTATGACATTTTATGGAGATAATAAAGATGAACCTTGGGGTTCAATGAGACATTTATTTTGGCCACGTTGTAATATAAATGGCAAAATTATAACAAAACAATATGGAGAAATTAAAATTTTAAATGGTTTAACAATGTTTGTTATGGCATTACAAGGTATGAAACCTCATCATGCAGCAAAATCTTGGAATTTTTTAAATTTTCAAAGTAGTAATTATTCTGCTATTCAAATGGAATTTACAACTCCAAAATCTTATAATACAACAAAAGTTAATATTGGAATTATAATTGAAGATGATAAAATTCTAGTTGCAACAATAAATAATGATGTTATTCATATTGATTCAAAACATGATTCAGTTGGTTGGCCAGTACCAAAAGCAATTCAATTTAAATATATTGATCCAGAAACTAAAAATGATTTAGCTATTGTATCTGGTGATTTAAAGAATTTAGTTGAAAGAGTTGATGTTATGGCTGAAATTCCACAATTTGTTAAAAATATAGTAAGTGGAGTTGCTGGTGCGAAACCTTATATTTATCAATACGCAAATGAATTCGAAATTGAAATTTTAAATTCAAATGAAGAAATTAAAAAAGAAGAAAAAGGTATTGGTTATACTGAAGTTACTTTCATTTCTGAATAAATTAGGTCGAAAGAGGAAGTTTAAGGTAATGTAATATTAAAATATTTGGGTAATGAAATAGGGATAAATGGATGGATGATGATGACGATAATTTTTTGTTTCAAAATCTTAATAGTGATAAATATATAGTTAAATATATATAGAGATTTCAATAGTAATAATAATAATAATAGAGAAGTTGTCTCAGACAACTGCAAATCTCGACATTCAATGTAAGACCAAAGTTTAGGCTAAGATAAAGGTAAGATGAAGATACAATAAAAACGCCACTTATGCTACGATCAAGCTAAATACGGCTATCATTCTTTTCTTTCTATGAATGCATTAGTATATCAACTCGGCCATAATTAAGTAAGGCTCATATCAAAAGACTATTACATGTAGATAAAAAATTTATAAAGGCTATCTTGAACGTTTTAAAGGTTTTCTCGAGCGTATATTCAGAATTTGCTATTTACAAGCATTTCTCTTTATTCAATCAAAGTACGACTACTAAGAATGCATAACCCGCCTGAATACCAACAAACTTATCCTACTATGATCTAGACAAGTGAAATTCGGAGTGTCTTAGAGTATATGTCCAAAGTGGTTTTTAAAAAAATGCAAGATGGTTCAGTACTTATCTGTATAAAAGAAAATATCAAGATGGTTCAGTATCTGTATAATTTATTAAAATTTCAAACGTATTGAGTTAAGATTTAAGCCAAGTTGAAATTAATTTAGTTACGAAAAAACAATCTGAGAGTCAGATTTTTTTCATCCCCCACGCAAAGATTCCAATAGAAAGGTTGAGAGTCATAATTGCCAATTTTGGGGTAATTTGTTAGTAGGTTAAAACTAAATTGTGAGCGCTTAATTTTTTTGGGAGTTTAAAGATTTACGGTTTGAGTTGATGATGAAAGTTTTAAGAAGTTTCGCATTATGTAAAATTGTTTTGGTTATTAATCATTCAGATTTTACACTCAACGTTGTTATCAAATGTTAAAAGGATTAAAAAAGTGAAATTTTGAAGTAAAATTCACCTGTAGTCTCATATTTTTTGCTTCTGTTTCTTTCTTTTCTATCTATTTATGATGCGATTATTGACTAGATCTTTTTTCTAATGATGTCAGACCCTGAAGTAGTACTTGAAATCTTAATAAAAGGGATCGTAAAATACATCTTAAGTTAGATAGTTAAAATTTGATTTAAGAAAATTTAACGCCTAATAAAATTTAAAGTTACGAGAGATTGAGATACCCACTCACTTAATTATTTCAGATCTTCATATTTTTATACTTTTTTATCTAAGTACAATGCTATCTAATTTGACTTTTAATTTGCTCAATAATGCATCATTAGCACCACTCAAATAATTTAAAGTTTTTTAAGTACATATTTGGTCATCATGTACTATACAATGAAATGACGAGTTGCAGATTATTTCAATCAAATATACAGGTAAGTTATGATATTGATACTCATCTATCTAAGTTTTTATATTCATGAAATGAAATCATCATTGTATACCTAAATAGGTATATCTTTTGAGTTTTTATTGTATTTTTTATTGTTTTGATTTCATTTGAATAACAATACGAAATGCTGGTTATAATTTGGACTCCTCAATGAAACTAAGGGGTACGATTACAATATTTTAATAAACTAGAGCCACAAAGTTTACAATTTACATGTGTAAACTTACGTTTTCATCGATAACCCTCTTTAATATGTTTTTGAATAACTCTTCACGATAAGATATTAATACAAACTTTAGTTTATAAAACTCTAAATTTTTAAGCTTTAAGTTTATCTAATTTACTAAGTAATTAAAGTTGTATCTTAAAGTGGAGAAGTAAGCTAAAAATCTAGGGGTAAATTTTCGTGTAAAATCAAAGTTAAAGATAAAGGGCTCTTTAGAGTATTGCTGATACTATAGTATAGGTCAATCAAAGTGCAATAAAAAAGTATTTTATTAAAAATAATCTATTAAAATCAAAGAATTGAAAAATCGTAACTATTTTATTTTACCATAAACCAAACTATAACCAAAAAACAAACGATATAAAAAAATAACGGGAACCAAAAAATCTAGTATAAATGAGCATCAGATTGAGGAATTTCAGTATAATAAGAATGTAAAGCTCTTTTTAAAGCAGGTATTAATTTTTCCCATTTTAATATTCTAACTTCTTTATCAAATCCTCTTGGTTTTCTTATTTCATAAGCCATCATTCTTTTTGCTAATTCCATCCTATATTCTTGATTTTTAGAAATGGTTTGAATTGGTTGTGGTTGTGGCGGATGTTGTTGGAATTTTTGTTGTTGTTGCTTTTGTGAAAAATCTGTTAAATTTGTTGGGATTGATGATGAAGCTGATGAAATTGATGATTGATTGCTTGTTGGTGCAGATAATATTGAATTTGTAGATAATGATGATGATGATGATATAGATTTTGAATTTGAATTTGAATTTGGAGGAGCTAATGTTGACGTTGGAGTATTTGAAGAAGATGTATTTAAAGTTTGATGACTATGATCAATAAAAGTTGATGGATTTGAAATTTCATTCATTCTTGAACTAATTGATTTTTTACACCAAAATGGTACTAAATTAGATCTAATTCTACCTCTTTCTCTTCTTTTTTCACTTGCTTCTTTAAATTCAGTACCAATTAATAATTCAACTATTTCAACTACTTCAACTGATGTAATATAATATTGATAACAATGTTCAGAATTATTATTTGGATTATTTATATTTAAATTCTCATATTCATTTTTAAATTCTTGAGAATTTGATGATGATGATGTTACAGGTGGTGTATTTGTTAAATTTTCATCATCTGATGATAATGAATCATAATCATAATCATCCATGTTGGTGGTGTTATTTCCTCTATTATAATATCTCGAATTATCAACTTCACATTCCAAACAACTTACTTCAATAACATCAATATTTGGAGGACTAGGTAAAGTTATTGGATTTTCATTAGCATTACCAATGATAGAAAAATTAACTATTAATTTAGAACCTTGTTGTAATCTCTCAATTCTAACTATTCTTCTACGATCTTCTTTTTCCAGTTTTGACCATTTTGGATAACATATATCTTCTTTTGAAGCACCAATTAAATTTAATTCAACTGGAAGATAAATTGATTCATTATTCTCCATAGCTTCTTTTGGTGGTCTAGTAGATGAACCTCCAGCTGATACACCTCTTACTACTCTATATCTATTTTTACCATCTGAAGAAGATTTGATATGTTTTTTGGATGATACGGAAGAAGATCTTGAAGTTTTAATTTGTTGATTGGAATGTTTGGAATCTAATGCATGTTCTTTTGGTGATTGTTTTATTGAATTTGAATTTCTTTTAGATAAATGATTAGAAGAAGATTTGAAAGAATTTTTTGGTGACATTGATTTTTTAGTTTTTTTCAGTATTGATTGTTTCCTTTTTTGTGAGTTATTGGTATTATAATTATACAGTAATTGATTTTCAACAAGATCTTCTAATGAATTTAATGGATCAATTGTACTTGGTTCTTGTTTAGGTTCATCAAATATTTGACTATCATTGAGAAATTGGGGATTTGGGTTATCAAAGTATAAGGTTTGTGACATTGTCATGGGGTTTTGCTCATAGTTTGATGGTGTTGAATCGTTTGTATCTAGTATGCTATTGTTCATTTGTGGATATGAGTTGGTATTGTCATAATTTGTTGAATTGAAATTCAAAGGAAGTTGTTGTACTTGTAACTGTGGTTGTTGGAATTGTTGTGTTTGTGGTGCTTGTTGTTGTTGTAGTGGAGGTGCAGGTGGTATTTGATGTTGATTTTGATATGATGCAATGACTGGTGAGACGAGACTATCGTTATATTGAGAACTAGACTCTTCAAATAAATTCGGATTTGAATCTGCTTGATGTAAACTTTGAAATTGTTGATTCGGTATATAATTTGAATATAATGAAGATGAAGAAGTATATGATTGTTGTGGATCATTATAATTTGAGTTTGGTCCAAATAATGGTACATTTTGAGGTAATTGATCTTGAGTAAAACCTGTTGCAATAGTCATGTTATTAAACCCAGAACTAGTTATATTATGAATCTCATCAATTGGTGAAGCATCTAAATTTACATTTATTGATTGATGATTTAGATTAGTACTATCAAGGTGATTATTCAAAGGAAAATTGTCCAACAATTCAATTGAATTCATTTGTCCTATATTGTTAAGACCTTCATTGGTGTTATTGGTATTTGTTGTATAATTATTACTGTTAATTTGATTTTGATTATTATAAGAATTGTCATACATATACTGACTATTACCAGCTAAAAGGGTAGCATCATCATTCAAATTGGTATCTGTGTTATTCGCTATATTGAAATTTTCATCATATGCTTGAGTGGTACTGACGTTATTATTATTGGTGATATTATTATCTATTTCATCATTATTAAATTGATTATACTCATTTGGATTTACCATATTAATAAAATTTTGAAGAGATGGAGCGGCTTGGTATAAATTCAATGTTAAATCAGTTTTTTTGGAAACAATAGATGTAATCATAAACCTGTTTTATAGTATTTTGATTTGAATTTACCACTTGGATTGAAAATTAATTAAATATTGTATAATAAAAAAAAACCAATAATAATGATAATGTGTAACGAATGTAAATGATTGTTGATTCAGTTTATGTTTGACTTTTAGTGGATTTTGAATAATTATATTTCTCCAGTTTCTTCAAAAGTCAATGATAAATAAATCAAAGGTAATGGTGATGGTATATATATAGATGTATATATAACAATTCAAAATGTAGACGGATAATTAGATCTAGTACAAAATTGAATATTATTTACAAGTTTCAAAATAATTATGAACTGTTTCTAAAAATAAATCTATTTGGAATGTAATTGAATACTATTTTGACTACTGAATATGGCTTCTGAATGCTGATGATATAATTGATAATTGATATGAATTTTTCAAAAAGTGTGATCAATTGAGGATATGCTAAATCATTTATAAAATCAAATTATGAAAAATAAATAAATAATAAAATAAAAAATTAAAGTTATAAAAAATTATAGTACAAAGATTAAACATGTATATCGAGAGAAAATAAAATAATAAGAGTACAGTAGTATCAGAAGAAAGTAAAAGAGTGAAAGTAAGTTTACATGCGTTTCTCATACATTTTTTTTTAACAAAGGTTAGTTAACAAACAAACTAGATTGTTCAAAAGGTTAGTTAGAATAAAAGTGGGCTTTTTGTGTTTTAAAAGTATAAAGTGAGTGAAGGAAATATAAAAAACTAAAATTGGTATTTGTAGATGTATCATAACTTATACAAATAGTTTTTTAGTTAATTATACATATAATGTGTAAATTTAGTTCAAAATAAGTATTAATACTTTTAAAATTCCCTATTGGAGTTAAGAGAAGTATTTGAGCACAAGTTAGTAAGTGAATGTAACAATTGCTAATAAGTATACTACTATTCAAACAACAAACCGTAATATGTAAATGTAGATTGACTTAATTTCATAAACTTATATGTTGAAGGTATTTAATGCATACATAAATTTTTACTCAACTTTAAAATTCATGAGATATCAAAAGGCATTTTTTATAATTTTTCAAAAGTCATACAGATTACGTTTATCAAAAGACCCTCTTCCAATAAGAGAAAGTTTGACGGTCATTTCTTTTTCTTCGAGTTCAACATAGACTTCTTTCTTTTGTTTTTTAAATTAAACTTTCAAGACTTTCGTCATCTTCCAATAGAAAATAGTAGAACAAAAAGTTATTAGCCATATTTTTTTATCTTATTCGAGTAAAACCTTAAAATTGTTTAAATTTAGTAGAGATGAGGATAATATAGTCGTAGTAATATTATTTCTAATCAACTAAATTTAACTAAACTAGAGTTTTTAACTAAAATGAACAAAAACAAAAGGGATTAGGAGTTTTGGTGATCTAAAATTAAAGCTTCATTGGGTCTAAAATGATTTCTTTAGTGTCACGCTCTATTTCTGAGAGGCTCAACTAACAATACAAACCATCGATTGGTTTGGTTATTCGTTTAAGTATTTTGGTTTTTCAATTATCTATGATGTATTGTTTAAAGTAATAAACATAATAAACATTCTTTTTGTTCTTAATCTAAGCCAGAGGGGAGCTATTTTATTTTAGAGTTTAATCGTATTATCATTATATTAAAATAGAAGAAATATTTGAAAACTAAGCACTATTATTGTATGCAATGACCTTTTCAATAACCTCCACTTTTTATTTTACAATCGTGAAACTACATATTGATTTACATTTTATTGTAAGCAGTCCAACTCATAACAAATTATCTAAATACTATCATTCGAATTACTCAGTACTTACATCAAAATTGCGGTATCAAAAAAATCGCAATCTCAGCAATTTCGATAATAATATTACGTATTCATTTATTAAAGTACTTTTAAACCCTGAAAATTAGATTTATCAATATATAATATTTATTAAAATATTTTAATAATATTTGACGTAACAAAATAAATTATTATTTATATGATCAACATACATACATACATACATAAGATACACTAGACACACACAATGCAATACAGTATAGTACTTTTTATTTCGTAACTTAAATCTAATTTGACTTTTTGATTTCTTTTTTCAATTTTTGAAATTTACTCATGAACTTTTAATTGGTGGGGATTCAAAATTTATATGGGTATAATGCACTACACAGAAGTTTGGAGGTACCTTGTGACTAACTAACGTATTTGATTGTGTTATTTATATATAGATAGAAGGAATATTATTATTTAGTTTGAAAAGACAATAGGATTATTTGGTGTAATTTTCATATGCAATATTTCATCAAAAAACTTAGTTTTGTTACCGAAATATATTTCGTGAATTATTGAGGAACAATAATTTTCGATTCCGAGATAGTTATTCCGATAAAACTTACATATCACGAAGTTTAATTGTGAAGCTCTAAGCCTTACATTCTCAATAGGACTTTAAATTTTGAATCATTGTTAATTCATTTAGTCAATTGTTTGGAGACCTTTCTTTGACAATTGTAAAATAATTTTATACATGCACAACTCTTAATACCGAGAAAATAATTTTAAGCTTCTCGGTATTTCTCCAGGATTCAAAAATACAATAATTAGGAAGTTTATTGTATTAAGAGATAGTGCCAATTAATTGAATACGTTTCTGAAATATATACGCAAATGAAATGTAAAATCGGAAATTGACGTTGTATAGGTTTATATTTCCTTTACGTTTTAACCCCAATATAGAGATGTTACAGCCGACTCTTCCTAAAACCCGTCCAATACCGCTATTGCAATACTAGCTAAGTCTCGAATTGCAAAGACTAATTTCGTGCGAACTTAAGTGCCAAAGTCGAATTGAAAATACAACAAATCTAATTGTATTACGTTTGTATTGAAATATTATACGAAGGATTTCTTAAAATAGAATATCAATATTCAAAATTATGGCTTCAATCAAAAGTACTTGGCTATGCTGTTTCCTGTTCTCCCCACCTGAAGTATGCATCAAACATTCATAGTTGCATTCAATCGTGAATGATGGTATCTATTATCGTGGTACATTTCCGACGCATTAAAACTGAGATGCTCTCTATTTATGTTGAAATATTATAATTTTTTTTGCCCTATCGCTTAATTATACATCAAGCAAATTTTTTAAACTTTAAAGATTTCCTTCTTTCGCAGATCTTCTTAAATTTTATTTTTAGTTAACAAATCTTAAATCTAAAGTTAAAAAATAACACAAAATCTGGATAACAAAAAGCTAAAAATTTCTTTTTTCTTCTTATTTTTATTTTATTTTTATTTTATCTTTTGGTCTTCTCTTGAAGAACAATAGTAAATGGCTATGTTTTTGTAACAATAAAAAGAATGTACTTTATGATATGTCATAAAGAATGTTTTTCCACAACAAAAAACCACTAAATGTGATCTAACCAATCGAATATCAAAAATCAGGAACGGAACTGGTCTTCCTTTTAAACATATATAACCATAATTCGTCTAATCTTCTTCTTTAAAATTTGTTTTTTGTTTTTATTTTCAATTGTGGTTTTAATTTTGAACAAATTTCGTGATTGTAAAAAACGTTTGATGTTTCACAATTCATCCTAATTTATCCTAAACAATCATTTTTCACATTCGAATAATAAAACTCGAAAAACTTAAATTTTGCTTTATTAGTCTCTACATGCTGTACAATTGAAAATTAATTATCTAATTTCCTTCACTCACATTTACTGTTAAATTTTTATTTATAATGATTCTTGGAAAAGCATAGATCATAGAGCATTAAATAAATGTTGTAAATTATATTTAAAATCACGTAATACTTTACAATTTATACATTTAATTATGAGTATCTTCGATGCAAGAAAAACAAAACTTCGGGGTATTATGGACATTACTTATGACCTAACCTATCTTTGGTTTTCCAAAAATTTAATATTACTTTACTTATATTATGGGTTAGTCATTCGGGTCATTTGGGGACATCAGAGATCGGAGATTATATCTACACTGTATAAGTTAGATCTGTACGGTTTTCATATGTTGGAAAACATTAGTTTATCGTTCAATGAATTCTTTTATCTTCGTTCGTTAATTGTTGTTCATGGATATGTGATTAAATTTGACAGTACTCAATTGCATATACCGAACCTAAATTTCTTTTTACTTCTTATAAATCAAGGACTTAAAATAAAAAAAAATAAAAATAAAAAGCCAATAATCAGTACGAAATCCAATATTGTGCATTATAAATCATACTTTTAAAGTACATAAAATATACGGCACTAAAAATTGATTTATCGTACTATGCTTTTTGATAAATTCTCAGCTAGAAGAAGTTGAAAGATTTCAAATTAAATACGTATATTGATACGTCTCAGATTATGTTTTGATAACGATGATAAATTTATGGATCCAAATTTTGAGTTTGTTTGCTTTTCTTATTATTTATTGTACTTATCTAAATCTATTCATGCAAATGAAGGAAATAAATTCAAACATTCTTTTAAACGTATGTAATTTCTTTTATGATTACTTATTACTAAAATTGGTTCGTAAGTTGATTCGTTCGATTCAATAAAGCTCAAACCAACAGTCCTCGTAAGTACGTCATCAACTAACCACGTTTTACTCAACTTTTAGATAGATACATCTTTAAATCAGAACGAAAAATTAATGCGATGATTTAATAATTAGATCAAAACTTAATGTGGAGGATAGATCAACTGTTTAAATCACTTTTAGTTACTAATCGATCATTAGTTAATAAAGTTTAAAAGTTTTATAATTCGGTTAATGATAAAAAAAAATAGAAAAAAAAAAAAAATTAAAAAAGTTTATTTTTTAGTTTTAAAATTTCTTTTTTTGCTCAATCAGTAAATCAAAAATATGATCTGAATTGCCGTTTAAATCAAAATATTAAAAATTTACCTTCCTTTGAGAGTTAAAAAGCTTTATGGAAAGGTCTTTGAATCTTCAA